CATGGGCCTCGTTGGTTCGAGCGGCAACTTCACTCTCAAGCTGACCAATATATTCTGCATGATGTGTTAGCTCGCTGTCCGGTCTTTCATCGGTTATGTGCGGAAGATGGACATACCCTTTCTCCGGGAACGGAAAGCACGCGCAGACACCTTGTTGCGGAGCTGACGGCGCTCCTTGCTGCTGAGTTTCTTCCCCTCCTCGCTGGCGAGCAGTCGCTCGTCTTCATCCATATCCTGTTCTTCCTTTCTAGCCTTGGCCATCTGGGGCAGCATGGATGGGGACGGCGAGTCATCGGGCGAACCCATGGCGTTCTGTCTCATCTGCTGCAGAAGGCGGGAGATCCGCTCATCGACCGCGGGGTTGGAGTTGCGCGACGACTGGCTCTGGGGAGATGATGCCTGTGGTGCCTGCTGTTCTTCCATGTGGCGTTGCTGCTGCATCTGTTGCTGGCGGAGCATCTCCTGCTGTTTCTGTTGGGCGGCCTTGGCCATCGCAGCCTGCTGCTGATGCATTCCCGGGTACATCCGACCGACTTGGGTGGGTGGGCCAGCGGAAGCGGCCTCCTGGCCTCCCAGGGCACTCGGGTCGACAAACTGGCTCTTGCTACTCGGGCTGGGAGAGGAATAGTAGGTCGGGACGGCCCCCATGTTGTGGAACTCCAGATCCATCTCGGAGTTATTGCGAGCGGGGATGGTGTTGAAATCCAGAGGAGCATCTTCCCGCTTCAGTTGACCGGCATACATGTCGCCATTCATGGCAAACCCGGAGTTGGCACCGAAGCCCATGCTGTTCATCTGCTGGAAGGGCATGGCCTGGGCCAGGGCACCCGGGGGGAGACCGGTCTGCTGTTTGTGCTCGTCATACTGATGACTCGGGCCCTGGAAACTCAGCGGGGATTGACCATTCTGGGGGAAACCAGCCCCGTGGATCTCGGCGGTGGTGTATTCTGTGCTGGGGAGGGCGGGTTGACCACCGAGGGCGGCTTTTGACCGGGCGGGTTCGGAGGAGGTGTAGGTGAGTTGGTCGAGGTTCAGGAAGCTATCGATGTCTTGATCATACGACGGAGCGACCGCGGGATGTTCTGCGAGGGTAGCCATGATGAGAGATGCTGAGAGAGGTGTGAAGTTGTGCGAGGGCGTATCCGAATCCGGGGAGCCCTCTTAACGAAAGACTGGGAGAGTTGCTACAATGCGGCTCAAGTGACGAGAGAGACGAAGATGACGATGTGTCGAGGAGTGCGGAGGTAGGTAGGCAGATAGGTAACGATCGCAGAGTAGCGAGCGACGATGGGGAACGAGAGACGAGGGTAGTCTGATGGGCGGATCCAAGGGCTCAAGAGGAACTAGGGAAGAGTCGAGACCACGATTCTAGAACGAGGGAATAATGACACCCGCAAAGCAAGAAAGCAGTGGATGGGGGTGAAATCAGATCCAAGGTTGAGGGAGAGTTGATGGAGAAGGTGTAATAAGAAAAAAATAAATTAGGATAATAATAAAAAAAAAAAAGGGTAATGGTAACTGATGAGGTGGTAGGATGTGAGGATCGACAGGAAGGGTGGATGATGGGAAGGGTTAAGGGAAGAGGAAGAGGGAGGGAGAGAGAGAGAGAGAGAAGAGAGGGAGGGAGGAAGAGAGGGAGCCAAGTGAGAGTAGCAGAATGGGGTTCGTGGAGCGTCCAGGGGAAGGTTGGAAGGTTGGAAGGGGATCCGTCTCTGCTCCGTCTCCACGCCAGGAATAGAAATTCAGGCCAAAAGGGATTGCGCGGCCTCCTGACTCAGCGGGACGCCTGCCCAGGTGGGCTGCTGATTGGTGGAGACGGAGCCCTGAAGTAGGGCTTATCGATATCCGGCTAAGGCAGCAGTTCTTAGTCAGCCGGGCCTCTCCACTCTCCCAGTGTAACATTTGCCCCGTCGGCGATCTCCAACAACAACAATAACAATAGTCTTTAGTATGTATGTATTTACTCCGTATGTATGTACTATGTAGGTAATGCACAGATGCTTTGACTCCATCAGAATCCATGACTCGATGGGGATCGAATGTTTGTTTATCATGGTCAAAACATCACCCTTGGTGTCCCGGTTCGGTGGTCGGAATGGAGATAATAGCCACTAGTGAAATACCTCTTACAGAATTTAATCTGTCCCAAACAACAACAATGAGACCGACACACACCAAAGGGAATGGACAAGATGTGGCCCCTCCTCCCTTGGTGGTTGCCCTGCCCTCTCTTTCTTTCCCATTATGTACGGAGTATTGTGATTGATCTCCTGCCTCCCCACTCCGAGACTTTTCCGTTTCAAGCCGATTGCTCCCCCCTCCGGCTTCAGCTTCAGGTTCAGGGTAACTGAAACGGCGTGTTGGAAACTTTGGTTAGGGTCAGGGGCCGGTGGGCGGCCTCCATGGGACTCAGACAAGACCCACCCCCCATCCCCCCAATGACGTGAGTGGCTCTCCCTTGACCCAATCGCGCCCCCCAGCCAAGAATCGGTGGCTGTTCTTCAATTGCAAAAATCAAGAATGTGGTGTCCACATGGGTTGGCGGAAAGATCACACTCAGACGAGTGCAGAGCATTCCGGACGTATCCAATTCCTCTGTTTCATCTCTGCGCTGGTATCCTCAAGGGAGTGAGTCAGGTTAATTGGGCGATATATCTGTTAATTGTGTAGGCGCTCAGTGTCAGTGATGGCAAGTAAGTACCTAATTAAAGGAGCCATGTATGGGGGTTCCCTCCATACCTGATACCCAGCTAGATATGTACTCCTTACTCAGACAGCCTCTCTTTCTCTCTCTCTTTCTCGGTCTCCCCACCAGCGTCCACTCCACTTCGCCGCCATGGTCTAGAATCGGTCAGTCATTCCACTCGTCCCAAACAAAATCCCGCTAGGTTAATTCGAAGACCCTCAGGAACGGGTGCTCGCCAAACCCACAGAGAGTCTTCGACCGTCCTAAACTAGTCGATAGTGTCCGATGGGATTGGCGGTGAGATCCAGTGGGAAGATCGGAACAGCCTCTGGAATTACCGCATGCAAAGCTTGGCACCGGCTTTCCTACCGGCTGAAGGACCCGCCGGTCGGCCGTCTCTTGGTCAACGCAGGCCGCAGGGTTCCATCGCTTGTTTTTCTTGTCTGCTGTCTGCTGTCTGCTGTCCGCTGTCCGCTGGTCCGCGCTTAGGAGGTCATTTCAAGCTGGTCTGTTCTCCCATAGATGGGTCAGAAACGTTGTTTATTTTCTGTACTTCTCTTTGGTTCCTCTCTGCAGTGAAGCTAGTGTTGGCGTCTGAAGAATGGAATTAACTGCCAAAACCTCCAAACCACGCATCTCACTATCGGAATAACCTATCGTAGCAGGACAACAATAGACCTCAAGCTCCAACGTGTAATACACTCACCGCGCGAGATCAACAATCAAGACGCGATAGTCAACTTAGAATGCTACTATCATGCCCCAAACTCTAGCTACATGATCAAACGAAAGTCGGTCAGCATCATCATCATGCATAGAGTAAATAAGCCACGCCACGATACCAACAACATATGCACAGCTTCAATAGATACGCATAAGGATAGCTAAATCATACACCACCAATCCAAAACCCAGTTCGCGCGGATCTCCCGGTGCCTGGTATGGAACAGAGCCCAAGACCTCTTCGTCCCAAGAAGCTGGTGGCAACCGCGGTTGGTATGGATGGCTTATACCTCACTGGCAACTCACCTTAATCTTACTAGTTTGAGAAATTAGATACAGTTACTTCAGATCAGCCCTAGGGAAATGACAGTCTAACACTGAGAACAGCAATCCCATCTCTATTCCTTACTCATCACATCACCCAAACAAAACAGGCAAGTAACCCTCGATAAGCGCCACCTTGGCACTTCCATTCTCAAAACGGATGAAGCGAGAAACCAGCCCGGCCCACATAGCAACTTAAACGAGGCGAAAGAGGTGTGGATACTAGATACTAAATCCAGGAAGATGCTACCCACTCTCGCTAGTTTGCGTGAATTTCTCTCCATCCTACGGAGTAGTCCCAATCCTAATCCTAATCCTAATTCAATCCTTCCATACGTCATTTGTGAGAACTTGCCGAGTACGGAGCAAACTGTCAGATCCCGATCGTCGGCACTAGCTGGTATTCGCTCAGTGGAGCTGGTGAGACAGTTTGAGGCGAGAAGAGAGTCAGTCCACTTTACTATATCCAAGCTAGCTGGTTTGGGGTGGTGGAGACGCCGGGGCGGACAAGCCGGCTGGGTTATGGTTGGTTTTCGGAAGCTCCGTGGTATGGATGGTTGGATATGGTTTATATTGCTGCCTTCATACTATCTATCTATCTATGTACAGACTGACAATATCAATATTGATTGTGAACAAGGCAGTAACATTCTTTGCTATATTTAGCAGCTATTGTCTAGATTGTCTACGCATATATGTTCGAGTAATGCACATGGATTTTGATGTCGACATGTTGGAATCGCATGGCCATATGTCGGCTGCTATAACGGGTTTAATCTGGATCAAGTACGGAGTAGATAGAACATATCAAATTAGGGAGCCCGAGTAATATCCACCGCACTGTATGTTAGACATTGCAATAGCATTCAAGCTGTCGCTCGGGCCCGATAGGTAGACGAGCGGTCTGATTTGCCTCTACCCATTGACACCATGAACTTGCCACTCGACTTTCCAATGCGGTGTATGCTATGGATAGAAATAGAAGATGATCATAGGCAGGCGACCGAAAATGGAAAAGGAGAGAGATAAAAATCCCACATCCATTATCTGATCTCCACGGCGTGATATTCGTCATGCATGTGTAGAATCATTTCCTGGAGTAGGTGTTTTGGCTTCGGTAAACCCGAGTATCCGATGTTGGAGAGTCGATCGCAAACGACCATGAGATGATGTCAGGATCTTCACTATATCACTACGCAGCACTACTGATGATTGTGGGTTCTCTCCTTAGACAAAAACAGATCCCAATATTGATTGATATTGGGATCTGTTTTTGTCTATGGGGCTTCAGGTTATGACTGTCCTCTACTCAATCTCATGATTATGCCAACTATGATAAACTACTACAGAGGGGCGTGTTCGTATAGACCGTCCCCAATCACTTCCTTTTCAGAAATTAATATCATTCAACATTAAGGACTTTGTTGTACATGCATTTTCCCCCTGATAAAATGCCACACAATATACCACCACATTGATCTTTAAGATCTGGACGACATGCCACGATCACATATATTATACACTACCACCGCTATCCAACATCGAAGAAAAACAACATCCCATGATCACTTTTCGCGACGGCCCAACATTACTCGTCAGGGTGACTCAACTGGTCATGAGTGAAATGGTATTTGCCCGCAACATCAGGCTGGTCGGTGTCTGGGTGGCTCAGCTGATCGTGCTGCAGCTCATACTTGCCCGACACATCGGGCTCATTAGGACCGGTGGAGCGAATCGCAGTGGACTGGCCCTATCCTCGACTCAGTACTCCGCTTTGTTTGGTCGGACCTCAATCCGGCATAGATCACATACCTGGCGGTAGGGGTTCTGGAATCCACTCTGTTGTTGACCCTGGCTGCGCTGGCTCTGCTGGCCCTGCTGCTGCGCTTGATCCTGGGATCGGGTCGTGACGTTTGGGGGGATATTTGAAGTCATAACGTTTGCTGTGTGGTTGTAATAGTATACCATTATCTTGAGACTAGGGCAGCGTTTGGAGTTGTGGGTTTGGTCTGCTTGCTTGACTTTATATAGGTGGCGGGCTGTTGCGCATGAGGTCATGGAGGTTTATCTGACATCAGAATAGATGGATAGACATGGTTCATGGTATAATGTGATTTATTGGCGGGGTACTCCATATGATCTAAGAACAATGACCGCTGAATGCGGGGGAAATTATGGGGTTCCATGGTCGAAAATGCTCTTTGTGTATTGTAGTAGGCCAGGTGGTTCAAGTGACATGGTTCATCAATGGCGAATCTCGATCGATTCAACATCTCACTGGGTGGTTACGGACGCAGTAGTATGGTGGTTGTGAGTATAAGGCGTGACTGGTCTATGGCGTCCTGGCTAGAATTTCTAATACCCAGCAGCAGTTCTCAGAGAGTGGTTTCGTCATCGGGAGTTCAATATGTGAGTGACATTGGAGTTCGAATCTTCGTGGCAATAAATTAGGCAGATTTCCTCGTCTGTGCTTTTGGATCAACCTTCTACGACTTTATGTAGGTGTGTAATCATAAAATGTTACTTGATGTTATAGATATCCGCGCTCGGCAATATATATAGGTGTGGTGTCATGGCTACGCGGAAAACAAAACCTCCGAAAGCATCAGATACAATGAAAAACACACACTCTAAGTAGGAAAAAAAAAAAAAAAAACAAAGCATTAAGTCTGATGAAGCATCTATAGACAACATGATATTGGAGACATGAAGAGAAAGAGTAAAATCTGCAGCAGAAAATGTATTAAAAATATCTAGTTAACTATGGAGTAGGTAGACTGCATTCTAGATAGGTGACAAACCGAGTATTCAATCCATCAAATTCACTACCAACATTACAAAAATTATTATACCATACAGTTTATTTACAATACACATAAGCAGCAAACTCAAAACTCGCATATCCCTCTCTGGGTCAGCATCTGACATACTGTTGTCATTGACAGTGTCATTAACCGGTCGCTAATAGAGCAATAGATGGCATCAGTATTTCATCAATTGGGGCTGTGGCGCAGTTGGTAGCGCGTGTGATTCCAGTCCAGGAACATCCACAAGGTCGTTGGGTTCGAATCCCACCAGCCTCATCCTTTTTTTCTTTTTGTTTTTTTTTTTTTTTTTTCTGTTCCCGTCGCCTGGAGCAGATATGCTGGTTATGCCCAGTGCAATTGATCCCACGTAATTTTTTTGCTATACAGATCTGTAGTATGACCTATCGAATAACTGAATGCTCACAGGGGCAAAAAGAATTTGTGAAAATTCTGTTACTAGAAGAGTAATCTCTCACATATTTGTAAGATGTATCTTGTTTGTTCTGTACAGGAACTAAATTACAAAGAATAAAGATGCTGCGCTATTGCATGGAATTATACCAGTCATCTCCCGATAGCCGTGTAAGGCACACAGTACTGACCTGTTTGTGGAGTTTTTCAGCACCCCTTACTGTAAATGTCTTGTCGATCAATATTTGGAGGCAAGAGTGCAACACAAGTCAATTTATGGCCAATCCCTTAAAGGGCTGCCATTTTGCATCCGTAACTGGTTCGAAAACCATTTAAGTTCCAGAAAGGCTGAAAGAACTACTCATTCAATGTCCATCAATAGTGACACATAGGTAACTGATCGGAGGGGTTCCCCCTCTGGCCATCAAGAAACCCTTCCAGAATCGGATATTCAACAAGAAGGGGCTGTGGCGCAGTTGGTAGCGCGTGTGATTCCAGTCCAGGAACATCCACAAGGTCGTTGGGTTCGAATCCCACCAGCCTCATCCTTTTTTTCTTTCTTTTTTTTTCCTCTCACTTACATAGTTTCGAATTCGCATGCTTCCTTCTCCTCTGATTTATCTTGCAATGATTTCTCCCGTTGGAGGGCACAGGCAGTACTAGGTAGACTCGGTGATATGCACCCCACACTACGAGGTCTGTGACATGCACGTAGTATACTGTCAACTTTGGTGCCTCTAGCCCTATTGTCTTCGATTGCCGATCTCGAAATGTCGAACAGTTCATGTTTAAATGAAGATTCCGGGACCCTATTGAATATTCCCGTATGTCTCTCTACATACAATTTCCATAAATGGATCCGACGAAAGCCCGACAGCCATGCATATTTATTTACCCTGTGATCTACTTATGACATTTTGGTTTGATCACGACTCACATATTTATACAGTCTCAATCACATGCAATCAGTCACCACTATTTCTGTAATCTTGCACATGAGTACCAGTATTGATTCTTATTGATTCCTTATGCAGCAAGGGACCGCTATCCCTATCTAGGCCTGAGATTCACGGAGTCAAAGGACCAAACCTTTCGGGAGAGATGTATATCAGCTCGGATTCCCCGTCAACTACGTGCTTCCTGATAGCTGACAGCGGCGGAAGGAAATGAACAGTCTCAGTAGATATGTCCAAAGAAGTAACCAAGTCGTTCTAGATGCCTTATAGCGACTATAGACCCAAGTAGAAGAGGTGAGTCAATAGGAGGTCTGATAGACTTAGCCATCACTGGATAACTAATTATTTTCAGACGGGTATTGTCGAAGGTTGAGCAGAAGATCAACAGATATTGACTAGGATTTTTGGAAGCTGTGCGAAAGTTCGTAAACTATAGTTATTCGGTCCCCATGACCGCGACCTTGTCCATGTCGTTTGTGAAGGGATTATCATCCTGCATCAAAGCAATCCGCCGACCTGTGAAAAGGGCTTTGAGAAATAGAAGCCACGACCAACCTATTAGGGTAAAGTGAACTGCCACAGGCACACATGGAGGCGCCTCTTCGCGAAAATATCCAGCTCGGGAAGACGAAAGATGAGAAACATTTGTAAAAAACGGGGATAGTGTAGGGTACAGATGACTTAGACCAGTACAGCTGATGCAGGTATAAAAAATATCCATGCACAAGTAAGGAGAATGTTGTGACCCCCAGCTTTACAGGTAGATGGCCTATCATGCCTGAACTGATAGAACAACCCTATAGTTAGCAGGAGATGCCAAGCCGGCGTGATGATCTCGAACCATCAATGCGGTCAACGACTCGGCCCGCCTTGCTCGGACGATTCCTTATCTGCATCGCTGATTGGTTCTACCGCGAAGCTTACTTGATCGTCGTTTCTGGCCTGAGGTTGCTAGTATACTTTTTTTTTTTCCTTCTTTGTTCAGTCTTTCCCCTCACCGCATCATCCCAATATATTGACGATCTCTGAAACTACATCTTCTATTCACACAAGACCGCTGCAGAAATGGAATAACACACGCTACCCTCAGTTTAAAACCACCGAATCTATCCAGATACCAATCAATCGAACCCGAATCGATCAGAAGACGAGCCAATACTGAACACAGCCTTGTTACCGCGCAAAGAAAGAACTTTACCGTGCCATCAAAAACCCCGCATACACTCACACCATCTTCTTATTGGTCTCAATAAGCACTCAACCGATACTATACCAGATTGTACAATGGACATACGTGGAAGATTGAAAACAGTCCAGTTTTTCCAAAGTCCATTGGGGTAGTGGTGCACCCCAAAGAAAGGAGTAGGGCACGAGGTGTGCTCGACCATATCATCCGACTTTTACATACATAACGCATACGAGATACCCTCCGGAGAGACCATCTATAACCGCAAATTTTTGCCCCTTGCTTAGATACATCGCCCAAGTTAGGGCTGGGCGATTGCATTACATTTCCGTGCCTTGAGGCCGGAACAGCCGACATGATCATGGCCCGTATGTTCTGTACCCCGTCAAGTGAAATGCCCTCAACCCTGCACGACCAGGCTACACTGTCAGTCGCTTTGATCCGTTGTCTGACATGATTGTATAGTCCGGAGGTGGCAGAATCTCCTTGGTCGAGGCGTCATGGCGCTGCTTCCCCCAGCAAACTTTCTCACCCTTCACTATGCTTATTTCATAGCTGTATCCATTGTATGCAGCGTCATATTTTGGGGCGCATCTACGCCTCCCCGCAGCGTATCATACGCGGATTCGCTGTTTATGTGCGTCAGCGCCATCACTGGGGCTGGTTTGAATACTGTATGTCTTCCTTCCCATCTCAGATGTTTTGAATGCGGACTGACCTTTCAGGTGGATCTATCTACACTGAACACCTTTCAACAGGCTATCATGTTCACACTTCTCATTGCCGGGCATGCTATCCTGATATCTATCACCGTCTTGATCGTTCGGAGACGGGCCTTCAAGAAAAAGTTCAAAGGCATCTTGGAGGACCGTGACATGAAACGCGCAACCCACGGTGCTGTCGTCACGCATAATGGTGGGGCGGCTGTGGACGTTGAGAGCCACAGGAAGACACTGTTAGCTCCCCCGGCTACTATGGCCGAGGGGCAGCCAAGTTCCCGCAACGATGAACACATCCACTGGGCTGATGATGGAGATGTGATTACTCTGGCGAGCATGCAGACCCGCCAAAGCCAGCACCACCATCGGGTGTTTCCGATGGTAGGAGTCGGCGCGCGGTTGGATTTGAACAACCACCCGCGAGACGCGGCCCCAAATACGCCCAATAATGACGAGAAGGAGGAACCCCGGCTGACAGGTGTGCTCTCGGGAACGCCCAAAGATCCTGCATCGGAAGCATTGGTTTCACGGAACTCGCAGTTTCATGGCCTCACCCTGGAAGAGCGGGAGCAGCTCGGTGGGGTGGAGTACAAAGCCTTGTGTTTCTTGTCCGTAATCGTTCCTCTGTACTGGGGAATGTTCCTTATCATCGGTATTATCGGGGTCGGAGGTTGGCTGGAAGTAAATCATCCTGATATACCTGGGAGAAACGGCCTCTCTCCATTCTGGACGGGCGCCTTCTTCGCGGTATCAGCTTTCGTGAACAGCGGAATGGCCCTCTTGGACGCGAACATGACCGCCCTGCAGACAAGGTTCGTTTGACGCTCGGGACATCTCCCACGTCCTTCAGATACTAATTGATATCTGTAGCGCATACCCACTGCTCACCATGGGGTTGTTGATTCTTGCCGGGAACACACTCTATCCGTGCTTCCTACGCCTCATCATCTGGACGATGAGAAAAATGGTTCCGGATCAGCCGTCGTGGGCGACCTGGAAACTGACCTTGGACTTCATCTTGAACCATCCCCGGCGGGTAAGTACAGGAAACTCATTTCTTCACTCACTAGAGCTAAAGAACGACTTAGGTGTACACGAACCTGTTTCCGCGACGCCATACCTGGTACCTACTAGGCACGGTAATCATCCTGAACGGGATCGACTGGGCTGGCTTTGAGATCCTCGCGATCGGCAACAAAGCACTCGAGAGCCTCCCCCCAGGCTACCGCGTCCTCGACGGACTATTCCAGGCCCTAGCCGTCCGCGCCGGCGGTTTCTACGTCGTCACGATCGCCGACCTTCGACAAGGCCTACTAGTCCTCTACGTCCTAATGATGTACGTCTCAGCATTCCCGCTCCTCATAACAATGCGAAACACAAACGTATACGAGGAGCGCTCGCTGGGAATCTACGCGCACGAGGACTCAGTCCACGAGACCAACCCGTCCACAGCATCCCCCAACGCCCTAATCGACCTAGTCCGCCACCACTTCCTAGGCCGTCAAGACGCAGGCACAGCCGAGTCCTCGCGCGGCTACTTCGTGCACCAACAGCTCCGATCCCAACTCAGCCACGACGTGTGGTGGATTGCGCTAGCCGTGCTATTCATCGCCATCGCCGAGGCGCCCCACTACACCGAGAACCCAGTCGCCTACTCGACCTTCAACATCATCTTCGAGGTCGTCTCCGGGTACGGCTGTGTGGGCGTCAGCGTGGGCTTCCCTGGTAGCAATTCGTCGTTTTGCGGCTCGTGGCACACGGTCAGCAAGCTGATCCTTGCGGCTGTTTGCCTTCGTGGGCGCCACCGCGGCCTCCCTGTTGCTATTGATCGCGCTGTCATGCTGCCTAGTGAGTCGCTGGCGTGGGCGGAGGAGGAAGATGCTGTGTTGAGACGGGAGCAGACGCGTACGTGGGGGCCGGAAAAAATGCCTGTTGGGGCTGCTTAGTGGGCTGGTTGGAGTGGGATTTTCTTTTCTATGTTCAAAATTGCAGTTTCATTTGGTATATTGTATGTTAGTCTTTAATATTGTTGTGATTGGCTGCTTGGGAAACCAGTCGAATCGAGTTTGCGTGTGTGCACAAGATTGATGGAATTTATCAAGATTTCGGAGTTCTAAATAAGGACTTGCAAATCTGCAAATGTATGAAGAGGCAAGTGTATTACAATAAGAGTATATGAAGAATTGGGAGAGACTTCATTCGTAGTCAGGTGACGATTGCAATCATCCATCCTTGTTGAATCAAAGTCAACACATCCTTACACCAAATCCAATACACAAACATGTACACATGTCTCTACCACGAACAATCCAAGCCCAACTTTTATATTGACAATATAACATATAAATAAACATACCCCACAAACCACAGGGAATCAAACACAAATAGGGAATCAACAGAGAAGTGTCGGTCAACCACTACTCATCTTCCATCTCAAACTCCCCCTCATCCTCATCCTCACTCTCCAGCTCCTCCTCCTCCTCTTCCTCCCCCTCATTCTCATCATCAGACGAACCAGCCTGTTCATCACCCTCCCCGTCCTCACTTCCGCTAAACCCATCAATCATAGCCTCATCCTCATCGTCCTCCTTATCAGCCGCCCGACGGCGCTCCTCCTCGCGCCGGCCCTTCTCAAGCACAGCAGCGCGCTCCTCCCGCAGCTTCCGCTGGGACTTGACGAACGCGCCAAGCGGCGTCGACTCCCAGGGGAGGTCCTTAAGGAAAGTCTCGACCTCGGCGCGGCTGCGCGGGGCGTAAGAGACGGACGCACGGCGCTCCTCGATGAAGCGCGAGTTGGACTCGACCTTCTGGATGAGCAGCAGCACCATCTGGTTGACCTTTGTGTTTTTGTTTCCTGAGGCGCGCGCGCTGACCTGTTTGAGCCAGCGCTTGAGCGCCACGACGACGGGCACGGACAGCTCCGGGAAGGCGATGTGCTTGGTCCAGAGGACGAAGAACTCCGAGAGCAGCTCGGTGACCTGCTCGGCGAGGCCGTCTTGGTAGACGCGCGTGCGGAGGTAGGATTTGGGCGCGCGGATGGTCGTCGAGAAGTCGAGCTGGCGCAGGGTGCTGGATTTGGGCGACTTGCGCATCTCAGTGAGTTGCAGGACTTCGATGAGGGCTGAGGCCAGGGGGATGTAGGTTCCTGTGGAGCGGGAGAGACGCAGCAGGGCCCGGACGAGCTGGAAGCGCAGCGGGAGGTATTGCGCTGTGGGGATGAGGCGCATGGCGCCGAGGGTGATCTGCACGACGGGGTAGATCAGCGGGCGCATGGCGGATTGTTTGCCGGCTTGGGCTTCGACGAGGCCGTCGCAGTGTTGCGAGAGGACGCGGGACCAGAAGTCCAGTGAGTGCACGTATTGCCAGTTGTAGATGGTCTTGTAGGAGTCCTTGGAGGGGTGGGTAATGCTGCTGCGGAGATGCATGGCGAGCTGGCGGATGAAGTTGAAGCCCGCTGTGTAGGCGACGTTCTGGTCGATGCCCCACAGCTCTGCGGCGGAGTTCTTCATCAGGTTCACGCCGGCGAGGGTGTGCACCGTCGTGTTGCGGCTGCCCTTGATGACGCCTTCGTAGGTTGTCTTGAGCACGGCTTCCCTGATGCCCGCGTCGCCGATGATCATCAACCGGCGCAGGAGCAGGAAGCCCGTGATGCGGGTAACGTCGGTGGTGGCGACGTCGGACCAGATACCCACCACCGTCTTGACGAGCACCTTGAGGAGCTTGCGGAACTGGAGGAGGTAGGGCAGCATGGGCTCGATGGCGGAGAGCGTCAGCTTGAGCGTCTGGGCGTCCGACAGTCTGTTGAGCAGCTCGTGCACCGACGAGACGAACGATTTGATGAGCGGGGTGAGCGTCTTGAACTTCCTCGAGTCCAGCGACACTCTCACCTTGCCGGAGGCGGACTCCTTGACGGGGAGGTGGTGTGCAAGCACGCGCGGCACGGTGCCGAGGGCCGTGACAAGCACCTGGTGGTAGACATCAGGATCCGAGATGGAATATTTCTGCTCCTGCTGGTCGGCATCGTTGAGGTATGCTGCGGCGCGGAAGGCCAGGACGGTCTGCCGCATGGCGCGGATCGAATGTTGCTCCTCCATCAGCTTCTGCCACTTCTTGACCATCGGGATGGTCAGCGTGTTGTCCGTCTCCATCTCCTCCTCCTGCGCGGCCGCCTTCTTCTTCTTCTTCGCGGGGGCTTCCTCCTCGCCCTCGCTCAGCTCATCAACCTCCGACAGGTCACCATGGTCGCCGAAGTCGAGAAGCTCCGCGTCGTTTTCTTTCAGATATTTGTAGAATGCAGGATCCTTCTCCTTCAAAGCCTCCAGCTGACCCAAGTGCTCCTCAATCCCATCGGATCCGCTAGCATCAGAGTCTGCGGCCTCATCGTCGTCCTCCTCCGCACCGCTAGACGCTTCCTCATCACCCTTCTGTTCCTCGGATCGCTTTCGTTTCCCGATCTTGGGCGTGACGTCCTTCTTCGAATTGCCCTTCTTGGCCTGATCGGGCGTGCTATCTGCGATGTCGAACCCGCCGGCGAAGAAGTCGTCGACGTTCATCTCGGAGAAGGAGTTCTTCTTCTCATCGTCTTCACTGGCGTCACCCGCGTCCTCTTGGCCGTCTCCTCGCGACCGGGCATTTTCCGCTTTGCGCTTGTCCTTGAGGTGGTTGCGTTGCTTGACCTTGGCGTGGGCCTTTCGTCGCTCGAGGGTATCCTTGAGGTGCTTCTTTTCAAATTTCTTGGTGGATTTCTTTTGAGTACCAGCCATATTGTCAAATAGCTATCCGTTCACCCGGACAGCAAGGTTATCAGACAATCGGGTGGATAGGGATAGGGGAATGAGATGTATGGACTGAGACGGGGAATGCGATTTCTTTAGGCGGAGAGAAAAGTCCGAAAAAAAAAAAAATCGAAGGGTCGGCGGCAGAAAAAGGCGGAGCCAATCCGCCCGATCGGGTGACCGCCTTTGGCTCTCCGCCTTCTTCTGCAGTCGTTTCTATCTACTCGCTATCACCGGCTTCTATATCGTTGATAGTGGAGGGTTGATTTGTTTTATTGAACTCCATCTTGCGTGATGTACACCCAACGCCCCCTGGCATATGCCCCTACCCCCTACAGCTACACCCCGAACCCGGCCCGGTCGGCCTCCATCAATCTCGACGAGGTACGACTTGTGTAGTCTCTCATTACGTCTGTCCTCCGCTCACTGCCCCGCAGGAAGTCAAACTCGCATCCAGCTCAGCACAGCGCGATCTGTACGAATCATTAGCAGAAATCTACAGCATTATCATCACACTCGACGGCCTCGAGAAAGCCTATATCAAAGATGTCGTGACGGAGGCCGAATACACGGAGACCTGTACCCGGCTCCTGAAGCAGTACAAGTCGAGTCTGGGCGATGATACCGTCGCCCGCGAATTCGATGACCTGGAGACTTTTAAGCGGACATGGGGGGTATGTCTTCTCTTCACTTCCCTACTTCTTAGCGAGAAAGAGAATCCATATACTTTTCGAAAGTGGTAACTGACAACAACCCTCCAGTTGGAATGCCCCCGCGCTACCGAACGCCTCCGCATCGGTCTCCCGGCGACAGTCGAGCAAGCCACGCACAGCGCCCCCACCGCGACGATCGGGCCTTCAGCGTCGGGCACCGTGGGCGGCACATCCGGTAGTCTGATCCTCACGGCGACGGAGAATTTCATCACCTTCCTGGATGCGCTGAAGCTGAACATGGTGTCGAAGGATGCGCTGCATCCGCTGCTGAGCGAGGTTATCCAGTCGGTCAACAAGGTGACGGACGGAGACTTCGAGAACCGGGGCAAGATCATCCAGTGGCTGATCACACTGAACCAGATGCGGGCGACGGAGGAACTGAGCGAGGAGCAGGCGCGCGAGTTGGCATTTGATATTGAGCAGGCGTATCAAGGGTTCAAGTCGACGTTGGGTTAAGTGTCGTTCTTTATATGGAGGGAGATTTTGTTTTTGATACCTGGAGTTATGCGGAGTTCACCAATACCCTACCATGGTTTTTCTACTTGTGTATAATAGTTGCAATACAGAAAATAAATCCCACATGGATATAATTTGGGCTAGAAACCAAAGGACATCGGATCTTTGGGCCGCAGCGGAGCCGACCACGGAACGCTGCACGCGAACCTTTCCCGATTGGGAAACCACGACTTTTTTTTTGCATATTTTTTTTCCTTATCCGCCGGCATAACTGCCAGGCGCCGGTTTTGCCACGGGGGCCCGTGGCTATTCATATCAAGACGACAGCAGATGTAATTACCTCTCCATACTCAACAATCTTCATCTACCCCCATTGACCCCTTCCAAGCCTCACCGCCATGATCAGTGCCGATCCCAGCGAGCCACTTCACGGTATGTGCGCTGCTTACTCTACGATAGTGGGAGCGATAATGGTGCTGATAAGATCGCAGTGCTCGACCTCCCCCAAATCTACACCAAACCGTCCGGCACTGAACTCCTCCGCGCCCTAGACGTCCTAGCGATCAAACCACGCAGTTTCACTACCCGGGCTGCTGAAGAGCCGGAAAAGGCCCAGACTGTCCTGCCGGCGGGCGTCACTCGGTATCTGACGTCTATCATCTCGAGTCCGTTATCATGGTTGGAGACCGATGAACTCCGCGAGGCTGTCTGGGATGCGACGGGTGCGAGACTAAGCGAGCGGTCAGGGCGAACAGGTACCGTACATTACCCTCATGGCGTCTCCACCGGGTGATGGAGCGAACCAAACTCAACCCTTATCACGGTCTAACGTGTCGTTGCCTATAGCAATGCCTTCCATGTCCCGCGTATTCACAGTTCCCAGCCCATGGGGCGAAGAACTCACCCTCACGCTGCACGAGCCCTCCCTAACAGCCGACAACCTGGGCATGAAGACATGGGTGTCGTCGTACCTGCTCTCCCAGCGCCTGCACTCCCTCCTCGAGCCCGCACCGCAGCTAGTCCCTACATCATCTACAACCCCCAAGACCAGCGGCGATCGCACGCTGCGCGTCCTCGAGCTCGGCGCAGGAACAGGCCTGGTAGGCCTCAGCCTCGCGGCCATCCGCGGACACTCAGCCACAGTGCACCTGACGGACCTTCCCGTGATCGTGCCCAACCTCGCGCACAACGTAGCGCTCAACGTAGAGATGCTGGCGAAAACAGACGCCACCGTCACGACGGGCGTGCTCGATTGGTCCGTTGACCCCGACCCGTATCCCACCGCAGACGACCAGTACGATGTCATCCTGGTCGCGGATCCGCTGTACTCGCCTAGTCATCCGCAGTGGCTGGTGAACACGATCGGCCACTGGCTTAGCCGCGGGCTCGACGCGCGGGTCGTGGTCGAGATGCCGCTGCGCGATGCGTACGTGCCGCAGCGGAGGGAGTTCCGGGAGCGGATGGGCGAGCTGGGGCTGGCGGTCGTCGAGGAGGGAGAGGAGGTTGGGTACGATGACTGGGAGACGGCGGACGGGGGGGCCCTGGCTGTTAAATGCTGGTGGTCTGTTTGGGGATGGAGCGAGAAGCTTTAGGTGGATTTCTTTTCTTTTCGGCCGCTCACTATGATTTCACGAGGTCAACGATACACGATAGAAAGATGGACTAGATTGATAGAATACTAGAATAGAACCTATCATTTGAAATTGTTAGTCAGGAAGGCATTAATACATCTCTCTTGAAATCAGCTAGGCCAGAACGACATGTGTAACGAAGATATATCAAGAAGAGGGGTCGTCGAAGTATGAAGAGATCAGGTTGGTCAGTCCCATGAACCGAACGAACGCCTCATGATGAAATTGTATGCCTCAGGCATACATTGACGCCACCCAGCATGGCAATTTATTGAGCGGCTTGAACATGCATGAAACATTCCATCACTCCACTTTATACTTTATTTCTTATAAGTTTGAATCAATTTACGTCGATTTTGTGTTCATTCCAGTGATACACCTCCGAAAGCATATTTGAAGAACATACTATCCCACTACATCCACATCATCCACAACCAAGACTAGACAAAACCAACCGACATCATGGTCATAGGCCTCCTCACACTAGCAGCCATACCGACGGTGACGGGCTGCGCGATGGGTGTCAGCGAACAGCGCAAGGCCAACGAGCGCAAGAATGACGCGCGACGCATGGCAAAGTTCCACATCAACGTGGAGTGCAGAGACGGTGCGCAGACGGAGGAAGACGACGAGGTACAGGGGCGGAGGTTGGTTTTGAGGGCTGATCATAAGGTATGTATAGTAGTAGATTTCCCCGCTCTGACTCCCGCTTTATGGCTCAAGTTCCATGATGGTGATAATATGTACAAAACTAACAATACCCCAAAGGTCTACCTCTCCGACCCAACAGTCCCCTCTCACACAGCGACCACATTCTACATCGAATACCCCGAGCTCGAAGAAACGAAGCACCTCAAGCGCGGACTCGGCCTAGTAACATCCATATCAGACAACCCGCCCATGCTGGGCTGGATCTACGTCAACAAGGACACGCACGAGCTGAAGTTCGGGAACCGCACGGACAGTGTGATGCAGATTCCTGCGCCGTGGGACTGGGCGGACGACGAGCGGACGGTCACGCTGGAGGGTAAGAAGGGGTTTTTCGCGGTGGAGGAGGACGGTGGGGGGTGGGCTTTGTATTTTGATCGTGATGGGGATGAGCTGGAGAGGGTGTTGGAGGAGCAGGGGAAGTTGGAGAATCGGTTTGCGCCGGTTGTGTTTAGGAGGAGGTTGATTGAGGTGCCGGCGGCGTAGGGGGTGTTGGTGGGGCTGGTTAGGGGATGGGATGGGGAAGGACGCGATGGTGGTGGTGATGATTATAACGTTGTGAAATGATAGCATTATGATAATGATATTGAAAGAATTGGGAATTCGTAATATATTTAGGGTCTCTTCGTAAATTCTAACCTTCCATCTGTACAGCACGAGACTAATCGTCTAACCCACTCCACTCATCGCCACTGTCCTTATCCGCGACGCCCTGGTTTTGGGATTTCCGGCTGCGACTAGCCGCGATAGCAGCCTTCTTGTTGTTCTCCATGCGCCGCTCAAAGCCACTCTTCGTACTGATTCGAGACTTAGCGCGCTGCTTGTCGTCGTCGCCCGTGGACTGGGTCTGCCGGGCCTTGACGCCATGCTTTTTCAACTCCTTCCGGCTCTTCTTGCTGAGGTCCGGCAGCGAGTCGAGCAGCCACTTCTGCACGGACTTCTCGCCCTCCGTGCCGCGCAGCTTCTCACTAGCGTCGATGATGTTGGCGATGCTCTTGACGTACGGGATATCCTCCTTGGTATAATAAGTCACTGCGACGCCGCCTTCTCGCCCGGCGCGACCCGTGCGGCCGACGCGGTGGACGTAGGCTGCTGCGGAGGTCGGGATATCGTAGTTGACGACGCCGTTGATGCCGCGGAAGTCGACCCCGCGCGCCAGTAGGTCCGTGGTGACCAGGATCCAGATTTCGCCTTTGCGGAATCCTTTCATGATGTCTGATCGCTGGCCGTCGGAGAGGTCGGAGTGGAGGACGGCGATACGGGACGAGCCACCGGCTTCGACGGGGATGTCGTAGCGCAGTTCGGAGTGCAGGGCGACTGCTCGTTGGATGGTTTGGGTGAAGATGAGGAATGGAGGACGGAGGCGGACGTCGGTTGCGGACGCCGCTGCTGGGTGAAGGAGCTGTCTCAAGCCTAGCAGTTTGCCCTGCTCCGTGGCAGCGTAGATCAGCTTGTGTTGGATGTTGGGGATGGCTGAATCCTTCAGGCCGACGACGAGACGGATGAATGGGTAAGATGTGGTAGCGCCAGATGCCTCTTTCCGCTCCGCGATGGTCGACTTGGCCATATCCTCGATGTTTGACCCCATCGTAGCGGACCAGAGACTCGCGCGGAGCTCGGGATGTGTGCATGCGCGCCAGATATCGAGGGTTTGGTCGCGAAACAGGGGGTCTAGGAGAACATCGGCTTCATCCAAAATCAGACTCCGCACCAGCGGCAGCGCGGCTACCGGTTTGGTCTGGTGGGCGGAGAGCGCATTGACCAGTTGCAGCGGTGTCGTGACCAGGATGTCGCTTTTCGTGACGGCAGCTTTCGCCTTGGTCTTCTTCTCCGGCTTCTCATCGTCTTCGGATTCTTCGGATTCGGAGCTGTTCTCGTTGAGAATATCTTCGCCATCCCCATCAGTCTCCACCACCTGCATACCCTTCTTCATCAGCGTGATCTTCACGCCAGTTCCCTGGACCAGCTTTCGCCCTTCGTTAACAATCTGGCTGGCAAGCTCCTTAGTCGGAGCCACAACGACAGAGAGAATGCCCCGTTCTTCCGAGCGTTCATGGTGATGTCGCACGACCTTGTTGATAGCCGGGATCAGGAAAGCGAGCGTCTTGCCGCTCCCCGTAGGCGCAACGACCAGCAGATCCGGCTCAACAGGCGCCCCAGTCCCAGAAACCTGCGCAGTAGCAGAATCACCCAACAAAAGCGGCAAAGTACCCAGCTGCACCTCCGTCGGGACCGAAAACCCCTGCTCCGCGACATTCTCCGCCAGACGGCGCGAAATGCGATACTTGGACCGCAGCTCCTTGAACGACACGAGCGGCTGCGGGAATAACCGACGGGCATTCTTCTGTTCTTTTTTGGTAAGCGCGCGGGGTGTCTCCTCTTTCTGCTTGCTCTTCTTCTTTTTCTTCTTGGGCTCCTCAGCCGGCGCCGCGGGCTGGATGTCCTCGAAATCGCGCATATCAGTGACCTTAATCTTGTGCGCATTCAAGATCGTCCGGCACTGAACATCATCTATAACGTCGCTGGCTTCATTGTCGGACCCTGAGGCGGCATCCTCCTCGTCAGACGGCGGTTCGTCGATCTTTTCTTTCTTCGCCGACGAGGGCTTCCCGGAGCCGAAAAAGTCTAACTCGGCGTCATGGGCGTCGTCTGCGTCGCGCGCTTTGGAATCATTGTTCCTCTTTCGCTTCGTACCGTGCAGGAGCTTGTCTGCTTCGGAGTTCTGGAAAAGCTGCGGGTTGGCGGCCTTGCCTTTGGACGGGAGGGTGGACGCAGTTGTAGATGGCGTCGCACGGCCTGTTTTCAGTTTGGTGGAGCGCGTCAGAAGCTTGAACGCATCCATCTTACAAAACTGGGGGGTTTTGGGACCCAAACAATTCGGCGCAAATAATAGTCGACTACTCCGATTAAACAATCTCTAGTAGGAAGTCGTAATTAGTCAATGTCGCATAGAGTCGACTGGTGGTGGTTGCGGACGGCAGTATTCTTAGCAGGGGAGAAAAAATGTCACTCCGACATTGAAATTCTTTTCCGCACGGACCAATCAGTGTCCGCGAGCATCAACTTTATCTCTGACCAGCTTTTGAGCAGTGTAGCCCATATTTCTTGATATATTAGGTAGAGTATTGCATATAGTTGTCTTGCTACTAGGGACTTGGATACTTTTATTTCATTTATGGATCCAATTGTCGTGGGAACAGTCGTTTTCTCGACATGTTCTGCTCTAGGAACCCAATGTGAATGGCTCGTAAACATCATACTTGCGACTACATTTCTTACAATTTTACAGAGGAGCGTGCAAAGGCACTCCGCACACGTAGCGTAGAAACAAAGGAAAGGTCTATTTCCTGATAGTACAGGCAACTCCATGCCAACCTCCACACACAGCCCTCGCCGGATCCCTCGAGAATCCAGTCATAGTAAGACAACCAGATACCCAGAGATCTCCAAAATAACCTCAGACAACAGTTATATTCCATCGTCTATCATACAATAGTACAGGACACAAGGGAAATAGAAAAGGGAAGAAATGACTAAAGGAAAGCGGGGGAAGGAACAAGACGGGGCCAGCACGACTACTCAATCACGCTTGATTTAGTGGTCGCCGTGGTGCTCAGCGTGGCCCCGGTAGCCGACAATGTTCATGCGGCCGATCATCTCGCCGACAGTGAAGAAACCGATAACCTCGGCGGCGGTCACACCCGCCAGGGCGATCTCCTTCTTGCTGGCGCCGCGGACACGGGCCAGGATGTCGCCGGGTGATACGAAGTTGGCGTTCTTCAGGGTCGCAGGGTTGCGGAAGCCGTTGATCAGAGGCTGGAAGTACGACTGGAAAGTGACCAAGTTCCTGCCGAGCAAGTTGCTAGTTAGCGGATGGTTTATGGTTGCGGTCTTCGCGGACACTCACGGGGGGCTCATGTTCTGGCCACGGAAGACGAGTCTGGCCAGCTCAAGGCCGACTTTCGAGTAGTAAAGAGTGGGGGGTATCATGGCTGTCCAGTACGATGTGGTTAGCAATGATGGACAAAAAAAGATGGAAAAAGGGCAGGCAGGGGATGGCTTGCAGCATACAGCACACAGCCAATGAACACATTTATCACGCCGATGTCCTTCACTTTCGTCGAATGACCGATATCAAGAGAAGTAGATCGAGAGATTGCTATGAACAGAAAGTAGAGAAAGAAGGGTCGGCTTACAGTCGATGAGAGAGATGACCTTTCCGGTCCGGCCGCCAATCTTTCTGAGCGACTGGGCAGCGCCAGACAGGGCAGGACCAGCGGTGGAAGAGACACGCGAGAGACCATCAGAGGCCTTGGAGGCAGCGGACTGCGCAGCTTCACCGGCCTTCTCGGAGGTGGAGGAGGCGTGTCTCACGGCAGTCCTCCGAACGAGGAACTGCGATTGCCGGAGCACTGCACGGGACGCCGTGGCGGGCATCTTGAGACCTCTGAAAAATGGAAAAGGGTGAAAAGAGGGAAATTAGTCGAGAGACAGGACACGGGAGTCCAATGGAAGGTAGGTCAAGAGCCAGGGACACAGAGTCGTCGCGCAATTGCAGAGAGATGGACTCGACTGAGATAGGATTTGATTTCGGGAAGTTCAGGGAATGGCGCCTCAGGTAATCAGATCACGTGCAGAGATCTCCTCACCCGGCATTTTCTCACTGACCGCCCCACAGTGTTCACGTTACAAACCCTTGATTGAAACTTTTATACTAGAACCGTCTTGTTGTTATATTGACTTTGTCGATATACTGTGCACTCTATCTTCTCAGCTGATACGATATTATCATGACTTAGCACTAGAACTGGCAATTACTCAAATATAACAGTACAACCTCTCACCACCACTATATATTAAACCTGTGATCCCGAGCCACCTCATAAAAGACGGCATATAAACATTATGTTCAGAAGTATATGGCAGATGTGGCGGTATTCCTTAAATAATTCTAGAAAATCCTCAACAAATTTGTACGTCAATTTTTCTTTTGAGAATAATTAACTTCGGATGTTTAGCTCAATTACTACCTAGTAAATAAGGGGAAGCCATGGATATATTATATTACATGACAGCCTCAGGTAGAGGGCAGTTATTATAGTGGTCTTTGAGCGTCTGGTATAGTAAACTGCTACTGCAGTAGGCAGGAGGGCAGTCAATTGAACATCTAATGCAATGGAAGAAACAATTTTGCCGTGTTCAATATAATTTGATAGATACCTTAATCATGCAGAGTCATAATGCAAGGAAGTCATAATGAAAACGGAACGTGACACTGTAAGATGCCCATCTACATGAATCTATACAGTTTTCAACAGAATAGAAGTTAAAAAACGAGATATACTTTATGTTGCAATAAATAAGGAGGAATTACCACTCGACCACCAAAGATATCATGACACTTTGGGCCTTCTAAGTAACCCTCCGTTCAGTACGTCACTTAATATCTAGAATAGCTCCTGGCAATACAACTTCTCTTGAGCATAATCACAGTCTCAATTCATTCAGGAACAACATAGAACTATTTCATATATCTATTCTACTACGTAGGCAGTAGTGATTAGATACTACTATCTTCAGTTTCCATGTAATCAATAAAATGACGTGTGAGTAAAAAAGATCACTTGTGGGAAGTGCTTTTACTGTATCTGACCCAATTAGCCCACACACTGTGATAATATCTATGAGTGTTCCGAGTAAGAACTAGTTGGTTTTCTTTACAGCATTTTGCACCTGCTAAGGTATAACTGTTTCTGTCAGTTCTTCCACAACTATGTGATCAAGCCTTAACCCTAACTTGTATAACAGCGCGAAATCCTAGCTCTGATATATTCACAATAACTTTCTATATTCAAAGCAACAAATGGATTACTTGTAAAACCAAAGCTCCTCACATGCTGCTTCATAATATCTCTATAGCCAAAAACTGAATATCCTTTGTTTGCGACAAGCGTTGGATCCCTGACCGTCATGACCTGACGCTACACACGGCCATCTATGCACCATATCTATTAGGCGAACAGAGCAATCCCTAGCAGTAAAGCACCTCCTCCCAACTGCATAATCTGGGGATAATCTTGCAGCAATATAGCCACCCAACCTAGCCATGGAACAGATCCCTTGACAACCCCGATGATCTCTTCACGACCAAGAAACTCCTTTCCAGCAGGGTAGAGCAGCGTGTCGTCCACGACGTTATTGTCACCCTTCGTCATAATACCTTGTCTAAGATTGATACCGCTTAGTTTCGACTCTCCCACTTAGTAGTAAAATTCATCGATACCAAATCCGCTAAATACGTGGTTCTTACCTCATGGTATCTAGAACCACCGTTCGAACAGCACGGTGGACCATTGGAAGCGGTAGGCCCTTGAACCAGCAAACTGGAATCTCGCCGACTTGGATCCAGGGTTGTCTATTCCATAGAAATAGAATGTCGCCGCGATTAAAGGTCGGGGACATTGACTCTGAGATGACCACGATTATGGGATGCGTGGAGCCGGTGATGATTGTCAACGCGTTCCAAAACATGATAGGAACCGCTAGAGCGAGTGAAGCCCTTAGACATAGGCCTATAATTCGCCGAGTAAGCATTTTTAAAGGGAATCGCAATTGAAAATCAGTAAAATGTATGAACACAGCCGTCTTCGTAAGGGGGGGAGGGCTGCATTTATAGTGCGCTTAAGGGCTTGGGGGCCACATATAAGCCCCAACTAATGAAGTTAATGGTAACTAGTAACGTTGTTATTGGCAGCCTTGTCCTCCAAACGTCAGGATCAATGCGACGTATAATCAAATTTATGGAGTTATATAATTCTTAATCAGAGTTCGTTCCGTGAACATTTCTATCTCAGCAGCTACGTCGCTTCAAGAGTCTGGATGAGAGCGAAAAAAAAAAAAAAAAAAAAAAAAAAAAAAAGAAATATTATATATATATATATATATATATACAACACCAATATCTGATAGCCTTGCGCTTCATGTCTGCATTTGTTGAGCAACACAGTACATCTTCCCATACTCCCACTTAGGAACACTCCGAAAGAGAAAATTAAACACCCACAACGCGCCCAGCAGCTGATACAGCTTGCGAGCTGTGCCCGTTTATTCTTGGGTATTGTGGACGACTTGTATCCACAACTTGGTCACCACCGTCTCCCCAACCGTAGCGACGGCGTTGAGCAAAAACCAGAAGACATCCTTCCAATAGACACACCCCATAGTTTGCTAGGCGACCAGCGCATGAGCTACACAAGCGATGCAAAATCTTGCTTTGGTATATGGCTGATGATCTGGCGTACGGTGCCTCCTTCAATAGTTCTATAAATGGCAGTAATGAAGGCGCCCGCCGGAGGAGTGGTCCTCTGAACGAGGCGAGCCAGGCCCGCAACGGAGACAATAGCAGCAGATGTCGACAAGTCTAAGAATAGTCGCCAGTCGTATACTCTGATCTCAAGATAAGTCAATAGCTAGAGAAGAGAGGAGGAATACCGAAACGACCGGAGGATCCAACGCCAGAGACTAACCTGTATAGTCGCCCCCGGCTTCCTTCTATGCCTTGTGTTATCCACTACGCAATCCTAAGCTGACACGATATGATGATATCTTGAATCAAGTGTCTTTTAGTCCGAGTGGAAGGGCCACATCGAGTGTACGCAGGCCAGTGCCAGATGTGTACTAACCAATAGTAAGTTTTTCGAAATACCCGGCTCATTTCTGTCATCTCGCTTCTTCACGTAGCATGAGGACCAATGGGACGATGGTCTCAAAGAACAACCGAGGGGTGCAGTAGCGTAAGGACGACGGTTGGCTACCACTGGATTCAGTGTAATAGTTCCGAGAAAAAGCTGTAAAGGACATCGGAGTTATGCAATATGCTGACTTCTTTCCTCTCAATCTCTTATATATATACCAAATTCCTATTTACCCCTACCTAGAACACCATAGTGCGTGTTCCTATTCCAGTGCAGGATCTTTGCAGGGATTTTAAGAACCCATATAGATTTAAACTTTCTGTCAAATCGATCAAATCTCTCGTACATATTGCAATAACGTCTAGAGATGGGGTCGGGCGAAATCCGGTTAGGGCTTTGTTCGGGCCGTGGGGCGTGGCGGAGCCCGACCCGCAGCCCTATAGTACATGCTAGCCCGAGTGTTTTCGCCAATCGCCCGACATCCCGATCCGACCCAACACGAATGGCCCGTGCTGAGTTGGCTGTGGACTCACGCTTATCTGTCCGTGGTAACTTCGTGCGCCTGACTCGCGGCTAGATGCCCGTTTGGGGGCCGAATGCACTAGCGGTAAAGAATACTTAACTGTTTCGAGCCCGGATAGGGCGCCGCGCGCGTTAATGCTTACAGTCTTTGTTTCAAACAAGTCTACTCCACTAGGGTTTATTTGGTGTATGACGTACATGGACTTGTAACAGTGTGAGAACAGGGTAGTACTCTGCAGAGAGGCCGGACATGAAGCACGGGCCGCGGCAGACTTTTGGCTGTTGCCATACATAGCCTAACGTTGTCCTTGATAACACCATCAAACGAAGTTGGTGATACCTGTTCAAGTGTGAATGGCAACTTCCAGGGCTACATATCCACACCGCGAGACATAACACACAACAATGGAAGAGTTAACCGACCTCAAACAACCCATTGCCATCCGCAACGAGTACATTGCATCCTACCCAACAACCATCTATGTCAAGCAACATAAGAAATCCAAAAACAGCGCCGACGAAGACATCACAGTGTGGAGGGGGCTAGACGGCAGCAACAGGAGCCCAGACGAGAGAAAACTATTCGCCATCGACAGGGACTCTGCACCGTTGACTCAATACCGGTATTTCCGCGGTGCCTCAGGCCTTCCGCTTTTCGAGCTCGCGCTGAAGAAATATGGCGTAACGTGGTTTGTACATCTGCCGGGTGGGAAGGAGACATCGGAGTCGATTGCTGCGATCGCTCCAAGATGGAACCCGCTTAAGAACATATTGGACGTCTACGTGAGGAATTCTGCGGGGGACGGGGAGGAAGTAAAGCTCAAAGTCCGCGGGCAGGATTTGTCAAGGTCGAAAACGCATGTCTACTTCAACGGGGCGTTGGTCATGACGGCCCTGAGAATGAATGGGCATATATCACTCACCGAGCTGGAATGGGAGGTCCAAGTTACGAGGGGGTTGGATGTTTCGCTGGTACGTTCCTCGTGTCTTCGAATTGAATGGACCGTAATTAGTCTAACGTTATTGCTGCACAGGCATCGGTGATTATGGTCGTCATGGCCTATATGTTGCACATAACGGCTGCGTCTTCGTACCGTGGAGCCGGTGATTGCCGTGCAGATGGTAAATAATTTGTAGTGGTCATTGTGGAAGCTCGCGTACCTTGGAGAGAATACTCCTCCACAAGTCGGACTGCTTAGATTGTCTCCCGAGTTAGATACCCTTATTTTGACCCTAATGAGGGACTATTATATCATGTGATTTTCAAGATTAATTGTTTTTAATTTCACTCAAAGAACTTCTGCATGGCAATCAGCTGAGAAGATACTGGAATTAGCGCAGGCCAGCGCTGAACTGATCGTAAAATCTGATCAGACATGGACGCAACTTGCCTTGACTTTAGGGAGAACCGATGGAACACGGTCGAAATATTGATGATATTGATGATGATGAAGAGGTTTCAAGATTGCAAGACAAGTCAAGATACAGATAGGGTGGGAATCTCTTCAAGTCAGCTGACACGGTGGCCTATTGCAATTCCACACAATCGATCGACTTGGACATACGATCGGACCAGTAGAGTTCGGGAGGGAGATCGGAATAAGTGGAGAGAAACCCACGTAGCGGATCACTTAAGGTGATCTCCTGGGTCATCCCTGGTTATAAGCCATATGTCCGCTGCAGTAGTACTCGCCTGGATTTGTTTAAATCAAGGCGTTGAGGGTATCAATAATGTAAGACCCAGACTTCAATTACCCCAATTCTACGGCGCTATAGTAATGTATCTCGTAAACAGACCATGGAGAGACTCGGAACCCTAGAGTATGTGTATGACTATCGCGTCAACAAAGTGAAATACATGACTGCGATGCTCACTTGGCCTCCGTGCTAGATAACTGACTGAACTGGGCAGATGCCTTCTATGATACAGCTGTACCTGGATCATATCTCTATCGTTAGTGGGAACCGTTTAAGGATACTTGCTGCATTGATACAGTAACAAAAAAGTGTAAAAGCCCGCCCCGGATGCTACCTTGACCATTAACTCGCAAAGACATTACAGAACCCCGAAAACGCCGTATCCCAGACACCCTTGACCCATGATCAACCCATCAAGTCCGGACCGCATTTCTCGACGTATCACCAATAGGATCGCCCATCAACCATTGTGCAAACGTCTTGAACCCAGCTTCATTCAAGAACGTAAAATCATAGCGGTTAGTGCGGCGCACCAACAGCTTCTGGCCATCAAAGTATGCTTCAATGATACGTGGATGCTGTTGATTCAGAGAAAAGAGTAGAACCTGACATCATGATCAGCTTTTTGTGTTGAGGATGCTCAGAAGGAGGTAGACTTACCGGTGCAACCATATCATCAACAAACTCCTTCAGCTTCAGTTGGCCCAACATGATGTGGATGACAGTAAATAGTTCCCCATAAAGTAGATGACTATCATCTACATCAATGTCATTGTGCATGATGCATTTAATGTGCGGCTTGGAGCCATCAGAGACGTGACGTATATCCAATGTGCCAAATTCAGGCTCGTAAACTCGGTATAGAATATCATCACCAAATATGTAATCGCCGATCCTGGAGACACGATGAGTAAAGGAATATTTGAATAAGGGGTAGTACAGGGGACTTACTGATAACGTGACCACGTGTGTGAGACCTCTGGGAAGTGAAACCTCAACTCGCTAACATAAGACTTTAGGTAAATGGAGATCAGTCGCCCATATTCGTTGGACAGAGTTACGTTGTGATTGTCGTATTGGTTGTCAACGTATTCCTCCGTTGGCTCTGGCATATCTTCGGGAGCAAAAGAAGTGAAAAATTTTGGTGCAAGCGAGTCATTGGCATCAAGGCTTAGGGGTAGGACTTGAACTCGGTACCGTTTCAGCATGCTTTGATCCAAGATAAGAGTCTCCTTTTCCAGGGCTTTGATGTCCCTTTCCATGATGGTGAGTGCCTTGCGGAGATTATACCGATCACGAGGCTCGACGGGATCCATGGCCATGATTTAGGTAGGACTGGCAAGTAGAAGAAAACAAATACTATGACAGAGAGCTGTCCACTTTGAAGGAAATGAAGAGAAGAACTGTATAGTCTTAAATGCTCGCGGTCAACCTGATGATGTACCATGAAGGGTGGTGGTCAAAGCTCTGGGGTTGATGATCTTCACTGACGGTGGATGGAAATCTCCCAGCGTTGCCCCGCAACGGGTTCAGACCCAATCAAAGTCGATCCCCGTTGCTGCTGCCACAGCCCTGCCTCACCACCTGCAGGTCCAGGCCTCAATGGCCTCATCTCCATTCTCTTTGTTTGGTATCTTCATTGGCCACGAAGCATCGTGAGCTGTCAGAAGTAAAGCGCCATGCACGAGTCTTCTCCTAAGTCACTTACTTGTGGTGATAACCAACTTCAAAATGTCATGTCTATTGGTCAAGGAGGCGCTCAGTCACAGCAGTCGGGCCAGGTCAATCACCAGACAACAAACCTGACTGAGTGATATGGAGGAACAGTAGTGTCGCAAAACTAACTAGTACTTATACAGCACGCTATGATGCTGAGTATGGCATACTTGAAGAGGAGTATTCATGCAAGAGCGGCCCAAGTCACCTAACCACCCGTTCGCATAAAAGGCCCCGTATTCTCTGGGACCATAATCGTAGGCAGTGTTGTCCTCCTTAGCCAACTTACTCTCCTTCACGATCTATTCTGTTCTCCGCAATTAACCACCCCATTTTTCAACATGATTGACCCATCCACGCCCGTCCCAGAGACACATAAGGAATGGCAGGAGCAAGTTGACATTTTGGGACTGGGCACCCAAACCATCCATGATATCCAGTTGAAGTCGGCTTCGCATGTCTCCAGGGAACAATTCCTATTACTCCGAGTGCTTTGGAAAGTCAATGCCATCTCTAGATTACCGTCTTTCCTTGACTTGAACCAGTGGCTGCCAAAAGCCAGCGAGAAGTTGGAAAGTCTTTCCTCATGGAAGAAATACTGCCAAAGTTTCACGGGCTCCATCCCCGAAGGGACATTTGCACCAGCCCGTCATTATCAGCTGGAAGTCTCTAGAACAACACAGGATTGTCTTACTGGCAGTGTTGTCTTCACTCCCAAAGTTCACATGACTCGTTCCAAGAAGCACGCCGCACAGCCTCCGATCCGCCAACCTGATTTTACCGCCGTGACTCCTCCCTCGAAGCCCTACCAGGGCTTCGAAACACCCCATGTTGATGACGAGGAGGATATCAGTTACCTAGTTTCTTCGTCGCTGCCTCCATCTCACCACAGTACTGTCAGCCCCGACGATGAATTTATGTACCCCCCAACGGAAGATGAGCAGATTGTGAATACAGCTCTCTTGGTCTTTCTTGATTCTATCACACTCCATTTCAACCTTTCTGTTAGATGGTCCGTGCATCGTATAAATTTGACGGCGGAATTCACCAACGCAGCGTTCCAAGCAAGAACAGACGGCTACCTTGTCGATCGCAGCGGGGATGTCAAGGCCATCATCGAAGTCAAGCCGGTACTCAGGCAGACAAAAGCACCGCAGATTCGCATACAAGAGAGCCACCAGATGGTAGCTGGCTTACTGAAAGACTATAAGTCATTGGTTCCCGCACATCAGAAGAAGCCGTAAGTGAACGATTCCCCTATCATTTATTCCTCAGTCCCGAAGTAGCACTGACTCGACAGATGACAGTCGTATTATCATATCACAAGATAGGCATGAGATCTGGATTTCCGTCGCTAAGTACGATGATGAATACATCAACTATCTCCGGACAGGGGATATGAGCAGCGATCCTTTCTTGGTAATGCATCAATTCGGTCCCTGGAGCATTAACAGCGCCTCTGCCATGTCCAAAATAGGTCCAATTCTTCTAGCGATCAGCCTTAGTGCCCAGCATTACTAAATGGATGACCGCGTTTTTGATACTTGTCCTTCTTCTTGCTTTTTGTATTTATTCCCCTGCTCTGCTAGTACTAGTATGTGGAAAAGAATTACCACTCGACTGCAAAAGATGTCATGACACTTTTGCACTTGCAAATAACTTTGTACTATGGCATAGCATTTGTAGTTATATGATTTACAATATCACTTTAGTTCCTTATTTGACTTTGAGACCTCCTGGGAAGTATGTTTTTCAGTTTCTTTATCCCTGGCAAGACCCATCCCAAGCACATACATAACCAAGAACATACTAGCCGGACTTCAAAGGAGTCAACTAGTAGTTAAAGGATCTATAACATCTAAGCCTAATTTTTCTCTAACTTCCGCTGATAATACATGTATAGGGATCACCTTGCTGCGCTACTGTACCTTATGTTCGAATTTTTGTTCACTTACACTCCCCACTGTGTGAAAAGCCAAACTGAGTATAGAGCCCATCCTCGGGTTAATGTAAGACACTACGTTAACTTGCATTTCTGGGGAAGATCACTTTTATTAAGCTTTTTGGTAGCATAAGAGCACTGTGATTTGGCTCACCATAATGGTATGTTGCAGTATACAGTGATGATACAGTCCCGCTCAATCACTCAGTCATATGATCGCAGATCATAGATTCATTTATCTCGATTGACCTCTTCTTGCGTACCAGACATGATTATAGATATAGGTGGACTTGCGCCGCCTTAGAAGTGAATCAAGGCTAGTGAATCTGATCCAGGACAGCCAGTTGCTTCACCATTAGTTTGCATGAGTGATGAACAAACTGGGTGTTTCTTGTAGGTACTAGGCGACAACACTTGACCGGCTCTTAATAACAGCAACCATATATCAACATAGTTACCTTGCAACAAGAGTCAAAAGCGTGACTTGATGAGAAAGAACGGACTAAATGGGAGGTATGGTAAGTACACTATTAGTGACAGAATCCATCACTGTATTCTCACACTTAGCCTTCGATAGACAAAAGATGCATCTCCACATGGATCTAGGCCACGTCATGTTAAACATGATGTACTAGTAGTACATCGTTGTACTCTCCACCTTCCACGACAGCTTCAACGTCGTTAGACTTGGTCTGACATTGCTGTCGATGGTACCGCACACGACCATGAGAGATTGAGATTGCCGTGCGTTCCCGACTGAGTCTTTCTGTGAGACTGATACGCGTCGTCAATGCCCTGCTTTTGGGTGTAACTCTCTTCCACAAAAACATCATCCCACTAACCTACGTCAACCGGCTAATTGGACGGAATGGGATTTGCAGTAGAACAGAGCCATGGTGGGACGAGACATCCGTCCTTGGAAAATGCATGACCGACAGCGCAGAGATAGGAAGAAAGCTTGCAAGAAGCGACGGTCAATGTCCTCTTTGTGAGCTCAGCGCCCCAGCAGACGTAGCTGTTCAAAATTGAATCAAGGCTCTCATATATGGTAATTGTGAGTCATGGATATCATTCTTGAATTGAGGAACATAATTCTCATCTTGACTGCAGTGGATTTAGGGTCATCTAGGCTGATGGGGTGTGGTAAGTGTATAGCCCGCGGATTTGATGGACTGGTATCATACAGTGAGCAGAAGGCGTGAATCACAACAGACTGAGAGAGGGAGAAAGGGGCCTTTACATTATAGTCGAATATAGTCATCGCCGCCTGGGATCCTGCAGAGTACATAAACGCCAAGAGCAGTAGTAAAGAAAAAAAAAAGAAACTATTCCTATACCGGTCAACGCGTTTCCATCCTCTCGCCAGTTGCCAGTTGCGACTGGCCACTCTATTCCCTCGCTCTTTCGTAACTCCATGTTAAAACCCCCCACACAAAAATCCATAACATTCCAGAATCTTGAGAGATGCTGCCAAGACCACTGCTCCACGTCAATATCTCCGACGCCAGACAACTCCGCGCCCTCCGCGCAATCCAACGGTTGGCACCGACGATTGTCTCCACTCAGGATCATGGAACCGAAGGAAGGGAAAAATAGAAGGAAGGAAAAGAACGGCAGTAAGAATAGCGGACTGCCTAGTGTTCCCCGGTACGGTTTATGTCCGGCTATGGCCCCATGAACGGCCCCAATAGCTCTCCGACTGGTTCACAGATGCATCTCCCGGGCTGCTGGAAATACTGCCTAAAGTGGTAAGTACTTCGGCTAGCCTGGAGCCCTGTATCCAGTAACTCATGAGGTACCTGGATGTACGGATAGACTTCAGGGTGATCATGAGTCTACCAATAATGTGAGATCACATACAACAGGGCTAACAATCAATAATTGTCGGAGATTTCAATCCAACCAGCTCGCGGATTCACTATTCAACCGGTTACTTTCTGTCCCTTTTCGATTACCTCAAATATTGTTTGATATCATCACTGACTAGGCATAGAAGAACCATGCCTTTCCCTAAGCACTAGTAGGCATTGTTATATACATCTACAACTGTCTATATTATCCTTTCAGGAAGCGACATCCGACAATGCCTCACTTCTAGATCATTCTACCCATGGAATTTCATGAGGTGATCAAGTTCAGACACTAAGGTCGGACAACTACTCCACACTCTCGAATACTACGTTATCGAGGATCTTACCGGGTTCGGGATAGTTGGTTGGCGACCTCGACCATAATAGGGCATCTATTGTTTCTAGCGCCAAGTTGTGTTGCATTGTCCCTCCACCCCCGTCTATCCCCTCATCTACTTTCATACCTATCTTCTTACACGTCTAGTATACACACATCATACCATCGTACCTCATATGTCAAAACCACTCAATATCCTCCCCCAAACTCGATCATCCGATTCGAGGATTACTCCGTCTGCGCCTCCGTCTCACTTTCATCGTGATATCAAAGATCGAGCCAAGTCAACCAACCCCAAATGGGTAGACCGCGATATATTGGCGGTCTTGGGAGTGGGAAACGGGCTGGCTGCAAGTCCGACAAATGACCGAGATGACATGCACGGCAGTCTCTCGACAACGTCCGTGGCGTCAGCGTCCGTCCTAGTTTCAATGCTAATATCCCACGGGGTGCCGTGCGTCCCTGCTAGTCCACTAGGGCCTCAGCGGAGGAACCCGTACCCATGTCGTGAGACACCGTCCGATCTGACCAATGCCCCAGCCTCAGCACAATCTCCGATTATTGCATCTATTTCCCCCGCTGCCGAGCTCCGTCGTGCTGCATGCGCCCCCCTTCTGGAATGTAGCCGACGTCTCATTTTTAATTTATCTTGAACTCAATTAAACTTGTGGTCTGTGCCAAGTCTCTTCCCCGACCGACATCTGGCATAAATACTCCATGGTTTTCCCGGTCGCCAATTCTCAGTCTGGTTGACATCCACACCCATTCACTACACCGTGAACCTCAAATTACGCGGTACAATGAGAGCATCAATGCTCTTGCTGGCCCCCCTGGCTGCGGGGGCCGCCGTGCTTGGTTCCCGCTCGGAGGAACAGAGCGATTGCCCGGGATACTATCTCTCCAATATCCACGAGAAGCACAACTCTCTGACGGCCGATCTGACTCTCGCTGGCAAACCCTGCGACACCTACGGCAAGGATTTGAAGGATCTGAAGCTTCTGGTGGAATATCAGTCTGGTAAAAAAACCCCGCATTTTGATTCACCCGTCGCTTTCTATTGTACTCATGGGCGACTTTAGATGAACGTCTCCATGTCATGATCTATGACGCCGATGAGCAAGTTTACCAGGTCCCGGAGTCGGTTGTCCCTCGCATCGAGGGAGTCGATAGCACCCGCCATGACTCGGAGTTGAAGTTCCACTATGAGGAAAATCCCTTCTCGTTCACCGTCACTAGAGGGCAAGAAATCCTCTTCGATACGAGCGACTCGACCCTTATCTTCCAGTCGCAGTATCTGAACCTGCGTACATCGCTCCCCAAGAACCCTAACCTGTATGGACTGGGCGAGCATATTGGCCCTCTGCGTCTGCCGACCACCAATTACACTCAGACTTTCTGGAACCGCGATGCTTACGGTACTCCCGAGGGCACCAACCTGTACGGTACTCATCCGGTGTACTATGACCATCGCGGCGAGGCCGGTACCCATGGTGTCTTCTTGTTGAACTCCAACGGGATGGACGTCAAGATCGACAAGACCGAGGACGGCAAGCAGTATCTCGAGTACAACTCCCTGGGCGGTGTTTTCGATTTCTACTTCTTCACCGGAGACACTCCCAAGGAGGCCAGCATTCAGTACGCCGAGATCGTGGGCCTTCCCGCCATGCAGAGCTACTGGGCCTTCGGTGTAAGTTCAATTTCTTTTACCTTCCTTCCACCTGCTCGATGCTAACTGCCATTCAAGTACCACAACTGCCGTTACGGATACCGGGATATCTTCGAGGTCGCAGAAGTCGTGTACAACTACAGCAAGGCTGAGATCCCGCTGGAGACCATGTGGACGGACATTGACTACATGAGCGGAAGACGGGTGTTCACGCTCGATGAAGACCGGTACGACCTCGAAAACGTGCGTTCGGTCGTGGATTACCTCCACGACCACGACCAGAAATACATTGTCATGGTCGATCCGGCGGTGAGCGTCAGCGGTACGTTGAGACAAGTATCATCTTATGCCGGGCAACACTGACGATCGACAGACAACGTTGGGTACAAGAAGGGTGTCGAGCAGGATATTTTCCTCAAGAACTCAACGGGCGACCTTTTCATGGGTAGGAGCCTACAAGCTACCCCTACCACTTATTGATACTAATGCATTGTAGGCGTCGTGTGGCCCGGTGTGACTGTCTTCCCCGACTGGTTCAAGGAGGGCACTCAAGAATACTGGAACGAGCAGTTTGCCGACTTTTTCGACGCCGAGAAGGGCGTGGATATTGACGGCTTGTGGATCGATATGAACGAAGCCTCCAACTTCTGCCCGTTCCCCTGCGCGGATCCCTTCGCCTATGCTGAGGAGGCAGACATGCCCCCGACACCGCCCCCGGTGCGACCGAGCAACCCCCGCCCACTGCCCGGCTTCCCGGAAGACTTCCAGCCGTCCTCCAAGGTCCGACGGGATAGCACCAAAGGCAATAAGCTTGGTCTTCCCGGCCGTGACCTGCTGAACCCGGCGTACAAGATTCAGAACGTCGCCGGAGTTCTTAGCAACTTGACTATCCACTCGGATATCATCCACGAGGACGAAGAGTATGCCGAGTACGACACGCACAACCTCTACGGAACGAGTAAGTTGAAAGCAACCCCAGACTTGGCAATCACTGACCATTTCCAGTGATGAGCAGCGCATCCCGCGAAGCCATGGAATCCCGCCGTCCGGGCCGGCGACCCCTGATCATCACGCGCAGCACGTATGCTGGCGCGGGCAAGCACGTCGGACACTGGTGAGTAGCCACTACTCCCCCATTAGTCAACATGTTACTGACGCATAAACAGGCTGGGTGACAACCTCAGCGAATGGAACCAATACCGCCGCTCGATCGCCCAGATCACGGCATTCGCCTCGATGTTCCAAGTCCCCATGGTGGGCGCAGACGTGTGCGGCTTCGGCGCCAACACCACCGAAGAGCTCTGCTCGCGGTGGGCTGCCCTGGGCGCCTTCTACACCTTCTACCGCAACCACAACGGCCTCGACAGCATCGCGCAGGAATTCTACCGCTGGCCCAAGGTCGCCGACTCGGCGCGCAAGGCGATCGACATCCGCTACCGCCTCATGGACTACATCTACACGTCGTTCTACCGCCAGTCGCAGACGGGCGAGCCCTTCCTGCAGCCTCTGTTCTATCTCTACCCCGAAGACAAGAACACCTTCTCCAATGACCTGCAGTTTTTCTACGGCGATGCCCTGCTTGTTAGCCCCGTTCCCGACGAGGGCGCTACCTCCGTCGAGGCGTACTTCCCCAAGGATATCTTCTACGATTGGTACACGGGCGCGCCCATCCTCGGCCAGGGCGCCAACATCACGCTTGAAGACATCGACGTCACGCACATCCCGTTGCACATCCGCGGCGGCAGCATCATCCCCGTGCGCTCGTCCAGCGCGATGACCACCACCGAGCTGCGCAAGCAGAACTTCGAGCTGATCATCGCGCCCGGCCTGGACGGCAAGGCCTCGGGTAGCCTTTATCTCGACGATGGCGACTCCCTGGAGCAGGAAGCTACGCTCGAGGTGGAGTTCACTTACGAGAAGGGCAAGCTCCGCGTTAAGGGCAAGTTCGAGGGTGGCATCAAGGCCGTTGTGGATGACATCAAGATCTTTGGGGCTCACAAGCACACTGGTGTGAAGACTGCTAGTGTTAAGCACCGCGTGGAACTTACCAAGAACACTGAGGTGAAGTTGCTGTGAGTGTTGACGTGGTGAAGTGTTGAAGTTGCTGAAGTTGTTCTATTCGGTACCTTGTGTTATAGGGTGATATATCACCATAGAAATTAATCTATCTTTTTTGTGAGAAGACCGACGACGAGTATGACTAGAGCGTAATAGAGGGGTTGAGATCAACAAAGAACCTACTGTAGTCCGAGCGAAGGGATGAACCAGGGGAGCTGAGCTACTGATACGATGACATTTACTCACTCACCTTGACCTGGCTTGTTTACACAACCCTAAAAGAATCATACTGCATAAGACCCCAATGATCGACAAGTGCAAGTCAACAGATCAGTCATTCGGAGCTTTCCATGCGCACATACATGCACCCCAAGATTGATCCATTCTGCAGGTTTACAGTGAAGATGCCAGACATGCCCTCGAGGCCCAAAGCAAGGGATATCCCCCAACTCAACCAACCACACCGTCTGAAATACGACAACATAGGTACGTACCTAGACTGCCTAGCCACCCCCTAGACAGACCTCCTTTACATCTGGGACGCAGGAACAGAGATAAAATCCTTCCATCTGAGCTCTCCCCCAAACCCAACTCGATCTATCTTCAAACCAACCACTACCCTCACCACACGTTCTCTTCCAAAACCAAACAACAACACCAACAAACAAGATGCATCTCTCCTCCCTCCTCGCAGCATCCCTCCTCTCAGCAACAGCACTCGCCCGCAACCCCTTCGTAGACTACTTCTGCGACCTCGCCGCAGACAACACCAAATTCATCCAGCAGCCATACTGCTGCTCCGATCTGGTGCCGGCGCGACACAACGACAAGGGAATGATGGGTGATAAATGTATGGCTGTCCTCACCTTATTATCTATTCTATCGTGTTTGAGACCGATGGACAGGACGATGCTAACGTGTGTTTTTTCTTTTCCGGATATAGGCGAGCAACTCAGTGATGAGCATGTTATTGTTAAGTGTAAGGATGGGACGAAGCCTGTGTGCTGTTATACTGTTGTATGTTCCCCCCCCCCCCCCCCCCAAACCTCCTCCTTCCTTTTCTCCTGGTGCTATTCTTGGGTGTGTTTGGGTTGGGCTAATAGATTTTCTGTTCGATGCAGGGCCCGAAGTTCATTTGCACTACTGTCGCCAAGCTGGAGACGGCGGCTGATGAATGAAATCTCTCTGTGCTTGGAATGACACGATGCTTTTTTACTGATCATGCAACTCCCGGCTGGAAGAAGCGGCGGGTGGTGAGTGGTTGATGTATTATGGCTTGTCTGCTGTTATGTGATATGGATAAATATATATATATATATATATATTGCTTTGAGATTTGTGTGTCGCTTTTATAAGTTCTGTATAATGCGGTAAGCTTTGGATTTATTGTGTAGTGCTGATAGAATGTACGTCCCTACAAACGCAGTGTCGTCGAGAAAAGGCTCGCATGGCAAAGATGCACAGGTTCAGTATAGCGAGTTACTGTCACCGTAATGGGCCAAGTCTTCTGTTGGGAATATCAGTCATATCTAGCCTGTAGTATAGTTGGCTTGAGAGATATTTCACTAGGAACTCTACAATCAGTTCGCTTTCCAAGCCTGGCTCGATGGTACACGGATAGGCAGCTGGACTAGAGAATGTTATTGATTTGTAGTGATGTATCGAAGCAAGGCTTATCTATAGTAGGCTGGCATGCTCCTTGCTGGACCTATGTTTGTACAATTCAGGCCATCGACCTCCGTATAGCAATATCAATATATACTATAAGCCGGAGCATGAGTCTCCCAAAGGAAAGAAGTAAAGTCTAGAGAAAAAAATCGTGTGAGCTCATGTGGAAAAGCATTTCCCACACACGGCTCGATAAACTTTACCACAACCTTGGACCCACATCTAGCATCTTTCACCTCAGGTCCACCTTGCCTCCACCGACGACTGACTCCGTTTGTTCCATTTCGGGTCAATTCTATAACCCCAGTAAGCCAGCTCCATCGGTGATATCCAAGGTCTTCCTCCACCCTTGAGGGTTCGCGCCCATGGGTTGGGCATTGGACAGGTCACGATGGACTACCCATCCCTTCTACGCTCTAGTCATCTTGACCATTGCGTGTGGCAGTATCCCAAAGGGTTAGCTTCCATTGACATCGGATATTCTCCCCACTTTTCTAACTGTCACCGTTTATTGATACAGGCTACGACGAAGGTGGTTTCAGCGCCAGCGTCAAACTAGACTCCTTCGTAGCCGACTACAACCTTGGCCCATCGCATTGGAAGGATGACCCGACTGGCTTGGCAGACCGCAAGGCCAATATCACCTCGTTCAATGTGCTGGGTGCTGCCTTCGGTGCCCTGTTCACTTTGCAATTGAATGACCGTATTGGTCGGTTGTACTCGTGGCGTGTCGCTGTCGTGGTGTGGGCTACGGGTTTATTGGTCCAAGTTTTCTCGTCTGGGATGTATGGGATGTTGCTGGTTGCGAGGATATGGAGTGGCTTGGGGACTGGTGCTTTGACTGTTATTGCGCCGCTGTATTTGTCTGAGATAGGTGAGTTGTTTGATAGGGTCCCAGAGTCCTTCTAACGGATTTGATAGCACCGGCACGGACTAGGGGATTGGTTGTCAGTGTATACATGGTGATATTGCTGGCAGTCCTTGCCATGGGTATGTCCATCCCCCCACCCGCTCTATCAATACCAATTCTAACTATCAAAAGGCTTCTTCATCAACTACGCCGCCAGGCTACACATGCCTTCTACACGCACCCAATACCGCCTCGTCCAATCCATCCCCTTAATCCCAGTCGGCCTAGCCTTCCTCGCCTCATTTCACATCCCCGAAACCCCCCGATACCTCCTCTCCAAGCAACTCCACGACGAAGCACGCATAGCCCTCGCCCTGCTCCGCGGCAAACCCACCACCGACCCAGAAGTGGAATTCGAATTCACCTCCATCAACCACCACCTGCGCGCCCAATCCACCCCAGTCTCCCACTGGGCCGCCCTCAAAGAAACCCAATCCAACCCCAACTACCGCCAGCGCTTCTGGCTCCTAATGACCATGCAGACCATCGCCCAATGGACAGGCGGAAACGGCATCACATACTACATGGCCACTATCTTCGAATATGCAGGCGTAGTCGGAACAGAGCAGGCCCTCATATCCTCCGGCGTCTACGGCATCGTCAAGCTGGTCTTCACGATGGCGTTCACATGGGGTCTAATAGACTACATCGGGCGTCGACGCTGCGCCCTCACAGGCCTTACCCTCCAGCTCGCAGCACACATCTACATGGCCGCCTACATGGGCCTCACCCCCTCATCAACAACAACCCCCACCCTCACCCCAAAAACAAATCAGCCTCCACAGCAGCAATACTCTCCATATTCGTCTACGCAATCGGATGGTCCATCGGGCTGTGCACAATCCCCTACCTCTACGGAACAGAGATCTTCCCAACACGCATCCGCAACATCAGCTACGGGCTCAGCATGTCGCTGCACTGGTTTTTCCAGTTCGCGGTTGTGCGCGTCACGCCGAGTATGTTTGTTGAGTTGCGTGTGTGGGGCGCATATGTTTTTTGGGCCTGTGTTTGCTTTGTGGGGTTGCTTGTGCTGGGGGTGTGGATGCCGGAGACGAGGGGCGTGCCGGTTGAGAGGATGAGGGAGGTGTTTGAGGGAGTGTGGTATATGCGGTGGGCTGGGGGGTTAAAGCACTGTGATCGGGGGGACGGGGAGGGGGTTGGGGATGGTGAGGTTCGTTCTGAGAGGGAGGTGATGGCGAAGTAGATATAAATATAAGTCCCAGGATGGGGTTTAGGCGTCGATGGTCAAGTCTGATTGTCTGGTTGTGACTGACGAATTAGTAAAAGTAGTCTGGGTGTAAGATTAGTTTTCCCTGCGAAGAAGCAAGCCGTGATACTCAAGTTAGACAGTGTGGGTCCAAACTGAGGAAGGAACGAAGTTCAACTCCGAAGTCCTGTACTTTCTGAGGTTGCAAAAGCTCACTAAGCTCTCCAGAAAGACCCTTAACAATAGTGTTTATAATGTCAGCGCGTAGCCTGGTTTCCCCCAGTTTGAAGGCAGTAACAAGAAACGAGTGTAGCATAGCCTTCTGGGCCGGCAAAAGGTCTCTTAAATTATGAAGTGTGCCTCCAACAGTCCTGCGCCCTGTTGGTGAGGGTAGACATGTAAGAGTGAATATGTCCTCAGACAACTGGTGTGCGATGCTGGATTGTGCCAGCAGTGCACGAGGATATGTAAACCCAAGGTGCGAGAGGACTAATTCCATGCAAACATCAACTAAGGGGTTTTGATTGCTAGGTGTCATATTCTTCGGAATGATATGCATGCTGTGACGAAACCAGCTAGTGGAACCAGCCATGTGGTCATTCAGAGAGCATACTGAATCGCAAACAGTCAAGGGTGTGTCAAAAAATCTCGTGCACAGGTCCGTGAGGCACGTCTCAACCTCTTGAAATTCTGTAAAGGCACAGCTCATATGAATGTCAGCATGGAGTTTACCCCAGAAGATAGCGTGACATGTCTCAACTTCTTCCAATCCGGTGTTAGCTGCAAGTTCCTTCAATCGATATTCGGTATCATCCAGGCCCACTCTGAGGTTGTTATAGGAAATTTTCTGTTTCTCAAGGTCACATCTAATTTTTATGAACTTATTCTCAGCACTCTCAGCTCTCTCGAATAATGCCTTCTCCCTGTCTTTTATGATTTTATTTTCCTCATCAGTTGGATTCTGAATTTCGAGCTTTGATTGATCATTCTCAGCTCCCCAAATACGGCAGAATTTGTGAAATTTCTTATCAAGCGCGTCGTTCTTAATGTTTTCCTCGTCCAATTGCTCCTTTTGCGTAGCGGCAGTTGTGTTTGCACTGTCTAACTGCTGCAGCAGTGTTTTTATTTGGCCCTCCAACTCGTCAACTGCCGTTATTTTCCTGCTAGTCTGCAATTCCTCTATCGTCGTACCTAAGTTGTCCAGCAGTGCTTGGAAGCTTTTCTCTCTTTTGTTTGTTGCCATGTTGATTCTGTATAAAACTCCGTGCTTCAGATTTAAGTGCCCCTTGTCAGCGGACTTGAGATACATTGTTAAGTTAAGACTGATACAAAACAATGTAACAAGTAATCAACCCCGGATTCCGACATTTTGTCCACGTTGGTTTACACTCGACCGGCTTTGTGGTTTGAGTCAAAGTGAACTTGACGACTCGCGACCCTGATCAGGGCTAATTGCGAAGTCAAATAAAAATGCTCACGCCCTTTCACTGACCTTGGAATCATCAGATTGCCCCGCTTTGTGTTGTCTTCCCAGGATCTCGGCTTGAAGTTCAGGATACCATCGCAACCCTGTATCTGCGTGGCTGGCTATATAGTTTGTCAAAAGAGCCTCGCCAATTGTGCCCTTGTAAATCTCTGCCAGGAACGCATTTACATCTGAATTGCCTTTGTCTCCCCGTAAGGATAAGATATGATCTGGCAATTCGATTTGCATATCCTCTCTGGTAACATCTAGACCCAAACTTTGGAAGAACGGGAAACTTAGACGTAGACCAGCAGAAGTATCCGATTCTTCACGACAATAATGCCTTGGTTGCAGAATGACACGGTGGGTGGTAGCAACACAAACTCCCTGAGTCAGGTTTTCGAGTGATCGACCAATATTCACGACCAGCGTGTTTGCAATAGGTGGAGCAGTGATCCACTCCCCAGCTTTGTTCTGAACCTCCAGACAGGAGTGGTCTGTGCCTTGTAAAAGGTAGGTTAAAAAGCTACCATCTTTGTGAGCGCCGACACCTTGAACCCCCCCTTCTGTATTTCCGAAGACCTTGGGGCAAGGATAAGCAGCGACCCGAAAGTTGATATAACGGGTTTTTTCCAATAATCTGGTGAATACGGTGGGATTTATCTCCAGCGCCTCTGCAATCAGAATCACAAAGGTATCTGCTAATGATTGGATCTGATGCATATATGTGTCGACTGCTTGTTGGAAGCTTGGAACAGTGGATTCCGGAGGCCACTATGATACAGAGTTAAAACAATGGTCATGTATATCGAAAGACAGGACAATATACCTGGTTTGGTCCAATTAGATTATGGTAATTTGGCGCATCCGGACCTGGTGCTAGGGAATCGAAGGAAACCTTCATAGCCATTTATCTTTTAATGATTGTATTCATATTTGTACTAATCTCATATCGTACGTACTGTAAATGTCTCCCGTGCATCGCTCTTCATCCCTGTTTCTTCACTTGCCAAGGAAGCGTACCCTCGAAAGTGTTTACTCTTGGATATAGCCACCTCCTGTTTCTTGGCCGTTGGTAGATTGAAGAATAAAGCAGATTTTTGGACGAGGGCCTCCCGAGCTTCGACTTCTATCGGGGGATTTCGAAGGTAAAAGAATCCAACGCTAACAAGAGCATGTCTCAGGGCACTTAGAAACCTAGGTTTCGATGTAGGAGATACCGCATCGTCATACTCTAGTATAGGGATCGAACTGAAAATTTCTGCCATGGTCAGGCTCGTGGACGAAAAGGGCTGTGCACCACAAAGCCTATAATAGTACGGAGTAGTGAGGCTGCAATATATAACCCAAACTGCTATTGACGTGGGATGCTCCTACACTTATACACTTATGAGCGCTTAGCCAATATTCCCTCGGCTAGAATTGCAGCAAGACCCATATTTTACCGGCATAGAAGTGTGCCCCTTATCCGGAACTGAACGCGACGATCATGGATGACGTGTCTGACTGATAGGGTGTTATACTGACGCTGACCGACTTCTTGTTACATTCGTTCCTGTAATGTTTGGAATGTGAGCCTACGCTGTCCTACTCTGGTAAGAATGACCAGAAACGCAAGGGCTTACAGAGGTTGCCAGCTTCTCTATACGGAATGGCAAATGCATGCTTCTACGTTGGTGATGCCACATCAATGCAATCACACCGATCCATAGACCGATTTGCGACCTATCATCTACGACCGCAGTGAACACGGTAGGGGCATTTGCCTGGATGCTTTTGAGCAAGGGGTGGGGGGATTTAGCTAATCCACTAGTGGAATCCTAGGTCTAGGTCTCGATGAAGAAGTGGTTTCTTCACCTTTCCACCTAGGGGATCATAAGGCGCTGGGACTGCTAAATAGGGTAAGGTTAGGTTTTCTTTATATGCAGAATGCTGCTGTTCTAAGGGCTTAGAGAATCTACCACTTCAGTTGGGACCGTAGCGGGACCTGATCCCAACCCCTAGCCATATGTATTCGATGAGACCATCAGCGCCCTGTGTTCTCCTGCGAAGCTCCAGCTAGCCACAGAAACTAGGTTTTCGATTAAAATGTTCTAGGTTCCTCCACATATTGGAAGTAAGGGTGTCGGCGCATAGGAATCCTTTACTCATAGTCCAAGTCAGCGTATGACGTGTCAAAATATGCCCACCCAACAGTCTCCTGCTATCGTGGAACATCGATCACTTAATGTCGGTAATCTGGAAGGAATCAAATCTACAAATCATACTGTGAGAGATGCCGTCAAAAAGTAACAACTTGACGAGACTTCGAGTCTCTTGGACTCTTTTATCGTACTTCTAAAATGGTCTTCTTACACATTATAAGCATTCGCATTAGGAGACCATCCTCACCAAACCTTTGGCCTATATCACACTTCTGCCAACATTACCCATACTGACAGATTGCTTCCTTTGCTGTGGTTAGGAAAATAAGCGGATCTGGGAAACAGTAAAGTCATAAGATCTGCCCTAAATAATAATATATTGACGTACGGAGCAAAGTATGAATTATGCATAACGGTGGATCCTGACTTCGTATCCCGGTGAAAGTCGCGCATCAACTCTTGAACGCAGTCACAATGCTGGTAATGCTGAAAAGAGATGCGTGTTCTCAGTCCTCAAACCTTTTACAGAAAATCATTCTCATACAAGATCAGATGGAAACGGCTATCGATTCCGACCTCTGACGTCCTTGAGCTTTCATTCAAGGCTTGTAGTAGCTCACTAGTCTTCGCTTTAAGCAAGCTGGTTTAGTAGGCATCTGCCCCTTCCCTCCTCCTCCTTCAATGTCGATCACGGGGTATGCCTTCCGACTATGTGCAGGCGGTGGTGTATGTTTTCACGCTACACATACCACGATGGATAAGAACGAAGTGGCTTGCGCAGTTCTTATGCATTTAGGTCAATCGAGGGCAATATGCTTTGACCGGCGACAAGGGCGGAATACGTCTTCAAGCGCATGTCGACCGTGAAACATACTGACTACTTACTCACGAACCAGGAGTGAGTCCACAGGCGGCACCCAAGCCAAGAAGCTCAAAGCTCGGCAATGGCGGGCATCTTAAACAATGTCCTAAAGGATACCCTACGGTTGCATCCGGAGACTGTTCGTGGGTTGCCCTTATCCCGGATGGACTTATTATACCCAGGGAACCCTAATCATGATCTCCAGTTCCCCCAAGCTCGATGCGTCCATCTGGCCTGGTCGGGATGAATTCGACGGTTATCGATTCTTCCATCAACGCCAGAAGGCGGGTTCCTTCCTTCACAAGCCAGGCATCGTATAACTTTACATTACCCTCCCGGGACTATTTCAGTTTGGACTACGGATGTTAAGCGCGTTCTGGGAGATTCTTTGCGTCATATATGCAGAAGGTACTTGTCTGCCATCTAGTCATAAGTTATGGAATTTTGGTCACATTTCGGAGGAGCGCGCATGGCTTCTTTTTGAAGACCCGTGTCCAACGAAAGCAGGAGGAAATTATAAAAAGTCTAAATGTTCCCGGTCTATGTAGGGCTGAAAGGGCCCCTCTTCGCCAGAATCTCACGACTGATCTATCTCGGCATAGATTCGTAAATATATCATGCATCAACTTGATAGTGGCATTTATCTGTCGCTATATACTATCATCCTAACCCACTCTACCACGAAATATTATCCTTCCCTCATGTAACGGGTCTAGATATTTCTTGACTCTGATAGCGCTAATTGTGGCTGGCCACGCCCCGGCAGATCCATTGAATAAAAAAATAAAAAATAAGAATGAAAATAAAAATAAAAAGAGGCCGCAGCCACCTACATTCCGAGTACTCAGCAAGCAGGTCGTGGACACTACATTGAACTAATTGAGGCTAATTTAGTCACAGATTGAAGGCCTAGTTGGCGACCGTATCAATTGTTTCGCTGTTTATTGAGGTGCCTAGATTGAAAGAATCACCATGATCGCCGAACAAAACTAAGGTGCACAATAAAATAGTTGAATAATCTCAGTCAAGGTTAAATAGCCGCTTAGCCTCTTCCTGGAATGCTGCCGAAGCGACAAACTGAAGCTTGGGTCCGATGCTAATACGGGAAACACCGAGGGACGCAACTTCCTTGGTTGTGAATCGTCCAAAAAGGGACACATTCAAACGGCCCGCGAAAGCCTCTACTAGCTCCGTGATCTGTTCCTTTGTAAGGGCTCCAGGATGCGGCCCCTCCAGAGGACCAAGGACGAAGATACTTGTCGCACCAGCAGCAAGGTATACCCGGCCGCGCGAGATGACCTCCTCAATTGTGCCGCCATATAGAAGCGGATCGACCCTTGCATTGACCACGAAATCAGGAACGCCTAGGGCGCTCGCGGTAGATAGCACCAGCTTGATTCTATTGGCGGCATCGGTTGCGCTATAAAATCGCTTGTTCTCTATGTCATAGTCTTCGAGATTGACACCGACGGCACCAGCACTAATGACTTGTTTGATTACGCCTCCAAGCTGTTCACCGTATCCGTCTTGGATGTCGACGGTCAACGGCTTTCCGAGCTCCTTGGTTGCCAATGCAATTGCTTCAACACCTCTCATATTTTGTTCACGTGTCAGCTCCTTGTCAACCGTGCCGGCGGCTTCGGCAATCGCATAACTGGCTGTTGCGATAACTTTTGTGGCGGGCAGGGATCCGACGGCTTTTGCTGAGATACCGTCGTATACATTGGCCAAGATGACTGGTTGATGTGGCTTATGTAGACTTTTGAATGACTTTGCTAGGATGTTCAAATCAGAAGACATGATGGACTTGGTCACGTGGATTGTTATTGCAGGAGGGGAAGAAGGTAAACTTGTTGACACTGATATGAAGTATTTAGTGGGTGAATAGTCGACATATTTATGTTCTCCTGATCACTTCTACCTAAAGTAAGGCTTGGGTGTTAACCAGACACCACTGTGCGTGAGTGGATATCGCGGATGGTTCAAGAATCGAATTTTGATATTATGCCAAGCCTGCCGGATGAGCCAACCTGCCCTGCTTTTTCTGGCAATGTGCTGGCTGTGCGCCTAGCCTGCATTGGTCTGCACAATCTATAGGGCGAGGAGGAATAGGTTTCACGCGAGTGCATCAATCGACGTACAACTCCCAGTTTGGCATCCACACAGTCTGGCATCCATTATCCCGCTCCTCAAATAACCCCTAGTCTCTTGTGAATGGGATGAGCCAGAATTTTTACTTCCCTGAGCTGTTTGGTTTGTGAGGCACACGGCACTGCTCCAATCATGATCTATACTGCAAACAAAATGACACCTGTAACTGAAACTGCTGATAGGAACAAGATCTTTCTACGCTGAGGGCTTATAGGAGCTGTGTGGCTTCCCATATTAGTTATCTAGATGGCAGTCGGAGGTGAGCCCGGGTGGTGTTTGTTTTGGAGGAGAGGGGATCGCATTAAGAGGTTCGGACCATCTCCCTGCATAATACACGCTCACAAGAGTCATCAAAGGTCCTATTTTGCATGCCATGTACATATTCAAGAGTTGCTGTAGCTTCGGGCACTATAATTCAGTGAGGGGCGACTTTATTAACAAATCAAATTGATATAGTCTCTTAGGCTTCCAGTTCAGATTACTGTGCGTGTTGATTGCAGGCACATTCCTGCTATATGATAAAAAGTAACAGCGACATCTTTCGACAGTCTAAAGGTTTGAAGGGCGGCATGATAGTTTCTACAAAGTAACAGATCCTACCGGAACTGGTCGATGCACGCGCTGGAACCCAATAGAGATAGCCTTCACACCGCTAAACAGGAAATGTATCAAAGGCACAGCAGACGCTGATTGTGTTGACCCACCCTTGATGTCCTTCTATGGCTACTTAGTTTGTGTTCTCATACGCAGTAAGATCCTCATCGCTCTTTTTTCGAGGCACACTGTCTTGGCTACCTACACATGTCAGCAGCCAGTCATATGATCAATGCCCCCAATAGGGAAGCGAACAGCAAAGTACAGCACCATAATGTTATTGAGAACCGCGCTAACGCTTGGATGTATCACCCTCGTTTCTAATAGAGGGGTCTAAACGTGGTATGGTCCTTACTCCCCTGATTGCCCTTCTTACAGCTGGTGTGAGAGAGAATAGAGATGCACTCTTATCAATGTGAAAGTCAATATCTGAAAGGCAAAGTCACTGCTTGGACGAAAGCCTATCTCCTACATTGGGAGATAATTAGAACGGAGTGATCTTGCCTTATGACAACCTGTCCAACAAGGCGTCTCGTATCAACTGCCGAGACTTTACGCCTCATACAAATTGGCTTAGCAAAGCAGTCTCTGCACCTCGCTGGATGATACCAAGCCGGACCAGAAAGTCCCAAAAAAAGACTCACGAATTGAGTATAAATAGATTCATTATAGGTTAGATGGATTCGAGTCCTTGCAGCCATCCAGAATAAGCGGTGGAATACGCAGTATTTCAAGAAACACTCGCTTTGGCACGACCCAAGCTATCTGAGGCAGCCCGCAGTATTACCATCTGCATTACGCCCCTTGGTTGGAGGAGAATGCAGCTCTAGACTAGTTTTGTCCAAAATACAAGCGCACTCTCTAGTGAAAATCTCAAACACGAACCAGTATGATGGATCTAGGAATCACTCCACGGATTCTCCACGATACATGCTTTCAGAACATAGTTTCATGGATCTCCCTCCTTACTGAGCACCTGGGACTCTATTCACTTGATAACGTGAAATATATCTGCGGGAAGCTGCTTCGTATCCGAATCATTCTTTTCCCCCGGCGTAATTTATGACTATTTGAGACGCTTGCTCCTAGTTATGCAAAGCAGTCCGAATGTGTTTGCATTAGCGCGCATTCCGGCCCTGCCCGGGACCCTTACGTACTCTTTCTTACCCTTACTTCCCTCCTTGTAAAACTTTGGTGTCTTTTCCAGCGTAATGGGTAACCATCAGCTATCAGAGGTGGAGGTGTGCTTCCTGCTCTCTCTAAGAGCATCGTTCCAAACATGCCGCCAATGTGTTGCGGTACATATAAGCTTATACATAGCCAACGTCTTGTTAGCACATGATACCTACCATCCTTGTTTCAAGCCCGAGTGCAACACACTATCCCTTCCCCAGTGTCCGTGGCAAAACTGCCTTCAACAGATTCGGAGATGGCGAAAGACTCTATCACTGTTTTCCCCAGAAACACTGGGACTACCGAAGATATCGGCGCGCAGTTTGCTCCCGACTTAAATAAAACAGATACAACCGTCTGGAAATCTTTTTCCAAGTATGCATGCTTTGATTGTGAAGCACAGCGACAATGGTGGAACGACAGTGGAGCGCTTATTGCACGGTTCCTCAACTTGACAAATGCGGATATTCATGAGCAGTATCAGTATCTACTCTTCATGCGAGAAGTGATTATTCCAGCACTTGGCCCGTACCCACCTCTCCGCCGCTCCCGTATGAATGCCACGGAAATCGGGTTCGAGTTTAGTCTCAACTTTCAGGGGGCTGAAAAGCCAGTGTTTAGGTTCAATATCGATCCTATCAGCAAAATCACTGGCACACATATGGATCCCTTGAACATTGATACAGTCAACAGTATGGTAGCGCGACTAGCCGTCATTGGCTTCAAAGGCTTTGATCGCACACTTCATCATCACTTTACGCGCGAATTCTTCATGCCCGAGCAAAGCATGAAGACCCACCAGCAAGATATTGGAGAGGCCAAGGCATGGTCGCAGACGATCCTTGGGCTTGACTTCAAGGACGGCAATGTGGTAGTTAAACAGTACATCTGGACCCGATACGCGGCTCATACGTCTGGACTACATCCGCATGCTCTTATTCGTCGTGCGATCTCGCGGGTGGACGACCAGATGCGTTGTTCCGCGGCCGTCAATACTGTTCTAGATTATATGGAGACATACAACGCTGATCTGCCGGTGAAATTCTTCAGTTGGGACTTGGTCGACCCGTCCAAATCACGACTGAAGCTTTACGTCATTACCCGTCAATGGTCCTGGGACAAGGTGAGAGAGGTTTGCACGCTTGGAGGGAAGCTTCACGGGCCGGTGACGGATCGCAGTATTGGCCTCTTGAAGAGGTTATGGGACATCCTGGAGCTAGACAGATTTACACCATCAATGCCATTCACATGGAACTATGAAATCCGTCCTGGCCGAAACTACCCCGATGTCAGAACATACTTCCCGATTTGTGACCGAAGTGATGAAGAAGTTGCACAGGCTGTGTCACAGTGGTTCGAACTTCTCGGGTGGCATGAAACTGCAAGCTCATACTTAGATACTTTGCGATATCTCCAGTAAGTGATCCTTCGTTGCTGTTTCTCATGGGGAATAGATTAGCTGACGAGGATGGTAGGCCCAACCGTGACCTTAGGAATACCAAAACCGCTCACACATGGTTGTCGGTTACAGTCACGGAGAAAGGCGTTAACACGTCCGTTTACTATCACAGCTTGGGAAATGGACCGGACAACCATATGATCAGCAAACCATAACATTGAACAAAACACGGGTTGACGATTTGGTTCCTGGTTCAATGACTCCGCAGCGAGGTAACAATATTGCTAGTGTCTATCTTTCAAATGCTAATGATTCCGTGGTGGTCTATAATTAGTGTGACATTTTACATTCCTACACAGCTTGGCGAATTCCTTAGGGGTATCTCTTGAGAAGGTCTTGCTTGTTGCCTGTCGCCTGTATGCTTTAGGCTGGCAAGTCTCCATGCATGAATCGGATAGGATTTTTTTTGGATATACTGTCGCTGGGACAGAGAGACAGATTAATTATCATGAAGATTGAATTGGATTCTAAGAAAAGAGCGTGGAGTTCTTAGATTGTTCAGTTTGAACTCCCATTCAAGAGCACTTAGATTTCTTGGTTATTGGCTCCGGCCACCTGAAAATTATTACCATAGACTAGGTGTGGGAGGCGCTTGGCACGGATAAAGAGTAGGGATTAACACCAGAGGCCAGAGGTCAGCGGTGGGGTGATTCTCTGTTCCCCGAATAATCGTTGCTGTTGAAGACAGTGACCACTATCACATTGTCCATTCTTAGTATGTAGCCTCCTCTGCATCATCTCAAGAAGCAAGAGATAAGCAGGCGGACCAGGTAAAGCAGATCTCAAGGGACATCGGGCAAGGTGCTTCCCTGGTATCAGGGGCTGAGAAAAAGATATAATCCTTCTTGCCTATTGATTTGGCTATGCAGTGTCCTAAACAACTATACCTGGCTATATATAGAGAGAGAGAGAGAATTGTATTATCCTTGAATATATTGCTATTTCCAGGATCCTTCCAAGATGCTGATGGCCGAGGGGCCCAAGTAGGGCCCGTCAGCTCGTATTAACATTGTGGTCATGAGTTTATATTATCTTGGGTACTTAGTATAGGAGTGAGAGAATAGTAATACTAGCAGGCTACTTAAGTCTTCCTACACAGGTGCTGAAACTATGGTTCTTAGTCTATTCTAGCTTTATAAGCCTAGAATTAATGATAGAGAGGGAGATACGGCCTGCTAGACATGACCAAAATTTTAGTATTTTATATATAAATATAAAGAGTATTATCAGTTTGATATAATTAAGATAATATAATATAATATAATATAACTGTAGTTTTAAGATCTCTTAATAGATATATATTAGGGTATAGTAACTAGAGTGTCTATAACTTAGATTTTTAAGAATATTTATTAAGTCTAACTCTAGATATATAATATCTATAGTTACTTAGTGTTCTTAGCTACTTTAAGCAAGTCTATAGCTTATATATATACCAGGTTGAGTACATGGAATAAGAGATTCCTTTGGAGATCTAAGCCTATTTAGCAATGGGTGATCCTTATGGGACCCCTAGGTAGGTAGCTAGGTAGCTAGGTAGCTAGGTAGCTAGATAGCGAGAGATAGCCAGGGATAGCTAGGGATTTTCAGGAGTATTCCCAGTACCCTGGTGATATAGGTATAAATGGCTTTTCCAGGGGTGCCGGCCACGCTCGTTTCGACCGATTCGAAGGAGGAGAGGTGTAGAGACGAGCGGCTGCGTGGTTGAAAGGATGCAAAAGCACCTGGCTATATAATGATGTGTTTGCTTGGCTAGAATAGTTGGTTCTGCCGGTCTCCACTGATGGCGTGCGTGATCCTTCGTGGCTCAACAAGATCCCTCATCAGAGCTATGCTTGAACGATTTCTAACAACTTGTTGGATAATATTCGAGATCCTATGTCTTATCCATCATGATATTATACGTGTAATAGAGATAAGAGCTAGATAGAGAATAGAACTAAGGCGCCAAACAAGTTTTTTCTTCTCTATAATTGTCTCTATGACTACCTCAAGACACAAACCATCGTGTTTCCAAGGCTCCCATATCAGTCCCGTCATTTAAGAAAGCTGCAAGTCAACAAAGTCCACGGCATCTTGTTTGTACTTAGCAGCATAGCTCGCATGTATCGCCACGGAGTCGCCGTCGGTACAGAACTTGTCTCCCTTATCACAGTATGACTGGATCATATCTGTATATGGGGCGCAGGATAGGTTTCTAGATCGAGACCGGGTCTATTCCAATGTTAATACTAGTGCAGGCTAATTGCTATATTCAAACTTACCCCGGATGCGGTGGCTGTTCCTCGGTTGAAAGGCGCACCAATTGTATAACGGGGATTGCCCATCCAGATCATAGCCTTGACATGCAACCCAACTATACTAGATATCGTAGGTTCGGTGCTACTGATGTTCACTGTGGGATCAGGGCCACCACACAGGGCGTCATCCATAATTTCTGCGCCCTAGGACGGTATTAGAGATGAGATATGCCAGAATTTTAGTGGTAAGATAGAGGGCTTAGTATACCTGGGAATACCCAACCAGGACAATTTGAGTATCAGGACATGCCTCCACAAATTCAGTAACCTGACTAGTGACAGCTTGAACACCCAGCTGGGCAGACCACGCGAATTCATCCTTAGTCGCTCCCATAGCAGGGTAATGAATGGGTTCGGCCGTCGCTCCAGGGTTAGACGCTAGGATCAATTCCACAACCTCCTTTGCGCCGCCATAATCATCTGTTGCACCTGTGTGGCGTGCCCCAAAGATATGGATTCTAGGACAACCCCACTGGTGCTTTGCAGTCTCAGAAGTAGCAATAGCGCCACTGGCGAGCAAGAGAACCGTCAACTTAGATAGCATTGCGGAGCGCGAGCGGGAACTTGATCGTAGCAGGAATGTATTCTCGATATTCTTGCGGTGGCAGGTAGGACTTGTAACTAAGAGGGAGGATGTTCGCCTTTATACATACTTTCAGTACAACAGATGTCTGCTGTTGCTGGGGCAATTCTTCTTCGTCTCATTATATGTTGTTTCCAGGGATATCAGCCGGTCTATGTAGGAGCCATCGTGGTTTGTAGGTAACACAATGAACATGCTTCAACTGTGCTTGGTATGCCAAGCAGAATGCGAACTTTGAGGGAGCAGGAAGAGCATGACTCTGCAATATGCTTGGCCTACTTCAATGCCACAATTGAATTAGTGAATTCTCCCAGTTTGGCATCCATACAGTCTGGCATCCATCATCCCGCTCCTCATATTCTTCAATGTATGAAATACTGTACTATTCCCAAGGTGTCGGTTCCAATACATACACACATTGTACACGCACAGGCTGACCATTTATTCAGAAGACAGAATCAGTGCATTGATGCAGATGAGCAATATCTAGCAAACTAAATAGAGACTAGAGTGGTGCATGTAACTTCTCTGCCAACGTGGCGCTGAAGCGCTGAAGAATGGTCGGTCGTAGTGGTTTACAGCGCATAAATTTATTAGTAGGGCACGTCAGATATCTCCCTCAAGATATACTGCAGGAGGCCATGGAGGAGAACATAATTGGCCACCGGAGAGGGCCCTGGCTCAACGCAAGAGGCGTTCTCCGACCGCCCCAGGAGAATCGCCAGGGCGTCTAGTAAGAGGCTTTGCTCGTTCGGAACGGTTCGCCGGATTGAAGTCCATTCGTTCTCATCGCGAGCGAGCCACTCCTGACAGGTACACGGAAGACGCAGGTTAATGTCGTGGACGAGGAAAATAGAAGGGACATTGTAAGCAATAGAATGGATATTAAGAAAGCAGAATGCGGCCAGTTTCACGCGCCTAGCGGATTCAAGCTCGATCCAAGAGTGCCAATTGAGAGATTTAGGGCCGGGACGAGCCTCACAAAGACCCGCCTCTTTAATCAGCTGAATCCAAACGACTCTGAAGACTGAGAGCTTCACTCAGCATCTTGCGGCTCTCATGCCAAGTGGCAAGGATGACAAGGATAAGCAAGGATCTTATGAGGGATATAAGGCGATTTCCTTTGTGATTGTGGGAGCTGGAAGAGTCGACGGAGTTGGCTAATGTTTCCGCCTCTTCCTGGTATTGCCGCTCATGCAACATGGCTAAGGCAGCCTCGAACAACATGAGCGCTTTGCGACGCTCGTAGCGATATTGAGCGCCCATTGCAGCCAACGCCAATAAGAGCTTTCGGGGTCGCAGTTCTGCATCTGAAAGGTGATCGGATGTAGGAGCGGGAAATGCGGATGGAATCCATCAAAGAAGGCGTTCAAAAACCGGCTCAGTGAACATCGGGAAGGCATCGAAAAACCCCACGGAACTCGTTGGAACCGATTCATAGCCTGCATTGGTTGATCCCTTTGACTTTCTGTAACCTCGATGGTTGGGAAGTAATTCACCGCTCGGCCAGCTGCGTTTTAAACCCTATCGGCTTATTTGAAGGGTTCAAAGTCATGGAAGGTAGGACACCAGTACAAAGTGGTTTTGTTTGGAACCGGTAATAGTGTTATTGACTGTATGTGGTCATCGACATCCGGATCGACCTCGTCAGTCGATCCATGCAGTCTGTGGTGACCCTCTATATGTGGATCGCGGGCTTGTGTTGCAGGCTGAAATCCATCCTCCCCACAAAGACCGGTATCCCACCCAATGGAGAGACCCATGCTGTTAATGAAAAGTGAGAAGCCTTCCAAAGTGTCATGTTCTTCGAGGGTTTGTGAGAAGCTAAATCTGTTCTCGTCGCCTGGGTCGAAAGACGACACTGGATCTACTCGACTTACAGGTAGTGCTTGAGAAGTTGGGTGCTGTTCATGGAGGATTGTGGCATTTGCTGGGACAATGAAATTCGGTACTTGCCGCTCCACGTCTAATCCATGGGGTGGATAGGTGTCTCCGAGGCCAAGTACGGGCTCGTCGTGGCTTGACGCCGGACAGATGGATGGGTGCCTTCTGCGTTCAACCAGGTGTTGGCCCTCATGACGGCCCGCCAGAACGCCGGCACGAACCTACCCGCCCTACTCGGTGTGGGGTAGGAAATTGCATACATGGAGGTAGTATGTGCACGCAAGTGCGATGAGAATGCGAGATATCGCCTCATTTTGAGAATAAGCAAAAGAAAGAGAGCAAGGTAACTACTGTTCCAGCTCTTCTACTTTATTACCTGAGCCACTTACCTATGATACCTATAATAACCATTTGATTATAGAGTAGAAGGGGCGGTTTGCTTAACAGTTATGTTAACATGTTTTTCCCAACTTGTATAGAATCACCAAACGTAGTACTTCCAAATTATAAACCCACCCCGCATTACACCATCCATGCATTCCCACAAGTATAAAGGCTAGATAACCCAGTATAATATATCACATCATCGACTCCTCAAACTGCGTCATATTCGTCGTAATAGGCTCCGCATACGAGAACGCCTCAAACACCTCTGGCGTAATCTCATACGAGCCGGGACTTTCCAGCGCCATGACTGCGCTCGGAATCCCTCCTATCAGGTGGGTTGTAGCCATGTGGGGGTTGCGGGCGTGGGAGGGGTCGAAGTTGGCGGCTGCGGCTGGGGTTGGGGTTGGCGCTGGTGGTGGGGGAGGGTGGAAGGGTGTGTATTCGGGGAGGAGGGAGGCGGCGGGGGGGACTCCCAGGGGGGGATTATGGAGCCTGGGCCTAGGGGGGGTGTGGGGTCGGTGGGAGTGGTTGTTGTTGTGTCTGTTGTTGTTGATGGTGGTGGTGGTGGGGAGAGGTCGAGGCGTGTGTGGATGGGTTGGAGAGGTCGAGGGGGATTTGTTGTTGTTGGTTGAACTGTGGGGAAGGGGTGTTGGTCTGGTGGGAGTGCGATTGGGGTTGGAATGGCTGAGTTGACTGCGTCGGAGGTAGTGTGATGTTGATATCGACTCGAAGCTTTTGGAGTTCCCGATAAATGAGGCCTAAAGCCGTCGCCATTACTGATATCTTGGTCAGCTTCAAGATCTATATAGAGATAAACCCGATATATAAATGTAGACATACCCGGATTCGAAATCTTAACCCTCTCCAAGGCGTATATGCAGAACTTCAACTTCTCGAGAGTGCCCGGCGCCACATACTTCAGCGCCTGGATCTCAAGCAGAAATATCGAAGCAGCGGTGTAAACGCTGTAGGCTAGCGACAAGACAACATGGCCGTCGCCAAAGGTGTTGGAGAACAGGTCGAAGAGAGATAGGATGGCGGTTGCGGAGATCATGCACTGGACTAGGTGGCTTTTATCGTATGATTGGCGAGACTTTGAGCAGAGGATCGGGCGGTGGAGGAGGATGTTGATGGTGTGGTATAGGCAACTGACTCGTCAGTGATCTCTTTCCCTTTCTTATGAGGAACAGGGAACTATGCTTACTTTAGTATGACGATATGCGCTGGAGGCGAGTAAGGAGGAAGATCCGAAACTATTAGCTTCAGGAAGTCCGGTAACTCTTCCCACCATTCGGCCAGGTTCTGCGCCTGCTCCTCGACACAGCTGTAGAACTCCATCTCCGACACCTGTCGGATCGGATCGTAGATGTGGATTAGAATCTCGTTCAGGATCTCTGCAAGCCCACACATCTTCACAAAAGCGGATGTGGAATGGGCCTGGGTAGGAGGATAGTGGAAACCATCCGGGAAGACGACGCCATGCGGCGTCCAGTTCTCGATCTCCGCAGTATTATCCAGTATCGTCTGCGGCGGACTGACTCTGGAATTCTGCATTGTAGGCGATCTCCCAAAATAAAGGGAGACCATCTTATCCCAGAAGTAACAGCTCCAGAACAGCCTGTTCCGGATCTCAATGTCTTCATCATTGAGCTTCGCCGAGTCCGAGTATTTGAGACTATCGATCGATACTCCCAAATCGTCCAGCATCCGAAACGCCATCCCACTGTACAACCAAGCCTGCGTCCTATTCCCCCGCCCACATTCCTGGGCACTGAGGAGGAGTAGAGTCTGGATTGTGGGGATGCCGACATGCCCCACTTTGAGCGAGTCATACAGCTCCGTGACAGCTCGATGCGAGAACTGGGCTCCACCGTCGAACGAGTCGAGGATGGGCCCGATTTCAGGCTCGGTTTTGCACCATCGTACCGAGTGGGAGAGAAGCGCGTTCAGGAGAGCGTCTGAGTAGTAGGGCCCGTTGATCTTCAAGTCTCCTGGTTTTGTATCTTGGATTAGTGTCTTTCTTAATTCCAGCAAGGGGTCGGACACGAACGCGTAAATGCAGGCCGGTAGACGAAGTTGAAGAGTGGGTGAATCCAGCACCAGTGTGAGTCGAGGAGGTATTGGTATGGTTCCTGTTCAAGATTAACGGCGTTGGAATGCGTCCCTCGATGGCAGTGGATGGATCAGGGGTAACGTACCGGCATGGCCGCCATTTGCTCATAAGCTCTCTGACGCCAGGCATTGTTGACCAGGCGTTCCTTACGTCCTTCTATGGGCGTGATAAGCTGAGATGCTGATGATGTTTCACTGAACACTCCTCCCGGCAGTTGAAACAAGCTGGTCGGTCCATGGAAGGATATCCGGCCATCATGCTCGACCTGTAGCCCGTCGAGATCCCTCGCAAGTTCTTCGCTGCTTTGCCGTCTATCCCTCAGGGGGGTCTGAGAGCCCGGGCTCCTCGTGCGCTTGGCAGGCGAGGGACCCTCGCCGGAATCCGTTTCCGATGGCTGCCGAGCATGCACATGGGACAAGGCATTCTCCAACTGTGCGACCCGGGCTTCCAACTGCTTCGTATAAGATAATGTCGGGGCTCTAGAGAACAAAGGTCAGACTGAACGTGATCGGCGGTAGAGCCCGGAGAGGCCGAGACAGGGGACCCTCGGGCAGCTAGGCAGAAACCAAGAGATGAACAAACTGACAGGCTGTAAACACAGAGTTCCCCTCGGACCGCACAGCGCGAGCAAGCCGGACTGGCTCCGTTACATTTCACCTGAAGGCATTCATCGAGTCATCAATCATCATGTGCAGACAAATCTAAGCGAGGGATCCTACAGACTTGTATCTCGGATTCCACCCGAGCTCGGGTAACAAGGATGGAGTCAGACAGGAGGGAAACCCACCTTGCGCTTGCGACAGACCTCGCACGAGAAGGCGCTCTTCCGCGGGAGCTTGGCTTTCAGTGACGCGTCGGCCATCCCTAATCGATGCGGCTTGACCACCATTGACTTTGTATAGAGGAGGCGGCGGATCGTGAAAAATCGAGCACGATGCGCCATGAGATGAGGATCACACTCGTCCGACACACGAAGAAAGACGACAGGTTGCCTACTAGTGCGAGGGGGGCGAGGAAGCGGAGTGGGGATGGGCCAAAACCGATTCGATTCTAGCACTGAGCTAGTAAAAGGTAAACTTGTAGGGCAGACCGGCTTTCCTCCCGTCTGGTCCTGGCGCTGTACCTGTTGCTTTTTTTTCATATTACGCTGTAGTTGGCTGCGACCAACTTCTAGGGCTAATGGATAGCCCGGACGTGTTACTCGAGAGGGATAGGCCGACGATATCTGGTGGGTCGAACCAAAGGAGATGCAAAGCTTCTTCTGGATCCTGCCAAATAACAGGCTGCCACCACGGAGCTAAAACCTTAGTGAAATCCATGACAGATGACAAATGATTAGATGATGGATGTATCGGGCAATTTTCACGACGCTGACCAACTAGTATGCAAGCCAAGGCTTCACGATCAAACTCTAGATGAACCCGTCGTGGCAGCCTACTGAGGCAGGGGTTACCCATGGCTCCCAAGTCCGAGGAGATATCTTGAAATGACTCACCATGAGAATCTGGTTCTGAATATCGTACATCTATATATTACACCCCGGATATATTACATGAGTAATAGGTATCATACAAAACGTCTCTCTAACTGGACCAAGAGATCGTGGACACGGTCCACCCGCAGTGGAATTCCCCGAGGTTTTTCCAGGGCCCCCCCACCCAAGTGGCTGGAGATCACCTCTCGAGTTTTCTCGGCACTCCCATTCGGCTTTCCCCGGAGTTGGCCGCTGATATCGAGCGAGATGCGGGATTCGGCGATGTCCTTCGGCCCCATAACGAAGATGAGGTTATAGTTCATCTGCTTGGCGCGCTGGATCTTCTTTCCGAGCGTCTGGGCGCTGTCGTCAATGTCAATCAAGAAGGTCGAGTCGACGGAGGTGAGCGGCTGTGGGACTGCGCTAGAGTTTAGGCCGGGCTGAAGCGCTTTAAAACCGGAAATCTGGGCCACCGCCTCGTGCGCTTTCTGGACCACGGCCTCATCCTGGTTGACGGTGAGGACGATCCCCTGTCGGGGGGACATCCAAAACGGCCAACGACCCGCATACTGTTCGATCAACAGGGCCAGGAAGCGCTCGATCGAGCCAAAATTGGCCCGATGGACCAGCACGGGTCGCGCCCGCCCTGGTGTCGCGGGGTTGTAGTCCTCCTCGCCTTCGGCCACCTGGTACTCGAGTCCGAACCGCTCAGGCAGGTTCATATCCAGCTGAATGGTCGATAGCTGGTGATATTTACCCGCATGGTCCTGAAGCTGGATATCGATCTTCGGGCCGTAGAATGCCCCGTCGCCCTCATTCAACGCCCATTCCCGCCCCGTGTCGTTGAGGGCATCGCGCAGCTGCGCTTCAGCGCTGTTCCACAGGTCGAGACTCCCGATAAAGTCCTTCTCCGGGCGCGTCGACAGCACCAACCGATACGGCCCCAGTCCAAACGTCGTCATCACCAGATCAACGAACCCGAGCGCCGATGCAATTTCGCCCTTGATCTGCTGCGGCCGGCAGAAGATATGCCCGTCGTCCTGGTGAAAGCGACGCACTCGCGTCAGTCCACTCAGCGCGCCCGAGACTTCGTTGCGGTGGAGCGGGCTGAAGTCTGCGTAGCGGATGGGGAGTTCCCGGTAGGAGTGGTTCTGCGATTTGAACAGGAGACAGTGGCCGGGGCAGTTCATGGGCTTCAGGCCGTAGGATTCGTCCTCGCCCAGTTCGCCCTCCCCTTCATCCATGGCGCCTCTTCCGCGGACCTCGTACATATCATCCTTGTAGTTTTGCCAATGGCCGGATACCTCCCATAGCGATCGTTTGTAGATGGTCGGGGTCAGAACCTCGCGAAATCCATACTGCAGGTATTGGGTGCGGAGGAAGGTGATGAGTTTGTTGATGACATGGGTGCCATTGGGAAGGAAGAGAGGTGATCCAGGACTGTAGGGGGACGTGGTGAACAGGTCTTGTTCGAGTCCGAGGCTGCGATAATCCTGCGCCGAGGTCGACGGTTGAGTTGGAGCTGAGGTTTGTGTTGGGCTAGACTGCGGCTCGGAGCAGGAACAGAGTCGCGTCGCGGTTGTGGAGAGCCATCGTGCTCTGGGGATCCGGAAGAGGTGATGTCGGGAGACAGGTGACTGGTGTGAGTAGAGCCGAGACTGCCGTAAAAGCAGGTGTAATCGACGCATAGTGAGGAGGTGGCAGGGCTGAAGTACGCGTGAAGAAGCGTTGAAGATGCAGTCGTCGGCGAGGATGGAATTTGTGCCGACCGACGATCGGCCCAACGGGGACTAGTGTAGCCGTGATGTGTCTGCATTCCCCACTCTGAGGATTGTTGTTCTTCACCCGCCGCCGCCGACGTATTTACTCGGGATTCAGCAATCTGGGGATAGTGATCCCTTACATTTCGAGGAAATTGAGCGTATATAGTGGGCTAGGGTCCACTGTGGTGTCTTGAACTTCCAACCAAAGTCTGTTTCCCGTCTTGATCTTCATATCGGCCAACATCCGAGATACACCAAGTACCGATGTCAACAAACGCCCCGCGTCCCGAGGAGCGTCCGATCCTGGGCGAGTCCTGGGTCGTAGCGTCCAGCCAGCCGAAGGAGGAAGAGCAGACCATTTTACAGACAGCGTCGCCGTCCAAAACCAACACCTCAGAACACAGTCCCCGACCCAAAAGCGAAAAGCGCAGCAAGGACCGCAATGGCTCGGACTCGCTGGCAACCTCTGCGTCCTCGCTCTCGGGGCCAGAATTGATCATGCCCTCGATATACGAGGCGCCTATCTCCGAGGGATCATGGGTTGCGCCCGTCGTGCGGTCGAAAGGGCAGCTCAAACAGCGACACCAACGGCCAACACAAGAGACCAAGCGAGACAGCCAGGCCTATACTACAACCCCCAAGAAGGACCAGGACCAGCCTACAGCATCAAACACCTCGCGAAAGACAAGCGCATCGAGTCCCCAATCCACCTCACAACTCCTAACCACCCTCCGCCACGTCCTCAACGCCCTCCTCATCCTCGCAATCGCCCATCTGCTCATCCTCCCCGAACTCACCCAACAATACCAATCCCTGTGCAACATACCCGCAATCCCAACCCTCTACCCAACCAGCTGCACCCCACGCTTCCCCCAACCCCCCACCCCGCAACAACCTCACGACCCCATCCAAAACGCCCAAGCATCCCTCGAAATCCTCTTCAACACCACCCTCCAAGAGATGTCCCCCCTCAGCCCGAGCCTCAAACAAGCCGAGTCCAAGCTCCGCGCCGTCCAGTCCGCCCTGAAAGCCGCCTACCCAGGCACCAAGCACGAGCTGGACCTCGAGTTCGACGGCTGCTGGACGGCAACTCGAACCGCAGCCTGGAAGTTCGACTCCCTGCAAGCGGATATCCGCTCCGCCGTCGACAACCTCGTAGTGACGGGCGCCGCCTCAGCAGCTAGCAGCGACAACGGCGCGCAGCCCTCCGACGTACGCCTGTCACTGACGCAGATGTCGCGCCGCGAGCAGTACCTCGACCAACTGACCGCGCGCATGCAATCCAAAGCGGAGGCGCTATCCAACGATCTAGCCCGACTAGACGACCATATAAAGTCCATCGACGCCATCGTCAACAGAGAAACAGGCCGCACCCCACCGACAGGCTCCCCCGGCCCATCAGGCAGCATCAAAAGTCTCCTCAACTCCATCATCCCGGGCCGCGCCCTCGGAACCTTCCTCTCCTTCACCGACAGCAATCAGGAAATCCCGGCTCCATCATCCCTCCTAAAAACATTCCGCGAAGCCGCCGCACAGCACGAACCCGTCTCAATCGTCGTCGACAACCTTTCTTACCGGTTACACGCGTATCAACAGAAGAAGGGGAACATTATTTAACCAGTATTGCCTTTTTTTCTTTTTGTTGTTTTTGTTGTTTTTTTGTGGATAATGTGGACAACCTGCCACGTAACACAACGGTTATCATGATGAATACGGACGATTAACGGCTTTGTTATATGTGCGTGGCGTTTGGACGTGTCGATGTGAGTTAGCATTAATTTATTTACGAAAGCTTTAGTGGCGATCAAACATGCGTATGTTTACGTACTCCGTAGCTAATAGAGTTATCCCAATCCTTGGCTGCATGATTGAGTTTATTAGTTGGATGGTAGGTGCATAATTGTACAAGTCAGAACAACTTTGCCCGGTGATATCACCGTTAGATGGGTAGTACGGAGGGTGGAGGTTGATTGAGTCCGATAGGAGGAAGTCAGTAAAGACGAGTGGGATTGACACTTCACAGTGGCCCGACTGATTGACTGCCTTAGAAATGCAATATTTGCGAGTTAGAAAGGAAGAGAAGGGTGATCAAATCAAGACCTACGACTAGACCATTTTAAAACAGTTCACTAGGAAGTTAAGGAAGTTAAGAGTAAGAAGAAGACATACGGTAGCCAAACCGCTGAATGATATGTACTATAGCTACAGACAAGCAAGCACACACAGAGGTATTCAGAAACCAATCAAAAAAGAAGACAAAAAAAAAATAACACAAAAAACCCGCATCATCCCAACCCAACCAAGACATAAAAGACAGTAAATAAATTAATAAATCATTAACCTAAGCACCTGGATACGGACCAGTTAGCATCCAGTATAATCCCGCTTAGAGTATTCAGAACTGCAGCATGGCAGTGAAGAGGCCTAGGATGACGAGGGCAAGAGACGATCCGTCCATGGAGGTCCTGGAGGGGGCGGCGCTGTTGAAGGAGCTGGGGGAGGGGGTAGAGGCGCCACCAGAGGGGGAGCCTGAGGGAGATCCTGATCCAGAGTGGGAGCCAGAGCCGGAGCCAGAGCCAGGGCCCGTTGCAGACGCGCCGTCGCTGTCTTCGGTTTTTGAGGCGGCGCTGGATCCAGTTGGGCTTGAGGCGGACTCGCCAGTGGTGGTCGCCTCGTCTGAGGAGGTGGACTCCTCCTTTGAGGAGGATGTAGTGGAAGTGGAGGAAGAGGTAGAGGAGGAAGAGGAGGAGGTGCTTGAGGAGTCTTCATCATCATCATCATCATCATCGGAGTCATCCTTACCGCCTTCCTTCTTGATGCTCTCAAAGGAGCCGCTGTTATCAGAGTAGCTGTACTCCGAAGCGGGGTTGTCGTTCTCGATCTTGACGGACTTGATGTAAGCCGTGAAGGGGGCAGCGCTGTAGTCGGTCTCGCCGCCGGCCCACTCGATGGTGCCGGGGTCGTTGTCCGGGTCGCCGCCGGCCCAGGTACCGATCTTGACGCGCATGGGAGTCTGGGGGAAGCGGGAGCCGCCCTTGGCGTCCTGGAAGGCTACCGTGCGGATAACGTTGCCGTCGATGGACCAGGTCATGGCGTCCTTGTTGTACTCCACGGTGTAGGTGTGGAAGGTCTCCTGGGGTCGGTCCACATCCGCGAAGGATCCTCGGTCGTAGGAGGAGTGGTCGCCTTTGCCGAAGTAGTTGGTTTGGATTTGGGTGGTGTCGCCTCCGAGGGTTTCCTGTGTGTTATTAGAATGGGGTTTTATGCGCGTGCGCACTTGTTTCCCTCGAGTTTCAACAGGAAGGCAAGAAAGAAAAAAAACATACCCAGTCAATCTCATCCAAAACATCCGACTCAAGCACAATAGTGCTCACGATACCCGTCCCCGGCGCAGCCTTCATCTCGACCTCGACCTTACCAAAGAAGATATAGAACTCGGTCGCAACAGTCGGGTGATCACCCTGCTTGTCGATAGTGAGCTCCATACCCTGATCGCCGAAGTTGATCGACTTGGACTGGGTCTTCCACTTGTCGAGGGCCGACTCGCCCTTGGTGAAGTCGGCCTCGTAGGACGAGGTATCCAGGCCCTTGTCGTTGGGGCAGGTCTCTATAGCGCTGTTAGTGGTGTTCACCAGATGGTAGAACGGGCGGAGCGCAACCGCCTGGAAAGCGTAGGCTTACTCTTTAACGGATCGCACTCTGTAAAGGTCTGCGCTGAGGCCAGAGGCGCCAATGCAGCTAAGGCTGCGGTCGCATACTTGAAAAACATGGTGTGCACGGCAGGTCAGGTCGACCAATGCGAGTCGCGGTTGCGAACGAGGGTAAGTGTGGAACAAAAAACGGCGCCAGTTAACGATGGATAAAGGCGACTTAATCTGAGGAAGGTTGGTTGAGAGAAGCGAACGTTTAAATGAGAAAAAAACAGAACGACAGAACGAATGACCGATCTATGTAACCACGACAAGCGTTGCTGGAGAAATGGGGAAGTAAGAGACTAGGAGGTTACCTGGCGATAGTGTCAGATAGATATAGTACTCGGCTTACGGAGGTCCCCTGCTAAATTGACTTTCGCATCCCCTGAGAGACAAAGAAGGCTGGTTAATCAACCGGAGGGACTATTACTGGTGGATAAGCCTAGAGGTCTAGAGTTTGGATGATTACGGCCTATTGGAGGAGGGAGCAGCACTGGGCTTCCCCTGGGGCAAATCGTGGGATTGTCCGAGAAGGAAACAGCGCTGACAAAGGTCAGGCTGCGTCACGACATGCAATGGCTAGACAATGTGATTGAGCGAACGGGTGGGTAAGTGAGTTGACCGGCCACCGATCTGATGGAGCCCTGGATGGAGACGGACCCATTCATGGTTGGTGAAAGGAGTGATGGTGATAGGACGTGAGGCCACCCACGAGTTGACCATGACCCACAGGGTGACTCTAATGCAGTCGGGAGGATCACTGGTTGCGTAGGATGGGGAAAGCAGCGCATAAAGAAGGGGGGTGGCACGGGAAAAGCTTGTGCTTTTGGACAGCTGATCCAATTGTACGGAGTATGTCAGAATGACTGGCTTGATTTAGGGTAGCATTGCTCATGAGCTCGTGTTGTTTGGGTGGTGATTTGACAGTTATCCTCGCCCAGCCCATAGAGAGTAAGAAAAAGGGTCAGTGCTATCTTTGGTACTTTGACCGGAGGAGGCGTGTACTACTCAGACACTAGGAGTAGACGGTGCTACTGGTGTAGAGGGGCCAAGGAGCACCACGGTAGGACGCCAAGTCGAGGAAATGAAGAGATCGTTATTTGCCACTGGGAGAGTACGTGGAAGGGAGGACAAAAGAACATGGATGGAAGAGGTGAAAGGAAGGGAAGGAAGCGTGCCTGGATGGTGTCACGATAGGCGACAAGATACTGGATAGAGAAAGAATCAACAGAGGAGCAGAGTCGATCTGTTGATCATGTCAGGGAGTTGTCGCAGGTTGACGGGGCGAACCCACCCGAGCCGTGGGCCGGTGGAATTAGTCTGATTTCTGCCTTTTTATTCTGCTTTTTGGATGATTCGCTTAAGGGAAGGAAGAGAGAGCTGGAATGGATGAGGTGGAATAGATGGAATAACAGGAATGGACGGGAATGGCTAGAATACTACGGAGTGCTCCGTACCAGATGATGTTCTTGGCTGTCACAGGATTGAGAGTTACACCTGAGAGTCAATATAACGACACTAATCAAACTAGAGATTCCCATTCCTCTAGGTTGCTGACAGAGGCCTGTGCGCTGAGACATGGTACACCACCTACTACTTAGTGTCTACCAGGTAGGTATTGGTAGACGGGTTAATGAGTACGACTCAGTTACTTTCCTTCTCCAATATTGTCCAGGTAACTGATAGTCCAATATTGGTTACCTGGACAATATCAGAGGAGGAAAGTAACTAAGGTAAGGGACCCTATGCCTATCAGCAAATCATCATGATAATCAGTACGACTAGAGTGGAATCCCCCCTATCCACTCCAAATGTAATAATTTCTAGTCTGATTGGACTCATGACCTCATACTTCAATACTCTGTATGAGAGAGAATAAAATGTGGATGTTGATTTCAGTAGAATTATTGAGGGTGGATGATATGGGGAAGACCCTCCTTTTCCCCTCTAGAATGATGGAGTCTACCAAACCCCATGATGAACTTCTCAAGTAATACATCATTTTGTTCTGGTGGCCATAGTGGAGGCCATTTCCCAAATGGACCTCTCCCACAGCCACACCCCGGTTCAGGCTGGTTTAACGGAACACCCCCACAGATGAGACCACGGCCGTCGGCTGAAAGTCCCACCTTTGGACCACGTACTGCATACTCCATATTACGAGTACGAAACAGGACATCAGATGAGATGTTGCAGCTGTATCATGGCCACGTCGGACAAAACAGTTGGATTGTGTAATTCCTGCGTGGCAGCCTCAACTGACATGTCCGTACGGATCATGGAGTTTCAGGTCTGGAAAGGAGATATAGGTGGAGGTGAACATCGATAGTTTGCTGTCTTGGTCAAATTCACGGGACAGGGAGAAGTGGGCCGAGGAAGGTCCATGGAACTCGAGAACCCGTAACAAAAAAATATAAAGAGAGAAAGATAAAAGGGAAAAAAAGAAAAAACTGACACCGGCGAGGCTCGAACGCGCACGCTCTGGGTGTCAGTCAGCTGACTGATTACTACCGTCGGCCTTCACATGACTCGACCAACAGGGGTGCGCATTATGTAAACATCTGCTTAACAGATTTATCCAGCCGACATAATTAATGTATCAGGAGGTAGGGAGTACTGCCTGAATCTACAGGCACAATAACCTTTCCTAATCGGACTACCCCGCGACCACCAACCAATGGCCGGATGAATCTGTTGGGGATGCGGCATGTTGGGGCGTCATTGGGTGCCACGTTGAATACAATGACCCTGGCCCCTCTTCTCCTTTATTCTTCATCTCATTCCTCCTCACTTCCCTCCTCTTTCCCTTCGTATACTACAGCATCAACCACTCTAGAAAGATTAACATGGGCCACTCATCCTCCAAATCATCATCCCGCCACTCACACTCCCGCTCCGTCACCAGCGCATCCTCACCAGTTCCCAACCCGGACATGGATCGGAAGGTCTTTATTCCGCTGTGTTTCTGCCTAATCTCCTTTGCGGTGATGGTCTACGTCAACTGAGCGACCGTCCGGACCCATCAGGTCGATTTGATATCTTGATATCGACGTATTCTATTCTATCCTATCCGATACTGTGACACCCGACGAAACCCTGCAACGACTCCGTGTTCAACACACATCCATCTCCCCACCCATGCTGGAGTACCACGAGGCGATGTCCCCACCCTTTCTCCGCCCTACCCGGTGCCCGACATCTGGACTGTATCGCAAGCGGACCGGCTGTCCTACCGCATGATATCAAACGTGACCACCGTCTGTACGATGGGCAGAGACGGGCATGTTGTGCGATGACGCTAGCTACCGTCTTGTTCGTAACCTTGCGACGGGGCTTTTACTATCTTGAGGACTAGACATTATCCCATCCTCCTCAATCACATTGAGTTACTATGATGCTGTGGAACACTGAAGCGTGAACATACGACATAGCCAGTGTTGACCCCTTGATGATCGCTTCTTATATTCGATATCCACCGATATGATGCGCATACTTATCGCGACATGCCCTTGACTGATGTGCTTGATTGATTGCTATACCCCAAACCGACATATCTATGAAACTGGTTGAACCAGTGTCTTTCCCTTTGTCTTCTTCCCTTCTGATCTATTGTTTGTTTTATTCATTCTGCCCATATACCCCGACTGCATGTCTGTCTGTTTGTTTCCTATGTTTATGTTTCTACATTGATATCTTCCAGAGCTCAACACTCAACATTCAACACCCAACATTTAGGGATAGTTTATATTTGACTTGAATATTCTATATTTCACTTGACTCAACCGTGGACTAAGGAAACGCCTAATGTCATAAAACGGAGTAAACTGCATCTTGCCTAATTTCAAACTTACATCCAGCAATCTCACACCTACTAGAACGCGATATTCATATGTTATACCTATGTTACTAACTGAAGGAACTACCATATTTATATACAAAGAACATCATCGTCCAATGCTGATGCTATTACAATCCGCCAGCAAGTCAACATAGGATAAACAAGCCAACATAACATAAACAATGCCGGGCAAAAGCCAGACGTTTAAAACGACTGTGCTATGCTTGAGTGGAGATATCATGCATTGCTAATAGTCTATCTACTACTCCTACTACTCCTACTACTCTGCCTCATATCGATCATGACTATGGGGTAGACACCAAAGATATACACTTATCTTCCTGTTATCTCAATCAACATTAACAAGGAAGAATACCAAAAAGACCATACTAAACAAAGGGTATATCGATTATACTATATCGCTAACAATAATTCAAAACACCACACCACACCAACCTCAACAATACACAAACCAAAAGCAAAGGTCAAACCCACGAATCCATCCTCTCATACTCCAAACCCTACCCCGTCCCATCCCAAACCAACCTATCCCATCAATCAACTCATCAATCAATACAAGACAGACAAAACTATTCATTCCTCCCCCCCTGCCCCATCTCCAGCACCCGATGCGAATCACTCATCTCCACGCCCCCAGTAGTAGCAAGCAACTCAGCAGGCGGATACGCCACAGGGACAGGCGGATGAAGCGGCGGCGTCATCTGCGACGTATTCGAGAAGCTGTCGACGTGTTGTGGTCGAGTAGGTGGACGCTCTGGGGCCACAAAATTCTTCTTCTCCTCTTCTTCTGCCGCCGCCGCCACCGCCGCCGCCGCCGCAGCAGCAGCAGCATCTCCTCCCCCAGCGCCAGCAGCAGCAGCCGAATCCCCCTCCACCCCAGCAGCACCCGCACCGCCCCTCCTCCCCAAAAACCAGCCCAGCAAAATAAAAGCCACCGCACCAACAATCGCCCCGACAATCGCGCCCGCAATCGCCCCCGCACTCGGCGGCGCACTCACCGGCACCTCCACATCCCGATCAACCGTAACCGTCTCCGTCGCAGTAGCCGTCGGCACCGTCGCCTTGGACGAGAACCCTTCCTCGATCTTAAACGACTTCAGATCCGCCTTCGCGGTGGTGACCCAGTCGCGGTTATTGCACTCGTGGCCCTTGCCCTGGGTGCAGTTGTCTTGCATGTAGAAGTAGATGCACCAGTCGCCGCCCTGCGCGTCCCAGTCGAATTGCTCGCCTTCGGCGTGGTCGATTTGCTTGCATGGTTGGATTTCGTTGGTGTGTTCTGTGCGAGGGAAGCCGGAGGCGTTGCGCCAGATGAGGGCCCATGCGGATGCGGTTGAGGCGAGGGTTAGGGGGAGGAGGGGGGTGAGGGGGTGCATTTTGGTTGGTTTTGTAGTGTTGTAGGTATTGTAGTGTTGGCGATGGGTTTCTGTGTATGGTGGAGATATCCCTATGGAATAGGCATAATTGTAACGATATGCAAAATGTAGCAGCAACAGTATGTAATATGTAAAGAAAGAAAGAAAGAACTGAAATAAGAAGAATATTTCCCCCTATAGCAAACCAACCAACACGACCGAACTAACTAGTTAACTAGATTTTCATCCCAGGATTCAACCTCTAGTGCCTCCCAGCCTACTAACTGACAGCAGCCCGTGCTCGTGCCCACGCCCACGCCCTCTTCCCCTCGCATATATCCACCCCATCCATCCACCTCCCCCTCGTCCATTCTGCAGTTAACAGTAACAGTTAGAGGACCAAAGAAGGCTAGTCACGGATTTCACCGCGCTGATCACCTTTTCCTACCCAGAGAGGCTAAGTCAGCTAAGAAGGACCAGTAATCCCGTTCGCTGATTCCACAGACGGGGCCCCCGTCTTGGCTGCATGAATACGAGGTTTTGGTCCCGTCCTTCATTTTCCACTTCAGCCTCGTTGACTTCAATTAGTTGGGAGGGGGCTGAAATAAAGATTAAGATGTGGGGGGAGTGAAGGGAAGGGAAGATTCTTTCGATGGCATCGACATGACATGACACTTTTGTGAAATGTAGGGTTAGGTAAGTAAGTACCTTAGGTAGGTAGGCTAGTGCAGACGGAGTCCTCCGCCCTCCGACAATGCTTTGTTCAGTGGATTATAAGTCCAGACTAATACCTACCTACCTAAACCTAAACCTAAGACTAACTAAGTTGAGTAGGCTAGAGAATAATTACCCAGTGGACCAAAAACACGGGATAGCAGTAAAGCAATCCTGCCTACTATCCGACCCTCGGAAAATTAAATAAATTCAATGGCCAGAATTCTCCACCCAGCCTCGTCTTGGCCTGTTGGTTTAAACCCAGGGATTTCACCGTTCATTTCACCTATTGGTCTGATCTACTGCTTGTTGCAATGAGAACAAGAGCTGAATGGTCTGGACTGGACTGTTGGCCGTATATAACACCCTGGCGGAGTTCGTATCGAATCTACTTCCAACGCAAGCGTGAATCTCTCATCTAATCAGATTCGATTCGATCCAGATATAGTCCGCGTGTGTCTGACAGGGCCGTTTCGGGGTCCCCGCAAAGTAGATTAACTCGCTTATCGTGTTACATGTGCCACCGAGACTAGCTAGCTAGCTATCTTACGAGATTCATATGTATAGAAAGAAAGGAAGGAAGGAAGAGAGAAAATATTAGTATATCGTTACAGTAGATGATCTTCATCAATAATGCTTGAGTAATGTGCTATCCGAAATCCATGCCATCCCACCTGCGGCTAATAAATGATATCCAATGAAAGGCTGATAAGGTAGAGTCTATTGACCCTTCTTGTAGGCCTTCTCGACGGCCTTTTCGTTCTTCTGGAAGATCTTCTTGCGCTGGACCTTCTGGGCGGCGGTCACCATACCCTGTTAATCGTGTTAGCATTCTGTACAGTCGTTGACAAACGGAGGAGACAAGGATATACGTACGTTCTGGGGAGTCCACTCGTCCCTATCCAAAACAACACCTTCGATGATTTCAAACGCCGCCAGACGGCCCTGTCGGCCCGCTTTCTGCAGCTCGGCCAGGACGAGGCTACGGATCTTGGGGTTGTCGATCACGTCCTCCATCCCCTTGCCCGGGATATCATTGTCCTTCGCAAGTCGCATCAGGGCAGGCTCCGCCGGGACGATGATAGCGATCGGTCGGCTCTGGTCCGCGGCGGCGAAGACGCAGATGTTGGCGACCAGCGGCGATGCCCGGTAGATGGACTCGAGCTTCTCCAGCGCGATGTACTCGCCGTTGAGCGTCTTGACGAGGTTCTTCTTGCGATCGATGATGCGGACATGTCCGTTCTTGTCGAACTCGGCAATGTCGCCGGTCATGAACCACCCGCCTTCTCGGATGGCGAGCTTGGTCTCCTCCTCGTTGTCGTAGTACGCCGTGGTCACCGGGTCTCCGCGGATGAGGAGCTCGCCCTGGGGCGGGTCGTTGGTGGTGAAGTACCCCGCTTCCGGGAAGTCCACCAGCTTCTGCTCGATTGAGGTGGGGATGTCGCCGTGGGCGTCGAACGTCAGGGCGAGGGGATCGCAGAGCGCACCCATCGCGCACGTTTCGGTCAGACCGTACCCGTTGATGACGGGGCAGACGGCCATGGAGATGAACCGCTGGGTGTCCTTGGCGAGGGGCCCGCCGCCGGACATGGTCAGGCGCAGCCGCCCTCCCGTGGCGGCACGGACTTTGTCGAAGACCAGACTGTCCAGGAGCCGGATGCCCGGAAGGTTCTTCCCCACGAGGAACTGTTTGAGAGAGAGAGCGCCCCAGAAGAGGTTGCGGGTGAGGAAACTGCCTCCGTTGACCTGGTTTACGATGCCCTTGCGGATCGTCTCCCAGACCGCCGGGACGCCGACGAGCACACTCGGGCGGAATTCCATGATGTCGCCCTCACAGTTGCGGACCGAGGCCTTGGTCAGGGTCCGGGGAGACCCATAGCCCATCGTCGCGCCCCAGAACAGAGCCGCGTTCTCGAAGAGGAACTCGATGATGTGCGCCTGCGGGAGATAGGTGAGGAGCCCATCCCCGGGGCCGATGTGGGGGCCGACAATCGAGGTTGCACCGGCAATCGCCGCCACGACGGCTTTGTGCTTGATGGTCACGCCCTTGGGCGGGCCCGAGGTGCCAGAGGTGTACATGACACAGGCGAGATCCTCGGGTTCCGGGAGGACATGCTCCGCCGGGTTCTCCTCGCCTAGCTGCTTGATTTCATCGAACTGGAAGACCTGGACATGGGGGAATTGGCGCTGGAGCCTGTCCAGCTCGGGCTGGCTCGGTTCGGACTCATTGTTGAGGATGACGTATTGGATGGCGGGGGCCTCGGACAAGGCATCGTTGAGCGTCGACAATAGGCTCGCATCGAGGAAGATGGCTTTCGATTTCGTCTGCTTGAGGGACCACTGGAGACCCTCGAGGCCGAGGGTGTCATAGGCGGTCACGATGGCGCAAGATCGGGTAAACGCGCCATGTGCCATGGAGAACCAGTTCATACTACAGGGGTCAGCTTTATAGTACACTCCATGATCATGCGACGTACCTGGTTGCGCCGTAGAGATGGATCTTATCACCCTGCTCCATCCCCATCTTCTTCAACCCGGCACCAAGGGTGCTCACATGGGCCTGGAACTCGACAAACGACAGAAAAGAGTAGGGACTCAGTTCGAAGTAGGACCACTCCTTGGGGACGTCCCTCTCCGCGCCATCCACCACCTTCTTCACGACCTTGGTCTCCTTATGCACCTTGAGGACCTTCCGGGTTCCGATACATCTCGCGTTGCCGAACTTTTTGGCGCCGTAGGTGACGACGTCGTAGATGGTTCGGACCGAGGGGTCGGGCTGGTTGATGAGGCCGTCCTTACATCTGATGTTCCGGCGGGGGAGGGTTTCTCCCGAAATCTTCTCCACGTCGGAAACCTCGAAGGAAAAAGGAGGTTTCTTGTGCATCTTGGGGATGTAGTGCTCCCGCTGGTTGGCCATGATGTCGGGTCCGGAGGATTTCCGAGACTATTATATTATATTAACCGAATCGTGATATATATAGAGTCGGATCCAGCCTGCTGAATCGAACGGTGGATCGTAGGAATGGGGGGTTGGTGAAGGCAAAAGCGAGCGACCAAGCGAGAGTGTGAGTGAGAGAGTGAAAGGAAGAGGAAAAGGGAGGAGAAAAAAAAGACAAGGTGAGGAGCTGTGGCAACAGGTTCCAAACTAGTGAGAAAGAAAGACAGTCCGTCGAATTTATTGCGGGGAAGGGAAAAGTCAGAAGACCAAATGGACAAAAGAAGACGGGAAAACGAAAAAGAGGAAAAAGAGAGCACGGAGCTCCCGCTCGAATTAGCCCAATCCGACACGCGGTGGACACCAAAACACCAAAGCAAGACCTTCCATGGTTCATCTAGTCCACTCTAGTCCCGGATCATCCATCCACATGTCAGATATTAGCGCCCGTCAACAACGCACATCCGCACCGAGGCCAGCCCGACATTTTGATTAGTAGGCCTTCATTCTTAGCGTATCGGTTCATGGGACCGAATCGAGGTCCGATCTCATCCGGTCAATCTAGGAACCGGAAATCATTCCCTATACTGCCGGGGGGTATTAGTTATTCCTCGGACTGATCGTATAGATTGGATGCAGGAGACCACGCAAGGTACAGACCTCGAGACCAGTGTCAGTGGCCCGAAGCAAAGATAATAGAATAATCAAACAAATCCACGGTTTGATAAAAAGAAAAGTGTTCCAAGAAATATACAGGTCAACTCAGCTTCACTACATGGTAGCTCAGGAGATCAGTTGTTATCTCACGCTTCAAATCTCCACTCCGCTACTTATCGTCGACACTCGACGGTAGGCTATGCACCGCATTGACATTGTGACACCCCGCCACCAAACGGTCGTTACACCCTCCAACCCCACTAAATCAGCCGTATTTGTGGTCAGCATGACCCGGTGGTCCGCTGCTTCCAGACCACAACAGGGTCTTTATTCAAGCCAAAGACGCCATGTACTGATGCGCCACGGGCTCGTTTTCAGGGTCATCTGCCCTCGGTGCGAGTCGAGAGCCCTTGGCACCGAAAGGGTCTTATCCGTGTCGGTGTACGGTGGATACGGCGCCGCCTCCTGCGCTGCTAGCCAGATGCTAAGGGTAGCCGAGTGCTAGGAGGTGAGTGGGGTAGGGTGATGAGCCGAGAGACGATAGTAATCGGCCAGATGGTCTGTTGTTTAGTCTGGATATCGGTAGTTTGGACCGAGTATCGAGCTAGCAGTGATGGCTGGGTATGGTATCCTTGTATGTCGGTTTCTGGTGATTAGTTCGGGGATAGAGTATGTTAATGCCAGGAGAATAGGAATAGAAGATATAATCTGCTGTGAAGATAGTTCTCGATAAACTCGCTAATGGATGAGGATGGAATATCACTGGTAGTATAGCTTGATAAGATCAAGAATGTCCAGTATGAAAGACAGTAGATAAAGACTTAACGTGGCATAATTAATGCACAATCATAACTAGTCAGAACTGCAAATGGCTTTGCTCATAAACCAAGCTACGACTCGAGTATATAAATTCGAGGCAGCCCATGGCCCAACGTGAAATACAGCTTACCAAGCCTCCATCACATCAGCTGCTGGTTTAACAAACTTATCATACTAGACAATCCAAATGTTCCTGTCATACTTAGTGAAGTTCCTGTATGGTATTTTCCACATATACTATGCGACTCCTGGAACAGAAGATGCCGTGTATATGACTTTTGAATAGGCATAACAGCTCTCAACAACCATACCAGTATGCCGATAATAGAATATACTCTCTGGAAAGATTTTTAATATTTCTTCTCTACTCATAACAGTCCAGAACTGATAATTCTCCCCAGTTGGTTGACCAGATATACAGGCTTGGCTAACAAACAATGCAAACAACCGCCATCACAGCTCAAATGACATAACCCATCAATTCAATCAATCAACTATCAACCACACCAGTTCCTAAACAACTTACTCCCTTGAAACCACCATCATCAACCAAAATGGCCGACGGAGGCGGCTGGAGCACAATTGAGTCCGACGAGGTATGTGCATCATGACCAGGAAATAGGAAACACAACTAAACCACTGCAGGGCGTCTTCACCTCGCTGGTCGAAAACCTCGGCGTCAAAGGCGTCCAGTTCGAAGAGCTCATCTCACTAGACGCAGACACCATTCGCTCACTTAGGTATCCCCCTCCCAATTCCGTTCCATTAAAGAATACACCAATTCCATGGCACCATCTAACAGACGAGTCCAGCCCCGTCTACGGCGTAATCTTCCTCTTCAAATGGATGCGCGACCAAGCGCCCACCCAAACCACGACAACCCCCCTAGACGGAACCTACGACACCACGCCCCCCGAAAACCTCTTCTTCGCCGCGCAAACAATCCAAAACGCCTGCGGCACGCAAGCTGTCCTCTCCGTGATCCTCAACCAAGACAGCAATCCCAAGCAAACCCAGCCCATCGAACTCGGCCCCACCCTCCACTCCTTCAAAGACTTCACAACCGGCTTCCCCCCGACCTCCGCGGCGAAGCCCTCTCCAACAGCGAAGAGATCCGCACAGCGCACAACGCCTTCGCGAAGGCGAGCCCCTTCGTCGATGAGACGACGCGCGACGCGAACGAGGAAGAAGGAGACGCTTACCATTTCATCGCGTACACGGCTGTGAATGGCACGTTGTACGAGCTGGACGGGCTGCAGCCTTATCCCATCTCGCACGGGAGTTGCGCGGGTGCAGAAACCGGTGGTGGGGAGGACTTCGCGGAGAAAGTCATCGGTGTTCTCCAGCGACGTATCGCGCGGTACCCCGAGGGCGAAACGCGGTTCAACCTCATGGCCGTCGTGCGGGACTTGCGACTCCGGGCGAGCGAGATCGGCGACGCGGAGCTGATGGAGAGGGAGGAGCGGAAGAGGCGGGCGTGGGCGTGGGAGAATACGCTGCGGCGGTCGAACTTTGTGGGGTTCATCGGGGAGGTGTTGAAGGGGGTTGCGGGGATGAAGGAGGGGAGGGGGGAGTTTGAGGAGTGGGTTGAGAAGGCGAAGGGGGAGACTCAGAGGAGGTTGAATAGGAGGTAGTTTCTTCTCTTTCTTTTTTTTTTTTTTTTTTTTTTTTTTCTCTATTCTCTATTTCTTATTTCTTCAGTTACTCCTTTTATGAGATATGTCTGGAGTATCTGTGTCTTTATGGCTATATTATGAATAGACATGATTGACGTCCCTACATGGCTATAGGTATTGGCTCCTGTAGTACCACTTACCACTCATTATATAACCCCATTCAGTATGTGATATTGAACCACTCTACCCTAGGAAATGACCTCGATACTTTGATTTGCCCATTCCTATATTTCAATAGAGATAGAGATAGAGATATAGATATAGATAGATACAGATCAATATCATACTACCAGCAAGACAATACCTTACCTATACACCACCCACCTAATCTCCCAATCACCCCACCCATAAACTAACTACACAAATCCATGCAGATATAAAAGCCCTCGTTGAACAGAGCCATGTAGATTATTAGAGCTAAATCCACTCGCTATCATCATACTATGTAACCAGTTATATGTACATCGTGAGTCATGATATCTGCAGAACAACATGCTGACCCTGTTGAAGAAGTCGTTCCTCGCATTTGTCCGTTCGAAGCTGTATCATTCATATCGACATGCACCCCCATCACCCTCTTATCATCAATGCAGACTGTTGATCGATACAGGTTAGATCAATAACCAGTCATTCGCGCTTTGGCTTTCTCGACTGTCTCTGCGGGCAGCTCGTCCTCCCGGATGAGGTTCATCTCGAGCAGGTCGGCCCAGAAGAACATCGCCCTATCCTGGGAGTAGGCCAGGTAGTCGAACTCGTCTTCTTCGTCGTCGGCTGCGGTGGAGTCGACGGACGGGGTGCGGGAGTGGTTTCGATTGGCGGGAGATTCCGTAGGCGAGCTCAGCCCGCTGGATACTGCGTCCGCTGCGATGCCCTCTTCCATGCCGTCGACCTTGGCCTGCACGATGCCCCAGGCCACCCACTGCGCGGAGTTGAACACGCGCCAGAGTCGCGTCTGGTGCATCAGGCTTTGGATCTTGGTTTCCATGCTGTCTTCGTGCGCGCGCACTGTATCGGCTGCCGCCTGCGGATCGGCGTCCGGCGTGTCCAGATCCAATGGGGCGAGGGTCGACATGTGCGCGGACGCCATGCCGCGCATGAGAGGAGTGATTGAAGGAGAGGATGACGGTCCTTTCATTCCGGGACGATGAGTCAAGTACGCCGTGATGAAGCGACGCTGCTGCTCCGGGGTGGGGAAGGCTTTGGTGTTGCACGCCCAGGATCTCTCCGGGTCGTGGTAGTTGTAACACCATTCAGACTGTTTCGTCAGCGTCAGCGAACAAAATCAAACGCAACCTGCGGGGGCACTCACGAAATGGTTGGCGAACTCAAAGCCTGGCGTGTTCGCCGACGCATATTCAAAGTCGATGACGACCAGCTGCTTGTGTTCATTCTCGGGGCGGAGCAGAGGCGACTCTGAGGCGGGCTCCAAGCGAAGTAGATTGCCGTATTGGGTCTATACATCCATGAGCCTCGGTCTATCACATCGAAGAAGGGGTACTCACATCATTATGAGCGAAAACGAGATTCTGCTCGATCTCGGTGCCTCCCCCGCAACTGGTAACCAGCCACTGTCGGTAATTATCGACGGCTTTGCGGAAGGTTGTCCACGGGACCCCGCAGACAAAGCCCCGTCGGCGCCAGGGCTCCGACGCCGATTTCGCCTCGTTGTGACGGGATCGGATCTCTTTGTCCAGCCAGTTGATGACTTGTTCGCAGCGGTCCACCCACTTGTCCCAGTTCTTGAACACCATCGGGCCGCCTTCTCGCTCGTCCTCCAGTAATTCGACACCCTCGTGCAGCTCTCGCATGCGCTTCGCGATCTGCACCATGGTCGCGGGGTCGCGCAGATCGGGCGGGGTCAACGTCCGTGCTTCGAAGTACTCCTCGAAACGACCGTTCTTGAAGGTGCCCAGCACCTTGGGTCCGATGTTCTTCCGTCCGAGGCGTCGCAGGATCTGCAGTTCTTTCTCGCGGTCGATCAGGTGGTCCACCTGGGGCCCATAGATCCGGAGAAGAAGTTTGCTAAGGAAGTTAGCAAAGAAAAAAAAAAAAAAAAAAAGGCCGCATAAGGACTTACGCGGGACGCTTGGCAGGCACCAGGGTATAGGAGCCATCCTCCGCTTTGGGCGGGGGAATGTTCTGTGGGGGATTGACGACGTAGACAGCATTGGTCAAGGCGCCGCTGAGTCGGACCACTTCGATGTCGCCGGCCAGGTCCGCGGGAAGCTTGCGCCATCCCCGGAGCCGGAGCGTCTGCGTAATACGAAGGATCTCGCTCTTGAAGACCATCCAGGCCTCCCGGTCCGAAGCTTTCCGCGACAGCTCACCATCCTCGCCGTCCTCTTCCTCGGCGCCACCACCGGTATACGCCAGGGTCTTGGAATTATCGAGCACCGCATCGACCGCGGGGGGAGCCGCTTCGACATCCGTGCAGTCGGAATCCGAGACGGAGCCCCGGCGGAGTCCCTTGCGTCGACGGCCCGGGCGACGAGCCGGCGGCATTCCGTGGGTCGCATACTGCAGGAGGATCTTTTCTAAATTTTCCAGAGCCAACGGTGGGGCGGCGTCATGCGACGGCGGCTCCCTGGACGGTGCCGCGGGGGTATCCTCGTCGTCGTCATCTCCATCGCTTCCCGGGCCATCGGTCTGTGCAGCGCCACGGGACTTCTGCTTATATTTTTCGCGTTGGAGCCATTCGTAGACCTGACTGAACAGGTTGTACTGGATATCATCCTCGCCATTCTTCTCTCGGTCCTCGCGGGTGAGGGGTTCGTTGAAGGTGCTGGAGGTTTGGCTGCTCATGGACACGGTATGGCGATGGGAACGGGACGCGGGTCTCATGCTGATGGAGGTACGGTGTCTCCGGGGGAGGGCATGATCGGGCGCCACGGCGGGGGTGCCGTTTCCATTGGCGGCGGGGCGGACTTTCGGGAAAGGGACACTCAGACCGGTACCCAGGATGGGCTGCAGACCTTTGGAAGAGGGGTCAGAATCCATCAATCTCGGTCGGAGGAAAGAGAAGAAGAGGTTCAGATGTCGCGATGGATGGAAGCGAGAGAAGAGAAATTAGGCGCAGAGGGGAGAAAAGATCGGGTAGAGCATCTGGGCAGAAGAGAGAAAAAAAGGAAGGTCGCAATGGGTGGTTTGATTTGATTCCCGGCGAGAACCGCAGAGAATCTTACTCCTACAAAAAGAGGGGGGTGGGGGGGGAGGGAGGCAATGGGGCAAGGTCAAAAACCAGAAGGATTTAAGAAATTAATAAAAAAAAATCCGCCTACCTTCAATCTCACGACCGGAGTCAGCACCATTGGGGTCGGCGAAGGAAGGCATGGCCAAGTGAAGTGTAGAACACGAGACAGGTGTTCACAGAAGGAAATCGGTCACGTTGGGGATTGTCGAGCTTTTTAAGGCACTCGGGAGGTCCACCGTAGACCCGGACGATGGAGCATGTAGCACTCGTGGCCTTGAGGGTACGTCCCCTCCTGATTCACTCAGGATGATGGAAAAGATCAGAGTGGATAATAGGGCGGGACAAAAATAAAATCAAATCAGAGGTTGAAGAAATAGTAAGGACGAGGGAAGGAAAAAAAGGAGACGATCGCGCCAAAGTGGGGGCAAAAAAAACCAAATCTCAAACGGGTTAAAAGGCACGAGAGTCAGAACGTGACAAGTGGAGAGAAAGAGTTGTCAGGTTCAGGGACAGACCAAAAGATGGAACACTTAAGGTAACCAGCGATGGATGTGGTGACTGAACAGGAACAGGAGGCAGTTCCAGGAAGAAGATATGGTCGGAAGTGGTCGTGGTGGATGATGCAAAGTGGCGACAGTCCAACAGTCCAACAGTTAACAGTCAAACGGTTAACAGTCAAAAATCAGGATAAAAGAATAAAATAAAAGGATCAAATAAAAATCAAAGCCAAGACTCATGGAAAAGGAAATTCAAATAATAAAAAAGGAATAAGATAAAAGTACCAAAAAGCCGAAACGAATGGAAGCTTATCAGGCAGCGAGGTGTGCCTCAGGTGACCCGATGTCACCCCAAGATGATGCCATCATCGATACTAAAGAGCAAATTTGATGGCTTTGACACTGATCTGGGCGATGTTCTACCATGCCTCATCCAGAGTCTGATCAATCCATCTTGAACAGCCTGGTGATGGATTCAATCTGGTTGACAGACACTCCACAGTATGAAGATGGATGGTGGTGGCTTGATGATGCATGACGCATGCACGGCTAACAATCCGGGGCGGTCGAGCATACAAGATAAGACCGTCAATCAATCCATGATAGGCATCGTGGATCAACAGGGAGATAAGGGATAGACCGTTCATGTACGGAGACTCCGTACTCCGTACTTGAAACAGCATCGTCCCGCTGGTCTGGGAGCTGATCCCGTACGATGGAGAGATAGTCGCATGGGAAAGCTGGAGTTGTCGAACCAAACTCCTTCAGGATAGAGATGGCCCCTTGATAGGTACGGAGTGCGCTATCAGGCACTATCATAGGTGGATTGATTCTCCTTCTTTCTTTCTTCCTTCTTCATCGCTTGTTTTTCTTCATCTTGGAGTAATTATTGTCGCTTTGGGATAGTTGTAGCTGTAGCTGTAGCTGTCTGTACTGGAGCTGTAACTGTAGCCGGACAACCGGATAGCCGAATATTGAACATCTTAAGGGTCATACAATGGCGCATGGGATAATAAGCTGCAAGGGCAATATTTCAATCAATCAATTCTTCCATGGTGACTGGACAGTGGACATGGACAGAAAAGACAGTCGATGGTTTGTTTGCTGTTGGTAGTTTGAAAGAAGAAAGAAGAGGGGAAATTCCAAGTGGGGAGAGGGTCTGCATTAAAGAAGATTCCGAGAGGGGAACAACCACCACCAACAACATTCTTGCTGTCTCACAAGCCTTTCCCTTTTTCCCTCCGAAAACCCCGTTTGTCTGCCTGAGCAATTTCCTGCCGTCGCTGCCCGGTCGGCTTGGCGTGCTGATGTGATTGTGCCTGAGGCATATATGGTGTCTTTATCATCTGCCTCGGGCATTACAGTAATTACTTGTAGTTAGTTAACTAGAGATATTGTACAGAATACTCCGTAGAAACCATATATTATACTATATAGACGCTATCAATCCTGACTGTCAGATAATCCAGGACAATAGGTAAAAAGTACTAATGATAAGTCACACTCCAAATCGTATACTCCCCGCTCTTCCCCAGCGGGCTCCCGTCGGTATACTCCAGCTTATACCCCCTCCCATTCCCCAAGAACTTCGTCCGAACATCCGCCGCCTTCTCGCGCTTCGACACCAGCGTCCCGCGCGGTCCAAGCCACCTCCCATCCAGCGCGCTCGACACCCGGAAGATCTGGCTCTCCTCGTCCTCCGTATAGTGGATCACCCACCGCTGCTTGCGATCGCGGTGGTCAGCATGCGCCGGCGCGCGCGTCACCGCACTCGCATTGTGACCGGGGTTGGTCAGCGCCTTGCCCTGCTGTTCGAACGTCAGGTATCGGCCCTCTGTCAGGGCGCCAACAACTTCCTTATACCCGTCCTCGAACCACAGCGCCTCAGTCACGTTGTCCTGCTTGCCGAAGGGTGCCGGCGGGCGCGTGAGCGGGTGCGTCGCCGCGCAGTGCGCCATCCCCGTGTAGAGATCGCCCAGGGTGCGCGGCTCCTCTGCCTCCGGCAGGTCGGGGAGGGTCGGATCCGGGTGGTCGAGGTCGAGCGCGCCCACGAGGTTGGACATGTGCTCGCGGCGCCAGGGGACCATCTCCGGTGTGCGGACGTCCTTGTACCCGCGGGCCTCCAGCCACTCCTCCACGAACAGGATCTGCGAGTTGTGGTCTGCGCGCTCGGTGAAGACGCGATTCCCGCGCGTCCAGGGCGAGATCATGTAGAACGGGACGCGCACGCCGGGCCCCACGAAGACCTTGCCGTATTTGCCGTATGGGTCTTCCATCCATTCGCCGGGGGTGTCTTCGGGGGAGTGGAAGGGGCTGACGTGGTCGCCGAAGCCGCCGGATTCGTCGTAGCTGATCATGAGGAGGGTGGAGTTGTATTTGGGGCTTTTGGTGACGGCGTCGACGACTTGCTTTTGGAGCCAGGCGCCGTCTTTGGGCTGGTAGGGCGGGTGCTCGGACAGCGGGGCCGGGCCGATCAGGAAGCTGATCTCGGGGAGGGTGCCGTTGCCGGCGGCGGCGTAGAATTCGTCGAAGGTTACTGTGGACATGCCTTTCTTGGTGAGGGGGGAGTCGTCCGAGGCGTCCTGGTATTGCTTGAACCAGGCGAGCGGGTTGTCGTCGAAGTTGTCGTTCATGTCCTGGTACAGCTGCCAGGAGACGCCTGCTTTTTCGTAGATTTCGTAGATGGTTTGCCATTTGAGGGGGTAGCAGTTGGTGTGTGCGGGGAAGCAGCCTGTTGGTTAGTCTCATGGATACGGGGCAGGAAGAGAAGAATATATACACACCTGGGATTTCATTGTTGTCAATGTAGGGACCGCCTTGGTCGGGGGTCTGCGGACCGCCTGGGATGTTGATCGAGCCGCTCACGAGAGAGACACGGTTGGGACTGGTGGAGGTGATGTATGACTCCTACTGATCGTTAGAACAACCCTGCAGCCGATCCCACTATCTACCAACCTGATACATATCGCCCGTCGTCCACCCTTCAGCCAGAGCATACTGGACAGGAAGATCCTGGCGCTTATAGTACCCCCAACTCCACGCGGTCTGAGTCTTCGCCCAGAGGTCATTCTTTCCATGGTTGACGGCGCCCTGGTTACCGTAGTAGAAATTGCTTCCTGCGATGAGGCACTGGATCGCGTCCGTCCAGTATTCGGTGTCTTTGTATCCCAAGTGCCACGGGAGGAGGTGTTCTGCGCCTTTCGACAGGACGGGATTCACTTTTCTATACAGATCAACGGGTCAGTGTGCGCCAACACTGATAGGTTTTGTAGGTCTTACTGGTACCACACCGGCTGACCATCATCGTTAATCTGCACGTTGGGATCATTGAATCCTCGAACACCGGCCATGGTGCCAAAATACTAGCGAGCAGAGCATTAGCGATAACCAGCCAAAACCATATCCAATCAATCAATCGACCAATCAATCAAGTGAGCATACACTATTCCACGACCGATTCTCCTGCATAAAAATCACAACATGTTCAATATCTTTCAGCGAGCCCGCCGCAACAGGCGTGCTAGCCCCCAGCAGCAGCAGCAGGGCAGAGCCCAGCATAAAACCCATTGCTCCGTTGAATAACCTCCGAAGGAACGCGGCGCAGAAAGTCAATTCAGCGTCGAAGGATCCATGCTGGCGGGGTACCCCATGATTTAAGTAGCTGACAGATTTTCTCACTACTTCGACTGCGATGGAGACGATGGTCGCGATCGGCGCATCGGATCGGCCTCCCCATCGTCAGCACCATCTCGGACCCCGGATGAGGCCTCCTCCTATACTATTCTTCTACGGTGGGTTAGCTGCAGGGCAGTCCTTCTTATTATGGACTGCAGGACATCACGGCCCGTCTAGGTACCACGTAGCAGGTACTAGGTAGTCTATTGGACGACCATTAAAAGCCATTTAGTATCCAAACGGGAGACAACAAAAACCTAACCGGGGATGTTTAAGCGAGAAACTCCAGCTTTCCAGGCAACGGTCGGTCTGTCATCCGGACATCCGCCAATAATGGGGCAGAAAGAACTGGGGGGCCCTCGGTTGTGGTTCAGGGGCATGTGGTTCGTTAAGGGAGAAATCCGGTTGCGATGTCGATCTTCTGTCTGCAGTAACTGCACTAACTAACTAACAGGATGGTTGGGGTTGGTTTATTGATAATCGGAGCTCTGTCAGTTGTCGGTTACATCCGCTTGTCGTCCAGGGGAAGTGGATCTTCCTTGATAGGAGAGAGAATTGAAGGGTGTGTTTAGGAATCGGTGTCAATTGGATCAATTGCACGAGGGGAAAGTTGCATAAATAGAACACCCACAGACCAAGGGTGGACTCTGTCAAATGATCGGACAATTAAAAAGCTGAAGACCCATAATAGCAATTAGTAGCAATAATAGTAACAATAGCACGGTCAATGCCGAGGGAAGAACTGATCTGCGCTTTATGTAACGGTCAAGTTTGCTTCCCCACAATCGCACCACACTAGCCTGACGCCCTGGATGCTGTAAGCATCATGATTCAACAGACTGCACCAACCTGGGTCTTGATACTGTTTTGTAGACAATACTAGACTGGCAGTCTCATCGCCCGAAAGCTTAGACAACCACAGAACAGCAGAATCCTGGAACTACCGACAATACTCTGTTCTGCAAAACATGCCAACCAGCCATCATGAAAAAGCGATCCTATAGCATCTTTCTCTACCCATTAACAGTATGCGCCTTGATCCTGGTAGTCTTCTGGCAACAGACCAACACGCCAGACCCACTGCACTTTATTTCCCCGAAGATTTCCCCTGCAGCATATCCAGCAAATCCAGCAAATCAATCACACCAGACAAACACCAACCCTGATGCTCTCCGTCCAAGCATACAGCTCCATCCAGAAGACCACATCCACCGCGCCCCGACCACCCAACACCTAGATTGGACCGTAACAGCAGAGGGCATCCGTCCAGATGGGGTACTTAAGCGCGTCTATCTAATTAATGGTGCATTTCTCCTCTTCCTGTACCTCACACCTCCAACGCTAACAACAACAGGCCTCTTCCCCGGCCCAACAATCGAAGCCCTATCCGGCGACAATCTAATCATAAACGTCACCAATGCACTCCAAGATGTGCCATTTACCATCCACTGGCATGGCCTCCACATAGCTAGTGAGTCCAACCCCCCACCCCCCTGTCAAGACTACAGCTAACAACAAACAGACTCAATGGACGGTGTAGCCGGCGTCACACAATGCGCCATCCCCCCAGGCTCATCGTTCATCTACAACGTCTCCATCCCGTCTGACCAGAGCGGTACGTTCTGGTATCACGCCCATACAGGACTAGCCCGCGCAGACGGGCTCTACGGGGGTTTAGTCGTGCATGCCCCGTCTGGGGCCGGCGTAGCATCGGAAGGAATTCACGATGCAAGTGATGGAGATATGCTCCTCCTCATCGGAGACTGGTACCATCAGCCTGCGGAGGAGGTCATGGAGTGGTATATGCAGCCGGCGTCGTTTGGGAATGAGGTACCCTTTGCCCCTTTGCCCCAACTCTCAGACATAAAACGACATGAACAAAAACAAATCTGACTTACTGGAAAACGGGACAGCCCGTCCCAGACTCCCTCCTCATCAACGGTGCAGGTATCTTCAATTGCTCAATGGCAGTCCCTGCACGGCCTGTTGATTGCGTTGATCATCATTCTATGAGTCTGCCGTATCTGCATCCTGGGGATGATACGTATAGAGTACGGATTGTCAATACGGGGTGAGCCATAGTATCTATAATGGATAGATAGGACAAGCTAACAGAACGTACAGATCATTAACAGGGCTCACCATCACTTTCGACAATATGGACGTGACCCTCATCGCAGTGGACAGTATCGCTGTTGATCCGCTAGATGCTGCTCATCCTAGCTCGCTGGGCGTTCTGTATCCGGGCCAGAGGATGGATGTTCTTCTTAGACGATCTACCAGCGCGAGCACAGATGGAGTGTCTGCATCTGCGTTGAGAATTGACCTGGATGAGGAGTATGTTCAACCCTACCTATTCTACCCTACATATCTATATACCTACCTACACAACCACACAAACTGACACTAAAACGAACAGATGCTTCAAATACCCCAACCTAGCCCTAACACCCACCCAACTCTTCCCCATCTCCCCCCTTCGTCCCCTCCCCTCTCAATCCCCCCAACCCCAACCCCAAATCCAAACAAATAAACATCCACACAATCCCCTCCCCCCAACACCTCCTCCAAACCATCCCCCCCACCGCATCAACAACAGCAGCAGTCTACACCAAAATCCAAAAGCTCGCCATCCGGCATAACGCTCCCTACGGCTTCTTCAACGGCACGTCGTGGCTACCGCAGCGTGAGCCGCGGGTTCCAGTTGCTGCGTTGGATAGGAAGTTGTGGGATGAGAATCAGTTTGGGGTTGGGGTTCCGTACTCTGGTTCTGGTGCTGGCGATGACTCCCCCAGTGCGGAGGTAGAGCGGGATGGAGACAGCGGAGAACAGTGGGTCGACCTAGTAGTCAACAACCTCGACGACGGGGGTCATCCGTTCCATTTGGTTAGTACTGCCTACCCTACCCATCTACCTATTCACCTATCTATCCCCTACCCACCCACCCCCACCCCATCTACATCACCTATATAACACCAAAACCAAACCAAAACCAAAACTAAGAAGCAACAGCACGGCCACCACTTCTACATCCTCAGCACCCACGAATCCCGCACAGGCTGGGGCTCTTTCAACCCTTTCACCCCCTCAGATTCCACCTCCCCCTCCACCCCGAAACAACAATATGATCTATCAAAAGCCATGCTCCGCGACACAGTCTACATCCCGCGGCGCGGGCACGCCGTGCTGCGCTTCAAGGCGAATAACCCCGGCGTGTGGATGTTCCATTGTCATATATTGTGGCATTTGGGGAGTGGGATGGGGATGTTGGTTGATGTTGGTTATGATCGAAGGAATAATACTTTGGGAGATAATGGTGGGGTTTCAGGGGAGGTTTGTGTGGTGTGATTTGGTTTAGCTGTTGGAGTGGATTGGATTTATTGATAGAGTAGAATTTATTAGAGTAAGGAAAGTAGGTAGGTCAGTACCTATACTACTAGGCTAATATGGATGACCAAGTTCATTTCGTCGTAACAGTTGAAACATAATTATAACAATACCGAGAAAAGAGAAAAAAAAAGCAAGCCAAGCCAGCCTGTTAACGCCACAACCACCAGCTACGCCGAATTAGACGCCCACTCCACAACCTCCATAGCACACATTACAAGTACAAGCGTTGAGGGAAGGATCCTGTCCTTATTAGCGAATGAAACTAACTTCGAGTATAGAAAGAATACATACCAAACCACATAGCTCTGGAACAGAAGCTTCGACATGGCGGACACATAAACGTTATTGATCTGGCAGATCTGCGCCAGCTGCAGCGCCGACGGCGCCCCCGTGAGCAGGAAGCAGACGATGATGAAGATCGGGTCGTCGAGGATGCTGACGGGGACGTATTTCGCTAGCAGGGCGAGGAAGGGTGCCATGATGAGGGTTGGGAGGAGCATGCGGGCTACCAAGGAGGCAAAGATCAGTTTGTTCTCCTCCTTTGGGTGCTCCATTTCTAGTAGGGCCTCCTCTGGCAGTGTGTTGCGTGCTAGGTTGGCGCCGAGGACTACCAAGATCAACGGCACGGCTACCTGTGCGTTTTGGCCAATTGCGCGCGTCACGGAGTTGTGGACGAAAGTGCCCTCGTCGAAGAATAGGTGTTGGAGCGATGGTACGGACGCTGTCACGATCGCGACTAGCATGGCCCACAGCGGCGGATTCATAAAGTCCCACAACCCCCGGAAGAACCTCCGTGCGCCACTGGAGCACGCAGACAAGGTTTTCTGCATGATCGGGGGAAGCTTTTCGAAAATCGCGTCCATGCGCTTCCCTCCGCTGCTCGCGACACGACTACCCATTCGGGAGATAGAAGCCCTGGCTCTGCCTACCGATCCTCTCTTCCGTTGCTCCCGAGGAGGAATCTCCACGCTGGGGAAGCACAGGATATCCCCGCGCGAGCTCAGACGGGGCAGGAAAGGTCCCCGTGGAGGGGCGAGATGCGTCGGGCTGCTGGGTTCCGTGTCGGCTCCGTCCTGCTGGGAATACTTGGAGTAAGTGTGCGCGCTGACAGGGGTTTGCTCCCCGGAACGGAACCCAGGACCTGGTTCCCCAGGACTGACTGGCGGGCCACCCAAAGCATCCTCGGAAATTCGCGTACGGATCAGTGGCTCCTCAGTATGCTCAACCTCATCTGGATTATCCCGGTATGGCTCCTGCGCGTCTTCGACAGATTCCGCCTGCTCCCGTTCGCCATCCTCCACGTATCGCTCCCGCGGAGCAAGCAGGACGTGGTATCCCCAACTCCAGCGGACGAGCTGGCCCAGCTGTTGGAAGATGAGCAAGTAGAGAATACCCCGAGCCGCCACTTCGTCATCGTTGTCATTGGGGACGCGGTCCCAGTGCAGGCCTTTCAGAGTCTGGGAGAGCGACATGACTAGGGAGATGGGGAGCGAATTGGAGTTGCCGAAGACCTATCATCATCAGCAATGCAAAGACTGATGTCGGGAAGGAAAACTTACAGCCATGGCTGCCACGAAATTTGCCGGCCGTTTCTTGAAGCGGAGACATCGCGAGACCGCCCAGGCGCAAAAGTACGAGACACAGGTCTGGACCACGAAGATGAATGGAATGATGGCGAGATCGGTCAACTTCTCCGCGGTGAGCTGGGACCCAAGCTTGGTGAAGACTATGGCCAATTAGCAAGATGGAAATTCCTGTTTTACGGGTCACATACTTAGACACGGAGTGAACAAGAAGACGTTGAGATTGGCGACAAGTTTCTGCGCCTCAGCATCAAACATCCCCTGCTTCGCAACGATATACCCCGGCAAGCTCACGCAAACGACCTCCAGAACAGCTTCAAAAACGAGAAGGACGAGATGAAAAAAGGGCGGGTGACTGGAATGTGGAGCCTGGACATCCTGAACCAGGTTGACGCCCACCTGCGCCTGCGTCAAGAGCGCGTCACGGGGAACCAGAGAGGCGGCATTTTGCAGAGATCGCGGTGCCGTAAAAAAGGCCATCGAAGGGGGGAAAGTCAAAATTGAACAGGGGGTTGGTGTGGACGCGATGTTGCGAAGATGAGGGTTGGACAGGCAGATTGATTCCAGCTGGTCGGGTTGACGAAATCTTGCCCGACCAGGAAGGCGGCAGGCAAAGATCTTCGGAAAGCAGGTTTTGTGGCGGTTGAGCTTGCTGATAAGGTTGATAGCTCCGATCGGGGAGATAGGGAGATGAATCCAGGTAAAAACCTAATCAGAGTAAGGGCGTAGGACGTGGAGAAGGTAGAAGTTAATTTGAAGATGAACAGAATATAATCCAGAGGTGAGCCTGGCAAGAGGCGGAGCTTGATTGACGACCATAACATCACATCATGTCATGCCTTGCATCCTGAGGCATGCTCCTTATCTGGATTAACTGTGGCGACTTGGCTCATTCGCGGCCCCTGATAGGCGGGAAGTCACTGCCTGAGGTTGGCGATCGCTGCGCCCAGTAACCCGCCAAGACCTTGCCAAGCCCTTATCGCTCACTCTAACCCAACGGTGATTTGTGCCCCATGGTCGGGTTGCTGATGGGTCCTGGATCAAGTTGGATGACGACATTGAACATTCTGGGCCGGTTCTGGGATACGATCTGGACTATAGCCTACTGCACAGTAGTTACGGGAGAACCGTCCCGTCTCTGTAGATCTAAACATGATGAAACAACTGGCTGTAAAGGTATGTGTCGATCGAGGCAACTGGCAAGTAGTCACCATCCTGATGATCAGGACTGGGACAACCTAATTTCATTTCGCGGGGTGTTTCAAATGTGATGTGAGGTGGACCAGTAATGTTGATGCAATATGCAGCGCGGGACGGCACTCCTTGAAGACCCCTAGAATCTACCGCGTCACATCACATCCAAGACATCGAATCGAGCCTTGCGAGTGGTGTGATATGGCTGTAGACAGTCTTGCCTCACTCCAATAAGTGATGTCTCTATTTGACTGATTACGCGGTCCGCATGTCTCTATTGATTGAGACGGATCTGGATGTTCAAAGTACGGAATTCAAGATAGGATGGATGGATCATGTTGCGCCATGGCGTCCTTGTGTTACTCTGCCAAGATTGGTGCCAGACACGGGAGGAATAGCAATCGCAGTGACTCCGTTGATAAGCAGTAGGGGACTTCCCATTGGAATTTGAGATTGACCCTTACCATCAGAATGCATATTGATTCGTTTTCAACTGCCATATATGTATGGTCTTCTCGTACCCTTCGATTCCAAAACGCAAGGAAAGCATTGAAGAGACTGTATGTGCAGTGCCCCACCCCGTTACTCCGCCACAGCGGGAAGATGGTGGGATCAACAGCACTAGCAGCCAAAATAGTTAAAGCCAGTTTCGTGGTGTAGCACACCAAGCCAGTGTCCCCTGAGGGTGAGGCGCACGGTTTCAGGGCATTGGTTCAGATCCCGACCGAGTGGTATGCTATGTGGTCGATCGAAGCAACCAGGGGTGGATTAAACTTTAGAATTGAATTGGGGGTTTTCAGATTGGAAGAATGAAATGACCAGATTATGGTAAGTATACGCAGTTTTGTGACGAAAGATTGGGGAGTATCCCAATGAACGTATGGATAAGAGGATGTTGCGGACATATGGATGGGAGCTGGAGTTGGTTAGCGCCAAGGGTACTTCCGGTTGGCTTGAAAACCAAGTTATCCCAGTCGTAACCAGACTCGGGAACCCCGTTATTGGTGATACCAGTGGTGGCGCGGTACATTAGTCGGTAGGTTGCTCTACACCGTAGGTGCTAGTCGGGTATTATTGTCCAGACAATGCCATAGTCCGTCGCATTGCTCTCTCTGAGGCGGGACACGGCAGACAGACAGTATTCTACAGTGGCTGATATCAATGAAATCATAAGTGTCAATTACTCATGCAGTGGAGACCGATGGGAATAGATGGGGATTAACCAGGAAGACAGTGTACAGGGTTCAATTCATCTTGAGATCCGCTGGAGATTTTTACCCCCTATCCCTACTCCTGATTGGGCCCCATTTTGCGGTATTTTTGACTCGGAATCCGGCTGCGGCAGTCTTCCCATCCGACCCTCTCAGGAAACGTCCTATCATCTGTAGGAGATGGAAGGTTGAACGGAATCGGGCGGAGCGGGGACCGGTTGGCCGTGCGTGGCAACTGCCATCTGCCAACGATGGGGCAGAAATGAAAGATTCGCCACCGATCCATGAAACAAACCCAGGGAATTCCAGGGTAGCACGGTCCAGCCGGCCGCACCAGGACCAAACCGCTCTGGGATGGACTTCAACAGAATGACAGTGGATAGGAGGAAAAGGCTTGTTTGATGCCCTTTGTCCGAATTAGAGTTTAAACTCTCTTCTAATACATGGTCAAGTACGGAGAAGTAAAGACCTGGAAAGACTACTAAGATATTGCGAAGGTGAAGTTAAAGAGGCGACCATCCGGGACTGCTGATTGGCCGGGGAGTCATGCCACAAAGTCCAGGCAGGAAATCCAGAATGCATGCCTGGAGAACCTGAGGTTGTCGAGAATCTCCTGATCGGCAAACTTTCAATATTTCAATAGATGTTTCAATAGGTACTTGAATAGATATTTGAACGACATTTCGATCGATGTATGATAGATATCTTAATAGAGAATCAACAATATAATATTGTTAAATTGGACAGACTTGGCTTGGCTTCCATACCACCCCCTATAATTGAATTTGATATCGGCCTAGCTGGAGCTGGATCCAGTCATCTGAATCTGGTGTTTTGGTCCCGCGGCCCAATATGATTATTTTCTTATTTTTTTTCGAATTTGCCTCTCCAACTATACCCCATTTCTTCCTTGACCTCACTTCTCTTCCTGTTCTCGCTTTTCCCCACCAACGACTGCCCACTTCTCTCCCTCTTCCCACTTCCACTTCTCGTCCCACTTAACTCCCTCCCTACTCCCGATCCAGGTTTTTTCTCCTCCTGTTTATCCTCTCCTTGAACTCATCGATCTATTCTTCCTTCCTTCTTTTCTTTTCTGATTTACTCGTCGTTCGATCTGACTGGTTCTGATTGATTCCCTTGGACGGGTCCATTATCACTCCAATACATGTGATTATCCCGACCGCAGTTGGTTCGGCTTCCTAAGTGTGCGTGTTTTGTTCCCTTTCTTCCCCCATCCCGTATTTTGCAGTCACACCCGTTGCCCCGCGCCAAAAAAACGAACGTGTCCGCCCGAGCGATCATTCTTCCCTTCGAAAAAGACACCACTTAATTGTTGCGAATGTGGTCTCGATCTGGCTAGCTGACCCGGTCTGCCTTTCAGGAGTTGGCAACCACTCTCCAATACAAAACGGATCCCGCGATCCCCCCCTACACAATGGAAACAGAGCAACAACCGTTGCCCGACGTGTCTCCCTCGCATCCCGACCTCAGCGCCTCGGAGGATGATGCCTCGCCCTCCATGACCCCCCAATCCGCGTCGGTACCCTCCCTCCGTCCGATCTCGCGCGATACGGTTTCCGCCCCCGGCATCACGGCGTCCTCCACACACATCGGCCAGATCAATGCCGCTCGACGTGGTGCCGGGACCCCGCCCCGACCGCAGCCCTCCATGAGCGGTGCGCAGCCCGGTGGACTGAACCAGGATATCATGGCCAAGATGAAAGCCTTTTCCCTGTCCCGTCAAGGCGCACCCCCCAGCTTGTCCCATACCGCGTCGATGGGGGCCGTTCCCAGACCCTCTCCGGGCGTTCCCCCAAGCCCCGTGACCGGTCCCTCTCCGCCTCCCGTCAATGGCCCATTAGCCGGTGCCACCTCGGGGCGTCTTCCGCCGGTCGCTCGTCCAGGCACCAAGAATTGGGCCTCCTCCCCAACAATCCCGGCTAGTTCGAGCCCCGGTTCCTCGCCAAGACCCGGAGGGTTGGCTGCGAAACGGATGAAACCGGGGCTGAAACTGTCCGATGCGACGGGGTCGTCGAATGAGTCGCCGGGAGCCGACTCCGCCGCGAAAGGTCCCAGTGGGTCGGGCGAAAGCGCCTTTAGCAAATACTCGGAATATATCGACACCAAGACCGGGACATTAAACTTCAAGAACAAGGCGATCCTTCACGGAGGGGGTGTGGAGTTTTCGTCGGGGCATAGCTTCAAGATCTCCTTGGATGAGGTGGACCGGCTGGAGGAGCTGGGCAAGGGAAATTACGGGACGGTGTATTTGGTCAGACACCGGCGGCCATCAATGCGCAAACCGGGCATGGGGCTCGGTGGGATTGCAAAACGTCCAGAAGCGCTGGAGGCGGGCTTGAGCCCCCCCAAGGATCATCTGTCCGGGGTCGTCATGGCGCTGAAGGAGATTCGCTTGGAGCTGGATGAGAGCAAATTCGCCCAAATCCTGATGGAGCTGGATATCCTTCACCGTTGCGTGTCTCCTTTCATTATCGACTTTTACGGTGCCTTTTTCCAGGAAGGGGCGGTCTACATCTGTGTGGAGTACATGGATGGCGGTTCGATCGACAAACTCTACAAGGGCGGCATTCCCGAGAACATCCTCCGGAAGGTGGCCCTCTCGACGGTCATGGGATTGAAGACCCTCAAGGACGACCACAACATCATCCACCGCGACGTGAAACCGACGAACATCTTGATCAACTCCCGGGGGCAGATTAAGATCTGTGATTTCGGCGTCAGCGGGAATCTCGTCGCCAGTATCGCGAAGACGAATATCGGCTGCCAGAGCTACATGGCCCCCGAGCGGATTGCCGGTGGCGGTGTCCAGCAGTCCGGAGCGAGCGGCGGCGGAACGTACAGCGTGCAGAGCGACGTCTGGAGCTTGGGCCTGACCCTCATCGAATGTGCCATGGGTCGGTACCCATATCCTCCGGAGACGTTCAACAACATCTTCAGCCAACTCCACGTAAGCTCCTTTACCAAATTATGTCAACTTTATGAAACAAGAAAGCTAACCTCAATAGGCCATCGTCCACGGCGATGCCCCGACACTCCCTGAAACGGGCTACTCGGAGGAAGCGCACGCGTTTGTCCGCGCCTGTCTGGACAAGAGCCCGAATAACCGCCCGTCATACACCATGTTGCTCCGTCATCCCTGGCTCGCCCCGCTCATGAAGCCTCCCACCGAGTCCAATGGCAGTGCCGAGGGCCATGAAGAAACCGGCGCCTCCGTGACCGAAGATCCGGAGGTGGCCGACTGGGTCAAGGACAGGCTGAAACTCCGTCAGCAGAGTCAGCAGAACGGGTCTGACAAGCCTGCTTTGCACGCTGTCGCGTTGGATGCGGTTCCTGGTAGTCCTCTTCTTGACGATCCGTCTGCGATGTTCCAGGGATAGACTACACTGTCAGGGATACACTACAATATTCAGGAATAACGACGTGTCTTGTTCTTGAATCTAGGGTTATGAAACGTCTCGCGTCGAATTAACACCAGGGTTCCATTTTGCGAGCACGATCCCTAGGCAGGATCGGCGCAGCCAACATATCCCTGCGTCAACGTCTTACCAATATGAACCCCAACAACCCTGGTCGACTTGAAAATCATAACCATTGAAACAGTGACAGATCTGACATCGGGTTGGGTTGTTGGATTTCTCTTTCTGATCTGATATCTGATATTTGATATTAATCATGTGTAACGAGTATGGAGGGATGTAGTACTGGGTATGATGTTTACAGCCATTTCTTTCATTTCTTCTATTTCTTTCATTTCATTTCAATCAGTTCATTTCGCATTGGCGATGAAGGGTAGGGATTTAACGATGAATTATATCATGTTATTAGGATCTAACGAGATAGAGCAATTTTTTTTTTTTTTTTTTTTTTACTATACTATACAATATGTAGGGTGGTTAGTAATGTGCCATTCACTGTGGTATTGGTGGTATTGATGTTATGTGGGAAGGGGAGTGAATAACCAGGTTTGTATGTACCTTGTGAGCTACCTACGTATCAACTATCACCAAGGTCCTTGTTCTGATATCACACTTGCGTAATCAATTCCCTGAAAAATCCTACATCTTTTTTTTCTACAGATCTACAGACAAATGAATAGTAAGAATGACATGACACATATCTTTCTCCGTTTAGAGGCTTTGGCTGCTGCTCATTGCTTTTGTATAGCTTCCCTGCCTATATCTTACGTAGCTAGCTAGAGTAGAACTCGCTCAGAGATGAATGGGTTGTTGATTACCAGCTGGCTGGGACACCTGCAATGATTAGATAGATAGATGACTACTTCCAAAGTGAAGTCAACCTGTCTATCTGGCAGTTTGTTATTAGCGTAGAATAGTGAAGTCAAGTCTGTCATTGATATGGAATAGTGAATGGATATCAAGCACGCAAGCAAGCATGTCAGCTGGTCTCAAAGAATTTCCCCCACAGATTATACTTTTTTGACTCCTTGACTTACAATCTTGCAAGTACTTCTATATTCTATTATTTCAAAATCATAAAACTGATATTGCCTTTGTCTTCTTTTGTCACATAGAGAGACATACAATCAGTAAACAAACAAGCGTGCCAGCTGACACGCAGTGGAAACTCCTCGCAGGTTGTTTCCCTCACTGCCTCGTGTCTTCTTGCAATCTTGCAACTACCTGCAGCTGTGCGGCTCTTTTCCTGGTCTTGGATCGCTTGAGGTATTGGTGCTTAGGCTATTTTCTTTAGTCCCCCCCTTCTTCCCTTGGTTGTTGATATAGGGATATATATATATATATTTCTCTCTCGAAAGGGTCTGAGACTATATGTCATATGTATCATACGATGTATATATGAGCAACCAGACAACAATATCACACTTGCTGTCTAATAAGCTCGATCACGGTTCTACCTGTGGGTAGGGGCGCTTTCACATTGATAGTCAAATTGACACATTCCCACCCTACTGATCACGGATACCACCAGGGTATGAACATTTCCGAAAAGAATAGAAGAGGAGTATACTAACTGGAGTTAGGGCCCATCAAGGCTGCTGGTGCTGGTCTTGCTGGCATCCATATGTTGAGACTGCATGGGGGGTGTATCTCTATCACATATTTTGGAGGTGGATTGGAGGTGGATAGAGTTGAACTGGTATAGTTGTTGGATCCAGCGAATGTGCGGCCTGGTTTTTGATATGGTGATCTTCTTTTACGATATATACGGGTTATATATTGAGGTAAGTCATGGCCCAGTTTATGTTGCGGAACTAATCTGGAATACAGTCACCGTTGAACAACTTTCCCGTGGAAGTATCCATGTCTATGAAAAGGATGCAGATGAAAAGTAAGTATATACCAAGTTAACATCAAGTCTAAGCTAACATGAATCAGGGCCCTCTTCCGCTACATTCGCAACAAGACTAGAGAAACGCAGAGTTCTTACACTGACCAGAAGAATATCCCATGGATACTATTTTATCTGATACACAGAGATCTGTATATCTGTTATATCTGTGATGAATCTATGGGTTTATTGATCAAACCACTACCTCAGGAAAAGGTCGACGAGGACGAGCATGAGGTGCGGTGAAAGTAGGTATAGTATTTATCAAGTTGATATTAGGTCTGAACTAACTAGAAATAGTGGGGGTTTTGAAAGACATTCAGACCCAGCATAGGAGACAGGCGGACTTTCTCCACGAGCCAGGATTTTACTGCATGGTTTTGGTTTTACCTGGTATACAGTAATTTTGCATGATGGTGATTCATTCATGACTTCATGAATCGTTCAACACGCTCATGGAAAGAACGTATCACTTTTGAAATGAGAGAGCGAATCTAATAAGTTGTTTAGATATTTAAACATCTCAAGAGTTGCTATAGAGTATTTCTACAAGCTATTCGAAGAGAACAGCAAGTAAGCAAAAATCTCGTTTATTAGAATGCTGCCCGAGTGCATCGCTTTCTGCCAACCCATCACAGGGGGAAGAGCGATAATGAGTCTGACTGTATTGATTATAGAATGCTCTCTGTCGGCAATCACAGAACTACCCAGATGGTCCAGATTTGCAGAGTTCCCGAACATCAGGATGTTGAGAGCACGCAGGTCATGTTCGCTTTCTGGATTTCGGAGAATATGGATACAGATCAGCAAACCCCTACGGAAGCCAATACAGATTGGATTTCAGATGCAATCGGGTATGTAGTATCTCTGATTTAGTGATATATGCTGATAGAATGAGATATAGGTGCGTCCCGAGCACGCTGCTCTGGCGGCCGAGGTGTTCAAGCTGGTGGCTAGGGTTGAGTCAGCCCCCTAGCTCACCGCAACGCTTGCAGAAATAAGATAATCAGAGAGCTTTGTTGAACACCATAATTGCTACCCGGCATGTGCAACTGGATATAGCTGGACGAATTGACGAGGCGGCTTGCGCATCAACAGGGTTTCCATAGCTGATGAACTGGGCGCCTGTGGATTGCTCTGAAGACATCCGGCTGCTAGTTCTCCACGATCTTCCAAACCGTGATACATGCCTTGTGACCGCGCTGTCTGATATTGAGAAAAAGGCGAGTACGGTATCCAAAGACAATCTGATACTGAATTCCACGCACCTGGATGCCACCGAACGACCGGAACCGTACGTCGACGCGTCCCATCAAAACCATGAAGATGTAAATCCTCCGAAGGATATATCATCTTCCATTGTGAATCATTCAACATATCTTACAGCTTGATTCGCACTTCAACGCCCTGGTGCCTCGGCGCTTGTGATTCCTCACCGCTACGCCCATGTATAATCGTGCAATCGATTTCTGCGGATATCTGGCAATGCTGTGAAATTCAACGTGGGAAGAAGACCCTCGATGGCCTTTGGCAAATGCGAATTCACACTGTTGATCTACAATATCCGGCAAAAGTCCAACAGCGGCACATGAGATCTACATTGTCCTGGAGTTGCAGGACCGGATAAAGACTGACAAGAGGCTCACCACCAATGCCACTACCATCACCACCATCATACCATTGGTGCTAGTCAACAGCAGAACAAAGGAAGCAAAACAGATATAGAGATACTCCGGCGACTGGAGCTGCTAGTTTTGATACCACGCGTGAAGAACACTCGACGCACGCAGGGAAACTTTCCACGACCAACATGGTTGCATCTTCGGTGAAAGATGACGCCAGCTTCACCTTCTGGTGCTCGATAGATATATATCCCGGCATTTTACTATCACGCGGTTTATCTCAGCGTGAGTTACCTTATGTGGCCTTGTCCAAGCTCGCTTTCTATGGTGCATGCACTGCCTACGGACGGCGGTAAAGAATTTCGACCCAGCGGCCGACGAGTCTTCTACTGTCAAATGCTTCATCGATGGCAAGACTTTGGTGTTGTGTCGCCAATGCTCCTCAAGAAATGCGGTCTGTGATGAGGTAGGTACGTTTCCGCAACTCTGTTTTTTGTATCTCTGACTTATATATTTGGTAGGCCATGACTGGCATTCTCGGAGACGGTCATGATCTTGTAAAGATCCGCGAATTTCTATGTACGAAGAGTTAACTAGAATATCTGCATGATTAGCTAACGCGCTGGACCGATTGCAGTTACTGATTCTCTCACATCTCGAGTCTTATAATGCAGTGCCAGCTGCAATAAGAAGAGTCTATCTATACCAACACCTCACAAATGCAGGAAAGCTGCGAGCACGCCATTACGATTTTGTCTTCTGCGAAAGAAGATGTGTAGTGCTCTCCACATCAGCAGAAATCTCCCAAGGAAAATGGAGACAAAGTCAGGCACCGCTATTGACCATTACGAAAACCCAGACTGGTACAGTCGACCGCGAACAGCTAGAAGATAAGCTACGCGGCTGTATACTCAGCTGTGTAATAGAAAGGGAAGATCATGGGTGCAACATTTGAATACTGGGTTGGACATCGAGCAACAATTACACCAGAATTGAAAGCGACAATTAATGCAACCATACAAAAGCGGAACGTCGCTCCAGAAAATTTGACAAACATGACCCATTTTGGCAATACACCCTTGTTACAGCCGGTCTCCAGAATAGTGGAAGAAGAGCCTGATCCCTTAGATCTACGGGAAGAGACGCGATCAACCTATTTGCGCATTGCTACAAAATGGACGTCATAGATTGCTTGAGTGGGGGATTACTTTTTTTTATTACTCTTTACTCTTTATTATTACAATCGGACATCATCTCACAATAACTAGTAAACACACAAATCCACATATAGCACCACCGACTTGACTCCATCGTGTCTGTCTAAACTAACCCAATCTGACCCACATATATAATGCCCCACAAAATAATGATTATAGTAGTTCTCAGTCTCCATAGTACGACGTATACGGAGTAGCAGTAGGAAGGTAAATAGCACGATCTAACCCACACTATAATCAGAAAGTGTACACAACCCAAAGGTAAAAAAGAATTAAATAAGTAATTACCTAATTTAATCCTATAAGCGTTGAAAATCCACCCATTAATAGCACCAAAGTCCAACTAACTAATTTAGACCGATGTAAGATTTATAAAAAAAAATATATTCCTGAATCATGGGAGGTGGAGAGCATTAGGTTAGTACAGTCGGTACAGTAAGTGCTAGGTAGGGCTGATGAGATATTATCATCCTGTAGATGCCACGTGCGTGGTGGTCTATATATAGAATGACCCCGGCATCCACCACACTCCGCACTTACACCCGGCCTAAGTAGGACTAAATAAAGGTACAGATGTCTCGCTTTGATTATCTATTTTTTTTTTTTTTAAAGGATACACTAGTTAGGTCAGTACTGATTCGTCGGATAAATTGACATAAACGAGCACAATATACCCAAAAAAAGAAAGAAAGAAGAAGGAACGAAAGAAATGAAGAGTCCCTGCATATACGAGAAGCAGTCAGTCAGTCAGTCAGTCAATCAATCATCTCAAGTGGATACGGTATTACCTACCTACCTAACTACCTAACTACCTAGTAGTACCCACACAACCCTACCTATCCTACCTATCCTCCCTAGTGCTAGCCCTAACCTAGCCTCAAATCTACACTAGATATGCATGACGATGTTAGTTCAGCTACTCCGTATGGAGTTGACTCGGGGAGATGGGAACAAGCTAAGTTAGTTTATGCTAACCCAGTGTAGTACCATACTACGAGATCGTATACGATCTGTATATGTGAGGGAGATTACGGATATTCCTCCTACCTATATTTAACATGCATCCCTGCTTTTCGGGTTCTTGCTTGTTTGGCTTGGCTTGAGTACTCATTTGAGGTTTTTTAGCTGAGGGGTATCTGTCTATATTTTATCATTATAGTAAAGAGTATACGATAGATTATTATACTACAGATACCAAGTCTATCTACTTTCAGTAACTTCGTATTCCGTGATTGAAGGACCTACCTAAGCAGCTAGATATACATGAAACCCGCGTTAAAAAACTACCTGCACACAAACAACCTAACTAACATCCCACCTCCCTATAAGGATAGATAATCACGTTGATCACCATGCAATCCGAGCTTCTGACATCAACCAACCCCTTCCCCCCCCTTCATCCCCCCTCATCCCCACTTGGTCACTTCATGCACTGGCTACTTAGTACCTACTTAGTACATACCGGTTTGTTTGGGGTCTATTTATAGATCGGGTTAATCAAACTTTATCCAACATTTTACTATACTACATACTATACTAACCTAAACTAGGCAGTTGGCACCTGCGTCGAAGACCCATTCACTGAGCCCTAGGTGGTTAGCTACCTGCGTCGATCGCTAAAGATCGATTCCGCTAGATAAATCAAGACTGGCTGGTCAGATTTTAGAGCTATTCTATCACTCTTGACGATGATCATGATAATGATAGTGGTAAAAATAGTAATAATGGAAGCAAAAGTAGTAGACCAAAATGATGAGATGGTTTTTATTTAGCGCTAATTGGTATCAAACCGTGGCGGTTTCTCCGCAATACGACTCGCTGTAGCATGGCAAAATGAAAACAAGAATAGAAAAAAGTGAACTCCACATCTCGTGACTAATTCCGTAGCGAGCGTCCTGTATGCAATATCCCGTAGCTGGTCAATCAATCAATGAGAAAAAAAGAAAACGTAGAAAACGTAGAAGAAAAAAAAAGAAGAAAAAGGTATAGCGCATGCCTGCTGTTCAAATACAAAGTGGGGAGAAAATAAATCAAACTGGCAAGGGGAGAAGGGGAAAATGGAGAAAAGTGGCCCGCCTTCTAATCGCCCAATATCAAACAAAATATCAAACACAAACTATCCAAAAACGTTGGTTCCATGACCAATCGTAGGTATAGGTATATAAATAGAATATCATATCAATCACACGGGGATAGTGCCGGTCCAGCACGGCTCGGCGGCGCTATACCCCCCGACGATAGCCTGTGGTTCGCTGTAGAGGCCCAGGTTCAGGCCCAGGGTGTTGTCCACCCGGGAGAGGCTTCCGCAGGCTAGGTCGGTGCTGAATGGGGGTGGGAATGACGGGGAGGGCTGGAGGGAGCCGGCGTGGCTGGAGTCGGAGTAGTCCTCGTGAGGTTCGGAGAGGAGACGGGGGGAGGGCGGGTAGAGAGGCTGGCAGGCTGGGGCGGTCACGTACGCGGCGGAAACGTCAAAGGGCGAGCTCGCGACGCTCACGGCTGGTGGAGATTGAAGGGGTGGAGTGTATGGTGGGTAGGTCGCGGAGGTTGAGGAGGGCGAGGACGAGGATGCGAGGCGGTAGTCGTGGTAGTGGTATGGGCTGGGTGGGGGAGGCGGAGAGAAGTGGTCGATGGAGGTGCGTGGCGACCAGTGGATGCGGGTTTTGTAGTTTGCGACGATATGGCGGGGAAGCTCGAGGATGGCTGCTGCGAGCTGCAGCTCGGCGTTGTAGGGGTCGGCGGTGCTGGTGGTGAGCACAATGCGGTAGATTTCTTCGATCGGGGCCACGGAGAGCGGTCCTAGATAGGCGCCTCCAAGGTCGGGGAATAGACTGTCCAGCGCGACTCCCACGCCGAAGAACTGAGCGAGGATGGCCAGTGCCGGGAAGTCTGCCTCACCACCGCGCAGCATCGCAGGCGGCAGCCAGAACAGCCACCGGCGTAGCGGCTGCATCCGCTCAAACGCTTGCTGGGGGGTCTGCAAGACCAGGTCTCGGCGGAAGTGACGGACGAACTCGACGAGTTCCGCGATCCGGCGGTAGTGTTCGTGGTTGTGGGCGACTCGATCCTGGATATTCTGGAGGGCCAGGACGGTCTGATCAAGACTGGTCAGGTCTTCATCCTGGAACTGGTATCCTGACATCCCGGGGGTGTTGGTGCACCCCAGAAACCGCTGGTTCTCGAGGAAGAGGGCCAGCTCAGACTCATCTTTCCAGGCGGGATGCATGGAATCTAGGACGGTTGTGAGACCTTGTTGCAATGAAGCCCAGCTTTGCCTGTGCCTGGTTAGTACCGTTGACATGGTGTGATTCGTAGAGTCACTCACCACTCTGACGCTTGCCAGGATAGGAGAATCGAGGCAGCCAGGATCGCATCGCAATTCTCCCGCGAAAAGGCCCCAATTGCCTTGTGTAGTCCTTGGATAGCAACACCTCTGTGATGGTAGGCCAGCTGCTTGGTCTCCTTATTTTGCGTGATCCACGCGAGATGGGAAGCCGACAGAGTGAGGATCGAGCTCATCACGAAGTCGTATGACAGGGCGAGGGATAGAAAGCTGCGAAAAGTCAGTGCCATCATTTCTGCCAAAGCGCACTCTTAACAACTCACATTGGCATCTTCGGGGCCCAAACCGTGCATCCACTCAATCCTCGCCGGTGCAAATCAATAGATAAACCGATAATATGGTGAATGAGTCTCAAATCGGTTCGCGACAGCCTGCTCCACGCATTGCGCGGGAAGTGCATTAACTCGGGGAAGGGTGGGATGCCCGTGAGCTGCCAGTTCTTGATCTCCATTTCGATTTCGGCGGACATGAGAAGGTCAGGAACTTTGCGGACCGGATGGGAGTCGCCCTGCACTGCGGTCACATCCATGTAATCGCAGCGACAGTTGTGTTTGGTGCAGTTCCGGCTGGGGGATGTCAGCCATTTCCATCAGTGCAACGACCACGAACAGGGGGGTGTCTACCATTGAGGGAAGTTCTCATCGCAACGAATGTGTCTTCTCTTGCATGTCCGGCAACCAAAGCGCGACTTGGTATGGCTCTTGCGAGGGGGGCCACCGCCAGGGCCAGCCATGTTGTCTGATAGGAGAGGTGTAGAAGGAGTGAAGGTAGGTTTGAGAATGTTGAAGTAGACCACACTACTTCGTGCAAAGCAAGTATCAACAGGGGGAAGCAACGAGTTGTTTGATGGGTATAAGAATAGAGACGACAGATGAGGTGGGAGGATAGAGGGATATATAATGACGAGGATGGGAACCGAGACGACGGGTCAGGTCAGGTCAGGCCAGGCCAAGCCAGGGTATATAAGATAGCTCGGAGGACCAGCCTAGGGCGTGACAGAATGCAGACTCCAAAAATAACCTCGAGCCGCAGGGCCCCAGGATGTGGAGGGCGGGAGGAGGACGGACGGACAGATAGGCACGTGGAGAATACGAGAAAACGGTAAGGAACAGAGGTTGGAGGAGCAAGTAGGGGAATTATTTTTGATGTGGATCTTCAGAGAGCACGGAGGAAAACGAGGTGGAGGAGATCGAGGTCAGAGATATAGATAATAATAGAAAAGAAACAGCGGTTGTGAGTTCTCAGCTGAACGTTATGGGAGATAAGATGGAGAGGAGGAAAATAACGAGAGAGGGAGGGGGTCCCACTGTGGTTAAAAACCGCGAGACTAAGAGTTATAGTAGAGGAACAGTTGAGGAGAAGATTATCATGATGATAATATTAACAAGAAAGACTTTGTAGGGTTAGGGGGAGAAAAGAAGATGTAAGAAGATTAAAATAAACCAGGAGGGGCGCAAAATAAATAAATAATATAATCAAAATAAGAAAAGAGAAGAGAATGAAATAATAAAATCAATAAAATCAACCCGTAAGAAAAGACGGGAAAAATAATCAAAAGAAAAAAGGAAGTTCAAGACTAGTCAGCCTGGGGAAAGGTCTGTCAGTCTGAGAGAGTCGTCGAAATCGACCAGGCAGTCCAACGCCACGGTACAACCAGTCAGATGTTGATCTCTGGAATGCACTAGGAGAGGTAGGTAGAAGTAGGTAGGGGAGGAGAACCAAGGTTAGGAAGAGGACAAAGGAGGAATAGAGGAGGAGGAGTTGCAGGAAGACCGAGCAGTAGCGGGATTGGGTATAGTCTCAGGAACTAAAGACTGGCTAGAACGATGAGTAGATAATGAAGGAGAAGATCAGAGGAGAAAACAACAGTCCAAATAGTGGAGGGTGGAGAAAGTGCAGAGGATCATGACTTTGAGCCTCCTCGATAATCTGCTATTAATATTAATATGATATTATCTGGTTGAATGCGGGCTAATCTAGTCTGCATGCCTCACTTGTCTATATTATCTCATTTGCTATTGATAATATTTTGATATTATTAAAATTATCATATATTATACTAATGAGGATGTTTGCCCAAGTTTGCCCAGCATATTAACGTGATCAGGCTGGACTGCACAGAGGTTCAGATCATGGAGATCGTTCAGTAAAAGTACTTCTTCACTCGATGTGATACCTACAGCTACTGAATACTGAGACTAGAATGACCCCCCGTCCTCAGCTGAACCAGGGCTACTGCAGACGGACCAGTTCCATCCGTCCCAAGCCCCACCCACAACCCAGTGCTCGTCCCCAGTTGGAGGACAGTCATCCTCTTACAAGTTAGGCCACATGGACTCAGCACCAACTACCAGACAAATCGGGTCGTACTAATTCCTACACTTTCCCTCTCTGGTGAGAAGTGTCATGGTCCGGCGTGCTAAGACCACGGGCTACCAAATACAAAAACAATCCACAATAATAACGATGTGGATGATGATGACGATGACGATAACAATGCTAATAATAAGAAAAACGGGAGAATCTGACAGGGTCAGCCAAGAAAGACCCTTTTCCAGCCTCTAGCCCATCAAAGATCATTGGTTACTGGGGAGTTTCGTCCAAGGGGATCCCATCCGTCCCCCCGGGTGGTTTAGATTCACACCGGGATCCAGGATGGATGGATGGTGTCTGCGAATAGACTAGTTGGAAACCTTAGTCACATCTGAGACCGACAATCCAGTGCTTTGTCCATCTGGATGATGGGGAAATTCCCAATCCCAAGGATGCTGCAAAGTTAAAATAAATGTCCATCAAAGGATACATCGATTCGTCGTTCTGGTCCCCGTTCTGGATCCAAGACAGATGCAAGAGACACAAAGCTCCCTCTGTCGCCTTCCCCTCACTGGCGGTGGCGGCTGGACCCCAGATCGTCAGGAAACCCCAGACACAGGGGGTGTGACGGATCACTGACAGAGAGCACATGTATGTAGGAGTCATTCCAGGGTCAGGGTCCGCGGAGATCGCAACCATCCTGTTTTCTCAAGAGAGACGGGAGGTGAGAGATCCACAACGACTTCTCCTTCTGTGGAAAGGAATGGCACTGAGGAACAAGATCATGGATCTCTTCCCCCCTCTCGGGAATAGTGTGTTTTTCGGCCGGGGCCTTTGATTGCCAAGCTAACGGGACATTTTTTTTGTTTTCTAGTCCACCCGCTCGTGCTTCGCTTACTCCCACTGTCCCTTCCTAGTCAAGTTATTTGCTGCGTGTAATTAGGCCCTTGGAGGGTTATGATGACACATTGCATGACAGCCAATAGCCAGACAGAGCTCTTCTACCCTTTTAGGAGAGAAGGGAGAGACACCTCAGAAGGGGACAGAAAAAAGAAAGAAACAGAACAAAAGATCAATTGACGGGCGAGGAAAAACAAACCCTAAGACGACAGGCCCAAACGCGACACCAAACGCGAAAAGGAAAAAGAAGAAAAAGACTAAAAGAAAGAAAGAAAAAAAGAGAATTCATTTGCTGTCTTGGGAAGGGGCTCGCTGATCCTAGCTAGGCCGCCATGCTTATTGTTCCGCAGTGTCAGTCTAAGGAATTCTTCTGCTGAACCTACCTGCCTACCTACCTATTCAACAACCAGGCACTAAGTACGAGTAGACTGTACATATCTCAGTTGTTACTGTCTCACGCCCTTCGCTTGACAAGGGGGAATGGGCACAGGCATGGGCATGGGCATGACGCTTTACATGCTTCAATCAACAGTCCCATCCATCCATCTCCCTTGACTACTAACATCCCATTGGCCACGCGATCCTTCTCTCCCGTGAACAAATCTCAGATGCCCCTGAAATTGCTTCTTCCCTTGGAATTGATTCAATTCCAATCCCCATTCCCATTCCCCGTTGGCATCGCCCTCCCATCCACATTCTCAACCCGTCACAGCCATATATTGACCCACTAGTCAGTTGCCTACTAACTCCGAACCGAATCGTCTGGGGTTAAGTTTCCCAGGAGGCGGTCGATGGTTGCTGCCTCGGGCGGATCGGGCGCCCCAGCACAGTCTAATGGAAACCTACTACCTTACTTCCGCGGGTGGGTTCATCTATGCGCCGTTTCTATCCGACGGGGGAAAACTGTCTTTGTGCCGCGGCTCAATGAATGCCAAGTCCTCAATCACTATGAACTCATGCTCCTTCTGGGGAAAATATACCCTCGTGACGCGCATGATCACTACTTACTTACTTACCTTCCCAACATCCAAAGCTCAAAGCAGGAAGAACAGCCGAACACTACCACCAGAATCAGCCCAAACGGCGATAGCTGCGGTGCGGCATCGACAGGTTTGGTCGATGAGGGACAAGGCGCGTTCTGTGATTCGTCACGTTGGTGCCCGGGTCGATGCCAAGTGTCTGTTTTGGGTATTCCGTACCCTCGTTTATTCCTTAACTCAGTGTTTCTTTAGACAGAATTAAATAGATGGGTGAAATGGTACTGTACTATATATAGGTAATATAGAATAGATAGTTCCCCGTTCGCATGGCTACACTACCGATCTCTGTGTAACAGCGTGCGGACCATGTTCAGTCCTCGCTTGTGTGACTGTTAGTTACTATTCCGTCGTACTGAACCATTTCTCGAGAAAAGAAACCAAGAAAAGACGCCAAGCCGCCAAGACAAACAACGCATTTCCACACGCAGAAAAGAGTATAGGTCAGGGTCATGGCGGCCTGCGCGAGGATGTAATTATAGTAGGACTAGTCTGTTTACGGTTTAACCTTTTAAATCAAGGCAAATCATCTTGAGGGGCCCCGAATCATGGACGCGGCTGATTCAATAAGTAAATAAATAAATGAATAAAAAGAAAGGAAGGGTAGGAAAAAAAGAGAAGAGGAGGAAAAAAGCAAACCATGGTTTGTCCAAGTCTGGACTTGGGCCTGTCTGCCTTTTTGGAGTAAACTTGCGGCTGACGGGGCAAAGTCAACAAACACCAGATGTCAAACCAGGGTTGGAGGATTAATTAGTAAGAGAAATGAAATCTACTCTTCGACATCCTTGCCTGTTGTAAGGAACGCTACTAGTCGAATCTGGACTAGGTCTCCAGGATGGATGGATGGATAGACACACCAAGGGATGATGGACGATGGATGATGGATAGATTCAAGGGGTGACACAACGGCAGTCATGCCCTCTCGGCAAGAGTAAACGACGGTAGGTAGTTGTAGACGGTAACACCGGTTTCAGCCGTCGATGCAAGATCCAGACTCCGTGTTACAGCATCCCAGGCGGTCGGATGAAACACGTCCTGGGCATCCATGGTGATGTTCGCTTATTTTGATCGAAATCGGATATGACCCGCGGGTCCTGGCATGATATACGTCTTGTTTCTTGTCAGGTGGGTTAAATGACAGACAACGTTGTGGCTTCCTCACCGGTCAACTGAGACGTTGTCCACAGCCTGGCTACAGAGAGAGTTAGGGTGGTGTGATGATTGGCGGATCCAGACTCAATCAAGGTTGAGGGGAGATTGCCTGGAAGCCTTCCGTCGGGTCGACGCTTGTTGGCCCGGCGAAGGAGAGAGCTTGAAGAATATGATGGCCAATTGAGGGGGGATCTCCGACCATGGTTCTTGGGACGAGGCTGAGCACGTCCCAGATTTGGGCTTGACGTCCTCCACCTGTCCCAGCACCAGCACGGTCAATCCATCATCAACCATCATTGTCGTCTTCTGACTTGAAAGCTGATAGAGTATGGGACTCATCCTGCATTGTCCAGACCACGGTTGCATGGATTTGTCGCACAAGATATCATGCCACGTTTTTCAGAGTAATCCTAGTATTGACGGATTAAGAGATGATCATGATAAAAATAACCCGAATAATCATAATAATAATCAGAAGGCGTGGACGTCCCCAGATCAAACCGCCATGTGATCACCATGGCTGGGGATCCTTGTCCGTAACTATTGAAAAGTTAAATTCGAGAAAATCCACTGGGAAGTCTGGATGGAATGTCGGTTCGAGGGATCAACACTGTCTGTCTTGTCTTTATTTCTGTCCCTGTCTTTATTTCCGTCCATAACATTCTTTAGATGTGAGTCTACAATCTGATCGGGTTCCCCGAGATTAGCTAAAGCAGGTTAATCAAACGGAATGACTACTTCACCATAGTGACCACCAAGCAAGGCTATCCTAGGTATTCCCAAGTAAAGCCGAGCCCACCATAACCCCCGGCGTCATCCCCATTCCAGTAAAAAGAACGACGGCAATTCCCGACCCGCAAATCCACCCCAAACCCACCCCGGTGTCCAACCACTGGCTCACCACCATTCTCCACATCCGACCAGTCATGATCGGTGGAAGCAAAACCGGAGATCGACCCAATGAAGACCCCTGGTCTGGTGCCCTCCCAGCGAATGATTCCTCAACCCGGGGACCACGCCTATTTAGACTCGCGAGATGGCACCTAATCTGGCTAGAGGGGTTGCTCGCTGGGTCACCGCTGATTGTCTGCTGTTGGACCTTGGGATTGGTTTGTTGGCGATTAACTCTGACTATTGCCCCCGTCAGGCCTAAGTTGGTTTGGGGGACTATCAACTTTAATTTTATCCAGCTCCTGGCCAATGTCTGTTCGTTGTTACCAGATTGGTTTAAGGAGGATCTTCTCCTGAGAGTTGATTTAGGGTGTTCTCCTGAGTTTGAATAAAATCACCGAATCTGTTGACATATCGATAGCGGTAGATATGGCGACAGTCTGACTCGACTTGTCAGGCTTCTGTATCCCGACCGTTACACATGCCAGGTTGCCATGTGGGCTGACAGTCGCCGATCTCCACGATTCTTCCCCGTCAACCTAGATGAAGAGGTAATCAGCACAAGCCATCTGTCGAAACACCACGACTCTCCTTTCCCTTTACAGGGACAGCCCAGATACCGGCACAATAGTAAATAATCTTCAACGATAGCCACGTCAGAACCCAATCCGTGTTAGCGTCCTGGGCTAGCTCGGTCGATAGGCAAGAAGAAGTGTATCGAAATTAAGATCCCCAGTCGAATGACGGCTGACAGGCTCATCAGAGATTCTTTCCCTTCTTTCCTTTTTTTTTTGCTCTTACCCCATTTCCCCCTTTTGGACGAGTGACTGGATGCCTTCCCCTAAACTTGCGGTTCGCCCGACATGGCTCCAGCTAGGAAGATTCCGCTCCAACAGAACCAGTCCCGATCGAGAATTAAGCTCTGCCCAATCAATGACATATCCGCGGGCGAATGGTCGACCCAGACTCGATGTGTCGCTGTATCACGTTTTTTTCCCGTCCCAGCATTCTGTTAAGCAGTCGTGTCTAGAGTGCGATGTGGGAATCTGCAAGGGCTGATTGGAATGGAATGGTTGAGTCACTGGAGTGTAGTCCTATCAGAGGCGACGACGGGGTTACCGTTTCGGTCGACGACATGTCTTGGTCAGCATGTGCGAGGCAAGGCAACTGACTGGTACAACACCTCCTAAGTTGTCCTGGGTGGTTGAAGGGAGGTTGCAGCTTCAATGGGGATCATCCTCCCGCGGTTCCCTGGGTCAGGACAGCCACATCTAGTCATCTGCTACCTGCCTTTTATATTGCTATGCTGCTACGGAGTACAGTTGAGGGCTTCAACTTCGACCAGCTGCCAGTCAAGCTCAAACTCAACTCATAGTAAAGTATGTAGCCAAAGATCAATTTTCATTCATTTCTCGTTTTGCTATTCTATCATTATCATAGTTTTTATCATTATCATTTTATCATTGGATAATATGTTATGTGCCAATACTCTCCAATCAGGAAAATACTGAACCACACCTATAATGAACGACATAATTAATAAAATCAAATCGAAACATCCATCTATAATAAAATTAGTATGGAACGGTGTCCTCTCAACCAGTTTGACCCCCCCATCCCCAGCCCGCATTGTATACTCCCTGTGTGGCGAGTTCCATGAGGTTTGCCCAGCTAGATGGAAACCTAACCTACAAAGTTGATACTACTGTAGGTACTCGAATCCTGGTGGCATCTAACCTAACTCTACCTTCGTCACGTCGATTCTAAATAGTATATACCCAAGTACCTGTCTTGCCTCTCTATCAGGGTATCATTGATGAATCAAATGATCCGGTGTACCTTACCAACATCTGCCACCGAGTATAGTAACAGTATACTATATATATCTAACATCATATATCGCAAAAGTATCCAACATCTACCCCAATAATCCCAACCCAAGCATAGACCTCGTCTGTGCTCCAGTCCCTTCCCCACCATCTCACCCACTCATTCCCAACCCAACCCACCAACTAACCCAGTAAATTGTAACCCACTACCTAACCAACCCAAGTTACATACAATCCCAATCTATAAATACCCACTCCCAAAAGCGAACTACCCACGAAAAGCAAAAGCAAGAGCCAAAGCTAGATACTCAAAATCCTCCCCCAATCTCCAAACCCGAGGTTTATTTCTATACTTAGCCTTACCACCCCACTTAGTCCTCCCGTCTAAACCCACTCCGGTATGGACTGTGATGTTAGTTGCAGTACCACACCTGCCTGCCCTGTAGTTACTAGTGATAGTCCCTGCCTGTCCTGTCCCTAGGGGTCAATGAATCTCGGGGAAAACCACCGCATGCGTGATCCCTGGAGGTTTAGCAGATGCAGCTAGTTGCTAGTATAGTATTCATACTGGGAGGAGAACGGACTAGCTGGGTTGAGGGAGGTTTTGGGAATAGGCTAGGGGATTGCTTGCTTGGTTTCTGGAGTGGGGTGGATTGAATTGGGCTAACTGGATGTGGTGTCCGAATGGTTATATCTTTTTTTCTTTTTCATGTTTTCATATAAAAGTGTTGAAGCCAAGACATGATAATCCTCTCATCCCCTCGTCTCATCGTCTCATCGTCTCATCACCTTTTTAACATCAAGCTAGTTAGTTAGTTGCCTAGTTAGCCAGCAAGAAGAAATGAAGCGGCTTACCCCGTCTATGCTTTCCTTTAGAGGCGGCATGTTGCGAGATGCATATACCAAGAATATCTAGATGCTCCATATATAGATATAGATCGATATAGAAACAGATATACGGATAGAAAGGCGAAGAGCTATTCTTGTCATCGTATACGGAGTACCCTGTTTCTATTCTCGTCGAGAAGTGGACTACCTATCCTGTTCTTCATAGCTTTTTATGTTATTTTATCTCATTTTGATTTTGATTTTATTTTCCTTCCCTCAGTGCATTCCTCAGCTTCCATCCCCGTCTATCTTTGGCTAGTAAAGTAAAGTAAAGTAAAGTGACGGACCAGGAAGTGAAGTGACCTCGACGACGATGCCTTTAGCTAAACCCATCAACAAAACAATATCTCATTTCAATCCATCATTCATCCGCATGACATAGGCAGAACATGGTCACCACCCTCGATTGGGGAGAACTACTCCCAGCCTTGTGCGGCTGAAATGTCTACCACCATCACCTTATTCAATCATCTTAATCATTGATTCTTCCCGTCTTTTGGCTGCCTATTGCCTTTCTTTACGCTTCCCCTTGCCCTTCCTCACTCTTGCCGATGGGTTTACACAATAGGTTACCAACTGTGGAGACTAGGACTGGGATTAGTATAGGTATGTACATAAGGGTATAGTTAGTTGCTACAGCCCAAGTCTTTCTCGCAGTTTTAGTCATGACTTTAGCCATCTCATCGAGGCCAGTATACTATACCCAGTAAGTAAGTGGTGAAATGTCCTCCCGGATTCGAAGATTCCTCCCTATCCTACATGTACGTCAAATATCTGTTCTTGAAATACTAAACATTGGTATCTATCTAATTGGGTTCCTACTAAGGTGATGTAAGGTAAGGTAAGGAAGGTACCTAGTCTATCCCATAATGAAAATGATACAGGTAGGAGGTAGGTAGGTAGTAAGGTACCCGGGGGGTGGTCAGGTCATCGTCGTGAGAGTAGTCCGTTACGCATCGCTTCATTTGTTCCATTCCATTTCCAGTCATTCATTCATTTCCTTCTCTTCCCTGGTATATAGTTTCCTTAGATCTGAAGGTGATATCCCAGGCTGGAAACATTTCGGGCTTTTAAAAAGAAAACAAAAAGAAAAAATGAAACAAGAAAAAATGACAGATCTTTCATCACATGTTGCATCCATTGTCTGGATCGACACACTTGAGCTCCCAGTGTTGATCGGACAATCAATCAAAGGTTGGGGGAAGAAAAGAGCACGCCACAGGCCAGAAGCAGGAAACGTATGTCCAAGGGATCGATATCGGCATTTCCCCCAGCACATAGTCTGGTCCGGAATAGAAAGAGAGAAGGAGAGAATGGGGGAACGAGGGAAAGAGAGAAAAGGAGGAAGAGAAAGAGAAAGTAAAAAAGAGAAAGACCACATGCATGATGCAATTTTGATTACGCCTTTCGCCATGATATATCCCCAAGGGACGAAAAAGAAAGGTGGAAATCACAAATGCCGCATATAGATCTAAACCTGGTATACAGAACGAAGCTTCTGCGCAACATGGGCCGGAAGTTGCGAGAGGAAGGAATCGAAATCGGGTATCATATTTTTGTAGCCTTGCAGGACCTATGCAGCAGTTAGTACTGGAAACCCCGCCAGTTCGCGCATTGGACGCTTACCTGCTGGAAAGAGCTCTGAATATCACGGTAGTCCTCCTGACTGATCGTCTTGGCCGGAAAGGATGCGATGGCCTGGAAGTATTGGACCAGAGATGCCTCCATAGCCTGCGGGTTCTTCATGACGACCTGGTTGAAGCCCAAGAAGGCAGATGCCTTTTCCCGCGTGAAGTCAATCCGACTCATCGACTTCAAGAACACCCCGGCATACTCGCCCAGGTGCGGAGCGAGCTGATCCGAGCAACAGATCCCAAGTCGGCCCAGCGCCATGGCGGCATTCTCGATCACCGAGTCAATGATCTCCTCGTTGTTGAGAATAGCGACCAAGCCGTGGTACAGCTTCTCCACGTACGGTGACAAGGCCGCCTTCTCGTTGACGGCAATCTCTCCGCAGGACCAGCAGGCATTGTTGAGGACACTGAATCCCGTGTGGCGATCATCGTCCCGGATCAAGTCAAGATCGAGCTGCTTGATCAAGATAGGAACCACGTTGGGGATGAACTGTTCGAGTTGGGGGAAGATGCTGATGGCGCAGTCACCCAGCAAAGCGTATGATGACTGGCGAACCTCGTAGTTGGGGTCCTCCATGCAGAAGCAGAGAAGATCAAAGAACCGGGGCTGCGAGCCGTTCACCAGCTCGCCACTCTTGCGCGGATCGATAGCTTGGATGATCGCACTCAGCAAGTCCAAGCTCGTGACGAGGAAGTCCTTGTCAGGCTCATCGATCGCCTGGTTGTTCACCGAAGCCATGTACCCCTGGAGATTCTCGTAGATGATCTTGGTGCACCGCTGGAAAAGAGGGGCCGCGAAGGGCGAAAAGGCATCGCCGTAGGCGGCAGCGACGTACCCCAAGCACTCCAGCAGAGGGAAGAGCTCCCGAGACTGATCCGACACCATGTTGTACCGATCAATGAGCGCGGGCATGAGGATTTCCACCAGGTGGGGCTTGGCCAGTTCCGTCATGACGCACTCCGCCAGAGTCTGCACGCAGTCGTACAGAATGTACATGTTGCGATCCTTGTATTTTCCGAAGCACTGGACGAACTGGCGAAGGATCGGCTCGCAGTACGGGATCAGGTTCGCATCGGACTTCTCCTCCAGACTGGCAAAGGCCGAGGCGGCCGCCTCCTGGACCTTCTTGTTGTTGTCCAACATGCGGTGCAAGATGCCCTCCATCATGGGCTCGAAGAAACGGGCTCGCTCGGAGGGGTCCGCCAGGTGCGAGGCCCACTCGGAGTACCGACCCAGGCACCAGCAGGTGATCTGCCGGACGACGGGTTGCGAGTCGTTCAGCAGGGAAATCAGATACGGGACCAGCTCGGGCAGGTGGGGGGTGACGGCATCCATGCATCCGTCAGCCACGGCACCCAGGGTGAGGACAGCGGCTTCGCGCTGGGGCCACTGCTCGTGGCGAATGGTCTCTTTCAGGTAGGGCAGAATGACTTCGAAGATGGGCTGGTGGTAGACGTTGGCGAAGATGTCCAAGGCGGCCGCGGAGCATTTCCGCAAGGTCCACTCGCCCTCGGGGTCGTCCCCGAACTCGGAATCTTCGATCTCGCCTTCACTCAACTCATCATCCTCGTCCTCCGCCGCGGGCGGCGCATTGCCGTTGGCCTGCGCCTCCGTCTTCGACCCATCCATGCGGGCGCCCTTGGACTTGGCGAACTGCGGTTTGAGATCTTCCGCACGGTCGTCCTCATCGGCGTCGTCGCCCTCGTTCGTCAGGCGGATGGCTTCGTCCTCATCGTAGACCATATTCTGCAGGAGCACCGGCACGATCTTCGACATGTGGGGGGCCAGCGGTTGCTGCAGCTTCGCCTGTTCACCGGCCACGAGCCAGAACTCTGCGGCATCCAGAGCCAGCTCGGGATCCTCCTGGTTCTGTTGCTGCATGATGATATAGTTGACCAGGCCCTCCATGTGGGGGATCAGTTTCTCGGGCGCAAAGTCCACGAGCTGCGCAAAGGTCTGGCAGGCCTCGCGTCGCACATCGGTACTTTGGTCGTTGGCGAGTTGGAACAGCTGCGAGAGAAACAGGTCCATCGAGGCGATCAGGGCTTTGGGGCGGTGAGGCAGGAAAACGTGGATGGTGCTCAGCGCCAAGGATCGGACCTTGGAACTGGGGCTTGAGGTGAACTCCAGGAGCTTCGGAATGATCACGTCCAGGGGGCATTGGCCCTGGTAGTCCCGGTCCAGGATGCGACGGTTGTCCTCGCAGACCTTGGCCAGCGCGGACATGGCGGCTTCCTGCACCATGACGGGGGCATCCTGGGAGCTATTATCCACGAGGGAGAGGAGTTGGTGGAGGACTTCGGGCCAAGCCAACAAGCCGGCTTGTGAGACCAATTCGGTGATAATGCTGCCCGCGGAGTTGCGGACCTGGTTGTTTGCGTCGCGGAGACCAATAAAGGTGGCCGACTGGATGTAGGACAAACTCGGTTGGGGAATTGTGTTGTATGCTAAGTGGATCTTGGTCTTCAGGTTCATCGCGGCTGCGAACCGCACGTAGTTGTAGGTCTCGCCATCCATGGACACCGCAGGAGGGACCTGCGGCGTGGAGAACAAGTATGTAAGATAGTTCACATAATCCGGTGACGAGGTTGCTTGTACTAGCATCTAAGGTAGAGGATCAACGTCAGTTGGCTTTCCCAAATATTATTTTCCAATATTGGAGGGGGAAGAATTCAAGTCGATAGTCAAATGGTAACATGGTGGGGGGATAGAGCGTGGTCAACTGGGTAGAATAAAACCATATATAGAAGTAGAGCGAGATAGAGTAAAGGAAAGGGAACAGGAAAACATAGAAGTAAAAAAAGAGAGAAAGGGAGAGGAACTGACCTGTTCAGCCTGCTTTTGGGCTGTGCGATTATAAGCGTTTAAAGAATCTTTGAGACAGCCCGAGAGCTGCCTCAATGGCTCATCTTGAGGTTGCCACTCCATGATGAAGGTGGAAAAGGAGGAGAGGAGGGGGGAGGAGGAGGAGGGGAGAGAGGGAGGGCGAGGAGAAATGACGGGATTAGAGTAGAGGAAGAGTAAGAGGAGGAGAAAGTGGTGGAGAGAGAGAGAGAGAGAAAGAGGAGAAGTGCGGTTAGTGAGAGTGAGAGAGAGGGAGGGAGAAAGAGGGAGGTGGGTTGTAAGTGTAAGGTACGTATGGTCATCCTTTTCTAAGTGGAATACCGTAATTATGGCCGTAATCTAGGTCTTGATAACCCCGCCGTCCTTGCATTTCCACTATCATAGGTTATCGTCTGTTCCACACCCACCTCCCTCAGAATTTTCTTACGCCGTACAGATGGAGGATAATCTGTATGTCAGCCACAAGAAACCTATCTGACCAATTCTGACATAGGGATCATTATCGAGTATCAGAATTTCAATCAAAATGACACTACAAAGAAGTGGTTCTGGTGGAGGAGCATCGAGGGGCATATATTACAGTCAAAGATCGAATACCAGCTGTGACAGAACCATCACATATCCAGATAATGAAAGTTTTATGGTTGGTTGGATGGGCGGTTCCTGTCCACTCAGGGTTGTGAACGCTACTGGATCATCCATCTGGTTTCGGTATAGTGTCCTCGGATGATATGTGTCTGTCATGATAATCACTCCGCTTGAATGAGCCCATAGGACCCATTGTTTCTGTGTCAGTTGGTTCCAACAACGTATAGAAGAAGACACGGAGGGGTTCTCATTTGGCGGGGAAAGTTGGGTACAACGGAGGTGGTATCGTATCAGTCACTGGTAACGGACAGATTAATGGCGGGGAGATATGTTCTGTATCGAGATTACCTTTCTTACCCGGGTTATGGGGCAATGGTGATGTAACTATAGTATTCTGTATACCATCATAGATCAACAGATTGGCATCCTTATTGATGTTGTTTGATAACAGTGCAATGTTTGTGCTTGCTTTGATTGCTTGCATATATATAACAGAATATTATATCCTGTTTGTTTGAACACTATCTTAGTGGCTGGCTATATACAAAAGATCCTAATATCTAAGAGCATCCAAATCAGGTGTCCTTTCCTTGAATTGTACGGTTTGAAACTGGGGGTTTCTTCAGCTATAGAGTAGCTACTGCTTTATTACGCTTACGAATGATTTTAGAGTGGCTGTTGTCTACAACTGTCCCTGGACTTAAGGTAGCTCGTATTGTCCTTGCATGGCATCCCTTCTACACTTATCAAGTTCAATCCAGGTTTATTCACCCTTGGATGACCTTCCAGAATGCCAAACTATGGCTAGCCAACAGTGTCATAAGGCCTAATGATGAACTTCCAGAAGAAGGTTCGGAGTTGCATGTAGGACTATTCGTTCTTATATACTGGCCTACATATAGTCGTTATCAGCCCGATTGTACAAGGTTAAAGTCAAAATATTGATCAAGATGCCTCGTGACTATACAAGATACGATTGGTAGATAAAGAGATCAAGGTGAATCAATATCTCAAAGTAGGCATAGTCATATTAGCCTTGATAACCCGGTATGATCATCTCCGTACATACTCCGGTCAATGGCCTGGACCATCCAATACTCAGTACTCACCAAATACCATATAAACATAGGAGCCTAGAATAAGTGGCGCCATACCTCAGAAAATTAGAAAATAAGACTAATAGGGGAAACAGTCTGCCTCTAGCTAACTAACTAACTAAGGGACTAGATTAGTCACTGTGATATAAGTGTACCGTCATACAGAACGGTGGGCCGATTGCACTGCAAGGGCACCCGTTACTAAAGCCATCTTTCCCCATATATCGCCATTGACGGAACTTGACCCTTCCGACCTCACGTGTCGGATATACTGATTCCTATATATAGAGAAATACCACCAAATGTCTCCGATTGTGCTACCAGTCTTTACAGCCCACCGCATAGGCGTCAATTGTATGCATGATGGACGTCCTCCTTGATGTCCTCGATACTTTCCTACTCGACCGGTTCTACGCCACGGTCCTCCCCAAGTCGACAGACCAGTTCCAATGGACTCCCATGAATGGCACTGAGATCCCTAGCACGTTGAACGAGAGGGTCAATCGTTACATGCCCTTGGAACCGTCGAAATGGGCGACGGAGAGTCTCCTACCTAGAGACCATATTGTTCGCCAATTCCTGAGTCTCTTCGCCGTCTCATGGTATGCATCCCGCTTTCTAAGAAGAGGATAATAATGATGATAAAGACCAAGTAACTAAAGTATTCACGCACAGGCTCTTCGCCCTCATGCTCTACTACCTAACAGCAACACTCTCCTTCCACCTCGTCTTCGACAAACGCTCCATGAAGCACCCCAAATTCCTCCACAACCAAGTCCACCTCGAAAAGCAACAAGCGTACAGCGCCATCCCAGTAATGGCCTTACTGACAGCGCCCTTCTTCGTCGCAGAGGTACGCGACTACACCAAGCTCTACGACTTCTCCACAGACGCCCCCTTCCCGCTCTACACAGCCCTCCAGTTCCCTCTCTTCATCGTCTTCACCGATTTCGGCATCTACTGGATCCACCGTGGACTGCACCACCCTTGGGTGTATAAGAACCTGCACAAGCCGCACCATAAGTGGATTATCTCGACGCCGTTCGCGAGTTACGCGTTTCATCCGCTGGATGGCTGGGCGCAGAGTGTGTCTTACCATGTTTATCCGTTTCTCTTTCCGCTGCAGAAGTGGGCTTATCTGGCGCTGTTTATGTTTGTCACGGTTTGGACCGTTATGATTCGTACGTTCTCCCTCCCTCTTCTCCCTCTTACTTGCGAAAAACCGCAAGTCGCCTCTAATAGAGATCAATCAGACGACGGCGAATACGCCATGAACTCCCCCCTCGTAAACGGCTCCGCCTGCCACACCATCCACCACTACTACTTCAACTACAACTACGGCCAGTACACCACCCTGTGGGATCGTTTGGGCGGTAGCTACCGCAAGCCCGACGCCGCGCTCTTCAGCCGCGAGACGCGCATGAAGCAGTCTGAGATCGACAAGCAGGTCAAGGAGATGAACAGGCTTGTCAAGGAGGTTGAGGGGACTGATGAGCGGTGTTATGAGGTAGCTACTGAGCCGAAGAAGGTGCGGTAGTTTTACTTTCTGGATGTGATTGGGTTTGGTGGGTTCTTTCTTGAGACTGCGTATTCTCAGGGGTGGATTGTAGGTATTTTTAATTCATTATTTGTACATTATCTTATTTCATCAACTTTCTTTTGAATAATGAAACATACTAGTAGATAATATGCTCCTTTGATCTACACCTCTAAATACGACTTGTCAATTGGTGATATTCGTTAATTCTATATCATACCTACAAATCATCCCAACCCCCTACCTTAAAATACCACACAGCATGCTGGTCGGGCTTGATATAACTGATATCCCAACAAATCAAGACTTCTCCACCATAAACTGATCATACTTAACGACCGCCTCCAACAAAGCCTGCGTACCAATAGCACTGCAACCATATTAGCGAAACTTCTTCCCCAAAACAACCCAGGAAAAACTCACCAATCCTCAGCCCGACAATACTCCTCCGGATGATGGCTAACCCCATCCCTACACGGCACAAAAATCATCGTCGTCGGACAATGCTTACTCGTATAGACACTATCATGGCCCGCCCCGCTAGTAATATCAAGCCAGCCATCAGCACCCACCAGCCCCTCAGCGGCATCACGCACAGCGCCGATGCAGCCCTCGTCGAACTTCGCAGCGGGTGAGTCTGTATCGAGCGTCCAGTCAAAGGTAACGCCCTTTCCGTCTTGCGCCGCGATGCGCGCAAAAGCATCCAGGCACGCGTCTTGCACGGCGTGAACCACGCTGTCCTCGGGATGCCGGATATCCAGCGTGAAGGTCGTCTCAGATGCAACCGTGTTAGTAGATGCGTTCGACGGGATCTGCAAAACACCCGTTGACGCCAACGCGCCGTGCACCTGCGCGATGTCGTTCGACGCAGCGATCATCCTCGCGGCCGCGAGGAGCGGGTCCTTGCGTGCGCTGAGAGGCGTCGTGCCTGTGTGCGCGTCTCGTCCGTGCACGGTGAACTTCAACCATCTGTAGCCCTGCGCGCCTTGCACCACGCCGATGGAGCGTCCCGTCTCTTGCAAGATCGGGCCCTGCTCGATGTGTAGCTCGAAGTGCGCGCCTAGCGGGTGACCCGTCGCCGGATCGCTTGAGCAGGCCAGCTCACCGAGGTAGCCGTGGCGCTCGAGCTCGGAGCGAAGCGTGACGTTGTGGTTTTGGATATCGCGTAGCTCCCAGGCTTGCTCGATGGGGATGGCACCTGCCCAGACGCCGGAGGAACACATCGACTTCGGGAACCGCGCGCCTTCCTCGCTGCATCGCCACTGTCAGTATCTATGTAAACCCCCGGGGGTGCGCAAAATCTACACAGCAAGCAAAAAAAAAACCAGGGTCAAGAAAGAAGGGGCCATACTTAGTCCAATTAACCAACCCCACATCGAACCCCGTCCGAAACCCACTCTCCTTCATCGTGCGCAACACCTCCAAAGCAGCCATCACACCCAACACACCATCATACCGCCCGCCCCGCGGCTGCGTATCCAGATGGCTGCCCATGGCGATCATAGGCGCAGACGAGCGCAGCGAGCCCGCCTGGCGCGCGAACATGTTGCCCATCTGGTCGACTTGCAGCGAGCAGCCCAGTTTGTGGACCTCGTCGGCGAGCCAGCGCCGCGCGTGCGCGTCGTCGTCTGTTAGTGTTAGGCGCGCCATGCCTGTTTCTTCGGGGTGGCTGGGGCGGGTTAGGATCTATTGATATGGGGGTTGAGGTGATGGAGAGACGGGCTTACGGTCCGTAGCGGTGGGCGGCGCCCCATTGGTTGCATGTTTGGTGGATGGTTTCCCAGAGTCGGGAGGAGTTGATTTTTAGGCCAGATGGGGGGTTGGAGGTGGTTGATAGGGTTCTGGATGGGTTGGAGAGGAGGGCCCGTTTGGGGATGAATCTGGTGGAGGCCATTCTGATGGCTGGCTGTTTTTCAAGTCTTGATTTTTTTTTAACGTCCTTGAACCTTTGATGACAGAAGTAAAAAGGATAGATTTTGATATAAAATATGTGTAAACTTGTATGGTCACCCGGTCATTCACGGTGGCAGGAGATGTTCTCGAGAAGGCGCGCAAAAAACATCCTTCAAGACCCACGATGATGTCGCGGGAAGGCGCGCGGGGAATGTTCAATCTATACAGCGATCAATCGACCCCTCCACTCAAAGCAAAGCACCTTTCTCATCTTGAAAAAATTCCAAATATATTTTCGGCGATAATTGAGTCCAGTCTAATCCACATCGTCCAACCATGTCCTCCCGACGCCCTATATACTTCAATCCCGCCGCCGCGACAGCGCGCTGCGCAGAACCCCAAACTGCGTCGCTCAAGGCATTCCATCAGTCGCTCCCTGGGTATAAACGCACGCGCTTAACTGCGTTGCCGGATTTGGCAGCGCAAATTGGCGTTCGTGCTGTGTTTGTCAAAGATGAGAGTGATCGGTTTGGACTCCCTGCTTTTAAGGTGCTGGGTGCGTCGTGGGGTTGTTACAGGGCTATTGTGGCGCATTTGGGCCAGGCGCCTACATCTAGTTTGGAGGAACTGGCGGTGCAGCTAAAGGGTACTTCGCTCACTTTGGTGGCTGCGACGGACGGTAATCATGGTCGCGCTGTTGCGTTCATGGCGAGATTGCTGGGTCTCGGGGCGCATATCTATGTACCTCAAGCGATGGACGAGACTACACGCGGACACATTGCTGGGGAGGGTGCCAGTATTTCTGTGGTTCGGGGTGGGTATGATCAGGCGGTGCAGGAGGCTGCAGATGCTGTCAAAGCTATGGACGGGGGACTCCTTGTTCAGGATACCGCGTTCGCGGGATACGAAGAAGTCCCCTCGTGGATTGTGGAGGGATACTCTACGATGATGGCAGAGGTGGAAGACCAGCTGGCGGAGAAGGGCTTGAAATGCAGCGTGATGGTTTCCCCGGTTGGGGTGGGCAGTCTAGCTCATGCTGTCGCGAAGTACTGCAAGTCTCGGGACTCGCCGGCGACGATGGTGGCCGTCGAACCGGATACGGCGGCCTGCTTACACTCCAGCTTGACGATCGGGAAAGCAGTGAGCGTCGACTCCTCGTCCACGATCATGGATGGCATGAACTGCGGGACGGTTTCGGCTACCGCGTGGCCCGACCTTCAGCGACTCGTCGACTCGTGTGTGACGGTCTCGTGCCAGGAGACTCACGGCGCGATCCAGTATCTCGCGACGCAATCTGTGGCGGCTGGACCGTGCGGTGCTGCGTCGCTTGCTGCACTACGACGCCTTGCTTCTACGGGCGAGGCAAGCTTTCTAGGCCCAGATGCTGTTGTCGTCTTGCTCAGCACGGAAGGACCACGGCCCTATCCAACTCCATTGGACGTGACTGTCGAGGACTCGGTTGGTCTGACGCAAGTTCTCACCACCATTAACTCCTCTAATCCATCTCTATCCGTGACCGACGGAATTGGAGAAGACCAAATCGTAGACTACCTAGCTGGGTGGTTCGCCCACCGCGGCATCGAACATCACCGGATTGAAACCGTCCCTGGCCGACCGTCCATCGTGGGCGTCATACGTGGCACAGGGGGAGGCCGCTCACTAATGTTCAACGGCCATATCGACACGGTCAGCCTTTCCAGCTACGAGAAAGATGCCCTCGCCGGGTCACTCGACGAACGAGACGGTCGACAGGTGGTTCTGGGCCGTGGCTCTCTCGACATGAAAGGCGGATTATCAGCAGCTCTAGCTTCCCTGGCCTCGGTCAAGGCCAGCGGAAACCTTCCTCGTGGCGACATCATCGTGACGGCGGTTTCTGACGAGGAAGACGCTTCCCAAGGCACACGGGATGTACTCGCCGCGGGGTGGCGGGCAGACGCCGCCGTAATCCCCGAGCCGACCATGGAGACGCTCATGACCGCGCACAAGGGGTTCATATGGGTTGAAATCGACATCCTCGGCGTTGCCGCTCACGGGTCCGACCCCGCCAACGGAAAGGACGCCATTCTCTTAGCCGGGTGGTTCCTCCAGGCCCTGGAGCAGTACCAGCGTTCGCTCCCCGTCGACGAAACTCTGGGCGCGGCATCCCTGCACTGCGGCCTGATCCATGGTGGACAGGAGCCGTCGTCCTACCCAGCCAAGTGCACCGTAACAGTTGAGTTCCGGACCGTCCCTGTGCAAACGGAAGCGTCCATCCTGTCGGACCTCAACTCGATGCTGGAGGGCATTGTTCAGGAAAACCCACAGTTCCGGTACGCAGCACCCCGCATTACGATGGCCCGTCCGACCCAAAAGCTGCCCACGGACCATCCGTTTGTTGAGATGGTTCGGGCTTGCGAAACCGCTGTGTTTGGACGTCGGTCGACGCCGTCTGCTGCGGCTTTCTGGTGCGATGCTGCGCTTCTCAGTCGTGAGGGGATTCCGTCTGTTGTATATGGTCCTAAGGGACATGGGCTACATGGAAAGGAGGAGTGGGTGGAGGTTGAGAGCTTGCAGAAGCTGCAGCTTGTTTTTGAGAATCTCATCCGTGAATTTTGCGGTTGATAGAACATGTGCCAGATAGTTGTACATATCCATATACTGGGAGTTCTTAGAGATAGACATCATCAAGTTATTTCAGCATGATAATTAGCAAGAAGTAGAAATGATAGAAAAGAAGAAGCAAGAAGATGCGCTGTAGATGTAGATAGAGAATCCACTAGACTATAACCGGCTAGACTGCCAATAGTACTCGCTGAGTCAGCCGCCTCTTATCAACGACGCATATCTAACTATCTATCATATCTATCTGAACGACTCCATCACTTCCCTCGACAGAAGACGGTATATCCAAGATGGTCGATCGTATGGGACTAGATCCCTTGGGTCTATCTACGCAAGAGGCCGTCTTCCCTGCCGGACCCGACGACGAGAGAAATACAGTGGCGACGGAAGAAGAGTGTCCGTTTTTCGACTGGGACTTGTTCACCCACGATACATACAACTCGTCCACAAATCAGCCTGAACTGCAATGGGACTCTTTAGAGAGCAACACTCTGAACCCTAACACCGTCTTCTCACCTCCCAATCAAGGCGGTGGCTTCACAACACAAGAACCCAACAGCGAGTTCATTCCACCCGCCAATCCTACTACGACCGCCAATCTACGCCAACCCAGTCATGGGTTCTCCGACGTCTCCCAATGGCTCGACGGGGCTTACTCTCCACCCCACCCATGCAGTTACTGTCGCAGGCACAGACTGCAGTGCCTGATCTTACGCACGACATCGGCAAACCCAAACCCCATCACATCATGCTCCAGCTGCGCGGCGCTCTTCCGCGAATGCAGTCTGGCCCTCGGCGAGAAGCGCCAAGCGTCTCGATTTGAGACGGAGGTGCCGGTCCTAGGGCACCTTCACGGCGTCACCGAAGAGGGCGGTGATGGCTTAGCATCACAACCAACAAGCACGAGCATCCCTATCAATCCAGGCCTCCCAACCAGCCAAAATGAGAACGAGTCCGCTTCAACAGACTCCAAGCACTTCATACGCAAAGGCGCCCGCGTCCTGCGCGCCTGGTTCTCCCAAAACCAAGAACACCCCTACCCAACCGACGAGCAAAAGGCGCACCTCGCGCGCGAAACAGGCTTCACTGCCAAACGCGTCTCCACCTGGTTCGCTAACGCGCGCCGTCGCCAGCGCCTCAAGGTCCAGTCTGCTATTACCCCCCGGGTTACCCGCGCTGGGTCTCCCATGCCGCAGCCTGTCGTCGGCCGCTGGACGTCTATGACTCCGCTTGAGCGGTGGGAGGCTTCGCCGCCGGATGATGAGGCCGTGCCGGAATCTGCTATTAGGGATGCTTTGGCGGCTTCGTCAGAACCTACTACCTCGGCTGCATCGTCGGCGTCTGCGCAGACGGATGAATCCTTTGCAGATGCTTTCCTAAACTTTGAGGATACATCCTCGTGCTTTGACTCGTCCCTCTCTGGCAGTGGACTCGGCAGTCACCACTCCGAGACATCCTCCAGCAGCGTCTCCTCCGCATGGAGCCATGGCTCCTCACCGGCACATGTAGACCCCTCCCCATGGTCTTCCTCCACCAGACACCGCCAACGCGGCCGCCCAATACTATCATCTTCATCATCACCAACGGCCAAAATCAGCCACCACCAATTCGAATGCACCTTTTGTCCCAAATCCTTCAAAAAGAAAAGCGACTGGACCCGCCACGAAACCACCATCCACCTGCCCCCAATAGCAACCTGGATATGCACCCCAGATCTAAACCAACTCCTTCCACCTTTTCCCTCCTTCAACTCCGATACCAACCCCGATGCCAACTCCTCTCCCTCCCATCACCACCAACACAACCCCAACCCAAACAAACAAGAATGCCCCTTCTGCCCCTCCCCTCCCCCCACCCACCCACCTCCCCACCCACGAATTCCAAACCTGCGCCTCGCGCCCCGTCCACGAACGCACTTTCAGCCGCAGAGACCACCTCGCGCAACACCTGCGCAAATACCACTCCTGCACAAGACAACACCCCCTACCATTCGCGCTAGACGAATGGCGCCGCACGCGCCCTGACATACGCAGTGTGTGTGGCTTTTGTGGGATGCAGTTAGAGAGCTGGGCGGAGAGGGCGGATCATTTAGCGGGGCATTTTCGGAGCGGGTGCAGGATGGGGGGGTGGGTTGGGGTGTTGGGGTTGGGTTGGATGAGGGGGTTTTGGGGGGTTGAGGGGGTTGTACCGAGGGGGAAGGGGTTGTTGGTGGTGGTGATGGTGGTGGTGGTGTTGGTGTTGGTTGATTAGGGTGTGTTTGGTAGAGGGTTGGATATACCATGTTTACTAGGTTTTGATGATGATAATGATGTGGTGTGATGTGATATGATATGATAATGGTGTGAGATGAGGGAATATAGATGTGTCTATTGAAACATCAAGTCAATTCACAATGCACTATAATAAGATATACTAGATACTATTAACACTATTAACACGATCTTGGCCAGAGACTATACTATCAACTATCAACTAAATATCATAAATCATCAAACTCATATACACAACCAAGCAAACCTCTGCACCAACGCATCATCAATAATAGTAATAACTATAAATATAAATGTGCCAAAAATGTGCAAACACAACTGCGAGAAAGATATATTCTGGAAAGAAACAGTCAACCTGAAGAAATAGTCGACATGAAAAGCAGTCGCACTAGGAAAGCAACAAACCCTGTCGGGGAGAGAGAAACAGGTCAAGCCCACACCAACTTCTTAACGTCATGCACAAGCGTCTCCAGAATCCCCGTCCTCTTCCTCGCATCCTCCAGCGAAATGATCTCTCCCTTCTCAACAACAAGTTGATCAAGGCCTTCCGTGTCCGGGCTGGCCAACACAGCCCGCTGGATCTCCTCGCAAATGGACCGTACCCAATCGCCCTCGCTCACAGCGGGACTCCCCGTTCTCGTCTGGGTCACGGAATTCGAAACAGGGAGCGCCTTGAACGCCATGAGCCGGGTGGTCGGCGCGCGCAGGCCCTTGAACCAGGAGGAGACGGGCCATTCGGAGGAGCGGGCCGCGCTGGTATTGTCGAGCGCTGTGGTGTCGACGCTGCTGTGGAGGGAGCGGGTGTTGACGCGGAGGTCGTGGGTGTCGCCTTCGCGGTACTCGATGACGAGGCCGACGTTGTGCCGTTCGGAGGTTTGAGCGGTTGTCAATGTGGAGGTGATGTATGTGCCGTGGTTGATGCGCGAGATGGAGCGCAGGGAGACCCGCTCGGAGGACATCACTTTGTCCGTGTCCCAGTCGAAGCGGCAGTTGTAGACGGCGGCGTCGGTGAGGAGGAGGACGGATTCTTCGAAGGGGAGCGTGCGGAGGGTGTTGGGCTCGCGCGGGGTGAGCATTGTCCAGCCGCCGAGAAATTCTTCGGATGGGTCGCTGATTACGATGCGGCAGCTTGTGTCGATTGCGTTCTGGCGGAGTTTTTGCACGGAGATGCCTGGGTCGGCGGTTTGGAGCTCGGTCGCGAATTCTTGGAAGACTTGTGTGGAGACGTTGCCTAGCAGGTAGTCGATGCAGGCTTGCGAGAAGTAGTCGTTGACGATGTTGTTGAAGTACCGGGTGAGCGTGAGGCCGAAGTCGTTCAGCGCCCCGCGGTAGTCGCGCTTTCGTGTCCGCGTGTAGTCGCCTTTTAGGGCGGCTGTCGAGGAGTATTGCTTGGAGATGGCGTCGCCGTTGTCTGCCCAGAGGGTGTTGAACCACTGCGTGGAGGAGTCGCTGGCCAGGTCGAGGTCGATGCCTTCGGATTGCAGTTCTCGCTCTAGGGCCCATTGGGCGAAGGCGCATTGCGCCACGCCGGTGCGGTCGAGGCAATCCATGCAGTTGGTCCGAATGATGCCGGCTTGGGTCCGGAGGACTGTGTTGCTCTGGACCATCGTGTCGCCGTACTCTTCGAGCGTGGGCTTCAGGCGATCGACGAGTCGACTCACGTTCTCGAATTTCATCCCGCGGCATTCGCTGTGGAAGTCGAACCACTCCAAGCCCAATGGCTTGCCCTCGATCCCCCGGCCTCGTTGAGTGACTTGGTGTACTTGTCAAACTCATTGCCCAGCTTGAGCTCTCCGGCCAGCTTGTCGATGAGGGACACGGCTTGGACCTTCCCGTACCTTCGGCTCAGACTCCGGAAATGCTTTTCAAAAGCCAGTTCGTTCGTCTCGGTCGAGTGGTGGAGTATGGGAACCGGCTTGAGCGCATACGGCGACTGAGAAAAGTACAGTGGAATGGATCCGCGGATTTGGAGATAGGAGTATACCCGATGCGCAGGATCCCAGTCGGGAACCGAAAGGATCTGCTCCGTCTCCACGGTGTTGGCGGTGTTTCCATCATCGTCGACCCCGCGTCGCAGATAGCGCAGTCCGGGACGCTTGACGGACCGTCGTGAGATCAACGTGAGCAGGAAGTCCCGCTTGTTCGCAGCGGCCTCCATGGCCTCTGCCGCAGATGTCTCACCCAGCATCCGGCCCTCCGGCCTAGCCGAATCTGATGCTTCAGTAGACGGGCGTCCAGCACCAGCGACGGTGAACTCCCGCTGACCGACGAACCCCTGCATGAGCGGTAGCACATAGCTATGAGCGCCCGCTCCAATGAAAGGCGCCATGAGATGCCGATTCCAAAAATACTGCGATAATCCATGATTAGCGAACTATATCAGACAACAACACCATCACACATACCAACTCATCAGCAACCTTATGCGGCGGCAGCAAGCTCTTAGCCGACAGATCACTCGTCCCATAATTCCTCGTAAGATCATAATCATAAGCGAAGAAGAAATTATGCGACGCAAAGATCAGCTTCGTATAGCGCAACAACTTCGGCAACAGCTCCACACCCGACGGCGAAGACGACGGGCCCTCTCCCCTCTCAGGACTCGATTCACTCCCCGACGCAGCCAGCGCCTCTTCCGTATCAGATCCCGTCGGACTACCCTGTACATCCGCATCCTTCGTATCCAGCCGCGACCCATTCCCATCATGATCGACCGTCCCGAGACCAGGTAATCCCAACGTTTTCCTCGACAGCCAGTTGGCCGCGAAGCGGCCAAAGGGAACCCGTTTGCCCATCACGTCCTCAGCGATGCTATTCGATCGATTGTGCGGGGAGTGCTCTGTCTGAATCGGCGAGGACGGCGCGGTGCCAACCTCGGTGTCCCCTGCATCAGTCTCCGAATCGGACGCCGTGCCATCCGAGTCTATCTCGTCTTGCTCGTCATCGTCGTCGTCGTTCCCCTGCCGGGAACTCTCCCTCGCCTGGGCAATCGCATGCGAGGCATCTTTCATCGACGACGTAGGGATAACCGCAATATTAGTGACAGCGTAAACCGGCTTTCCTTGAATCTGCGCCACCTGCTGCCGCTGCGTGATGGCGATCAGGAACGAATACGACGCGACGGACAAGAGGCCTATTCATCGGGTGTATTTGCTTAGCATAATCATCATCACGTATTGGCCCAGCATATCAAAAATGACATGAATGCATTCCAAAAGCAAGTAGCAACACTGGCAATCCTACCAACAAGACCATACGCCTCCAGCCCCGAATCGCGCTCGCTTAGCTCCGACGCGGAAGCCGGCAGCGACGAGACCCGCCCCGTCTTGTAGTCGATGAGCAGGGCGGAGTCATTGTTTGCGTAATTTCGCAGGTTCGCGGCCGGGGGCTGCAGGATGAGGCCGTCTACCGCTGCGAAGATGACCAGTTTTCGTAGCAGGCCGGGCATGGTGGTGGCATTGATTTTCGTGCGGGGGAGCGGGGCGGAAGGAGGGAGGGAGTTGGTTACGTCGTCCTGTCGAATACTCCAGATACGTCGCGGTGTCCGCTGGGCTTCATCACTCCCAGTTTGGAATTTAAAAAAACGATCGCGGTGGGTAGGTTTAGGGAGAAGGTGTACGAGTACGAGTGGTTACAGTGGCAGACGACGATCGGAACGGTGACTGAGCGGGACAGCTGATCTCGGCTGCAAACCACCACCCCATGTGGGCCGCTCGGTCGACATCGTCACCAACTCCAATCTCCGCCACGTGGTCCCCACCATTTTCCCCTCTCAGGGAGTTTTGGCGTGAGGTGGATTCGAAGATTAAGTTCATGGAAACCGTCTCAAAAAATAAATTTCGGGATTTTACACCACTATATACATTTCAAGTCGGTTTGCAGGGAGTGTGACTACCCGATCAACGGTGTATATCATGCCCACACCAGTCCCAAACAACGTCCCAATCCAGTCATTCATGAGCATGTCTAGTCTCTCTTGCTGGTATCTCCATGCGCGCGGAACGAAATAAAAATACAATGTATCCAAGGGATAGCAAATCAAGCAAGGAGGGACATAAGACGGCCAAGTATCGGCAAAATGAGAAGGAGAAAATATAAAGATATAAAAGGGGAACAGACAGACAAGGAAAAACGTAACCACGATATGTTTGTTCGTCAAGCGATATCAGTAAAATAAGGAAAAGGAAAAGAAAAGCAAAAAGAGGATCAAGAACGAGATCGATTCGGTCGTAGCAGACTACCGCTCATCATGTTTATCTGGCGGATGCGACGTGTGTGTGACTTCCCCATCCCGCTTATATGTCGGGCCTGGTTCTCCATCACTCTCCTCGGTCAAGTCAGACATGCCGAATGCCTGGTTTTCGACGTCATAGGCATGCATCAGACCTTCCCGGTCCCCATGTCCATTCATGTAGGTGGCCGAATTCCGGCCGTCAGTGCTGCGGCGGGTCTGCATCGAGCGCCGGGTCTGGTAGCCGGCGATGCCGTCCGTCGGCACTCCGTCGTCCTCCATCTTGGGGTTGACCAGCTGGTGCCCGTCTGGGTCGTACCGCGAGAGGTTCAGCAGGTAGACGCCCGAGAAGATGATCAAGAAACCACAGAGCAACGAGATCGTGTTCACGGCTTCGGTGGTGTTGAAGCCCTTGAAGAGGATGAAGGAGGCACACAGCGTGGCGGTGGTGAAGGTGACATAGTACAGCGGGTTCACGCTGTCCCAATCCATTAGTGCCAGCTTCACCGGGGGGGGCTAGCGGTCAACTTACATCGTGGTGGAGAACTGGTTCAGGGCCTTGTTGAAGTAGTTCATCTGCGTCAGGATACAGAAGCCGGTCACGATCATAAAGACGTAGGTCGAGGCGTGGGTGAATTGGTTGTTGCCGCCCAGTGTGAGCTTGACCGCGATGCCGAAGGCCTTGACGGACATGACGGAGACGGAGCCGACGGTGGAGCAGATCGAAATGTAGATGAGGGGGTTCTTCTTCCCGTGCGCGGGCGCAACCCGATAGATCATAACGGTCGAGAAAACGGATACCACGACACAATAGAGAAGGAAACCTGCGGAAGGCGCTAGATTAGTACGGTGCCGCGCGATCTCGCGAGAAGTCCGTGACCAACGTACCGGGCTGCAAGGCGTAGGCCAGAATCTCGTCAATTCTATCCACGGGCTTATCCGGGGGCGCATGAAGGACGATGACGACCGATCCCAGCAGGCACATGGCGCAACCCAGCTTGCCCAGCGTCCCTAGTCGCTCGTGCAGGAAGTATGATCCCAAAACGGCGCTGGAGAAGCGTTAGCGAGTCAACCCAACCACCACCCCACGGGGCGCAAGGGGGGTTCCATACCCGATCAAGACACTCAGCGCACCCAGCGGCGTCACGAGAATCGCGGGAGCGAATGCATATGCGGCGAAATTTGCGATTTCACCCAATGCCACTGCCATCCTCAGTCAGTCCGGTCGGTCTTTGGTCCAGGGACCGGGGTAATCGCAGCTGGGGGAATCTGGGGATCCGTACATGTAATGACACCTCCCCACCACACGGGACTTTTCAGATATTGAAAACCTTCGCCCTCGAAACCATGTCTCTCCGAGGCTTGCATCAAACCCTGGTGGTGGCATTGGTTAGTGTCGTGTCGAGGACCGCGGAGGACCGGCGCCCGGGCGAGGCCGTTGGATTCGGGGGATCGAGCGACAGGGCGAACGAACCTTCTTGGTGATGACAAAACTGGTGCCTAAGGCGTGGTCAGTGGCAATTGGAGACGGGGCACGGGGAAGAGAGAGCATACCGATTGCCATTGTTGACAGAATGGCCAATATGAGGCCGACATACCTACACATGACGGATGGCATGGTTAGCCTGGAACGAAACGCCTCGCAAACAGAGGGCGGCGACCCGCGAGTAAGCCATACTTGTCTGATAACATCCTGGGACTATCCGAGGAGCCGAATGCTCCTGCTGACGTAGAAACTCCAATACTCGAGACGGACGGAAGAGGAGTGATCAAATCCGATCGCGAGTCGCAGAAGACGGCGGAAACGAAAGCGCGAGGGGTCCAAGAATGGTGGTAGTTGGAAAGCTGAGTTGAACCGGACAGTGGACGACGGCGGGTTTTTGGGGGGGGGTTTGTTAGGTGGTAGGTGGTTGGTTGGTAGGGTCGGGCAGGGCTGGTTGGTCAGAGGTGGGCTTTTGAGTGGGTGGCTAGCCAAACATCGGGAGGAGCGCAAGCCAACAACAATGAATAAACGAATGTCAAGGGAAGGGTAGAATCAAAGAGAGACGGAGTAAACTGGGGGAGAGAGAAAAGAGAGAGGGAGGGAGGAAGTGGATTGAGGATGGAAAGGGATCTAAGGAGGGATGAATCTGCAGAAAGGAAGACACGGGGGATGTATTGGCCAAGGGAGGCTGTGGCGTGGAATGAATGGGGGAGAGAAGAGGGTTTTGTTGGAGGGATGAGGTATGCTGTAGAGTAGTAGTGGTGGTCAGTGGGTTGAGAGTCTGGTCGGGTCTGGGTCGGGTTAGTTTGGTGAGGTGATCAGTAAGAGAACCGGTGGCAGAACAAGAGAGACCACTATCTGTCTCTTAGTTTAGTAGAGTAAAAGCTGCGCTCGTGCGGTGGGGTTTTCTCTTAGACGGAACCAGGTCGATTCTGGACGCGTAAGTCCCACAGGAATTGAACATTGGCACGTCTAACTACGGTTGGGACCTTCTGGTTTTGATTAGGTATTACGTTTCTGATTGCTATCCTCCTTTTACATATCTTAGCTGATCGATACTATCCGTATTTATTTATATTTTTATTTATTTCTTAATGCTCTTTCTTCGAGGGTTTGAGTATATCAAGGAAGACAGACAGAGATGAGAATACATGTATGGTTGTATCAATACCCCAGGTGCCTGAGGATCCATCACTCCATTACACAACATCAACTACCTAAGCAGACCAGAATAGGAATCAATAAGACAAAGAGAAGCCCAAAACAGCCAGTTCAAGATGAATCGTAAGGACTAAGGATAGGTGGCCACAACCAAATCATCCTGACAATCCAGACCAGCCACCCCCAATCATCGGGTAACCCGAGGGACGATCGGCGTTTCAGCTCTGTTTGTACTTTGGACTGATACCTAGTACTATGAGTAGTACCGTCTGCGTACGGCGTATCTAAGAATATCAGTTGGCTCCTGCTTCCGTCGAGTATTATTATCATTATTATTATTATTATCATTATTTTAGTATTGATTATTTCTCTTCATAAATATCCTATAACATCAGTATCATCAGTCTAATATAAACATCCATCCAATATCTATAAGGATACGACGATCCACCACGAGCCCAGGAGAATAAACAGTGGATAATCCATGTGATCTCTCAACCATTCAATAAATCATATACATTCTACTCCGTATCAATCCATCAACTCCAATCCTAACGAAGCATCGCCATAGGTAGGGATCATTCAACCATCTCCTAGATTCAATCCTCAGATCAACCCTCAATATATCTCCGACCTACGAGCGAACCCGTCTTGGCCCTTACCTAACAGATGGACCCTGACGCAGTAAAAATAAAATAAAAGCACCCAGCCAAGACAACCAAGACATCCCTTGCTCCCCCTTCACATGGAATCGTCCATCTTCCCATTCGTTCATCTGGTGGAAAAAAAAAAAAAAAAAAAAATTTTAAAATGGCAGGGAACCCTGCAGCTGCGTCGATCTATTCCCCCATAGTCTCGACTGATCGGTTGCTCAATATACATTATATACAGTAAATACCTGAGTCCTACCCTGTGAGGAGACAGATAGGCCCGGCCGATAGGGCAAGGCAGGCAGGCAGGCAAGCAGCGCCCGAAATCAACCAAAATCAAGGGGTGGGGAATTGGCCCTGCCGGCCCTAGCGTCTAAAACGGCTTCCCCTGTCTATTACCTACTTAGTCCTACTTACTTTACTATATACATACTAGCCTGGGTTGCTCGGTAGCATCTTGTCTTCCCCAGCTTCTGTGCAGTATGGGATCTATTTAACCTCCAGATCGGATATATCAAAGCATACCTATCCTCGTTCGTAAAACGGGTCGTTCGGATCGTACGGAAGTTTTGCGCACTTCCCTCCCTCCCCACCGAGCTAATTACTCCCAGGGCAGCAAGCTCCGTCGTTGACCTTGGTTGGGGGCGCAAACCCCTCCTCGACTTGACTGGGTGGTTTGAAGATACTCGCATAGTCCATGTGTGCCACGTTTACTACCAAGTGGGTGGTTTGTATGGGAAATTTATCAACAGAAAGAGAGAAGTAAAAACACCATTACTATCAAGCAGTCACATTAGAATAGTCATGGAATGTACAGTCAATAGCAGGTCCGTCACCGAAACTCCCTAACACCAGCCCCCATGATACCTTGTAGATACCCACGATATCCACGGCCCATCCAGATCAACCCAAACAGTCCAGTTGGAATCGTATTTCCCCACACGGTACCACCCATTATAAATAACTGAACAACGCAGGAAATGGACAGGATCGGAAGTGACAAAAACTAAATCTCATTGTGCGGACCAGCAAGCCAAGACGTCAAGGTGTATATCACCCATACGCCATCGGAGGCTAGCTGCCGTAAAACGCTTTTTGGTATCAAGCATACGCACTAAAAACACATGCCCTTTCGCAACGCCACTAATCCACAGGGAAGTATCGGGGTATCGCTAATCCAGGAATCACGAAGGGGTAAAAACAATCAAAACACAGTCCTCCAAAGAGGAATAAAAAGAAGTACAAACCTAAAAGGCCGATCGTGCATGGATCGACCGAACGACACACGAGGTATGCTATGGAGCAATACCTCCTGCACGAGGGTTAAGTGTTAGTATTCCGCGTAGAAACACTTACCTATTCATCGGAACCGAAGGAGGCAGTCTCTCTAGCTGATCAGGTGACGCAAGAAGACTCCTCGCTGCCTTGAGGATAATAGTTCCTATAATATGGCGCGGGTATTGGCCGGTGCGAAACCTTTGGCCAGTGTAGGTCGAACGCTAGATTGGTTAGACGTGGGGAAGAGAGGCAAGGAATGTAGAGATGATGAAAATGTGGGCGAGGTATAAAAATGTTCAAGGTGCAATCATGAGCGTCGCCGTTTGGCATCGGGCGAAGGACCTTCGTCCAAACCAAACTCGTCGTCTGGCTCGCGGTCTCGTTTGGTGGTCCCCTGGCCCTGGGAGGTGCCAGTTTCTTCGTCACCGAACATGAAGTCTTCCGGAATGCCCAGATCTAGGTATTCGTCTCCAGCGCCAAAAGCCAGGTCCTCAGCATGCTCTAGACCAGCATCCGGAGATTGGCGTTCATATTCTTCATGGACCTCACCGGACTCATCACTCTCCTCATCCTTCCCAGGACTTTGAGCGGAGTCTTCTGGTATGCCTTCAGTGCGACCCACTGATTCGCCGCCGACATCCGGAGTAGGGAGGACGCTGTTATGTGGAAATTCCGACAGAGCTTCGTCGACAACGGACTGGAGATCTTGATCAAACTCATCCTCATCGTCCCCTTGCAACGTTTGTTCGCTAACATCTTCATTATCTTGAGAAGCATGTTCTTCTTCATACTCATCAGGCTGAGCAGCATCATGCTGGGCGTTTTCGGGAGACGCTTCCACGTTTTCAGGGGCATCGGACTCATGAGTCTTGTCGAGATCATCGCGCCCATTTTCTGCTACATTATCCGAAGGCTCTGTAGCATCCAGTTCACCTTCTTCGGGGTACCATTCAGTGTCAGCGCCCTCTTTGGAATGATCGTATTGAGCTTCAGAGCTATGCTGAGCGTCACCAGCAATATGCGCAGATTCATCAGCAGGCTGTTGCTCATCTTTCGACTCAGAAAGAGGTTGCTGATCAACGGCAGCCACGGAAGCGACTTCTTGCCCCTCCAGTGCGTGAGACTCTTGCTGGGATCGGTGATTATGTTCGTCATTCTCCATTCCTGGATGACTAGTTTCTCCGTCTTCTCTGTCGCCTCTGTCGCCCTCTGCAGCATCTTCAGTGAGTATGGAAGGGGCTTCTTCATCAAAAGAAGCAGACTTGTCAATATCACCAGCTTCCTGGTCCTCTTCCTGGTCCTTTTCTTGATGCTCTTCTTGATGCTCTTCGTGATGCTCTTCCTCGTGCTCTTCCTCATGCTCTTCTTGGTGCTCTACTTGATGCTCTTCCTCGTGCTCTTCCTCATGCTCTTCTTGATGCTCTTCTTGATGCTGTTCTTGATGCTGTTCTTGATGCTCGTCTTGATGCTCGTCTTGATGCTCTTCTTGATGCTCTTCTTGATGCTGTTCTTGATGCTGTTCTTGATGCTCGTCTTGATGCTCGTCTTGATGCTCGTCTTGATGCTCGTCTTGATGCTCGTCTTGATGCTCGTCTTGATGCTCGTCTTGATGCTCGTTCTGATGCTCTTCATGCTCTTCTTCATACTCTTCCTGACGCTCTTCTCGATCCCCTTGCTGGACCTCATCCTGAGTGTCCGTAGGTTTTTGCGTTGGAGCATGCGATTCGGCGTCGGAAGCATCGTGGGCTTCAAAGGGGAGCTCTTGCTGCTCAGTGGTGTGCTGGACGTGTTGCTCGGATGTAGGCACCTGCGCCTGTTCGAGAAAATCTGCTTCGGCTGCATCCGTGTCGTTATATTCATCCCAAGAGTTGACTTCGGAGAGGCCTTTCCCTTCGCTTGCAGCTAAGAGAAGATCAGACATTGCACCGGCAAGGGTCAATCTCGTGCTCAGCGTAAGGTAAAGCGCCTCAGGCTCATCAATCCCATCGTTATGGCACAGTTGCAGATACAAATGAACGATCTGATTCAATGTCACCTTCGATGTGTCGTAGGTATCCTAAAACAGTAAAGATCAGTTTGAGACTCCAGCAACTATTCCAAAGAGAAGACAAACCTCGTTTAGTTGGAGATTCAAGGCATCCACGTCCATCACTAGGACTTCATTATCTCCAATGTGGTCCCGAAGCACTGCACGGCAGGATTCAAAGAGTTTTGTGAAAGGTCCATGCGCAAGTGACTCATCTTCGAGAAAGAATGTCTCCGAAGCGTCACCTTCCCGGGGTGGAAACAAGGAGATTTCATTCTCCTGGTAATAGACTTTGATCGGATATAATGAAGAATCCCCAGTCGTATTGGGCTGCGGTGCTGCTTCTTGCTCATTTTGAGCTTCGACCTCCCCTGACGCAGGTGCCTTCTTCTCTTCCTCATTATCCTGTGATACTCCCCGCTCTTCATTCTTTTCGGCTAGATTCGATCCTTCCACCTCAGCACTGTCTGCATTTTGTGAGACTTTAGGACTTGCAGCGTGGTCAATAGGGCCACTACTCCATGCTTCCCGTGAGCCTCCTTGACTATCTGCGTTAGTTCCGTCGCGGCTTTCCTCCGCGTGCCAGGATGCAGGTGCATCTACTCCCTGTGCCGCGGAACCAGACTCTTTTTGATCACCAATTTGTTCCTGTCCTTGATTTACCTCCACGCTGGGCTCATCCACGTGTTCCACTGTGATTTCCGGTTGTGTTGTCTCGGCGGGCTTTTCAATCTCTTCGATATCGACGTCGGTCTCGGTCGGTGCCGGGGGCTGGTGGTGTTCACGTTCAACAGGCGGGGCGGGCTCTTCTCGTTGTTCCGAGACAGGAGCATCGATATCCTCATCGTAGTCGTCTTCCAGCATATCGGCTTCGTAGGATTTGTCTTCGTCCTTCATCTCCATGTTATAGTCGTTCTCCTGGTAGTGGTCTTCGGCATCGATCATGACCGACTCCGCGTCATCGATCATGTCCGCGTCCTTTGTCCCTTCCTGGTTGTATTCTGTACCGTCGATCGATTCTATGTATTCATCAACTGCAGTCATGTCTCTATCTGCGTTCGAGGCCTGATCCTCCATGATATCGATGTCGATGTCAAAGTCATCGGCATGGCCTTGATACGGAGAGGCCATCTCCATCGAGTCATCAAGCGTGGGAACCTCCATGACAGGAAATGCTACTGATGGAGTAGATATCATGACATGAGTGATGTAGGGGACAAAGAGGTCAGGGGGGGAGGAAACGCGTCCGAATTCAAGCGTGGCGTTTCGAGTGTCGGGGGGTAACTACGGACGTGGATACAAGCGAGAGAACAGTAAGGGAAAAAAGAAGGGAAATAGAGAAACAGAAATATCACCCAGGTATTTCCAAGTAGGTTGTAGTTACTGAGAGATGGGTCAAAAGATCAAAGGGATATGATATGAAAGAATGAAGTCGCAAGCGGCGACGCTTCTTGTGGTCTGAATGAGAAAGTAAGCGAGGCGGTAGTGTTGTGCACGGGCCAAGGGCGGCCGAAGAGAACAGCAAGCAGTTTAGTCAACTTACTTGTTCGATCTATCCCGATTGTTGTCCGCTTTCAACCCCCTTTGCCTCGTTCTGTCACTGTCGCCGTCGTGCTAGATCCCTTTTGTCCCAACGTTGCCTACCTCTTGAACAGACATGGTATGTTCAAATGCCTTGATTTCCCGTTTATAAGGGCGTCCCAATTCCTCCCCCGGCGCTAATCACCGTTCACCCTTCAACACAGGTTGTCCTCGCAGCGTCGATATGCACCCGCGGGGGCAAAGCTGTGCTTTCGCGTCAATTCCGCGAAATCGCCCGCTCGAGAATCGAAGCCCTCCTCGCGTCCTTCCCTAAACTCGCCGATGCCGGTACTCAGCACACGACCGTGGAGCAAGACAATGTCCGTTTCGTTTACCAGCCCCTCGATGAGCTCTACATCGTCTTGATCACCAACCGCCAATCGAACATCCTCCAAGACATCGATAGCTTACACCTTTTCGCCCAAGTGACCACCAGCATCTGTAAGAGTCTGGATGAGCGGGAGATCTTGCGCAATGCATTCGAGCTGCTCAGTGCCTTTGACGAACTGGTGACGCTTGGCTACCGGGAGAACTTGTCCCTTTCCCAGATCAAGACATTCTTGGAGATGGAGAGTCATGAGGAGAGGATCCAGGAGATTATCGAGAGGGTAACATATCCATTGGACTTCACACCGTTACGGCCGGCTGATTTGTCAAACAGAACAAGGAACTCGAAGCCAGCGAGGAGCGCAAGCGCAAGGCAAAGCAACTGGAGATGCAAAGAAAGGAGGCCGCCCGCACTGGCCGTAACATGGCCCCCGAACCCCCTCATACCCCGTCTACACACCCCCCGCCCGTCCTACGGTGCCAGATACATACGATACCTATGAGGCGGAGAAGAAGAAGTCGTTTGCTAAGTACGTCATCCCCCTTCCGCTAGCGCCTGTGCCATTCACTAATGCAGTTCCTACCATAGGCCATTGGTTACACGGGGCAAGGGCATGCAGCTGGGCAAGAAGTCCAAGGCTACGGATATATACGAGAAGGTCCGGGGTGATTTCGGGCCCGAGGTCGAGGAATCGAGCCCCTTAGTCACTCCGCAGGTGTCCACACCCGTTGGGGACAATGCCTCGTCCGCTCGCGCATCCCTGTCGGCCGACAGGGACCCCATCCACGTTACTATCGCCGAAACGCTGTCCGCCACACTAACCCGTGAGGGTGCGCTGAAATCCTTTGAAGTCAAGGGTGATCTCCAACTTCGCATTTCCGATCCGTCGCTCACCAAGCTCAAACTTGACCTGCTGGCCAATCCGACCCACGGAGCTCAGTTCCGCACCCACCCGAATGTCGACAAGGCCGTCTTTACCAACTCGTCCGAAATCCAATTGAAGGACATGTCGAAGCGCTTCCCGGCAAATAACGCAATTGGTGTTCTGCGCTGGCGGGTAGCCGGCGGCGGGGATAATGCCGACATTCTCCCTATCACTTTCACTGTCTGGGTGAACAAGGGTTCTGACTCGACCACGGTGACGATCGAGTACGAACTCACCGGTTCGGACACCTTGCGCGATGTTATCGTTACCATCCCGTACGGTGCGACAGAGCCAGCCGTGTCTAGCTTTGACGCGGTCTACGAGGTATCGGGCGATAGCCTGGACTGGAACGTCGGAACCGTAGATGAGAGCAATGCCTCGGGTAGCTTCGAGTTCGAAGCTGCTGGCGACGGCGACGAGAACGATTTCTTCCCCATGAACGTCCGCTTCTCCAAGGCCACCCCCTTCGTCGAGGTGGATGTCAACAACGTTTATCTGCTGGAGCAGGAGGGCGAGAGCGCCGAATTTGCTAAAGAAGTGAGAACAGTCGCGGAGAACTTTGTCATTGAGTAATTCCTGTTCAGTTTGTATAGAGTAATAATGATGTTCGGACCGGCTCTGAGGCTCGCGGCGAGTTTCCTTTCTTTTCTCTTGTTCTCTTTTTGGCTTCCCTTTGCGAAAGGGGCTTATTATCCTGTTCTTATTGCGCCAATGCAGATTTTATCCGTTTTAATGGTCCTTACATTGCTTTCTCCCTGTAATTGTGAAATTGCTGCGAGCTTACTACATACAAACGCTATGTTGCACTTGGCCCAGGAACTGATATCGTCCAGAGTTCAAAGACGTCGACAATGTTCTACGAATTTACCTAAACACTATTCCGCAGTATAACCTCCGCAGTGATTGTTCAATTAGGGCTATGCAGGCAGGTTGCAAACACAAGATGTCAGGTGATGACAGTCCACCAGGGGAACCCAGCCAGCCCCAGAGCTAAGTCAACTAGGTAATTGTGCGAGGTTCTATAGGTTTCTCTAATATCAGGACATATCGGGTTGGCGGCTTCCCTTGCCCGGGTCAGGTACGGAGGTGAAATTTTGGTACTGTCATCAAGACCCAAACCCAGCGTCATAGTCTTCGAAATTTGCTTATCATCACGTCAGGGTTCCATGAATTGGCTGACATCAATATTGCGGAAGAATGTCGGCGGTGGGTGGTCGATATGTGACGGAAAGCACTACCGATACCAACTCTATAAGTCAGCCACGCTGTGACTACAGAACCATCGCGAAGAGAAGATAATCCGCTTCACACGGTGATGACATGATGGAGAGTCATCTGCCCGTCTAGACGGATTAGAGGTGGCCGCCAGCTATACCAGCGGGTCACGTTGGCAAGGTCTGTATTCTGAGCTTGGAGTCTTTCCTATACCAAGGCACAATCAGATCCATGATGTTTGATTCACTATAACTGCTACATCAGACTGCAAGATGGACTCCTGTGATGCCTGACTCGATGATCGAGATGCGTACCTTCCAATCTGAATGGCTCACGTTACATGTTAGAGCGGTTGGAACAACGTTGGCCCTTCCCTCCAATGCGCTCATAATTCCGAAAAACTTTAGACCTACTAGGAACCAGGAACCTTAGCTGAGCTCTCTGTGCGGTATCAAAATTTACGTCACAATTCGTGAAGAAGGAACTACCGGGAGGTCATTGTTTTCAACCTTCTCGCTTGCACTGATCTCCATCATACTTCCATCCTCCTCTCCACTCAACGTTTTTGCGTCCCTTTCTTTCAGCCAAATACTCTGAATTTCAGGTCTGAATACTAGGCACGATGACTGGCACAGCTGAGGAGAGCTCGATGGCCGAGTTTATCGATATCCCAGACAGCTCTTACACCTCACCTGCTATTGATCCTAGGGGATTCCAAGATGTGCCGGAGGACGATACTGACTTTCCTTCTCCTTGGTTTCCTGGGCACCAAGTCGATATTCCAGGATCTCCGTCAGGAAACCCTGAGCTTGTTGCTAGTTACCCACAAGCCAACGTTCCGGCTTCTTCTGGATGGTCCGGTCCGGGGTTAGGATTAGGACCCGGCAATCTTAATCAGACGTACGATCAACACGCTGTCCCTCATTCCGCACATGCTGTCCCTCATTCCGCACATGTCCACCCCTTTTCTTTTCACAGTTTCGTCCACGGTAACCCGGGCATGTCCCCTGTCCTGACATTGGGAAACCAAGGCGCTATGCCCGTTGTGTGGCAAAATAGCACAGTGCCTGGCGGCGGGAACGTGAACTATAACCCAGAGCCGGTCAGTGACTTTGACCGAAGGCACTCAGCGTCTTCTCTTGAAAGCGTACAGCATAGTTTGATGTCCGTGCCTGGTGCCAGACAGAGCGTGTCGGAATACTACGCGTCGGGTCAACCCCCTCAGCTCAGCGGCGATAAAATGCCCATTCCTCGTTTGAATAAGAGTGCTAGATCCTCGCCAGAGAGGTCCCGTCGCCGTTACGTTGAACAGGCTTGTGAGAGATGCAGGAAAAAGAAGCGTAAATGTACGGGACAGGAAACTGGCTGCGATAGCTGTACGGAACAGAAGGTCCATTGTTGGTATAGCGAAGCGAAACGGGGAAGGTCGAGGAGGGGAGGATGATCCTTCAAGCGACCTCTCGTTCTATGTGTTGATTTCTTGCAAGGGACTCAACAAAGACGGTGAGCAAGTTGGAAACATACGAACGTGTACTTGGAATCATTTATCAGCACCTTGACACGTCTCTTGATGAGTTGACTAACCAGGCAGACACAGATGAAGTAGGCTATGATTTCGGCTATTGGATGAGGGCGACCTGGCAGCTGGAGCGTCTTTCTTTGATTGGGCTGCTACTTATGGGCTTGTTGATTCTGAGAGAAGGCGTTGGATGGAGAGAGGGCGCTGTTCGTTGACTGATCTATTAAAACTGGTTGTATACTAAGAAACTTGGCTATCAAATTTGATTTTACTTTACCTCTACATCGATCTTGACTTTCCACTCTTTGACGGCAATGAGTGGAGGGCATAAGATCCTCGGAAGCAGTTTCAAACCGTATATGCTCCCAGTCTGTAGGTTGGTTGGTTTGGATTAGGGGTGGATTTTGCGGTGGACTCTGTACGTATCTCGTAGGGTTTTTGTTGTCTCGTGGGCTGTCGACCTTTGTAGAATCTGTCGGGTCGACACAGCTCGTCCGGTAAATATATCGGTAGACATTGGACCAATTGATGGTAGTCTGGGAATGTAGCGTTGAATAGAATCGGGTTTCGCTGGTATACTGTTTACCGCGGTCTACGAATCAAGGAGGGGTTTGATATGTTGATTCCATCTGTATAAAAGGTCGGAAGTATATATGTATACAGTCTGGAGCATGTCAAAAGCGTCAACGTAAATCAACGATGGTCAACATTATTCGTCTCATGGGCGATGTCATAATATGATAGAAATCATTTACAATAAAGTAGTGAGTCAAATAATTAGAAAGACCTACTATCAGATGAACAACAGTCATATGTGCAATGTTGTTAATTTCGATGCTACCTCTATGTAGGTCTGTTAACATATCAGTGACTGGGCTTAAATAGCCTAACTAGGATTTCGAAAGACAATTCGCTGTTATAATGGTCGAATGGAACAGACGGTCCTATGATGTAGAGGTTATCATGCCAGATTTTGATTCTGGATACCCGCGTTCGAATCGCGGTAGGACCTTAATTTCTTTTTTTCTTTTCTTTTTAGTTTTTGTTCTTATCAATTGCTATCGACTATTGTTTTTCTTTTATTGTCAAATTTCTTGATTTTCCATTCTGCTCTTACATCTCTCCTGTAATCTGGCAGTATTCATTACAATTTCCAGTCCATGTATAATATACCACCCCTTACCTATCTCTCTACGAGGATTGCCAGCAGTATTAATATATTACTGCACAGGGAAGGAGCGAATGTATATACTAGATGCACCCATTAGGCAGGCCGCATCTGCCCAGTCTTCTTACGTCCCTAGGATTTTGGGTCAGCTCGGCAACATTCTTATCCTGCGCAGCCGCGACGCAAACATTCGAGTATATGATCAAAAACGGGCTGGAGTTTGGTTGCCTGACCAATGGCCGTGTCAAAGTCGTGTGGCTCGGATTGGCGAGGACTCTCATATCCTATCGACTTTCGACCACCTTACCTGTGACGACCTCGAACAGGGGACAAGGTGGATTCCATGACAGTTAGAGACCGGTCGCCTTCGAGTGAATCTGATCCTGGCAGACTGCGTCTTACTTGCAGCCCTAATTCATGTTATACAGAGGCCGTTGATGGGGTGGGGTGGAACCTGTCTGAACCACGACAACTATATCCAGCTTCATCGAGAAATTGATCGCACACGGCGCGAGATAGAAGATGCGGGCATGCAACACCTAGACCTACTGTACGCTCCCAGAACATGCTATGGAACCAGGGGCAACAGCGTATAAGGGCCCAACACAAAGAAAGGACCCTGCCTCGCCGCGCGTTGCATCCAAGCCAAAAAAAAGGTACAGGATATACATGATATTTCCGTACAGCACCAACCCAGGCGGTAGGTTCGCATATTCTGTTCGATATCAGCCATGTGCAGACTGGTCAAGTGACGATCCGGTATTTGGTGCAGTGGCTGAGACTTTCTATTGCCATTTGAGCAACCGAGTCTTTGGTCCACAGAGTATTGGAACGGGTCTATTAAGCTCAGGGCCATGCATGAAGTCTAAGATGCCCAGTCACAACTAGACTAATTGAAACTATATACAGAATAAGCCCATGCTAAACTGGCAGGACTAATCCCGGTAAATCGCAAGCTATAGGTTGGTCGCGTGCGGGCCCAGGGAGTTCCGGCTCGGCGAAGTTGAACCCCGAGGATCAAGTGAGCTGGCGGAACTCAACGGTTTCTTCGGAATGCCCGAATTTCTAGAAGATCGCGATCATTTTGAGATATCAAGAGTCTCGGTCTGACATGGAGAAGACTTATACTTGATCTTCTATGTTAATGTGGAGTACTGTCGGAAGTATATGGGAGCATCTGCAAAATGACGGTTTTGAGGATACAAGGCATTGAGAAGACCCTGACTTCGTGCTACTCAATCGGAATCAAACGTCATGATTTCAATCTCTCCAGGAGCTTTGAGTTCCCCGGCTCCGTAATCCGGCCGAACAAGGGTTCTTCACGCCGACACGCTAAGCATGTCGAGATAACTTAATCCAACTCGTTCATTCTCTGCAAATTGACCTAATTCACTCTAGAAATCATCCAGTATACATCGCAAGCACTGATCCGACAGACAATTCCATTCAATATCGTCTAGTCCGCCAAGGGTGATCGTATAGAAACATGGACCCATAGTGGAGACGGGGGTGTAATTGACTCTATCGCCGATTACACATAAGGCAGGCCGCCCTTCATTCGCCGATTGGCCACCATACAAAACCATATTTGATGTCAACGACCGCATTTATTCAAGTTTTTATTCTTCTGTTTTGCTTGCTACAATCACTTGAGAATATTGTAGACTATCTTTGCAAAAGTATAATATTTAAAAATGTTCGTGGCACGGGGAAGTACACGGCTTGCTCGTACTGGCTTGCCTTGTATGGCTGAGATCTCGGCCTCGGCCTCCGCGTCATGTCATCATCAACATCATCATCATCCGCTACGAGCTACCTCCCAAGCTAAGGCGCTTTCACCACAAGCCACGCGGGCATTCACACGCTCTGCGGGAATCATCAGCCGCTATGGTTCATCACAGCTCGGAGGGCAAAAGTCCCAAATCCCCTGCTCACAGCGCATGTATACCACCCCAGCAGGAGGAACATCCCCCAACAACCTAGGCGACCGCTGCGGCGTGGAATCCACCACAACAGGTGAACCCACCATCCACGCGATCTTCGAAGAAAACACCAGCACATGGCAATACATCGTGTCAGACCCGGCATCCTCCGCCGCAGTGATCATCGACCCAGTCCTCGACTACGACCGCGCCACGCAAACAATCACCACAGACAGCGCAGACGCCCTGCTGCAGAAGGTGCGCGACTGCGGCTACAAGATCGAGATGATTCTTGAAACGCATGCCCATGCGGACCATCTCACTGCTGCGTCGTATTTGCAGAATCGGCTGGCGCATCTGCAGCATGGTCTGAAGCCGCCGATTGGGATTGGGAAGCGCATCGTGCAGGTGCAGAATCTGTTTGGGGCGCGGTATGGGGTGCCGGTTGAGGAGTATAAGGGGGTGTTTGGGAAGCTGTTTGAGGATGATGAGGTTTTTCACATTGGGGAGTTAAAAGCTACGACTGTGCATTTGCCGGGGCATACGCCTGATCATCTTGGGTATCGGATTGGAGGTATGTCACAGCCTAGCCATCCCATGCATGCCAACAACCAACTGATAAAAACGAACAGAAAACATCTTCTGCGGCGACTCCATCTTCCACGCCGACATCGGCACCGCCCGCTGCGACTTCCCCGGCGGCAGCGCGCACGCGCTCTTCCAATCCTGCCGCAAACTCCTCCGCCTCCCCGACAGCGTCAAGATCTGGACCGGCCACGACTACCCGCCCGAAGACCGCCCGCGGCCCTGTCCCTGGATGACGGTCGCAGAGCACAGACGCCTCAACAGACACCTGCGCGACGGGACCGGCGAGGACGAGTATATTGCGCTGAGGGAGGAGCGCGATGCGCAGCTGCCGGCGCCGAAGCTGCTGCATCAGTCGCTGCAGTTTAATATAAGGGCGGGGAGGTTGCCCGCGCCTACGAAGGCGGGCTTTAGGTTGTTGCATTTGCCGTTGAGGTTGGATGAGGTTGAGGAGTGGTAGTTTATATGTGCTGAGTGTGTAGGGTGGGGAAGCTGGGCTTTGGTTTGCATGTAGTTCTATTTTTTGTGGTATATATTTGGTTGGGTGGGTTGTATTTTAATATTACTATACTCTATACTCTAAATTTCTCCTCTGGGTACGGCGTACTACAGAATATTAGGTATGACACCCTCCAAAAAAAACAGTACCAATCGATCCATCAATCCCAGCCCAGCCCCGCTAACGAAAACCCAAGCACCGCATCTGCAATCCTTCACATACACGCAAGTCCAAAAAAACCCATACGTACTTCTGAAAAGCCCAGCCCTAACCACCAGTTGAGCAGTCCGTGCACTCATATTTCCAGGTGAAACACGGGGCGATGCATTAAGCTAAATCCTTGGATTCCGGCGGGCCGGTATGCGGGTGTCTCTTTTTGTCCACTCGCTAGATAGGGAAGGAGAGATAGTGTTTCGGATGCTTGGTTGAGACCAGACTAGCTTGATAGGTCATACTATGTGGTGCTAGGTCTATTTCTAGTGTTCTTGGGTGGTGTTTTGATGGATGGATGGATGGTATGAAGTAGGTACTATAGGTAGTAGATAGGTAGTAGGTGGTATTAAGAATTTGATCAATCGATCGCTGATACTAGATTTATACAGTAGTGAGAGCAACCCCCCAATGCATGCGTAGCGACGTATATCCAGGTGGCCAAAGCAGAACAAGGTTAGTTAGTTCGTAGAATTGAGTAGTCGCCTAGTAGATTATATTCTCAGACACAGGTATGTAGGTAGGTAGGTAATGAAAGTTTCAAACATCAATATTCCCAGACAACCACTAAAACTCCAGACTCTCGGCACGGCCGACGACAGCTGATTTTGATTTCTCCACGAAAGGAACCCCGAGACTTTGAATGAGATGACACCAATAAAGAGAAAAGAAAAGAAAAGAAAGGAAAAAGAAGAAGGGGTTCCACTTCACGGTAGAGAAACCACGGGGATATGCATAATCTTAGGCCTACTCCCCGGTGCCCGCCTCGTCTGGGCAGTGTTGGAGTCCCGTTGGGGCGCGTCGCGGAATTTGAGGGCTTGCGCGAGAATCGAGTGGAGCTTGACGGCTAGGGGGCTTGCAGGGTCGGATGGCGAGTCTACTGTTACGCTGGTGACCTGGTTGTTGTGGTTGTCGTCGTCGTCGTCGTCCGCGTAGTCGTCGATTTGCTTGCCGTTTAGGGAGTTCATCCGGTGGGAAACGAAAGAAAACAGGGCGAAGGAGGGTAGCGTCTCTTCGGCGTCGCCGTTTGATGAGCACGGGCTCAGTGGCTGTTTGGCCTCGGGTGTCACGGGGTCAAATAGGTCATCCGTCCTCGAGACGAGATGCCACGGTAGGCTGCAGAGGAAGCCGATCACGAAATCGGGGTTGGCGCGAGCGGCGGCGAGGCAGCTCTCTCGGTATTCGCTTGTGAAGGAGGTGTCGGACGCGGCGGGCAGGAGGAGGACAAGACCACGGGCGAGGATAGGCGGGGGTGGAAGGTTACCGTGGGGGGTGGAAGAGATCGCTTGCTCGTTTTCGGAGATCTCGATCTGTTCGGTTGTGTCGATGTCCAGGAGCGATTCTGTCGAGTCTTCCGTGTGTTGTGAGATCGTCTGGGTCAGCGAGATCGTCGACGCCTTCCGGGGAGGGAGCGCCAGTCCGCTGTCACCCGCGGCGTAGTCGGAGGTGAGATAAGGTTGGGGCGAGCCGTCGTCATCTCTCTTGGGTATCGATTCGTGCACACTTGACGGACGCTCGTTCGTGCCATTGGCTGTGATCTCCGTTCGGATGGTTCGCACCGAGTCTGCGACGGCCTCTCGGGCGGCGGCCTTCAGGGTCGGGATTAGGATGTCCGCTTCTTGATTATCCACCGCGACGCCCGATGCCCACGCCGTTGCGAGACTGGCCCAGGACGCTGCTTTGACGACACCCTTGGTGTATCTTTTCCGAATCATATCGATCAATTCATTCCGGACCTCGCGCGTGTCGGATTTCTGCCGGCCGACGACGTCGACGGTGGAATTGAGAACGCGACCGGCTTCCCAGATCAAGAACGAATGCCGCTTGGCAAGCGCGGTCAACTGGCGGACGGTCTCATCCGACCAGTCATCGATGATGTCGGCATTGAGTTGCAGAACGGCGATGTGCGGACCGATCAGAGAGGTGAGGTGAACTAGATCGTCGGTGGTGGTGATGGTGTGGGAGGGAGATGCGGAGACGGGCAAGCCGTACGGTAACCCTGGTTTATTTTCCGCCAAGTGGTTTAGGTAGGCGATCAGACGGTTTTCGGGAAAAACCGACGACTCAAGGGTAGGCGAATCCATCTTGGAATGATTCTGTAGTGGGAGAGGAGATTGATGGGAGGGAGAAAGAGGGAAAGAAGATGAGGAGCTGTCCCTCTTTACGGGCGATGAGAGAAGCTTGTCCCAACAAGGTTGGCCCCTGTGATAACCCCGAATAATAAAACAACAACAACAATAACAACAACGATCACTGGCGTCGGGGAAAAGGATTATTGGGTCAACTGGGTCGACTGGGTCGAGACAAAATGATTGACGGGGGGAGAAAAACTCCACTTTTTTTCCTGACAGTTAGCTCGAGTCGAACCAGATAAACCGGCAATTCGACAGGGTACTTTGTCCGTGATTATTTATTTCCTTGGTAATGGACCCTCTGTACTCCGTACAGAGTACATGGTCTCATTTGGTCTCATCTATTTACTTCCTCCTTTGTTGATTTCAGATGAATCAACTTTGTGATCGTACATGATTGTCTGATGAAGATCGGCTGGCTTTCTGTTTCATTTCCCCCCATTTCTCTGACGGTAATTAATGGCGTCGTGTATCAGGGACTATCCACCTTTGGCCGCCCTATCTCTCTATCCACCAAGGACGGTCAGGGGGGAAACAGCGGGATCCGCCTGACTGGGGCGACTTTGCCGTCACTTTGGTACCGGATTTCCGCCCATGTTTCAGTCCCTGTTATTGATAGTGGGTGATTGATATGCAAAACGGTCTAAAGAGAGGAGTCAGGGGATCAAAGGATGCTCAAGTCCTCGGTAGCGCAACGAACGGGCCAGGAAAAGGATCTTCAATCTCACCAGAGTATTGGATAGTAGTAATTTACCAGGTAAAGGCTAGTACCGTTGAATCCATCATCGGATGTAGCTCAAACCCTCCGTGGATACATCTCCAGCAGTTGGTCGTACATCATGTAATATGTACGCTGGGACAGTCGCAATGTCTGTACGATATATCCACTGGAAGACAAAGAGCGAGGGAAAGAGAAGAGAGAACCTCCCCAAGCCTGCGAGTCCTCATCAGGAAATCGAACTGATCCCTGTAGACGCATTGACGACCATGCAGGAGACATGCACGTTGGACGCACCAAGCGTCTCCGGACAGGAAAGCTTCTTCAGCCTCTCATCAAAAGTCCTGTCTGTATCTGATATACAGGTTATTATGGGTCGGATAGCTCAGGCTGTACCGCAGGTGACGTACCATACCATACATACATCCAATACCTGGTGGCAAATGCGGTAGGCAGGATGTACTATGGATGTACTATGGAGATGGAGCGGATGGAGTAGGGAGTCCCGGCTCTGTATCTCCGTCTTCCGCAGGTCTTTCTGTTCGGATCCTTTCCCACGAATAACGTCAGGGATGTTCAACCCATATCATACTGGGTGATGCAAGACAGGAACAGGGTACGGGGCGATGACAGGATCCGATTTGACCATCACATAGTTTATGGTCTGACATTCTCAATTAAGGACACCGTAAGATCAATTCAAGCCATGGTCTGTCCAGTGTCATCCCGTCATCCCATAGTAAGACCATGGATGTCTTGACTGGTACAGAGAAACTATAACCAAGAAATCAATGACAGTCGCAGGGATAAAACCTGAATCGCATATTCCTAGTGCATAAAACTAGGCGCCTTAATTCTTTGGCTCAGGGGTGAGCAAGAGTCCCAAACAGGACTAGCGTCTCTGCGACGAGACATCTCAGTCGGCGATCTCTAGTTAAGTCTCTGGAGTCTTGACTCTGTAAGTTCAAGTCCTTCAGCCACATCGACCATTTACAACCTACTTTAAATTTATTATTTTATTTTGTTTTATTTTATTTATTTTCTATACTCATTTCAGACTCCTTGAGACACTAAGTGAGAGCAGTAGTCTATAGTTTTAAAGAAACCGTCCAACGTCAATTATTGTTGATTAACTCTCCTGTCTTCTGCTTGGTCAGCTTTTTTACTCTTTTTTTTTTTAGTGCCCTCGTGCGGAGCCGTCGGACCCGATCCGCGACCTCACGCCACTCCCTTGTTGTCTCCAGATCTATCACTTATCCTTTTCCCCCTACAGCCTCACTCAATCGACTCATCCCTCCACCTCCATCCTTTGGTCACACTCGCTATTCCTTTTCTCCAACCACTGCGAATTTTCAACAGACGTTCGACCGTTGGCAACCATGCCTGGAAGGGTCCTACCCACGTTCACCGCCGCCGAGGTCGAGTCGCATAACAATGCCGACTCGTGCTATGTGACGATCGGCTCCCAAGTTTACGACATCACTCCGTTCGTCGAGGACCACCCGGGAGGCGGGGATTTGATTTTGGAATATGCGGGCAAGGATGTGAAGGAGATTTTGCGCGACGTCGGATCCCACCAACACTCCGAGTCCGCCTACGAAATTCTCCAAGATAACCTCGTCGGCTTCCTCGTCTCGGATTCGGAGGCGAAATCCTCCAAGACGCAAACTTGCTCTTCATCCGGCCCCGTTTACGCGACCACCGGCATGTCCCGCGAAGAGGACCTCTCCGTCGACACCGACTACACTCACGACTATAAGACACACAAGTTTCTGGATCTCAATCAACCGCTCCTGCTCCAGCTGTGGAATAGCGGTTTCAGCAAAGAGTTCTATTTGGAGCAGATCCATCGCCCGCGTCACTACAAAGGAGGAGAGTCGGCCCCGTTGTTCGGCAACTTCCTGGAGCCCTTGAGCAAAACTGCATGGTATGTGGTGCCGATTGTCTGGTTGCCCCCCGTCTCCTACGGAACCTACTTGGGTTTTGCTGGACTGGGTAATGTACCGGCAGCGGCCGCCTATTGGTTGGGTGGCCTATTCCTCTGGAGTCTCATCGAGTATCTCATGCACCGTTTCTTGTTCCACATCGATGGGTACGTTCCCCCGCTTTCTCCCACCTCCCGGTCGGACCCTAACAACGATCCAGTTTTCTCCCGGACAATCGAGTTGGACTCTGCCTCCACTTCCTTCTTCACGGCATTCACCATTACCTGCCGATGGACAGGTATCGACTCGTGATGCCTCCGACCCTGTTCGTCGTGTTGGCGGCGCCGTTCTGGAAGTTGGCCCACACGGTCTTCTTTTACAACTGGCATGCGGCGCTGCTGGTATACTGCGGTGGTGTCTTTGGCTACATCTGCTATGACCTGACCCATTATTTCCTCCATCATCGCAAGTGAGTTTCCCATGGACCCCGCCTGGTATGCCGCGTATATGCTAATCACGTTGTTCTCAGGCTTCCCTCGTATTACCAGTCCCTCAAGAAATACCACCTGGAGCACCATTTTGCCGACTATGAGAATGGGTATGGAGTCACGAGCCGCTTCTGGGACCGCATCTTTGGTACGGAACTGGTGACGCCGCCGCCCAAGGATGTGAAGACCCAATAGATACTGTCGTCCCGTCGGTTTTTCTCCTTGCCCACTTGGGGAGGATGGAGAGGTCACTTCTCCGTCTAACACTCATCCTCCATCTATACGAAGTAATGCTGGGTTTGCATCTGGAATCGTTTGAACTGGACTTTCTTTGACTTTGTTTTCTTTTCGGTCGTCGTAAAGACCACCCTTCCCTTCAATCCGCCCCTCCGTGTACAGTGATCCCGCCCTGCATCCTGCATCTTCTGGATGATTATTCTGGCTGGAATCGTGCCCGTGGCAGGGATTTGTTTATACATAGTGTTTGCATGACAGCATGATCATAATACTTAATACATACATATCTAATACAATAGTGTATTTCTCACTAATTTCTGTTTTCATTGCTTTCTTCTATGTTTCTGAGACGCTCTTGTCCTATATCAGAAATGGTAACATGTCATTCCAATCTATGTCACTTCACAGAGCCACAATAAATCAGCTGTGCACCTGTGTTCATCTGAGGCATTGTCAATACATTGCATGAGAGTAACACTGATATTAATAGCTGACGCAAGGATCTTGGGCCCAGACCCCATGGTTCCTGTCTCAAAGTGTGGCTCAACTGGCTATAAAGAGGCAAATGCCAAGCTGCACGTGACATGGTCGTTTTCCCACCTCGCCCAACTGGACCGACTTGCTCGGTGCCACCCGATTCATCCTGATCCTTACTTTCAACTCAAAAACCCAACCCACTCACGACATCCCATTTATCATCAAGAAACAGACCGTTGCTCTCCATAGAGACAGTTTGAAGATTCGGCGTTGATACAGAAGGGTTCGCTCAAGTCAAAACTTCACTGGCCGGCGCAGTCTAACCTAGCCACAAGTGATCCAACTCCCCTCCAATACACGACCTCCCTTTTTCTATTCAGGTTTCATCCAGGGAACAAGGGAAACCAACCAGCCATCCTATCAATCATGTCGGGCCTCGACGTAGAAGCTTTACTCGAATCGACCGCGGCCCCAGCCCAGGACACCCCACGCTCTCAAGAACCCGATGACCGCTCCAAGGCCGACAGCGGCGAACGCCGCGATCGCTCGCGCGACCGAGAGCGCCGGCGTCGCGACCGCAGCCGACGCGACGCTGACGGGGACGAGGACATGAAGAGCCCGAAGAGCGAACACGGCAGTGCTAACGGAAGCCATAGAAGCAGAAAGAGGAGCAAGAGCCGTGACAGTCGGAGGTCCCGTCGCGACCGTGACGACTACCGCTCCGGCGGCGGCGACTTCTACCGTGGAGGTGGCCGGGCCCGCACCCGTTCCCGGTCCCCGATTGATGATCGCTACTATCGCCCTGGGGGCGGCCGGTCTCGTCGTGACGAGCGGGACGAGGATAGACGATCGCGACGTGAACGCAGACGCTCCCCGAGCCCCCGTGACAAGACCCCGCCGCTGAATGAGGACGAACGTGACAGGCGCACTATTTTCGTACAGCAGCTTGCTGCGCGGCTGAGGACGAAGGAGCTGATTGCTTTCTTTGAAAAAGTTGGCCCTGTTAAGGAGGCTCAGATTGTCAAGGATCGTGTCAGTGGAAGGTCTAAGGGGTATGTCTTTTTCTTCTTTTGTCTTGTTCTTATTTTTCTATCATTACCCCTGCTAACAATCACAGTGTCGGTTATGTCGAATTCAAAAACGAGGAATCCGTCGCCAGTGCTATCCAGCTTACAGGACAAAAGCTTCTAGGAATCCCAATCATCGCACAGTTGACTGAAGCGGAAAAGAACCGCCAGGCTCGCAATCCCGAAGCCAGCAGTGGGAGCAATAACGCTGCCCCCTTTCATAGGTTGTACGTGGGTAACATCCATTTCAGCATCACTGAGAGTGACCTCCAGAATGTGTTTGAGCCGTTTGGCGAGCTTGAATTTGTCCAACTGCAAAAGGATGAAACCAATCGGAGCCGCGGCTATGGTTTTGTACAGTAAGTGTCCATCCGCTGATTGAATGTCTTTCATACTAACGAGGTATCCAGATTCCGCGATCCCAATCAGGCTCGAGAAGCGCTCGAAAAGATGAATGGTTTCGATCTTGCTGGTCGAGCGATCCGCGTTGGCCTTGGCAACGATAAGTTCACCCCTGACTCGAACGCACAACGCATGCAGAGCCATGGTGCAAACCAACCGAATTTCCAGGGCTCTTCGTTCTCTGGCCAGGGAGGACGTGGCGTCCAGGCCGGCGGCACCAACAACTTCGACCGTGCTGGAGGTCGCGAAACCGAAAAAGGAGCCGGCGCCAGTGCGTTGGATGACACGGACGTTGCCGGTGTGAACTTCAACAACTACAGTAGGGACGCATTGATGAGGAAGCTTGCAAGAACAGATGAACCTGCGGAGCCCACCGCCGATAATAAGCAGAAAGTGCTTCGCCCTAAGACAGAAACCAAGCCGTTACCCGTCAATGTCAACATGGCGAGTCGATGTGTTATGCTTCGCAATATGTTTGATCCTTCTGAGTATGTCTCTATTTATATCCATCCTCTCTATTTTACATGATACTAACAGTTCACAGGGAAGAAGGTGACACCTGGGGTAAAGAGTTGGAGGATGACGTCCGCGCTGAGTGCGAAGATAAATATGGCCATGTTGTTCACATTGCACTAGATCCCAATTCCCAAGGCGATATCTACTTGAAATTCGACCGAGTCCAGGGTGGTGAGAACGCCATCAAGGGCCTGAACGGACGGTTCTTCGGTGGAAGACAGATAACCGCTCAGCCGGTCGTCGACGCTGTCTACAGCAGTCTGTTCTCCCGGACCAAGGCGATCTAGTGCTTACCAGATGGCAACGCAGCCTACCAAGATTTTTCTTTAATGGTAGGTATTCATCTAATCGTTATTAGGTGCCACCTTCGTGCTGGTAGAGCCCACACACTGCCTGCCTTTTGTTTATTATCATGGCCCCCGTTTGAGCTGCACCGCACCGACGTGGTGCTTGGTTTGGCTTGGATGACACTACCCCTGGTAGGTGGCAGTCCTTTGACCTTTCGCTCTTCGTGGTCGTCTATAGCCGAATGGCTTTGTTTGCAATGATATGTTTCTAGGTGTTTGTACATCCATAGCGAAAGCAATTTATATTCTGAACTTAATCTTACCGCAGTATACGTAGAGGGTATTTAATGTAGAGCTCGTCAGGACTGTAAGTTAAGTGAGACGCAGATATCATCTTATGTTTCCATTCTTGCCACACTAGCCGATCTATCTCATCATAGAATTCCAATGCCGTTTGAATACAGGGAATATCCAGCTATGATCAGCGTTTAGACAAACATGGAATGGCAGGGATATAACAGACAATGCAGGAAGTCACTCTAGAGCAAACTGTATATATTCCAAAAGTTCAATCCCTCCTTCACTGCCATCTATCTACTCTCTCCTTAGGTAGATCTGACTCATAGTCTCTGGCAAGCTTTCAAACTTCCCCTTAAGTTTACTATTAGAAAGTGCGCTTGATATTACTCACTCTACTATATATTGCTCATGTGTGTCCTTTATTTCTCTGGAGACTTTCCTGCAAGAGAATGTGCATAATATATAGTTTCTCGGATTTCATGATATAAGGCTTATTAAAGAATATGGAAGACAGTTAACCCTGTCCACAGCTAGTGTTCGGAGTACACTGAGGGGCGTATTGATTTATCAACATAGAGCCATGATCTTCTGTGCACTCCATAGACAAGCTGAACTTTGTAGATCAAAGAGTGACAGCATTGCTTTGTTTTCAAATAACCCACAATTTGTCATATTTTCTCTTGTCTATATTCTGACAATACTACATAAGGGCTTGTTCCAGGATCCAGCCCCCCTTCCCCCCCGCGGCTCGCATATAGGGATTATCCTTATAACCCATCTTCTCCCTAATCTTCTCTAAACAGCATCTGAACAGTGCAACTGAAAAGCAACAATCTCAAACAGCTGTCATATTTTCATGAGGGAACGCTAAAGAGAGGCTCTACAGCCATGCTGGCATCGCTCATGCCACACCACGGACCTTCATGTTACCACCTTGGATATGTGACAAGATATCCATGTCACGTAACGTCTCATCCAGTCGCCTTTCGGGGTGGCTTAGGGAAGGAGACAGGGGAGGACCGGTGCCCCCCAAGGAACAAACCCCCATGCGCAGGCACAGCCCTCAATTACATGACCAAAACACAACGAGGTGACTTTGAAATACTAACTTACCTACTTAAGATGGTATCAAACGATGTTTTGACCAATCCAAGAATCAAGTGGATGTGCCAGTAGCCTGGCCGGTACCTATGGTAGGCATGGGCGAGGCTGATATGGCTATAGCGCCTTTCACGCTTAATTCCCATCCAATGACGATCATCCTCACCCATGTACAACCCGTCAAGGCCCTTGCAGCAAACGTGGGGGCTGTCACGGAGGATTTCAAGCCTGCGCCGGGATCTAGCGCCGCCTCCCGCAGATAATCGTAGTGCCTAGGCTAACTTAATAGGGTAAATGGTGAATTCTAGGATGACATGAAAATCAGACCTTGAGAGACCGGGTTGTTGATCTCTGTGGGGACAAGTATGCTAACTCTAGACTTTGACCTAAACGATGTACTCTGTCAGAAGAGACACTGCCCACGTAGCTACTAGCCAAACCGGCATAGAGTCACTAGCTGGGCTACTACATCCCTAATCAAACCTTCATATGCAGGACAAAGAGAATAACAATTCCAATCTAAATATGAGGAAGCACGCACATGTCCCGTACTAATCCACTGCCACCACCACAACTCCCACTATCTGCATAGCCCCGCGGAGGCGTGGTGTGCCTGCTGGGCCCGGAACTTTTCTAAATCGCCGAAGATCTTGGCTGGCCATATCTCTCTCCTGCGTCGGTGTCAGTCCGATGTTTATTTTCTCTCTCTCTTTAGATTCCCCCTTTTTTTTCTGAGGGGAGAGGAGGGATACGAGCATTGCAGTGGGGGCCGTAAGCTAGCCTTGGGGTTCTGCGACGGCCGCCTCCCGGCAAAGAGCGCCCCCGTCCCTCCTCCAGCCTTGGAGAACTCTCGCTAGCTTCCTGACTATAGAGTTCTGTGTGTCTTGGGGGAATATGTTTGTCTAAGTACACCCGGTGGACTGGCTGTATCTGGTTAGAGCAGAGGGTAGGATGTGAGAGTGATTCTGTGGCATGGTTGTCAGCGGGAGTAATGTTGCCCGAGGGTCGCTGTCTTGGTGCTATCTTCTCTTTTTGCTACTGTTGGCTTTGTCTCTGTGGACGAAAGGAAGAAGAAAGAAAGAAAGGACGAGGGTAATGTGGACCCATAATATAGCAGTCTACAGACGTCGTGATTTTGAAGTAGACAGACGAACACAGGTTGCTTTGTGTAAACTTTTCTAGAAGATAGATAGATGTACACATGCGATGCAGAGAGAGGAATTTCCAGTAGTTACTTGACATTCATTTGTAAGCCTCCACCGAACCGTACAAGCCATTACGATATAAGCCCATTATCAAATCACAACACAGTAAATAAGCAGTTCAGGCAGTCCAAGGCTGCGCAGTGCGTTTCTTCATCGCCAATTCATCTTCTAGCCACTCTATCATGCCGTCACTTTTAATGCGGGCCGCTCTGTGGTTGATGAGCCAAGTCCCTAGGCATTTTTGTCAGCCTGCCTTTCTCTTATACTATGTCCATATACTTTTTTTTGGGTACTTACCGAGAGCTAGAAGCGCATACGACTCGGCATTATCAAGGGCTTTGTCTTTGGGTAGCCCCGTCGCATCATCCCAGAAGTATCCATGATCATCAATTTGCGGCTTTGGCTTGACCTTGGGCGTGTGAACAAACTGCGCACCCCTTGTTAGAATAACCAGATGGTATATATGTCACAGCAAGCTGTCCCTTTTTATTGCAGATGCTAGACGTACCTCATGGAAAAGCGTGAGCTCGAGACCCGCAAAGTCGTCGATGTGGACCTTATGTCCGTACATATTCATCAATATCTCGTAGCTGTCGTGCATTTTCTTGTTCTGCGGCTTGCCTTTGCCGTCGAGTATCGGTGTTTGGCGAATATCCTTGAGAAACTTGGGACATAGTTGCATAGTCGTCTGGCCTCGCCCTGCTTTGGTCTTTTCCCAAAAAGCGATCGTATAGGCCATAGTACCCTTTCCCTCCGTAGTATCCTTTCCCTCCGTAGTATCCTTTCCCTCGCAATCCTCGAATAATTCCTCGCTGATAGTGAAATGGCCTAAGGTGTCGTTATAATACACTTCCTGGTTCGAAGCCCGAATCTTTTTCTTAAGTCGTTTCTGCGTGCAATAGATTATCTGTAGTCACATTTCAAATTAACACAACGATAATAGGCCTATGAAAAGAGAAGAGGCTCACTGGATCATCGACCTGGCTGTTGCCCATGGCGCTTTGAGCGCCAACTTTCGCGATGATATCTGGGAAACAAAAGGCGTGAGCAGTAGAACTGGATACCGTGGGTAAGATGTCAATCCTACCTTTGACGTATGGGAAGTCTGCCGTGTTGAACAAACGTGCTGCGAGTTCATCGACATCTTTGTCCTTCCCTAGAGACTTGGCGACCTCTGCTGGCCACTTCATGACGTTCTCTACGGCCTTTTCAATGTTGCTTTTCGCAGCTGATCTTAAACTTAGCGGGACTCTGGATGCGAAACTTGAACAACCCAACTTACGACCACACGATTGGTCGACTGACCACCCAGCCCAGGTCGGGGTGAGAATAGCGCAAAAGACCACGGCGGAGAGGGCGGACTTGACCTGCATGGTTGGAATGCTTGCAAACAACAGGCCTTGGTCAACTGAAGCCACTGGAAAGACGGTAAGAAAAAAAAACAAGACAAGAAACATATGAGATTCCACGGGTTTACTGACGCCCTTTTAAAAGTATTTGGCGAGCTGCTCCTGGGCCAGTCTCATTCGCTTAGTTTATCGGTTCTCGTCAAGTGCAGACTACGAGCCTATGCCACCACGCCTCCGCCCCGAATTGCATCTATAATTATCACAGGAGAATCCTGCAACAAAGTGATATCTTTGACCTAGTTCAACACCACTCCTCATGGCGTCGGGCTCCCAAGTTGAATCTAGACTTATCCCACAGGCACTGTCGAGTGCACTCAGCCCCAGGAACTATTGAGTCTAACCCTAGAATCTTGTTGGGCTCTAGTTATTGGATGGATCATCCCTGTCAAAGATTAGGGTTCGGATAGAGGAGCAAAAACGGCCCGCTTCCGGCCGCATGGGGAAAATGGTCCCGCGGGGCCCCCGCCGTTCCTGCCTGCGTCTCCAAGGATATACAGGGGTTCATAACCCGTGTTGCAACGTGGGGTCCAAGAAAACATCATGTTTGCTTCGCTTTGATGTTTGCTGGCCATGGTATGGTGCGGGATTTAACACTAGTCTCCCGTAGCGAGTATGCCTTGCGGATATCCAACTATAGCACGGCACTTTGGATGGAATTGGATTTTTTGAAGACAGCTTGTCGAGAGCGTTCAGGATTCTATAAGATGCGGTGTTGGAACTCGGATTCGAAATCTCTCCGTCCACCAGCTCTTTTCTTTCACTTCTGCCAGTTCGCTCACCATGCTTCGTCTGTTTCTCTTTGTCTTGGGCTTTCTCACTTTGACCTCCAGGGTCTGCGCCCAGATTGACTCTTACTCCGCTGCATACTATTGCCGCGAGGAAGTCGGCGAAGAACCATGGAGATGCGACGACAAGTTCTGTGGAGGCGAGCATAAGAGAAAAAAGGGCTATTGTGCGCGCCCGATATATCGAACGACGAAATCGAATAACCAATGGGCCCTTGCAGCACCGCGTTATTGCAAATGTGGGGATAGCAAGGGGTATGTTACCTTCTGCTGATGGGTGCAAGCGAAAGCCTTATTGACGGTGAAATTAGCGACGGCGGTGGCAAAGTGCCTCCCATAATCCCGTTCCCTCCTCCCCCGCCCGGTTTCCTTATTCCTCCCGAGGGGGTGCCTAATCCCAACGACCAAGACAGCTGCCCGGAGGACTTCACCGACACGAAGTGCAAGGATTGCAAAGACAAGTCAGGGTGGTGCACTGAAGGGCCCCGCGCCGGCTGTCCGTGTCGGGATGAATGTCCTGCTGATGATAGCGACGATGTGCCCCATTGTAAAAATGAGATATGTCTAGGGAAGGATGGAAAATGCACCACGGTGAGTTCCAGTGGATATGTGGCGTGGGGAAATGATGACTGACTATGATATAGGGTCCTCAAGTTGATTGCAAGTGCAACGAACACTGCCCAGACCCCGAGAAGAACGAAATCGTTCTCTGCAATGAGGATGAGTGCAAGAGTGAAGATGATAAGACCTGTAAAGAGGTTCGTGATATGTCCATGAGCCTGATCTGTGGTCACCCACGCTGACCGCCTGGATAGGGGAAGTTCCGTGGATGCAAATGCGCATTTGTTGCCAGTACTGGCCCGCCGCAGCAGAGAGATACCAACAAGATGAAGCAGGGGCTGGACAAGCTCAAAAAGCTGAAGGATATTTATGACAACTTCGACAAATATAAACAGAAGCCAGACACCAAGTGCGACGGCACCTACAGCGACGCCCTTCCAATCGAGAGAAAGCAAGCATACGAATTGGCTGACCAGTACTGTGACAAATTGGACAAGAAATCCAAGGACACGAGCAAGGAGCTCAAGTTGGACCGTTACACCTTTCATTTCAATTACAAGGCCGGCAACAAATGTTGGTCTGAGTGCAAGGAAACTGTGCACGATATGATATGTAAGGACTCAGCTCAACCACCTCACACAGATGTGGTTCACATTCCAGAATCGTCATCTAACAAAGCCCTACAGGCTCCGGATACGACAGCCACTCCATCAAGCCCGAAGCCAAAGCGACCTTCAAATGCGGCGATGAATACAGCCTCAAAATCACGGACCAATCCAAAGATCCGAGCGGACTCGATCTGAAACACACCTGCGTGGACCCCAAAGAGATCAGTAAGCTCCCCGGCAAGGTATCCAGTGAGCTCCAGGAAAGGTGGGGCGCAGAATTCTGCAAGTCGATGGCAGGCAAGAAGATCAAAGCCGGCGATAGACCGATAAACAAACTCAATGGGGATGATGAAAATAATCTCTATTCATACACGGTGGGGTGGAACGGGGATTGCAAGAGCGAGGTCACGGAGCTTGATGTTCAGTTTCCTTTGGGAAAGGATGACAAGAACACCTGCGAGTCACTCATGCGGTCCGCATACAAGCTGTGTGATAAGAATGGTGGCATAGGTGGACGTTATGAGCTTGGTTGCGCGAGATATTCATTTGTTGCATCGAAGAAGTCAAGGCCAATCCGGCCAGGCTAACGCCACACCACGCACCTTTATGTAATTGGTCGAGATGATGAATTCAGATACTTTGGAGATATAATGTCATCCTGGAGAGAACCTGCTACCTGGGACGAATAAGTGTTATAACATCTTTTATGATCGAATGGTATGGTCTTTCATTTGCTCCACATATGATAAATGATCAATGTCACGTGATATTGGATACAGACGCCTTTGGGGGTGGCTTGCAAGGAGGAAACTTGGGAGAACCACTCCCCCCAGGAACACCCCGCTCTTTTGGGTGGGCAGGCACAGCGATCGATTACATGCCCGGAGATAAAAAAAAATAAGCCCCCAGTGACAGTAGATTGAAGTGGGATTGTGTTTATAGGGGGAAGTTCGTGTTTGGCTCGGGATAGAGAAGGGTTCCCGAGGCCGCCAGTGACTAACTGAGTTAGTGGTAAGTAGGACAACCAGAGCTGAATACTCATGCATGGCTAAAAGACAGCCAACCACTATTCGAATATGCAAATAAGCCCAAAATAGAAGACGGAGGCCAGGTACTTCAGGTAGTGTGATGTTCTAATTCTATGATCGATGTTGGATTTGAATGTTGCCTCCAGATTGGGGATTTCTTCCTGCATCGGTTATGCAATATTTTCATAACCACCTACCTAGACCAATGTTACTCTACAGCTATATCAATATGTAATATATCCAGGCAATGTAACTGGTGGCCGGAAACAGCCAGTGTTCAGTCATCCTGAAGCCTGAGGTTTGTCACCGTCAGCCTGAGGCTGCCAGCCAATGACGACCTCATATCACCTGATAGTCCGTGATGGCCACCACGGGGCTCTGCTCATCCCACCTCAATCCGTTTGGTATTATATCTTCACCTTCTTCCTCACCGTCATTCTGTCTCCTGCACCCGGACTGGTGGACTGAACCAACTACGGCTAAGGAGGATCCTACATTAAAAGGGGAAGTCGGCCTTGCTTATCATATCAACCTTATCGCCAACCCTCCCTCAACACATGGCCAAATAACAATCGATCTTTCCCCGGTTTTCCCCTGACGACATATCGAATCCTAAATCGTTCCATCCAGGGATCTCCTTGATCTCATCCATTTTCCCACTGTTCTGGTTCCTCTGATCTGGCAGATCTCCCACGTCGAGCTGCCGGTCTGCGTTCCCCCCCAATCCCTGTCGATCGAAGCTCGGGCCCGGAAAAAAAATTAGGGCGTTTCTGGAAGGGTTGGCACGAGGCATCTACGTGTAAGTGCATTTGCTCGAATACACACTTCTCGGTGGCAATAGTTATCGCTCCTTTGACGCTGTAAGACCATCGCAGCTTGAGGAGATCCCCGATCTGATTTTGCTGACGAGTCCTGTACATCTGACTTTCTAGGCCACCACACATTCATTTCCAAAAGACAACGCGCTCGGCACCCCGTGGAACCTTCGGAACGACCTCCTGTTCCCACCCAACCTCCGTGACGACTCCGCTGGCTTTCGGTTCACCATACACTCCTTTCCCCGATCGCTCTCCTCCACAAATCCACCTTTCCACTACATCACCCGCATATCAGAGATAATGAGTTCGCGAACAACGGGACCGCAGGCCGCCCAGGCCGATGAGTTGCTGTCCAGTAATGGCTCGGTGCAACAGCCACTGAAGAGCGACGTCGCGCAGAGCGAGGAGGAGAAGGAAAACGTATTCTTGTTTGCTCCGAATCTCATCGGTACGAGCTTCCTGCTCTCTGTCTTACCCCTCCCTGTCGACTCGCAATGACCCTCTGACTGGGATTAGGCTACTTCCGAATCGTCCTCGCCATTGCGTCGCTTTACTACATGCCCCTCCATCCTCGGACTTGCTCCATCCTATACAGTGTGTCGTGCCTGCTGGATGCGTTGGACGGATATGCTGCTCGGTACTTTAAACAGTCCACCACGTACGGTGCCGTCTTGGACATGGTGACCGACCGCTGCACGACCGCGTGCCTCCTGGTCTTCTTGAGCTCCGCCTGGCCGCGCTGGGCGATCGTATTCCAAGGTCTGATTTCTTTGGACATGGCGAGCCACTACATGCACATGTACGCCACCCTCAGCATGGGGGGGTCTGGCCAGAGCCACAAGAACGTCGAGGCCACTCGCAGCTGGGTCCTATACTGGTACTACCATAGCAAGGTGCGTTCGACGGCGCGGAAAACTCGATCAACACGACGTTTTCGATGCTGACCAATCCCTAGACCGTGCTGTTCATCTGCTGCGCTGCCAACGAAATCTTCTTCATCGGCCTCTACCTCCTGTCCTTCTCGTCGCCGATGCTCTCCCCATCCCTGCTCCAGCCCGTGCAGGGCTCTGACAACCCCTGGAGCGCCGGAGCGCTGGAGCTGGCCCGCGCCAACAAGATCGACAGCTTCTGGCCGTGGGTGATCACCGGCGTTTCCGCTCCCATCATGGCTCTGAAGCAGTTCATCAACGTCGTGCAGATGGTTAAAGCCAGCAAGTGGCTGGTGGAGGGCGACGTCGCCAACCGTCGGGCGGCTCGCCAGGGGAAGAAGAACTGAACTGGACGACCGGCCCGGTGGATTGGTCTTGCCTTTCCCTGGGGCTGTTGATCCGGACAGGGCATCCCGTGATTGACGCCAACGTTCTTTCTTCAACCGTATCATCTTCTCTGTGCATGGTTTTGGTGCTCTGGCTGGTTTCTGGGGATCGTGAGCAGCCCTTGTCTTTTATTCGCTTATCTCCTGCGGATCCAGAAGGTTTTGGATCCGGTGGGAAGACTTGGGCGGCTGTGTTCGTTCGGACCATCCCAACCTTTCTCGAGTATGGATTTTTAGTATACTTTTCTTTTCTCTACTTTTCTTTCTCTGTCTTCTTATTTCCAATCTTTGATCTCTTTTATTTTCTTCACTTTCACCTCTTGATACTTCTTGTGATTAGATTTATTGTTTGGCATGGTTATTTCTCTCTTTCTTGAATCTTTGTTGTTTTTTCCTTTTTGCTCCTGCTGCTACTTCTTCCCTGTTGTCTTCAGATCCTTGTGTATAAGAGTAGGAAACAGTATGTAGTTTTATTTGGGCAGGGGTCGTGGAGACTCCCTGATGCAATGTGACCAATGATGATAACAATGCTCGAGCTTAGTAACCAGCGCTCTCCGGTGTCGGCGGCGTGGGGGGAAACTGATCGGAGCTTCGGACACCCCGCCATTTATTTCACTTTGGTATTTATTCCTGATTCATTCGTCTTTCTGTTTGCGATACCAATTGCTTCATTTTTGGTTCCTGCTCATCCCCTGATAACTCCTGATCATCATGGCCCCCTACAATGTTGTCGTCTTCGGTGGTGATCACTGCGGTCCTGAGGTACGGCCCCACCACACTGTTGAGTTCTGATGCGAGGAACACGTACTGACCTGACTCTGGTGATAGGTGACCGCGGAGGCTGTTAAGGTATGAATGGAGTATCATATTGGGTACAAAGCCAAGAGGGTTCATTATCTAATTTATCATTAAGATCCTCCGCGTGGTTGAGAAGGCCCGTGAGGGTGTGTCGTTCAACCTCCAGGATCATCTGCTCGGTGGTGTAAGCTCCCGACTTTCCTCCCTGAAAATACCGTCAATTGATAACTGTACACTTACACAAGACCCATACAGGCCTCGATCGACGCCACTGGATCGCCGTTGACGGACGAAGCCCTCACCGCCGCTAAGAACGCCGACGCCGTTCTCCTGGGTGCCATTGGTGGACCGGTACGTGTGCACCATATTGGAGAGATCGAGAGGGGGAAGAAAAAAATCAAGAGACTAATAGGGCACAGAAATGGGGTACGGGCGCTGTCCGCCCGGAGCAGGGCATCCTGAAGCTCCGCAAAGAGATGGGCACCTTCGGCAACCTGCGACCATGCAACTTCGCCGCTCCCTCCCTGGTCGAAAGCTCTCCGTTGCGGGCCGACGTCTGCCGCGGCGTCGACTTCAACATCATCCGCGAGCTTACGGGCGGTATCTACTTCGGCGAGCGCAAGGAGGACGACGGCAGCGGATTCGCTATGGACACGGAGCCTTACTCGCGGGTCGAGATCGAGCGCATCATCCGTCTGGCCGCGCACCTGGCTCTGCAGCACAACCCGCCCCTGCCCGTCTGGAGTCTCGACAAGGCCAACGTGCTGGCTACCAGCCGTCTGTGGCGCAAGGTCGTCACCGAGGTCATGGAGAAGGAGTTCCCTCAGCTGCAGATCGGACACCAGCTGATTGACTCCGCTGCTATGATCATGGTCAAGGACCCGCGCAAGCTGAACGGTATCGTCGTCACGAGCAACCTGTTCGGTGATATCATCAGCGACGAAGCGAGTGTCATCCCCGGCTCGCTGGGTCTGCTGCCCTCTGCTAGTCTGAGCGGTATCCCCGATGGCAAGAGCAGGGTGAACGGTATCTATGAGCCCATCCACGGTATGTCTTTTCTATATTCTTTCCCTTCCCTTCTTTCCCCCTTATAATACGCAAATGAACCACAACCCTAACCAAACGGAATAAAAGGTTCCGCCCCCGACATCGCCGGCCGCGGCATCGTCAACCCCGTCGCCGCCATCCTCTCCGTCGCCATGATGATGCAGTACTCCTTCGGCCTGTTCGACGAGGCCCGCGCCATCGAGAAGGCCGTCAGCAACGTGATCGAATCCGGTGTCAAGACCGGCGATATCGGCGGCAAGGCTACCACCGCGCAGGTCGGTGATGCTGTTGTTGCTGAGTTGGAGAAGTTGTTGAAGTGATTATTTTCCTCTTTGGAAAAAAGAAGGGAAGAGGATTATTGATGAAATTTATTAAATGAATAATAATAAAACAATGCATGGATGAATAGATTTTGATATCTCTTCCTTTCCTCTTTTATGATCAGTATGTGGTTTGAAACATACGACCGTACATAGAACATATCAATATGTAGCTGGGATAGAACTAAAAGATGTGAGTATAGCAAGGCAATAAATCAATCATGGGTATCTGAATTCTCAACTGAACTCCGAACAACAACACTATCCCTTTGATAAGAAGAAAAGACAAAACAAACTCCCTCCCCCGAACCAACCCCCCCACAAGACAGAAGAAATACTACCGAATAACAGGCTCCCCCATCCACTCCGGCTCCTCCAACCCAGAGACCTTCCCCCGATCAACATCAGCGCCACCACTCCGCCCATCGAGCCCATCATCCTGGGTACTCCCTCTGAGCGAGCGGCGCGCACTATGCCTGCGCACGCGGCCGTCAGCAGACGCAGACGGGGCGTTGCCCATCCGCCGACGGTCGTCATCGCGGGCGAAGACCTGAAATCCACGCACGTGCGTGTCTTTCCCGTTCTGGTGGTTCTCCATTATGCGCATCTGTAGGACCATGGCTTTGAGGACGTTGCCTGCGTAGGGGTCGTCTTCGTCGTCTTCGTCGGCGGTTTCGTCCGCGTCGTCTTCGTAGGCGTCCATGTCGTATTCGACGGGGTTGTCTGCGTCGGAGAATATGTAGTCTGGCCAGGCTTTGGAGGAGGTGGGGCCGCGGTGTCGTCGGTTGTGGTCTGTTGTTGTTTTGTGGGGTTTGGTGGTTGTTGGGTGACGACGTCGGCGCTTCTTCCGGACCCAGCCTTCGCTGCGGCCACCGACGCCTTCGAGAGGTACGTCGACCCAGCCGCAGGGCCCTTCGCCTTCCCAGGTTGCGAACTCGACGAGGTCGTTGCCGCCCATGCCGGCTAGGAAGTTCATCTTTGTGGGTGTGTAGCTTTCGTCCATGTCGAAGTCGAGGTAGACGCGGATTTTGACCACCGCGACGAGCTTGAAGAAGTGTAGGGTGAGGGTGTGGGGTTGGGGCCCGTCGGACTGCCAGTATTGCGAGGGGGAGGGGTTGCGCAGTGCGGATACGCCGCAGCCGGGTTTGTGTGTTGAGACCGTCCAAGATGCTAGGGAGGAGATTTCGCGCAGATTGGCTGGGAGGGGGGAGGGTGATTTTTCTGTTATCGATCCGGTGTTGTTAGTGTTCGTTCGTTTCTTTGTTTGATGGGGAATTGCGAAGAGTGCATATATACCTCGATCATGCATCGGCTCGTCCTCCTCGACAAAATCCTCTTCTTCCTCTATATCGTCCCCGACCATCCCTTCCATCTCTTCTTCCGACGCATCGACCACATTCCCCTCGACATCCACATCAAAGTCCCTGTGGTATCCATTCATCGTGTCCTCCCCCATCTCCTCCTCCTCCTCTTCTTCTTCGTCCTCGAATTGCCCTCGTCCATTACGGCCCCCGGTTGTAAGTGCCGACTAGGGACGCCCCGTCCAAACATGGAGAAGACTGCCGCCTGCGCCGCGACATTGGGGTAGACGGGGTCGCGGTCTGAAGCCTCGAAGGGCCCGGACGACGGATGGAGCTGGGGGATTGCCTGAGACGGAGGCGTCTGGAACTGCAGGTGGGCGGAGGCATGGCCGAGGTGGGCGCGCGGGGGACGCGGATGGGGGGAGTCGCCGCGGACGGAGGGCGTCGTCGCGGGGGGTTGCTGTTGTTGACGGCGGAAGAGATGGTGTTGGTGACGGGGCATGGTAGAGGATTGAATATCAATTGTTTGAAAGTATTAAGTATTATGTTGGCATTGTTGAAGCTTTATCGGGTGGCTCCAGAGTTTGAAGCTCTGGGTCTGTCGATTGTTGTCGATCTGATAGATGGAAGGAGCTTGGGTGGGTTCGTCGGGCGGCGCGTCCCTCCGCGATATCACGTGCTGGCGGGATATCTACCAGATTTATGAGAACAGCAGAGATACTTCTTTGCCTGAGTATTGGTTGGAAAATTGTAGCTACAGCTCATGCGCTCTGCCTTACTCTGGAATCGGTTGAACCTGACATAGACCCTGCATACGATCAGGAATCCATCGTGGATGGATCGATCAAGTTTCCGATTCTCTTTTACTTAGCCCATACGTGTTATACCTCGATTCCTGTACACTAGAATCTGTCATACAGATTAGACTATAACAGACATCGGGATATGTATTCCTAGACATATAGACATGTAAAGACTAAGGAAAGAGTGAAAAGACAAAGTCAATTAAGATGATATCGTGAATTTCTCACCGCCCGTCCTGACCGCCTACAATCACCAGCAGAACAGCACACCGCCTTCACGGCTCATGATTGGCCGGTCGTTTATCCTGATTACTTCTCGCTCTCTCTCTGTCTTGTTGTTGTTTCCTCTCATCGTTTTTTCTTGTTCTTGTCTCTTCCCATCTTTTGCTTCTCACTATTTCCTACCGCTGTCTCTATCGTGGGGCTTCTGCTCACTTCATCCCAGTGGAAATCCCGGGGTTGGGCCGGCGCATCCTCCCGTTACGGAAGAGGACACCCAACCGCTTCAGAGCCAGCCTCCCAGCAACCTACCTACCTTACCTAGACAGTGATTAGAGTCATTCGGCCAATCTGACTAGACGCTCATCTGTTTAATCCTAGCGGTCACATACGTTTTCTTTCTCTTCTCTACTGCCATCCTTCAAATCATCGACCCCGCGTGTTGCCACACTGCATACTATGGGCCGTTGCTAGACTAGACCAAACAAGCAAGCGTCCAAACGAGAATGCCTTCTATGGTTGAACCTACGGCGAACCCGCCCCTTGCAGCCGGGGACCCTGGAACTGATAATCCCCTGGGCTTCACGCTGCATGTCCTGTGTCCTTCGCTCCCTCCTCCTGGCCGATTCAGCTTCAACAACCTTGCCGCATCCACCTCCATCGCGGAGTTGAAGCGCCTCATCCAGGCAAAGATCCCCGGAAATCCCGTCCCGGAATCGCAGCGCCTGATTTACAGCGGTAGACCGGTTGTCGATATTGGCTTGACCTTGCAGTCGATTCTGGAGCCAGAGGAGGTAAGGATAATCCGTCCGCCTACGATACATGCGACTGACAAGTGTCTATTCAGGGTTCACAGCACTCGATCCACCTCGTCTTGCCCCCAGCCCCTCCACCCAATCCTCTTGCGGCCACAGGCACCGAATCGCTGATCCCGAACGGAACCTCATCGGCTCCCCAGACTACCGCTTTGCCCGGCCGTTCCCCGCAGTTCGAACAAGGCTTGCGACTGAGAGGCCAGCAGGCTCCTCTGACCGTCAATGAGGCCGAGCTGGGACATGCACTTCGCCGCAACATTGAGATCATACGCGAACAGCTCAACGCAAGAGAAGGAGCGCGACCAAGACCCACCCACCTTTCTCGGGAGCTCGCAAGCCCCGTTGCTCCAGGGCCCTGGCACCAATGGCACCCACAATCGTTGTCCGCAGCGAACGCCTCGAACATGCCGAGACTGGTCATCTCCGGGACACATGCGCAGCGCGCTGAACAAGTCAACCGTGTTCTGACCACCGTCCGGCCTCGCATAGAGCAGATGGAAGCAGAGTTCGGGGAAGGACTTATCCCGTCGCTGGAAATGACTATCGCTGCCCGTACTCAGCTTCTGGAATGCCTGGATGAGCAGACCCAGAACCCCCTCATGCCGCGCAATGGTGAAATCGAGCGCCTCCTCGATCGTCTCTCCATCATCTACCGTCGTGCCGACACCCTTCGCCTTAGCCGTGGAAGCGGACCAACCGCCACGAATGTGGCCGAACGCAGTCATGAGAGGGCTCCCGTGTACCTGTTGACTTCCCCAGACGGGTATCAAGCGCTCGTGGCGTCCCCGGAAACGCAGATCATCCCGACGTCGATGGCTGCCCTCCGCGCAGGACAGATCCCGCAGCCCACCCCGACCACCGCCCCGCTGCCCAACGTGCCGACAGCCAACCCGGACCCCAACCCGAATCCCGCCAACCTGAACCCGAATGCGATGGTGATGGAGAACGCCGTCCGCCAGGCCTTGATCAACCAGCGGGCCGGAAACAACGACCAGATGGGCATGGCACGCTACGTCCGACGCATGTGGCTGTTTATCCGGCTGTATTTCTTCTGCTACATGCTCAGCGAACCGGGAACCTGGACACGGGCGATCTACGTGGCCACGGCCATCATGATCGCGCTATTATCCGACACCACCATTCCCCAACAAGTGTACCGCACCCTGGTCACGCCCTTGCAAGAGCACCTGGAGGGGTTGGCCCATCCCCTGGAAAATGAACACCCGCCCAACACACACGCGGCTGGTGCGCCGAACGCCGAGAACCGAGTTACCAGAATTGCCGGCGTCAGCCTGGCCGACTTTTTCAGCGGCGTCCGTCGATTCGAGCGCTCCGCCGCGTTATTCCTAGCCAGTCTCGTTCCCGGCGTGGGAGAACGGCAGGTAGCAGTCCGCCAGGCAGCGGAAGCTGCTCGGAATGAAGAGCGCTTGAGGGCAGAAGAGGACGCCCGTCGCCAGGAGGCCGAGTCGAACCGTGAACAAGAGCCCGGGCAGGAACAGGATGGGGGAAGTCAACCTGCACCCGAAGCTGAAAGCCATCCTCCGGGAAACGGCCCCAACGACCATCCACCAGTCGAAGCCGCTCGCGCTGAACCTCACGCCCACAATGAATAGTTATGCCCCTTCCCTTCCACAATACATGATACCCCAGACCGACATCGAACAGTTGGATTTCCATTCGCCAGGCCTATTTCTAGTTTGGTCTATTTCTATTCCTAGTTCTACCTCTAGCCAGGTAATAGAGTTAGACTCCACAAAGGACGAAGACGACTGGAGAAACCCCCTACCTCATTGTTCCACGCTCGGCGTTTCTTTTTCTTCCATGTTCGATACTGATTTTGAATTTCGGTTTTTTTCCTGTGTAGCTTTTTGATCATGTTCTTGATCCCCTTTTGTCGTTGGTTTGGCTTGGCTTAGCTTGGCTTGGCTTCACTTGGTGACGATTCGATTTGTATCTATGTCTGCAATTGTCAGTGTACATAAGATTTGAGATTTCTGCGTTTAAGCGAATCGAACTCGAGTGTGAGTGAATACAAAGCGTGAGGGTAGTAATGATAGCATGGATGCTTTACTTGTTATTTACTACTCATCCTATCTGTTCTATTTCAATAAGACTGTACCTGCCAGTACCTATCCACTCCTCGAATAGTCCCCGAAGTTCTCTTATGAATAACAGCTACACACAGACGACAGAGTGTAAAACGAATGCGAGGGTATTTAGCCCTTGAGACTTGGCCCCGTCGATATCTTTCTGGGTATGTATGTATGTATGTATCTGCCTATTTACATATCTGTCTGCCTGTCTGTCTGTCTGTCTGTCTATCTATCTATCTATCTATCTATCCGCAGGCCTCCAAACCAGGCCTCCAAACCAGGGAGTCTACCTGCCTACCTGCCTTTCCACCAACCTAGTCTATCCCTCCATCTACTAGTAACCCTGGGTATACCAACAATATACAGCAACACCACAAGATGGCTCAATCATAGCTTCGTCCCCGTCCTAGACCCCGATCCCTCAATCGACGAATCCCGTCCCGAAGTAGGGAACGCAGAAGGTGGAGCCATCGGTCCTGTATCGAAGGATTCTTCGCCGCAGAAGTGCCTATCCATGTTTTATTAGTATCGTTATTGATTGGTGTTGTAGGTGTGGGAGTGAATGTGGCAAGACGGAATGAACGAGGTAGGGAAAAAAAAAAAGGAAAATATAAGAAGGAAAGAAGGAAAGAAGGAAGGAAGAAGAAGGAAGAAGAAGGAAGAAGAAGGAAGAAGAAGGAAGAAGAAGGAAGAAGAGAGAAACATACCACCCCCGTTCAGCACCCTCGCGCAGAAAACTACAGTCCCCGTTCGCAATACAATCCCACCCCCCGCCGACACCACGACCGCCTCGCCATTGCGGGACGGTGATTGTGTCTTTTGTGAGTTTTGTTCCTGGTGCGAGGCTGGATGTGTCTCTGCCGCTACTGCCGCTACCGCTACCCTCGACAGGAGAAGACATCCTCCGCCGAAAAGTACTCAAACCCGCCGTAAAAACATTAAAGTCCTCCACGTCCGGGTCATCAGGCATGTTACCGGTCAAGGCGCGGCCGATAGCGATGAGAGGGGCCGCATGCGAGCAGATAAGGATGGCTTTGCTGGAGTGTGAACCCGTGGCTTGCTCGTGGGCGGCTACCTCGGCGTCGACGTCGGCGATTATGGAAGATAGGGCTGTTGCGAGGCGGTCGTGGAGCTGAGCGATGGTTTCGCCGCGGGTGGAGGGGATCACGTTTGGTTGTTGCTGGGGGGAGATTGTGTCTGTATCTGGGAGGATGGCTGGGAAGTGTGTTTTGAGGGTGCTAGGCGTGGAGGGCGAGGGGTGGTGGAAGAAGGAGGTTGGGCCGAACCATTCTCTGTTTTTTTATACTTGTGTTAGCTTTGGACTTTCAGTTTGTTTTCGTCGCGACGAAGAGGAAAGAGAGGAAGTAAATACTAACCCAACCCCATTCTCAACCCTAACATCCAAAACCGCCCCCTCATCAATCCCACTCCCATCCCTCCCCATCCTCCCCTTCAACGCCTCCACCCCCGGCTGAATAGTCTGCAAGCACCGATAAAACGGACTACTATAAACGCGAAACGGCTTCGGCACGACCCTCTCACTAACCAAATGGTCCGCCAGCTCGCGCGACTGCCGCACGCCGTGCGACGTGAGGGTCGGGTCCGCGGGGTTCCCCGTGGGTGTTGGGAATTGCGATTTGTATTCGCCGGTTTGGTAGTTGATTGTCCAGTTTAGGCGGTGCTAGACGGTTATTCTGGGTTAGTTATGGATGGTATAAGACCGGGGATGCAGGGAGCAATTGGAGAGTGGGTTGCAGGGTTGTAAGGGATTGGTTGGTGACGTACGCCATGGCGGGTCAAATATATTGTGTCTAAGGGCATTTTCGAAGCTGTGTTTTTGCAAATTGAATTGGGATTGGGTTGTTAGAAGATTGAAGTAATTTGATTGAGGTAAGTTGAGCGAGAATAAGATATAGTTGCATGTGGATAAGACTTGCGGGGAAGAGATGGCAGAATGGGGCGGTCTGCTTGTACCTCGGTCCGGTTTTTTTTTTTTTTCCTTTCTTGATTATACTAACGAGTACAGGCTATAAACTACAAAAACTACAAGGAATACAAGCAACTACAGCTTGAATATATAAAAGATGACCGGAAAAAGTTCACTCAGCTATCTATCAAGTTTGTGTACAGGTATAATCCCAACCCGGTAGACAGATATTGAGTACCTCTCTCTCACCCGACCATTTCAAAACTTTTCAGATTTTTTTGTTACCAGACAGGCGAACCCATCTAGTAGAAGAAGCCGAGGAGCTTGCCGGCAACGTGCTTGCGGCGAGCCTCCTCGTGGTCCATGATACCAGCGGAGGTGGTCAGGACGACGAAGCCGAACTGACGCGAGGGGAGCAGCTGGACGGCCCAGGTCTCGAGGTCACGGAGCTGCACGGGGTAGCGGGGGTTGATGACACCACACTTGTTGAGACGGCCGTTGAGCTGGATGACGATCTTGCCGGAGCGGTGGTCGTCAACCTCCTCGAACTCGCCGATGTAGCCTGAACTTTATGTTAGTATTTGCGAATACAACACAAAGCATAATGATCAGGTTGAAGAATGTAGCAGGAATATAAAGGTCGCCGAGCACAGAGAATAGAGTCCCGGAAACTTGTAAGATTCCCGCCATGTGTTTGATATCTCGGGCACTTAAAGGGCAGACGTTCGTGTGAAAATTGAAAGCGTCGCCTAGTTATCAACCCGAATTTTTGGTTTTTTTTCCAGGACTCTCATCTCATGCCGACAACCAGGATTTTCCCACATTCCCTCTGAACCCCGCATTGAACGTAAAAAAAGGAGTAAGAACATACCGTGCTTCTGCATGACCGAGAGGAACTTCACAATAACCTTGGAGCTGGGGCGGACCAGAACCTGGCGCTTACCAGCCTTCTCGGCATTGTTGATAGCGTTAAGCGTATCGTTGAGGACGGAAGTGCGGACCATTGTGGCGGGTGAAAGGAATCGAGATTCTCAAATCGAAAATACGAAGGGGAAATGAGGTATCTAGAAAAGGGAAAAGTCCTAATGAACTCCCCCTCCCTTTACCAACCAGGAGAAAAGAAAGAAAAAACCTTTTACCAGCATTTCTTTCCCCCCCCCAGTCGATAAAGGAGAGAGACATCGGGACCACACAAGTCAGCCACCAGTAGTCTTCGAGCGCAAAGAGTGCCCCTTCAGTGGAAGAGAGAGGAAAAGAGAGAAGACAATATTTCAGTTCTACTCTCTCTTTCCTCCTCGCCAGGGTTCTTCAGCCCGTGCCGTGATGAGAGATGCGTATCACCGGATGGCTTCCCCCTGGCTCTAGTCCGTCATTGAGCATTTCTGCTGCCGGAGAGCCAAAAGGCAACCCGGTGATTGCTCTCCCAGACTAGCTGTGAGGCTGGTAGAAAGGGACTTTCGACATGTAACACATACCTCGAGGTGGGTTGGGCGGGAGTGTTGACGCTGGGTGAGGATCGGAGTCGGAGCAGAAGTTGAAGGGTTTTCTCGGGTGTGCGTGTCTAGGGCTCCACTCTTGGCATGCCCTAAGCGGGTCACGTGACCGCCACTTATGCATGCCTGAGGCATATACTATTGCCCTATCGACTCATACTCCAACTACACCAAGGCTACCATGAATATGCAAGCTTTTCTCATTCTCTCTATACAGGGTCTTTTTTGGATCACACTGGATTATACGTGGAACAGGGTCAAAAAATTCGTGGCAATATCTTGGCAGGGGTTACATCACTTTCGGGCATACATGAATCGCTATAGGGGTCTTGGTCTAATGGGGAAGAAAATAAAAAAGCAGAGGTGGTGGATAATGATGGAGGAAATCAAGTGACAGGGAGAAGGGTAGAAAATGCATGAATAGGGAAGAAAAGAAAAGGAAAAGGAAAAGGGTCATAACAGGGACGAGGGTAAAAGATCCGAAAGGGGATTGGCGGGTGGGGGAGAAAATCGGTTGAAGGGGGGTGATGAAGGGGATGATTGTGTTGATGCAGTGATCATTAAACACCAGGGCTGCTGCCAATAAGCTGACAGACCGTTGGGCCGGTGAATTTTCTGCCAATCGTCTGATGCTGCACAGCATCATCCCATGGGCGATGAGCGCGCTCCATGGGTGGAGTCATCCAGGACGCAGATCCGTGACTGTATCCAGCGAGAAGTCGATCCGAGACGGGTGCTCCCGAGAGGACGGGTTGAGGATGGAACCACGGTCCCAATTTACGCCATGGACTGGGCGGTCGCCAAGCTGATCTGTCGCTTGACCTGCTCGCGGGCCCAGCGGGCGGTATCGATCGTGCGAGGTCCGAACTCCCGGCTCATCCGGGTCTCCCGGACCAGCGAAGTCACCCAGTCGTTGCGGAAGAAGTTAGCGAATTCACCGTTAGGGAATGACTCCGCTAGGTCACCAATGACACCCATGGAAGCCCGCATCAAGCCTTCGCTGCGGGTGGGATCCTGAGAGATCAGGTGCAGGAGCTGGAAGATGGACTCGATGAAAGGCTGGAGTTGACCAACTGCAACTGGTTAGCACTGGCTAAGGACACTTAAACTCGGGACTCATACCTGAAGGCGTGCCCTTGTACGACAGAATAATTCCACCCCAGGCATCCATGATACCCTCACGAAGCGAGATGATGTAGTCGAGCATCTCCATGGTGACGTCGGCACTGACGGTGACCACCGAGGCCTGCTGGAGGACCTGGCCCACCACCGCCAGGTAGGTGTCAAACTGGGTGCCGATTGCCTGGCAGATATCACCGAAGCACTCGAGGATGGCGGGCTTCAGCTGGTTGGAGGCGCTCTGTAGAGCAAGTTAGCGTGACGTTCTTCCGAGCAGATTCGTGCGCGGGACTTACGCTCAAGTCGGTAAGTAGGTAGTTCATGAAGGTGTCGCAGTACGGCTGGACCTTCTCGTTCAATGCACGAGAAATATCGCTGACCAAGCCAATGGCCATGGAGCAGAGACCAGGCTCCTCGAGGTTGCCCAGAGCGTTGTAAAGGAAGGGGGTGAAAGGATCCATGTACTTGACGAAGTCGTCTTCCAGAGCGCCAGCGATGGCACCCACGGTGGCGAAAACAACATCCGGCACGCTGGACTTGGGGGGAACCGTCGTGAGGATTTGGAGCATGACGTGCATGATACGGTCGGCCTGCGGCTTGACGTCGGTCTCCAGGCGTTGAACAATGGCCTGCAGGATTAGCGAGCGAACTTTGTTAAAAGGGAAAGGGATCTTACGAGAACAACGCTGGTCAAGCTGGTCTGCATCTCCTCCAGGGTAATGCGGTCCTCCACGCTGACAACCTGCTGTTGCATGGGGATGGTGTGCTCGAGACGCTGCAGAGCGACGTCCGAGAGAGTGGCAACCATGGGAAGACTATCGTTGGCGGCGTTGGTGACGAACGAGTTGAGGACTTCATATCCGGCCGTGCGCAGCTGGTTGTCGGCATCTTGTCTGTAGGGAAAAAAGAGGGAGGGTTAGATGATCCGATCAAAAAGGCGGGGTAAGATAAGTCTCACCTCTCGGTCAGGGCGAGGAGCGACTTGACGCTGTCCTGGAAGTGCTTCGAAAGGGGGTTGGTCTGAGCACCGACGTCACCGGCGAAGCGGTCGGCCACGTTCATCAACGCCCAACAGCAGGAGCTGGCGATCTTGGGGGTGCTGGCCAGGCCGTTGAACAGGCAGGAGATGAGGGGCTGGAGGTGCACCTCGGGGTCGAGGGTCTCCGAACAGAAGTCGCACACACGGCCGAGAGCGTAGGCAGCCGAGTCGCGAACCTGGATGGAGCTATCCTCCATCATGCCGATGAGCACACCGAGGGCCTGCTTGATGAGGGGCTCCAGAACCTTGGGGTCGGGGCCATCCATGATGGCGCCGAAAGCGGCGACGGCGGCATCACGGTGGCGCCAGTCCTCGTTGCGGATGTTCTCCTCCACGAACGTCAGGACGGGCTGGATGGCATCACCCTGCACACACTGGGCGTAGAGTTGCAGAGCCTGGTAGGCAGCGCGGGAGACGTTGTACTCGTCGTCCGTGGCGTCCTCATCCTGGCGACACATGGTCTGCAACAGGACGGGAACGACCTCTCGGCAGGCGATCCGAGCAAAGCCGTAGAACGGGCGAACCTCGGGGGCGCCGTCAGCTTGGGCCTGTTGAATGATCAGTAAGAAAGAAGTTCCCGCAAAAAGTTATAAGGATGTATAAAAGGGAGGGGAAAACGAACCTGGGCATTGTCGTCTTCGATGGCAATTTCCTCCTCGCACACGGTGCACCAGAACTCGATCGCCAGCTTGGCAACATCTTCCTCCTCGCTGCGCATGCCCATCACGCTCAAGCCAAACAGAGCCTTCTCCATGTAGAAGCGCATCTTGTCGTAGTAAGCGCCCATGATGCGGTTCAGACAGCCGAACGCGCCGGACTGCACGCGGAGATCCTCGGCCTGGGTGGCCTCGCAGACGACCTGCATGATGTAGTTCCGCTCGCCCTCGTTCTCCATGTTGGACCGGACAAAGTCGACGGAGTCACTGAGGGCCTTGATGGCGGCGTTCCGGATGTCCATGTTCTGCTCCTCGCGGCGCGCGCCCTGAACGACAGCGGTCAGGATGGCGTTGGAGTGGGCGCCCAGGCTTTCGCGCAGCTCGGCATCCTGAGACTCGCAGATGAAACCGATGGTGACCAACGAGGACTGCTTCAGCTGGTCGGAGCCGCTGGCGACGTTCTGGACGAGAATATTCATCAGTTCGGGCCACTCGTTCCGCGGCAGCTCGATGGCGGCGACGGAAACGATGAACTGGGCGGCCGATTGGCTGGCCTGGCCATGCTTGGAGCTCAAAGTCTTGAGAGCAAGTTCCTTGACCTGCGACTTGATTTCGGGGGTAATTTGCTGGAGCCATTTTGCTTGCACTTCACGCAGTTTTGCGGCATCTCTGAAGGTGAAGGCGTTCTTCAGGGCGATACCGGCGGCAGCCCGGATGGGGGGTGCAGTATCTTCGTTAGCCAGTTCCTGGCCGAGAGTGACGAGGTAGCCGGCCTAGAGAGGAGAGAGTTAGTGAGAACGGAGATGAGATCATGGTTAAAGGATAGAGATAAAAATCCAAGGGAAAAATCTTCAGAAAAAAAGAGGAAAAAACGGAGGGGGTAGAAAGTGGGGGGTAACGTACGAAGTCAACTTCCGCCGCATGGGCGAGCTGCTGTTCGGCATTCGAGCGCGCCGTCGCATCTAAGAAGCAGAAGAAAAACCGTCAGCGAGGATATTCGTATCAAAATATATCCAGCAATAAGACCAGAGGATCCAACATACCAGGCGACAGGGTACTCTCCAACACCTGCGTGACATTCATGTTGCCTTATGCGGGAAGAAAAAATAACAGGCCAGTAGGAAAAAAGGAAAAGGAAAAAAAAAGAAGATCAGGAAAGGAAAAGAAAAAAGAAAGAAAAAAAGTTCGAATAGGGGGTCAATCCAGTGAGAAAGAGAATCAACTCAAGAGACTAGAGAAAAGGGTGGTTGAGAGAGAAGTCCAACACAAAGGAATGAGAGTGCGGACCAAAAGCGGGCTGGGATGGATGAGATGGAGGAGGAGGTGAAGGTTAGGTTAGGTTGTTTTTGTGGATGCGGATATATGACGAGGCATGCACCAGGTCTAGTTCTTTCCGGGGGGGGGGGGGGGAAGTAAGTGGCAGTAACACAAGAGAGGGAAGCGGTATATGCCAGAACAAGGGAGGATTAGCCCCAAGGTAACTAGCTTAGTTAGGGTTGAAAAGATCCTGAGATGAAGAGAGTAGAAAGTAGGAAGCGAGGTGAAGAGATGAAGATGGAAAAGAAAGAGACAGAGAAGAAGAGAGAGAGAGAGAAAGTGATGAGGGCGTTCGCTTTACTTTCTCGAGCTGTACAGAAAAAAGACTGAACTGAAAGACTGAAAGAATGAAATCAACGAAACCGGCGTGACAGCGCACGTGATCCGTGGCGGGTTATGTAAGACACCCGCCCATGACCATGACAATACCATACCCATTTTCTCCATACACCCTTAATTCCCCTTCCAGTCAATTTACTTCTCCAGAGTACGACCTAACTAATGATCTATACCTCCAACAGATACTTATTAACTATCCGTATATTTCTCAAAATGAGATAAATACCTCTAAATCGACAGATCCAATCCAACCCCCTCATCAACCAGCAGCAGCTGGCCCCCTGATAGAATCCTGAGACAGCAGCTCCAATCACAAATCACAGACGTCACCATTGCGATGCCGAATCATACCTATCATATCTTACCACTCCATACACCCCGTAAGAAAAAGACACCCAGACCATACAATACCCTTTCTGTGTGTGTATTGTAACGATTTGCCCCTCGTTTTTGGCTTTGTTTTGTTTTGGTTTTGCCGCTTGGAGCTGTGGCCGTGAGGATTTTGCCTGGTGGCCTGGGCGACCGTTTGTTTGGTTTGGCTGGTTTTTACTGCTGCTCTGCCTGGCTGAAGGAGAGATGGTTCTAGAAGGTTATATAGGGAGTTATTAACTGAGTTATTAGTGTTATTTGCTATATGAATTACCTTATCTGTTAAGGAAGATACTCTATTTTTACGATGATTGTTTTTTTCTTGGATTGCTTTGATTCGCTTATCAGGAGTGTCATGAAGTAGTGATGATTTAACCTGTCAGGGGTCATGGTGATCGTTGAACTATATTAGTATCTAGGAGGGGTTGATTTGTCCGATAAATTTAGCAACTAGTATCAAACAATAAAGAAAAGGTTTACTCCTTCACAGGTACTACTTGATAGAATTGAAATATATTGTATAAAATACCACCCATCTCTATCAGAATAAAAAGAAAGAAAGAAAGAAAGAAAAATCATCACTCATAACAAACAGTCCACCCTCCATACCACACATAGACAAAGAACTATTCCATCTCATCCTCCTCCACTTCAGCGTCCAAATCCAGCACCTCGTAGCGCAGTCCATCCCCATACACCACACAGATCGCCCGTCGTCCCTGTCGCCCGTTCACATCGATCCGGGCCGGTTTGGCCTTGACGCCGCCGGTCGCAAAGCGATGTTTGATTCCCGCCCCCCCTGTTGAAGACGAGACTGACATGTCTAGTGGTGTCGGAGGAGGAATAGCCGTGGTGGCTGTAGTATTGCAGTCGGTGTAGGTCACGGCCGACGGGCCTACTTCTGGGGATGATGGCTGGAAGGGGAGGTTGAGGAGGTAGCTGGATCCTTCTGTTGTAAGATGTGAGTGGGTGGGATGATTAATCGTATTAGGAAAGGAAGGGCTTACTTTTGCTAGTCCAGAGTACCATAAGAGTGTCGTCTTCGACGAACTGGATCTGTCGGATTTCTCCGTCATGGAGGGTTAAGGCCCCAAGGGAGGTCGTTCGGGTCGAGCTGACGCCGTTCTCCGAGTCGAGGACTACGCGGTATATGTAAACTGCGACATATGGTTAGATACTCCTAGTATAACGTCAATACGTAGAGGGGTGCGTACGTAGATGCTTGGACGAGGTCGACCGGGTCGCCAGATAGACCACGCATGGGCTGTCCTTCTCGGCGTCTTCATACCGCATTGTCATATCAATGACGTTTCGATCGCAGTCCGAATGCAGAGCAAGAGGCGAGCGGTGGAGGATCCCCCTCCGCTGCGTCAAGGCTATCTGTCCGAAGACCTTCTCGAACTGCAGACCCAGCCGCTTCGTCAGGTCATTCATCTTGGGAAGCTCGACGTGGTTCGCGTCGTCGTCCACCCCCTGGCTTTGCTGCCGCAGGAGCTTCTTGAACGTGTCGTAGAATGACCGGTCGTGGCTCTGGCCGGTGGGCGCCCATTTGTCCATCGAGGCGGCGGACGGTGGTGGTGGTGGCGGCCGAGGGATACCCATCATGGGCAGCTGCTGGATGTAGTAGCGGAGTTTGCTTTTGGCTAGGGCCCCGCGAATGTATTTGAGCGTCTGGGGGTATTCGACCAGGTCGGTCTTCTCCATCAGCTCTTCGAGGGTTTGCGACATGGGCTCGGCGCTCTGCATGTCGATCTCGTGGCGGAGCCAGCGCGAAAAGCTGTAGAACTGACCGAGCTCCTCGTTGGTGTGGATGAGGATGTGGTGTGCTAGAAGGTGGAGGCAGTCCATCGTCTCGACGATGGCATTGAGGTCGGACGTCTCCAGTCCGAGGACCTCGCTCAGCTTTGTAAACTTGGAGAGGCCGATAAGCCGGCTGAGCAGGACCTCGCATCGCTCTAGAGCTGGGAGGAGACATTCATGGGTCAGCCGTCGAACGTTTTCATAACCGCTCGAGACAGCCTTCTCCCATCGTTTGTGACCCTGTACACATCAGTACCCATTCATATATCAGACTTTCAAATTGAATGCGAGAACCTACCCTCTCTCCCACAATATCCACTAAGAACTCCCTAAGCGGGTCGAAACAATCCCCGGTGACAACCAAATGATACGCAGCAGTCACGAAATCACAATGGCACTTCTCCTGCAGATCCTCATTCACACTGCGCATATACCGCGCAGGGAGCTCCTGTGCATTCTTCCATTCCAGCTCAATCTGCCTCTGCACCTGGTTGATGTAGCGTAGCAGATTCTGCAGCTGGGTGGTCTTGTGCGCCAAAAGCGACAGGTAGCGGCCGGACCTCGTGATGAAGCGCAGATCCAGTGTCACCAGATGCAGAGAGTTCAACGTCTCAGCCAGCAAGGCATGCGTCGAGCTGAGCGGATGCGAGGCATGCTGCAGAATCTTGCAAGGTGCTGACCCTACAGGGCTAGCAATCTGGATCGAGCCAATCTCGAAGCAATCAAAGATACGGAGATGAACGGTACCGTCCTCAAAAGCCACTAGTAACACGTCGACCGCATCGCTCGTGTGTTTGGTCGACGAGTGGAAGATGGCGTCGATGGACGGGCGGGAGCTGAACACATCATCGCTGGAGGGTATTAACATGTTTCTTCCAACGGAGATTTAAGATAAAGAAAAGGAAAAGAAGAAAAACATACTCTCCACCCGTAGCAGGCAGCGTACTCAACTTCGGCAAAGAAGACTCAACATCCAGCAAAGCCAACTCACGCGGCAGATCCGCCCCAAGCAACGCCGCGGCCTTGGACGGATGCACATCCGGCGACAAGAGATCCTCGACGGAGACTTGGCCAACAGCCTCACGCAGATTGGCGCGCGCGACGCGAGAATCCGTGAAGTTCACACCCCACCCGAGACAGGAGACCTGGGCGGGGACATTCTCGTCCGGTGAGCGGTAGACGTCGTAGTGGTGGACGGTCTTGCCGCTGTAGGCGCTGATTATGCGGACGGTGTTGTCCGCGCATGCGACAGCGAGAAGATAGCCTGTCTTCCTGTTAGAAGATATCTGTTTGTATCGTCCAGCGAATTGGGGAATGGAGGAGAGAAGAAGGGAGGGAAGAGAGATACCATTATTTTTCCACGCCAACCCACGAATCTCACCATCAGCTTCGTCCTCCCCAAGATAAGGATCCCCCTTAAACGAGCCCCCAAACACGCGCTGCCCATTCAGCCGAAAGACACACAGCTCGTCATCGTCGGTGACAAGAGCAATGAGGTCCATCGTGGGACAGTAGGTCAGGGAGCCTGGCTTGCATTTTGCCGGCAGCGATTTCTCCGCGATGGGAGAGAGCTGCGGCTCGTGGCGCGTAGACTGAGACGCATCTTCAGCCATATTCATTGAGATCTAGATTTCTATTCCATGCTTTTGGGGATTGAATGTGGTGTTGCTTGAGCGGGACTATCTTTGGCTGGGTTGTTGTTGGTGAAGTACCTTATTTGCGGGTCGGGACTCTTGGCATGTGGACGACCTTTCACTCACTTTATTACTCCTGTACAAGCCATAAACCCTCACTTCGCTCAGCGATTTGATCACGTGGCTGAAATTACTCATGAATATTTTATAGATTTCATCCATATGAAGAGATGTTGTTTGATCAATATTGTAAGAATGAGAGATATAGTTATACTAAATAACTGTATAGTTTTTATAGCTCTGCAAAGTACTCCGTAGCCGCAAACCCCCTAAAAGCATTCACGTAGGAAATTCCTACATACCTACTAGATAGACTGCCCAGCCGGTGGAGTGCGGATCCCGAGGTCGGTGGACCCTGAGGTGCCGGCGAAAACCCTAATGGGGATTTCTTCTCCTACCGTCACCAGAGTCCATTTGGATATTTGATATCGAAGAGCAATGAGGAGTGATCGAGAAACGGCATGTCGTTAAACAACTTAACTACGCCTTCAGAGCATGTGACTAAGCCTAGGCCCCATTAGACTGTTATTGGATCGGTGGACCCACTTTCCCTGAAAGGCCACTACTACCTTACCTACGCCATCGCCTTAGTACGAAACCTGTCTGGCTGAGGTTTGGGGTGTATAGTCCAATACCTATAACCTAGCGACGGAAGGGCGCGTTTAAGTTGAACACATCCGCCCCAACCAGCTAACCAAGGCCGGCCGTACCCAACATGGCAGCTTGCGCAGTAACACTAGGCCGTCAACTTAAGGGCAAAGCAGGACTCTACACAATAACGAAGCAATTACAAGAGAGCGTTTGGCTAGCAACGTAATGTCCCGGTCCTCACCTCTTACCAGTTTCTAACGCTTGAAGCCCTGCAGAGCCCAGAACAAGGAGACTGTCGTTGTGAAGAGCGTTCGGCATTTTCGCCTACAAAATGAAAGGGACGTTCTTCTTCGTTTCCAATCCCAGTCTCCGTACCTCCGTCCCCTTCTCGATGAAATTGAAGACCCTCCAGGACCACCGGCTCTCATCCTAAGACACCTCGATGACGATCTTTTGCATGCATCAAACAGCAAGAAACTCTCACGACTCGAAGTCAAATATGTTGCAAAGAGGGTCTTGGAAGCGTTAGCAATATTGCATGGGGAAGGTTACGTCCACACTGGTATGTCCCTGAGTGCTTCGACTTCGACTTCAAATGGCTGAACGCGTTTATCAAAGACATCAAGCCTAGCAATATACTAGTGAACTATCGACATAGTGGAGCTCGGTTTGGCGATGTTCAGCTTGCAGACTTTGAAAGCACCGTTCACAGGGACTCTCCTTATGCTCGTCGTGGAGACTCGATTGGAACGCCTATCTTTAGGAGCCCTGAAGCACATTTATCAATGAGATGGGGTACTGAAACGGACATTTGGTCCTTTGGCACAATGGCATGTCCCTGTCACATTCGACCGCCTTTTTTTTTTCTCGAGACTAATGCATTATATTGGATTTCAGCTCATAAGCTTGATGTACGGGGAAGGGTTTCACATCTTTAAGCCCGATGTTTCACCAGATGACGACGAATATGAACTCAAGATCCTCATGAAGCATCATCGGTGCTTCGGGCCATTTCCCACATCATATGAGCAGATCGCCGACCAGGACCGAATCGCAGCCCTGTTGTGGATAATGCAAAATAGTCCGACCGAGACACTTAGACCCTTCCATCTCACAACAGCGCGAGAAATTTGCCAAGAAGACAAGGAATTTGTGCTCAGAATTATGAAACTCGACCCGAGAGATCGACCAACGGCCAAGGCACTTTTGGAGGACAGTTGGTTTGATCAGCTCTGAAGCAATCTCTGACTATTCCTACAATATGTATTCCCAATATTGTGTTGTCATAACGTATGTGATAAGGGAAACTTTCCCTGCACCATTTTTTTTCAACACTACCTACTGAAAAGAAGAAATAATTGCTATTATATTCCTCCTCGGACAGTTGGTAGCCGCAACTTTACAAGATTTCATTGTATCAGACGATCTGAATCGACGTCATACCAAATCCGGGCGCAGATTTACTTATATGTAGCTCCAGCCGCCTGGATATCAAGGTACTATACGGTGAATGAAGGCTCATCCGATGGACCTTATACGTCCCTTGCGGCTGCTGTCGTGATGTCTCCATGTCCCCAGACGTCCAAAGGCGCCTAGCAATTACCTACCAGGTGTATTGTAAACATAATACGGAGAGCCTGCACAAATATCAGCCACTAAGCCTGTGTTCTGATTCTCTCTTCGACCGCAATAAAATAATTCCGCCACCGAACATCCCATCACTTCTATAGACTATAACGTGTCCGGCCACTTGCGTTTCCACAACCTTTGATCTTGAGATTCGCACTTAGGGAAGAGATGGGGAGAGATGGCAAACGTCGGGCTTCGACCACAAGGCAGCTGGTCAACAAGGTATGTAAGTAAAGGGGTCAATTTTGCCGCCATCCTCACGGGGGCGTGAGCCTCTCATTCTTGATTGGATTGTTCTATATGATGTGGCTCGAGCTCCAGCCCGCAATTTAATCGCTGATTCGTTCCCATTTGACGATCCATCTTGAAGTAATGGCGTATCGCTCTAAGATTGTCTATTTGAGATTCTTTTTGGCCCCTGCATTCGAAGAATCCTCCTCGAACACTTGGAGCCAACCAATGTCGCCTGATAGAGAATCGCCGGCCACTACTCTTCTTTCAAAGCTAGACAGGGGTCGAAGCTATTTCAAGAATCGGACGAAGAGGGCTCCTTGGAAAGAAACGCAGGGTTGGCGCGAGCCGAAACGCCTGCTGCTTCTACAACGCGCATATGGCTATAAATGTGTAGGGGACTGTGGGCAGCTGGCCTTCTGGGATGAATATAAATACTTACCTTCCTGTCCTGGTGGAGTTAAAAAACAACTTCTACAAACATTGCTTCTGAAGTTCGTTGGCCTCAAGTCATGACTTTCAATCGCGTTTTCAAAAAGATCCCTATCGGTGCCATAAGAAAAGGCCGCGACGACATAACACTATCTATCGCCACAGAAACGTCGCTTTGGAAGAGGCCTGAATCAATGGCGATCCAACAAGGCCCCGGCTTCCAGAAGGCCGTCGAAGCTTCACCGCATTGGTCCCAGAAGGAACCAAAGATGTTTGCCAGAGGTATATGAGAATACCCCCTATTAATCATTGGCCGAGTCCTCTGACATTCTATACAGGGAAGCTCAGCACACAAGCGACGATCCACGCGATCATTATACTGGTGTTTGTTTCGACGACAAAGGGGAAGGTAAAAGCGTTCACTTCCCCGTCGAAAACACTTGAAAGATGTTGGATATCTATCCAGAGTCTTTGTCATTGGAAGAAGGGAGATCATCAGTCGAATATCTACATCTATTGTTAAGTAATTGTGGACGAGTGAGGCATGCAATCGGCCCGATGTCAGCAGTCTTGCGTTGTTTTCCCACATACATTGTTATCTTGACTCTTCAAATTGTCTTTTTCTGTTTCTTTCTCTTTTGAGCAATCTTACAATTGTTTTCGCACTTTTCATAGTCATCAAGATCATTATCGTGACCTTTTTCATCAGTTTTCCTATAGTAGTTAATTACTATATAACTTTGGATAGAAGTATTAGTGGCACTATATATATATAAATTGAAACACCACGTTACAGACTGTCCGTCAAATGCCTGGGAGAGGTAAATAGTCGGCCCGTATTGCTGACATAATTGATGTCTTGGACATAAGCATTCTAAAGGGAACCAATCATTAATTGGAACAAAGAAGTAGGTACTAGTCTGATGTCTTGTGTTGTAGCCTTTCTAGGTGAGGAGAAGTTTCCTTCTACCTGGTGTGGAAATAGGGGATGAAAACGCGCCCAAAGCGATGAAATTGATGATATTCGGATTATGGAAAAGCTTGCTTGATTGTTGGAATACAAACGGTCAAACTGTGTGGGAAAAGGACTCGGCAGGTCAGCTGACATGCCAACCGATTGCCGTCACTTCCACACCGGGGGGGAACCTTGCTTTATATCTCTCCAAATCCCCTCGGTCATCGTCGGTAGGATGTCATCGACCCTGGCCTTTTGGAAGCGGTTGTCCTATCGCAAACGTGATCTGTAGAGAAAAGCGTACTGCGCCTCTATGAGTTGGCGCTGTAATGAGCCCATGTGGGCATAGTGGTTTGAAATTTGTTGTTTCATGCGACTAGGTTGCCTAAACCCTACAGTACTAAGGTACCAGTTTATGTAGTAGAGTCGCAGCCGCCCTCTGAGGATAATTGTGGCTTTATATTAGGAGTGTAGTCTATAACATTGTAATATATATTTGCAGTACTGCTAATATTCCAAACGATATGAAGAGAAATGTTCTCAAGACATTCAACATGCAAGGGTTAATAGTCTGGAGTATATTTTTGATGATGTCTTATAATTTATTAACTTATTATAGCAGTTATAAGTGATAGTTCAGAAGTGCTGTAATGAACTATTGTTATCATCATCATCATTTTTATTTACGTATGATGGGGAGTATGTTGTAGAGTGATATATAGATAGTCTCATTATTTTTATGACAGATATTCGAATGTCAATGCTCATATAATATAGAACATACAAAACGCTAATACAACACAACAAATGAAACAGTCAATACATCTTACATAACCACCCACTCCCTAAATCATATTCTTCAAATAACTCAACTCATCCAACATCTCCTGCACCGCATCCTCAGACCTCCCCGCACGCTCACTCCCCCCCGCCGAAACAGCACTCCCCTTCCTCGACACAGCCGCATCCGACCCCCGCTCCGGAAAACGCAACACAGGCGCATCAGGACTCCTCGCCAGCCCCAACGCCTCCAGCGGATCCATCTCGCCGAAAAAGGCTGCGTAGCGCTTGGGATTGGTCTCGACGTCGTCGACGGTGTCTTCGATGGAGAGGCTGGGGATGTCGAGGTCGTCGGCGGAGTGGTGGTGTGGTGGCGGGAGACCCGGCCAGCAGGGGGAGTCGTCGCCGCCGATGACTGTTGTTGGGGACGGTTTGCAGTTTAGGGGGAGGTGCGGGGTGTCGGGGTCTTCGGTTGTTGTGGAGGGGTTGAGGAGGTCCGGGACTTCGGTGCTGTCTGGGACGGGAGAGGTGGCGTCGTGGTTGTGGTTGTGGCGTCTGGTGTTGGTGGTGAGGGGGAAGTGGGTGGATGGGATTGTGGAGTCGTGGGTGATTTCGTTGTCGGTGCTCCATGAGGAGAAGCGGCTGCGCTCGCAGGGGGGACTGCTGCTGGCGCGCGATGAGGCGTCGGTTTCGGTGAGATCCGAGAAGTGGCTGCCGAGGTTTTCGACGTCGAGGGCGCGTTCGCGCTCGTCGAGGTCTGCGAGGGCGTCGTCCATTACGGAGGAGGGGGAGTTGGGGAGCGTTGGGAGGCGCTTCTCGGTGAATGGGGATGGTCGGGGCGTGGCTGCGCTGTCGGACAGGGCCAGCTCGGCGGCGGTCGCTAGCAGCGGTGGGATTTTGGTGTCGAGCGGAGCGAGGAATTTCTGTGCTGGGCGGGCGTGTGGGCCCTGGTCGCTGCTCGTGGTTCTCCGCGGGAGGCCTGGCCGGGTCTGCACGGTCAACGGCACGTGGGAGGACGAGGGCGCCGAGGAATTCGAGCTTTGTGCTCGTCGGTCCTGGATCGATAGGGGCTGCGATTCGCGGCTCCCGGCGGAGGCGGGTCGTCGGAGAAGCAGCGTGTCGTCTGGGTACCGCGGGGTCCGGTCACGCGGGGGGATGCGGTCGGAGGCACTGCGCTCGGGTCGGTCCCCAACCAGGGCATGGCCATGTCGGCTGCGCGGGCGGGATCGCGCGAGGGCAGTGGTGGGCTCCACGGAAAGTTGGTCCGCGGATGCCAGATCCGGGGACGACGCGTTCCACTGGCGGAAGGCGGAGCGGATGCCTCTCGACCGAGGCGGGGAGACGGAGCGGGCGGACTTGTTGCCCAGGCTTCCGCTGGAGTGGGTTGCGCTGCGCGGCTGGGAGGCGCTCCGGTGGACCAGGGCGCCCAGGGGCGAGGCGTTGAAGGACCATGCGGGGGCCGGCTCTTGCAGGTGAGGCGGCGAGGTGCGGAGACGGGACGCCTTGGGTTTGGGGGGTTGACGCGGATTCATGAATTTATCCTCCGGGTTCATCGTTCGGTGGTCGTTTCTAAAACCGGCTGGACTCTGATCGCGCGAGCCGGTCGAGTGCGTGTCGGGGAGGATGACGGGGACGTGCAGCACGTTGACGGGTTGGCCGGGCAAGAAGGGACAGCGCGAGGTGACTGGTTCGGCCTCGTTATGGTGTTCTACATCATCGTCCAGCAGATACTACCGTTGGTTAGCGCGGATCTAACGATAGAGGAGGATAGGGAGACGAACGTAATACCAGTAGGTGGCACCCATTTTGAGACCCCCTGAGCGGGACGAGGGACTCTGGGATTGTCCGTCGCAGACGATGTCGGTAAAGGTATGGCAGCCCCTCCATTGTCCGGCGCCGGTGCGTCGATCCCTCTCCATGACGTAGGGTTTGGAGAAATTATCCCACGAGCCGAGTAGCTTGACGGAGCGAACGTGCGGAGGGGCGCATCTGTGGGGGTTAGAGCATGTCCACGAGGTTTCACTGAATGTGACTTACAGGAGAAATGTCATCAAAGTCGTGGAAGTCATGATGTCGGTCAATTGCAAGAAATCACCATGAGAAGAACACGAGAATCAGAGAGTGCAAGTGGGCGACGGAGATTATATGCAGGACTCGAAAAACTCCGACAAAAGCAATATGACCAAGACCAGCCCGGATAAAACAGGAGTAAAAGGTACAAGACGAATGAAGATACAGAAAGAAAAGACAAGGATAATAAGAAGGAAAGGACTCGAAAGGGGTTAATGTTTGTGTTTGTATTGCAATCCGGACGAGGATCAGGGTCGAGGTCGAGGTCGAGGTCAATATTATAGTATCGGCTGGAGAGAGATTGGCGGCAACACCACGCCACAAAATGCGATACGACGACGAGTGCTTCAGCAGGCGCGATGGCACAGGCTGAAGGCGCAGTACCTGACGATCGATGTGTTGGAACCAATCAAAGTGTGGACGAAGCGCCGAGGGTCTGGGAGGAAATAAGAGGGAGAGGGCGCTTGCAGCACGATCCAGTCGGAGGATTGTCCTTTAATAAGTGGTTTCACACGTGGGATGGGGAGAACTCCGGGCGATCAGGGGGGAGATATTGAGATCGGATTGAGATAGGATTTGAGATTGAGTATTCGAATTGAGTATTTGGGTGGGACGAGAGGAAATAGTTCGGTGGTCTATCTCTTAGGCCGTGAATAGTCCGGGACGAGACAGAGTGGAAAGAGGAAAAGAAAAGATGAGGATGAGGATTGAGATTGATGGATCAACAAAACCCCAACAGAGCGCTTATTGATATTTATGAATTATGGTTGAACCTGGTTGACCCTGGATCCACCAGAATTGACCAGGATACGAATGGATCGACAAGGGACCAGCTGGAGACGTCACAATGTGCTAGAGAGCATTCATTCTGTTCAATCTTAAAGAGAGAAAGTGGCGAACTGAAGCCGCTGATCATGGATCGAATTGATCATAGTCAGGCCCTAACATGCCGTCCATCGGTGGAGACTTTTCTTCATTCTCTTTTATCGTGAGGCTGGAGATGGCTTGAGCTGATCCGTTCTGTCGGAGAGACCGAGACTGAGACTATTGACACTATGATCGTGCATTCCGTCGTGACAAATTTCAAACTCTATCTTCTTTCTCCCTTCATTGTCCAAATGGATAGAGAGTAATTGACTGGAGGCATAGATTGTCAATCGTGAAGATCGTTCCCTCCCCGACCACGGTTCGCACCAGCCACCGTCGATTCGGTCCCAGACTGTTGGGTTTCCCCTTAATATAGATTAATCTATTATGGAGTTCTCTGTTAGACCATTCAACAGATACACAATCAGATCCACGGATTGATGTCAACTATTCAATTTCCCCTGATTAAATTCCTATTGATCAAACCTGGTTGAGATCCACCAACACCATCTGTAATTATTCCAAAAACCAACCAAAACACCCAAATCAAATCCACCATAAAACCAAATAAACAAATCAAAATAAACCAAAAAGACCATCATAAATCAAATGAATTAAAAAACTACCAAACCTCTCGCTGATCAAACTTCCGATTAACCGCTCCCAGCACACACTTCAGAATCCCCTCCGCACTGAGCGTCCCCCCAGACCGACCTCCCCCCCGCCAAGGCACCGTATCCACAATATCCCTCAGCCGATCCTGCTTCGACAGCCGCACAAGATCATCATCCAGCGCCTGCAGATACAGCCTCGCCGCTTTATCATCCCCCACCTGGAAGAACTGCACGCCCACCTGCCACGGCACAGCCGCGCAAGCATCCAGCCGCCTCGCCGCATCTATAAGCACGCTCTCCGCATCGTCGGTGAACTCCCCGTCCGTGATGGCGATGATATTCAGCGGCTTGACGCGCTGCGTGTCGGACTCGACGCGGCGCAGGTAAGGCCGGAGCAGGTCGTGCAGGCGGGTTCCGAAGGGCGTGAGGCCTTGCGGGTGCACGCTGTGGAAGATCTCGCGCACGTCGTCGGCGGTCGTGATGTTCGTGTAGCCGCCGGCGGGGTTGTTGCGGTTGGAGCGCCGGTGGTTGAGGAAGTAGATGTCGATGCCGTCTTGGTCGTGGTGGGTGCAGATTGGGGCGATGGTCGCGATGGCGGATTCGGCTTCTTTCCAGCGGGAGCCGGCCATGCTGCTGCTGTCGTCGACGATGAAGACGGTGTCGAATTCGGAGAGGAAGGCGTAGGGCGAGTGGTCTGTTGTTGTTGTGGGTGGGGGGGAGGATACGGTCGTGGTGTAGGCTGGGGGGGACCATGGGCTGGGGGCATTTTGAGGGGTGCTATTGTTTACTTTGGTGGTGGAGGAGATGGGTTGGCTTCTTGAGGTGTTTGCTGTGGTGTTGGGGGTGTAGTGTTGCTGATGTTCTGCTCGATTGGTCTTGGACTTGGACCGCGAGAAGGGGTGAGAGAGGAACTTGCAGAACGACATGGTGAAGAGATGGTATAATTCCGATATCACGATAGCATGATAGCACGATGTAACGCGATGCCTCTAGGAACAGCCCGTCGTCTTATATATATAGTATACCGAATCCCTACGTATGTACGACGTATGCGTTCCACAAACCCAATCACACAAACAAGGCCGAGCAACAAACAAAGCCTCCTTGTCAACCTTGGTAGAATTCTACATATCCGGCGGAGTTGCACAATCCACAGCCTGTATCTGAATATCGCCCATTCAATCTGTGGAGTTAACCCGTATGTTGTACAATCACCGGGTTATGTGGACAAGGCTGAGGCCACATGATAGTGAATACTCTGGAACCGGACCGGGCGTGATGGCGCAGTTGATGTGGTGAACCTAAGGGGTAAGGCAGATTCAACACTGCCTCGCCGGCTGCGGGGGAACTAGGGTTTGTGGTCGGCCAGAGCATTTGGTATATGTCGTAATGATGATAAAATCATTAACAAATGGAAAACAAAAAGATTGACTGAATGAAATGAATGAATAGAATAAAAACTCAGATGTAATAGAATCAAAACAAGAAAGAAAAGGTATCGGTAGTACTGTAACTAATAGCATCTCGATCATTTACCCAACATGAAACCAACGCTTATGCCAATAATTGCACCCCACTTGCGGCTCTGAAAATGAAATGTAAACAAGCTCTACTCTATAGATCAATCATCTCCACCAACAATCTACAAAGCCTCCACCTCCCGATACTCCTCCGGAATCTCCGGCCACTCGTCCACCCCATCCAGCAGCACCACTCCCATCCCCCCAGTCAGATGCACCTGGATATGACAGTGTAGCAAGAACGCCCCAGGATTAACCACGTGGTACCGAATGGCCATCCACGTCGGCCCCGTCGCCGCCGGCGGCGTAGTGGCCGTATCGCGGATCTGCGGCGTCTTGAGGTTGAAGTCCCCCGGGCGGTGGCGCACGGCGTCCGCAACAGACGTGTAGTTCCACTCGCCGTCGCCGGCGCCGATAACGAAGAACTTGTTGGAGTGTTTGTGGAAGGGGTGGGGTGGCTGGAGGGGCCGCACGGCCGCGAAGACCAGGTCGACCCAGGTGCCGTTTTGGGTGGAGATGGTTAGGTCTTTGGGGCCAGAGTCAGGGTGGAAGAGGAGCGGGTGTCGTGCTCGAGGGAGAGTGGGAGGCTTGATTCCGAGTCGCCTAGATACCACCGGTATGAGGCTTTGTAGTGGTCCATCTTGAGTACGTGCGTTTGGGCCACGTCTTGGCTGGGGACCTCTACGGGGAAAGGTACGAGCTTGTTGTCGTTTAGGACGGTATGCTTGCCAAGGGGCACGCCGGTGATGTCGATGGAAGGGGTTGAGGCGCGCCGTGGGTTTTTGGGAGGGCTAGTATAGGACATCACGGCTGTGGAGTTGATGATCTGGTTGATGCCTTGGTTGGCTACGCGGATGGTGTAATCCCCTGCTGGCTTGTCGAGCGCGACGAGCACCGAGTAGCGGTTGCCGTTGGCGATGATGAGGGAGTCGGCTTTTGCCGGTTCGACGTACCGGCCGTCTACTGCGTAGATCCACATGGGATGCTCGTCAATCGAGAAGACAGTCATGGCCAGCCCGGCTGCGCCGATCAGATCGTAGCTGACATATTTGTCGAAGGGCTGGACGGACACCCTCTCATGCGCTCCTTGGGACGGGACGCAGCCTGACCAGAAGGAGGATGGCACATCAGTGAGGTTGTGGGGATAGTCCCCTTGCACAAGAGTCGGAGGCATGCACCTGATTAAAAGTCAGTGTTCGTTCTGCTTTCAGAACTAGTAGTCTACAGAATAACCCATACCCTATGTCCGACAGGCTCTGTTTGCCCAGAATCATCCGGTGCTCGGGCGTAGTGGCCTCGTCCAGCGCCTTCTCGCCTAGGCAATTCACGGAGCCCTTGCCGTTGATCAGGAGTGCATTGACACAGTATGCTTCGAGCCCAGTTTCTTTCTGGACGCGCCACATCTCTTCAGAGGTCACCTGGCGCCAGTCCGATAGAATGATCGGACGGGTCTGGTCCTCGGCTTTGCGCATGGCGCGCAGGTCGTTCTCGTCGTCGGCAATGAGCTTGAACGGCCGTTTGATGGTATCGTCGGGCCGAATATAGATCGCTCCATACAATCCGTCTTCGACTTGACCTCGACTGTGAGCGTGGTAGAAATAACTGCCGTATTCCGTAGCGCGCCATTTGTAAAGGAACTGTCCACCTGGCGGGATGGGTTTCTGCGACAATCCAGGCACGCCATCCGACCAGGGTGTGCCGGTTTGGGAGATCCCTACGTATCCGCATTAGAGAGAATGTGATTTCACGACAAAAGTGTGTGTGTCTGTGTGTGAGAGAGAGAGAGAGAGATTGCGTACCATGGAAATGGACAGCACTAGCCACAGGAAGCTTATTCGTGACGAGAAATTCCACATTGTCGCCCTGACACAACTGCAGTGCGGGCGCTGGAAATTGGCCATTGGTGAGGATCATCTTCCGGGGGGCGCCTGTCGCGGACCATTCTTCCCAGGTAAGGGTGATCTCGAAGCGCACAGCCTTGTTTGATTGCGCGATCGGTTGATCAAGACCCTGCGCGTTGGCAACCCCGCACAAAAGCAGCCAAAGCAAAGACAAAAAGGAGTGAAATGGCGCCATGTTGTAGAAGCAGGTGCTGCCGTGTCGAATGAACAGGGAGACGGACGAGGAACGGCATTGGGGATACAATCTTCAAAAGACTGATCTGATCGGGCGGCGATGGAAACAGTAGACTATATAAGCACGATCCACTAACCTATTGACAAGGCTTGTCCGCAATCGCAATTCTAAATAAAGAGCGTAAACAAGAAGCCTCGTCCCCACCCCTGCAGCAATATGTGTGATACGAGTACATCGTGCATGAGACGGCCGACCCATCTGTTGGATCTCCCTTTTCAATTGCCCTTATCCAGACTCACTGGCTAGATCATGCACTGGGGGCCTGATGATGTTGTTTGGAATGTAAAGGCTCGCAGGGAGACATTTGAGGCTGCAGGAATGGCGCTGCCGACGGTGATTGATCCACGTTGACGGAAGGCAGGTAGTGCATCATGTGGATCTGCCCGCCTCTTTTCAAATCTATCCAGTCAATGAAGGGCATTATCGAAGGTTTTGTGTTTAGGTTTGTTTATAGAGAAATAGAAACGGGATTGTTCGGAGAATAGAAAAGGGGTGATGGATCACAGAATCAACCTGAAATGGCTGGGCCGCACCGATCCACGTGTTTTTGGTAGCCCTAGATTTATCAGTTGCAGAATACGATCCGGCAAAATTTCCTAGGCGAACCAGAACGAGAGCCTAGAGGACTATAAGTTTGCCTGAGAAGCTCTAGTATAGTAAACTGATAGACTTTCAATCTTCCTGTACGTCATATTTCTGGCTGACTCCTGAACATTTTCAGACTCCTGCGTCATGAATATTGCCCTACCGATTTTGGGCCACTATAATCTCACCACCCTTAACATCCAAGTACCAAGAGAGCGCATGCCTACTTGAAATGAATCTGAAAGATGATTTTTTCTCAGTGTAGAAATAATAGACACAAGAATATTGAATTGATTTGATGATGAAAAGTTCCGCTAGAATGGAGAGCGATAATGTTGACTAAAACAATAGCAAGAGGGATAATAACAACGACCACCTCTGCTTGTGAAATGTGGGGGAAAAAAGGAAAGAAAGAAACCATCAATAACAGAGGGAACACCGGAAGCAAAAATAAGATGAGAATAGGTAAAAAAGAAAGAAAGAACAGGAAGAAATGGGGTGATAAATAGGGGAAGAAGCGTAAAAGCATATCCAACCAACTCAGCCATGGACAATGAACGGATACACCAGCTTCTTCTTCACCTTCTCCTCAGTAGGCACAAACACAGGAGCGTCAGCACGGAGAGCACCGCTCGAAAGCTGACAGGCTTCGTGGCGTTGGAGGCGGCTGTCAATGTGGTGAAGCTGGGAGGCAGAAGGTCCGAATAAGCTCATCTCCTCGTCGAGAGGGCGTCTGTGGTGTTCTGTAGAAGGGGCCCGAGGGTACTCCTGCTTAAAGTATCTGTTAGTGGTGCTGAAATTGTCTTCATTGGTCATTAGAGATCTATGTAGAGAACACGCACCGTCTGCATTCTAGGGGATGGATAGCCGTGGGTAGCCGCCCTTTCCATGTCCATTAGATATTGCTGTTGCTGTTGCTGTTGCTGAAGCTGGAGCTGGTACTGCTGACGCTGGTGGTACTGCTGTTGATGTTGGTAATTCTGATGCTGCTGGTAATTCTGATGCTGCTGGTAGTGCTGTTGCTGGGGGCAATGCGGATGCTGCTGATAATGGGGTGGCTGTTGAAGATGCGGCTGCTGTTGATACTGCGGCAACTGCATGTCCTGAAATGGATACATAGATCCAATTTCACCACCCCCAAAACCGCTAGCAGAAAACACCATTTGCGTTGGGGAGGGCCGACTAACACCAGGACCTGCGCTGCAATCAGGGTATCCCATCATTCCGAACGGCGCAGGACTACCAACCCCGCTACCATGACGAGACCAGTTCGCACCCGCATCGACACCCGCTCCCATAGCATAACGAGGAGCATAATCTGAGAAACCCCGACGGGGAGGCATCTGCTTATCAAAGCCACGGTTGTGACCATTTGAACGAGGATAGCGGCCCCCGTTACGACCCGGGTTGGAATGTGATTTCATCTGGGGACGCGGATTGGGATTAGGCCTGTTTTTGGGAAGAGGAAGTCCTGGAGGTAGCGGCCAGCCCTGTCTAGCCGGAAGAGCATGCACGGACGACGAAGACGACGATAGTCTTGACGCTGATCTCGATATCGATTCTGAACTAGGGGGCTCCATTCTGGGAGGCTCGTCGCAGGGTGGTCCCGTAGGTTGGCCGAGGAGATAGGGAGGGCCATCGTCAGGGAGAGGCTCGTTGATGGTGGAATTGGAGGTGCGTTTCTTGAGGCTTTCCTGCAGTAGATTTGGTAGTGGTCAGTTTGCCATACTCTTTCTTCCTGTTTGTTTTTGTTTTGTCCTCTGGAACTGCTTGATGCGCATGTCTCAGGCATTCTCAGGCTTTGGGGATAGATACCTTGCCCTTTCGCGACTTCTGAAATTTCCCCATTTTGAAAATATGTCTTGTGTTTGCTTAAAATAAAGAGTAAATGTAAAGGAAGTAAGATAGGAGCAAGTAGAGATACAGACAAAATCCCTGTATAGGGCTGAGAAGAAGATGGACCACTACTCCATCCTTGTTGCGCAAAGGACTTGAAATCTCTGCTTGATGAGTGAGACGCGTATGTAAGTAGCTCACAGCAAGATCAAAACAAGACTGAAAATTTTCATGGATTTTTCATGTCAGTGTAAACAGTATCCATCGCTTAGTCGTGCATCAGTGATTCACTCAACCACTGTGGCGGATGGCTTCTTTGTGAGTGAATCATTTTGAAGCGAGTTATCTGTGTAGAAGCGTTAAGAACAGAAAGAAGTCCCAAATAAAACATAGGGGATTTAGGATTCAATGTGGTTTGTCAATCAGGAGTTTTGGAAGGTGTAAGGGGGACCTCTGAGAATTTGATATCCAAGGATTTTTCTACCAAAACGCCTGACATAGCACATAGGAAGATTCTTGGAATGGCATTCCAATTTTATTGCAGTTTTCGTAATCATACATGACTTTGTTTTCTTATCATTATTCTTCTTTTCCCTAGACAACCTCCTCTCCCCCTCAGGCCCAGGCCCGCTTACTGCTGGTTCAGCTGGGCCTGGGCCTGGGCAAGCTGCTCGCGAAGGACAGCGCCGGCCTCCTCCTTCTTTTCCTCCTTCTTCCTTGCCTGCTCTTCAGCCTCGGCCGCCTCCCTCTCCCCCGCCTGGTAGTCGCTCAGCTGCTGCTGGAGCGACAAGGCTAACTACACACAAACAAGCGTCAGTCAATATACAAATGTAGGAGATAGTGTAGTAAAGTCCTTACCTGGAGGAATTGCTTCCTCCTGCCCGCCGTCGTCTCGTCACGGGCGCGAGCGCACACCTTATCGATGCACGCTCGCGCGCCCTCAACCCCTTTGCCGTCGGCCTGGGCCGGTCTCACCGAGCGGGGGCCGCCCGGAGAGACCGTCATCCCAGACCGACGGTACGCCCGAGGGTGCTGCGGGCTTCCAGTGGAAGTGAGCGCAGATTGCACCCTGCGGACTCGGGGGTCGGGGGCGCCGGTGGGCTGGACGAGAGTGTCCATAGATCGCACCGACCCACGACCAGGCGACGGCGCCGACGGCGGAGTCTGGCGTGCCGAGGCCGAAGGGTAGGCGTCTTCTTTCTTGCCCTTGGCCTTGAACATGCTGCGGAAGCCACCCAGGACCCGGCTGCCTCTTGAGGGACTCTTGGCCCGCTCAGGCCCCCCCGGCACGATGTCGTCAAAGGTGACCTTGCGTGCGCCAGCATCGCTGAGGCCAGGGAGGGGACTGGATGGCTTTGCAAGCGTGGGAAGATTGGTCATCGCACCGAGAGATGACTTGCGTGGAGGGTGGGGGCTGGAAGGCGAGCCGCTAATGTGGCGGAAGACGCTTTGCTCGGGGATGGTAGCAATGGGGGCCACAGGGGTAGACTGTTCGGTGCTCGGAGGAGTGGTGGCTTCGGTTGGTTTGCGGGTACCCTGTGCGCTGATTTTCGGATCCTTAGTGAGCATTTCGAAAGTAATTTGCGGCCGACTGAAGTTGCGCGGTTTGGGAGTGCTTTCATTGCTACTCTGTGTATTCTGGGATGCCGATGTGGTGCTTTGCGGGTTTGGTTGCTGGGATGCTGCGCCGCTGGGTTCAGGCAGATCCACATATCTGATTCTGGCTGGGCTGGATCTCTGAGTGATCGATGAAGGAGACCGGGCTGAATCGTTGGCCATTTTGGCCGCGGAGGAGAGACGCGGACGGGTGCGATACTCACCAGTGAAGATGGTTCTCACCGGCTTGACTTCGTCGTCCGAGCCAAAATCCCAACTATCGACCGACGACGAAGAGTCGGATAGCGGATGCACAAGCTCTTTGGTTCTTCCCTGGGTAGCTTCAGACTCGGAGACGCTTCTCTTGGTGATGGGGATACGGGATCCAGAGGCGTAAGGTTTGTAAGGGATATTAGCTCCGCTGGCAGGGCTTTTGGACGCTCCTCTCTCAAGAGTGTCGACCATTCCGGTGACACTGCGTCTACGTATGGCAACAGGAATTGCACTGCGGCTGTCTGGAGTAGATCGAGCACCGCCCAGCGGAGTAGCTACGCGCCATTTGTCAGTCGCCTTGGAGACATCGCCAATTTGGGTGTTTTCTGTTTCCTAGTTAGCCGAGTTCTTACATAGAGACAAGGCAAGGCGTGTGGGTTATTACCGTCATCTTTGTGAGCCATGGCCAGTGGCTGCTCCATGGGAGACGTTTCGGCGTAAGCGAATGGGTAAGGCAAGTCTTTGTCAAGGCCTGAATGCTCTATAAAGCTATTAGCACTCGAAGAGTCAGACACGGGAACTTGGGTCATGATTCCAGCGAGGACGCCTGGAGGGGCTAGAACTCCTACAGACTGGGACGTAAGAAGAAAGGCTCACCTGAAAGAGAGGCTTTGGTACGACGGTCATCGGTCTGATGTCCTTCAGGACCTTTGACATCCACAAAAGGATCGAGAGTCGCAGGAGACTGGTTAGCGGGCATTTTGTAGTACGAAGGGGTAATCGTGATCTCTGATGAGTTGGAAGACAGAATATCTAGTTGATTTTCGTCGGAAGTGGGATCTACTTCAAGAAGGTGTTGAGGAAGAGGAGAAGAGTCAGAAGGTGGGAAATAAATAAGAGGACCTCTGTGAGACGAATTGGTGAATGAATCCGCCGTGGACGATTTGTCGTTCATTTCCTCAGGGGAAATATTCTGGTAGTCACGCGAAAACGCGCCCACTTCTTCTTGAGGCAGTGAACGGAAATGACTAGTGGTTTCTTCATTATCATAATTCACCCAAGCAGCAAAGCGGGTCTGTGGGCTTCCTTGCTCGGCGACGATGTCAGAGCCTGGTGAGAAGATACCAGTAGATGGGCTTCCAATGCAGGAATGACCTTCACTGTTTTGGAGGAGCACAGATCGGCTCTACATCAAGTAAGTAAAAGCTCAAAACCGAATAAGGATTAGATTGCTAACATACGCTTGTAGTTGATTGGGGTCTTTTAGCCCTGGACAGACCAAGATAGGATGGAATGCCTTTAGATGTTCGACGAATTCCTAGAGTGTGCTAGATGAATCACCTTGTTAGTATCCCGTTATACGTGGAGTATGTCTAAGAGATCCACATACCTTGACATCTGGAACTTGCTTAGAGGTCTCCTCTTGACTCTCCTTCTCGTGACCACCGACGCGTTGCAACATTTGAACCGGTGTGATATTGGCAACCACATGTGTCAACGTCTTCTTAACCTTGGAGCTGGGCTCCTTGATCGAGTTGCGTATTCTATTTCCTATTCCTTCATGCTTGGCAGCAGCTTCGGAGGCCCCAACTCGACTTGGTATGTATCCTGATGCAGCAGGTGGTATTCCTTTTGGGATTGGAGGTGCTTTGCGTGGTGATTCAAATGCCCCTGCTGATGTTTCCCAGGGACGTTGTGGTGTTGTCTGAGGGTACTTATTAGGTTGGTTATCTTGAGACCCATGTCTATGGAGAGGCCCATTTTCTGGGAGCGGCCAAGATGGTTGCACAGATTCTGGAGGTCCAACAGCTCTGGGTATTTTGGAGGTCTTGGGGGAAGGGGCATGGTGGCTTGCAGACGTTGTCTTCTGTGACACTTGCTCCACTGTTTTCCTCTGAGCAGATGGAATGCCTGATCTGAGAAAGAGCTCCAAGGTACGCACGCTTTCGGCACAGTCCATATTGAAGATTATCGCAGCAGACCCTAAGAGTCAGTGTTGTCCCCGGCGAGGTTGAAGAAAACTTGCTATCCCAAGCATTCAAAGAGGACACCAACAATTTCCCCGAGTAGAGACCAAACCAACAACGTGGAGAGACACCAACCGTGTATTTTAGAGACACGAAGTGCTTTTGTGCTCTAGAATGTGTGAAAACAGGCACGTGTGTATAGGGTGTCCTTCTAAAAGATCTGATACAGGTAGGATGGCGAGAAAAGGATGAAAGATGGTGAGACTCCAAAGATATTTGATGGAAAGGAAGAGAAGACTGACTGGAATTCTTTGTGAGAGACAGACTACAGTACTTATACTCATCTTCTGGATACAAACATGCATCTAAGCGAGCGATCCCATATTGGGAAATCTGAAGCTGGTGAAATAGCGCACGTGCCCTATGTGCTGCTTTGTGAAGACGGTGATAAGAATACCTACTATCACGGATTAGGCACAGCATTCATGAAAGCCAAGCGTGTATATCTGGTGAGTATGGTTCACAATGATATTCATGATAATGGGCAAGGACCTCTTCTGAATCTTTCTAGCATGATACTATTTAAATCCCAACAACATTACACATTCCAGGTGTACATACGTCGTTTTGCAAGAATTATCATGAAATCAGACATGTTGTTTTATGGCTGTATTAGATTCAAACTGAATGTATTATCTGAACATTATGATTACTTGCGCTTTTGAGAAGAGCTGCCCTCAAGACTGGTACGTCCGCGCTTTCTTTTCCCTGCCGGCTGAATGGCATCTCCAGATCCATCGGTCGACCACTCGCTTACCTCCCATTCAAAGGTGGTAGACCGGTCATCGCTAGCACCAACTCCGTGCCTAGATTTCATCAACCGACCCAGTTGGCTTCCCTCAATCATCTCCTCAAACCAGGGAATCCCACCCACCGTGCCCTGTCGGAAACTGCGCGTGAGACCTTGTTCATTCCCACCAGAGGAAGTGATGGCGTTGGCAGTAGTCGAGCGAGATGGGATCACCTCAACGTTACCGGTTTCCTCTTCCTCTTCACCCGATGCCTCGGGAAGCAGATCGAGATCTTCTAACGTTCGCTGGTCCTTCCCAGACAGACTGCCCAGTGTCACCGACATGAAGTCTGCATCCTCCCGGGGGTCTTCGCTCCAGTGCGTAAGTGGGCTACCGCAGAATCCACAGAAGACACGCTGGGTTTGTGGTGCATGGAGGGGAGTGTAAATCCGCCGGATGCTGCTATGTGTTTCGTCGGGGAAGAACGATTCGGTGTGCGATTGGTACCAGCTCAAGGGGACTCGCAACCATGCCGTCAAAGGACTTCCTTGGAATCTCCCTAGTCAAATAGAAGAACAACAAGTCAGTTTGGAGTGTCTATCTCATCATGGAGTTCGCATGTGGTATCAGAAATCCAATCAAAACGTACGGTTGTCCCGGCTGTCGTCGAAGTATATCTGGGCGTGATGGGTCACATCTTCGGGGATGTTGATCGTATATTGGTTACGACCACAGAAACAAGAGCCATGCAAAGGGTCAAGGGTATCCATCTTGGGGGTGATTTGAGTCGTCCAGTGTCCGAGAAGCAGCGATGTCGATCACAACGGTGTGGTCTTGGGTCTGAGTTTGTACTAGGAGTATGAGGTCATAGATCGCTCCCATCAATTCAATTGACGGTTGGTCCTTCAAGCACTAAAGGCGAAAAACTAGTGGGCATATAGTCAAGTATCTCGCATGTCGATATTTCCTCAATGCCGCAGTCAATTGTTCGGAAAAGGCAGAAATCGAAGGGAGAAATGATGATAACTACAGAGTTGCAGCAGGTCGATGACGTCGCATCCACCGAACTACTCCGTGGTCGGAACCCGCATTGGCATAACTGACAGCATAAACTGCTTAGTAATTATACAAGCATAAATTGTTTACTTCAATCACTTCACCCTCCAGGCTTCATCCACGGTTCAATTGCAAATCATCCAAGTTGATTCCTTGAAGAATAATCACTCTTCTCTAGACTATGATCCACTAGTCCACCTTCACCTCTGCCAATATAGATGACAGTTCTCCATTTCCAGTCTCTCCAGCCAGTTGGGGTGTCATGAATGTGTCAAAAAATCGAGACATCTCGGCATAGTCATCCACCTCCCCGACCCAACTCACATACTGATCCGGTCGAATAATCATGCTGGCTCCATGGTCTGGGTTGATACCATAGTTGACATAAATATGGCCGTGTCCCTCGTGGTAGGACTGGTCATCGACAAACACCTTCCAATAATCCCAGCCTGATTCCTTGTCGTACGGGTGAAATGCCTCCGGGAGATCGAGGAGCTCGACTGCTGTTCGTGGCCCAGCATGGACAGTCAGAACTTCGATCAGGCTGTCAATCGGTTGCCCCGTTGGTGTATATCGACGAATAAACGAGTCTGGACCTGCTAGTTTCGCGCCGAGGTCTTGCATGCGCTCCATATTTCGGGGAGTGGTGAGTTCGCCAGGAAAGACAATCACTCGCCAGCGTCCGTTGCTCTTCAACAGTTCCTGGAGATGCCATGGGCGGGCATCCGACTGATTGAGTACCTTAAAACTAGGAATACGCTTGCCAATGTCGATTCCTCTGGCTAGCTGCGGCTTGCTTTTCGCATAGGTCCCATCGCCTTTCCCGGATGCTTCACTCTCTTTCGCAACGATGACACTGGCACCGTAGTTGACCGCTGCAACAGTCAGTATACTGTCATAGTCGGGGAGAAAATGAGTCTCACCGATTCCGCTTGCAAATTCGTTCCCTTTCTCAAATGCACGCTTAAACTCTTCCATACTGACACCCTCCTCGTCCATGACATCCTTGGCTGGACGCCCAGAGAATAGTCTCGAAAAGCGATGGTCAAACGCAATAAGGTCTTGTGCGACTTGCCTTCGTTCGGATTCATACGTCTTGAGGATTGACCCGCTGCTGTACCCATTCACCACATGCGCGATCTTCCATCCAAGATTGAAAGCTTGTTATAGTATTAGCAAATGACCTTTCGACACCTTTGTTGCAGACTTACTATCTTGCATGCTTATGTTCATCCCCTGTCCTGCTTTAGGCGAATGGGTATGAACCGCATCTCCAGCCAGAAAGACTCGCTCCTGCAGCGAGAATGCATCCCCCACTCGTTGGCCGATTTGATATGCAGTCCACCAATCGCAGTACGAATAGTCCAGCTTATAAGGATGCATGATTTGCTGCGCGGATTTCAGAATAACCTCAGGGGTGATGTGTGACCGATCCACCTTGGCCCCGTCTTTGACATCGGTGGACTGTAGCTGGATGTAGAGTCGCACGAGCTTGTTCTCGCGCGGTATAATCATGACGCTACCAGAATTGGCGGAGTGGATGGCACACCGCTGCCGAACGTCCGGAAAATCAGTGATTGGGACGATGTCCAAGACACCCCAGATGTAGTCGGTGGAGTCCCCCTCTAGTTTGAAGCCGAGCTGGCGCCGCACCCACGAGTGCGCCCCATCGCATCCCACCATGAACTTGGCCCTGACCGTTTCCACCGGACGGGAGTGGTCTCCATTCTTTGCGGCGCGAATCAGATCATCGGTGTCGTCGGCAGCCAAATTACTTCGGAACAGCCCGTCGCTGGTAGATCGCTGGCCATCTTCGGTCTTCTGATGCTGCAGCCGCTGCTGAGGTGTGGCTTCCTCGTCAGACAAGGTACGCAGCGTCACAGCGATAGGGTAGTCCCCAAAGTCGGCCGCTTTGGCTTGGTCGAATTGGAAGGAAGTTGGTAGCACACCCCTTTCGACAACAATGTCGCTATGCTCTTTGATAGAATCGAGGAAGAACCTTTCGATACGGCCCTGATGCAGGACTACCTGTTGGAAGTGACTAATTCCTGGGATAGTATCAGGAATACGATCCGACCGCCGAATCGTACCGGTTTCATCAGGGTTCCAGAGGCAAATTTCTAGCATATGATTTGACTCGCGCCAGACACGGTGGCCGAAGTCGAAAGAATCCAGTATCTCTAGGGTGCGGCATTGCAGGCCATCAGCTTGGCCGCTGAATACCTAATTCGGTCAGAATGTAATGAAGCAAACACCATGCAATATCGAAAAGTCCCACCTTGGTACCACGCTTGTCGACAATGCGAGTCTTGATGTTGAAGCGACTTAGCCAATTTGCCAGCATGAGACCTGCTGGTCCAGCTCCGACGATGAGAACATCGGTGTGGCTCTCTTTTGTTGATTCAGGGACTGTCATAATGCTCACTTGTGCGCAACGATATGTGTCAAGGGAAAATGCGAGGGAGAATGAGAAAGTTCGTTGACGAAATCTCCCAAAGGCACCTGCCGTGTTTAAATAACACACCCCTTTGCACAGCCTAGCCAATAGTCAAATTTTCGATATAGGCGGGGGCCGTAACATACCCCAAGAGACCCCTGCATTTTCACCAAAAAGGATACGACATGGGGTCACCTAACATCGATCTGTCGGCGGAGATTCGAATATGTGGGCCGTACCGAACCCGATACTCGGACCAAACGTTCCAACCTGGGGAATTCAATGATCAATGTGACTATCTATTCTTGGATACACCCACCACTACGTTTGAAAACCGTTTACTAGCTTCCCCGAAGAAAGTTCGGGACAGGGTCCGTCGGACTTGGCTGGTATCCACTGCAGCAACCACTATGAGGAGTTGACGTCGGTCATGGTCCAATGAGACCCATTTCAATCCTGCGGGGTGGAAGATGACATGGAAGGATCAATCTGGGCTTTACTACAGTCGCTTCTGATTTGCCTGATTTCCATCCTATCTTATGGGCTATTTCACCAAATTCCTCCTTCGGAAGTAGTCAGATCTGCAGTCCTAACCGGGTAGGCTGTTTGACGCATCGCAGCATTTGGTGTACCCGCCTGTCCCTTCTTTGCCATTGTATCATGTCAAATGGCTGTGGGAGAAGATCACTCATGTTGGATTTCTACGAAAACACTAGTACTTATAGATACGATGCTCGTGCCGTATTTCCAAAACAAGTCAACAGGCTAGCGACAAGCCTTTCTCTTCTCCATCCCCGCCTGACAAAACGCCGCTCCCGTAGGAGACAATGCTCTTGATCCTTATATATGCAAAGGCCTCCCTGTCTAATACACAATGCCTCTTTTGGGCTGAGAGTTGTCGAAGAACAGTGATCGTCTACATAGGAATGATGTCCTGTCAACCACGCCCGCAGCCATCAAGGGTCCTTGTATTTGTCGGAGTAGAGGAGCTTGTGCGAAGTGCATGCAGATGATCCAAGAAGAAACACTGCGAGCACCGCACTGAACGAAGATCACCAGAAGATAACAGACCTTCTCTCCAACGTATGGGACCACGTCAGCAAGCGTCATCGCGGTTGTCCCACTCAGTTCTGGGAGTTTTTCTCAGATTTCATCGCGTCTAATGAGGCTCCGGCGCAGAAGGTCGAAGTGGCCTTGCATTGGGCTATACCATCTCGAAGAAATCTTCGTACCACACCTTAACGCCAGTTGGACATCAGATGGCGACTCTGCCCTGGGTCCTCTCAGTTAGCTGACTTTAGGGAGATTCTCAGCCGCATTTTCGACGGAGACTCCGATTTAGTTTGCTGAACGGGACCAACGCACAGCCCATGGGTGTACGGATATCGTGGAATTTCCTGTTCCGAATCGCGCCGTTGTGGCTCGAACAGTCTATCTTTGCTCGATGCAGCAGGATGAGGCTGAACGAGTGTCGAGTGGGCCGTACCCCGCCTGAAGACCCATTCAATGATCTGGTCTCATTGACGAGTAGTATACCTGATAGTCACGCATGTGGGACACGACCATGCAGATAACCATGCGGGAACAACATGGAATTTTCCGGTCTCGCTATCTACCTGCCCGCTTCGCGTCGACGGGGAATCCAATTGGAGTCAATGCCGTGGATTTAGCTGCTTTGGGAGGAGGGGAAATGGGTTGAACGAGAAAAACGACACACCACTACTCTTTCTGGACAAGGCTGCGTAGTGGTCACGCAGATGCGACATGACCATGCAGAAAACCATGCAGGGGGATCTTGGCAACGAGTAAGGAGGCTGTCAACGTACTGCTTATAGTGACTGAAATCATCATCTATAGGCTAAAATCATGAAGGATCAACAATGAACCGTTGAAACTAGTGATGACACTCTGCATCGGCGCCATCTACCATCCACTAAGCACCGGCAACCGTCAAGACCAAACTTGGAAGCTAGTCCTCCGTAGGTCTGACAGCCCACTAAATTGGTACTTTCTGCAACAGATATTATGCTGCTACCTTGGGGTATGGCTTTAAGTCTTGCTCTGGGAGTTCCTTGGAAGTGAAGTGTGCGTGACCTTGTTTCCTAGCGCGATTTATATTAGGCTGATCCCTCGGAGGCTCTGGCCATGTTAGCATGAACCGCATGTGCATTGTCCGTTCACACACACCTAACTAAACCCTTTGCCACTTACTTCTTGTCCCCCACATCATGGGCTCTCTCCCCACTGAAGATGTCCTGGACGCGCTAATCGTGGGCGCCGGCTTCGCAGGCGTCTACCAACTCAAGCGCCTGCGCGAGGAGGGCTACAAAGTGAAGCTGGTAGACAGCGCCTCAGACTATGGCGGCGTATGGTACTGGAACCGATACCCTGGGGCCGGGGTCGACAGCACCGTCCCACACTACGAGTTCTCCGACCCTACGCTGTGGAAAGAGTGGACGTGGTCGCAGCGCTTCCCCGGGAGTGCCGAGATCCGCGAGTACTTCGCATTTGTCGCGCAGAAGTGGGACCTACGGCGAGACACCGAGTTCAGCACACACATCGCCAGTGCCAAATGGCACGAGCCGAGCCTCACCTGGGTCATCAAGAGCAGTTGTGGCAAGGAGTACCGCTCCCGGTTCTTCCTCCTAAACACGGGCTTCGCGGCCAGACGATACATCCCGGACTGGAAGGGCATCGACTCGTTCCAAGGCACCTTCGTCCACCCCTCCTACTGGCCCAAGGAAGAGCCCGACCTCCGCGGCAAGAAAGTCGCTGTCATCGGCAACGGCTCCACAGGCGTGCAGATCGCGCAAGAACTCAGCCAGGTAGCGGAGGAATTCGTACTCTTCCAGCGGACGCCGAACACAGCGCTGCCCCAGAAGCAAATCAACTTCAAAGACAACGAGCACGAGCGGGTCCCCAAAGAAACCTACCCGGCCATCTACGCCGGACGCACGACCAGCTTCGGCGGCTTCGACTTCAACTTCCTCCCGCGGAACACATTCTCAGACACCCCGGAGCAGCGGCAGCAGGTATACGAGACCCTCTGGCAACACGGCGACTTCCGCTTCCACCTCGGCAACTACCAAGACCTAATGTTCTCCGCCGAAGCCAACGAAGAAGCGTACGCCTTCTGGCGCGACAAGGTGCGCGCGCGCATCCACGACCCAGCCCTCAAGGAACTGCTCGCCCCCCAGAAAAACCTCTACCACTTCGGCTGCAAGCGCATCCCGCTCGAGATCAACTACTTCGAGATGTTCAACCAGCCCAACGTATCCCTCGTCGACGTCAACGCCACCCCTATCGAGCGTCTCACCCCGCGCGGCATCCAGACCACCGAGAAGGAGTGGGAATTCGACTACATCGTGTGCGCGACGGGCTACGACTCCTTCACGGGCGGTCTGAAGCAGATTGATATCGAGGGCGCCGGCGGCGCGGACCACACCCTCGCTGGCAAGTGGAAGGCTGGCACAAAGACCTACCTCGGTATGTCGGTCTCTGGGTTCCCCAATATGTTCTTCACGTATGGGCCCCAGGCGCCGACGGCGCTGTGCAACGGGCCGACGTGCGCGGAGTCGCAGGGTGAGTTCCTCGTTAGCATGATGAATCATTTGGCGAGGGAGGGGCGCGGGAGGATTGAGGCTGGGGAGGAGGGCGAGGCTAAGTGGGGGGATGATGTGAGGAAGTTTGCGTATTCGTCCTTGTTGCCGGGGACAAAGTCGGTTAGTTTTCCCTCTTGCTCTTGGATCAAGTATTTGAGTAATGCTAACTACCACAGTGGTACATGGGCGACAATATCCCCGGGAAACCGCGCGAGCCACTTATCTACCTGGGGGGCGTGCCGAACTATTACAACTCGCTGAAGGAGTGTGCTGAGCAGGGGTATGCTGGGTTTGCGATATCGTGAATCCGTCTTCCTCTACTAGCTGCCTTTGACTGGATTATGAACCTACTATGACTTATCACTTGCTACCATATCAGTTACTGTTATTGGGTATCAGTATGGAGTTAGTGGATATGAATAAATGAATATATTGACCATATTGATGACTTTTGAAAAAGTTCATATCATACTAGCCAGAAGTCACAATGCTCTGCGCATATAATAAAGATAGTACTGAATAGACATATCGATCAACAGTGATATTGATATCCAGTACTAGTTAGGTAGATAGGTGGTAGTATAGTAGTTGATACAGACAAGCACACCTATGCGCCCAACGCCAGTGATCCCCAAACACCAGGGTAGACAGGGCAAATTGACCGTCAAACAGACAGAGACCCACGTGTCCAGCTCAGTGAACTAATTCCATCCATCTTGAATCAAGATGGAGTAAGCTGGAGCAGGCTTGGCGCGTTCTCCTCCCTTTTGGAGTACCCCGGACGAAATCATCCCCCCCATGTGATAAAAATAAACCGATCCAATCCCATCCCGGCACATCCAGTTCCAACTCCGCAACATAGATAATAAAGACAAGACGAGACAAGACTAGGACGAAAAAGAAGAGGACAAACACTGAGGTCGTCCGGAGAAGAAGGATCGGACCTCGGTTGGTTGGGGCAAATGCGCAAGTGCCGCGGTGGGCCCATCTCCATCTTTCTCCATATCGTTCTCCATCTCCATGAACCGACGCCACGGGGTGAAGCGCACAATACAACAATGTCCCCTAGGTAGATATATACCATACATAACCCATCACATCGTCAATCATAGTAGTAGTGGTGGTAGTAGAAGTAGAAAGTAATCCCTCAAGTAATTTTACTCCACTCAGAATTTAACACCCTCTTGCGAAAGAGAGCAAGAAAGAAGGAAGGGGAGGGATGAATCATGACAAGCGAAACCCATCCTCAACTCTCCCCCCACGGCCCTCAATCTCCGCAATCAAGTCCTGCCGCTCCTGCATCTGCATCTGCATGAAATCGACCGTCTTCTTGAGCACGATGCTCTCACTGCGGCCCTGGCCTTCAAGGCCCGGCACCAGCTCCGTCAGACGGTCGAAGCCCTCGCGGATGGCGGCGCGACGCTTCTGTTCCGATGCGATGTGGTTGTTTTTCTTCTCTTGCTCCGTCAGTCGCGGTTTGTCTTTCTCTTGCTGGGCGGCGGCCGCTGCTGCTGCTGCTGCGGCCGCGGCGGAGGACGAGGCGCCCTGTCTGGCGAAGGAGGCTGTGGGGGTTGTGGAGGAGGAGGGGGAGCGAGCGCTTCCGGGGAAGGGGAGTCGGAGGGGTCGGAGGAGCTGGAGGCGAGGGAGGCGATGGAGGGGGGTTGGGCGGATGGCATGGTGGATATTCTGATTATGGGACGGATATGTCAATGGCGGGTGCGATGAAGGGTTTGTTGGAGAGAGAAGACGGCTTTTGAGCAAAGGGGGCGTCGAGGAATGCGTGGTAATCGAGGTATTGCACGAGATGCGCCGGGGGAGCGATTTTCATGTGACGGAGGGGGGTTTTGTATAGGAGTTCGTCAGATGGAGAGTAGTGTCAGAGTTGCGGGGACAATCGTACGAAAGGAATGGAAAGAGTGAAAACTCAAGATGCAGTTGAATGTCAAGGAGAGAAGAGAAGAGAAGAAGAGCCAGCTTTGCAAGAAGATTGAAGAGAAGGAGAGGGAGAAACAACAATCGGCGGTGATGGATTTACTGATTACTGATTAGCGTGCGGAGAACGAGCCATATTGGACCGCCAACTGGTCTATCCACTTCCTCAATGGCCATACTCTATACTCTCGACTAGTCAACCAAACTCCGATATAATACAAACTCAAACGAGGTACAGACCATACAGATTATTCCATAATTAAGATCTAAACATAGTACTCAAGTGTAAAGATCAAGATAAACGCTTATCAAACTGCCCCCACTGACCGCTTTCACCCAATATCTCCAACTCCACTCAATCCACTTTCACTACAACAACCACAACCCAGAAAGAGAGAAAGAAGAAACCAGAAAGAACTGAGAAAGAACGAAATGGCCGACTCCAAAACCCACCTCCTCTCCTCGGACTCCTCCCCCGAGGACGAACCCCAACAACAACAACAACAGCAACTCCAACAACAGCGCGCCCCCCTCCCACGCCCCCCACCCTTCTCCCTCCCCTTCCTCACCACCCTGCGCGAAAAGCGCACCATCCTCGCCTCGCAATCCCCCCGACGCCGCCAAATCCTCTCCCTCCTCGGCCTGCCCAACCTCGAAATCATCCCATCCCACGCCGCCGAAGACCTGCCCAAAACGCTCGAGCCCTACGAGTACGTTCTCGAAACAGCCACCAAAAAGGCGCAAGCCGTCTACGAGCAGGAAATACAGCGCGCGAACACAGAAGCCGACGAGCCGGCGCTCATCCTCGCCGCTGACACAGTCGTCGTGGACGCGTCGACGGCGACGATCCTGGAGAAGCCGCGCAGCGAGGCGGAGCACATCGCGATGCTGAAGGCGTTGCGCGACGCGGGGGATTACCACCGGGTTTATACGGGGATGGCGGCTATGGCGCCGCTGGCGAGCGCGCGGCAGCCGGGGTATGTGCTTGAGACTGCTTTGGAGGAGACGAGGGTGCGGTTCGATCCGGAGGTGTCGGATGAGATGATTTTGGCGTATGTGAGGACGAGGGAGGGCGCGGATAAGGCGGGGGGGTATGGGTTGCAGGGGTTGGGGAGTGTGCTTGTGGATAGGATTGAGGGGAGTTGGGATAATGTTGTTGGGTTGCCGCTGCGGGCTGCTGTTAAGTTGATGGAGAGGGTGTTGGTTCGGGCGGATGATGATGATCGGTTGGAGCAGGAGGGGTTGGCGGGGGATAGTGAGGAGGAAGATGAGGATGAGTAATTCGTTTCTTTAGGTATTTACTTTGGATAGTGAAATGATATAGAGATGTCTATTATATGAGTAGTAGACATGTATGCCTATCATATGGAGTGATATACATGTATGCATGTCATACAGACAGCATGCATATCCACTACAAGACAAAAATAAAAAAGAACAGTTCTCACTGACCTAAAACATATACACATAGACAGAAGAAATCTCAACGAGAGAATATCAAAAAACAACACCAAACAGTCAAATCAAACAAAGGGTAATTTTTACGCCGTCCACACCCTCCGGATAGCCTCCGTCAAGCCCACATCGTTCGTCTCAAACTCATACAGCCCAACAGCGGTACCGAGGGTGAAGGCGCGCAGGAGCCAGTTGCAGGTGGTGTGCGTCTTGGGCACGCGACGGGTGGGGAAGTAGTCGATGATGGAGGCCTGGAAGCCGATGTGCGAGTGCAGGATCAGACCGGAGCAGAGGACGGCGTCCATGACGGGGTTGAGGGAGCCGGCTGCGAAGGGGGCGACGCACAGGGGGACGAGGCCGAGGGCGACCAGACTATTGTAGTCAGTATTTCTCACTTTCTTGACTTCGTTTTCGGACGCGACAGGGGTTGACGTTGACGTACCGCTCAAAGGTCCAGTGGTAGCTGCCTTCGGAGGGGTGAGTCTCGGGGATGGGAGCGGGGTCGTTCACTGAATTGATATTGGTTAATTCAGCTCAATTCAATTGATTGTTGAGACTTCTCTCTCTATCTCTCTCTTTCTTTCTCTTCGCATGCTTCAATCTCGGGATATGACGGTGTTTACATACCAGTTCCCTCCATAGATTCTACTCGCAATTAGCACACACTCTCACTCCAACCCCAATCAACACCATCCCCTCAAAGATTCAAAAACTCACGAGGCAAAGGAGGCAGAATCTGCTTCTTCGCAGAAGCATGGAATCCAACCATCTGCGACACACCGGCCGGCCGGATCGCCAGCGGGCGGGCAGCGGACAGCCGCAGAAGGGGAGACTGGCGGGCGAGGGAGGCCATGTTGACGTATCTCAATTGAGACAAAGGAGGGTATAAAATCAAGAAAGTAAGGAAAGGGGTGACTCCGCAGTGGTCCTAGACTCGCACAGGTAACGATCCAAGATGGAGAGAAGTGAAGTCGAGATGGAACCTCGGGAGTCCGACTCGGGAGTCAGCGCTTTCTCGTGCCGCTGATTGGTGGAGGGGCGATGGGACAGCCGAAAATGGCCGAGATGAGTCAGCTTTTTATTCTGTGTTTATCCTTCATTTATCCACCTTATTCTTCATCTTCATCTTCATCTACTTATTATCTACAGAGACATATCTACTACATCTACTTAGGTGAATTGTATCATATAATTTAGATTGATTCATATCGACTCATATTACCCCCTTCAAAGAGAAATAATTAAACAATTAAAACTTCAACACAGCCTTCCCCAGGTTCTTTCCATGGAAAATGCCCACCAAGCCCTCAGCAGCATTCTCAATGCCCTCCGTCTCATGGATAAGCGACTTGAAAGATCCATCCGCAATCCACTTCTGCACATTCTTCTGATGCTCCTCCGCATACTTAGGCCCCATCCCCTCATCACTGACAATAAAGCCGCGCATCGTCAACTTCTTAGTGAGCACATTCGCAATGTTCGTAATCGGATAAGGCGCCGAGTTATACTGCGAAATCATACCGCAAAGCACCACGCGGCCGAAATCGCGCAGCGCATCCAGCGCAGCGGCCATGTGCTCGCCGCCGACATTCTCATAGTAGATGTCGATCCCCTCGGGCGCCAGACGGGCCAGCGCGTCGGCGGGCTTCTCCTTCTTGTAGTTGAAGCCGCCGTCGAAGCCCAGCTCCTTCGTGATGTAGTCGAGCTTCTCGTCGGAGCCGACGCTGCCGATGACGGTCAGGCCCTCGTGCTTGGCGAGCTGGCCGACGAGCTGGCCGACGGCGCCGCTGGCGGCGGAGACGAAGAGCGTCTCGCCCTTCTTGGGCTTGCCGATCTCGTACAGGGACGAGTAGGCCGTTAGGCCGGGCATGCCGAGGGCGCCGAGGAAGACGCGGATGTCTTCGATGCCGAGCGGGTTGTCGACGGGGCGGATGCGCGCGATCTCCTCGCCGGACAGCGCGATGTATTGCTGGATGGGGACGAAGCCCAGCACCAGGTCGCCTTCTTTGTAGGACGGGTTGGCGCTGCGGAGGACTTTGAGCACGGAGGAGCTCTCGATGGGCGCATTGAGGGTGAAGGCCGGCGCGTAGGACTTGATGTGGGCGGGGCGCATGCGGCCGCGCATGTAAGGGTCGAAGCTTGTGTAGAGCGATTGCAGCACGACGCCGTTGGCGGGGGCTGGGGTGTTGGCGTCATAGCTGACGGGCTCGAGGACGAGGTGTTCCCCGGGGATGGGGTAGGTCTCGGGGACCTTCTTGAAGACGAGGGCTTGGTTGGACATTTTGTTCTTTTTCGTTCGTTGTTTCTGTCTTGAAAGAATGGTTGAATGGTTAGGTAGGGATGATGGTGGAGGGGAATAGTAGTATTTATGTAGGCCCAGTGGAGAGGAGATGATGCAAGCGGGGCGACATACAGCTAACTAAGATAACTGCAGCAGATTACCAAGCACGGTGCAATACAAACCACCGTCCCAACAACAGAAGTGGAGACACCTTCCCAAAGAGTCCCTCGCCATCCGTCACGAACGGGACCGATGCACTTTCTAGGCAAGAAGACCGTGCCGAGGAAGGAGGGGCACCGGAGGGATTTTTAATCTTAACAATCGAGCTTAGCGATCTGTTGAGAATGAGTTGTACAGGTTATTCTAAACTGTACGGAAATATCTAAGAATTTTGGGGAGTTCTACTCGGGGTTTTTGGGAGTTCTACTCGGGGTTTTTGGGAGTTCTATGACGGAGGTTTTTAGGGGTTCTACGCGGAGGCTTTTAGGGGCCATACTCGGAAGCTTTTGGGGATCTACGCGGAGGCTTTTGGGAGTCCTATGCGGAGGCTTTAGGGGTCCTACATACATAGGTGCTTTCCAGGGCTATACACAGGGACTTTCGGGGGCCCAGCTTTCGGGGGCTCTAGGTGGGGGCTTTTAGGGACGTCTACGCAGGTGCTTTACAGGGATATAAAGTAGTAAAATCCAACTACCTTATAAAATAATCTACAAGTATTCTAGCCATTCGATCAAGCGGCCGAGCGAAACGAGGATTCAAGGCTTGTTCTGTATAGGGAGGTTATACTACCTTGGCTAGCTAGTCAGTTAATAAAAAACCTGCTTCGAAATGTATGGTGTCATTGACAAGATTGATAATCTGGGGTCGGAGCCGGATTGATTAGGTTAATGATCCGTGTGGCTTGCATTATGGTTATTTAGTGGTCATGTTGAGTAACCTTGTCGATTCTTACTTATATACTCTATATTTGTATTGATAGGGGTCGTATTATTTGTATATTCTTATTTATGTAATATGCCAATTGTATCATGAAGCAATCCATTCAATGCTACATCAGGATATAAAAACAAAAGCCAAAAAACATGCTTGGAACAATCCCAGATCTACCTCTTAACTCTATAAACCCGGGCCCACATCTAGACAACCCAAGCCAAAACCAAAGAAAAAAAATATTGAAAAAAATGAAAAAATGAAATGTAAAAGATGAAGAGAGATGAAAGAGATTATATCGACCGAGCAATCATATCGTCCCGGGCAGGCCCAGTACCGATCCACTTCACGGGAACACCACCCAGACCCTTCTCGATGAAAGCAATGTACTCGCGGGCCTTCTCAGGCAGCTCCTCGTAGCGCTTCACTCCCATGGTGTTGCACTTCCAGCCGGGCAGAGTAACGTACTCGACCTCGACCTTGTCGAGGACGTCCGAGTCCGCGGGGATGGTGTTGGTCGTGCGGGTGCCGTCGGGCAGGATGTAAGCGACGCCGACCTTGATCTCGTCAAAGTCATCCAGCACGTCGAGCTTGGTGAGGTTCAGCGCGGTGTAGTGGTTGATGGCCTGCGAGTAGCGGCACAGGACCAGGTCGAACCAGCCGCAGCGGCGCTTGCGGCCCGTCGTCACGCCGAATTCGCGGCCCACGGACTGCAGCTTCTCGCCGTCGGCGTTGAGCTGTTCGCTGGGGAAGGGGCCGGATCCGACGCGCGTCGTGTACGCCTTAACCACGCCGATGATGGACGAGATGCTGGTGGGGTTGAGGGACAGCGCCTGCACGGCGCCGCCCAGGCCGGTCGACGACGACGTCACGAAGGGGTAGGTGCCGTGGTCGAGGTCGAGCATGAGCGCGTTGGCGCCTTCGACCAGGGTGTTGGGGGAGTCTTTGTACTCCTGAAGGAAGGCGAGTTGGTCGACGATGTGGGGGGTCAGACGGGCACGGAAGTCCTAAACAACATTAACCCCTGATCCATAACCAGAATAAGCAAGGCGAAAAGAAGATACCTTGAACAACGCAAGCTCATCCTCCACATTGTACTCCAGATCGCCAAAGCGCGCACGGTACCCAGCATCCAGATTGCGCAGCTTGCGCTCAAAGACAGCCTCATCCAGGATCTCACCGACACGAATACCGCGACGCGCAGCCTTATCGCTGTAGCAGGGACCGATACCCTTACCAGTGGTGCCGACCTTACGGCCACCCAGACGGGCCTCCTCGAGGCCGTCAACCACAGAGTGCAGGTTGAGGCAGACGTGGGCGCGATCGGAGATGAAGACACGCTTAGCGGCGCCCTCAAGACCCTTGGTCTCCAAGGAAGCCAGCTCCTTGAAGAAGCTGGGAACGTGGACGACGGTGCCGGCGCCGATGAGATTCACGCAGTTCGGGGAGACGAGGCCGGAGGGGAGGATGTGGAAGTCGTAGGTCTTGTTGCCGTGGACGATGGTGTGGCCGGCATCTATATACGGTCAGAGTGACTCATCGCAGACCCGGTTTGCGAGATGGTAAGGGGTGGGTGATTAAGAGAGGAACATACTGTGACCGCCAGCAGCACGAGCACACAGCGTCGCCTCCTGCGACAGCATATCGGTGATCTTGCCCTTTCCTATCGTTCAAACAAACCGTCAGTATCATATCACGACGACCGCGGGGATCAATCAATCCATCTCAAACCTACCTTCATCACCCCACTGACTACCCAGAACAATTGTGATACCCATGATGATCAAATAGAAGCAACAACAACAGTAATATCAATCCAACACTCGAATATCAAATCCGGTCAAATTCGGGTTCGCAATGGTCGGAGCGGAATCGGATGGTGGGGATGGCGTCGGAAAGCTAGATAGCCAAACAACCGATCGAAAGGAACAGAGAAAGAGAAATAAAATAGAAAAGGCCAGACCAATTCTATGTATAATACAGTAATGATAATGTCAATGTCAAGAAAAGTAAGGAGCAGAAGCGAACAAATCGCGACCGTCAAAGATCCAAAAGCCGAAAACAGGAACGAAGGAGGGGAAGAGGGGGGGAATCTGGCCGAGAGATTATATACTACCCAAGTTTTCTCTGCCAAGGGTTCTTTTCATTCCGTGACTCAAACCGATCGGCCGGTATTGCCCGTATTTTTCCTCCTTCCATGCTTTCTCCGATGCGAAATCTATGTATGTGCCAAGGCGGTGACTGCTGTAAATTACCGTCACATGAGATGGTTCTGAATCGCCACATCGGGCAGGTGGCGGCCTCAGGCGGGGTTGTCTCGGCGTCGGACCTGAGGGCTTGGGGCTCAGGGTTAGGGCCGGGGGGGTCATTCATATTATACTATTATCATCATTCCTGGTCGTTCTATATGAAGATTGAATACTCATATCGATTGGTAGGATATCTTAGTATATTACAATAAATCATGAATAAATCCCCCAGCGCCGTCCATGCATTTCATCGGTCCTTCGGTCCATCGGTCCATCGATCTATGCAATCACACAAGCTTCCCCCCGTTCCGGATCCATTCCCGCATCTCTCCTAGCTGGAGGATACAATCCCTGTGCATCTCCCGCGCTACCTCCCAATGCTTCTGTACCTTGGCGTCCTCCTCGATCGCCCGGAGATAAGCACTGAACCCCCCTTTACCCGCGCCAGCAATCATCTCATCCGCGGTATCATCCTCCGCCCCATCGCCATCACCATCGGGACCGGCCTCCTCATCGCCATCCGCACCGGCGACCCCGAGACGAGTCGAGTCTCCCACGGCGCTGACCCAGTTCGGGCTCATACCCGTCTCGATAGCCTCCTGGCGGGCATTGAAGTGGCCCAGAATCCGCCGCTGGAACCGGTTCCAGTCGCGCATGTAAGCGTGCATCTCAGCCACGTAGCGGTCCCACGCGACCCGCGGCAGGCCCTGCTGCTGCGGGTCCAGTCCGAGGGGTACCTTGGCTGGTGGCTGTGGCCGTTTCGGCGGGTTCGGACAGATGAGGTTCCGCGGGCGTACGTCGCGTGCTGTCGTCTTGGGGACCTTGGCGCGGGACTCGAAGGGGAGCGTGGCGAAGATGTCTTGGAGGTCGTCGATGCCGCTGCCGGTTGTGTTGGTGAAGGGCACTGTGTTTTTGAGGTTGGTTAGGTTGAAGAGGTGGTTGGGCTGTGCGCGGTTGGCGCTGTTGGTGCCCTTGTTGGCGGTGGGCGGGGTTTTCGGTACTGGGACTTCCTTGGGTGGGTCCTTCGGGACACTCGCGGGCTCCGGGGTAGTGGGCTTGGTGCTTCGAGCTGGGAGTTCGTCGTCAACATCCATGGCCTCGGCGTCGCCGTCGCCGTCGCCGTTCGCCGTGGGCGCTGGAGCTGGTGCTGGTTCCGGCGGCTGGTCTCCGTTGACGGTCGCGTGGGCCTCCTCGTCCTCCGTCGCCACGCTGGCCTGCTGGGGCACAGGTCGTGCCTTGACCGGGGGGCGAGTGTGTTTGCGGGGGCTGCGTTGACGCTGGCTGGCTGCGGGCGGTTGCTGAGAGCTGCCGCTCTCGGGCACATCCCAGGACATGTTCTTGAGTTTCTCGACCCAGTCTTCCGTGAAGAATTGGCCAGAGGGGAATGAAGTCGGTGGTTGTTGGGAGGCTGTCTCGGGGCGCGGGGACTCGTTGTGAGAAGCACTGCTGGAATAGCCGCCCCGTCTGCTCGAAGGACGCCCACGATTGTGAGTCGGGGTTTCGCCATTCTCCGATGATGTCCCTGTGAAGAAGGAGGTCCGACCCCAGTGCGCAGCCGAAAATGGCCTGCGGAGATCGTCATGACTGGTGCTCTTGAATGTCCCATGGTGCGAAGGGTTGGTAGAGGCGTGTGTCCTGCAGCAGTCAGTAAGAACCTTCCGCATCCAATGGGAGGTAGTCACATACGGGTCAAAGGGATTGCCCGCCTTGGGGAAAGAGGTAGACGCGAACCTGTGACTGGGGGAAGCAGCACTATCGGAATCGTGGCCTGGACAAAGATTAGCATCCCTACAACACTCTAGACACCACAAAATGGAACCTACCTCCCCGGTAACTCCACTGATTCGGCACATGAAAGTTCCCAAACTTCTGATTCGGCCGCATCCGACTCCTCGGCACAGCCTTTGGCTTCCGCCCCAGCACCTCATCAAGCTCATCCTCAAGATCATCCTCGTCATCATCGTCCAACCCACTCGAGCTCGTCGACGAGTAATTCCGACTCCGCTCAGCATTAAAATCCGGACTAGCACTACGATGCCGTCCCGAGCGCGGAGGCACCGGACTCGGCGGGGTAGTCCGCGGCTGGGGTTTGGCGCTCTCAGGCGAATTCCGCACGCTGGAAGAGCGGCCCATCCCCGCGCTGGAAAAGAACGCCCGCTCCCCTCCGGTGCCGGCGTATTTGCTGCCCGTGCGCTCGATGTCGGGTGTCCGCGTTTGCTCGGTCCGGGCCTGGAACCCGGCGGCGCCGGCTGCTTTTCTTGCGGTCGGGGACGACGCAGCGGGCGCGAAGAAGGGCTTGGAGGCTTGGGCGCGCTCCGCGCGCGGGACGTTGGAGTAGGCGGAGGTGTTGGAGGCCATGGGCTCGTCTCCGCCGGTGGCTGCCCGCGGGGCGAATCCGGACTTCTTCTTGGCGAAGGATGCCGACGCCCGCGGGGATTCCGTGCTAGCTGTTGGCTTGGGCGACGTCTTGAAATACTCGTAGGCGGACTTGGGGCGCGCCGACTGGCTGGAGTTGGCGCTGGGTCGGGGCACGCCGCCGGGATGTTGGCCGGAGCGGCCTGTGTGAGGATCAAACTGCGTCCAGCCGGGCATTCCACTACCCTTCATGTCCTGGAACCCGCGGTATGCATCGGCGCGCGTCTGTTGGTCCTCGTGCCGCCGCTCCCACGGCTGCTTGGGGGCCGCTCGCGCGTAGCTCGCATAGCGCTGCGCACCGGCGGACGGGCCGCCCTGGAAGCTCTGCGGGCGCGACGCGAAGTTCGGCTTGGGCGGGGTGGATTTCGCGGTGGGAGCAGCGGTGGAGGTTCGTCGCGGAGGGGGTTTTGTTTTGGGCGGGCCGTAGTATTTCCCGTAGCCGGCGCGTAATCGGTCGGTGTCGTATCGGAGTCGTTGCTGGGGGTCGCTGAGGATCTCGTTGGCGGCTTGGATGGACTGGAACTTGGCGATGAAATCCACCTCTTTGCCGGGGTTCCTATCGGGGTGATATTTGAGGGCTACCTTGTCAGCTACCTGATTGCAACCCTGTCCTCCCCACGGGACATCCTACCTAGCTTTCTGAACTGCCTCTTGATATCCTCCGACTCCGCGCTGGGCGTGAGACCCAGGTCCGCGTAGTAATCCCTCCGTATATCCGTCTTGACCATTGTGAAGGGCGGATCTTATAGTTTGCGAAAAGAATGTGTCCTGCTAAATTCGCACCAAATCGGGGTCGAGCTGCTCATGACCTTGTCGCCGATGGAACAAGTCGCAGATATAATGAATCGAGAGAAAGAAAAGAAGAAAGCGACGTCGAGCGATCGAATAGGTTTCAACCGTCCAGGGGTGAAGGCGATGGAGCGACACGACACTGAATAAAGTACAGCTCGCCTTCGAATTATAACCCAACCCCACTGTCAGAAAGCGGATTGAACGATCTTCTCACCAGACAGCACCCAACCGAGCATGATAAGGGAGATCCAAGCAAGGGTTCGTTCGGTTCGGAGGTAGAGAACTCGAGGGGAGGGATGGCGGGGAAGGAAATGGAACTGGAAATGAAGCCCACGACAGAAGTCTTTGAAGAAAGACTGCGAAATAGGATCGACCGTAGCAGCGACTCGAAAAGGATTCCAAGAATAAAGAAGCCGAAATTAGCTACCTAGTTAGTACCAGGATCCAAGCCGAGGGGAGTTCATCCGTCCCAAAGGAAGAAAATAAAAATAAAAATAAAGGGCCAGTTGGTCCAAGCGCAGTTCGACAAAGAAGATCCTCAGATCTCTCTTTTCCTCAAAGAACTGAAACCTGCTTCTTCCACCGTCCCTCTTATGTTCGAACCCAAAGAATTGCAGCGATAGAGAGTGAAACACACACTTCCTCTCTAACTGTCTGTCTGTCTGTCGACGCAAGAAGAAATGCGCTGGCTAGCGCCAGAGAAGAAGAAGAAAAGACGATGGTTCGTTGGATTGTTTGATTGTTTTGCCGGTCTTTGTCTCCTTGGGAACCAACCTTTCTGCCTCAGTCCTTACTCTCCGCCCTGGATTTGTGCCCAATTCCTGGTTTCTAGCTGGTGTAGCCTCATTTTGTCCCAAAATCCAGTTAACTGATGTGGAGCATGATAGTAATAGTAATAATAAAATATCAATTAACGAGAATGGTTCTATTAAAAGATGAAAGTCTACTATCCCAGCAGTAGATGGACGGGATAGATATATATCAGGTACAATACGTGGTATCGACAGTGGATTGAAAAATATCTAACAGTACAAAAGCCGATTTCAAGAGAAACAAATAGATATAGGTCAATGTTTGGGGGAAAGTAAAAAAAAAAAAAAAAACAAAAAAGTTCATAAGTCATACAGTCCAGTCAGTCCTTGGGTATATCAGGCCTCCCTCCCTTCAACAAATCTCCTCTCAACAAAATAGCCAACACATCAACCAATAAATCCGATTACCGACGAAGGAAGCAAGCAAAGAAGAAAGGCTACTCCTCCCCGCCCGGCCCCGGCCCCGATCCCCCAAAGAAATACCCATCAAAGATGTCATAATTCGCATTCTCGCTCCAATCATGTTGGAAATCGACCGCCATTCCGAACCCCAGATCGATGCCCACGCTGTGGCCTGCGCCATGGCCCAGGGACGGAATGATCCCTTGCATGTTACTGCCCTCGCCCTGCTCGTCGGGTCCGAACGGCACTTGGCTCTCGGCTGCGGTGGGGTCGAAGTCTAGGAAGTCGAGGCCGATTCCGGATGCGTTTCCTTGGTCGGTGGGTGGGGGGAAGGCGGCGTTGTGGGGGTGGTGGTGGTGTTGATGCTGTTTGGGGAGACGCTTTGGGGGGAGCCGCTGTAGTAGTATTGCTGGTGCTGCTGTTGTGGTTGTTGTTGTTGTTGTTGTCGCTGCTGTTGCTGCAAGGTTTGCGGAGAAGCAGGATTCTCGTACGAGCCATAAAACTCCACCGGAGACGTAGACGCAGGATGAGATTGCGCCCGCTGGTCGGACGAAAAAGGCGGGGAAGATTCAGGGTAAGGCTGTACTTGCACGGGCTTCCGCTTATCCGCCTGCTCGGGAACAGCCCCGTTATGATCGCCGAACAGATCGCCGAGATTCATATCAAACCGCGGCATCGGACGAGCCTGGCGCATCTGGGTTTGCCGGCGGTTTTGACCAGGCCATGGGCGCTGGCGGTACTGTCGGGGGCGGCCGGCGTATAGCGGAGCTGGGTTTTGGGGTGCTATCGCGGCGGCTTGGAACTGGGTTAGGTCGACTTGGGAGCCGAACCCGGTTGTCGAGAGGCACATTTGGACGGTCGCTTTGCTCATTCGCTCGAAGGCGTCTCGGCATGCTTCGGCTGGTGGGCACTTGTGCATTAGATCGCCGAGGACGGATGTGGCGGCGAGGACTGTGAAGTCGACCTCATCGAGTGTCTTTGACTCGTTAGACATATCCCCAAATATTGCAACAAGATAGAGTCAAGAAAAGGAAAGAAGGAGTGAAAACGTACCAAGCGACTCCGTACCAATGGAGAGTGCCACAGGGCATACAAGAAAGAAATACCAGCCATAAAAATATGGTGCGTAGCCAAATAAGTATAGTTCACCAGACGCACCCGATGCATCTGGCGATATATACGAATGACCTTCTGACCCGCCTCCGCAACCTTATAGTATATATCATCTTCATCGTCAGCCTCATCGACATTCGAGAACGACGGGCTAGATACATCCTCAGCAGGAGTCACCTCATCAGCGAGCTCCGCCGGCGCCGTCAAACTCTGCTGATACAGCATAATGACCGCCTGCCAGTAATTCAGCTCGAGGAACTCCACAGAGAATTGCACCCCCGTGTCGCGACGCGTCGGAGCAGACTGCTTCCACTCCGCCAGTCGGCGGTGGACGTCCTTGCGCCAGGACCGGAACGACTCGAACCCATGAAGGAAGGGCGATGTCAGATCAGAGCGCATGACTCGCCGGGCCGCGTAGGGCACCCTCTGACGCGCGAATCGCGCCTGCTGATACTGGAGCACGTCGTGGATTTCGGACTGCAGAACCCGCAGTTTGAAGTAGTGGTACGAGGCGTACTTGTAGCTCGGGGTGCCCTCGGGCGGCTCCGTGATGCCGGTCTTGGTGATGTACGTGTCCTCGACCAACGAGGGGAATTCCGTGCTGATAGCCTGGTCGCTGATACCGAACGGACGACCGACGCAGCAGCTGACAAGGCGGTCGAAGCTGTATACACACCACCACAGCCGCCGCCGGAGGTCGCGGACCCATTCCCGCCGGCCGCGCTCGCGCTCACCGATCCGAACTTTAGCCTCGTCTTCGGGCTTGCCGGGTCCACGACCAAAGCTGTCGTCGCCGGGCGAGTCGATACCCGCGCCGTCCTCATAGTGCAGGCCAAGGTCCACGGCCAAACGCGTGGCCACCCCAACGATATACCACAGACCCGGTGCAACAGGCCGCAGAAGCGCGAAGTTAGCGAGAAGAAGAACCGCTTGCAGTTCCTCCAACGCGCCGAACCCGTCTCCCCCAGGTGAAGTCGCGCCCAGGAAGGACTCAAGGTGGATGACAGCCGACGCGTGATATTCCTCCGGTTGGTATTGGTGGCTGGAGAATCGAGGTTTCTTGGCCGTAGAGGCCGAGGGCGACTGGTCACGGTCTGCAGCCTTCTCATCGCCGGCCGGTTTATCATCAAAAATAATCCCCGCGCCGATGGCAAAGACGATGTTCAGAATATAGAGACTGCGAGGAGAGCGGCTCCTCTCGTCGGCCGCGTAGGTGCGATCCATCATCTCAACGAATTCGTTCCGGTGGAGGATAGGCATCTGGGGATTCGCGTGTTCGAAGTACAGGCCCGACAGCTTATCGGCCAGCTCGCGGTCCGGGAAACCAGCGCACTTCATCATCGGTCTCGTCTGGAGGCCGAAGAAAGAGTCCCGCGTGGTGCTGCCCCCCGTGCCCGTCGCGCTGTGCGGCAGACGCTCGCTGGGACGCGCGGGACCGCGTTCCGCCGGGTTCCCGGGGACGGTGCTCTTGACAGCGGCGAAGACGACACGGGCAAAGGAGATACCCGACGTTGAGCCCAGATACCGGGGATCTGACGTGCCCTGCACGGATACCGTGCCGATGTTCGACACGAGGTTGTTGATGCGCCAGGAGTCATCCTTGTCGGGATTGCGGCTGCTCTCCGAATCCTCCACGTTCTCTGTCCCGCCTTCGGGCCTCGCAGCGGCCTGATCGTCTGTCTCCCTCTTAATACGGGGAACCTTCCCTTCAGTCCCGTCCGGCGCGGGCGAGTCGGTAACAATGGACGCACCCGTCTGCTGGACGGGGTTATATCCCGTCTCAGCCTTGACAGCCCCTTCCTCATCAAACGGCGCCGCTTCCATAAACGTAACATGGTTCTCCATCAACAGACTCTCGAGGTACGCCACACGGGCCTCAAGAAAGTAGACATAACTGCGAGGGATCTCTCGTTTCGTAATAGGATCATAACCGACGCAGCGGACGCCCGCTTTTTCACAAGACTGGCACCGCGGCAGCCGCTGATCGCAGCGATTTTTGCGCAGCCGGCACCGATTGCATGCGGAGACGTTCCGGAAGGAAGAGGAATTGGAGGATGCGGAGACAGAGGGTGACGGCAGAGCAGCGAGGCCGTCGCGACGGGGAGGCGCGCGCTGCTGCTGGGGCGGCGGCGGCGGGGACGGTTCGATATCAGCAGAGGGGTGCGGTCGCTTTCTCCCGAGAGAGGTCGGGGAGACCGGGGAAGCAGGATTTAGCATGATCGGAGCGGGAACGTAAACGAGTGAGCATATCTCGTAGGTCGTTTGATTCTGTGAGAGGTCAAGCAGTGAGGTGAGGAGAACGGATTGCGACGAGACGGATCAGCGTTCATGTTAAGCCATGCGCCGATGACTCGTCTCTCTCTTTCTTCCTGTTTGTATCCCTCCTGCTTATATCGCAATAGAAGCGCGCCTAAAAGTCGTGCGACAGTGCAAGATCAAAACTCAACAATCTGTATCCCGCAACACAGGCGATTCAATCCCGGAGCGGGAAACGGTCAAGGCGTCGTCTATCGTGGTATGGGCAAGACACAGTCGCAACGGCAGCCCATGACGAAGAGGGAAACCAAACCTGATCCCTCCACAGCGAAACCAATTCAAGCTATATCACCTCGAACAGTATCCCAAAACAATCTCAAAACAATCCAATTGCGTTGAAAGACCACAAACCCCATCAAAGTCCAAAGTGGGGGATGCAGTGAAAACGACCAGAGCGAGATGGAGATTGCGGTGCCTAGGCCACTGCTAGCGTCGTGCTAGTGTACCACTTCCTAGTCAACGGCGCCAACGTGCCGGAATCGATATATACTCCCTCCAGTACCGTAGGTAGTAGACTCTCGGGCGAGCATGCAAATTACTCTCCCGCAATGGAATCGACATCATAGGAGGGGAAATGCTCGCCGTGGAGAAGCGCGACTGGAAAATCAAATTTGGAGATGGATGCGTTACTCAAGCATTAGTCACCCGGTCACCATGCTTAGATCACGTGAGGTTATACCGCTGATTGGCGGGTGGTTAAGCCTCGGCATGTCCAGCTTTACTGGACACCTCAGGCTCGCCAGACTGGTCGAGATGGGGATATCTTGTATTGTGGGTCGAAGACCCTGGAATGTACTTATGTTCGACATTTCTGGTTCTCTGGAATAGATGATACCTATACTGCAATTGTGTCGACCCAAGGCAACTGGTCCCAGTCCATTCCACCTGCTAGATGACGTTCTCCGAGCCAGCCTGCATATCGACCACCACTGTTCGTGGAATGAGGGGCAATGCAGCCAGCCAGCCATGATCCCTGTCTCTGTCCTCGCAAAGAGGGGCAGAGGGGCACTCATGACATCTGGCAAGCAATGGTGGCTTTGATTCTATGACTACATTTTTGCTACGTATCAACGACATTGATGCAGTTGGGCATCCAAAGCAAATAGAGCACAAGAGAATGATGTCAGTGAATCACAATAATAACAGGGACTAGGGTGAACCCCGAGCCCCGTCGCGAATGAATTGTGCCCTCATAAGAGTTGGATATAATGGTAATGACAAAAAGCCTCCCTGATGCATAAAGTGATGCGTACCCACGATACCTCCGAGCAATCCCAGAACAAACGAACGAAACAACAAAAAAAAGACCCTGCCGACATGCTGTGTTTTTGTGGGGGATGCATCCAATCTATCAAACTGCGCCAGTACCAAATCTTGAATCATGATCTAAACGAGAAAAAAGGGGAAAGTGAAAGGGACATAAAACCGACGGAATCCGGGAAATAAAAAGAATACGGTAAAAGATGGGTGGGAAAAGGGGAGAAAACAGCCAAGGGAAACGAAGGCAAGTAGGCTGGATGAAGAGAAAGATGTGACAGAAAAAGGCTATGCAAAGAATTGAGGATGCGATCGAAAACAAAAGTACGAGGGGAAAAAATAGACAGAATCCACACCAGAGAAAAGGAAAGATGAGAGATGGGGAGGGGAGATGAGAAGAAGGCAAAGAGGGGAAGTGAGGAAAATAGTAGACCCTCGAAAATCAGACATCTTCAACCTTTGGGGTGACCGTGGTCAAAGACACATTGGGGATTTCCGAGTCGTCGACGCTGGTTCGCGTGGAAGAGAGCAATCGCCGCACCTCTTCGGGAGTGGCTTCTTCTTTGCCGGCCGTGTAGGCACCCCGCAGAGGGACTTTGCTGACGTGCAAGTCGCTGGCCTCGGGTTTCTTCTCGGCGTCTTCCTTGGGCTGCGTCTCCTCCATCCAGAAGCTTTCGATCACGCCGACGACGCAGACCAGGCCGCAAGCCCACCAGGCCAGCACCGAATACCCGCTCTCCAGACCCTTGGAGTGGAGAAGGCCGGTGACGGTTGGGCCAAGAGCACGGCTCAGGCTGGCCGTCGAGGCGGCGGCACCGTTGATGGAACCCAGTACTTTGGACGACGGGGCGGCGTTGGCGAGTAGGATGGCCGTGGCGGGGAAGGCGATGACATGGAGGGTGATCTTGGAGATCAGGGCGACGTAGACCGCGGCGGGCTGCAGGACTTCGGGCAGCAGAATCAGGTAGGGGACCAGCAGGTACAGTGGCGGCCAGACCATGAGGACGAAGCGGAAGGTGCGCAGAGTGCCAAAGTGTCGCACGACGAAGGGGAACAGCCAGAGTTGCGCGATCATCGAGTAGACGCCTTGTACCGCGAGCATGAACCCGATGGTTTTGGTGGCAAGGCCGAGGCCGCCCGTGAAACGGAAGGGGAGAGCGGTGTCCTCAGTCGGCTTGGGCGTGCTCAAGAAGACGGGCATCAACTGATCGAACGAGACGCTGTGGCTGTGGATGATGTTAGTATCGGGGGGTGGAAATGTACAGCGGTCAGCCCGCTGACAGGAGAGAGCGCCCACTTACTATGCGAGAATTCCGTAGGCGATGATGTTGAAGATCACCTGCCGCGTAAAAGCCTTGGGCGTCGCGCACTGCTGGTCCTTCTTCTGCCCTTCAATGTCGTCATCGCCGGAGAAAGTGTCCACCTCCTTGGTTGGGCCCAAGCGGGGGGAAGACTCGGTGCTCCTGTATGCGGGGGGCGGAACCTCCTCAGCATCGTAGGGTTCCTCGTAGAAAGCGACAGTGTTTGGCGTCGCTTTGGCGTCGGTGACCTCGGCCACCTGCGCACGCGAGGCGCTGAATATTCCAACCAGCCAATGACCGAGTTCCAAGCCAGGGTCGCGGCGGTGTTTCTTCTCCGGATGGGTTTCCTCGAGAAAGAGGAAACCAACAACGATGCCTAGTACCAGGACGACAACGCAGACGAGGTTGGGCAGCAGGAAGGGGAAACTGTCGAAGATAGTGCCGCGTTGGAAGAGCCAGGGATAGCTGTCGCAGGGTTTTGCCAACGCACCGCCCATCGCCGGACCAACGATAGAGCCCAAGCACCAGACAAATGGCATAATCGAATAGGCCCGGGGTTGGTGCTCCTTGACGGTCACGATCTCCGCCACCGTAGTCTGCAGGACGCCAATGTTCCCATTCAGCAGACCTCCGAGGGCTCGGGCAATCATGGCGACGGGCAGGTTGGGAGCAAATCCGAAAACAATCATGCTGATGGCGGTTCCAATCAGCCCCATGACCAGGACCGGCTTCCTGCCAATCTTGTCGCTCATCCGGCCCCAGAACATGCTAGCAGAGAACTCGGCGAACGTGAAGGACGAGGTGATCATTCCAGCGTAGAGGGCAATCTTACGGTCGTTATCCGTCACGTGGAAGGATTCGACCATGTGATAAACGTAGGGGAAGATAGACATGAATGCGATTGGCTCGCAGATTCGGCATAGTGCTGATACAGTTGTCAGTTTGTTTTTCTTTTTCCGATCCTTCGTTCAAGAACCCCCGGTTCTCCATGGGTCATAGTCCAACGTTGGAGAAAATTGAAAAGAACAAGCCAAATCAAAGCAAATAACAAAGAAAAAAAACCAAAAAGGGGAAGGATCCTGCGGGAAACAAGTAACAAATACAAATGGCAAACAAATCCATATTTGCCATGCCAATGCATAAGTGGTGAAGGTCTAGGCGCAAAAGCAGGTAGCAAAACACTGTACGTACCGAGGACGAAAAGTTGGCGTAGAGGGAACGCGGGCCAATCAGCACGTCCATCACTATGCCGGCGGCCTTGTAAACATGACGGACCCTTAAACATCTTGTCGGAGTCTGTGAGTGAATGGGTTTGGATGGAGTTCTGTTGAGGTTCGAGCAGACAAGCTCGTCGAGATAGAGACCCGTCGATAGGGAATATCAAAAAGGAACGAAAACGAGATATAAAAAACAAAAAATGAGAGCCAGTATCTCTCAGAAGATACCAGGTCGGTTTCACGGAATCGCAAGGAATGTGTCTTTCGGTCCAAATTCTCCGCTGTTTCAAGAAGGGAGGGAATGCAATGACGATGATAATATCATGCACTGAAGAAAGGAGCACCTCTTTTCAAAGGGGTTTGGGCATTTCTTGCCCCCTGTCGAAAGGTTGATCTCGGGTAATTCCTTCCTTTTTTTTTACTTTTTTCTCTTGCTTCCTGTCCGGTTTGGATGTTGGACCTTGGAAGGTGGTGACGCTGTGACGACTGCAAGGGAATCAAGTCATGCAGATCTTGATTGGGGATAGATACCCGCAGGAGGTAGATCTAGGGAATTGCGATTGGGCGGTGGCGCGATCTCAGTTGCAGGTAGACGGGATTGGATAGTCGAGGGAGATGGGGATAGAAGTATACTAGGTAGGTATCGCTGTGATGTGATGCCGGAAGGGAAGTTCAGGTTGTAAGAGAGCCAGGTAGGGAATGTCAAGGGTTGGTAGAAGTATGGGATCGGGAAGAGGTAGAAGATAAGTAAGGTTGAGAGGGAGGAGGTATAGAGGAGCTTCAATGGAGGAGACTAAATCAACAAGAAGGATATGGACCGGAATATAAGTAGGAAGCTTAAGTGTATTTGAAAAATAAAGATGAAAATAAAATCAAATCAAATAAATAAAAAAGAAAAAAAGGAAGGGAAGGAGAAAAAGAGATAAATAAAAATCAAGAAATAAAAAAATAAAATAACAGAGAAGGATTTGACCGGGAAGGGGAATTAAATGAAGTATTTCAAGTGGATAAGCTACTAGATATGTGATCAGGCGAAAGACTAAAACGTCAAACGGTTCAACATCACAATGGAACCCAATTCGGTTACAGCTGTACAGAACGAGAGACACAGAGAGCAAGAGAGAGACAGAGAAGACGGTGGGATGTAATGTCAACAGCAAACAGTCGAGGAATAACAGGCCCCACTTTTGCGATCTCTGTTTATTCATTTATTTGATTTTATTTATTTCTCTGGTTTTATAATTTAGGATTTCTTTTCTTTTATTCTTTTATTATTTATTTATTATTTAGCGTTGGTGGATATATTATAATTTTGATTATCTCCATACTAAACTACCAGTATGATGCTTCCAACAGACAGATAGACATACAGGAAGACACTAAGATGAGAGAGATGGGTCTGCGCCATCCGACTGGGCCACCACTTAGTGCTACAGACCTGGACATGGATACCCAGACGGCAGGGGTAGATTGAAAGAGACCAAGAGACTGGTCATGAACAGGTAGGTAGTGGAAAATCGAGATTAGAGATGGAAGGGGGAGAAGATAGAGAAAGAACAACAGAAAAGAAAAAAAATAAAATAGGGGGGTAAAAAAGAGGAATGAAAAATAACAGTCATCATAAGAGTTAACAATGATGAGATCATAAGAGGAAAAAACAATAAATCGTAAACTAATAAATCCAGACAGAGAGAGAGAGAGAGAGAGAGAGAGAGGGAAAGGGACCTGAAAGGGGGTGGAGCCAAACGGCAGACAGAGAGAATCCGGTCACTCCATACATCATTTTAGGTACTCAAAACTAAAACTTCAGGTCGCTCTTTAGTTCGTTAGGTACGACACAGATCGGAATCCTAGTACCGTACGGAGTACGGAATACTGTACCAACATTAAACAATCAATAATCAATCAATCAATCAAGCGCCAGCTGGCCCGGAAAATCTGCCCTAATTATGTTTCCGTTTGCATCCCCATCTTGCCCTCCGATGATCAGGATGATTCTTCCCCAAGCTAATGGGCCATCACATCATACCTTGAGGGGAGAAATGGGGAGATCAGATTTCGATCCCAGCTGAGTCGATTCATCTACCTAGTTTATTATTGATCATTTCCTTCCCTCTTTACCCAGACAACGAAATAAGAAAATAGATCAGAATAACCCATTCAATAACATCATCGTCATCCTCTCATCATCACCAAGAATCAAAGAAGGGGGAGACAGAGAGAAAAATAGAGAAATAGAGCCGCCCACAGATTAGCCGGTAGTGTAGTCGACCCATCGACTTGATTCCTGGCTCCGGGGAACCGTGGAAAAGTTGCCAATCTCCTTCCTCTGTAGAAGCGCGCTAAATCCGGCCCATAAGGCAAGGATGATCGGCTTTCCAGAAGTCTGGTTTAGTGTGACTTAGTGAGATGATAGATCTAACGCACCCCTCCACCTCTCTCTCTTTCTCTGTCTCTCTTTTTTGGTCTCCTTGGGTGTCCCGCCCCAGCTTAAGTCGCAAGGTAGACCAGAGATCGTGACACTTGGAGAGATCGAAAATGAATGGGTAAAAGATAGAAAAAATTATATTAAAAAATAAAAATAAAGAAATAGAATAGATAAATAAAAGGAGAAACATGAATATCTTTCTCTTTCCAGGGTTATGTACCTTTCCGTCGGTCCACACCTTCGGATTCTGGAAAACCAGCCGGTTTCCACATCCAACTCCCGCCTGTGGATAGTCCTACGGAACAAGCTAAGAAATGAAAGCCAGAAAAGTGGAAAAGAAGGGGAAATCAAAAGAGAACCAAATAAATAAATCAATAAATAATAACAATATGGGTGGGGAGAGAAAAAAAAAAGGGATGGATCACCTTGCTGAACTCACCGCGATGTGTCATTTATCTCGGGAGCCCGGGTGGTCAACCAGCCAGGACGGGGTTGCACAGAAACTAGGAAGGGAGACCAACGGCCGACATCCGTTGATTATGGACAGGTAGAGTTAAGGAATTTACCGGTGATTTCTGACAGCCAAGTCTCTGTATCGAAAGTGAAACTGGGAAAAGAAGGCAAACCAAACAACAAAACAACATCAACCATCATAATGACAATACAAGATAGAATATAATAAATAAATAAAGGTAACAGCAAAATAGCAGAGTCGGACATTAGGCATGCATTGTTTAGGGTACTGATAATATGCGGTGTATCCCAATCCCCAGCATCCAACCACTCACAGCCGGAAGAGGTGAACTCCCCGTCGGGAAGTCGGGCTCAGAGAGGGCCTAAATGGGAGAGACTAGAGGGTGATGATAATCCGATGTGAAGGAGAGAGAGGGGACCTCACTGAAAGGAGGGGCTAGGACAGGACAAGACAAGGCAAGACAAGGAACAAGGGGAAGGCCGAAGAAACGAAGAAACGGTCTCGTAATGGATCGTAAGAAAGAAAGAGAAAAAAGTAAAAAAAAAACCAACAAAAGGTATAACTCTCCACTGTCATTGTTCGAAAATCAGTGTGGGCCCGATCATCCATCACAACTGCAAATAAGATATGAAGGCGAGCAAGCAGTCGAGCAGCCAGCCCTTACGGTGAGGGAGGCGCTATTCCTCTCGTTGCTTGACTTTTAAGTGGGCCGGGAAAAACGGGGGAGAAGTTGATTGACAATTAGTGCGAACATGACCCCGAGATACATGGACAGATACCGAGAACAAAAGAAAATCATTCATTCATTCTTGCTTCTTTGTAGGGAGTTCGGGTTCTCAGCCCGACCGATGGATTCGACAGATACGGTATCTACGTAGAGATTCATGGAGATCTTCTGATCCGAAAGAAAACAAACATAACCTAACTCCCTTGTAAGGATAATACTGTGCCTGGCAAATTACCGGGAAATGACCACCACACCAACCACCTTGAAGGGTGGCGGTCTCTAATCGTGAAGAAACAGAATGTCAAGCTTCTGAGGACTTCTGAGGACTCCTGGGAGGAAATGGCAGTGTATGGAGTACGATACATACAGATACACTCTGATCAACACAATGATATGATAGCGATTGGCAGTCCGATCCAAACTCTAATCAACTCCTTTTCTTTTCTTTCCATATTCATGCTTTTTACTTTTGTGCTATACCCCGCCAGTCAGGATAACAACAAGTAACCTACCTAAATCCAAACGAAGAAACCCAAGACAAGACAGACACAATCCTCGGATTGATAGATGGCTACCTAAAAGACCAAGCTACCGTTTGACGTCACTCAACAAGTACACCTAAGTATTGGACAATCCTCCACAACTAACTGGCTAGTCTGTCGCGTCTAGCAGTAGCCTCTGATCCTGTCAAAGCAACCATGACTCCTGAAATCCCCCCCGATTCCCCCAGGTTGAAGTCGGAAATAAGATATCTACCTACTAGTTCGGAGCGTCGAACCATGGATACATGCGGTCTGGTACAGCAGCACATAGTTTGGTAAGGTATAAGGTATGTATGGTACGGCGGATCCTCCGCACTTTTCCCAGAAACTGAAATTCTGCGCTAAATGGAACGACAGCTGGTGGATTTGTCGTTGGGCCCGTCCCATCCGAAAAGTCGGTAAAAGGTCGGTCAGTTGTTGATTGCTTGAGCGGGGGGAAAGTATGGGAAATACAAGAACTACTAGTCAACTATGATTGGATTGTTGGGATACCTTACTGTAGCCCAGCATTCCTAAAGCTTTGAATTAATTAATATATTTGACATATTCATTATCTGCTTTCAGATCATACTATCGTAGCGCTCATTGTAGTAGGTATTGTTAGGTGACTCTGACGTAAGGTACGGTAGGTACTAGGTACAGAGTACGATACCAAGTTGAAACCGCCCGCGTTTGGCCAGATCACCGGATTAGGAAAACAATATGATCGCGTGGGTGGGTCAGGATATAGTGCCTGACCTAGTGCAGCTCTGATCAGGAGCCACGCGAGTTAATTAAGGGTCAGGAGGAGAGAAGAAGAGTCAAAGAAGCCTGATCGAAGGACCCTCCCCAGGGCCCCAGCTGCAAGTGATAGTTTGACCCTCACGATTGATGCTCTATTATTCCGGTATGGGGGGGGAGTCAATCAACTGACCATACATCTTGCGAGAAAGTCAGCCCCAAGTCAATAAAAATGAAGGTGGGGTGTAGGAAAAAAAGAAGACAGAACAAAGAAATCAAAAGAGGGGGGGGGTAATAGTCACGAGAATACACCGAGAAAACAATGAAATATTGAAACCGCCCAAGAAAATGGAAGAAATTAACACAAATACAAAACAGCGACGTCATCGCACCTTGACAGCACTACTGACTATCCTGTTTCCCAAACGTCTAAATTTCTAGAACTCCATGACCCCAGATGTGCTGACCTGGCAAGTCCATTCTTACCCTACTCCGTACAGCAAGATAGAAGGAGAAGAGGGGGGATTCATGCCGCCCACGCGGGGAAATGCAGCCTAATCCAGGTCATCGCGAGGGAATAAATTAAAATGAGTTATGATCCTTCCCAAGGCCAGGGTCAACTGGTAGATCCCGATGACTAGGGCGATGAAAAAAACAAGACAGATAAAAGATAAGGCAAGCAAACACGACATCCTCCTGCAACTTAACCACTAGCCCCATTCAATTCCCAGACCAATACTAGCGCTTCCTTATGAGCCCGATGCGTCAGGTAGAAGTAAACACTGCTGCTTCTGCTGCTGATACTACGATGATTACAAACAAAAGCACCGAGATGAGTATCAGGGTGACGTGCGGCCGATACTTCCCCTCTATGCATGAAATGCATGTGGCCGCAACTTGGTTGCTTAATCACCATTGAGCGAGAGAATGAAAGGGAGATAACAGGAAATGGGAAAAGAAAGGCAAGGGAAAATCAAGAAAGAAAGAAAATAATTGAATAGAAATAAGAAAGGAAAGCGAAAAAGAGATAGCCATGAGAACTGACTCGTCCTGTAACTCCCCTCCCCCGAGGTAATCCCGAACGGAAGATATGAACATGGTTACTCACTAGTTCAAGAAACATAAGCGTGTCCATCACGATATCCATTCGGACAGTTCGGAGATCGAAGAGCGGGGGATAGACGAAAATGCATTATTAATAATAATACTACGGAGTAATGTGATCAAGACTGGAAAACCCCCTAGTAAGAGAGAAAAAAAGCAATGCCTGACGAGATACGATCATGTGTAGGAGGAACTCGTGCCCCCACGGAGTTAACGGGCTACAGACGGATCATGTGAGCAATGTGCTGCGACTGTCAACTCCAGCTGGCATACGGGGTAGCATGGCATGGCATAAGCATGGTGGTCGCCGCATCCTGTCGGGATTTATTGGCCGGTCGGGAAGATGGTGAGACAGCTAAAGCCGACTAGGAGCTGGCAGTAGCTCACTCGGATTAGGTAGGTCAGATAGGCTATCAGCATCGGTGAGCTGGGAGGATTGTTGGGGGGTTAGACTTCTCCGCTTCAGCATAGAGAGGGACCCTGCAGGTGCGATGTTAGTGGTGCGCAGTCCAGTCGGGAAGTAAGCAATCAGACACGACATCCTTCATCGTCAGGATCAGGATCAGGGTCAGGATCATCATCTCAACAGTAGGATTGGCAGGACCGGTGGTAAGCGGTGAGCGAAAGGCATCAGGAGGGGAAGACCGGAGGAGGGGGAAAAAAACAGAGAGAGAAAGAGAGAAGAGGGGCTTGCATTGCAGCTTCTGTTCCCCTCCGAGCTTGGGTACAGATGACATACATCCAACAATTGGCAGTGACTGGCAAGATCCTGGACGAGTTGTTGACTGTTGGCTGCAGTGCCCGTGCGTGTTTCCAAAATGTTATTTCATTATTATTATTATTATTATTATTATTATTATCTATTTTATGTACCCTGATAGACTGATCTGTCCAGGCGGTTAGCTTGGGCAGAAACCGAACTTACGGGTGATTTCTGACTTAATGCCTGGATGATTTTCTTTCAGACGCAGTTAGCCCTTGAATCATGCGGGCACCTCGGCAGTGGACCTTGAAAATGGCCCTGGTTCAACTTGCAGCGGCCGAACCCAAAACATACGGTGAGCATGAGCATGACAACATGCCTAATCTGATACACAGCCACCATGGCGGTCTCTCGGAGCTTGGGAGGGCAGCAACTCTTCCTCGATGGTCATTGACTACTTTCTCATGCACGGCAGATAGTTTTTTTGATTGCTGTGTACAGGAATTAGCGGCTTGACTTGGCCACGATCGCACGGCGGGGCAAAGGTTACCATGCCCCGCAGTTCAGTACATCCATCGACTTTGATAGGTAGGTTGGCTGAGGGCTCCTTAGTTGTTATCGAGTCGGTGAACCCGCCGTCTCGCCGTGTTAGCCTACCGAATGCCTATACTCCCCCTCACGGAGTCGGATCAGGCCATACTACGTAAGATATATTGTCCAACAAACTCGTTTCGTCTTTTTTAAGTTTCATCCAATGGGTGAATGCATTGGGACTATTTGTCTTGTTGGGCTGACATCTACCCGCATCCCCTTCTCCCTTTCTTGCTAGTAGGTATCTGCCCTATGTGTATGTGCTGCTTGCTGTCTTGTTGATCGCCGATTTGCGGGACTGACATGGCTGCAGTTGGTGCCATGCGTGTATGCCAGGAATCCCGTTTCAGTGAGGGGCAAGTCCATTTAAATGATCCCGTCGTGACGAGATCAATGACTCCATTGACAAGTGGGGTGATTTACTGGTCCTCCTTGATTATTTCCCCTCGTCTCCCTCCCTCTCGTCCACCCGTCCCAACCCCACCACCACCACCCGCCCCCTTTTTATTTTCACCCTCGGTTCAAACATCCACGATGTAGATGATACACACCTCCACTTACTATGAACTAGGACTAGGACTAGGCGTTGGGTTCTAATTGTTTTTTCGCATGTTCTCAGCGTCCAGAAGCAAGCCACGACGCCGTCGATGTGACTCTGTCGGTTTGCGGAAGTGGATCGGTTTCAAGCGCAGCTCCTGTGCCAGACTGTCGGGTCCGTTGTTGGGAAGTTTGCTTCAAGGTCATGGGTCTGACTCCTGGCAGCAGTTGCATTGGGCATTGAAGCGGTGTCTACCGTCGGAATGAAGAGGAAGAGATTTTTTTTTATCCCATTTTAAAATTTCTAATTTTTTTTTTTTTTAATCTTTTTTTTTCTGTCCTCCCCTGTTGCTATACCCCCCAACCATCTATCTGGCTCCCAGACTGGGTGGGACTTATTGATGGGTCCATTGATCAACATGGATGGGCGGATGGATAAGCCGGCGACATGTCACGTGGCGCAGCGCTCATCCCCCACGGGCGGTGACAGAACGTCCGGTGTCCCGTATCGAATCCTTCTAGAAGGAAAAGGAGGTTACCCACTGCATCCATCATTCCGTCCACATCAGATGGGCGTTTCCAAGAACAGCTGATGCTAGCGCGGATGTGGCGGGTCAGGAGTGGTCCCGACCCGTTTCTCGAGATTCTGTTTCCACTTCCTTGGTTTGGGATCTGGTGTCTTATTCATTTCATTTCCTCGGTCATTTTACTATTTTGCCTCTTCCGTGGTGAGTTATCAACCACTGCGTGTCATTGATTGGATGGATATTGGTTCCACCACAAGCAACACCATCCGATAGGTACAATAGATTATGAAGTTGGAGTTGAGTTGGAGTAGGAGGATACAGAGGTCGAAAGACACGCATCGCTGACTTCATCCAGATGAAGGGCTACCAGGATCACAATGGTCTCTTTCCTTTCTCGTCAGTCATGGGGAATTAGTCTACTCAGCTGAGGCAATCATCGAGTCATGACCCCATTGCATGCGGCGACCACGCAGTATCGAGTAGATAGATGGATCCTTCGTAGTATATCTTTAGGTCTACTAGTAGGTTAGTCGGCACGGCAGACATCATCCACCAAGACAGCCAGCCACTCACTGACCACAGTAGCCAACCATCCATTGGTGCCAACTAAGGAGGCAGGTACAAAACCCACGGCTCTGTACCTGGGACCGGATTCGCATCCCCGACCAAATCACATCTATCCAACTACCCCACCAGCGTGTGATATGAAACAGCTCTCTCAGCGTTTTGAGACGCCATTCGCCGGCCGAGAAGGGCGACGATGGTCGTTGGAGGTGTGGGGTGGGGGGTAGTACCTTAGTGGTGTCAGACTTTCTCGACTCCGGGGAAAGCAACTTCGCTTCGGGACACCCAAGGTACACCCACCCGTGGTACTTGTGACGGGTAGAGTACCAAAGTACCTTATTGTGGATTCGCTTCTTTTACCAGGAACCGAATGGAATGGAAGGAAACAAAATTAAATAGTACGGAGGGGGAGGCGATGGTTGTGGGTACGTTGAGGACGGTAGTGTGGTAGTGTACCAAGGTTCATGTCCGTACTTAGTATGGACGGGACTTGTTATCCGTCGCCGCGGCATCGGATTATGCATTCCGATGGGGGCAACTTAAAAGGGGAAAGGAAAGGAAAGGCGGAAAAGCCAAGCGAATGGATGGACGGGGATTCCATATTTCCATATTTCCGGTTTTCGAGAAAGTCAATTGTTTCATTTGTTTATTAGACTTTTTTAATCTATTTATTTATTTAGATATTATTATCTTAATTAAGTTTTTATTTATTAGCTGGATACAGAAAAAATGAATGGAATGATGAACCATTCCCCTCTTCCCTGCAAACATGTTGTTGATTGATTGATGGATGGATTGATCTTCCAAGACATACATCCACACATGCATACGTACGTACGTACATACAGACATACATACATACACACATACATCGGTACATGTTCCGTACTCCGTACGTTATGTACGTCCGAGTCAAGGGTGTGTGGCTGGTACTTTAGTTTAATCATCGTCATCTTTATCCTACGTCGATCCTGTCTTTTATTGATTGATTTTATTTTTCTCTCCTTTGTCCCTTGCTTTCTTTTTTTTTTCTTTTTTTTTTCTCCTCTAGGAATAGTTTTCTCTCTCAGGGATAAACGTTGTATGGGGTTGGGGTTTTTTGATGGATCGGTCGATCTGTCTATCTTGATTATCTTTACCGTTTTGAATGGTATTTTCTGTCGCTGGTACTGGTAGATACGTACTTTTGAGATTCTTTCCTACCAGGAATATCCAACAAACTGACTACCCCTCATAGCATCTAGTAGATACTATCTACTCCGTACTGACCGGTATTCCATCTACCTACTAAGAGTAATGTACCTGTTACATATCTCTCTCCCTTGGAAAAAAAGGAGAAACAACCCGTTCCACTAACATCAATAGGTCCATACCATAACCCGGTACTTTGTTAATTTGCCCGAATCAACCGGCGATGATGGCATCCCTGCCTCCAAGTCCAAAGTAATCAAACGACGGAAGATACTATTGTTTCCGGGACCCACAATGGATCGGCTTCACCCCCCGGCTGCAGTCATGTGAGCTGCAGGAGAATCAACCTCCCCTTTCTCGCGGTACCAGGAACGCGCTCCCATTCGTCTATCGGGTTGATGGCTGCTGTGCTCCACTGTGGGACTCCCTGTCGTCTTGGTCGAACGGTCTTTTCTTTTTTTCATTCTTTTTATTCTCTTGGTGCCTTTCTTTGATTGGATTGGGGGTTCTTTCTTTTTTAAATGGATGGGGCCGTAAATGATGTCGATGATGACCTTGGGGGCGGCTGGGAGGGTTTGAATGGAATGCGCGACAAGCGTTCCGTCGCTCCACCCCTTGGGTGAGATAACCCATGCTTGACGCGTCGGGTTGTTGGGAAATGGTTGGTTTGGATCTATATCACCCTGACTGTGTCTGACTAGTAGGGACAGAAGGATGGGATGAAAATGAATGAATTTGACTGATTGATCCACTGATGAATCCAGACTGATTGGTTGTCCGTGCCGATCCGATATCATACCTACTCTACCTAGCAAACTACAGCTGGGCAATTCCTCTCACACCATCGTGGCATTGCCGCGCCAACCTTGCCCTGGTTGACTGTTGGTTTCACGATGATGCTATATCCAGGCAGCGAGCGGAGCCAACACACCGCCATCGGTCCATTCCACCAAGCTCGCACTGCATCCAGCGGCATGGAGTGTATGGATCATCTCGGACGCGGCTGAGACAGGCTCATCAGCAGCAATCAAGACACACGTTGCCTTTCCTGCGTTGGTCAGGCAGGCATTGTTCGCCTCATGGGGCTTAGTGACCTATATTTGGCACCAACAGGGAGGCGTAAGCGCAGGCGTAGGCGTATAGCAGATCATTTCGTCTTTCTCACGGGCTGAGCAAGATCGAATTATGCATGCCGTGCAGACCAGGATGACTTCCCATCCCAAACCACCTTATCATGTCTGTCGGTATTGTCGCACCAACATCTCACCAACAATGGGACAGGACCCACTGGGCGAAACGCTTCTCACCGTTTTCCTTTTCCATTATTTACTTTTTTTGTGTTTTGTTTTCTTGTTTTCCAACTGTTGTGCAACATCCAACGGGGCGTAATCTGGGCAACAACCGCCCGAAGTCACCGCTGGTTTGGTGTAACAGGCCACTGGAGGGTATGGACTAGGGATTATTGTATGTACGACCTTTTGCCTATCACGGATACTGCAGAGATCACCAACCACATGATTGATAAGGGCCATCACGTCACCTTGTCGCTTGTTACTCTGTCACCGCTTGTTATGATCAGTATACGGAGTAATCTGTACTATATAGGACGTTTTGTTTCCTGTCCAATTTCTTCCAAACATGACTAGACTAGGACGATGAGAAGATGCTAATCGAGTAGATCAATTCCATGTTAGCAATAGTTGCCTGGCATAGTCTATAAGTCAGAGGACTGTAGCGTAAGGGTGGAAAGATAGAGTCGATCCAGAACCAGCCTCGTTTCTTTTGCATACCATCGCACGATCTGGTCTCGGTGTTGGGCGGTGACAGCTCTGCACGCTGCACAGGATGGTACTTTTGTCGCAGGCCCACTTTCTCCCCGTCTGACCATTTGCCTCTAATGATGATCTAGACTCTCTCGGCTGAGACACCCATAGCAGCTACCCTAGTGGCTAGCCTCAGCTATGTGCCAAGCTATACATTAGTGGAAGGGCAAGAAAATAGAAAATCTAGTATGCAGCGGTAGTAGATGGATCCAGATGGAGCCGTTGATAAGCTAGTGAAGCTCGGATGGGGAGGCAGACAGGTATCTTGTCGGACAGTAACTGAGTGACTGAGTAACGTACAGTAAGAGATGGATCCATCCATAGATGGAGAGATGGATAGATCGAGAACTCCGACTAGTGGAGAGGACAAAAGTACGCCGAGTCCACCAGTCTGGTACCTTTTCTTTGTTGATTTTATCTCTATTCTATTTTTTCCTCTCTCTAAAAATGTGTTTTGATCCACTTTCCCGGTTCCAGACCGATCTGAATCTCCAATTCGTTCCTTCTCCCCCATATCAAGTCGTACGTTGCATCGGATTTTCCATCTCATCTCTCGAATGATCTCCCTCCGCCTCCCCCTTTTCTTCTTCTTTTCTTTTTCTCTTCGCCAGGGATTCTTCTCGATCGGAGCGTTTCCGGTCCCCATGATTGGCCCCGTCGATCTGTCATCATTGCATTCAGGCAATTTCGTCCAGGCTTGGCTGAATGGGTGGCGCCAATGATGCCACCGATGGCGGCGGATGGCGCATCTCTGTTCAGCATTGGAATCGCGAGCGGTCTATAATGATGTACATCTTTCTTTCTTTTTTTCTGTTTTTTTCTTTCCTTGGTCTTGATCCATCCCATGTTGGCTTTCTGTTTCGTTTCTTTTCTCTTTCATGTTTTGTCTCCGTTAGTGGTTATTTTTGGCCCGTCTATCTTAGTTAGTTCCCATCCCATGACAATGTGACACGTCTAGTTCGGCTTCCGCTCTTTCAAGTCGGTGAATCCTTCTTTCTTTTCTTTCGGGCATGACAAGGAAATTGTATGGGCATAAACGGCCGCCTTCCATTCCGTGGCTTCATGCGAACTGCCTACGTGCAGAATAAGACAAAGGATGTCATTCTCTCTTTCATAGTTGGGTAGCTACACTGTACACCAGCAAGATGTGCCTCACGATACAACCAACTACGAAACTACACTCGGTAATCGGGCCCCCATAGCCTCTCACACTATCGTGCTAAGCTAACAGATCCATCCCCGATCAACACCGACAAAGAATCCACACGTCCAATGAAGTCCGTCCCGGGTAGTGTCTCCCAGCGAACATCCCGCTGAAGAGAAACAGACCGGTCGAACCGATCCTCGATGCGTCCTCGGGAAGAAGAGATGATGAGTCGGCTCGTGCGTGACTAGCGCCTCGCATCCCGGAACCGGTCGCGCAATAGTCATCCCTTAACCTTGTCGCTATGGATATCTGCGTCGGCTCTGGGGTTGGCAGGTCCCGGCACTACTTTGCTAATATACTAGCTTGGAGACGACGGATGGGGGCCGGGGGAGCCGATGACGGCTATTCCTTTATCATGACGCTAGATGCCGACTCTGACTCCGACACGAGATGATGGCGATCTTCTGCTGGGGTGAGTCGCTTGCGGTTCTGTCAGCTGATGATGGATGGAGCTTATGGGTCCGTCTGACTGGCGCTATTGGGATGGGATGGTGGGGAGGGATATAGCCGACTGGGTGGGAGCTTGGAGGACGCGTTGGTGGACAGGTTGGAGGACGGGCTGTTGGCCGTGACTATCTAGAGTCTACGGGTCTGGCCGGTGCTCTGGGCTGTCGATTGTGTATAATGTTTCTTGAAGATTGTAGAGTATTCGCTTGGATCTAGTCTAGATGGATGAGGAAGTAGTGGTTCAATGGAAGAGTAACGGTCTAGGATATGTAATTGCTACCATGCTGTTGTTTTCGACGCCTTCTGCTTTATGGCTCTTTTGATGTCTTCGATTAGAAAACAATTGGTCTACACGGCGGGGAAATCTAACACTGTATACATGTTTAGTAGTGTTTAGTTGATTTGGAGTCCTTGATACTGTACTCTATATATATATATTGCGCTTGATGTTCGAATAATGATGTCAACTTCCGCCGTGATATATATTTAGTGTAAGTAGAGCCTGACTTACTTGTACTTGAGTAAATAATTGATTGATTATGTTCACTATCAATCCATTCCATCGGTTGGAAAGACACTCTACTGTATACTAAGAACTGTTGATGGTTCCTTCCCCGCATTACGTTGATCGCGTCGGGACAGAAAATGAAAACTCAAAGCGAACGAAAGAACCAACTTCCTGTCAACAATACTCTCATCGCATAAACAACCTTGGATTTATGGTTTATCTCATTTATCCTCCACAACTTCTACCTTACATCTGTATCAATCTGATCTGAGTCGCTCTTCGCCTGGTGATCGCCAATCGCCATTGATCATGGTCTATCTCCCTCACCTCCTCGCCTCCGCTTTCTCCGCTCTCGCACACCCGGCCGCCGATGACCCCATCTTGCAATGCTTCACTTACCACCCCGAAAGCCACCGTCACCTGATCCTTGGTTCCTCAAATGAAGCGCTTCGCTTGGCAACAGAGAAGCTACACGCTTTCCCCTTCAAAGATGTCGAGATCTGCTGGCGACGACTCTACACGGACGCGAGCATCGCCAAAGCCTGTCTGAAGGTGATCGACGGCTGCGGGGTTCCACGCGACGGCATCACACGGTGGTCCTCGATGGTAGAGCCCTTTTTCTCTCGCCTGATCCTTGATCTGAGCCAAGCTGTTCCCCCAGAGACCGAAGAAGGGGAAACAAACGGAGTCTCATGGAAGATCGACCCCAACGCACCGTGGCTCTCGCCCACCATTCACCTCCTCGACATGGCCTCGATCATGGCCGGAGCCCCCTGGCGCGAATCTCTCATTGAGGACTTGATTGATGCGCTGCAAGCTGCGACAGTGACGACGCCTTCGCATCCGGATCCTGAGCAGCTCACGCGCGACGACTCCGATGGCGCCCGCTCCACAAAACGTAGAAAGCTATCTCCAACCCTGTTTCCGCAAGACGCGATCCCCGCACCGGAGCTCCAATACCCCATCCCGCGTGTCTCGGCCCCCACATTTGACGCCATGGAACACCATATCCATGAAATTAGAACCCCCATCGTTATCACCGATGCCGTCGACCACTGGCCGGCCTTGTCTGATCGCCCCTGGACGTCCAGGGACTACTGGTTTGAGAAAACATTTGGTGGTCGCAGGCTGGTTCCTGTTGAAATCGGTCGGTCTTACACAGACAATGACTGGGGGCAGCGTATCATGGAGTTTAGAGAGTTTGTTGACCGCTACGTCTGGCAGGGAGCATCGGGTGCGGGGCCCTTTCAATCGAGACCTGGCAATGATAACAACCAGGAGAGCAGTTCGAGCGAAGGCGAAGAGGCAGGGACCGGATACATGGCGCAGCATAACCTGCTGGGGCAGATCCCCGACCTGCGGAAGGATATCTGCGTTCCAGATGCCTGTTACATCGACCCGCCTGCCCCGGATCCTGGGACCCCCGTGGACCTGAAAAAGCGCCAGGAAAGAGAAGAGAAAGCGGAACAGGAGCGGCGCGGCAGAACACGAACACGTAGTGACTCTGACACGGCATCGCATCCCCAGGACCAACGCGACCGCGCGAAATCCTCTTCTCCCTCGTGCACGGGTGACCCGATTCTGAACACTTGGATCGGACCTGCGTGGACCATCTCCCCTCTGCACCACGACCCATACCACAACATTCTCGTCCAGGTAGTCGGCGCGAAGTACATCAGGCTCTACTCCCCCAAAACCCCCGCCTGGCGGATCCACCCCAAGGGGATGGAGCCCGTCGGCGATCCCAACGAAATACTTGACGAAAGAGGGCCCCTTAACGAGCCGGATAATTCATCAGAAGAAGCGACAGAAAGCCAGTCCAGCTCCTCAGGACACAGCTCCAGGCTCATCGACATGTCCAACACCTCGCAGGTCGATCTAGCGGCCATTGAGCTCTCCCCGGCCGAAACAGAGCACTGGGACGAGATGTGGCCGGGCTTTTTGGGCGCGGAGTATGTGGAGACGGTGTTGAAGGAGGGCGAGTGTCTTTACATTCCGGTTGGATGGTGGCACTATGTGAGGGCCTTGAAGGCGGGTGTGAGTGTTAGTTTTTGGTGGTGATATCCTTTTTTTTTCTTTTTCGTCCTTGTATTTTGTTATTGGGTGTGAGGTGGGTTCATGCTGCTGGTTATAGATATTATTGTCTTGCTAGAAGGCGTATGTTAGCGCTTGGGTGTTATTGTTCCTTTCTCGGTTTCTATTCCAAGCCCATTATGCTATACCATACTTCGTTGACTTCCTCGAGTTATGCATGCTGTAAGCTGTACTTTGTTCAATCTATTCCAGTCATAAATTGATGTCTATGCATACATACAGGGTGTAAAGCCCTGTCTAATCATTCTAATAACTAGATTATAGTATCAACAAGCCCCCGCTCCCTTTTCCTACAGGATGAAATGACATATCTATACAGCAAGTCTCGCCCACTGACCCGCATCACAGACCATATCTATAGCAAGTCAACCCCTCCGCACAAGCATCAACGGCTTCCCAGCCTCAATAGGATCCCCAGACTGAACAAGGACCTTCTCAACAGTAGCGCCCACGACATCGGACTCGGCACGCACAGCGATCTCCAATTTCATCGCTTCGAGGATGACCACCACGTGGCCTTCGTCCGTGAGGCGGTCGCCGGGGCTGACTTGGACTTTCCAGACGTTGGCGTTGAGGGGGGCTTCGATGGGGGTTATTTTTGGGTCTGTTATTTCCTCGAGGGTTAGTTTGGGGCTCGTTTGTATTATAGGAGGGAAGAGGGGAGGAAGAAGGAAGACATACCCTTAAGTAACTCATCAATAGCATCAGCCGGAACACCCCTTTCTGCCTTCTCAGCAGCCCACTTAGTGAGAAGCTTGCTTTCGAGGCTATCCATCTCAACCTGCGCTTTGCGCTGGCGCGCGCGGATCTCGGATACCTCGGCTTTCGTATCGCTGAGAAGTCTATTGTGCTCTGCCATGTCGAAGGTGACGTCCTCCCACTGGTACTCGTAGCGGCCGCTGTTGAACAGCGCGAGTTGTTTCTCGTACTCGGCTTCGCTGACGCGGTAGAAGGTTATCTGGTCGAAGTCTTCGAAGAGCCAGGGTTGGTTCGCTGTGTAGCCCTTCTTTGAGCCCAGGATGTCGACGCCCGGGATGGTCATTCCGGTCATTTGGTACCCGCCGGGGGAGTCGACGTTGTATAATCTGGGTTGGTTAGCTAGCTGCTCCACTGGGTAGGGGTGGGTGGGACAGGGGTAATGAATGACGTACGCCATGCAGCTTCCTCCCCATGATATTGACCCTGCCGGTGTGTGGACCCGGCTGGGATTCATCTTTGGACAGTTCATGCGCTGTCGTGGATCGACGGGGAGGGACAGCGGGAGTGCGGTGAAGAATCCGACGGCGACGACCATGAAGCTTGCGCTGAGGTAGATGTTTTGGAACTCTTCCATGGTGAAGGCATTGTTCTTGGCGACGAAGGACATGTTGTCTGGGAGGTAGGAGGCGTAGGGCCGCTGCGTCTCCATGTACCGCTGGAGTGCGTCCTTTTGTCTCTGGCTTTCGAAGGTGAGGGGCAGTTTGAAGAGTCGACTGGGCATTTTGGCTGCGCTGAGGTCGCCGAGTTGGGCTTCGATGGTGCAGAGGTGGGTTATGAGGTCTTTCTGAGGGATCTTTGCGCCGTTGTAGTAGAGCATGAGGGCTGGAAGTGGTTAGCATCATGTTTTTGGTTATGATCGCGGAAGACGTACAGTTGCCACATCCGACCATTGCGATGAGCCCATTTGAAAAGGCTATGTCGCCCGTCCCATCGTTTAACGCTTTCTTGAGAGCAGTGACTCGGCAGCGATGGTTGAGGTCAAATGCGCCTCGTCCATAGTCGATCAGGATGTAGTCATCACCAGCCTTAAAGCTCAGTCAGTTTCAGCCTATAGATGGGGATATACAATGTCCTACCTGTCGATATGAAACAAGCGGCTGATTGCCCTTCTCCTGGATTTGGTGGACGACACCATTACCGCGACTATTGGCTGTCACTTCAGGCGGTAGATCACTTGAAATGGGAGTTACGCCGCTCCAGCCACTCCCCTGGGAACAGCACTGGACGACCTTACTGACGAATCGTTCAACGTCATTGCGGGAGGCAATGGCATCTGCCAAGGAAGTAGCCCTGTACTTGAGAGTGTCTCCTGCTTTCACCTGCCCCAGTTTCCATAGATCCGCCTTCACAATGGTATGACTGCTGATAAACCCGCCAAAGTCTGGTGCATCCTGCGGGAATATCACGGGGTCATCCCCAGTCCAGTTGAGTGATCCGATAGCGTATCCATACTCGATCAAGTTGGACGGATGAGCGCCGCCTTCGCCTCCATCCGAGCGCGCCCAGGTGGGCTTGGGGCCGATAAGTCGGATTCCACCTCGTGCAGCATTGTGTGAAACTTTCCATTCGGTGGTATAAAGCATGTCGATGCTTTCCGGCACGAGGTAGCCTTCGTCGTAGGGCCCAGGCATAGCCAGTAGCTCCCAGTGGCTTGGATACTTGGGGATGAGGTGCTCTGGGAGACGAACGTCCTCATCGGTATCTGGGATTTGGTCGGTGATTGAAAGGAGATCGCCCGAAGCAAGCTGTCGACCTTGGTAGCCTCCTACTCCGACCATAGGAGAGGTAGATTTTGATCCGAACCATTCGGCAACGTTGGAGAACCCACCATACACTGCCAGATAGGCTCTGCAGCCATTTCCCACCGTTTTGCCTATCTTCAAACGCTGGCCAGCAGAAACTCGGACCCGGGCCCACATCGGGATAGGACTGCCGTCGAGGCTGGCCTCAATCGGGGCTCCGCAAAGCGAGACGACCGCTGGCCCCAAAAAGCGCAATTCGGGTCCGCTAAGGGTAATTTCGAGCCCTTCAACGCCGACAGGATTCCCGACCAGCGCGTTCGCTATCCGGAAGGCCAAGGGATCCATAGGGCCAGAGTGACAGAACCCACGACCGAGAGTAGGACGACCAGGCCAGTCCTGAATGAGCGTATAAGCACCCCCAGAGAGCACGTCCACAGCCGAAATATTGTACTCGAAGTTGCTTAGAAACTTGGTGATCGTGTTCCCCGAGGCAAATCTCGCATCGGCGAGAATTGCGGCCAGAAATTGTAGGTTTGTTGGAGGACCGCAGATTCGTGATTCTGTCAGTATAGTTTTCATTCCCTCGATCGTCTCCTTTCTGCTGGGCGAATGGAACATGATTTTGGCGAGGAGAGGGTCTGAGTCTCGTTAGTCACCTGTGCTGGAATCATAATATACAACCGACGTACCATAATTCGCTGACACTTTGATTCCTCTGTAAACCCAGGTGTCGATCCTGGACCCCGGCAGCTCTTTCCACTCAACGCTCTGTAAAGTTCCTGGACATGGTGCGAAATCCTTCACTGGATTTTCCGCGTAGACTCTAGCCTCGATAGCACTACCAGACGGCGCATCCGTGGGTATCGAAGCAAGGAAAGTCGCTTCTAAGCCTGACTTTCCAGAAAGTTGAGCGTCCGCTTGTTTCAGCATTAGCTCTACCAAGTCAAGACCATAACACAATTCCGTGATCCCATGCTCGACCTGAAGACGGGTGTTCATTTCAAGGAAAAAGAACGCCCCCGTCTCGTCGTCCACGAGATATTCAATTGTCCCAGCTGACGCATAATTGATCGATTCGGCGAGACGGACGGCAGCCTTGCATAAGTCTTCTCTCAAACCGGGATTCCTTGTGACAAACGGACTCGGGCATTCTTCGATGACCTTTTGGTGTCTTCGTTGGATCGAACATTCGCGTTCGCCAATAGATATAGCTTTACCGGCGCCGTTGCCGAATACCTGAACCTCAATGTGATGGCTCGATGGATAGTAGCGTTCGATAAACATCCCGGCATTCTTGAACAGAGCTTCTCCTCTGGACCTAACGGTCGCAAACGATTCTCGAACTTCCTTCTCCGAGTGGCAAGTAAGCAGGCCCATTCCACCGCCGCCAGCTGTGGCTTTGAGCATAACCTGGGCCATATTAGCCTTGCGTAAAAGAAGTGGATTGGACCGTAGAATTGAACAATGAAAGTACCGGAAAGCCCAAGTCATTCGAAGTTTTGACGGCCTCATCTTCGCTCGTCACGAGCCCCAGCGAGCCTGGGACAATAGGGACTCCAGCTTTGGTAGCTAAATCCCGTGCCGTGTGCTTGAGTCCAAATGCCTCGATACTCTCCGGGGAAGGGCCCGCAAAAACCAAGCCAGCGCTGGACACGGCTCTCGCAAAATCGGCATTCTCAGACAAAAACCCATAGCCTGGAATGATTGCGTCGGCGCCAGCCCGCCTGGCAATTTCGATAATTTGGTCCCTGTCTGTTGTTAGAATTGCTACGCTGGGTATCTTCTTTACAGATATCGGTATACCCATCGATGTATGCCTTGGAAGGCGACCCCGAAAGCAGAAACGCCTGGTCTGCTAGGTGAACGTGGGACGAGGCAGCATCGGGTTCGGTATAGATAGCGACTGTGTGGAGGTTTAATTTCCTAAACGCAATCAATTAGCCACCTTGGACCGAGCTATGGAGACGATTTATCATCCGGCCTTCAGTGTTGCGTACTTTGCTGTTGTCAAGATTCGAACCGCGATCTCGCCACGATTCGCGACGAGCAACGTTTTGAGTGAGTGCATTGTAGGTGGGGTGCAATCAAGAAATAATTTCCCAAGGGCTATGTTCTCGTTGGAGACATTGCCTTTATATGGGAGGGGCCTCATCTGGGGACCTTCTCTATCGGCGGTTCTTTTAGTCAGACGAGAATCGGAGAACCGGCGAGTCGGTATTATAACCCAATGGCATTTGATGATTGCACCGATAATGACCGCCAAGACTCATGATGTAGTGAGTTTGGGGTCAATGTGGACCGAATGGGTTGGGGAATGTGGGTAAAAGTGCGGAGTTGCTCCTCCATGTGGCAATGATAAGGAAGAAGGTCCCCTTGGCCCGATTATCTATAAAGCGAGCGGGACAATGAACATTCGGAGTGTGGTCCAAAGTTTAAAAACCCCGCCCGACTCAGCTTGGATAATAATTCCCAGCAAGTTGCACGCTCCTTATTTTCGCTCTTTCTCCGACGGGTGAAAAAAGGGAAGGAAAAGCATCGAAAAAGCTATTAAACAACCGCAACAATGGCCCCAGTACAACATAAGGCGTTGATCAACTGCGATATGGGCGAGGCCGTAAGTCAAACCAAAAGTTGCTCTGTCTGGCAGTAATTATGACGTTGACGCATTCGATAGTACGGCAACTGGGCCTGCGGACCCGACCTCGAACTCCTCCCCATGGTCGATATTGCCAACATTGCCTGCGGTTTCCACGGCGGTGATCCCCTTATCATGATGGAAACCGTCCGAAACTGCAAGGCCCATAACGTTCTTATCGGGGCGCATCCTGGACTGCCGGATCTCCAAGGGTTCGGAAGACGGGAGATGAAGCTTTCCCCTGAAGAGCTCACGGCCATCACCATCTACCAGGTGGGCGCATTGCAAGGGTTCTTGGACCGGGAGGGAGTCCGGTTGAACCACGTGAAACCGCATGGGGTGCTTTATGGAATGATGTGCCGCGACTATGAGGTGGCCAAAGCGGTGATGCAGGGAATCCCCAAAGGGGTGCCGGTTTTCGGGCTTGCGGGCACCCAGATGGAGAAAGCGGCCAACGATCTGGGAATCGAGTTTTGGGCGGAGCTTTATGGGGATGTCAAATACGATGCTAAAGGCATGCTCGTGATCGACCGGAAGAAGAAGCCGTGGGATCTAAGGGACGTGGAACGACACGTGGGTCAGCAGGTGGAAGAGCAGTCAGTCACTGCGGTGGACGGGACTGTCGTGCAATTACCTTTGAAAGACTACCCGTTGTCAATTTGTTGCCATTCTGACTCCCCTGGCTGTGTGGACATCATCAAGACGACCCGAAAGGTGGTGGATGCCTTTAACCAAAAGTATGGGAAATGACTGTGTTGGCGATGACGTATGTATATATGGGCATGTGCAAATTGGGAGTCTGTACGGAGTAGATCATGATATTAAATATTAGAAATGGAATTGTGAGTAATAAACAGGTTTCAGAGGCCAATTGACGTCGCGTGCTTGATGTAGACCAGCCAGGGTATATGTAGTGGGAAGAACAGATCAAGATCAGAAGAGGAATCCATCATGGACGAGGAAAGTGAAGTTTAATTGATGGACAGAGATTGAGCACCTGAGGCAAGTGTTTGTTTTGATCTGTTTGCTGGATTTGTTTCTCTCCACCACGACCATCCATATATCTCTGACTCCTCCCATCTATATTCGGATTTACCCGACATGGCCTTTTCTGTATTGTTTCCCTTTACTGTCGCTTTCCAAGATCTGATATCCACATACATGGATCAAACATACTCTTCCAAGAAATGGGATTATGAGCTTGTCTAGGATAGCTGTCAAGAGATCAAATCACCTGTTCAGATTGGATAGATCAAACATCAAAGAACTCACGAGATGGTCCAGCGCACGTCCACACGAGGGCCATCGACGTCAAACAAAAGGGTCAACACGAGAGCCAGCCTCGGGATACGAGGACAGCCAAGGCATGCGACTGGTTGATTGGGACAATCGGTGAAAGCCACACAAAATCTGAAGGCAGTTTGGAACCTGTTAATGATCCAACAACAAGAGATGCTAAGCGTTTCAACAGTGCCTTCCTCTATATGGTGACGATCTGATACCCATGTCAGAGTGGATAAGGGTATAGGCGGATGATTCATACCTGCCGTGTTGGTGTTAGCGGCGATGCAGAATGTTCCCCGCACTAAGACACTTGCCCAAAATAGGTTTAGAGTTGTCATTCGAAGGGCGTCGCAAGATGCAGGGAGGAATATTTTCACCTTTCGGACGCCTAGGACAACTCCGGCCAGCCCCCATCCATGGATATCAGTACCTAACGCAGGACGGCGAATGACCGAAATACGGTGCCCCTCATCCACCAGACACTAGTGTCTGTGGATACAACCTCCCACAGGGAGGTAAACGATAGCATGGGATCCATAGTTTCGCAGGAGACATTGTCCTCTAGTCTACCTTCTGGCGGACCCACTGACCTGCTTATTCCCATATACTTGTGATATTCTAGCCGGTCTTACATCTGGCTTTCTCACGTCGTCAACACATTAATCCGTCCATCCACTTTCTTTATACTTTCCTCAATTTTGCTTTGAAATCTAATATCCTGCAAGAATTGACGTTGTACTGATCAGTTGAATGCTTCATATCTTTTTCAGATCAAGGATCACGTCGACGAATTCCTGAACTCTGTTTCATGGAATATTTCGATTTCGACGAGGCCTCCCATGGCTTTCGCGGACGGGACGATGATGTGGCTTCGGACCACATCGAGGTCGATGAGGATGACAACGCGGCGGCCAACAATTGTACCCTTGCCCTGGAACAACCGCTAGACTTTTCCAACGATCCCCAGGAACCACCGGTGGCAGAACGAGATCCCCAGAGTACCTCCCATCCGACCGTGGACAATCGAGTTTATCCCATGTTCCGTGCCAAAGATTCCTGTGACTTTTGCAGGAACATGGGCTTGGACTGTTTTGTTGCGACACGCGGAGTCATGCAGAAGAACGGCTGCACATGCTGCATATCTCTCTATCGCGAATGCAGTTTCAACCATGCGAAGGCACCTGGAAAATTCTTGGACACCTTACACCCAATCAATGAGAACGTGGACATCCCCACCGGAGGTCTCACGGGAAAGAAGGCGCTCAAATCGCTCTCCGGCGTTGCAGTCCCGGAAGACGTGGACACTCGGTCGAGGAAGAGCACGTCTCGACTGTCACGCGAGGCTGTTCGCATCCTCAAGGACTGGCTCTACGAGCATAAAGACCATCCCTACCCCAGTGAGCAGGCAAAGGATGAACTAAAGGAGCGCACAGGCTTGAAACGCATCCAAGTCTGCAATTGGCTTGCAAATGCCCGACGGCGCGGCAAGGTTCGCCATGCCCCGCGAAGCAGCTCCCCCGTCCCGGGAGCGATTGACATCCCGGACCAAGACAAGCAACGGAGGGACCTCACCCTCATGACTCCAATGGAACGATGGAAGCACTCCCCCCCCGAAAACGAACCCGCCGCGACCACAGATATTTTGCGAGCTTTGGTCAATACTTCGTTGGATTCTGTAAGGGAACGATCGTCCAATACGGGTCACGTGCGTTCTTACTCTAGGGTGACTGGGTCTAGCAATGACTCAAGCCATGCCAACTCCAATATGTTCCACACCCCATCCGTCTCTAGCTTGGAGACGAGTCGGTCTGCCACTCGTTCCTCAGCCTCCTCTCTCTCTCTTGTCTCGGACTTCTCTCATCGGTCGTCCCTTGGATCGTGGGGCTCAATGGAGCGGAAAGAGCGTCGCCGCCGTCGCAAGGCGTCGGCGCCCATCAACCCCTTCAACCAACAGAAAGCCCGAAGTGCCCGTATCTTCCAATGCACCTTCTGTGCCGACTCCTTCCAGACCAAGTACGATTGGCAGCGCCACGAAAAGTCATTGCATCTGGCCCTGGAGAAGTGGACGTGTTCCCCTCAAGGTGGGATCGTTCACACGGATGGTGCCAGCCGCTGTGTCTTTTGTATGGCTACCAACCCGGACAATGCTCACTTGGAAACCCACAACTTCAGCAACTGCCAAGAGAAGTCCCTGGCCGAGCGTACCTTCTACCGAAAAGACCATCTCAACCAACACTTGAGACTCATGCACGATGTCAAGTTCCTTCCTGCCATGGAGAAGTGGCGCAGCAACACCTGCGAGATCCGATCTCGCTGCGGTTTCTGTGCCAAAGAATTGGTGACCTGGAAGGACCGAGTGGATCATTTAGCCAGCCATTACAAAGACGGCGCTAGCATAGACCAATGGCAGGGTGATTGGGGTTTCGACCCCAAGGTCCAAAGCCTGGTCGAGAACGCCATGCCCCCCTACCTTATTGGACAGGAGCGGAGTTCGTTGGATCCTTACACGACTGCCGACAGCCTAAGTCGGCCACCGGGCCTCAAGGTACCCGACGACGCCAACTGCTTTGAACGTCTCCAACGTCAACTCACTGCCTTCGTTCATTCCCAGCTGGCAGGCAATGTCATTCCAACGGATAGGATGATCCAAGATGAGGCCCGGCAGATCATCTACGGGACCGATGACCCCTGGAACCAGACATGTGCCGATAACCCTGTGTGGCTGAGTGTGTTGAAGCGGGATTCCGGGCTGACGTCTCTTCCCAAATCGGACCATATCCAATTCGACAATCTTGGGATGCGACCTCCCTATGCCTCCGACCACGGTCTACCACGGGCTCCCATGGAGACCAACTTCCTCGCCCGGACCTTTTGCTCCCAACCGATGTTCAACTCAGGGCCATTCAGCTCTGGGATCCACAGCCCCGCCGCTCTAGGTACCGGGCAATCCTCCGCTGCTCCTAGTTTCCCCGGTAGCTCCTCTGGAAGCTACGTCGGGGGTAGTGGAGCAGTGCCCGTGACCCACCGCGCGGGATTGTCCGCAGACTTGGGAAGCAGCTATTCCCCCGGCTTCTCATCCGAGTCGACCCCAGCTAGTGGATCTGCCGATCCACTCGTGCAGATGGGATTCGAGCCGGCGTTTTTGCGGCGATTGGAGGAAAATTATGATGGGCTGCAGCTGGAAGACCTGGAAGGCTTGACCTCTGAAGACAACCCTGTCCCTGGAAGCGAATGCAAGACCGTGAAGGCTGCAGGAAAGCTTCCGGAGCCAACCCCCGAGTCCATCCGGATCTCGAACTCTAAGCAAGCCGACTCGATGGTGGTTGATGATCCGTGGGAGGATCCCGCACAAAGCATGCGCTACTGGGGATAGGCGATGAGGTACGGATGACGACTGGGAATTGCGGACATGATCTATTGGAACTTTGGCGGAACCAAAAGCGGTAAAATATTCTTTCCTTCTCATTCTCCCCTCTTTTAGTATTCTTTGTGGGCATATCCTGACCACGGCGTGGACATTAATGTTTCCCTGTTTCCCTGACCAAATTGAACATTTGAGACATAGTAATATGCAAGATCAGAGACATTTACTAATGAAAGCTACGGAATGGAAATGTAACCTCTTTCAAAAACAAGTCGTAACAATATGCACCTTCCCGCGACGTAGTTGAAGTCAGTGGCGTGTGATAGTACGACGTCGGATTTGTTTCAGGAACACACAAGCGTGGCGGAGAATTTCCAGCGCTTATCGGGTTTTACTTGATCGGCCCCACTGCCTGACATGTGATGATCGGCTCATTTCCTCTTGTTTCCCCTGCTTTTTATGCCTATTATCTTACTCCAGTTCGTAGTTTGCTTTATTTTCTTTTATCTCTCCATGTTCCACGGTTGCAGACCCCCATATTCCTGTCGGATAGATCGTTACCTTTTTGTCGGACCCCCACGGGAACCATGATCATCTAGAGGGGCAGGTTCTCAACCAAGGAACTTCTTTCCCAGCCACTATTCGGAGTCCATGGCGTCTATCAAGCTTTCTATCATTGCGCAATTCCCATCAGATTGATGCTCTCGCCTCTTTCCAAAGGTTCAAACCCCGCTCTTGCGTACCGCTATATATCCCACCCCGAAGAAGAAACCACTCTAGCAAAATGGACATCGCACCATCACCGCTGGCCGATACCATGCTGTGTCCGCTACCTGTCCTGGGCCTCTTCCAGGTAATACCCGCCTCGATCAGGCAGCGGATCCCTAGCTTGTATCCCTCCGTGCAACTGAAGACGGGCTTGGAGAGGACCGATCTGCCGGCGAAGGTGGGGAGAGACTGGTCGACCCTCCGTTCCGTTTCGGAGCCAGAGCTCGACTACTACGGTACGGAGCCGATCGCCACAGCAGGGGATCTACAGCGTCCTCAGACTGCGGGGAGCACGGCTGTCGACCAGGTGTCTTGCCATTCGCGGGTTTCGGGGAAGCACTCGGACTGCGGGAACGATCACCAGGTTGCTGACTCGGTGTCGCTGACGGCGAACTATGAGCCGCACTCTGGTATTGGGTGGAATCGAGTGACTCCGGGTTCGTATCCTTAGTTTCTTTCGGGCTGTGCCGCACTGGGTTGCGTAGGTGCACTCATAGTGAGTATCGTCATTACTGATCCCGGTCAATAGCGTTGAGCCTCCTGCAGAACTGCGGGAATGAAGCCCGACGACCCAACTGCGACGGCCGTCTGGCGCGTTCTCTGTTCCTTCACGCACTCGGCTATCTCCTCGGCGCCCTTCCAGACGACCTGTCTCCGGATGAAGCAACAAGCCTCAAAAGCAGCATTCCTGGCAAAGTCAAGCGGTCGATTGCGCCGTCGTCCGTCGGAACAGGCCACGCACCCGGGTCTATGACACGCCAGAGCGTACAGGACTCCGTGCAGCCGTCGTGCATTCATCGACTCCTCGCTTTCACGATCATCCAGTTCTCCCTTCTCGTGCACTTTCTGATGCCGTACATCAAGGTGCTGCTGCAAAACATGTACCAGTATGAGCGGTCCCACCGGATCACAGAACGGGTGTTCTCGACGGCCCTGGGCGCGGCCGATCACCTGGGAAAAGGCGGTTGTAATCTCGGGTCGAGGGTTATGACCATGCAGGAAGGGAAATTGGGTGCCAAGGTGTCGGGAGCGGCTGCGTGGTGGATGGAAGGCGTCGCGGGTGGGGTCTGCGAGGGCGTGGGGGAAGGAATGGCAATCCTGGGGTTCACTCGACCTGATCCTGACAGCACGGCGCCAGCGCAGTCGCCAGAAAGCTGATTTACAAGTTTTAGACTGTCTCAGATGAGCAGGGCGCAATTGGAGTTATTAGAATGGGAGTATTCGTGGTTGTTTCTGGGCACTGCATGTACTATGAAAATGTACTATCAGCAAGTGAAACGTTGGTTCTAGTCTGTGACGATTGATTCTGATTCTAAATAATCATGAACGCATCGATGCTGTCCTTCACTATTTGATACAGAATAATATTGTCCCCTTCTTGTTTAGTTTTCAGGTTTATACTTGCCCATGACACTATATACAACTACTCGGCTAACCTCGGAGATAAGGCCTATGCTTAGCTCCGGGTCAACCCCCGATTCGAGCGGCTGATTCTCCGCGGCCTTCTCCGCCATCCCGACCGCGACGCCTCCACCGCATCTCGAACCTCATTTCACCTCGAATTCATTATGTCGACTTCCAGATTACCCAACATCCCGGCCCTGCGCAAACATCAGCTGCTCCTGGAATTGTATGTTGTGTCCAAATCGTCAATTCACACGATGCGATACTAATTGTAACCGACCTGCAGCGCCAGCTTAAGACATGCTGCCCCTCCGGGTGTTTACGTGAGCCTTGCGCCGAATGATCCGACCCTCTGGAGTGCGGTTGTGTTTGTCCGCTCTGGTATGTAAGATGATACCGTGCTATCTATCCGGTCGGATTGCATCAGAGACAGTTTACCTGGTACTCGGGTCCCTTCAATCACTGACACGTGTTGCATTGCGCCAGGTCCCTATGCGTCGGCGATCCTCCGCTTCCAGATCAAATTCCCTCCATCCTACCCCGACCTTCCTCCGCTGGTGACCTTCTCTACCGACGTCTTCCACCCGTTGATCGTGCCCCTTACCACATACACGTTTAGCACGAATGCGTCGAACGCGGACCCTGTTAGCGCTACAGACGAGGAGCGGTTACCGCCCGGCGGGTTCAGTCTCCGACATGGGTTCCCGCACTGGTTCGGTCGGGCGAAGCGGAGTGATGCTACCTCTGATGGTTCATTGGGGGATGTCAGCGTGATTGAATCAAGCGTTGCTGCTGAGACTGCCACGGCTGCTGGGACGGAAGACTCCACGGCCGGCGACGAAGGGTCACCGGCGTCTCCAGTTGATGGAGACGGTGAGGCGACGCCTAGTGACACCACTATTTCGCCTCCGGTGGATAAAATAACAGAGACCAGGAAGTCAGTTCCAGTGCTAGTTCTGTTGGATTATATCCGATCTACCTTTGACGACGAGTCGGTTCTGGATTCCCTGCCGCTCGAGGCGGCTGGCAATCCCAGCGCATGGCATGCCTGGAAGGCCCACAGAAGAGATCATGGTGACAACCAAGCGCTGTATAGTTCCAAGAAGGGAAGCCCGCAAACGCGACTTCCCGGCGACTGGCACTGGGATGGGATCTGGGCCAAACGGGTCCAGGAGGAAGTGGAAGCAAGCCACTCGGAGGCGACCCTGTTCGGAACTTCGACTCGGGGTGGAAGTGAAGATTTGGTATGCTTACGCCTGAAAAGCCCACTGGATACTTTTGCACCGGGATAGATACTGACGCGACACAGGCATCACAGATTCGCTTTTCTCGACTAGACGATGCGACGCTAACGAATATCAAAGAGATGATCATTCCCCCGATGGAGGAGGCGCATGAATAAATAGACCGTCTGTTTTATTATACCCAAGATCGCAGTTTACCAATTCGACGGAAAATTACTCTACAACGCTTGATTTCAATCCCAACTTGCTGGAAAGGTTCTCGCACCTCCCCACCTCGCCCCTTCCCAAGTGACACAAAACACAAACTGCACCTCGCAGGTAACCCGGCAAGACCAACGGCCCCAATCCCAACCACTAAGTCGCTACCATGGAGTCTTACCTCGATGCACACACATTACCTATCCATAACACCCCCAATATCTAGCCCACTCGCACTGCATGCAGTATCCAGCTCAATATGCCTAAGAGTCTATATAAACTCCACCGCACCCCAATTATCGTGATCGCACTAGTCTTTATCCCAATCATCGTCCTCTTCTGCGTCCTCGCCGTAGCGCTATCATGCTCGGAATTCTGGAGCTCCGGACGGCCCAGCGTCTTGTTCGCGAAATTCACCTCCCGGATACGATGGACTAAGCGGTCTGATCATCAGAGTCAGACTCTTCCGCCTCCTGTTCCGTCACGGAGTCTTCCTAGTGTGCGGAGTCCGGGGAGGGCGAGTCGTGGTTGAGTGGTGTTGTTTCTGGTGGTCGTTTGTTTCGCATCACGGCCTGTGGATGGATGGATCATCGCCGTTTGGACCAGAACGACCTCTACACTTTGAGCGATTGCATAGCCGCCTCGTCTACCATTTTATATACCACGAAATCGTTCGATATGGAAGACCGGACCCCGAAGACCGAAGAGATACCATCGCCTTGGGGGGCTTGTTCAGATTGAAGTCAGTGTTTGGTCTCACCATGACCAACGGTGGAAGGAGGCTAAAACAACCATACGAGCGCAAAACAGACGGGGAGTTACGGCGAACAGCGACAGTCTATGCACTTCCTGGGTAATAGCATGCGATCAAGACCGCCATTAGTTCTTCTACTCAAGTCAGGTACGGGACAATGATTCGACAAGATGGCGATGAGAGGACGAGACTATCACCAGTATTGGTTGCGTTGACTGTGATGCGACCCCTAGTATACCCTCCTGTACTTTTTTCTGTCTCGACGTCTGTCGTTTTTTATCCTTGGAAATGACATTGCATTGCACGGCATCTTAATGGAGTCTACCTGGTACGGCAAATAGGAGATATATTCCTCCAATAGTTTGATCAACACATAAACAAATGGTCAGCCCAACTTGATATGACACGCAAAGTAGCGATCGTCACCATACTAGATAATAAACTATTGCACAGCATGAATCATGCGACAGGACAAGACAGGACAGGCAGGTGCATTATGATCCACAAGGCAAAATAAATAACCCCAAAAGAAGAACAGGCTACGTACCTGGTCCTATAACATGCTACAAACCTACTACAGAAATAATCGAGACCAGAGCCAATCGTTTCTCGCGTGGCAGGCTAATTGTCCGGTCGGAGTTGACGGAAACGGACGAGGAAGGTCATGTTGTCGTCATTGTTGCGAGACGGATGGCCGGGTTGGGGATAGATCGAATTCAGGTACGAGGATCGTGTACTACCTACATCTCATGCCACCCTGAGAGGGGTATTACTATCTATCTATAATCTAGTCGCATTGCTAAAATAATATCAATTCCCTCTTTCTTCATTTAATATCACCTGGATATAAAAGAAAAGATACCAATAATAGGAAAATGCCATCCAACATACCCGGCGCCACAGACGACGACATCTTCCACGAGCCAGACTGGACCAAAACCCACAGTCACCGCATCGGGCTGTACAATCGCGACGATCGCTTCCCAGGTCTGACGCATGCCGGAGACGATTGGAGAGCTGAGCTGGAGGAGGAGGCGGAGGAGAAGATCAAGCAGTTGAGGGAGAAGGTTGAGAGGGGAGAGTTGCTTACTGTGAGGGATTATTTGGCGAAGCAGCAGGTGAGATCTCTTTCTTTTTTCTTTCTTTGATAGGCTTGTGAAGATGGGATGGGGGTTTTTGTTGAAGAAGGATACAAGTTGATAGAGCCTTGATGTGAGTGTAGGACTTTCATCTGCGACGTCCGGAAGTACACCCCGAGCATTGGAGATATGTTCTCCACACAACGGAGAATCATATCAAAGAGGAGCAGCCGTGGTTGATCAACGAGAAGAAGAGAAAAGAGGCAGAGACCAAGCAGCGAGAGCAGCAGCGGCGACAGGATAGCGGGATAGAAATAGACGGCGCCGCTCACCCAGAGGACGAGAGCAAGAAGTACACACCCGAAGAGCAGGCACTCCTAGATAGCCTGCTCAAAGAACGCGAGCATTTCTTAGCCATCAAACCCAACGACGGAAAGGGGTCATCGCCATTCAAGACAGGATACTACGAGCCAGCCGAGATCGACGAGACCGACCAGCTCACCCCAGACAACTGGGTCCCCCGCTCAGGCAACCTGATCCGACTAACAGGGAAGCATCCGTTGAACGGGGAGCCGCCGCTGACGCAGCTGGTAGACGCAGGGCTCATCACGCCGAACTGGCTGCACTTCGTGCGCAGCCACGGACCCGTGCCGCACCTGCTGTGGGAGAACCACAAGCTGGAGATATCGGCGGGGCGGTCGCTGACGGTGTTTATGGATGATTTGCGGGAGAAGTTTGACAGCGTTAATATCCCTGTTATTCTGGCTTGTGACGGGAACCGCAGGAAGGAGCTGAACATGATCAGACGGTCGAAGGGCTTCAACTGGGGGCCTGGCGGTGTTAGCTGCGCGTACTGGAAGGGTGCGCTTCTGCGAGACGTGCTTTTGAAAGCTGATATCATGGCCTCAATAGAGGAGCATAAGAACGAGACGCTGTGGGTGAACTTCCAGGGATCGGAGAACCTCAGCGAAGGAAAGTACGAAACGTGTCTCTCGCTGGACTACGTCATGGATCCCACGAACGACGTGCTGCTAGCCTACGAGATGAACGATCGCCCCTTGCCCCCAGACCACGGGTACCCTGTGAGACTTCTGGTGCCGGGCTTTGTCGGAGGGCGCAGCGTCAAGTGGCTGGGGAAGATCTGGATCACAAACAAGGAGAACGACAGTCACTACCATGTGTACGATAACCGCGTGGTACCGAGCTTCGTCACGGATCGATACACGGAGATCGGAAAGGCGTTGTATAGTCATCCTAGTACGGCGTGCATGGAGCAGGTGCTGAACTCTGTCATCGCGCGGCCTGAACAAGGGGAGAAGCTGGATGTGGCTGATATCTCTCGCGGCAAGAGCACATATAAACTGCAGGGAATTGCGTATAATGGTGGTGGGATGGAAGTTCAGAGAGTGGAGGTCAGTTTTGACGGAGGAAGCACATGGCTGTACTGTATTCGTCAGGTGAGTTAGCCCGACTTCTGCTGTCTGATTTCGGTCGATTGTGTAACTGACACGCCCAGTACCCCGATAAACCACTGCGACATGGCAGGAAATACTGGCCTTGGCTCCATTGGCATTTGGACATCGACGCCGTGCGGTTCCTGCGAGCAGATAGCATCATGGTACGGTGCTGGAACGCGAACAAGAACACCCAGCCCGAGAAGGCAACATGGAACCTGGAAGGGTAAGCGCATAAACTCTTATAACATGTATCGTTGAAACAAAGCTGACGAGAACAGAATGATGAACAACTGCATCTACACAGTAAAATTAGAACTAGTATCAGACTCCGAGACAGGAAAGCAGTATATCATGTTCCGACACCCCTGCGAACCAGGCACCGGTCAGGGCGGGTGGATGAAGCCGTCTGCAGAAGACCAAATGGAGGACATGAAACGCGACGGGTCGACTCCGGATAAACAGTTCACTCGCGAGGAAATCGAGAAGCATAGATCTGCTGATGACTGCTGGATTGTGGTTAATGGGAAAGTTTACGACGTTACTAGTGTGCTTAGTTGGCATCCTGGGGGCAGCGCTTCCATTATGCCCCATGCGGGACGTGTCCATGCTGAGACGACGGAGGAATTTGAGAGTATCCACGATGATTATGCCCACGAGAAACTACAAGGTGAGCATGTCTTCTATGCGTGGTGCGAACGTGCTGACCGGATGTACGCAGAATGTATCATTGGCGTGGCGACGCAGAAGACACTGGACTTTATCAAGTATGAGGAAGAGCAGAAAGCCAAAGAAAGGGCAGAATCAATACAGAAAGATTCTTCTATCGCATTGCGACGCCACAAGTATGCCCATCACCTTGCAGTTCTAGATACAGAAAGCTAACCCTTTCACCAGATGGGTCCAGGCCAAGCTCATCTCCAAGAATCGCCTTTCCGAGGACACAAGCTGTTACACCTTCGCCCTTCCCTCCAAGGACCAAAAGCTAGGTCTCGCAACGGGCCAGCATCTTTTCATCGGGTTCCACTTCAAAGACCGCATGGTCTTCCGCTCGTACACGCCGACGAGACCGGTATCCGCAGAGGAAGAAGACGGCACCTTTGACCTAGTGGTCAAGACGTATAGTCCCAGCCCCGCCCAGCCAGGAGGCACCATGAGCAACATCCTCGATTGTATCGAGATCGGCGAAGAGGTCGAAATCAAGGGGCCAACGGGCGAGATCCAGTATGAGGGAAATGGCAAGTTCCTCCTCGATGGCAAAGAGCGCACCTTTGACAGGATCACACTTGTCCTCGGAGGGTCCGGCATCACTCCCGGTTACCAAGTGCTCTCTCGCATTTTGAAATCGGGCGGAAAAGACAAGACGAGAATCCGTGTGGTCGACGCCAACAAGACTGAACAGGATATCTTACTGCGCGGGGAGCTGGATCGGTTTGCCCAGCTGTATCCGGATCAGTTTGAGGTTACCCATGTGTTGTCGGACCCTGATAAATCCTGGAAGGGTGAGAAGGGCTTTGTTAATAAGGATATTCTGCACCGGTATTGCTTCCCGCCTGATGAAAAGAGTATTGCGCTTCTCTGTGGCCCTCCGGGATTGGTTCAGCATGCGGTGTTGCCTGTGCTGTTGGAATGGGGGTACAGCCAGGATCACAATCTCTTTGGATTCTAGTCATTTAGTTCTCATGTATTTGTCTTGCATGATTTGTACAGAATCACTTGTAGTATAGTAAGAAATTGACCTGCTTCGCATCTCCACATGGGCCTTGGGGTCAAAGTTGTTATAGATTTAATATCAACCCGACAGGCTATTGCACACTATGTACCATCTGCAAAGTTCGCCAGTGCAGGAGCACAATCCTCAATCGGCTTCCTCTCCCAAAGCGGCTCACCATCATCATCAAACTCAGCCCATTGAAAAAAATTACACGTTTGCTTCCCCGGGGCAAAGCCAGCATAGCACGTCCACATGTACCGACCCCGGGTCTCCTTTTTGCGCTGAACGCACCGTAAGATTGCATGTTGACCGCATTGGCACCGGGGGGTGTACTGCGGATGCAGCGAATCCCGGTACCACCGGTATGTGACATTGATGCGGCGGTTTCCTGACAAGGGGTGTGGGGAGATGGTTTGGGCCGGCGTGATGGCGTGCTTCCATTCTTCTTGCATTTCGGCATGCATGACCAGGAGGGAATTATGTGGGAGATGGATGGATATTTGGCCTTGCACGTCGGCACGGGTTTGTGGGACCTTTTGTAATTTTTGTCTCCGGGTTGGATCCCCTCCACTGCCAGCGGTGAGCACGTCAGTGCTGCTTTCTGACGGAGGGCTACTTGTGCCTTCCTCATCTGGGGGCACAATGCGTCGGACTCGAAACTCCCGTTCGACTCCCAGACTTAGACTGCCGATTATGGCTTTTGGACCCAGGTAGGTGAGTTCATCAGAGTGATACCCAACGCTCTCAGCCGGCCCATCGTAGCAGTTGACAAAGGCTGCATTTGGCATCCACTCTTTGGGCGATTGGAAACGAAGTTTCTTCCCCTCGGGGTATACGTTACGGATCCGCTTTTGAACTTCATCGTTCACGGTGCGCTGGACCTTGGCGGAGACTGTCCGCATGTGAGGCGTGATCTGCCTCACGTTGGAGCGATACGTCCCGCCGTAAGTGTACACGGAAGTATGCTGCCGATGTTCCTCCGGCGTAGAAACGTACACACTAGCTGAGTGTGGACTTTCCACAGTCTTGTCGAACACTTGAAATTTATACCTGGAAAAATGATGCGACTCATCCAAGAGTTCTAGAAGAAGTGCATTGGCGTGCTCTGGGGGGAGGAAATTGTGGATGATGGTGCATGGGGTGTGGGCCGCGACATCATCCGGAGAGAAAAGATGAAGGGTTTGCCCTTTCTTTGTAGGACGCCGCTTCGGTTCTGGAGTCCCATCCCCGAGTGTGGTGATGTGGGAGATTAGGGAGGTCTGTATTGAAGAACCTGACACTGCTCGCTTTTTGATCGGGGCTGCTGCCAATTGCTCCGAGATGATAGTCGCCGTGGCTTCAACAGACCCCGCAGACGAGACCAGGACATCGAGCAGAGTATCCTGCGACAGGTCGGGAAAGAGAGATACGAGCTGGGCCAGCTTCACATCCGTCGACTCCTCTTCCAAGAGGGGATTATCAGAATGGCGTGGTGCATCTGGTGCCCCAGATGAAGAGGACCGTGGTCTCTTTCGTGTCACATAGCGGTCCATCGATACGGTGACAGTGTACTGTACATGGCTAAGGAACTCTGATATCAAGAATGGTTGGATTGAAGAAGTTAGAGAAACCGAAGATATCCCATAAAATAAGAGCTGCACCCGATTATAAATACAGACACGTGATTGCTCTGGAAGTGGCCAATCAACATACGACAATGTACTTGTACTTCATTACTCGATATGTCCCTTTTATTCAAACAGGGTTTATGCCGATCCCATGTTTTGCAACTATTAGATATGAACGCTAATGGAAGGCTCTATAAGAGGCCGCTGTGCACGCTTCGCTCGATACACTATTATGCAATCAAACCCACTCCCCATTTCCAATATACACCCTCCCGGGCCGGTGATAGCTTTGGAGTCCTTTCCCCCACTGCCGTAGACCATCAAAGATTTCAACCAACGAGGACAGCACGACTGTGGTCCAGCCAGGATAGTCTCCCACTGCCGGATTCGAGTCCGTACGGTAGAGATCCGGGAAATTCTCCTCCACCATTTTCACGGGGCACAGTCCGTACTGGGGCGCTTCCCCCTTGAACTCCGCATGTTCCAGTGTAGCCGCCAGGATGCCAAGGACCCAACTATCAATCACCAAACACACTCTCAAACGGACGGGAAGCTCAATTGAGGGCAAGGTCAAGGCGACTTTGAAGTTATGGAATGCACTGCGCACAGCGCCCTCACTCGCCTGCTGGAACATCTTCTGGCTACTGAAAAGCCGAGACGAATAGGTATGTATGAGCATGCCAAGCTGCTCCGCTGTCCCGGGGAGGCAGCGTGGTAGCGCTTTTCGAATCTCTCGGGCGAGGGCGTGCAGGAAGATCGGGAGAAGGTCATCGGACTCAGGCGTGTAGATGGTCCGGTATATAATGGGACCCCAGGTCAGGGTCAGAAAGTCCCGCTCCGACCCTGGGGGAAGAGAACGCAGGCCGGGCTGCGCGCCCAGCTCGTAGACTTCGGTTTGGAGGAACTGTTCGGCAGCGGATGGCTCATCGATAGGTGATACAGGGGATGGGGGAGATCCACTTTGGGAGGACATCGTCCTAAACGAACGGGAGGAGGTATCTGACAGTGAAAGAATTTTGACCTACCTACATGGTTCATGCACTTCGAGATATATACTGTCGTTTTGATCAGTGGAAATAATTTCCACGGAAACTGAGTTCTGATTTTCTGGGTCTCGGACGAGTATCCTCGTCATCGATGGCAAATCCAAATATGAACTGTTTGTTTATTTGTTGTCCCCCTCGCCCGATGTGTTCTGGACTTTGAACGAACAGTGTCGGTCCGAATGAGCCTATATGAGACATGGAGTTCGCGAAAGGTCCTCTGAGGATGATTGCAAGACGATCCCCAAGCTCTGCAGATCACATCCTCGCCCATCTGACAATGACGTCGGGGGAAAATATGGGTTCATGTCATGTGTTACCGATAGCGTGCATTATCAGGCATAAATCACGGGTTCTGCCGTCTCGCCACTATGAAGAAACTGTGGGCTGTAAAATCCATATTCCACACCTACAGTGTACTGAAATTAGAATTGACCAAAAATAGAACGATAGAAAAAGCTCTTCATAAAGTTTGATCGAAAATTGGATCAACCAGAGTGTGATAGTTTTCGAGGTTGTCTGGATCGCCACACCATGAGTCGACCAATTCGGCAGGCGGTGAGGCAGGCGGTAAGCACCCCGGCATATGTGCCTCAGGCGCAACCTCGGCTCAGCGAGTGACCCAAATTCCTCCATCCATCCTACTCCCCCGCAATCAATTCAACTCGATCACTGCACCGCACTCCACTCAGTCTTGTCCGACGGCCATGATCATTATCAACGCTCGCTAATTTTGGTCTGGTGCTCATTTCCCCTCCTTGCCTTTTCGCCCTCCGCGTTTCCTTGCTCTTGAGACTTCCCCGCTTCGCCGACTTCCGCCCGAACCATGCTCCACTTCCGTACCGAAGGCTACAACGGCTGTGCGGTCAAGTACTCCCCGTTCTTCGATAACCGGCTCGCCGTCGCCTCTTCGTCAAACTTCGGTCTCGTGGGTAATGGACGGCTGTATATCCTGGAACTGACGCCCAACGGCATTGTTCCGACAAAATGGTACGCGCCTGCCGGAGTCGGCGGTCGTCCCGCCGGCAGTCCTCCCCGCAGCCCACCGAGCAAGCGATATGCAAAGATACTGACAGACCAGGTTCACCACGCAAGACTCGCTATACGACATGGCCTGGTCGGAGATGCACGAGAATCAGGTTCTCACGGCGTCGGGTGACGGTAGCATAAAGCTGTTCGACATCGGGCTAAACGACTACCCGATCCAGAACTGGAAAGAACACAACCGCGAGGTGTTCAGCGTAGGCTGGAACCTCGTGGCCAAGGACCGCTTCTGCTCTTCGAGCTGGGATGGCACAGTGCGCGTGTGGTCGCCGCACCGCCCGCACTCGATCGCCACGCTGCCCACCCACAGTTGCACCTACTCCGCGGCCTTCGCGCCGCACTCGCCCGACCTAGTCTCCTGCGTCACCTCCGATTCATACCTAAGGTTATTCGATCTGCGGCTACCAGCCTCAGCCTCCAACCACCTAGCCCTTCAGATTCCCATCCACGCCGCCCCCGTGTCACCCATCCCCGGCAGGCCGGGCGTGCCGCCGGCAGCGTGCGCACCGTCGGAGGCCCTGACACACGACTGGAACAAGTACCGCCCGTCGATCGTGGCCACGGCCGGTGTTGACCGCACGATTCGCACCTTCGATATCCGCGCGCCCCAACAGGGCCCACAGTGCGTGATGACCGGCCACGAATACGCCGTCCGCAAGGTAGCCTGGTCGCCGCACCTGTCCAACGTCCTACTAAGCGCCAGCTACGACATGACGTGTCGCGCGTGGAGCGACCAGACCGCGCCGGGGGCCGTCGGCGACGTCGATAACATGCGCGCGGGGCCGGCCCCGGTCATGGGCATGGAGATGGGCCGCATGGGCCGGCACACGGAGTTCGTGACCGGCGTGGACTGGTGTCTCTTTGGGAGCGAGGGTTGGTGCGCCAGCGTGGGGTGGGATGAGAGCTTGTACGTGTGGGATGTACGGGCTGTGATGGGCTAACTAACGATTACGGTCGTCTCTGTTTGATTTGTACTTTTCTTTTTTTCTACGTCTGTATTGGATATTAGATTGCATGATACCATACTACTATCTGTTATGTTAAATGCGGTTGACGGCATGAATATACTAGCTATTGAATACTTTGGATTGGTGGAAGTGGTGGACGTCAACCGACTGGTTCGACACAATAGGCCTGAAAAGTCCGTGCTAGATCCCAATACGGTGGGGCATAGTTTACCACCCTGTCTACGGAGTAGACGTGGGGCTTAGAGATGTGACTTACAAAGATATGCTAGTCATACTAATGTCACAAGACTATTCCTCATGCACTGATATAGAAGTCTTAAGCTTGACATGGGAGTCTGAAATGTTATAATGAATGGATATAAAACATCCTATAACAGGGCAAGTAGCCTACTCTCATCGTTTGGACCTGGATCTGGAAGATATAGGTATAGACAAGAGGGCCATAATGATATACACGACGTCTCAGTCGCGAACTAGTCCCCAAAGCATCCAATTCCAGAGACATGGACGGAGATGAACATATATACTTAACGCGATCCAGACATGCATCTGCTCTCAGCCCTCACTCCAGTGACCACGCCCCAGGATCCAGGACGAAACCAGTATAGAACACACGGACAGACAAAAATTTATTTAGCCAGTCTGCCCTCGACCTTCTTCCTCTCTGAGTCGCGCACACCCGCAATCTCCTCTCGGGTCGCATCGAACGCAACATGCGCCTGGTTGAACGGATTCTCATCACTCTTCTCAAACTCCTTCCTGCAAAGCTCGTTGCGCTGGTTCCGCCGCAGACCAGGGCTCTCCTGCTCGATCTCGGGCATGCGCCGCGCCTCGTAAGCCGCGTAGGCCGCCTTGTACCGCCGCTCCGGGTGTCGGTCAATCTTGGAGGTGTCCTTGTTCGTGAGGGAGAGCGCGTCCAACGCGTTGTCGATACCGGTCGCGTTGAGGGAAGCACCCTTGCGCCCGTCGTCGTCGAGCTGGGACAGGTCGAGGCCTCGCGACGGCGCGGCGGTCTTCTTGCCGGCGGATTTGGCGCCCGCGCCCTTGGGCTTCGAGGGCTGGGAGGCTTCTTCGGCTTGCAGTTGGGCGTCACGTTCGGCTTTCTTGCGCGCGGCTTCGGCTTTCTTGGCTTCTGCGTCTTCCCTGTTTTTGGTTCATTGTTGTTAGTTTTTTTTTATGTTATTCTTCATTTCTTTTTCATGTGTTACCCTCTTTTGCGATGGATAGCACAGATAATGTAGCATATATGTGATGAGATTTAGGGAGATGACCGGACATACTTCTTAGCATTGCCTCCCTTTGCACCCTTCTGCCACTGCTTGGACTCCTCAGCCTCGCGCTTCGAGTCCTCAGCGGCCTTCTTGCCCGCAGCGGCTTCGGCTTTCTGTTTCGATCATAAACCTCGTTAGTCCTAGCTCATGACTGGCCTCTATACTCATTCTCTGAGCCAAGCGCACTGAAATGAAGCGGGAAAAAAGTATCTCAGAGCAAGATAGTGGGGGCGGGGTAGGTGAAGCTGCGGCTGCTGCCGCCGTAGGGAATAACGTACACGGGCATTTCCCGCTGCCTTCTTGGAGTTATCGGCTCCCTTCTTGCCTGCCATGGTGGATAGAGTGTTCGTTCCTTTTTGTACTGTTGGGTGGGTGTATAGCAAACGTTGCGGTTAAAAGATCAGGTATGACTCTGATTCGGGTAGGATGACGGAGGAGCGAAATATGTAGGTGATCGAATCGGGTTTGGCTCGTCGTAGAAGCTCCGATCGGAGGATGACTAATGGGAGGGACATGTGATCTGGTGAGCCCTTGTTTGGGATGGGATCATGTTTCTGATGCCAGTTGTATTAGATTGGGATAAGTGGATTGTGACTAGTAAAGGATCTCGTGAATTGGTGATTATAATTTTATCGTACAGCATATCATCCTCAAACATCCCCAATACATAACCTGACCTCCATGTCACACGTACCTCATAATACATACCGGTCGAAGAGCAAACATCATCACAATGGACCGGCGACGAAGCGATCTACCATCACTCCACAGCAGGAAGCAAATATCCGTCAGGAACCTCTGGCCACGCATCGTCCCCATCCAGCACAGCCAGAGCCATACCTCCGTTCAGGTGCATCTGGATATGGCAGTGAAGCAGGAACGGGCCCGGATTGACAACATGATACCGCAGAGCCAGCCAGGTCGGGCTGGTAGTGGCCGCCGGAGTCGCGTAAGTATCGCGCAGCTGTGGGTTCTGCAGATTGAAGCTCTGCGGCACGTCCTGGATAGCCTCGTCGACGGACGACCACGTCCAGGGCTGCGACCCCTCCCCGATGACAAAGAACTTGGTCGAGTGTTTGTGGATCGGGTGCGCGGGCTGGCGGGCTGTTGTCACGTTGAGAATGAGGTCAACCCACGTATTGTTGTGCGTGGTGATCGTGTACTCGGTCGGGATCGAGGTGCGATTGAGCAGCAAGGGAGTGGCCTCTTCGGCTTCGAGCGGGAAGCTGCTGTTGCCCATCACCCACCGGTATGAAGCGTTGAAGTGGCCCACATTCAGGATGTAAGTGTGGTCAGCGTGCGGTGCGGGCGCTATAGCTGGGAATGGAACGATGGTAGACTCGTCTAGCAACACGGCGTCGTTGATCGTTGCGGCCCCTGGCGTGATGGACGGAGTCGAGGGTCCGCGCTGGTTATCCGCGGTGCGGTAAGACAAGACACCCGTGCCACTAATGAGCTGGGCGCTGAAGCTATTGGCGGCTCGCAAGGTGTAGTCTCGAGGCGTCTTGTCTAACTTCACGAGGACGGAATATCGTGTCCCGATGGGCATCGTGATGGCATCGACTGCGACTGGCTCGACGTAGCACCCGTCGACCGCGTAGATGTACATGGAGTGTTCATCTATAGAGAACACGAGCTGCGAGCTTCCGGTCATACTGAGCAGGTCAAAACTGGCATATCGGGTATCAGGGTCCACTATAAACCGCTCCTCTGGACCCTGACTGGACCTGCATCCATCCTGGAAGGTCTCAGGCAAGATGTCTGCATTTTGGGGGAAGCCAGAGCTATTGCCAGTAACAGCAGGTATGCAGCTGTCGGGATAGCTTAGTACATATCGAATAGCATAAACAGAATAGCAAAGCTTACCCGAGGTCGGTCAATTGCCCGTCTCCAAGGAGTAGTCGCTGTGTAGGGGTAGTGCCTGCATTGAGCTCGTCCCGGGAAAGACACTTCACGGACCCCTTCCCGTTGAGCAAGATTGCCACGGAGCAAGTACTTGGGACGCCAGAGTCCACTTCGGCCTGCCAAATCTCCTCGGCCGTAAGGTGGCGCCAATCCGAGAGCATAATCGGCTGGGTGTTGCGCTCTGCCTCCAGCATGGCGTCAAGATCGTCTTCGTCTTCAGCAATCAACCCAAAGGGTCTCTCCTTGGACTCATCGGGCTGGATATACATGGCCCCGTAGCAGCCGTCGTCCGTCTGGCCTCGCGTGTGCGCATGGTACATATAGATCCCATACTGCTCGGCCTTCCATTTATAGAGATACTGGTCGCCTGGCGCGATCTCATACTGCGATAGACCAGGTACGCCGTCGGACCAGGGGGTACCGCGCTGTTCAATACCTGAAGTTGGTGAGTATAGAGTCGGGATAGGCGAAAGATTATACAAAAGGGGGGGGAGCCAACCATGAAAATGAATTGTGGACCCAAAAGGCATCGAATTGTTCACCAATACTTCAACATCGTCACCTTGTTGGATCCACAACGCGGGACCAGGGATCTGCCCGTTCGTGGCAATGGCTTTCCTCGTAAATCCGGCGACTTCCTTATCTTCCCATGTAATATTGAGTTCAAATTGAACTACCTTGCATGAGACCAATTGAACTAGAAAGATCAATGTCAGCAACGGGAGCTTGCTCTGGAAGACAGACATGCCGCCTCGGCGCGCTCAAGATTAAGTCTTGCACACAAAAGAGATGAAGATATATATAAATCAAAACAGTGAGAAACAAACAACAAAAGAAAGAGAAACAATATGGAAACCAAGAAAATCAGAAACTTTTGAGCCACCACCTACTGATTCAAGGACAGCAAGATCATCTTATATGTGAAGTACTTGTATCTTGATCCCAACACGATTCGACGTGCCATTATCCTAAGCGATACATGTTCCAAAATAAACGACACGCCAAGCTAGGGAAAGTAATGTGATAGCTCGATGGATAGAGAGCACCCGAAGCTCACACTGAGATGATGTCCTGCGGGTATATGCCTAAACGAGCCGAGCAGCACATGTCTGCGCTATTGCAGGTGGAATTCGACAAAGATGCCTGTCGATGTCTGCAACAGGATGTGACGCAAGGGTCCCTGTAGGAGGATTCAAATAGCGGGCAATCATTCAGTGGACTAGTTAGTGGGGACGGAGGCAAAAACGAGGAAGGAAAGACGAATAAGGGTAGGGCAGCCTGTGCAGTGTTACGGGGCATGATAGATCAGATTGGATTGTCCTGACCTGGCTGGTGGCTGAGCCGAGGGCCTCATCGACGAGTCGGCTAATATGTAGGTTGGTTATCTACGCGGAGAAGATTCATTGTCTTATGAAGATCTCGATTGACACGAATGAAAGAAGAGATAAAGAAAATAAAGAAAAGAAAAACATGCGCTAATTTGCAATGCGTAACATAACACGTCCACGGCGATATAAATCCCAACCATGCCATCATAGAAGATCGAATGAAAGCTTGAACAACACATTATTAAATAGAAAAGCAATAGCCAAACTGTTCAATGAAAAAAGACAGATCTCGTCAGTCATCAATCATATTTCTGCGTACCCATGCATGAACATTGATCTATTGGTTCAGTTATAGAACACCGGACATTGAGCATAGACAGCTGCAGCTGCAAGCTCCAGGTCCATTAATTCGACCACTTCCGCTGTCTTGACAGCGGCATCCGTCACGGTGCGTGCAGGGTCTTTGGATTCCGTCAAAGGATTTGGCGGTGCATATGTGTCTGCACGCTCCTCAGTGAGTGGCAGATCAGTCTCGGGCTCGGATTCCAAGTCAGATTCAACCACGGACTCGGGAGTGCTCCTCAAAGGGGTCATATCTGCGGCGATAGAGGTCGCAGCTCGTGCCGGGAAATCATTTTGGGACTCGACCTGGGAATCGTTCGGGGAATCGTTTCGATAATCGGTCTGAAAGTCGGTCTGTGAATCATTTTGGGACTCGACCTGGTACGAATTCTGGTATTCTTTCCGAGAAACGGATGTAGGAGAAAGAGGCACCGAAGTATGCAGCTCTAGTTCTGATCCATCCAGATCCTCCATGCCCGGGGATTCGAAAGGATATGCAGAGTCCGCACTGGCTACAGAGGAATATTGCTCCAAAGACACGGTTTGCATAGAGTGATAATTCACCATGTCCGAGCCGGACTGTCGTAGCCCAGTGCTGGTGCTGTCAACTCCAGATCTGGAACCAGTCACCAGGAAAGCGACAAGAATAGCAAGGAAAGCCAGGACGACATTGCGCGGATCGCTGGCCAACACCCGGACATAATTTACCAGCAGCGTGTTGAGGTCAATATCCGCCGGAGGCGTACAATAATATTGACTCGATATATGATCGCTCGGCGACGGACGGCGGTCTGGTGGCGTCTCCGAATCCAGATTGGGCGATCGTCGCTTCTCGGTGTCGAGGCTCATCGGGCGTGGTTCGTGATGCACAGTGGAGATCGGTTCGTGCTCAAAGGTCGGCTCCGACTCGCTTAAAGGTCCTCGTAATTGCGGTATAGGCAGGCGGTTCTCCATTTGATATATCTCATTTTCGAGCAGTCTCTTCTCCAGCTCCCTGCGCACCTCCGACGGAAGCCAGAGTCCAACTTCCACATCCACCTTCTCCATCTCCCTCCAAGCTGCAGCCCAAGCCCCGGCCCGCATGAGGCCATTCGCTGCAAAGACTTTGATCTCCCACTTGCGTCCAGTGTCTCGGTGACGGACTACTCGGCCCCCACAGTCTGGACACGGCTCTCCTTGCTCGTCGTCTGTGGCGCTTTCCTCCTCACCGTGAAGTGTATCTTCTTCCTCCTCGGACTCAGTCTCGTCTCGACCCAAAAAGTGACCATGGTCAAGCCGCGGTCGCTGTAGCTCCAAACTCTCCAATAACCGATCCTCAAGTAAGTCGTACATATCCTCCGGATGGGATATAAGCACGCCCCGGTCGCGAAGCACCCCCGAACCGACCTTCTCCTGCAAAAGTTTCCACCGCCGCCAATACTCCCCAGGAAGCACCTCCCTCAATATCTTCTGATCAGGTTTGTCCGTTGATCCCGGGATAGGAAGCGACGGCGGCAGCAAGGTGCAGTGGAGAAGAACGAGCGGGTATTCCTTCTTGGGCTTGGGCTTGCTGGCGGACCCACTGGGCGAGTAGTACGGTGACCGCTTGATCGGAGACGAGCCCGCAGATCGCATGGAGATGTCGGAGAGACGGGCGCCGCCTCGCCGCTTCGGGGGTGTCAGAAAGTCGTCGTCACCTTCGTCTTCGGTGTGCATCTGCATGGCTCGCACTGAGCTGGGCTTGCGGAATGCGGTTTCGCGACGCCGGATGGCGTTGATGTTCTTGAAGGGCGAGTCCATCTTGTCGTAGCTGCTGTGGTTGAACTCGTCATCCCAGGGGTGAAGGGCTATTTGATCGTGCGTTGCGTCTCTGTTGAATGGTTTCATGCGATCCGGTGGTTGTGTAAACACCGAGGCTGGGAGCGACGAGATAGAAGATCGGCTCGACGCTCTCGAATGCACACCACCTGCCAGATCTCCTTCGTCTGGAATCCCGCTCAGTATATCACTCGAGTGTTGTGTCGAAGAAGCCGACGACTGATATCCACAATCCTGGACTACCAACTGCCCATTCTCGCCGTCTAGCTCGTCGTGGTGGAACGATCGATCCGGTACATATTTCGCAATCGCTAATGTCGGAGACCCCGGGGTCGGTTCGTCAGCCTGGTAGGTGCTGGACAGATCTCCGGATTCCATCCACCGGAACCCATGCGCAGAGTCGTCCATCGGCACTGGCTTACGCCCTTTCAGGCTTTATATATCAGTCACACGCAGAGCGAGGGGTATTCAAATGAATGTATCCGAATTCCGAATCACGTCCGGGCTGTCACACATGGAAGCTCGGGAATGCAGGGGCAGATTCCTCAATTGACAATAAAACTGAGGGACAAACCTCAGCGCCTGGAGATAAATTGGAATGATGATGTGTCGTGGGCGTTTATGCGGTGGCTGGTGATGCTAGTATATTGTTGGTGTTTCACCGCTAGGGCCGTTGTCTGGGCAACGATGATCTCCCAGCCACATATTTATCGTGTCGATCTTGGATAGGGTTGGTTTTTGGGCTCAGAAGTGTTGCGATTCATTTTCTTGACTCGTGGTAAGGAGGGTAGTTCTAATTTGATCTTGGTATTCCCGGTGCCCTTAACTACTAACACCATTTGGTTGCCAAGTGAACAATTCCCAAGATAGTTTACGCATGTAAAAGTCGACCTACGCCCAAGAATGAATGTAAGAAACTTTGTTTCATGCAGTAGTTATCAGGTCAATATGGATACAGAGATAAGGGCTATATGCCACCAAAGACATCCACCAGGTGCTATAACTCCGACCGCAGATCTCACCGTAAGTCGTCAAAGCCGTAACTAATAACTCATAACAGAGATACTCCTTTGCGCTAATTCAACCCTTGAGAAGAAAACGAGGGGCCGCAGAACATGAAAGGCAAGATAACAAACGCGGCCGTTAATCGTAGAGGTCTAATTTTGGTCGCAAAGACCCAATATTTCCTAGACGCCGAGGGAAATGCTCTCGCTAAACCCTCAAAGAGCACATGGTATGGGTCACATCATAGGGTAAGGTTGGTGTACTTCACTGAGGGGGTCGTGGAGTACTGTCATGGGAATTCATCATAGTAGGGTAATGTTGATGCTCGCCAAAATAGCTGAGGACATCCGGAGGAAGATATTCGAGCCAGGGGAGAATATCCCCGCTGAGAGCGAAGGGAAGTTGGTCCTGCTGTTGAAGGGTTGCCATGTCGATATCCTGGCTCTCAATCAGAACGTCACGACCCCGTGGGGCGAAACTAGTGTGGTATTCAGGACCCATGGGAGTCCCACTTGTGGACTGTTCCGCAGCGGCCGTTGGCATATGATAACCGTACGTCGCTGGTTGACCTCCCATCCCCGATGTCGACGGCAAGTCCTGGCTATAACGGGACTGCGCACCCGGTGGATGGGATCTCGTGGTCGGGTACGTTGTATTCAGACCCAGGAGAAGATTGGCATCGGAAGTCGAAACCCGGCCAGTAGGTACAAGCCCTGGGTACTTCTCTGCAGCTGCAGCGATGGACGCGCTGGGGGTGGACACCGTGGTTCGCGCTGCGTCCACTGGCTGCGAGTAGGAGCCGGAGACTTGACCAGCACCAGGCGGAACGGAGAGATTGGCGTAGCTATGACTGTGCTGGGACGGGAATGTAGGCTTGTCAGCGGCCGAGTGAGAAGGTGCGGCAGGCATTTGATACAGCAAGCTGAGGTTGGGCTGCGACGAGTCAATCGCTCCGGTAAGTGCCCATCCAATGGCTGGGAGCCGGATAAGTTAGTCAATCATCTGGGCGATCAAAAGTACGAGGAAGGATTCTCACCTTGACCGGGATCAACCCTCGGGGACTGCGTGGTATCAGGTGTCGCCTGGCCCGACACTGCCGAATTCTCTGCATTTAGCGGGGGCCCGAGCCCTCGTCGGTGAGGAGCAGGGAAGGACTGCATAGTGGACATCTCGGCCGTGTTCTCCATCTCCTCCACTGTATACAATAGGGGATCAACAATCCCCTTGGCCTTCTGATCCAAGACCGTGATAATATATTTGGTACCCTCCCAGTAGGTCTCAAGTGCCTTTAGCGCCTTGTAACATCGCTGGTAATTGTCCTTTGCGGCGGATGCAAGAAGAATGTGCTTGGCCGTAGCTTTTCGTTCCGCCCCGCCCGAGCAATCTATAGTGGGTAGAACGAAATTACTGGTTTGGTTGGGAAAAAGTGGCTGGCTTGGTGGGGAGCCAGACCCCGACGAGGGCGATGTGTAGTAGGCACTCTCCATCAGGAAGGCGCAAGCAGCGATATACATCGGTTGGCTTGTGAATGGATTACCAATAAAGCTTTTCCCATCCACAAGCTCAGAGAACGACAGAATATCCGCAATGGTCTTAGCCGACGACATGGACAGCTCCCTGCTGTTCGGATAGAGGTGCTGGATCGTCCCACCAAACGAATTCAAAAGCGTTGGCTGGTGCAGTAAGACAATCAAAGTGTGAAACCAGAAATGAAGGAGTATGAAGTTCGTCCCCTCTTTAGCTTTGACATAGGCCTGGAAGTTGGCCGCATTAAAATGAAGCCTGGGGGACAGTCGCTGATAAATGCCAGTCAGGTCACTTTCCATCCCGGCGAGCATTTTGAGGGTCTCTGTCGTGACATGGTTGACAGCCTGTATTCCATTTATGAGGTCGGTCACCCGCCCGTAGAGGTGTATGATACGGATCAACGGCGGGAATGGGGCCGGCCAACCGTTTGACAGCTGCGATTCGGACTGGGTTGGAAAACACAGCTCGATATCTTCATCCCGTAACGTGACCGGGCGACCTGTACCAGACGAGATCACTCGATCTAGGAAGAATATGCTCCAGAACGTGTCCACTCTCCCGCGCTCCCAAGCGCGCCGATCTTCGATGTTCTGTGCTTTTTTGGCGGGGCTTGGTGGGACCTGGAGATCGCCATATTGATCTTCCCCGAACTTCCCCGCCTGTCCCGTCATGACCGTATTTGGCGCCACCCCACTCTGGCCATAATTATACTTCAATCCCTGGGGTTTCTGCATGCCGAGGTCCTGTGCCATCCGAATGGCAATGCCCAAATACATCCAGAGACCACTATCGTGGTTTGAGCCAAAGCGCTCGTAAGCAAGTAAGAGACACGCTTGGACAACAGAAAGTGTGGGGCACGACAAGGAGGCTACCAGGGCGCTGATGGCTCTCTGCGCGAATGATTGACCACGGTTCGACTTCTTCACGTCGAGAGGTGGTTCTGATCCATCGATCGATGGTGCCTGTGGGGGACTCAAGAGAGGATGCGGGGAAAACCTAGCAGACAAAGCGCAAATGGCATCCACGAGCATAGTATCAACCTTCTTTTCTTTGAGCTCGTGGAAAAACCGTTCACGCTGCAAGAAGGGGAAATTACAGCCCAAATGTGCAAAGAAGAGCTCGCACAGATGCATCACCAGATTGCTAACCGGTAGCGAGTCATCCCGATCGTAAAATGGAATGGTATTTGCATCGCGGGCGTCACGGTTGTCAAAGACATTCAAAGAGTTGACCCCGGCTTCAGTAAGCTTTGGGCTGCGGAGCGGAGATAGCGACTCTGTAGGTCCCGGGAATCAGCATGAGAAAACCAGTTTATAGCTAGAGCCAGGACTATAGCGGCGTGTTGTCTTCTGCCAAAAAAGAAATGAGGGGAACAAGAGAGGCAAACCTGACGACTGTGACGGGTTGCTCCTGCGTGAGCCTCGCACCTGGACGACCTATAAAAGGTTAGGTCGCAGTTAACCGGAGAAACCTGTGTAGTCCAACCATTTGTTTAAACCCGGGAACAATAGCCGTGGGTCCGAAATATCGAAAGTAAGGTACGTGGGTGCGAGCGCCTGAGCTGAGAGATGTGCGACCTATGGAACCACGCCGTCGTTAGCGTTTGTATAATTTGGCGTCGACCAATATACGGGCCACCCGGGCACATACTGCTTTCAGGAGTCTCCCCCGTCGTCTGCTGTTCGGATTCTTTCGTTGTTCGTGACATGTCCCTTGAAACAGAGCCAGTTTGAACTTCGAGTAGCTTAGCGCCTTCGAATGACTTTTCAACGCTCGCAATAGGTGGTGGTGGTGCGTTGCGAGGAGGCGAATCTGACGGTCCGCTCTTCACTTGGGTATTTGAGCGCAAACCCGCTGGTTCGCCGGCGTCGGGCAAAGTGCGCATTGTCGGAGCTCGTGATGCGACCTCGGGCGGTGGCCGAGCCGAGGGCGGCTGATCGCTGTATCCCAGACATTCATGGTTGTAATCGGAGCAGGTCCTACACACTATCCACGAGGTGACATCTGTTAGAAAACGGCCAGCTACTGCGTATTTGGCCCTCACTCACCTGGCTGTTCCCCCGAGCATCGTATCTTGCGCTTGCGACATGTTCGACAGCTGCACAACACATGAGGACGTCAGCTAGAGCTGAGAGAGGGAAACACTTGTCAGGAAGGGCAGGGGCATGCATACGCAGCATTAACCCGTCGGCGTTTGGTCTGAGGTTGACCGTCCGTAGAGACAAAGCGGATCTGTTTCGGGGGAGGGATATTGTTGCCGCCGTTCTTCTGAGGAGAAGGGTGGCTCATCGCGAGCAAAGTATCATCCGGGGTCACGACACATTGGGCACCTAATCATTTATCGACGTTACGGCGAACAGACGACGACAAGTGTGCACCTCAGGGGAATCGCAAGCAGGGAGCGAAAGTGGAAGGTAGGGCGGATGGCAGGTCTTTCGAAAGAAGCACTAAGCAAAGAGCAAAATCCATGGGCAAAAGGTCCCACGCTATGTAGCTGTCGTTGTTGGGCGTTGACGTCGGACGATCCCTGGATGACGAGGACGAAAGGAGCGGAGGTGGGTAGTGAGGGGAGTGTAAGGTCAGCTACAGAAGGAGTATCGGTGTCTGGCAGGAATCGAGTAGTGGGGATGAGAGGTTGATCGTCCTCGAGGATTCGATGTGATTGAACGATGGGGTTTGGTTCGATAGATAGAGATGGACAGGTAGATGAGTTGGTAGATCGATAATCGCGGTGAAGGCCGTAGCAACGAACGGTTCGACGAGAGGGGACGAGGTCACCTTCCCGGGGGAGCAGATGTTGGACGGGGGAGGAATAAGAAAGGCGAGGTTAAAGGGAGCGTAGTGAAGGTGGTGAGATGTTACGAGGATCCGAGTTCCAACAGTGACACTATCGTCGGAAAGCCACAGAAACGGCCCAAGCCAAATGTCTAGCCTGACCGCCCAGGTGATCATTCCCCTTTCCCCATCAATGAATCCATCAAACAAATCTCTGTTATCCACCTGACTGTCTTTCCCATCGAGGACCCGCAAATGAATCCACTTTAAAAAAAGGAAGTATACAAATCAAAACTGATGTCTACGGATTAGGGCCAAGGAGCCGCTAAATTGGGTTGAATCCATCTGTCCAGCCCATCTATGTCTTTGCAAGGCAATCTCATATTCAACGTCTAAGTTGTCCAATGTCCTCATGGTCTGCAGGTGAAAGAGGAGCACCAATTTAGGCTTATGGTTCCTGCAGGTACATGGTATCGGATTTCGAGAATGTTCCTGGTCACGGCTCCAACGAGATGGAAAAGATCATCAGGATAATGATCCCATCGGGGATGGGGGGATTTAGTAGAAGTCTGGGCCGGCAAGAGTGGGTTCTGTGGATTCTCCCCCTCTCCCCGACCGGGGGTAGCGGGGTGAGTTTACCCACTTCTCTACTCTGGTGGTTCCAATGTCTCCGCGGTTCGTCCAGCTCTGCCGTCGGTCGGGGTCATGTTCAACTCCGATGCACGATGCTCAGCCTGGTCGAGCCAAAAAGCCTATATTACCATTCCCGGTGCCCGGTAGACATCTAAATTGCGTAATGCGATCTCCACAGGGCTCAGGGTTGCCCGGTTCTGGGAAGGGCATACAAAACTCATTCCATGAACCATGATTACTAAATACTCCGTGTGTCCATCGTATAGAGACGATTGTTCAAAGAACCTTGAGCAGCGTCTGTCTTATAATGACGTCAACACGCGATAATAAGGAGTAAAACAAGAAAGATAAAAATAGACTGACCGGGACAAGTAGACATTTTTAGAGAAACCTGGGCAGAGTGAGAGTGCCTAGTTATGCTCATATCCTGATACTATCAGCGCTTGGATAGTGGAAGGAGGGGTTCGATGAGGCCAGCGCATCTCTCCAGGTTTATTCTAGTCTGAAGGACACAGTAATAGAAAAGGAACTACCCCGTTGGTGCCATGGAGATTGAGTTCCATCTGACCTAATTGTTGACAATGGTAGCAGCAGCGACAAGTGTTTTCTCGGACGAAAAGATTAGTAAATGTAGGGCTCAAACCCCCTATTCAATGCATGTGCATCTACGACGCATTGCATTAATCGAAAATCGAATGAAAAACGAGAAGTCTGCTTTTCACCGTGAAGAACTGGATATATAATACAGCAGTCATATGTACTGAAATTGATATCATTTCAACATCTGCAGATCAATGTCATTTCCACGGCCCTTAAGGTGATAACGCACTTGAAAACAAGGATTTTGTGACGATTGACTGACCACATACAGCACGTTACCTCTCAAACTCAAGATAGAAATGCGGAAGAAATTTGCCATGTATCCATAACAGTGTTTTAAGTGATGTGTTCACCATGATGCATGTCCCAATTGGTCTGCGCACACCCACCCCTGAAGCGGTGGACTCTCTCGGGCGAAAGGCTTGAGTACCCATATACTCAAAAGTATAAAGTAAGATGATCACATGTTCTGAGCCCCGGGTCACAGTTGTCCTATCCTATGAGTAGGAAAAAGCAGATCAATAGGTGTGATTGATGGATTGGAACGAGTGAGGATATGGGGCCTGTATCGCTGAAGAGATGCCAGCTCATCGCGCAGAAGATTTGAAAACATGCCCCCTTCAAGGCATCATTCTCTAAAATGGTAAATGTGGTTTTGCGGGCGCTATATGCTCGAGATCTATATATTTCCGATCGCGCTAGTATTTGCAGAATAAATTGTGTTTTTGCCCCCGTAGATACAAATCGAGTAACGTAGATTCAGATCGAGTAATGGCCATGTATATCCAACTCGATAGCTTATGACGCATTGTAATTTGCAACAGCATGGTCGAGAATTAAAAACCCTGCTATAGAGACCCAATATTAGCACAGAACCTTGTAATATGAGTTCGGGCTTCCCTCTCAGTGACTAGGCAGATCTTAGCTATAACATTAGAGCAACCATGGATCCTCGAGCAGTTGCTTTGCTGTCTTGCGTTCCTCCGGTAGCCATTTAAGCATTGACCTCATAAACTGGATAAACGATGCTTTCTCTTGCCCAGACAGTCGCCTCTCCACGCTCTCCAGCGAGACCAATGGTATGGCTGCATCGTCATGGGCCACCCAGGCGCCTACGTACTCGTCAGACAGCTGTGACTGGGACCACAAAATTTTGCGAAGTCAGGATACTTACCCCTGGGGTCAAAACACTGCTCCGTCGTCTCACTACGTCTGATAAATTCTTGCGGTGGCGGTCCAATCAATGCAACCATGAGCGCCAGATGTTTGAAGGGGTCATGACCTCCTTTTCTATCAAATATCTCCCCAAACAGATGCTCCCCTTCGAAGAGGTCCCAAATCTACCTAGTGATCAGCAAAGGACCTCCATGTCGGCTGCAGAGGCGCTGTACATACCAAGCCTGCCAAATTCCAGATATCGACAGGACTTCCCCACGGCATCTCGAAAATTATCTCTGGTGCTCTATAAATATGTGGTTGGACGAATGGGCCGGACTCCTGTCTTTTTCCAATTCGTGCCTCGCCAAAGTCACAAAGTATAGGGAGCCCTTAGCTTTCACCTCCAGTGGGCCGACGGAATTTTTTCTACTCTGGTAGATAATATGTGACTCATGAACCTTCTTCCGAGGGCTTGGATCTTCAGCTTCTGCCTTTGCAAAATCCGCCAGCATACTATCATCCTCCAGACTGAGCATCAAATTATCAGTCTTTAGATCTAGTTCAAGTTAGAAAGGAGTTGTTCCCGGGATATAGTGACCAGGCTGAATACCAGTATGAATGATCTCGGCGTCAGTGTGCAAAAAGTCAAGGGCTAGTAGTAGTCGCTTGACAGTCATCTTGAGGAGGGGTAGGTCAAACGGCCTCGGATTTAGTCTCATCATCTCAAGAAGTGTCATGTGCATCGGTTGCAGCACTAAACAGCGGTGCTTCCCAACAGGACCTTGAATAACAATTGAATCGTAAAGCTCGCGGATTAGTGATTGGCCGGGATGCGAAGAATTGACATTCGCCAGATGCTCATAGATCTTCAACTCGCGATCGGTTGCAGTTGGGTGAGTTGGCAGCGACGTAGACACCTTCAATATTTTATACTTGTTCTCTCTGGGCATTCTTGAATTGTTAGAGGAGAAGTTGCTAGGGAAGGTCGTAAGAACGCACTGAAGATCTCGGCATAGCCAACTTGTGGAATACGCCCCATAACCAATCTTTCCTGAGACCTGGTATCTGGCCTCATACACATCTCTAATGTTGACTGTGTAGTAATGCTCGGGTTTATAGTAAGGCAGAGTCTCTTCCTCCAAAGGTATCCCGAGCGGCAGAGTAGAATATGAAACGTTGGGAGTTCTTCTCGATAATGAAAACTGTTGCCGCAGAGGGTTTCCCCACGCGCTTAATCGTGATGCCATGCCTACATTGCCAGACCATTTACCGCTAAAGCACAGCTGCAAATAACAGGTGAATGGAGGTATAGGCACTGTTGTGGGTGGTGGGCCAAAATTCGAAGAGAGCCAGCTGGTCGCTAAACTTAACAAGGAGCTGTGCCATGAGCTGTGACATACTTAGTCACATGACGCCCTGATAAATATAGAGCCAACAATAGTATATAAGCAAGTCTATGTTATCTATCATTAAATCTAACAATATGAAAAAACAAATGAAGATTGCAAGGAGATAAAACAACCCAAGCGATCTATCCACGCCTAGATCTGAGGCCTAGGAATCTCAAAAGCCTCGGTGGTCCGGCCATACTGGATGCCTCCCAGTCGACTGATCGGCTTCAACACCTTAAGGTCGATGACACTCTTTTCCTCATTGATGGCATCATCACGCACCCAGAACCTGACGCCCTCAATAATAGCCAAGACGCCCGACTTCTTGCCGGGATTGGCGCGACTCTCAAACTCCTTGACCTCGACGAGCTTGCCCTCGATCGCCAGAATGGACTCCTTGACGCGAGCAGGCTGCACGACAGAGGTAGGCGCCTGGTGCAGACCAGAGATCTCCCACTCAGAGACCCCATAGGGGGCATTGACAGCGGTGGCATTCGCCGCCTCCACGAAATGTTCAGAGATGATGTTGATAACGCACTCGCCCGTCTCAGTCAAGTTTCTCAGCGAGTCCTTGGCCTTGTCGAGAGCGCCGACGAACCCCACCGTGAACATAGGTGGGTCGTAGCTAACGACATTCGAGTAGCTGAATGGCGCCAGGTTGGTGGTCTGGCCGTCCTTGGACTTCGTGCTGATGAGCGCGATCGGTCGCGGAACAACCCCCGAGATCAGGAGCTGGTAGTTGGATGCGGGGGACCGACCCTCTCCATAGGGGTCGATTTCGACATGGTTCTTTCGCAGGCTTTCGCCGCCGTCGTTGGCGCCTTCGCCCTTTTGCCAGGCGGGATGGGGCGGCTTGGTGTACACGGCCTCCGCGTGCTTGAAATCAGGTCGGGAGGCCTGGACCTTGCTGAAGTCGACTCCGGGCTTGGACATTGTGCGGGTGTGGCTTGATGAACGAAGTTGACGGCTGGCTGCAGGTGCTGTTTGGCAAGAGGAAAAGCGGTGATGCCTGCGTCGTCCTGTTAATAAATATGTACAGCATTGCTACCAGTCTGCGGGACCATCATAATGATTCTAACTAGCCCTTACTTGGTGATCGAGAACTTACAATGGCAGACAGGGTACTCGAATGAAACTTTGCTGAAAACACTTGGAGAGAATACAATGCATTAAGGCTATGAAATTGCCAGATGGTTAACCAGTGGGGTGAGCATCGTGGGGTAGTGAAGCTCGGCATCTACTAATTCCACTCTGATATTGACTCAGTATTTCCACACCTACCTGGATGTACTACCAAAATCCCCTTGGGCCTAATACAAAGTATGTGGAAATAAACTGTGCAGAGATGATAAACGTTTGTCAGCGCCCCGCAGCGGGACCACATATTGCCCGTTTAGGTTATAGAGCATGCCCTGAGTGGTTTGGACAGTACTAGCTTAGCCCTCCAAGCTTTTTGGCCTTTAAAAGCGCACAGTGACACTTTAAGTATGTCTCCCTTCATATTCAAGACTTATCATGATCAGTGATTGGACAATATGAGATTAATAGGAGTTTACCAATGCTAATTTCGTCCAACTTTGGTTCTGGAAGTATCCTGCGGTGTACATCCCGAATATAAAATGTTCTAGTATGATGCTACCTAAGTAGTGACCTAGCATGTGAATACTAGTTTACTGTGCGAAAGACGCATGTCGCATATACATACATGAATTGCGACTTTGGCGTAGGAATAGTCATACCCTGTATCCAACATTTGCAGTACTGGCCCTGGATAGCCGTGGATATAATTTCTGACTCATGAGATTTGGCGGGCACTATGCAAGGACTAGGTACCAAGTATTAAAGTAGTAGTGTCCCCCACAATCCTGCGTTTCTCTCCAGTATCCACACTTCATCTCTCATGGAAGTCAAAGGGCCAACCACTGACTCTGATGTCACCAGATATAAGTTCTCTCAATGGCGAAAATGCCTCCTACTTGCAGGTTGCAGCTTCACGGTGTTTACTAGCGCATCGGCCCTAGCCTCCATATTCCCCGCGACCGCACATGTCGCCTTGGAGCTTTCCACTACGGCCAAGGTGCTTAACATCGCAAATGCATGCGTCCAGGTCGCAATGGGACTGTCAGTGTTTGTCTGGCAGCCGGTGCAGGTCTTCATTGGGCGTAGGAATGCTTTTCTTTTGGCCTTGCTGATCCTGCTTTGCTTCTCTATAGGCGCTGCACGGGCTACTAGCACTGGTATGTTCATTGCGATGAGGGTTATTGTGGGAAGTACGGGCACTTTCTTCCTTCTGGCGGGCCAGGAAATACTGGCTGAGACTTTCGAACCGGTAAGTTGGATCTTTAGGACTCGCGTCATTCTCGGGTATCCGCATGTCTCTGTACATGGGGATATTATCCATAAGAAGAAACCTTTGACTTTTGTTCTGATCTATAGGTGATTCGGGGTACTGCATTTGGGTTTATACAGATAGGGAATACCGCCGGCATGACGATTGGTAGGCCAAACACCAAACCCTACTATAATCCAAACCAGTGGGACTGATTCGGCTGACACTTTGCTTCACAGGCCCCTGTATTGGTGGCGCCATTGTTTATTATACCCATTGGCGTGTGATATACTGGGTACAGGTTGGCTTGGCTGGATTAAGCTTGATCCTATCTTTTTTCTCCATTCCGAGTGAGAAAGACATGAGCAACGACCAGCCAAAAGTAACGGGCTCAAAGTCTGCGACTCTGAATCCACTAAGGGTCCTAAAGCCTCTCCTCCATCCAAACGTCCTGATCACAGTGAGTCCTGGTTCCCATCTCTCGATCCTAGCATTCCCGTCCAGTATCTAAGATACTACAAATCTCGGCCAACCACTAGGACCTCGCGTGTGGCGTTCTGTGCTTCTTCCAATTCGTAGTCCTCACATCCATCCCCAATACGCTCAACCCGCGGTTTAACCTCACATCGCCACTGGTCAGCGGTCTTTTCTACTTAGCGCCTTTCGGCGGATTTGCTCTCGGTTCGCTTGCCGGAGGCGTTGTATCTGATCGCACCACCCGACGGTATATCAAGAAGAGGGGAGGCGTCCGTCTTCCCCAGGACCGGTTAAATGGCGCGCTACCCATTTGGCTGGGGCTTTTGCCTGTAAGCATGGTGATATACGGGTGGACTTTAGATAGGGAGGTTGGCGGAATGGCTGTTCCTATTATCAGTATATTCTTCGTTTCGTGCGGAATCGTCATGGCGTTCAACGGGCTTAACACGTATTGCGCTGGTAAAACTACCTTCCCAGTTCTCGAATTCTTGACAATTGAATTGCTGATCATCCCAGAAACACTTCCGGAACAACGGTCTGCTGTTATCAGCGGGAAGTACGTCGTTCAGTATAGTCTCGGAGCTGTGAGTACAGGCGCCGTCGTACCGATGATCGATGCCATGGGCGTGGGGCTGGTGTTTACTATCTGTGAGATGATGCTCTCTACTGCCACCGTTCCGGTGTTATAGCGCCGACAATACTGATATAGATATAGGCACTGTAGTCAGTTTCATCGGCGGAATTGCCGTATTCCTGGTCGCCAGATATGGGCTGCAGATGCAGAAGTACAGGATCAGCTGGAGGACATGATCTCATGGACCATCAGCAGTGATAGCAATTGTTACGATCTTAGAGGGCGCGGACCATTAATGTCCAGTCAGAGAGTGATTAGATAGAATCCCATTCCCGGTCTTTATATGGCAATATAGAAATCGTTTCAGTGCTTCGGTCAAATAGAAGGCCCTCGTCATAGTCTTGCATACAGGGGAGCTCAACAGCTTACTATCGTCGTAATTACGGGTTTCATGATTGGTACTAGGGGTAGTGTATCTGCTTATTATTGAGAAGAATGTTTCTAGTCCCTTCGGTGTTACTTGTTGAAACCAAGGCGCAAGCTTTGGGATCCAGCCTCGGAAGTGTTTTGTCAATGGATGCAGGAGGTATAATTGTATGGTACTGATGGAATACGGATATTAATCTCAACATGAGGAACCAACTGTATGCTTGAATGAGCTCTAGAGACAGCGGTAAAATGAAAACAAAATTCGATGATACTTTGAACGGTAAAGATGATGCAAAAGCAGGGAATCAGGCAGTGATCTAGGCAGGCTACAGCCGTAGTGATGCCTAACTACAACGGTACTGTACCCTTTAGATCTATGATGTTAACCCTCAATCTAATTTGAAACATCATCACAGTTCGTTGACCCCACGATCTCCCCCCAGCTATCCAGCATTTCTTGCTCCCGGGCGATACTCCCCCCTATGGCAGCCAAGGCATCCCGCCCCAAGGCCAACCTGCCAGGGAGACGACGTCCCTCGCATCTACCGGTCTTGGTAAAGGCCTCGAGCAAAACCTGGGCGCCCTTGACGGGATCGCCAGGCTGGTGCAAACTGTAGGCGGCGAGGGCGTCGCGGGTAGCCTGGGTTCCGGGATCAAGCTCCGGGATGTGGTTCTGGGCCGTGACCTTGTGGCCAGAAGTGAGGAAATTCGTGCGAAAGTAGCCTGGTTCCACACAGGTTACTTCAATGTTGAAGGGAGCCAGTTCGTTGCGCAGCGACTCGGTGTAGATGGCGATGGCAGCTTTGCTGGCACAGTAGAACCCCGCCGCGGGGATCCATTCCAGCCCCCGATTGAGCCAAAGTTGGCGACGATGCCGGATTGACGAGCGCGCATGGAAGGCAGAACAGCGCGTAGGACACGGATCTGCGAGAAGACGTTGACGTCGAATTGGTCGACGATCTCTTGGTGGCTGCATCCATGGTTTAGGGTTAGGGTTCTGAGGGGATTGACTCGACCCAGATAAGATAGACGGATTCGTACCTGCACTCCTCTACTCCTCCTTCCAGAATATATCCCGCGTTGTTCACCAGGATGTCAATTGGTCCAACCGTCGACAGGACATCGTCGATAACAGCCTTGACTTCAGCATCGCTGGCGCGCACGTCCAGCTTCTTCGCGATAACGCCCTGCGAGGCCAAATCAGCTAGCTTGGTAGGGTCGCGCGATGCAGCGACAACGGTGTCTTTGTTCTGGGCGGCTGCAATGGCCAATTGGCGACCGAAGCCGGAGGAACAGCCGGTGATGAACCAGATACGAGGCATGGCGGTTCAGGAAGGACTTGGTTTGACTGTATGTGGATATGGAGGATGTCGCAATTTAAATACGAAGCAGAAGAGGGCCGCGCGCGAGATGTAATCGACGAGTACTCAGTGTCAGAAATGGAATTCGAATGGAACTGGCTATCGCACTTTAAGTCGACGGAATATATCTCTATATATATTAACGTGTCGATCGGAGATACAACTATCTCCGATTAATTCCACAGCATGCCTTCTCTGTGTCAGCTCACACTAATTGCTTGGTCGTGCACGTTGGCATCTTCAATCGCGATGCCGGCTGTGGAGATACGGGATGGGAACGCGTCAGGAACAATGAAAATGATGCTATTAGGACTGTATAGAAGATTTAAAAATGGTTGCTCAAGGCACAAGATGGTCAAATGTGTGAGAAAAGGACTGCAGGGACGTCTACGCCGGTCTGGATCCGCACAACCTCTCCACGATAATAGGCCGCTACGACACCATCGGGCTCGGCCTCGCCCTCGGGGCTGGCATTTCTTTCTTCTTAGACAGCGAAGGCCTCACCATCGACAACGTCCTCAACTACCACGTCGTCCTCGCCAACGGGAGCATCGTCGACGCCAACGCAACCAGCAACCCAGACCTCTTCTGGGCTCTCAAAGGCGGCAACAACAGCTTTGGCGTCGTCACACATTTCGACCTCCGCGTCCTGCACACCCCCGGCGACGTCTACGGCGGCATCATCTTATACCCCGAGTCCTCGCTCGACATTTTGCCGGCGTAGTCTACGATTACCACATGCGTCAGGCGGTAGATGGTGTCTTCACGCACGCTTTGCCTACATACGGCTGCAACGGGACCACCAATGAGACCGTCAACATCACCCCCCTCGTTTACAATGCGAAAGAGAGTAAACCACCTTCCGACTGTCATGAAGGGGTGGACGGGCTATGCGGATTTGACACACGAGGTGAATCACGGCTTGCCCAATGGGTCCGTGTGAGTATCTCTGATCTACTCTCTTTGCTATTCTTCAAGACCTGGCCAGGGGTAGATGCTAACCCAAACGGCCAGGCAAGAACAGCGCATTCTCTCCGTGTACGCCGACGTCCAGCCGTACAAGGATATCCTGGAGCACCACCGCCGGTTCCTGCAGCGGTTTCATGTCGGCGCCTGGTTAATGCTTCCATGTAGGATGCTCACGTACTCTGGGTGGAATCAAGATGCCATCGCGATATGGAGAGAAGAGCGTGGCATTGCGTGAGGTGCAGGGCTTGTATGATCCCACGCAGGTCTTTCGGCGCCTGGTTCCGGGTGGGCAGAAGTTGCCGAAATAATAGGAGCTATTGATGGATTTGTTCGAACGTTGCATCTAGGGCGGACCTTGTAGGGGAATATGAGTCGCATTATGCAATGACGTCAAACCACACGGTTTGGAATATCTAGACAGTTAAACAACCCCTCACTAATGATTTCATTTGTCATGATTGTAAGCTGTGATGTATTCTACCCAATATCCCTCCTCCACTCGTAAGCACGATCCATAACCGTCACATGTGCGGGGTTATACGAGAGTTTGTCATGACCAGAGAGGGTTCATTTGTAACAACTCCTTTCTTCGCTGAAAAGTCCCAAATACCAGTCAAGATGACCGACGGAGACTATGGAACTTATCACCTGGGGGACTGGGAGCTCCAGAGTGGAGAGAAGCTTCTGAATGCACACCTGGCATACAAGACCTTCGGTGACCCCAGCTCCCCCGCCATTGTTTACCCGACGTGGTTCTCCGGACGTATGTCTCTCTCCACATCAACACAACATATATATACGCAGTAGAAACAAAGAACTAACCCAGCGCAGTCATCTCCGACAACTTCTGGCTAATCGGGGAAGACAAGACCCTCAACCCCCAAAACTACTACATCATCATCCCCGCCCTCTTCGGCAACAGCCAGTCCACCTCACCATCTAATTACCCCGCCCCGGGCCCGTTCCCAAAATGCTCCTTCTACGACAACGTGCGCGCGCAGCACCAGCTCGTCACGCAGCACCTGGGCATTACGCACCTGCGGGCTGTCGTCGGCTGGTCTATGGGGGGCGGGCAGACCTACCAGTGGGCGACGCAGTATCCGGATTTCATGGACCTCGCTGTGCCCTTCTGCGCGTCCGCTAGAACGTCTCTGCATAATCAAGCGTTTCTTGAAGGTGTCAAGGGGGCACTCCTGGCGGCGAAGGGCGTTCCATCGGCGGGGCCAGGCGAGGGCGGGATCTTTCGCGCGGATCAGAACCCGCGGCTGTGGTCTGCTGGGGAAAGGGAGATTGGGCTCAAAGCGTTTGCGAGAGTTTACGCGGGATGGTGAGTGATAAAACACAGTATTCGTTAGGGTAAATAGGCGCATACTGATCACGATGCGCCGAACAGGGGTTTCAGTCAGGCTTTCTACAGGGAGAAGCTGTATGAAACCGCACTAGGCTTCAAGGACTTGGAGGACTTTTTGCAGAATTTCTGGGAGGCATGGGCTCTGTCTAAGGGTAAGTGGCTACATGCAAGTCTATAGATACCATGTAATAATTTACTGATGAGTGCCCATAGACCCGGAAAATCTCCTCGTCATGCTTCAGACGTGGCAGAATGGGGATGTCGCCCAGCAGGCCCCGTATGACGGTAATTTCGAAAAGGCCATGGCCTCGATCAAAGCGAAGACTTTGGTGCTCCCGGGAAAAACGGACCTATACTTTCCGTGAGTCTCTCTTTCTTCGTTTTTCTCTTTGCTTTCTGCCTCTTTCGCAGCGGAGGCCTAATATCTGTACAGACCAGAAGACTCGCAGTATGAGCTCGTGTGCATGCGACCGGGAGTTGGGACACTCGATGTTTTCCCTTCTATCTGGGGCCGTAAGTGTTCAGCAATGTATAATGGTCATTGTTCCTGCTAACCTCTTTAAACAGACTGGGCTGGCGGGCCGGGGGATAGTAAAGATGACGTCCAATGGTTGGACAAGAAGCTGTCAGGATTTTTCCAGATAAAATAGTTGTACTGGCACTCAATGGGACAGGAGGTCTGAACATTCAACAGCGTAGGAGTAACCGATGGTGAATGGAATACGGGTGGAGATGGCGGTATCAGAACTTTGCATGATTCACTATTAATAGTCTCTTCCAACTAGCAGGGACAGAAGAGTAAGAAGGGCTGTGAATTGATTTGTTTCAATACTCTCCAGGGGATTGTGATAGCCATTGATGTATCTACAGTGAAGTTGAAAACAGCCTGAACTGGTGAATGGGTGAGTTTTGGACTCATCACCAAGCTACCTGCATCGCATAAGATAAGGATAAACCAGACAGAAGCAAGGCGTGGTGTCAAAAATTATCTGTTTAGCCGAGTATACATATAAAGATCTATTCGCCCATTGGCACCTGCAACATTGACGAGACCTCTACTCTAATATGTAAGCCATACATCTAGACCAGATGTCAGGAGATTTTCCCTGAGTTGCTAGCAATCTGGAAACGCTATATATTTACAAGAGGGTGATTATCTTGGCGGAATGAGAATTTAGTCAAGCACATCAGCCCATCGAGATAATTCTATGTTATTCAATTAAACTGGACAAATAGAAGAAGGGATCCAAGTCCCAGCTTCAAGGAAAGTATCAGAGGGCTCTTCTAGAGGCAAGATCCTCACGCAGTGACTTCTGCATCTCCGATTTCTCTCATCATTTTTATTCGCTTATTGCTGTCTATAAACTGTCTAAACAACACCAGTCACTCCTCCATCACAAAGATTGTCTTACCCAATCCGTAACCCGAGAATTTGAGACCCTTGTTGGTAAGAAAGATGTCCCTATGGTGAGTTTACCGTAGTCATCCGAGGAGGGACTATTAGTGGCATGAAGGAGGGAACAAAGGACTTTTGGTCAGATGTGGCATGGAAATCATTAGAGATGAGAGGTTGATTGCGTGCTAGGGTACATATCAAAAACAAGCAGAGATGGTAGTTCTTAATGAAGCCGATATATGTGTCTTTCAGTAATCCAGCTCCATAGCCAGTATGATGTCTGTTACAGCATTTTATCTCTCCATCCATTCCTCAAGGTGGTCAAAGAATGCCTCATGGTAAGGATTTCTACCAAGCCAATCATCTGGTGTAAACATGCGCCCAGATTCAAGATAAAACCGTGTCAATTCTTGGTTCAAACCTTTATCAATTAGTAAGTCTTTCCTTGCGAAGGACATTGTCAAACATACTATCCAGTGACATGGGACGGGCCGGTTGTAGGGAGAAGCGAGATTCTCGCTCACGAAGGAGATTCAGTGATTTTGGAATATTGGTGCCTTTAAGAAGTCAGTTCGGTTTGAAGAAGCAGGGGGGGTTGGTCACCTTTAGGTATGCATAGGTAATGAGGTTCAGCCGCGGGCTGACCACTTTCCAATCCATCCAAGTAATTATCCCACGACCTTCGTGTAATTTCTTGCATGAAGTGTGTATTTGGCATGAATAATGCACCATTTTAATCTATCCAGGTCAACATTTGAATGAGCCTTATTTATGATTGCGTACCATCGATCGTGATAGTCGGGTGGACCAAGCCATCCTCAGATACTTTAATTCCATCTTCATATTCCCAATCATCTTGTTCAAAGGCCCTGTTGAAGAGTCTCGAGTCACGGTGAGTCTGAAATCGATACAAGGTTGCCGGGAATGTCCTGTGCATGGACATGTAGGAGAAAGCTCGCTTGTTTGGGTAATGAGCGAGACCACGGGCAGGGCCCTGCGAGATACGAATGAGATTCTGAACCAAGAACATGGTATCTAAATAAGTCCCATGCACTGAGAAACTTGAGGGTTTGATAGGGATATATAGAGGACATTTGCTTGTCAGATTGGATGGGGGTTTTGTGGAATGTCCAACACCTTGGAGGCGAGCGGCCTGAGGTCACGAATCACATACTACCATCTGTTGCCAGAATTAGGCTTCTTGAGTAACATGATACTAAGCTTTAGAAATTTGGCTATTATTACATCTGGTTATCATAAACAAAAAAAAGGCTTGACCCATATGAAGAACGGCAAAGTATGTGGACTTAAGAATCAATCGTGGAAAGATTTTCCATACAGACGATATCATGACACTATTGAAATTCGTAAGTAACCCTATATTCAGTGGGACATTGCTTAATCTTGCGGTTTGTTGGACTAAATTACTATCAATCAATCATCTTCTATGGCCTGAGGTGTTTCTCCACGCTTTCCTCCTTCGTGAATCGTAGACCATTTTCCGCCAGAAAATCGGTGATCTTCTCGTTCACTTTCTAAATCCCGCATGATGAGCTGTTTCCCTTTTTAATCACCAGCGGGCGAGCTCACCTTCAAATGTTATTACCTCCCGGTGCCTATAGGGAATAGTGATCAAGAAGCCCGTAGACCATGGTGAGATCCTCGAGTAGAGGTATGTCTACGGAAAAATCAGCATTGATGAAGAAAGCGCTGAAGGCCTCGCGGAACAAACCCGCAGGGATGTCATAGACACACATATTGGCTCCCTTGAAAGAGCGCACAAGTTTTTGATATGTCAGGGACTTTGGATGCATAAATGTGTCGTTCGGCCATGTAAGGATGTATTAGTTATCCAAGGCAAATATTCCGAGTCTTGATTGCTTACATTCGTATGTTGAGGGGTCGAGTGCTTTGGAGCAAACTCTTCCTTGTTTCGTGAGGAGATCGAAACTGCTTGGTATTCGAACAAGACCTGACACAGCACGGGGCGAATTGGGGCCATTGTTGACCCTGAAGAGCTGTTTGGGTAACGTTGAATAAGACTTGGTGAATCTGTTGTATGACGCTCCGATATCTATATGAACAGAGTTATGACTCTTTCTATTAGCCCGGTATTTCCAAAATACACTATCTCATGCCGGCAGGTGGTCATAGCCGTCTCTGATGAGATATATAGTCAAATCTCCTTGGCGAGATGGCCCAGTCGACCTCCGGCTCTCCCCGGGCCTCGGAGAAAGCGTATCATAGGCAAGACATGAATCAAATGCCCCAATGACCGACTGGCCGGGCAAGGAACCAAGCAACAAGCACTAGCGTGTGTCAAAGCTGTTGATATATAGCCCAATTGCCTGCTTCTGAAAGAAAAGGCTAGAATAGCTGAACTAGGCTGCGGCAAGCACTAAAAAGACAGATAGGATGATATATCAAGTCGTGTAGGATTTCTTGGTCAATGTGGAGAGTTGCAGAAGAAAGAAATAGAAGGAGAGAGCGAGAGGGAGAGAGAGAGGAAATTTTTGGAGGAATATACAGGCAGCCAGGAAGCAGGCTTGTATGGGAGTAAGCTTGGATCTCGGGAGGTTTATAATCACCTTTCTTACTGATATAATGGATTTATCACTATCACATGAGGGGTCACAAAGTATGTAGTGATGTTATTACTGTGCTGAAACAAGGGGCTGTGTAGACTGACTGAGAAGTGACTAAAGAATTTGTCACATTAAGCTGTATAGACAAGCTGAAACATGAAGCTATTCACAGCTGTAGTCTGTCACTGCAGAGACCACTAGCCTACTGGAACCACCACATCATACAACTATTTCGAAAATTAGTACTAATATTATTACTATTAAGAAATAAAAGAAAAATCAATCAACTTCGACTATGATAATGCTAGGGACGCTCCAAGAAACGGAATATTAGTAGTTATGATAACAGCCATGACACGGGATGTAATCCACTTGCACTACCAGGTGGATCTTACTATAGCCGGCATGGCCTGCCAAACAGGTCAATTATTGGTCTTTTATAACATATATCCTCCTGCTTCTAATAGCCTCCACCATCACCACTTCTTATATCATGGAACAAACTGCCAAGAATAGCATATATAAAAAAGTGGAGCCGGAGTGCAATTTCGACGTTTGGGAGAAGAACGGAGCTTGTGGGCTGTAAGACGTGACTATGAGCGGAAGCAAACAGAAGGGTCCCGTGTTCAACCTAGACAGCTGTTAGAATATTTGAGCAAAGCATAGAAAAAGCTACTTTGTACTCTGTAGTCGGAGATGATTTGGCCATCTCTGAATGAGAAAGAGGAGATGAGATAGAATGCTGAGTCAGCCGACGATCGGGTGGCTAAGGTAGTTAACGAACTGAACGATCAGCCTTTGATTCTCTGCTCGACCCTGTCCGCTGTTCCCCGTCATCGAATCGCCCTCCTTTCCTTTTATTTCCTCTTCCTTCGTTGCTCTTTCCCTTGTTCTCGGTTTTCTTTGCTCTATTGATCTTTGTCGTCGTCTATTGGGTTCCGCTCTTTTACTCCGCCCTCGACCTCATCTAGGCGCCTGTCGCTAACGTCGGCACATCGTCAGTCCTGCTGCAGTGTACCTGGAATAATCAGAATGGCAGCACCCTCAACTCGACAATGGGGCGTCACGCCTCCGATCTCTACTGTCCTACCGACCACAGATGAGCTGGCTGCAAATGATGATTTGATTGCGGAGCTGAAGGCCCAGAACAACTTCGAGAGTCCCGCGGAGACCGAGCGAAGGTGAGACACGCACCCCCCAGGGACTCGATTGACTATGGACACTGATCGACTTGGTCGCGTAGGAAACAAGTCCTCGAATTGATCCAGCGCGTCATGCTCGAGTTCGTCAAAACCGTCAGTCGGAAAAAGGGGCTCTCCGCAGCCGCGGTCGATGCGGCCGGGGGGAAGATTTTCACTTTTGGAAGCTATCGCTTAGGCGTTTATGGGCCCGGTATGTCGTGCGGACTAGTTTTGGGTGGACTTATCCTCCGTGCGTTGCTGACCGTTGCTGTGTGACAGGATCGGATATCGATACCTTGGTGGTTGGCCCGAAGCACGTTTCGATTGATGACTTTTTTGCCGAGTTCCCCTCCGTCCTAGAGAAGTTGGCTCCAGCCGGTGCCATTGAGAAGATGACCCCGGTCCCAGATGCCTTCGTTCCCATCATCAAGCTCGAAATGTCCGGGATCAGCATTGATCTAATCTTTGCCCGTCTCATGGTTCCGTCTGTTCCGATCAACCTCGACCTAAAGAACAATGACTATCTGAGGGGGCTGGATGAACGCGAGGCCCGGTCGCTGAACGGCACCCGTGTAACCGACGAAATTTTGGAACTTGTTCCTCAACAGAAGACCTTCCGCTTCGCATTGCGTGCGATTAAACTTTGGGCGCAGCGTAAGTGGTCTTGTACGGAGTTCTCGAGTCCGTCAGCTAACCGCTCGCTTCCAATCCATAGGCCGAGCTATCTACTCCAACATTGTGGGCTTCCCCGGTGGTGTTGCCTGGGCAATGCTTGTTGCACGCGTCTGTCAACTCTATCCGCAGGCTACTGGATCTGTGATTGTGGGCAAGTTCTTCCGTATCATGAACAAGTGGGCCTGGCCTCAGCCCGTCCTGTTGAAGCCAATCGAAGATGGTCCTCTGCAGATGAAAGTGTGGAATCCGAAGGTATCAAATAGACCCGGCCATCTTTCACCCTGTGCATATGGCTGATTTTCCTTAGATATACCACGGTGATCGATTCCACTTAATGCCTATCATCACCCCCGCCTACCCCTCCATGTGCGCGACACACAATGTGTCACTGTCGACCAAGTGTGTTCTGCTCCGCGAGCTCCAGCGTGGCGGTGACATCGTGGACAAGATTTTCATGAAGCAATTGACTTGGAGCGACTTGTTCGCGCGCCACACATTCTTCACGAAGGACTATAAGTATTACCTCAGTATCACTGCTTCGAGCAAAACCAAGGAAGCAGAGGCTGTGTGGTCCGGTCTCGTCGAATCGAAGATTAGACTTCTGGTGGGGGCCTTGGACAGAAAAGCGACTATCGCAGTGGCTCACCCTTTCCCCAAAGGGTTTGAGCGCACCCACATCGTCGCCAATGAGGCAGAGCTGGAACAAGTTAAAAACGGGTCGACCAAATACCAGGACAAAGGCATCAAAACCGAAACCACTGACGAGCAGAATGATGCAACCCATCAAGCTGTAGCTCTGAATGGGGTGGAGAGCGAAAACGCTGAAGTCCCGGAGGCTGCTCAGAAAAAAGCGAACGGCGACAGTCGGACCATCTACACCACCACTTACTACATCGGCCTGGAACTGAAACTCGAGCCAGGTACGCCAGTCGTCTTCCCTGCGTGATTCCACTGACTTTGGTAGGTGCGTCCCGGTCGTTGGATATTTCCACCGACGCACAGATCTTCAAATCCACCTGCACGTCCTGGGCTGGGTATCAACCCGGTATCAACGATCTGGCCGTTACGCACATTCGCAAGTGAGTCATTACTCCAGGGTCGAGTTGAGCGTCGAAATTAATCTGCTTTAGCTTCGACATGCCCGACGATGTCTTCCAACCTGGCGAGACCAGACCGACACGACCCAAGAAGAAGGTTGTCAAGAGGGTTGACGGCGTCAGCGGTCAGAAGCGCACCCTCGAAACCATCGACGTAAGTGCATATAAGAGCGTTAAGACAAACCACGATCAGCGAACCACCCGCCATGAGTAATACAGAAAGCTTTCACACAGCGTGTGGCTGCCGAGTTCGAGTATCTGGGATTTACTGATATCAACCGTCTGTTTTTCAGGACCCGTCGCACCCTTCGAAACGCCAGGCAACATCCAACACTCCCAGCGCCGCAACGCCTGCCTGAGTGGTCTATCCACTGCAGGTCCGCCCGAATTCGCGTCGGGGCTGGTCCCCACGCTGTATTGTGCGCCAGACGCGACAGCACTACTGGTTTGAAATCCGTGCCCCGGTCTTTGGGTATACGTAGATACAGGCCGATCGATCCCAGCTGGTTCTGACTTGGGGGTTGACTCGATATCACCCGACGTCAGAGGTTCAAGGTTGGTTCTCGTCTTTCTTGTTCCTACCTCTTCCCCATAACGATCCCATCTTTCTATATCTTTCTTCCCGGCGCCGATATCGCCTTCGCAGATAACAACGGCTACAATAACGGCTACAACCACGCGGCCAACACTCATAATACAAAAACTGCACCAGCAAAGAACAGCCTGCAATCCCCTCCCTCGTTGGCAAATCCATTCCAGAAAGATGGATGTTAACTTTTTTTTTCAATGTCCTTCTTGCACCATCCCAGCTTGTTTAATTTTGCATGCCGCGCTCAAACACCGAGAGTAAGATGTCTTTCGTCCTTCCCTGTGGGTGATTTCACCACTGTACATATTCAGTTTGTTTGGTTTTTGTTCACTTTAGTTTTCTAGCATCTTTGCTGGCTTACCTAGGTTTAGTTGAATGAAGGCATCGTATTTCGTGGCCTACGGGTCACTTGAAACATTCTTCTGTGCGTTGCGCTGTAGACTGTAGGAATGGAAGTGGTCCACCATATCAGAGGACACACAACACAACTTTCCAGCTATCAACGCCTGGACTTGTAGCAAAAAGAAAGGGATAGGGAAAGTAAAGGAAAAAGGACAGGGAGTTAAATCAAATAATTAAGCGCAATGAACTGTAAAGTAAATCATCCTGATCATTCTAGAAAAGCCAAAACACTATACAATACTATACTACCAACTACAGCTCACATATTCCGAGAAAGCCGAAAGGATTAATTAGATAGTTGAATTAATTAATCTAATCATACGCCGAGATATATAGCCAAGTATAAGAACGACAGCCCCAAAAACCACCTCATAAACGCCGTATGGCACTCCAGGCCACAGCCCGAGCTAGGAATCTCCGTCATCGACGGCGTCAACTTCTTCCACAGCTCACAGCTCTCAACCTGCGCCTGCGGCACAGTCTCCATGTTCGTCGCACCGGTCTCAATCTTCAGCCTTTCGCCCCGCCCCTCGCCCCACGGCTCCCACACAGGCGCATCGTCGCTCTTGAACGGGTTCGGATCCAGGAACTTGACGAAGCTGATCCAGTAGCGCATGGTGACGGGGACGATCGCCGCGTTGGCCTCTCTATAAGTGTTATCAGGGGCATTATGCAGCGTGAAGGCATTCCCGGGGCCGAAGATAGCAGAGCTCTCCCACGTGTGCGGCGTGCCGTAGCCGCGATCCACGAACTGCGGATCCTGCACGTTGAACCGGTAGTTCCAGACTTTGTTGGGGGATAGCGACTTTGCGAGGGACTCGGCCATGAAGTTCCCCGGGCACACGAACGCGGCGTCCCCGTAGGCGGCTGCCGCCGACGAGAAGTACTCTGCGTGCTGGGCCGCGGGCTCGAGTTTCGGGTAGGCGTCGTTGATCTCGGCTAGCTGGGCGGGGCTGAGACCTGGGTAGTTGGCTTCGAGGAAGGCGGAGACGTCGGCCGGGGTGGCTGCGTTGTGGACGAAGTAGGTGCCTTCGTCGGTGTCGTCGCCGATGAGGAGGGGGACGTTGAGGTATTTCCCGTCTTCGAAGACGCGGTACAGGTAGTCTTGGACGAGGTCGCCGTCGACGACGGGGAGGAAGTACCATAGTGGGGGCGTTTTTTGGTTCGGGTAGGGGGAGGGGACGTTGGCTGCTTGGATCTTGGTGATGTCTGCTGAGCGCAGACAGGACATTGTGTCTCTTGGGCCGCTGCAGCCTGCGTCTTTGACGAAGCGGTCGAATTGGAATTCGGAGTTCTGGATGGTTGAGAGCCCCGGCCAGAAAGGTGACTCGACTGCTGCGCCTATGAATAGGCTGTCGTTGCGGCCGCCGTAGGCGGACATGTGGATGCCTACTGAGGCAGCGCCGGCTGAGGCACCGTGGAGGACTACATGGTCTGGGTTTCCGCCGAACTATACGACACGTTAGCACAACTTACATCCACAAGGATGGGACAGGAGATGGGTTTCTTTTTTTGTTTGTCCATACCTGACTGATATACTTCCGCACCCACTCCAACGCCTTCCGCTGATCCAAAAGCCCAGCATTCAAATCCCCATTGGCCCTGACCTCCTCGCTAGCCAGAAAGCCCAGCGCCCCAACCCGGTAGTTGAAATTGACGAACACGATGTCGCCCCCAGACTCCTCGATCACCGTGGTCCCGTTGAAGTTGGCATTGGAGTTGGACATGAACCCCCCGCCCTGGATGTAGACCCAGACGGGAAGACTGGAGTTCGGCGTCGCATGCGACGGCTTGAAGACGTTGACGAAGAGGCAGTCCTCTCCCTTTGTCGCAGTCGGCTTTTTGGCGCCCGTGCTGATGCAGATGGGTTTTAACTAGCAAAGCGTTAGTCAAGATTGATCTTCGCGCTGTCGACTCCGTCTGATCCGTGTTTAACTATATGGGGGCAAATAGGCAGATAGGATACTAACACTCGACGCGTCCTGTACAGTGGAGGTATTAACGGGGTCGATCGGAGCCCTGAATCGCAAATCCCCCAGCGGAGGGGCCGCATACCGCATGCCCAGAAACTGATCCACCCCGGTGTCAGCAACATGGCTGCCGCGGTATGTGGAATACCCCAGGTCGACGATTGGCGCGTCGGGGTCCACGTCTCGCTTGTGTCCATGACCGCTCCATAGCGTCTGGATCATCAACACAAGGGCGAAGAGGGTATACATGGCATGATTCCATGCATGGGCTGGGATGAACTGGGGGGAGGAAAGAATAAGGCCAGGTTGATCTGAGGGTCAGAGGTTGTTCAAAGGATCCAGGGCGTGTTGCTCCGCCACTTTTATGGGATCGACGTGGAATACTTCCTAGGCGGGTATAGTAACACGTCATCTGACGTCATGATGTGGTCCACTTTTCTCAGGGACCAGGGGAAATGTTTTACAGGGAGATCGAAAGAAGCTTTTGATTACTTTAATTATTTTAATTAAGTAGATGGATCTTCGTGATCATCTGTGTCCTAAGTACGTACTTGTGAACAAATGAACTTTGACATGAACCCTCAATCCAAACGTGTCATCATGACAATTTGACCACATCTCTCACTTTGATCCAACATGATAGGAAAACAGATAGATGAAAATAGAAATAAAAACCATCCTGGAGGTCCATGGAGCTTATCCAAAAGTTCAATTGACCAACACTCTCACCTCCTGGCTACCCTTTTGAGGTCGCGAGAAGAACAACTCTGCCGAAGCATCCACGTCTCTTTCTCTGATGGTGTCAAACAGAGACAATATCGGTCCCTGGTCGTTCGCACCGGGGCCTTGGTCAGGGTTGCAGCTCCGCACGATGCCGTAGAGGATGGTGTACATTTCGTGGTGCGCCACGTTGATACTAATCCGTGAGTTAGCAATAGTCCTATCACATCACCACTACTAAAGAAACGAAAGAAAAAAAAAAAAAAAAAAAAAAAAAAGGATAACCTACCCAATACACATCCTACTCCCCTTCGAAAACGAAAGCAAGTACCTCTCAAGTCCCGGATTTTCAATCCACCTCTCTGGAACAAACGATCTCGGAGACAGAAAGACCACCGGATCCATGTGCACCAGGAGTGGTGTCATACTAACGCGTGTTTCGGCCGGGATCGTCCAGGTGGCCCCATTCCGCTTGTCGGTATAGACCATTGGGTCGCGAGCAACTCGTTGCATGCGGTAGAGGACCCCCGGATGAAGTCGGAGGGCTTCCTTGACCACGGCTCTGAGGTAGGGGATCTGCTCGAGCTGGGCGACAGTCGGGGTGCACTCTGGGTCCGGGATCATGGCGGTCAGTTCGGCCTGGAGCTTTCTGTACATGGTGGGATTCTGCAAGAGGTAGAACATGACTGAGGACATTGCCATTGCTGTATTTCAGATCTATCAGACTGGATATTACTTAGTTAGGGAGATGAGAGATGGACTCACCGGTCGAGTGCTCGCCTGCGATGCGAAGAGTATGTATCTCATGGATGAGTCTCAGTTGTTCCTTTTCCGGCTGAGGAAGTTTGCCGTTGAGAAGGAGATGGAAGATCGTGCGATATTTGCTATCTTTCGTAGTCGGTTCTCCTTCTACTTCCTTGAGCTTCAGCACCCATTTCTGTATTACCAGTCAGCTACCATCATACGAACACCAACGGGAAAGAAAGGAAAAGACCAACCTCGTGCACAGACACCTGAGTCTTGAGTTTAGGAACAACCCTACTCTGTAACCAAAACGGCAAAGAATCGAACGCCGCCGCTATCCAAGGCAGATGCGCAAAAAGGTGTGCCTTTTCCAAGCTGCGCTCAAACTCGGCCCCAAACACGCGGTTATAATCATCTTTCAGCACATCGCCCTCGGATTGTCCAAAAAGAAGAGTGGTGATGGCCTCGCTCGTGGCTGCCTTGAATGCCGTCGTCAACGGCATCGCCTCGCCTGATTTCCTGTATGATTCTATGCGCCGAAGCAAATCTCGCAGCACCCTTTGCATGACTGGTTCGAGTCTTCTTGCGGCGGCTTTGGAGAAGATGGGGCTCAATGCTGCGCGTCTTCTGCGGTGGAGTTCGTGCGATTCGGTGCCGAGGGTTGATTGGCGCCCTGTATGGAGTATGTTAGGTTTTTCCAAAAGGGGGGGTCGATGGGCACATACATGACCATAGGCCCGTCATCAGGGGTCCCTTGTCTCGCTTTTGAAGAGGACCAGTGTAGAGGATGTCGATGAAGTCGGGATCGTTGACGTGAATTTCATGCGGGTTGATGCGGACGATGGGGCCTAGCCAGAAGAGAGATGGTTAGCGTTGTAAAGCATGAAGAGAAAGCTAGAGCATACCATATTGCTCGTGCATCTGCTGCACCTTCCAGATGTACTGTCCTCGATGGCAGATATCGTAGTAGGCCTGGTACAACCCCGTAACGGCTATCGTGAGTTAGCATGATGATGATATCCTTTTCATGATGGAATCAGTGCATACCTGCAAGCTTTGGTCCTGGAAACCCTGACAGCGGACTGAAGTACACTAGAAGACACCACAGTCAGTATAGAACGCTAGTTATAGCTGATTGATTGTACATACGTCGATAAATCATGGTAGAGATGATCACCGCTGGGCATAGCACCACGGCGATAGAAACGACCTCCATGAACGCTGACATTTGGCGATGAAACCACAGTTTCTACGGATGTAGAGGATGGAGAGGATGATCAGGGTTTAAAGGATTAGAAGAGAGCGATGGTGGGGAGGTTAGCCATTATATACAGAGATTTCTTTCTAATTTTAGCAGTCAACGTGATGGTTGATGCTCGAGTGAATGGATATTCATCAGTGATCATGGTGTCTATTATAAGCCTGGACTCAGAAGCCTTGGGTCTACCAGTCAAAAGATGGCAATGTAAACAAGGAACACCTGGACATGGGTTAGCATGGAAATATATAGAAGTCATTCTATACAGAGAAAGAACGTTTAGCTCTACAGTGTAAATCTCTTTGGGAAATCCTTTCAACTCGTTGATAATCAGAGATATCTACACTGGTAGTGAGAAATGATACTATTCCCCTGCACAAAGGATCTAATTCCAGTTTGTCGACAGTCAACATCTCTATATACACTCACATAGGATCATAACCCCATTCTGAAAGATATTATGCTATATTCTGTTATGCATAGTGGCATATGGCTTAGATTACCTAGTTGCCTCAAACCAAGCTCTAGCATGTATATCCTAGGACAGCTGGCTTTAGCCACCTAGTATAAACTATGACTCACAAAGTCATGTTTGAACAGATCAGTGGAAACAGTTACTTTATATTCTTATTCACTCCTACCTTCCTCTGATCTAACTGATCTAGATACTCACCTCTTTATACCGCAGCTCTAGCGCACGTGCAAGTCTAAGTCCACAAAAACAGTATATACCATGCAGCTCACCAATCAACTCCAAGCCTCAACAACCTCACACAGAGTAGACTCTCCCCCAACATTCCCCGGAAATACAACAAATGGCACGCCCTGGTGTCTCGACGTCGGCTCATCGCACCGCCACAAGGGTACACCCGGCGCCGCTTGGCCAATAACCATGGCGCGCTTGATATTCAAGCCTTTGGTTGCAGCATCGGAGGAAGTAATCCCACCCTAGAATCCTGTCAGCGCGAATCTCCACAACCGCTATATGCCATCAATCTGGTCCCACAAGGAACATACCTTCGTAATAATATACCGCGGCCTCACCTCAACCCCCCGCAACACTCCCACCAAAGCATCAGCGACCTTCGACCCAATAGCCAAAGAAGACAGCTCGTCTTCGCCAGTAATCAGTGTACGACTAGTCATGACCAGCGTATCCATCCCACTCCGTAGATGGCGCTCCGCCTGGCGCACAACCTCCTGGATCGACTGTGTTGTTCTCTCAGGTGAGGCCACGATCAGATCTTCAACCCTCATCTCGATGACGGCTAGCTGCCCGTTGCGTCCACGCGTATCAGTCAACGCCTTAAGCTGCGTCGTCGTCTTGGGCACATACGAGCCCGCGATGATGAGTCCACCTGTCTCTCTCGGGCTGGGGAGGCCCAGCTCGGAGGCTGTCTTGGGCGGTATCGAGCGGATACCGAGACGAGTAGAGACGAATGTTGCGCTTGTTCGGTAGATGTAGTGTTTTCCCTTTGCTTCGGCTGTAGTATATATCTGCGTCAGCAATGCCATACTCAAAATCTACTATACTAGCCGTATTGCAGAAGACCAAAACAACAAGAATATAGTGAAACCCACCCATCAACACACCCGCCACAAAAACACACATATCCGACTCCGCCACGGCATTCACAATAACCACCCCACCCCTCGGCACGCTCATCAGCTTCTCATAAACCGCGGCCGGCCCACCTAGCCTTATATCCCCAAGCGACACACTCACGACCCGCTCCGCGCGGCCCCGCCCAGGCGCCTTCTCCAGCACATAGTCCCTCAGACTAGAGCTGCGATAGCCGAAGGTCGCGTCGCGCGCAAACTGCGTCTTCCCAGCGGGGACGAGCTGGTCGCCCTCCGCGACGTAATGCACATCGTCGATGGTGACTCGACCCCCCTGGAAGAAGAACGGCGCGAGCACCCACGCGTCCGCGGCGCCGAACACGGACTCCGCGACGTCTGCTTCGAGCGGGAAGTGGCCGCGGAGGGTGCTGTCGCTGCGGAGGACGATGTCGATGGTTTGGTTGCTTGCTGCGGCGGCTTGGGCTAGGTTTTCGCAGATGGTGCGGATGAGGGGTTTGGCTGTGAGGGGCGGGTGCGCGCGTGAGTTCGTTAGGATGAAGAAGCCTGGGGGTGCGGGGGTTCGTTGGAATTCTGCGATTAGGGTGGGCGTGTCCCAGGTTGTGAGGACGGGGATGTTGTGGCTGGTTTGTGTGCCTGTTGGGTCGTCGTCGAGGATGACGAGGCGGTTGAGGCGGATTGTGGAGAGGAGATGCGAGATCTGGTCTTGGGCGCTTGTTGGGGATTCGGGGGGAGTTGCGAGAGGGTTTGCTCGCGGGGAAGGGGTGGGTAGGATTGTGGGGTGAACATGTTGCTGTTGTCTTCTTTCTTCTTCTTTCTCTCTTTGCTCAAATGGTAGGTGAGGTCTAGCATGGGTTATATAAAACATGCAGATGAGGGGCAGCCAACGCGGGGATCTACCGATGATCGGACCTCTTCTACAACTACAATATAACATCAATACGGTACATTGAGAAATCCAGACATACTAAATAACTAGTTATATCTGGGCATCAATTGGCTGAAATCTGGACGTATATCAACAAACACACGACAGGATAAGAAAATATGCAGAACCCCATAGCGCCGTGACATGTGTAGAGAATATGCAAGAAGGTCATCATGGACGAGAAAGAGCAGCGACAATGGGACAGATGCTGGTGCAACCACATAAGAGAAAGAAGAGATTGAAAAAGAAGGGGGAAAAGAAAGAGAAAGGAAATCCCAAAAGAATGACAGCATTATCCCCAATCCGTCATGACCCATACCCAATGATAACCCAACAACCCCAGTGAAGAGAAAGAAAAGTAAAGAATTATTGCCGTGCACTCCTTGAAGCCTCATCCCGCGCGGTGCTGATAGGAAAGGTATATGAAAGCAGATCCGAACGAAAGTTCAGAGCATGTCACATCAACAAACACGAACATGAACTGACAGGTCCATATCAACCCACCACACTGCGGAAGCTCAACGCTTCAAGGAAACCCCCAAGATCCTCCTTCTGCACTTCAACCACGCAGTGTTCAAAGCTATCGATGCGGACCCTTGTGTTAGTCTCCTGCACGACCTCCTGGAAGGCAATGCCAAACCGGTTGCGCAGGAGATGCTTATTGCTCTGATCGCTCTCCTCGTCCTCGGACTCGGACTCAGATTCCGACGACTCGTCTTCGCTCTCCTCCTCTTCGGAGCCATCGTCGTCTTCTCGCTCGGCACGTTCAGCCGCCCGCTGTGCCCGGCGGTCCTCCCGGTCCTTGCGCTTCTTGTCTTTCGCTTCTTTCTTTTTCCGTCGCTCCTCGCGACGTTTGGATAGCGCTGCGAAGTCCACGACGCCGCCGCCGCCGCCGGTGCCGACGACCACGTAGAGGTCCCGGTCTTCGTCGAGGCCGGCTAGCACCAGAGGGGTTCCGGTGCTGCGCTTGCGTCCGACCTTGGTGTCGCCCCGCTCTCGTTCTTGCACTTTGATCGCCTCGGCGATCCACAGCGCTAGCTTGGTCAGGGCGCCAGGGTTGGTGAATAGCTTGACGTCAGGGCCTTCTTTGACCACGGCGATCCGGAACGCGCGCAGATGCCGAATCTGGTGCTTCGAGAGCAGTGACGTGCCGGTGCGGAGGATGGCACGGTGAAGATGCTGGGCGAGGGGCAGAGAGGCGAGGAGTAATGTGGGGGACTCGGACGTGAGGGACAGCGCATCGTAGGCGCTCCAGAACCGGGGGAGAAGGCTAGACAGGTCGGACCCCGTTCCGGCCAGATCACTTTGCTTAGGTTGCGACACACGCTTGGTGTCCCATGAGCCCGGGGCCTCTTCCGGTCCAACCTCAAGAATCGCACCCACGATGACACCAACGTCAGTGGCTGATAGACATGCCTTCCAGCCCCAACAGCGGACAAATCCCCATCCCTCGCGGGAAGCGGCATGTCCGGATGCCTCCGCGGGAACGAGTCCGTCTAGGCCATACATCGGAGCGTACTTGAGCAAGCGCTGTCGCAGCACTCGCTTCAATTCCATGTCCATGTGGGTGTAGTTCTGGTGGGACTGGCTCAGACTGATGCCCATCTTGGCCAGAAGCTTGTGTAGGCGTTTCCTGCCGTTTTCGGACCACACGTGGAGTCTCGACGCCAGGTAGGGACTGTGAAGCATGCTGTCGTATAATGACCAATGTCGTACAAGGATGAAACGAGGCTCGGGAGACAGCCGGATCGACTTGTCCGTGGGAGATTTAGCCGTCGTCGGGATGATGCCGTTGATCTCCCCTCTGATATCGCGATCTCGCTCGTAGGGGTCTGGTGGATTCAACCGATGCACTTCGTCGCGCATGATTTGGCGTACTCGCTCTCCCCGTTCGCCGCCCCAGCCGGCCGATCCTCCCAGTTCCAGCGAGTTGGATATCCCGACGCCGGACATGGTACGACCGCTCAGTTCTAAGCTCGAGACTCCCACAATGGCCAGCCACAGTAAGTCGTTATCCTCGCGGCCAAGCTCCGACGCAAGAGAGTACACGAGGGAGGATATTGGTTCCGAGTATGACGTGCCCGCAGAGTAGTATTTCTGAAGCACACCCTCGTGTTTCTTCTTCATCCGGATCAGGCGGCGCCTTAACGAGAGAGCGGACGGCTGTCTTGGCTGCGCAGGGGACGGTGAATCTGACACGGGAGTAACAGAGCGCGAAGAGTTGGAAGAATCGTGGGCTGGTCTTCGGTGGCGGGTGGGAGACGAAACGAGGTATGAGGAGTTCTGTGAATATTAGCATGTTGCCCTCATATCCAGTAGTGAATGAATGACAAAGTCATCAAGCACAGTTCATCCCCGCAACAAGCACAAACAAGGAAGCACACACCGAATTACTCCGCCGTCGCTGACGAGGCGGCCCATCCTCCTCCCCCGACTCATCCTCATCATCCTCCCTCGACCACGACTTGCGCTTCTTCGAGTCCGAGCTCGACAAAAGATCACCACCACCCCCACCACCCCCACCACCATCCTCACTCCCCGAATCATCCGCACCCACATCCACATCCTCCTCATCCACATCCGGCATCTCCAACAACGCACAATAAGCATCCCTCTCCCTCCCCATCTCATCCTCAATATCCCCATCATCAAAGACAACAATCCCCCCCGCACCCCCAGGATAAGACGGCGAAATACACCCGCGATCAACACCGCGCGTTTTCCGGCGCGCAGTAGCATCAACAACCTCGCCCCCAGCCTCGCCGCCAAACACATTCGACAGATTCCACGGCCGCCGCGCATCAAACACCCACACCTCAACACCGCCCAGGTCCTCCTCGACGTCTTCGTTCTCCGGATCGTCGCTACTGTTCAAGCTAAGCAGCTCGCTGAGATCGACTAAGCCGCCAACGCCCAGACACACGACCACGCCGCCGCTGCCGCCGTTGGTGGTCTGCATGGGCTTGATCAGCTCGTCGCCTGCGCGCGCGAGATCGCCATACCCGGCTACCGGCTGGATCTTGTGCGGGATGTAGTCGCGTTTGAGGAGTGCTGTCAGGATGCGGCAGGCACAGAGCGCGTCGGGCTCGAGGGCCACGAGGATCAGGACGGGCGGGGAGAGCGGATGGTGCGAGCGGAGGAGTTGCAGGTAGAGGTGCGAGATGAGTTGGCGCGGGAGATACATTGTTGATTAGGTGTTTTGTATGTATATTATCTCTTGTATGTATGTGGGTATGTATGTAGAGAGGGAGGGCACACAAGAGGGGTGGGCGGACGCGGTTCGAAGGAGCAATTAGAGACGAGTAAAGAGGCCTGCAAGAGGCCTCCCAAACACAATCTCAGAGATGAGAGAGTATAGAATTACAGGCAGAAGACCGTAGACGGCTCCATCGCCCGTTATTTGTTGGCTGTGTTGGGACTGTTTGGTGGTGTTGGTTTTGGTGGTGAGGTAGTTCACTAGGGTAACAAAGGCGCCTTCTCTGCTCCGGCGCGCGCATCTCTTCCAGCCCCGGGACGGACAACGCGTCGCAAGTTGGTTCGGGACCCGCACGTGCAGAGACCAGCGCCAAGCCTGTCCATTCGTTTAATTAATTAGTGGCAGGCAATTGATGCAACATTATTCATGGTTGACCTGGAGAACATCCTGTGCGCAGATAATTGTCCAGGTTTTTTGTAAGTATGTGGGTTATACAGGAATTATGTGGGTTTGCAGGTATTCGAGTTTCACAGTGGCATTTTTTCCAGCTTAATGATCCACCCCGTCGCGTCAAAATAATCAATCAGTACTTACGCGTTGATGACCATACGATTTCTAGTATTGTGAAAGGATATCATAGGATATTGATTAGATACATAGCAAAACACCAATGACAAGTAGTATATACACCAATGAAGGAAATCGTAGATCACGGCTGTACCCTAACGCGCAAGTAATGCGACCATTCCCATCTATGCGGATGAGCGACCCAACTTCGAACCGGCAAACCAAATCGCAGCACAAGCGCCTAAAACAGATGTCCCGATCAACCGTTTCTCCCAGATAGCAACATCGGTCATCTTAGCAGGTCCAACTTTGGTCGTCGTGTCGTAAGAGTGCGGCTTCTGCGTCTGCGACTCGGCATCGGACAACGGCACGTCGGTGCGGTTCTGGGACACGTCGGCATGCGCAGCAAGATACTCCCGGTCGTGTGAGCGCCATTTCTCCACCAATCGAGCGATTTCGATCAGATCCTCCTGCAAAGAACCCGGCTCCGTGGCATTCGCGTTCTCGACCTCGACATTCTGGACGTTGCCAAAGAAATCCACCAACGTCCGCAATCGCCCTTCCTCTTCACCACCGGGGAAAAGGTCCCATCGCACGCCGGGTTGAGAGTGGATCTTGCTCTCGTCGTATGAGTCGAAGAGGTCGCCCAGCGTCAACTTCGAATTCGCACTCGTCACTTGGGTTTCGAGGAAGTCGAGCACGTAGTACGTCCACCTGGAACCGTTATCAGCATATACACACCATAATCCAGCATTTCTCGTAGGGAGCCATACCTGTCAATGACCGCAACACCCACGTCACTATCCGCATGGTGAGAGTAGGACGACTGATCGAGCGCACTGGAACCTGTCGCGACAATGTTGGGCGAGTAGAAATTGGTGTACATGGTGTTCGCCTGGCACGTATCGATCATGAAAAGCAGCTCATGATACCGCTTCTTCTCCCACATCTGACCGAACGCATCCGCCAGATCCCAGGCACCGATTTCCTCCGCATCCTGAAACTTCAAGAACTGGTCTCCACCGTGGCCCGTCATGTATACAAGAACGTTACTCCCGGCGTCAGACCCCAGCCGTTTGCTGCGCGGCACGTCCTCGTCTAGTCGGTCGGTCAGGAGACGGATAAAGTTCTCCACCGTCACTTCGTACCCGCGGTAGTCCACCTCGATGTTGTCTCCGTACAGGTCGACGGCGCGGTCGGCGTTACTGTAGACGGTCCCCGGGAAGGCGTTGCGCGGGTTGCAGGCCATGTCGTCGGGGAGCATCAGGATGATCTGCGAGTCGGGGATCCCCAACCGCTTGACGGTGCGGTACAAGGAGAGTACATTGGCGAGGTGGCGGTAGTTGAACCAAAATCGTGATGTTGAGACCAGGACCGCCCAGTTCGATGTGTGTTCCGCGGAGCTCAGGACCGCAAGGAGGGGGAGGAGAAGTAGGAGGACTCGCGTGAGTCCGAGAAGGTGTAGGGCCATAGCGAACGGTCGGAGGTCAGATCATCATAGGAGTTGGTACAGGGCTGGGTGAAAAAGAAAAGACACCAAAGAGGTGTATACCGCAAGCGAAGATCAGCCCAGACCCAGTGGGCTATGATTCAAGTTGTTTCAGGTAAAGAGAGGATGAGAGGGGATCTCTGGCAGTAGATGAAGCTGGGGAAGGCAGAAGACAGATCGGGAGTTTCCTTGGGCGGGTGGAGAGCCTTTGACCCACTGGCCGATAGCTGATAAAGCGCTTTATGTGCCAAGTTGTGCTTGATTTGTCAGCCTGATATGAACATCTTTCTTGACTCTACGGACTTCCAGCCTCTTTTAACCAGATGGCGCATCTAATGATCATATCTGAAGATCATAGGTACAAAGAGTGCGGAATAACAGCATAACTATTTGTTCCTAAGTTTATCAACCTGTAATGATACTAAGTATGCACATACACCTTCTGTATCGTCCTAATTAGTTCTAGCCCTGCGGTCATGCCGTATCACCACCACCATGACAGGACTCAATCTTCGAGCTTCTACATTCTACACGCCCTGATGGAAGAGCTTGACGCAGCCCTCATTGGAGCAACTTTAAATCATACTCAAGGCCAACCTGCATATATAGTGTCAGAGGTGGTTTCCCGATTACCCAGGTGCATCACGTGCTAGTGTCTGGAACGTAAGCAATTTTTCAGCTTTATACATAACAGCAGATTGGAACTGATGTTGCCGCTGTATACGTGCTACTTGACCGCTGAGAACGGATACACCAATCTAAAGGATCAAATAAGTAATCCACTACGTGATAACCGTAATCTATCGCAAACAAATATTTTGGAAAAATCTAGGAATATGTATAATACACCAATGTCTTCACCTGTATATCCATCTATTTGGAGATCTCAACGCCACCGGTGACGCCCAGGAGACGCTTGATGTCACCGTAGATAGCGAACTGGCCAGCAGTGATGCTACCAACCATGAACAGACGGGCACCGATACCGGCGTACGAGCCACGGAAGCCAAGCTCCTTGCCGATCTTGAACAGACGGGTCATGGTACCCTCACCAGGGGCGCCCTTGGTCTTGTTGATCTTGCTCAGCATGGTGTCAGCGGGCTGAGAAACGAGAGCGGCGGCGAAACCGGCGATGAGACCGGAGCCCAGGTTGATACCGGTCTTGGTGCCGTCGGAGGCGGTCTCCTTGTCGACGGTGCGGTAGATGCTCTCGGCAACCTTCTCGAAGACGACGAACTTGGCCATGGTGTAAGGGACCCTGAGAAGTGGATTAGCATCGTGATGGTCGCGTTCCAATGCGGGGACTGGACTTACTGCTTGAAGAGCATGGGGCCGAAACCAGAGTAGAAAGCGCCGATACCCTCGTTCTTGAGGATCTTGCCGAAGCCGCTGACGAGACCGCTGGCGAACTCGGGCTGAGAGACGAGACGGATACGGGTGGCCTCGAGGGGGCACAGGGCGATATCGGCGAAGAACTCAGCAGTGGCAGACGAGGCGAGGTAGACAGCGGTGCGGTTGTTGGAGGCGGTCTCCAGGCCGAGCTGGTTGATCCACTGCTGCTTGAAGAACTCGTAACCACCGAACTTGAAGGCACCCTGCAGGAAGTAACCGGCAGCTATTTTCCACGTTAGCACGACGGATCTATGTGATCGAACATGGATAATGGCGTCAACTTACCGGTAGGACCGAAGCCAGTGAGGAGAGCGCCAGCACCCTCTTTAGCGACGACCTGCTTGAAGCCGCCGATCATGCCACGGTTGTAGGTGGCAGGGTCAAGCTGGATACGGGTCTTGACGCTGTAGTATGGAAGAAAATCATGTTAGCGCTACCGTCGGTGAAAACAGGAATCCGGATGGGCGCGGTTCAATGACCACCAGGGCTGATTGAACTCAAAAAGCGCGATCAAGGTGGACTTACACATCGACAGGGGTCAGAGCACCGTGAGTGACGGAGCAGCAGACGGCACCAGCGAAGGCGAAGCCGGAGTAGAGCTGGAGACCGCTCATCTTCTGGGGAGCAGGGGCGACCTTCTCGGCGACCTGCTGGACGGGGGCGGGGGCGTTGGAAGACATTATTATGATACAATCTCTATATTGTATTCAAGCAAAACAAAAAGGAAGAAACGATGGACAAGAAAGACAGGAGAAGGAGAGGAGAGTGTGGGGATGCGACAGCACGAAGCAATTGAAGAGGAAAGAAAAATGACGGAGGGAGAAAAGAGAGACAGGATTTGAAAGGGATGGCCGACTAAACAAGTGGCACTAGCGGCACCGAACCCGAAAACTTTTCGCGGGCCAAGTGCGGGAGACGCTCGGGCGGCCGGTAGTGTTCGTTCTTGGTCCGCTTGCCAGTTGCCACTCATCTGGTCTATTTTCCGATCACCCGGTCAACTGATGATACTATATTATTTCTTGGACAAGAATCTAAATGGTTCTGATTGGAAGACCAAGTCATTGTCTGTCAAAGACGTTCTAGTCTCTGGTCAAAATGACTAAATTCTATCCAAATTCCAGATCTCTCCCAGAGTTGCTGATGTCATCGCTTGGCTTTCTTGACGATGGAAGTCACCTGATTGGCCGTCCAATCCTCATGGGTTGCCCAGTCCATCTGTTACCTCATTGATACTTGGCATTACAATCATCTATTCCTCCAAATGGGCCATATTTATCAAGCATGGGTGTCTATTCCACCTCTTCTCCGTGTTATACTAATTGACTTCTTGTGGAAAGTAAAATATACAAAACAGAATTTTCATCCAGTCGATTATACACATGGTCCACGGTAAGACCGGAAGGTTTCTTACCTAAGGGAGCGCCACAACTCAAACGCTGCGGCTCCACTGCCGCTCCAACAACCAACTTCTTCAGTGTGTATACCAGAGATACGAGTATATATAGGATTTCTACATCCTAGTCCCCGGGGCGCATTGCGTCGTCTCTTCCACCATCTAACCATTCCATCTGATGCACTGCGCTTGCGACAGATCTATATTTTCAGAACTTCTCGCCACAAGCAAACGAGTTCCTCTAGGCGATGTGCGCGCAAACAGCAAATCACAAGATGTTACAATCCTGGCGCATCCATTAGCAAATACCAAGTCTATCAGTTGACGTGGTTTGCAATGTTGGTTGCGGTGCCAAGTCGCGTGTGGAGTGTTGGTCCGTATATATGACACATAAAAGGCGGTCTCGGCCGGATGACGCTTCCTCAAACCCCCAGATTGCAAAGGACATCTATAGTCCTGCCAACAAGGGGTTTTTGTCAGCTTGGTTTATTGTGCCTTTCGTATGAGCTTGTTGTAGTAGCAGACAACATGTTGAAACTGGTTGGTAAGTTGAAACAGAATGGTGAGTCGATCGAGGCTTGCTTTTGAAAGAGTGACCATAACCATATCTGAGACAAGAAAGAGACGGGTTTGTAGCTTCTAATTTGCCAATATAGCGAGACTGTTCAGATAATTCAGACAGGAAAGGATAAACTTATATAGGTCCTCCTATCGCACATTTTACCATGCATACAGATATATGGCTCAAATTCATGCCGTCTTGTCTTGTGGTATATACCATAGTGGTCATCAGGCGGTGACATACAATGACATCTGGAATTTACCTCTGTTCAGATACTTTTAGATCGACTGCTAAACTACTTATTCATATTGGGTAAATACTAGCGTTTTCCCTTGAGAGCTCCGAGTCAGATATAGGATCACGAGCGCACACAAGAACATAGAAAGTTCGAGTCCTACCGTTTCCGACACTCTACTAACAAATTTTGAAGTAATGTCGATTTCTAGACCCGAAAGTGGCACGATATCTTGTATAATCTGGTAATCATGATCGCCGTCGTCTTGATCGTACATTATATACTTCGATCATCCAACCAATTAGAGCTAGAAGGCCCTGGAGTTGAAACGAACCACTCTGGAGTCGGTGTCGATCACTGCATATATGGATCATATTTACCAGAAATAATCACCCATAAAAGCCCATCATCCAACTCTACCTATAGTCTAAAAGACTGACTTACTTTCTTCTATCCCTGCAACCACACCGACACTTGACTCCGAGTATTAGTAATACTGGCGGCTTGTGTCATTTTTCATGCAGATGTTGGATTGCTACTATTGAAATAGTCAAGAAGATCTCTTCCAAGTGACACCCATCAGAGCGCCCAATACTCGGAAACACACAGTAGCCACGCCGATGAGATTGTCAGACTCTGCACATTAGGTTGGTAGGATCAATATTTGCTGTCATGTTGCTGCAATAACTCTGAATCCGGTATCAAGCATATCTTGTGATCATGGTGCTATCTGTTTCTTGCATCCACAATACTGCAGGCCATTCGCTTAGTGACATGTGTTGCATTACGGTCTGGCGGTTTATAAATAGCATCACCCTCCCGGTTTTGATAGCGCAGATCCATCCCCCCGTTGAATAACCGCGCATCAGCGATTGACATTGTGACTGGAATCCTGCTGGATAATTATTTTGCAATCGTCGTACCTGATCGTGTTTCCTTAAATAGCTAATCACACCATCAATTCGCCAATGTTGTCTCTGCTGAGGAGTTGCAGTCCCAAGACAAAGGACGACAAACAACGCTGGAAGAAGATCGAAGGTGTGATCATCTCCTCTTCAGGTGTACATGGGTCCCGGCGAAGCGCAGCTAACTTCAACCAGACGATGCCGAACAACTCCACAAGCTCCCATCATGGGACGCCCCCGACAACACACTCCTCATGCAGGCCTTTGAATGGCACGTGCCGGACGATCAACATCACTGGAGTCGTCTCCGGCACGCACTGCCCGGCCTCAAATCAATCGGGGTTGACCACATGTGGATCCCCCCAGGCTGCAAGAGCATGAACCCTTCCGGCAATGGGTATGACATCTACGACCTGTACGACCTAGGAGAATTCGATCAAAAAGGAGCACGAGCGACGAAGTGGGGGACAAAGAAGGATCTACAGGAGCTTGTGTCCTGTATGCGAGAGCTGGATATAGACGTCTACTGGGATGCCGTCCTGAACCACAAGGCTGGTGCGGACCACACGGAACGTTTCCCAGCGGTGAAAGTAGATCCGGAACGTGGGTTTGATTCCAATCACTACCTTCCTTGGAAGTCTGTCAAGATATACTGATCCATGCTGCGGATCTTAGGCCGTGACATGGATATCATGCTACCCCAAGACATCGAAGGGTGGGTTGGGTTTGATTTCCCCGGGCGCGGGAACCTCCACAGTCCCATGAAATACCACTGGCGCCATTTCAGTGGCATAGACTGGGACCAGTCTCGGGAAGCGCAAACGATTTACAGAATCGATGGTCCCGGGAAACGCTGGGCTGACGATGTAAGTAAAGAGAATGGGAATTATGACTTTCTCATGTTTGCAGATCTGGATTACTCCAACCCGGAGGTGCGAGAAGATGTCCTGCGATGGTCTAAGTGGATTGGAGACCAGCTACCAGGCATCAACGGGATGAGACTGGATGCAGCTAAGCATTATTCGGCCGGTTTCCAGAGAGAACTTATTGACCGTATCCGGGCACGGTTCGGGCAGGAGTATTTCTTCATTGGGGAGTATTGGTCGGGCGAACTCAAGGCTCTGATAGAGTATCTGGAGATTATGAACTACCGACTGTCTTTGTTTGACGTCCCTTTGGTGGAGGCCTTTTCGAAGAAGTCGCAGGTCAAGGCTGCTGATCTTCGCACTGTCTTTGGAGACACGTTAGTCGCAAGCAAACCCGAGCATGCAATTGTAAGTGTTTCATCCATCTTAACTCCGAAATCCAAGACTCACTATCTGTCAGACATTCGTGACCAACCATGACACTGTAAGGATATCTCACACAGAGACCATCACAACCAATATATGTACTAACCCGCAATAAGCAACCAGGACAGTCTTTAGAGGTAAGGAACACCACGTCCACATGTCAGACTTCACACCGCGATTGGGATCTAACGAACCTTAACAGACTCCAGTGTTATCCATTTTCAAACCCCTCGCATACGCATTGATCTTACTCCGGGACAAGGGCCAGCCCTGTATATTCTACGGAGACCTCTACGGCATCCGACGCGGCGTCAAACAACCTATGGTCCCATCTTGTGGCGGCAAACTGCCAATTTTGTGTCGTGCTCGAAAACTGTACGCATATGGGCATCAGCAGGATTACTTCAACCGACCAAATTGCATCGGTCCGTATCTCACTATATAACGAAGCGTTTTGCAGAACTGACCATGCCAGGCTTCGTCCGCTACGGCAATCTTCAACATCCGTCCGGGCTCGCCTGCATCATGAGCAACGCAGCCGCATCGCAAAAACGTATGTATGTCGGTCGACGACGTGCCAAAGAGCAATGGACGGATGTTTTGGGGTGGCATAAAAAGACTGTCGTTATCGACAAGAAGGGGTACGGCGTCTTCCCTGTTTCCGCCATGAGCGTCAGTGTTTGGGTAGACTCAGCGGCGAAAGGGAGAGATACTCTCCAGAACCCTTTGTATGTTGACTGACCTTGCCTTCTTCCGTGCTTTGTGAACATTCCACTGATGGTACTCATGATAGTGATAGTGATATTTATGGTAATCGAGAATTGGAAAAGTCGTGCGTATAAATATGGTAATAATATCGGATGTTTTGAATATATACATCTGTACACCGTACTTGTTGACCATCAAATATCTATATTACTAAAAGGATAGCTACAATACAGGCGTCTCTGCTTTATATTGGGCTGGGCGACATGCAACAACCATTTAACCGGCTCACTTCAACACCGAGGGTAAAGCGTTCGTAGTCTAGCGTTGTTCGCTAGCAAGAACACCCTGGGAAAAAAAGGGCACACTAATAAACGTCCTACAGGTGAGAATTAATCCAATGAAGCTCTTAGCCTGAGAATTGGCCAATCTCCTAAATCTAGGCCGGGACCGATCCCTGTTCATCCTCCACTCGTCGGGTTGACTCACCGAATCAATCAGGACAATCTATTTTAGAACGAACCATGCCCCTCTCCTTGGATTTTGTTCCCTCACCCATCGCTCCAGACAATTGATTCACCATGGATCATCTCAAACAAACCTTTGCCCAATGCCATCAGGAAAGCCGTCCAGCGCTGGTCACCTACGTGACGGCCGGGTTCCCCACGGCGGAGGAAACCCCAGACATCATGCTGGGCATGCAAGCCGGAGGAGCTGGTGAGTCATTCGATCTACAATCTCTAATTTGATCCTGACAAAAAGATACAGATATTATTGAGCTGGGTCTTCCTTTTACCGATCCCATCGCCGACGGCCCAACCATCCAGAAATCGAATCTAAAGGCCCTCAAAAATGGGGTCACAATCACCTCCATGTTGGAGATGGTGCGGGAGGCCCGGCGGAAAGGGCTCAGGACGCCCGTGCTCTTCATGGGCTACTACAACCCGCTCCTCCGCTACGGCGAGTCTAAAGCCCTGGCCGACTGCAAAGACGCGGGTGTCAATGGCTTCATCATTGTTGATCTGCCTCCGGAAGAAGCGGTTCGATTCCGCAATGGTTGCGCGAAGACGGGGTATACTATTGCCACAACCCTAAACAACGGGCGAGTGACGAATTGACTCATTTTGACAGCCTCTCCTACGTCCCTTTGATCGCACCCTCCACCACCGAGGACCGCATGAAAACCCTCTGTAGCATGGCCGATTCCTTTATTTATCTTGTCTCCCGCATGGGCGTCACGGGCGCCACCGGTTCCCTCAATTCGCAACTGCCCGCCCTCATCCGGCGCGTCAAGGAACTCTCTGGCAATATTCCCGTGGCTGTCGGGTTTGGGATTAGCACGCGCGAGCATTTCCTGAGCGTGACCTCTGTGGCCGACGGCGCCGTCATCGGCAGCCAGGTTATTACGATCCTTGCTGACACCCCAGCCGGACAGGCCGCTCAGGCAGTCGAGGATTATTGCTCGCAGATCACACAAAGAAAGGTTGCTCGGGATGATGGTGTCTCAACGGGTGCACTTTCTGCAGCTACGGAGACGAATGCGGTCGCTCAGCTGGTGGAGGAAAAAACGGCTGCGACTGACGAACCAGGTCGGTTCGGTGCCTTTGGGGGTCAATACGCCCCAGAAGCCTTAACCACTTGCCTTGCCGAACTCGAGGCCGGTTTCCAGGCCGCTCAGGGCGACCCCTCATTCTGGGAGGAATACCGATCGTACTATCCTTACATGGGTCGTCCCTCCAGCCTGCACCTGGCTCAGCGCCTGTCCGAGCACGCGGGCGGCGCGAATATCTGGCTGAAACGGGAGGACCTCAATCACACGGGATCGCACAAGATCAACAACGCCCTGGGCCAGATCCTGATCGCTCGTCGACTGGGGAAGACGGAGATCATCGCTGAGACCGGCGCGGGCCAGCACGGCGTCGCCACTGCGACTGTCTGCGCCAAATTCGGCATGAAATGCACCATCTACATGGGTGCGGAGGACGTCCGTCGACAGGCCCTGAACGTGTTCCGGATTCGCTTGTTGGGAGCCACTGTGGTCCCGGTCGAATCGGGGTCACGCACGCTCCGGGACGCCGTGAATGAAGCCTTCCGCGCGTGGATCGTGCGCCTAGATACCACGCATTATATTATCGGATCCGCGATCGGACCCCATCCCTTCCCGACGATGGTTCGCACATTCCAGCGCGTGATCGGCGAAGAAACTAAGGCCCAGCTGCGCGACCTGGGCAAGAGCCCTGACGCTGTGGTCGCGTGTGTCGGGGGTGGGTCCAACGCGGTTGGCATGTTCTATCCGTTCTCCCAGGATCCCTCCGTCCAGCTGGTGGGCGTGGAAGCCGCCGGTGATGGCTTGAACACGGAACGGCATTCCGCTACACTGAGTGGAGGCTCCGTAGGGGTTCTGCATGGTGTTCGGACGTATGTCCTGCAGAACCAGCATGGCCAGATCTCCGAGACGCACTCGGTCTCCGCGGGGCTGGATTACCCTGGAGTCGGACCGGAGCTCGCTCACTGGAAGGAAACTAACCGGGCGAAGTTCCTTTCGGCTACCGATGCCCAGGCCCTGCAGGGCTTCCGGCTTCTGAGCCAGTTGGAGGGTATCATTCCTGCGTTGGAGACATCCCACGCGGTCTGGGGAGCGATTGAGACCGCCAAACAGCTGGGGCCTGGAAAAGATATTGTGTTGTGCTTGAGTGGCCGTGGAGATAAAGACGTGCAGAGCGTGGCCGATGAGTTGCCCAAGATCGGGCCTCAGATTGGATGGGACTTGCGGTTTTGAAGCTGAAACAGGGTGCTGTGCATGCTCCATAAGCAGTGGGATGGATACTTGATAAATGAGGATATGAACCACAATGACGTTAATCAAGCACAAAGATGCAGACCAAAGCAAACACTCGCTGTCGGCCTGTCTCGTCCTTTTTTTGTAAAATTGCAATGTCAGCTGACTTGCAGTGCATTTCCCACACTATTTGTATCTCGACTTTTCTTGCAACCTCGTAACCTTTGCAACCTCTCCATATGCATCAATTTCATCAAACTTCTCAGTACTTAGACCGTTCTCACCAGTCTCCCCACACTAGAAATACTTCACGGCCCAAGTCACCCTTTCGTCTCCTGATTTTTCGCCTTATCTCTTCTGTCCTGCATATGCATTTCTAAGCATATTCGATTATCATTCAGGATCAGCCTGCTTTTATATTGAAACTCAATTTAATGGACCTCATTCAATGATACTGATTGGAGCGCTCAGGCATGTATGAAATGACACACCCCACCCTGGATGACTTGCCAAGTAAGATTGAGGACTCCTAGAGACACTAGTTGAATCCTACACGCTAACAAAGCGTTTAGTCGAGGTCGGTACGATATTCGCATGTCTTGTATTCCAGGGCTTCTGACTCGGATTGGACGATGCTGGACCTTGTTGGAGTAAAATGGAATTGCACCCTGGTCGACTTCACCGGTATTGGAGTTTCCAAATGGCTACGGGGACGACATTCGGAAGGATAGCAAGCTCGGTCAGGGGCTGAAGTGGCTACAAGCTCTGAATGTTGGTGAATAATCGGTCACTTACTGCTGACCGATCGCCGAGGACTCGATGATCGAAACGTATCTCGGATATTTGAAAAAGCGGGGTGTTCAGTCGTGATGCTTCCGTTCTCCTGCTCCTTCTCGCGTTCTAGGCCTACCTTTATCTATCAGAGGATTTTTTGCCTTCCACTAGCTCTTGCTGGATTTACCCCTGCATGTTTTTTTCTCTTTTGAACAGAAGGGTAGAAGAGTACCTCGAACGATCTTCAATCGTCTCGCATCAACATTGAGCACACCCAACCAGGAATATACGTATACAGGATAACGGCACAGTATCCGTGTCTGGCACCATGCAGCTATCTAACAGTCTGGGGTTGACATCCCAACGCTGATCATTGCATACGAAACAGGACCTGCATGCGATCAACACGCTCGATTTCTACCTTGGAACCTCAGCTGAAGGCCTAATACGAAACGATGAGACATTGAGTCGATGGACTCTGCACAGCATGGATGTGGCTTGGCCTGATAAGATCATAAGCCAAGGAGTATCTATAGTCAAGAATGGAATGCCATCGGAAGCGAGACATTGTTCAATTCTGCAGTCATGCAATCAATTCATCTTGGCCAGACACCGGCCCACGCTAAGAGACACCTGGGAGGGTGAAAAAGGAGACTACGGAGATGAATGGAGAGAACGCGGTTAGACCACCCATGATCGTCTTTTTAGTCTTCTCGCTATCTTTTTGGCCCTTCTTTCCCATGCGTGGATCAGGAGTCAGTCAGTGCTGGGGATTTTTACAGCTCTTCATCCTTCCTCTCCTCTCTTTTTCCCGTCAGTTGTTCGATTGATCATGTCTGCATTCGTTTAATTCATTGATCACTGTTACTCTCTTTGCTGTCTATCGTTCTTTACTTCTGGGCCTGTTTGATACAGACGCCCAATGTCCACTCGTTATAATATTGATCAACCCACCGGGTACAAAATGAACAGCCCCTCCTACACAGGCGTTTGGGGGCAGAATACCAGCGGCCTGTCCTCCCCTGTGTACCCGGGCTCTGCATGCCTGCCACAGGAATTTCCGACTGAGTACCGGGTCGCGGTCGGATCAGGGCCATCTCAGCGCCCGTGGAAGTTCCTGGCGGCTGTCTCTCCATATCTGCTCCTTGTGGGGTGCGTTCCGAACTTGGCAGGATGACCAGATCGACCGATCCATACTGACACGCGATTGTCTCCACTATCCAGATACCTCGTGCTGCCTCTTTCGTTCAATGATTCGAAGTACAACGACCATATCGACAGAACAGGCGCCGCCGTGGCCGCGGCGGTGTTCATTGGAGCGGGGTACGCTCTACCGATCATGCTCCTCGCTGTCCAGTTTCGCGACCGGCACTATGTGATCTACTCTTTAATTCTGTGGGTCGATTCCAACCGTCTTGTCCTCGTTTTCACAAGCAATTCCAGTCTAATGCACCGCAGTCCTCAGATACCCACCAACCTGCTGGGAGTCCTCAATGCGCTCCTCAATATTTTCATTCGGGGCCTGCTCCCCATCCACTCCAGAGAGGTGGCGGCGATCGCTCTCCCCGGCGCCGTCGCTTTTTTCTGCACCCTTGCGGCATTGAGCCTACACGCCTTATCCTCCATCAGAATCACCCGCCGCAGTACCCCTAGTCGCGAGAAGGTCCTGCCCACCGAGGAGGAACTGCAACGGCAGCAGCTTCTTCGGCTTCTGCAGGAAAAGAACGGCAAGAGAGCTTCGAAGGGCGTGCATAGTACTTTCAAGATGAAGCTCTCAGGTCCATGAGATCTACGCAGACGTACACCTTCACGCTTTCTTGTGTCAGCTGTCAGAGTTGATGATGTCTTCGTGTACACCGCACGGCTTGAAATGATGATCTCATGCAATTCGTATATTTTTATGACCTTAATTTTCGCTATAACAGTACCGGATATTTTGAACACTGTGTTTCTGCTCGGGTGATGATGGGTGTGTCGCGCTCTCCCTCTTGAAGTCTCTGGGCCTAGGGCTGGTCACCCTTACTTGTCTCAGCGAGGGTACGTCGAGCGACCCAAATGTACTGATCCAGGGTTTCTGGGAAACGACAGCATCCCACGAGATCTGTGTCTTTCACATGGGGTGTCAGTCATTGATGAAGAAACGCGATCGTCATGAATCGGGGTATCTGTCTGGCCGGTTCTTGTTCTTGCCATCATGATTAATAATCATTCCGTTACTGAATGTATACATTCTGTGTTGTTCAAAGAGACGTCGCTGCATAAGACGTGAAATGCCGAGGATTCTCAACAAAATTACTGTTAGTGCCTAATACCATTCATCTCACTGGTTTATACACCGTTTGTGCAGAGCGGATACCAAATCCCATTACTCAGCAACATCCGACCCATGGATTGACGTAACGCCTCGGCTATTACCCGATTGGGAATCCCAACCTTACCCCGGGCCGACGCGTGGAAAAGGGAAAAAGGATCTCTCTGCCACCTGAAGAACTCCTTTGCCCCTGATCCTGCCCTTAGATCTACACTTTGCTGTATATTCATTCTTTTATTTTGCTTTGCTTATCGTATCGCGCTTGTCTTTTGATTTGTAGACCTCCCTCCATGGCGAACCGAGTGACCCTGTTTGAGCCCCCGCCACTGGATGCCTCCAGGGCGCCGATCGAAAATGTTCTGGACCTGACGCCGGTAGTCGATATTGGGCCGGTATGTCTCTTTGAATCGCTCTTCTGCTATTTAATGGTCCCTTTCTGACCCGTATTTCTCTTCACCCACAGGATGTCTTCACGAACACCCGTCCCCTCTGGCACCCCCCCGGTGCGCGGGGTATATACGGTGGCGCGGCCATCGCGCAATCACTTGCCGCGGCAATGCGCACGGTGCCCACCGATTTCGCCGTCCACAGCATGCACTGCTACTTTGTCCTCGCGGGCGACTCCGAGATCCCGATTTTATACCACGTCGAACGAGTGCGCGATGGAAGAAGCTTCATCACCCGGACCGTCCAAGCGCGCCAACGCGGCCGTCCCATCTTCACCACCACCCTGAGTTTCAGCAAGGCCAACAGCGGAGGAAAGAAGACCCTCCAACATGCGGCCCCGATGCCCGATGTTGAGCTTCCGAAGGAGCCTACACCGGGGTTGAGGGGAACTTTCGACCAGTCGGCTGCTGGTGGTCCTTTCGAGTCGAAAAAGGCCGGCATCGTGAACCGTAAGCCAACCCGCCTGCATCTCGTTCCCGTAACCAGTCCAGATGCTAATGCGCAACATATTAGGAACCTCCACCAACGCCGAAGAAAAGAAGATTCGCCGCTTTTTGCGAGCCCGGGGGAAGATCTCTGAGACGGGCGGCCACCAGGCGAATCTCTCCGCGCTCGCGTACATCACCGACAGCTTCTTCATCGGCACCGTCACCCGCGTGCACGACATCCCCCGGTTTACCTCGCCGCAGGAACTCGAGCGGGCGTTGAATGCGCTGAAGAACCCGTCTGACCTGGACGACGAGGACATTGCGCGCGCGCTCAAGGAGCTCAAGGAGGAGGAGACGCTGGAACTCCGCCGTCGGCTCGAGGGGGCCCTGAGCAAGGTGACGGCGGAGAAGAACAATGCCGACCGCAAGGAGGTCGGCATGATGGTCAGTCTGGACCACTCGATCTACTTTCACAACCCGTGGGCGTTCCGCGCGGACGAGTGGATGCTCACCGAGATGGAGAGCCCGTGGGCTGGTGAAGGTCGTGGTCTGGTGCTGCAGAAGATTTGGTCTAAGGATGGGGTGTTGATCGCCACATGCACGCAAGAGGTATGTTCTTTTCTTTTCCTTTCTCCCCTTCTCGATTTTAACTTATGCTAACTTGTAAAAGGGTGTTGTGAGGTTAAAGCAGGATGAGAAGCCTCGCTCAAAGATCTAGCAGTACTTGTCTGTCTTAGATCTCGTTTCTTTCCTTTCTTTTTACATTCCGTTATAGAGCTCTTTGCACAATGTCTTTCTTTCTTTTTTTTTTTTTTTTTTTTTTTTTTTTTTGTTTATATTATATACACCGATACACCGTTTGATGTTTAATCACCTTATATATTACTTATATTTTTTGTTGCAGATCCTTGCTTGCATGGCTTTACATCCAGCACGAATATACATATTTCATATGTACCACTACTCCCTGGCCTTATGTCACTGGACAGTAACAGTAGTACATTGTGGATACAGTTGAACCTAGGTACGATTGCATGTACAGTAAACAATACTCCTTCCAGCTGGGACTATGGCAAAGTAGCCTAATGAACTTGGCTATTACTGAGAATCTTCTCCCGTTGACAGTGTAGTCAGACGAATTGATTTGCAAACAGAACATTGATGATGCTGAACGCACAACAAACACATAGCCACCCAGTATGGAAATAAACCATCCAGTCCATGCAGAGATGACTTTTAACAACAGAAATGCAAGATGAATAAAATAAAAAAGGGCAAATCAATAAAAATCAGATAGCCGCCCACCCATTTTAGATGGCCCAGTCCCAGAGACATGCAAAACGAGAACGTCATAAAAAAAAAAAAAAAAAAAAAAAAAAGGTCATAATCCTACAGAAGTTCCATCCTTCCCCACACTTCGTCACTCTCACTTACACTTCCATCTTCTCCATCTTCTCACTCTCCATCCGATCTCTCTGCTCGCAGAACTCCAAGGCCTTCGCACCCCAGATTCCACGCCCCTTATATTCACCCACATAATCCGGCCAGCTTTTGATCTCCTTGGCTAGGTTCCGCAGCTCCTCCATGGGCAGCTCGTCCAGCGGCGTCAGGATCGTCTTGACTCCGAACACGATGGTTCCTGTTTTGGGCAGTCGACGGAATGTCTGTCGCTCGCGCCGGATGACGATATCTTGGGGCGCAGGGTCGGGGTTATCTTCGGAGAGGGTGGTGGGTCGGTAGAGCACTTCGAAGAGGTCCTCGCCTGGGTGTTTCACTTCCACGAAATAGTTGGATCGTTCCATTGGGGAGCTCGGGGTGAGGCGTGCAAGGAACCTAAAAAGGTCGGATGGTTAGTCGATGGTTTCTTCCGTTGTTGTTGTTGTTGTTGTTGTCGTTGTCATTGCCATCTTCAAGACATGGTTATATACTCACTTGCTAACGGAATTGGCCACGTGCTGGTGCCACAGAGGGACCGGATTGTGAAGCTTGGAGATCGTCCATCCGATCCGTTCCTGGACCGTCCATCCTACAGGGAAGAGGCTTGCGCTGGCGGCACTACCGAGAGTATACCCGTCAGTATGATGCGTGCATGCGTCCGCTGGGACAGGTAGGGAACTTTCCACTCACAGGTAGTACTCGTCATCTTCGTTTTTCAGCAACACGCTCAGGTCCTCCATGGTCAGCCGGACCGCAATTTCCAGGGGATCCATCTGGCGGTTGTCTCCGCCAAAGACGAAGGTCTCCCCTGTCATCTTGTTGTAGACGACTGTCTCGGGCCCGGATTTCTTCCGCTGGAACATATTTGGGAACCGCTCGCAGAGAAACTCCACCACTTCGTCCAATGCCTCCACGCACCCGTCATGCGACTCGGGCAGACACTGGAGGACCTTGCTCTTCTCTTGCTGCAGCAATTGGCTCCGGATATGGTGCTCGTCCATGTAGTTCTTGTCGATCGTGAGCCAGTTCTGGGCGTCCAGCTTCCGCACGTCCATCATGACCCGGTACCGCTCTCGGCCTCTGATGGGCTGTGCAGGGTACGGCGCGATGTGTTTGATGTCATTGCAATTGGTATTCTCAGGGCGTTTCGGTTCGGCACATGATGGACCTTGGCGCCGCTGTCGGAGCTTGACAATGACGAAGGACAGAATCAGGGCTACAATCCCAGCCCATGTCAGGTAATTCATCGCCTTGTCCCCGCGATCCAAAGAACACGGAGAAAGAAAAAAGAAAAAGGTTCACAAAGGAAATGAAGACCAATGGTTGAAAGAACAGACTCTTTTCTGGCGTCCCTCAAGTCATGCGGCAATCCACGAGGAGGATCTTATGAGGCAAGATGAGAAAAAAACAAAAGAAAGATGGAATGAAAGGAAAACCGCAACATGGCGAACCCTGGTCTTCATGAGGGCCATGGCTCCAGTTATATTGGTCCGGTGAAGTCTTGGACCGATCATCAGAAAGCTGGGTCAGACGATTAAAACTACACGGCGCCTCTGCTCTCCTCCCTCTCTCTCTGTCTCTACATGGGGGGAGCTGGGTTAAACTCTGATACGATCTGCCCTTTTTTTTCCCCGCAAAAGCCGCAAGACGCCGCCCCATCCCCAAAAGAGAAAGTATCCACATGATCCAGCGGGCTTTCTCAGCTGTCTCATTTTTTCTTTTGTAACCCCCCCATGTAGCTCCACTGGGGGGCTCGTTTGGGTGGACGGGGGTGGGTGGTGTGGTTGGGGAGGTGGAAGCAGGATCCGTCAGGAGATGAGCTTCAAGTGGGTAAGCAGCGCGAAAGAGGGAGAGCGACAGAGAGGAGAGGAGCAAAATCAAGACGTAATGCAACCCGTTTTGATCCGCAGCTGATCCAAGGCATGTATCCAGACTGCTACGGTACTATCGCTAGTCATGTACGTACTAATCTAAAACCCAAGGACTAAAGGGGGCAGGAATGAGGAGGAGAAACGATCAATCGTCAAGGCTACAGCGGCGAGAGCTTAGAGGATGTCCGTGCGGGGATACCCGATTGATTGGGGCTTTTTTTTTGGAGACAGACCAAAGATAGACCTCGTGAGCTAGGGAGCAGACCGAGAGAGAGCGATGCCAGTGTCTAACAGTTCCTGCGGTTCCGCTCCAGCGGTATTCGTCTTTTTTCTTCCGACGCAGACGCAGAAAACTACCGACAACGCGTATGATCTAAGAATTACGGGAGAAAGGGGGGAAAGCAAAGAAATACCGCACGCAGGTGGTAAAAAAAAAAAAAAAAAAAAAAAAGAAGAAATCGAAAGAGGAAAACGCAGGAGCTCATCGACAGACAGCCGATACCACCACGACCAACCACTACGAGGTAATACGTTGTTGTGCGACCGAACAAACAATTAAATTGCAAGCTGACTGGGATCGCAACGCGTGGGATGTGCAGCGTGGCCGAGAGACCATCATCCCCAACAACCCCAGTGAAGTCACACACGGTCCATCCTCTGGGACGACCGTCGGCTTCCCTCTCTCTCGAACACACACATATACGCTACCATTGAAGATGGCCATTCCGAGCTCTACGACTGGCTGGTCGAGACCTAAGCTAGCCGGACATCATTCAGTAGTCTCGCTGGACCAGAGACGCCCGAGAGGGGTGGGTTCGGTTTGCGTATGATGCATGGAGGCGACATTTGACGTACTATGAGGTGTCCTTGCAGTCGTCCCCAATCTGATCATCCTCACTAACCCTCCGCTCTCCGCGGCGATATTGAGCCCAGTGGCCCACTAGGGGAGGGGAGGCGCCACGGAGACGGTATAGGTCCTAGGCACCGACGACGCTTGCCATTGAACCCGACTAGTGGGAATCGGCCCAGACGGAGGTGCAAGGGTAGGAAGTAGAAACTGTTTGGCCATGCCAAAAACAACCCCGGCCGGCGATCCACTCCAGTCTGGATTTGCGCTCTGCCCTTGTTTTTTTTCCCCTTCTTTTTTTGGACTACGAGGCGAGTGGACCCAAAGGACCGAGTTGCACGACTCCACACTTCCTTTCCATTGAGTCCCCACTATCCAGTGTCCACTCACCCTGGCCAGACAGGGACCGAAGACCGACAGGACATCTGGGGTTTGCGCTGCAACCGCTTTGAATCTCGCGCAAAAGCGCGCTTGCCGCAGGGTAATCCAGACTGGATCCAATGATACTGTGGAAACGACCCCATCAATTAGTGAGTAATTTAATCAATTATCTTTTGCTCTTTTGAGATGGTCCTGATGGAGACTCTTGCTCAGGAATGCGCTTTTTTCTCTCTCCCTCTCACTCTCTCTCTATGTTTCTCTTCTTGTCGCTCACGGTTTATGCAGCATGCCCCTTTGCTGATGTAGCATCAGCCGAGCTTGATCTTTTTCCATCTTTTCACCTTTTGATATTTTCAGATTCATTCCTCTTCCTATTTCCTTTCCTGTCATTTTTCTTTCCTTTTTCTTTTTTTCAATTATAATCATGATAAATACTATCCCCCCATCGTTGCCTAATCCCATCCATCCCCTGATTCGATCGCGTCCCCTACCGAGCGACACGTTGATGTTTACTTTTTCCTTCTCTTCCGTTTTTTCCCTCGTTCAGTAAAGCCAACCGTCCAGTCAGTCGACTTCCACCCTTACGTCCTCCTGCTAAGTGGTCTGACGCAGCTGGAGCACCGACCAACTGGACGGAAGGGCAAAATGCTCCGAGTGACATTCGCACCAACGCGATGACATCGTCGTCTCGTCGTTGCTTTTTTGCGATGCCAGGTTGTCCGTTTCTGGGGATGGAGGCAGATGGCGTAGCGTAGCGGAGACGATGATTCTATGTTTCTCCGGAAACTTTTTTCCTTCTTTTCTTTTCTTTTGATTTTTTTTTTTTTTGTTTTGTTGTTCTTACGTAGACAAACACTGGAGCCTTTGACTAGACAACCCTGCACATACTCCGACCAAGCCATGGTCGAAACCCAAACTCGTCCATCCTGTCTTTCGCACACACACACACACACACAGAAGCGAAAAGTGAAACAAAAAGAGAAAGAAAAAAGAAAATCGATCGATCCTCCCTAGTGATCATCAAATGACAAGCCCAGGATTGACACTCACAAATCCCCCAGCCAAACGGGACTACTCCGATGCTGGCTGAGTGGGCTGGCTGGCTGGCTGGCAGTCTGGGCCGGGCTGGGCTGATGGGAGGAGAGGAGAGGCGAGGAGAGGAGACGGGGAAGGGAAGGGAAATCTCCCCGACGAGACATCATCACCATCACCATCATCATCATCGACTAATATATATTGTAACAGGTGGAGAAGTTATGGCCTGACGATGGTCGAGACGGGTCTTTTTCTTAGGGTCTTTGTCGAACGTATACCTACTTATTTGGGGATTGGGGTGCCGCTGTGCCAATGGTGGATCCATCCACCATCTAGCTTTTGAGGGGCAGCTCAAGCTGGAGCTCACTCACTCGACTCGTTCTATCGTAGAGTAGAAGAGGTAGCGACTAGCTAGCTACCTAAGGTGATAGCGAACTAAAACTAAAGACACGAAGTGAGTGACTAGCCCGCACGAAGGAAGGTGGATCACGAGTTAGTTAGCCAGTACTTTTGCCTTTTGCCTAGCTAAACTAGCTTTCGACCGGGGCTAGTTATTGCATGCGCCCTACTCTTCAGGTATAGGGTATAGGACCAAGCGCAACTTAACTTTTTGTTGTTCGTTTTGTCAGACGGAAAGACAGAGTTCGGGCGATTATGGGGTATATTCTGGGGTATACTCCGGGGTTGAAAAACTAGTGAGGCTGTTGGAAGTTGATTGGGAGGGTTGGGTCTGCAGGGACGGGATCGTCGTTTGGATGGAGGGTTGGCGGGATGTATGGGGGTTGGTGGTGAGGTGGGTGCCGTTGGCGTAGGTGGCGTTGGCGTTGAGATAGGTTATACTGCGGTTTTGGGAATATGGTGTGCTTGGTGGTATGTTTTGTTTGTGATGATACTGTGGTTTGTATGGGTTGGTAGAGGTGGGATGGTGGTGTGTTACTTACTTACTATATAGCTACTATACAAATGAGATAGTCCAGGCATCACAATGATCGAACATGACTTAGCAAATAGATAACAGGAAGACAGTAGTTGTCTATTGTATGAAGTGTACAGAAGTGGATACTCGTGTAGGGGTAGTATTGACTAGAGAATATACACAAAAGCAAACATCATAGTGAAGTATACAGACAGAAGTAGTAACAACCTCAGTCCAACATCCAACCCAACAACCCCAATCCCCCATTTCTATCCATCTACCTACTACCTACTACCTATCTCGTCCATCTACATATATACCCCCAAGCATCCATCCACCATCCATCCCAAGCCACACATCCCAAACCAACAACAACAATAACCCCAGCAACCCAACCAGTCAATCAAACAACCAAGCAGTACGTAAAAGAAAGGCATTCATCGAAGTTACTCAACCAAGTCAGTCAGAATTTAGTAGTCAGTCACACGGGGATGGAAACGTCCAACTTGCCTACGGGCTAACCAATGACTTTCTATGCCTGTATCGGGGTAGTCATAGTAGTAGTCATAATAATGGCCATTCTATTACTTTAGTGATAGTAGTGGTAGTCGGGTGACGGTGATGACGATGGTGATATCGTTTTAGTCCCCGCTTTATATCCTGGCTCGGCTCGTGTGTTCGTTTTGTCTGTCTATCTGTTTAGGTATTTCCTGGGTTTGCATGTGCTGGTGCTGATGCTATTGCTAATGAGGCTGATGACGATGATGCTGATCCTGATGCTGATGCTGATGCTGCAGGTGGATGTATGTAGTAACTAACTAGTAGTGGGTAGTTACTCGAGCAGAAAAGGAATCAGTGAGAGGGGGAGGGGGAGAGGTGAAGGAGAGGAGAAGAGAAGGTACATCAGACATGATCTAGCTATTCGTCCTTCAAGAATGGATCATTCAACAATTTCCTTATAGTCATATCTATACCTATACCTATGCCTAGCTAGGCACCTACCTCCCTACTTCTCCATGGTGTAAAGTCAAGACTATATGTCATGCGTGATCCATACTATACTAATCTAGCACTGTATATACTATCTAATACTTTATTCATTGACTACGCTACTCTATCCGTCTATGCTCGAGAGAAAGGTTGGGCCTAGGTACCTACTCAATTTTCTCTGTCTATAGACAGTGGCTTAAGATGTATGTATACTTGATGGCAATGTCATATAGTAAGTATACCCAAACTACCCAAGTTTGTTGTATATCCATCTACATCATGATAGTACTATCCTACCCTAACCAGCCAATACAACAGATACCAGAGTCATGTCAATAAATCAAAATAAATAAATTTAAAAAATCAATAATTCGGCTTAGCTCGTATAAAGGTATCCGGCAAGAAATGAAGAAGAAAAAAGAAAGAAAGGAAACTACTATAAGCCACGAAGAAAAGGGTAAAAAGCATCATCTCCTCAAATCAACAACCCATCCCCGTATCAACATGTATAAAGGTAATGAAAGAAGGTTGAAAGGTAAGGTAAGTAAGTAAGAGCAACGCCATCCTGTGCAATGTGGATCGTATATTCGCTCGAGCCCATGATCTGATATCATATCATATCATATCATAATATATTGTATCATATCGGTCGGATGAGGCTGGGCTGGGACTGCACTTCTTTATTGGATTTTTGGGTTTTTGGGTTTATTGTGGATGCTTGTTGAAGCTTGCTCGCAGCTTCGTTGGTCAGATAAGGCTCGATTGATCACCGGAATTTGGCGCGGCATCGGCCCATGATTTCGCCCTGGCAGACCAGCTCCGCGCTGAACTCGCTGCCGTCTAGCGTAAGGTAGATGTCGAAGTAGACTCGGTAGAAGGTTCCCTGGGGTGTGTCCATGCGTTCAAAGTCGGTTTCGAGGTTCTTGCGCGAGAGATCTGAGGTGAGAGTGACGACTTCCTTGATGCCTGTTGGGGGTTTAGTATGTTTCACGATTTCTCCTCATCAAAGGGAAAGAGCAGAAGGTAGCTTACGAGGATCCTTCGTATATTCAGGACAGACATCCTCATCACAGGCGTACAAGATATCCTCGTACATGAGGGTCGCACCGGGCGCGACCTGTCGGAAGAAGCTGACCTTGACCGGCTCGCCAATCTTGACCCGCTCGCCCTTTTGGACGAAGATCTGCCGCGTGTACTTGCAGCGATCGCGGCCATCCAGACTGGGGACCCGGTATTGCTCCGGGTGGTAACCTTCCTTGAACGGCTGCAGCGTGGCCATGAGGTAGTGGCGACGCGCGACACGGTGCGTAACCACGCGTTCCGTGATGCCGGCCGTCACGGCGCCCTTGACGATGGCGGCTACGGAATCCATCGGCCGAACCACCTTTGCTTGGTACTGCGGCGGCACGTGGAGCTTGATCTGCTGGAACAGATACTCCGATGCACCGAAACCACCCACGACGAGGACGTTCTGCTAGGGTTAGTCGGTTGATGGGATGAGAATGGATGGTGGTCATACCTGAAGAGATCGGTTCTGCGCCTGGATGGCGATGATCTGGTTGCGGACCAGCTCGAGGATGCGGTTGACGACGGGCTCGAAGCACTGCAGGATCTCCTCGTTGGTGAACGTCATGTACCCCTCCTCGATGCCGGCATCCGGAAAGTCCGCCTCGATGCCCACGTCCACCGCCCACTTCTGCCCGTTGTTCCGGAAGTCGGCCTTGATCCGGTTCTCAAAGTCCATGATGCACTTGGCGTAGACTTTGCCGGCCGTGCGCGATCCGTCCGGCAGCTTCATCTTGCGGATCTTGGCGCGCAGGATGTTGCTGAAGTTGCGGTTCAGCGCGGTCGAACCGCACGAGTCGCCCGATCCGGCGGTGCATTCGGCGACGCTGAAGGGCTGCTCCTCCTCGACTTCGTAGGCGATCAGATCGACGGTACCACCGCCGCAGTCGACGATCAGAATGGCGTCGCCGACCTTCAGGTTCAGCAAACCGGTCTTGGCGCAGAAGATGGCGGCGGCCTCGGGCTCCGAGACCAGGGTCAGACGGTTGTCGTTCTCGTCCCGCAAGAACCCCGCCTGGAGGGCGGCCGCGCGCGTGGCGGCCTTGCCGGCGTCGTTCCAGATGGCCGGCACGGTGATGTAGTATCGGATGTTGCGCTCCTCTCGCGTAAATACCTCACCCAGCGTCTTCTGCAGCTGGGCGCGCATGGCCTGGCGCAGCTTGAAGAGGTAGTCAGCGGCGACATCGATTTCGGACTTGCCGGGCGGCAGGGGCGGGAGGTTGATGGGGTCGATGTAGGTGTTGCCGGACAGCATGAGCTGCAGCTTGAACCACTCGACCTTCTGCACCCCTTGCTTTGGATAACCGGTGGGGGCGAGCGCATCGGCGATATCAGGGCCCCAACCCACGACCTTCTGGTACTGGTCGTAGTACAGGACGGTGGGGATCTATGACAAATGAATCAGACGGTCAGCGGGATTTGTCTCACCCGGGGGGATTCTCTCAGGAGGGGAAGGATGTGCCGCAACCCGGAAGGGCGGTGGGGGAGAGGGGAGGGAGAGTCAGGGGACGAAGAGTAACCCAACCCACCTTTTGTTTGGTGTGTGTCCCAGCCCCAGCCCATTCTGTGATAATATCTTCCCTCGCCTCGTTGTTCGTGGCAAACGCAAAGGCCACACCGGAGAAGGTGGTGCCAAAGTCGATCCCCACGATCAGCTGGGCCTTACTCCGACCCGCACCTTCAACCTCGACGGCGGGATTGCGCATGGGGTACTGCTGAGCCTGGGGCATCCCCGGGGCCATGCCATGGGGCGCCGGGGGTTGCATCCCATAGCCGGGAGGCGCACCCATATGGGTTGCGCCCGGGGGGGCGTAGGGCATGTTGGTGTTGAGCGGGGGCGGGTGGTGACCGGGCGGCATGGGACTCGTGGGGCGGGCGGCGGTGTTGTAGGTATAACTGGGGGGGCGACCCAGTTGATTTTGGTTATTCATGGGGAGGCTGGTGGAGGAGGAACTGTGACCGGAGGGCAGCGAACTGGGAGAGGTGGTGGAAGCGGGAGCGGCGACGAGGGTATGAGTGCTGGCCTGACCACTGGAGACGGAGGCGTCGGGTGAGGTGGTGGGAGAGGAAAGTTGTGGAGGAGAAAGCTGGGGTGGAGGAGCAACAACGGGTTGGGAGTGATGTTTGTTGCGTTTCCCAAAGCCAAAGGACTTTAACCGGGAACTCATCAGGTCCATGTGAATGATTTAGGGGGACAATTCTGGAGGGAGATATAAGAGGGGGGGGAAAGAGGAGAAAGTGTCGGAATTCGCCAAACACAAAAAGAAATTCAGAAGTAAAAATGGAAAACCAAAAAAAACCAAAAAGACAGACCAAAAGATGACTGGAAAACAAAGAGTCAAATCGAGGGGGAAAAAGAGGCAGTGTTGGTTCTGCTAAGCCGCACGGTGAGAAAGTGAGAGCGGGGGGAAAATTACGGCCAGCGAAGGAATACGAGATCAATCAAAGAAATGGGAGGATTCCTTCTTCATGATGGACGGGGGAATGCAGCAGAGTCTGGAATGTAGAGGAGGTTATTTCAATATCTACATATCATCTCAATCCTACAAAGACAGATAACTACCAACGGGAGGAAAAAGAAGAGATGAGAAGATATTAATAGATGAATATCAATTGATGCCATGTCGGGCATGTTCATCGCCCCCCCAATCCATCCTGTATCATACCGTCTCATACCGTATTTGGTTTCTTACCAGGTCAGGGGACTCGCTCCTCTGCTTGTGATCAGATCCTATTATTCATCGTGGCTCCTCTTGGCTGTCTCTCTGGCTGTCTCTCTTGGCAACGTTTTGATTCCGAACGATGGAGAGAGGCAGGCCACAGTCCCTGAATGCTGGGAAGTTCTCGTGGTCGGATATGCCCAAGGGAATAGAATGGAGAACGTGATCAACCCCAGGTTCAGGTGGGGATAGAGCCTCAACCAAACTCCTGACCGAACGGGGTAACCGTTAAACCCCATCCTCAAGTTTTCAACCCGTCAACCCATCAGGCTCCCTAATCTCCCAGTTCTTCCCCCTCCATCCCACATACCTGTCTACATCAAACCAGGAAGAAGGACCATGGAGCCTGATCTGGCCTGACAACCCATCGGGCCTATCTTCATCGCTCCTCGACTGCGGCTGAAGATGGTCGTGCCGATCCCTGTCACGTTCCGTACTAGTCCATACCGTCATCCCCTTCCTTTCCCCCCCATCAGCCTGTATCGTGCATTCCCTCTCTCCCCCACAAGGCAGACTGCTCTATACATAGTATCCTCCTCCTCCTTATAGGGCTCGCATCTGACTGTGTCGGGGGCGCGTTGTGGCTTTGCGGATTCCCTCGGTGGCTGGTCGGTCTATCGTTTGGTTGAGACTATGAAGGAGTCTCATGCTTGATGGATGGACGTGGCGGAGTTGTACATATATCGCTGGATTCCATGTGATTTGTTAGACTTCTGTGCTTGCTGGATTTGGTGGTATTATGCGATGGTTGATAATTCTAATCAATTCCAGACAAGATCATGTCACTTGGACTGATATCTAATCAATCTAAACTATCAGATTGAATAATGATAGTTATACCTATCATGGCTGTAGTGCGATATTATAATTGTTTTGGTCTTTTCCTGATACTATCCACGACTACTACTTCATCTGAGAGTGATTCGGAGAGCGAGGGTAGATCATAAGACTGATAAGCACCGTCAAATCTTGATAAAATTGGTGAAATCAATGCTATAGAAACAGTCATAAATTGTATAACTGACTGAAAAGGGGATATATAGACTTGAATGTGGAACTTGGCGTGACTAGCTAAGATGTTTAACTGATTATATCACTGAGTCTTCCATCTATCACAGTATATATAACTTGTGGTTCATATCTATCATCCATAATCTCTCAAATAGATTGACATACACCCTTAATCTTGGACACCAACTAATGTATATAAACCGAGTTCAATTGTACTGTAGCATTATCATGAGCGATAATTAGAGTAAATCACAGTACCAAATAAGCTTATATATGGCAACCAAAGTATCCATCTGACATATGGGAAATGATAAATCAAACCTGGCAAAAGTAATGTAAGGCTAGGAAAGATAATGATTGTATAATGAGACACAGATCTGTCAGATATACTACTCAAAGGAGAAGGAAATAGTGCCTTACATAGTCAGTAGATAGCTAACATAGTCACCATTCTTCCATAAAGTATAGTAAATCATATAACCAGCTAAAGCATAATCAGCATCGACCTATCGAAGATCTCTGACAATATTCATGTTTCTAAAGCTAGCCGCTGTTTAATATGCGCATTTTGATTGACTACCACAACTCACTGGCTTTACAAGGCCTGCTATGAACGCATCTCAAAAACACATCAAGATTCTTGAGCACCACTCACCATCGATCCCCACCCGTACGCGTGATGAAAGAGAAGGCCCTATTATCTCCAGTATGAATTAAAGCCTTTCTACTAAAAAATTGCGATAATACTGTTCAGAAGCAAGACGTGCAATCAGGCAACATGTTGACTGACGTGCACTTTTGACTACTCATGTTTTGTTTGCAAATACTCGCAACCCTTCCATCAATTACAACAACCACATCGACATCTTGACCGTTTCCATTGGCCCAGTACCAGCCAAAGATGGCCCAGACCTATGAGTTGTCCAAAGCTCGGTCTCCATTCTTGGTAGAAATCTACGCAGCCATATCAAGGACCGACTTGTGGGTTAAAAGGGACTTGTGGGTTAGAAGGAACAGCACATATAGTCAATATGCCATGTAATGTTGCTTGTACTAGATGTGGGAGGACCGATGAGAACAGTCCATAACCATGATGCGTTCGATGATCTGGGAAAATGCTATGGAAAAGGTTACGAATGGTCGCAAGATTGCAAGAAAATCCGAGATACAAAAGTGTGGGTGGAGTTCTGCGAGTAAGCTGATGTTGGCTGATTGCAAGTCAATCTTCCACATTGAATAGCACTGCAGATATATGGCATAATGTGTTAGAATCCAGTCAGTTCAAGCCCTCCCAGAAGCTATTCAGTATCTTGGTGCAGTGGCTGTTATAATGTAAGTAGCTCATCTGAGCTCTGGTATTGCCATGTATATAATCTAGTCTCAAGTATTAGATTGAGCTCTGATAGACTGGACAGGATGCCAACAAAATCAACTTTGCTTCCATGGGTTCATGTTCTACGGAATATCCAAATGACCCTCAAGGAGGATCAAATCTGTGAAACAGGATAAACAGATTAGACCCTGCTCTGTAGCCAGTGGCTGATCATGCTTCCAATTATATGCTTTGACTTGTTATGTTCTCTATATTGCATCGTAAATGGGTGGCTCTTATGTTTTTGAGACAACATATCAGCTTTGAAGATTAAGCATAACAGGAAGAACATCTTACTGGTTCGTGACTAGCACTTGATACCCATTGGTGCTGGCTCTTTTCTCCTTAATCATGCTTTCTCGGAAAGAAGAGATCTATGTCTACTTAGTGATGTATACTTGGACATGCAGTTATCTACATTTACTATCTCTGATGAATTACATGATCAGAATTCTTGTCAGTCCCGTGTCATCTGCAAGACGTGGAGGTTATAACTACCATAAGAATCCGGAAACATCTAGTATCTATGCTTGTTTGTCTTTTAAAGATTCGTCCTATTCCATTCACGTGGCCAAAATATCTTGATTCACTGTCTCAGTTTAGTTCTCTTTCATAGAGTTTCTAGGTATTCATCTATTCATATGTACAGATAAACCTTGAAGATGTAGTATCTATCACATCTCATAGAAACTGCAGTGGCTGTAGGTAATAACATGACATCCAACACACATGTCCTATTCAAGTAATTAGTCTAATGACAGATGACAGAAACGATAGTTTATACTCTTGCATATATGATATATAGAAACCATAGCTATACAATCAGCACTTTGAACTGACAGGCTTAGGTCAGTATCTTGCTAGTCCCTGCACGACTTCCTATATCCGAGAGTGAATAGTGGCGTACTCATCCCCAGGTCAATACTTGCTAGTCATTCCATGTCGTTTAATACTTGAGTGAATATTGAGCAAGCCATCCTCAGGGAAGAGATATCATGGCAGTTTGGCCTCCGTAAGTAAGCATATACTCACTGGGACAGATTGTTATATAGGATATGCTCCATCCTGATAGCTAAGAGTTTGAGATGGTAGCTGTGTAGTGTAGGTTAAGCTGTTGGTATACAAACAGCATGGTATCTTTCATCGAGTGCATATCCAGATAAACCCTTCCTTGAAGTATAGCATGGATTTTTGTGCCAACTTCGAGCACTACACCATTGACAGCCATACAAATCATAGCTTCCGCCCATAACTCAAACCCACAAATCATAAACAAACAAACAGACAGAAGTCACCCAGTGCGAACATCCCTTTTCCCTGGCCTCAAATAGCCGCCACACCGAATACTCTCCTTACGCATACCACAAAAGCCACGATATCTTCCACAGCCCAGCATTAATTCCTCCCTTCCATTATCTGTCAACATCAACAAATCAACCATGCCCCTACCTACGACTTGTCCAAGAAAAGCCCCTACCACAACCCTAATACAAGCACAAAAACCTGACTCAACGCGCAGCTCTAGAACCCCACGTCGTACGCGCCACGCTCTACCCGGGGATTCCGATTAGCTGTTCTCTCATGTGGATCGATTAGATTACCTATGTGTGTAGCACTGGAGATGTTGGTTGGATGGGTCGAGATACGTAATAATCTACCCTAACTTTACCATGCTACACTTTATGTGTTGGAATTGTTTAGTAGTTGGTTTTGGATATTTGATGTACAATCTTCTATCTGTGTGTCTAACCTACAGTACCTCGGGATAGGTCACAGAGTATTCCACCAACTACTAGCATCCAACCTCGATAGTAGGTATTGACATAACCAACCACAGAATAACATTCCCAATCCAAGAACAAACTAAACACTGCAAAGTAAGGTACCTTCCAATTCCATGGAAAAGTCGCCACCCAACCACGGTTCTCCCAATTCGGAAATCCTGCTCCGAGGCCGGCATGCGCAAAACAATACTAACCAATAGTGACGATGGGGGGCAGAAAAAAGGTAGGGAAGAAAAAGGGCTATGATGTGCGACGGTAGTGCTCGGAACCCATCCCGAGCCGCTCGTCCGCACCAAGGTTAGGCATCCGAGACGACGTGAGTTTGAGTCGGTTGTGGAGCTGTTTGGGCTGTGATTTGTTGACTTTATACGAGGAACGGTAACTCGGTAATGACTTTTTTTTTTTGTGGCTTGATTCTTGGCGTGATTTGTCTCTTTTATTCTTATTATCTGTCTGTCTGTTTGTCTGTAGATATCGAAGTAGGATGTCTTGTTTACTAGTTTTACGGAGGAAATATTGAAACATCATGGTATAAATTAATATCATGACTAAAATAATAATATGACCAACTCGATATCCACGGAAAGTGGACAACTGCAGCTCCCACGTGGACCTCTCCACGGCATTCACCGTAAATTAATATACTACACACTGACCCCTTACCAATTAGGTAAGTAGAAAAAGGTCCATCTTAGCCGTCCCGTGTTCTTCGGTAAGCAGGTAAGCAGGTAGTAGTAGTAGTAGGAACCAAGGTACGTATACTGTCGTATGCAGATGTAGACGGTTGACAGACGGCTGTCAGACGGCGCAATCAACACGAGACGAAGACAGGACACGTAGGGAAACTCCTGCAGACCAATCACTAGCCTAGGCTAGTTTGAATTAAGATTTTATCCTTAGTATGGAGGAGGTAATTGGGATGGGGTGGCTGATGATGCCGATGATGACGACGAGGGACGGCAGGAGGGCACCGTGCTCGTGCTCGTGCTCAGACCTAGGCTAGTATCCACGGATGTCTCCGAAGTAGTATCTGAGTAGCCAACCAGTAGAAGAATTGATAATATTTAACTTCCGGTAGTGAGTCCTCGGTTAGCGGGAGGAAAAGTTAGTCCTCTCGTTATGGGGACCGGAGTCCGGAGAGACGGAAAACCCCTCAAGGTGTGAACAGCCTAATACCAGTCCGGCATTGACTGCGAGGATTTAGAAAGGATTGGGAAAATTAAGGTGCAGCGGCCGAGTGTCACGGGACGGACCACAACCACATGGAAAATTCAGTCGGAGGCAGGCGATCCAATCATCTTTATACTTCTTACCACTTAGGTACTACAGTACCTATATATCTACCTAGTATAATCTATGTGCCTACTTTAGATGTTGATATCACTATCCGCATTACTATGCTATATGATATAGAATACTATACTATACAATGTTATATTTATCATATATATTATCTATTCAAATACTATACTCAGTCCCAGGTCCAGAGATGAGATCGGTAACCATAAACGGAGACTAGTCCCCCGGCTGAACGCCGAAATTAGAGCGCCAGGATGACGAGCCCAAACCCCCAAGACGGAGTAGTTCGGTCCCTTGTTTTAAATTTTTCCTGTGCGTGCCATGCTACCACTGTACGCACTAGTCTCCTAGTCTACTAGCCGCCACAGGCTAACTCCAGAGTCGTCGTAGCATCGACGCGGTGGCTCACGGTCCGTATCATGATCGGATCTCGGTTAGGAGTAGCTTATTGACTACCAAGTACTAAGTTAACACCACACTACATACGGAGTTCGGAGTACTACGTAGTTGTTGAATATCACGTCACCTTGGGTTTGACGGGGACCATTTGAATCTGGATCTGTTTCGATAGTTGATTCCTGCGATGGGCCCGAGTTCAATCCGTGCCATGCTGTCTATCTGATCGTGCCGCCGGTCAGTCTGCGGGGAAGGTTTATCCTCCTTGTTCTTGTCTGGTGGTTGACTTTCCTAATCAGTTGGTGGAAGATATTTCTGGAATATTTATCATCATGAGATTATCACATCATGATTTTTTAAATAGTTAGAAAAAGAACGAAAAAAAAAAAAAAAAAAAAAAGAAAAGAAAAGAAAACAGCGGCTAACCACCCGAACAATCAAGCTGGAGATTATTTCCGACTCGACGCAGGTTGGACGAGAGCCGAGTGCTCAGGCCTAGCTGCAACTGCAGGCACACTTGGCTGTAGGCTGTAAAGACTATCACGGGGAGACACGGCCGAGATGTGACCATGCATGCTGTTCCGTCTAGTCGCGGGGTCGTCTAAACCTCTAGTTTTGCTTTACTACTACCGGCCGATGGAGTCGTGGGATCTCGAGTCTGGAATATGTGGTTTTCGGCCGAAGATGGGCTGAACTGAAATGAGCCACTGGGCTGATTGCGTGTGGTCAAGCCACGCAGCCTTATCCATCTCCATCTATTCTAGAGTTCCTGTCCGTGGGCTGGATAAATAGGTGGGGTTATGTCGGTCTCGGCCGAGGATTTTGTTTACCTTACATCCTTGTTGGTAGAGGTAGGTATAGAATGTATCTAATGACACGAGGAAACTCGAACCCTCGATATGAGATTCGTCATATCATCAATACTACGTCGTCTACCTTACCCTAGTAGACGTGGACCTGGCGGACGGGAAGAATGAAACTCGGACGAAACACGGAAAAAAGCATGGAGAGTGAGAACGGGAGCGAAAAATCTCCGGGTGGGGAAGTAACAATGAAAAAGATAAACAAATAAAGGGAATAATAATACCGAATCGATTCACCCGGACCGAAAGGTGTGATTGGAGGCGGGGACCTCAAATCGTCGGGGTTCATCCAGGTCAATCGTCGCCGGATCGAGTAGTAGTTTAGGGCTCTCGGGCCTTGGGCCTTGGTCGTTTGGCCGTCCCGGTTGAGCCATCCGGGTGTCATATCATAATCTACTGACTAGGGTTGTTTTTGGTAAGTTTTGGATCCTTTGGACCCTGAATAGTGTATACAGTACAGTATACAGTATAGTATACACCCGGTTTGTCCATTCAATGAACCGATAGGAGTCACCCAGTAAATCTTGGTAAAATAATATAGTAGAGGTGAAGATGATGAATTAGACACCATGTGTCCATGGCCCATGCAAAGCATTTCCCACAGCCAGGAACACCCAGTCGGCTCGTCTTCCTCGGACCCATCTAACCGCAGCAGTGGCCGGGATGATCATCGAACCGTCGGATGAGATGTATGGAGGATTCGGTAGATACTAGTATCTAATTAATAACCCTCCATACGAGGATATTAGTGGACGCATTACCCTAGACTCGTATCGATGATCCTGAGGTTGCTTGGGTGGCGACTCGGATGAGACCATGTCTATAGATACACGTACCAACACTAGACTAAAGTCGAGCAAACTAAGTAAAAGTAAATAATAAAGTAGGAAGAAAATAAGAATAAAGTAACAATAAAATAACGGTTATATTGTCGGACTAAAGTCTCAGGCACCCCAGTCCCGACCGGGACCGGAGCGGAAAATAGACCAAGACTAGGGTTTCTCCTCGAGGGGGTTTGGTGTGGGGAGAATGGAGAATATTATTTTATTCTATTTTATTCTATTTTTCATCTTATTTTATATATTCTACGTTTAATTTACACTGCCACTGTCGATCTCGGGAAAGTCCCAACGTTAGTCTCGGTCAGACCTCTGGGAAAAGCATGTCACGAGGAAACGAAGGACCGAATGAGAGACAGACTGACAGACATGGGAGAAGAGGAAGAAGTACGAATGGACAGGGATAATTTCGGAGAGCACAGGAAATGCCAGATTAAGTTCCAGATCAGAACCAAACAAGAGCCCAATATTGAGGGAAGAATCCAAATAATACATGAGATAGAAGAAGAGCAAGTTCAACCCGAGTGACGACCAGTGGACGAAAGGAACGATAGAATGAGATAGAAGGAGCGTTAGTCCCCGACGTGTAGTCATCATAGTCATCTCTATCTCTATCTCTACTCTCGAGGAATGGAGCAAGAGAAGATTCAGGTTCTGCAGGAAGTAAGTCATGGTTGGCTCCGAATCCCCATCCGGAAGAAAGAGGAGCAAATCTCTGGGAAATTTCCCTCTTGTCGATCAGGTTCTCGTCGAATCGTTGTCAATGGTTGGCGTTCGGATATGATTCTCTAGAATTGATGCTTCTCATTGGTATGAAAATATGATTATTATAATAACATAATAATATCGGATAGTATAGTGTAGAATAATGGAACGAATAGGGTGGAAATAGAATCAAGTCACTAAATCAATCTCATGGATAATAATATACCACTGATGGAGTTTCCAAATTATTATTACTATCACCATTGTCCTATTTGTGATTTGATTATTTTATTCGATTTGATTCTAATCTATTTCATCACTCTATTTTTCTATTATTATGCGTCTGATTCGATCTTGATAGGATTTACCCATCGTGTTGGTAAATTAGCCCTCCTCCCTCATCGTCATTCACGATACCTCCTATACCTCTCTTCATCTCCCCTATCTTGTCCGGTCTTTCCTATTTCCAATTTTCCACGGTCCCAATATCCACAGATTCCCGTTTGTCTCTCCTGAGAATCTCCAGGGTGGGTTGACCCCGGCCGTGACATCCCCCACCAAGGTTCAAAACAACTTCAATCAAGGTCAACACACCCGATCCCTTTGACTCCACTCAATTCCCACATCCCCAACTTTCGACAACGAGTAAACCACCGGTTGCCACCACCGATCTGCTTCTCCCGATAAACCCATCCCTCTGCGATCTTTTTACCCTCCCCGTTCCTGCCCGTCATCTGTCCCCGTCATCTGTCCCCGTCCTCGTCCCCGTCCTCTTCCCCGTCTTCTTTCCCCCCTCCCCAATTGCATCTGCATCAACAATCTGCCCCCGGATGAACTGCTTCGGGTGACCATGCAACCCCATTATTTTCGTCCGTCGACGAGTTCCAGTCAGCCGGGCGTGCCCTATGAATTACCCCCCGTGCAGGCGGTGACTTCGTCGCCGAGCCCTTTCCACCCGGGCCCTCCTCCCCCAGCCGCCGCTCTGCTTTCCGCTCCGCCGAGCAGGCCTGACAGCGGCCTGAGGATGGCCCAGATCTTACAGCCCGTAGGCCATCCGGTGCCAAACCCTCCCCCTCCCCCGCCAATCGGCTTCTCTCGCGCCTACGAATCGAGCGGCTCCCCGGCGGAAGGCCACTCCATCCTCCCCGATGCCCCGTTCGGCGCATCCGCATCGCCCTCTGCCCTCCACTCCGGTGGCGGAGGACATCAGATGCATCACCCGCTGCAGCAGAAGCGCGCATATCGACAGCGCAGAAAGGACCCCAGCTGCGATGCATGCCGCGAGCGCAAAGTCAAGGTAATCCTCCCTCCACCTTCTTTCCCCTCCCTGTCCCCTCCCATCCCCTTGGGTTACCCGCTCCCATCCGAAATCGGGCGAACCGAGGAGGCGTCGTATGGCTAACCATAATTCTCCTCTCAGTGCGATGCCTCCGAGTCCTCCAGCTGTACTGAATGCACCAATCGCAAGGTGCGCTGCCAGTTCACCAAGGAGACCAACAGGCGCATGTCTTCCATCAAGTTCGTTCCCGTGGGGTTGTCATTGTGTTCGTTGAAGCAAGCCCCAAGATTCTGATTTCTGGTCTCTCCATCACCCACAGACAAGTGCAAGATCTGGAGAAGCAGCTCCTCTCGACCAAACAGCAGTTGCAGCAGCTGCGCACAGGGATGCTGAGGTCGGATAATAACGGTCTGATGGATCTCGGCATCGACGGTGCCGCAGCACAGCCGCAGCTGAAACTCCCCGAACTCGGCCACCGATCCGAGCGACGGCCCCGCGCGCCCGTCCTGCAGGATCTCTCCGCCGCGCGCGACAACATGCGGAACTACGGCAGGGGCATCTGGAAGGCGCCGACCCCGTACCGAGAACCGGGCCCGGAATCCCTCCTGACCACCGATCCGCCCCCGCTCCCGGCCAAAGACCTCGCGGATCGCCTCCTCCGCCAGTACCACGCCTGCGTGCATGCGGTGCTCCCCGTGGTCCACTGGCCCAGCTTCACGGCCGAGTACGACCAGATCTACAGCGCGGGTTCGCTGTCCGGGGTGCGACGCGATTGGGCGGCGGTGCTGTTCGCCGTCTTCGCCTGCGGGTCCCTGCACTCACTGGAGACGGATCGGGAGCACCGCGGCAAGGAGTTCATCCGCATCTCGTGCGGCATCATCGACGTCTGGCAGGACCACTTCACCCTGGACCGCGCGCGCGCCGCCCTCCTCGCCAGCATCTTCCTGTACGAGGCGAACTCCAAGTCCGCGAGCTGGGTGTGGATTGGGTCGGCCGTCCGCGTAGCGCAGGAGATCGGACTGCACCTCGACTCGGGGCCCTGGCCCGCCCTCGAGGGCGAGATGCGCAAACGAGTCTGGTGGGGCATGTACGCCTGGGACCGGCTACTCGCCCTCGAAATGGGGAAACCAGTCCTAATCAACGACCAAGACTGCGACGTCGACCTCCCCTGCCCAGTCGACGAGAAGTACATCTCCGACGGCGGCGGGTGTCCCCCCGACAGCCAGCAAACAACGCCCCTCCTGGCAACAATCCACGTCGTGCAATCCATCGGCCAGCTAACGCGCACCCTGCGCAGCTCAACCATCAGCCCGCGCACGCTCGAGACCTTCGAGCGCCACTTCAAAGCCTGCCTCGCGACCTTCCCCGCGCAATACCACCCCGAATCCGACCAGTACTTCGACCCGCGCTGCCTCGCGCCCATGGTCTACCTCCAAAACGCGCGCTTCATCCTCCATCGCCACAACATCTCGCCCTTCTGCGCGCCCGACGTCCGCGCCGCCGCCCTCCACCACTGCGTCTCCACCGCCCAAGACACAGCCCACCTGCTCTCCCGCTGCATGCTGCAAGCCACGCCCCCACCCCCAGGGTCCCCCGCCACAAGCGACGACCCCAGCCCCGACTGGCGACCCCTCCTCGCCTCCTCAGCAGGCACAATGCTCTGCATCCACATCTGGCGCAGCATCCTCGTCCTCCTCTTCCGCCAGGACTACGCAGCGGCCCTCGTCTGCGCGCAGGCCGGCTCCGCCATCGGCGACGCCCGCGCCGTCAACGCCGCCTGCGGCCGCCACCTCGCGTTCTTCCTCCGCTGCCTACTCGACCGGCTCCGTCGGTCTGACGTCGACCTCGACCGCGACGAGGAAATGATCGCTTACATGTCGGGCGACATGCAGGGCAACACCGACGGCAGCTGGATCTGGCAGGGGTACGAGAATGGGCCGGGCTCTGCTTCTTCCCCTTCGGCTGTTAAATTTGAGCCTGGCTCGTCACCCGTCGATCACTGCCTTCCTCGTCCTCATGGTAGTCCTGCCGCTGATGAGCCTAGTGGTTGGGATTGGATCGAGCAGACGGTGGGGTATCTTTATACGGAACGGCAGAAACAGCAACAATTGCAGCAGCAGCAGCAGCAGCAACGAGACGAATACGAGGCCCAGGCGCGCTCCCCGCCCTATCTTAGCCCCGGAGCGACGGCGACGGCGACGGCGACGGCTGTGACGGTGACTGCACCGACGGGCGCGTCGGAGTCTGCGCCGGCTAGTTCGTCGCATTCGCGGATGACGATCGCTAGTATTATCTAGCGTATTCAATCTTTGGGTGGATGCATGCATGCATGATGCATGGATAAGATAGACGATATGAGCATGAGCATGAGATACGGGTTACGATTTTTGGAGCGTTGTTTGTGTATATATTGTATATGTTTGATTAGATTCTTGTCTATATTTGATTTATTTTTTGTCTGTATCTAGACTTGTTTGTGAGTGAGTGAGTGTAGGGAGTAGGTGTGGAACGAGGAGAGGTTAGTAGTGGTTTTATAGAAATAGGCTTTGAAAAACACGCTATGCAAGACCTCCGCCATCTCACCTTCACCATAGTGTACCAAATAAAGGCTGACACAGACAAGATTCTAAGGTTCATTTCTATCTTATTTACGTACACCACCACCCTATTAACAAAAGTGATACACCCCAAGATCGACCTAAACCTCCAAATTAATACTCCGCCCAAACCGCGCATACAGCGCGACCTTCAACTCCTGCAGTTCGTCGCGCACCTCGCCCAGACTCTCCTCCATCTTGGCGACCTCGCTGTCGATGGTCTCTGTTGATGTGGACAGGAGGGACTGTGCTTCTGCTAGGGGGAGTTGGAAGAAGGTGTCGCCGATTTTGTACCTTTTAATTATCAGTATTTTGTATTTGATTCGATTTGATTTGGGGGTTAGGGGATTGGAGGTTAGGAGGGAGAAGGGAAGGGAATGGGAGCTTACGGAACGAGGTCATCTTCGTCGGCGAGTTCGAGCTCCATGGAGACTTCTTCGAGGTCTTCTTTGTCTTTCTATACAATTAACTAGGTTAGTTTGATCTTTATATCATACCATGTATCTATCTATCATGTATGTCTGGGACACAACACGATGATGATACATAACATATACATATGTATATGTATATGTATGGTGTCCACAGCACACATAGTAAAGAGAGTAAATCAAGAAGAAGAGGAGAAGAAGAAACGTACATTCTTCCCCTGAAGCAGCTCCTCCAGGACCGACTCGCGCTGATGCAGCCGACTGAAGCGGTTGATTTTCTCTTGGTCTTCGCGGCGCACCTCGTTCTCTTCCCCGCCGGCGGCGGTGACTTCTTCGTCTTTGGAGAGCTGTTCTTTATTAGTATTTGATTGATAAATCAGGGAGGAGAGACGTACCATGCGTGTTCGCATCATTTTGGCGGTTGTTTGGTTGGTTGGTTTGGAGGGGATGATGGACGATGAATATTTGGTGGGGAAGTCGAGATTGGGCGGTCAAGGCAGTTGATTGCCTGTTTGGGAGGTGGTATTGTGCCTGGTATGATAGATTACATGATATTCAATGGATTGATTCTTTATTTTATTTTACTTTGAATCTTTGTTGTATTATTATCTATATTGATCTCGATTCAGTTTGAATTCTTTCTATATATTATTTATATACCTTTGTTATATGTGGGTGGTGAGTAGATGCGTAAGTTTGGTACTAGTCTTGTATCAGTCTGTCTTTGCATCTGAAACTCTTGTTCATTTGTTCAGCAGGTAGATATATGAAATCAATATAATTCTGATAGATATTCTCTCAATTAAATCTCGATATATTGTGTTTATAAATAGTGGTCGTTCAATATCAGTTGTCCTTCAATACGCAGGTCAAGTGACATCATCTCCCTCGTCATCTGTTCTGCCTCCACACCTCATCTTTCTTTCTCCTCTCATCTCCAACTTCTCTACTTGAGATTTGCTCCCTTATACCATTACCGTCTCTTATTTATCTCCTCATTTCCACTGGTGGACCACATCCTATCGTCGACCGACACCCCCCCCCCCAGCCAGCCGTACTCGGAGAAATCCCCACCGCATCCCCGACACTTCAATACCGTTACCAGCCACCAACGACACCTCCTCACCTCCGATCCAGTTCCAACCCTTCATCCATCAATCAATCTCCACAAACACACACCATGCGGATACCGCTCGCCCTCACCCCCCTTCTATCCGCCCTCGCAACGGCCTACACCTTCGACTGTCGTCACGTCATCATCAGCGATTACAAGTACGACCTGAGTCCGCTCGGCGGCGTCCACGAGGTCTACCACGCCGAGCAACAAGGCGACGCCCTAATCAACACAACCTACGCCATCAACATCTGTGGCATCCTCAAGGGAGCCGCAAACCGCGATGGCCTGAAGTGCGGGACCACCAAAAACAGTACCGTCCCCATTCCCTCCTAATCTGTCAAATGAACACCACTAACAAAAACCGTCTAAAGTCTGCGGCTTCGAATACAAACTCCCCCTCGACAACAAAGACGCCGAACAGCCCGGTTCCCCCCTCCGAGCCCTCCCCATCGCCGGCCTCGACCCCGTCGGCCACGGCTCCAAAGACACCGAGATCACGCGCCTCCCCGACAGCAATGACAAGCCCGACCAAGACGGCCCCGGCCTGCGCCTGAAGCTCGGCGGCGGAGAAGTCAAAGACGACGCCGGGAAGAAGCAGGGCGCGCGCGCCATCATCGACCTCTACTGCGACGCGGAGCGAACAGGCCTAGAGGGCATCGAGACAATAGAGGACGTCGACGCGGACGGCAACGCCAAGCGGGACGATAGCAATAACAGCAGCAGTCTGCAGTTTAAGAGTTTCCGCCAGTCGGACGACGATGACGCCTATGTGCTGAGACTCGACTGGCGCACGCGCTACGCTTGCGACCATTCGCTGGAGGAACGCACGGATAATTCTAGCCATTGGGGGTTCTTCACCTGGTTGCTTATTATGTATGTCTCATGTTTTTTTCACCCTTCTTCCTATCTTTCTTGCGAAAGATCCCCCTGAATACGTACTGACAAAAGAAAAGTTTCTTCCTCTGCACAGCAGCCTACCTCATCTTCGGCTCCTGGCTCAACTACAACCGCTACGGCGCCCGCGGCTGGGACCTCCTCCCGCACGCGGACACCATCCGCGACGTGCCTTATATCTTCCAGGATTGGTTGCGGAGGGTGGTGAATACGTTGCAGGGGCCGGGGACGAGGGGGGGATATAGTGCTGTTTGATTTTTCTGTTTTCTTTCTTTTTCTTTCCTGATTTCTTTTCTCGATTTCATTCCTTTTTGTCCTCTCGATTATCTTCCTTTTCGGTTCGTTTTTTTTTTGTCGAAATGAAGTTAAGGTTATTTTCATGATATATGTTTTGCATTTGGTATTATGTACGTCTTTGTTAAGTGCGTTTCTAGTAGGGGTTGAAGGCGGAGGGAAAGAGGACGAAGAAAGGTGGTTAACTCACGGTTATATAGTTATGGATCTGATGCATGAGGTGTATTTAGATTTGGTTAGAATCTTCATCTTCTTTTTTTCTCTTTTCGTGAGTATGATAGGTGGATGGGGGAGTTGGTAGTCTTCCTTTTTCTAGACTCGATTGACATTCGATGTGGATGAATGTTACCACGTAGGTATAGTAGATGAGTAGTAGATGATAGGATGTAATCAAGGCTTAAAGTAGATGAAAGATAGTAGATAATAACAATAGATAGATAGATACAGTCTCCCATTCCTAACCATAACCCAAAACAACCGTCAAAGACACACGATACGTAAGTAAAACGAACATGTCATCACTCGTAACGTCTGACCAGGTAGATAGTGCCAGCCAGACGATGATAAACAAGACAGAACTAGTAGACAGAACGCATATATATGATCAAGAATGATTCAAACGGATTCAAGAACAATTTCAAGAACGAGTCAAGAACAAGCCGAGAACGAATCAAGAACAAGTCAAGAACGATTCATCGCAATTCATCAGTCATCGCAGATACGATAGTATCGTCAGTTTACGAGGCTAAACCTTCATCGCAAACTGCTTCAGATACAGGTAATCGGCCATGTTGGCGTCGACCGTCTTGCGGATAAGCGCGGCTGCGTCGGCGCCGTACTTGGCGGTCCAGTCCTGGTCGTACTGTTCTTCGGTTTTGACGGGGCGGGGCTGGTTTGGTTAGTTTCTCTGCATTGACTTTAATGTCATCATTGGGTAGTAGATGGATAGACATACATGTTTCCGCGCCTGTAAGCCCCCAGACTCGATCGCGTCGTTGTGGAAGCCCCTCCACTTCTCGAACTTCTCGCCCACGTAGTGATGCTCTTCAGGGCTGTCCCACTGGAGCATGTCCGGGTCGTACTCGACCCCGACACTGCGGCAGAACGCCTCGATCATGGGCGCCGGCTTGTCGAGTAGGTCGTCCGCGTCGATGACGCAAATCTCGTCGCCTGCGCGGCCACCACCGCCCACTCCGTTGGAGACCACCGCGCGACGGCGGTTGTCGACGATGTCGTCCGCGGAGTCCTCGCGCGTGGCGACGTGTGGGCCGATCTGGCCCTCGGCGCGCAAGAAGTCGAACATGCGGCGCAGCTCGTCGTAGCCCGCCTCCGACGGGTCGTAGTAGTAGAATCCAGTGACGTCGTCAAGCGGCGGGATCGTGCAGCGGTAGTACGACGGCACGCTGAAGTGCGGGTCGCGGATCAGGAACGCGAAGTGGAACTGCGCCAGCGTGGCCTTGGGCATGATTGTTGGGTTGCCTGGTTCGGCAGGTGTGCCGTATGGGTAGGGCTGCTTGGACGCGATTTTGAGCGGCTTCGTGTATTTGTCGGTGGGGGCTTGACTGCGCCGATCCGCGTCGGTGCCGTCGGCCCCAGGGGTGCCGTTGGGACAGCTGCCGCCGTTTGCTGTCCCCACGGCGGAATCATCGCCGTTGGCGACCGGGTTGGTCCCGACGCCGCGTTTGATTCTCTGCAATGAGGGGGCGATACTGGCGGGGAGCCTGTCGGGAGGAAGAAGGTAGTGCATGATGTCCTTGATGAAAATGCGCTTGTCCTGCCATCGGTAAGTGACTGGCCAGGAAGAGAATAAACAAGCAAGGCAAGTCTAGCACGGTAGATGAACAGGTTGGTCACGGGATTGCGGGGATTGGGGGAATGAGTGCATGAGATCCGACCACAGTCCAATGGATGCATAGTGCATGTTGAGGGGGTGCGAGAGTCTTGACAGTCCTTCGACAGACAGGTTGAAAAAGAAATGGCCAAGGAAAGAAGCAAGAAATCAAAACGAGTCGGGTCGGACCTCAGAAGCTTCATTCTCAATCCTCTGCAGCACGGTATTGAAGGTCGAATCAGCGAAGCCACTCTCGATACGGGCGGCTTCGTCATCGGCGAATCGAGTGGCCAGCCTTTCCGGACCATAGTAGAAGGCGTCTCCGAAGGGCTCGTGGATACATTGGATGGTATCCCGACGAGTCATGAAGACCTAGGACGGTTAGATTCGTCCGGGAGAGTGGGATGGAAAGGACTTGCACGTTCGAACGCCGTAGAACAGGCGCGAGGGTGAGTAGCGACGAAGATGGGTTTGGACGACATTTTGTCGGAGTGGTTTTTGAAATATCACGTATAGCAGTATATCGAGTATAGCACGTAGAGCAACAGCGGTAGCAGTGCAGTGCAGCAGGGCAGAGGTATCACGTATGCGGTCGTATATCTAGATATAGATATAGATACCGCCGGCCAGTTCACCAACAACCAGGGAGTCTAACCACCGGCGCAGCGACTGATCAGTGGGTCCAACGGGAATTGCCGCAGGACCGTTCTGTATCTCGCAAGGAAGAATAATCCTCCCAAGCAGAGTGGATGGGAAAGCAGGTGGAAACTCGAATCGTCAGGGGGATCGATCCAGTCAGAGGTGTGAGCGATGGCGAAATCCGACCGGGGGGAGGAGTGATCGGGGGCAACGGCGGTTCTTATATATTGAAAAATAAAAATCGATTTGAAAAAAGGCAACCAAAAAAGTCCACCCCAAAAAAGAAACCGGGAAAATTCAACCAGGAAAAAAAAGGAAAAACGTAAAAAAATCCCAGCAAGGAAGGGAAGTGGATGAGAGAGAAGGCTGTTTCACCCGTGGAACCACCATGCCACCAATGCGCGATATTCGACCATTCCTAACCATCGTGGGATTTGTAGGGAGGACGAGTGGTGTTGGGCCCGGAATTGTTCGCCTGATTATTCGATTGATACTGATAATGGTTAATAATAGCGGGCGTTATAGACAACGATGCGCAAGGCTTGGAGCAGATAGGTCAACTGCACGAGGAGAATTCGGATTGCGATCTGCAGGGAGACCCCTCGCCTTGCGACGTATCCACCAGAGCCTAGACATCATCTCGATGAAGTCAGAACAAATAAGCGTGCGAAGGCGAGCGAAGAGGGGCGGATGGGTTTCCACCTTGTGACGTCAGGGAGGGCGGCTTGGGCGGGAATGACGTGAAAAATGGACGAGTGAGAGAGATGGAAAGGAGAAAAAGAAAGCAGAGAAGGAGGATGAGAATACGAGAGAGTCGAAGAGGAGGATGAGGGGTAAATGTCGCCTTGCAGGAAACTAAGGATTAGATCGGGGAGAGAAGAGGAATCCGTGAGATTTGGTGGATCTTTTGGATTTGACTGGAGGTGCATCGTGCTTCATGTACCCAGGCATGCTGGTACATAAGCGTCGTGATATTGCATGGATTAGTCATCTCTTATGCTGATAGATAACTATCACCACATCAACACTTCAGCTTCACTTCAACACCTCAACACCAACATCTCCCTTACTCGACTCTACTCTACCTCTCATAAGTATATACAATATGTCCCACAAACCTCCCCTCCCCTCCACTACGTGGAACCCCACCCAGTACCTCAAATACCACTCCCAACGCACCCGCCCCGTCCACGACCTCCTCTCCCGCATCCCCCAACTCCCCTCCACCAGAGAAGCACCCACCATAATCGACCTAGGCTGCGGCCCGGGCAACTCCACCGCCGCCCTCCGCTCGCACTTCCCAACAGCGCACCTCACAGCCCTCGACTCCTCCCCAGACATGCTCGCGCGCGCCCGCGCCGCCAACATCCCACCCCCGGTGCACTTCGCCCTCGCCGATCTCCGCACCTACGTGCCCCCCACCCCCGCACCGGACCTCTTTGTCGCCAACGCCGTCCTCCACTGGGTGGACCGTAAGCGTCGTCTGCCGCTTGTGCGCGCCCTGCTCGAGTCTCAGCCCCCCGGCGGGGTGTTTGCTTACCAGGTCCCTGATAATCTGGCGGAGCCGTCGCATGTGCTGATGAGGGAGGTCGCGAGGGAGGAGGGGCCCCGTGGGAGGGGGTGTTGCGGGAGGCGGGGCGTTGGATGGGGGTCGAGAGGCGGTTGAGGATCCGTTGGAGGTGTGTGATTTCTTGGAACCGGTTTGTGGGAAGGAGGTTGATGTGTGGCGGACTACGTATTACCATGTGTTGAGGGATCATGACGAGATTGTGGAGTGGGTTAGTGGGACGGGGTTGCGCCCGTTTTTGGAGCCGCTGGGGAACGGGGAGCTGAGGGAGGCGTTTTTGGAGAGGTATAGGGCTAGGTTGGAAGATGCTTATCCGGCTGCGAGGGATGGGGCGTCGGTGTTGTTTCCGTTTCCGAGGCTGTTTGTTGTTGCGGTTAGGAAGTAGGGGTCTTTATACTTTTGATTATGCCTCTTTGCTCAATTTCCTTTCCTTGGTCAAGGAAAGGAGTGCTTCAATGATGATATGACTAGGTTATAGCGCATGCTACTGCTGAGCTCGATACCACCGTGCAATCTCCCCCGTTTGGCAAAACTCCACCTCGTCTCCCCACCCCTTCAGCCACCCTAGCAGTCGCTCCATCATTCCAATAACATGCGCCATCCCGCTCGTGTCCGGGTGCATCAGCACTGGGAATACGGGGTTTTCCTCGTTCTCGCGGATCCACAGGAACCGGTCGCGCCAGAGGTTCTCGACCACCCGCACGTCCGTGTACCCGTGCGAGTTGTGCGTGTGCGGCAGGTACTGCATCGGCGTCATGTCCTCCATGTACCAGTTACAGGGCACGCAGACTAGGGGGCGCCGGTCCGCCGTCGTGGGTTCGATGGGGTTCATCCACGAGGACGCGGGCTTGGAGAAGTCGATGGTCTGGAGCGGGGGTCTGCGCGGCGCGAAGAACGGGTGGCAGTCATGGTCTGTGAGGGAGGCATCTATTGGCTGATTAGACCAATTCAATCATCACCATGTCCGACAGACCTACCGTATTCAAACCCATACTCCTCCAACAGGTCCAGCGTCGACTCCCGCAGCTGATACAGCGGCGCCCGGTACCCGACCGGCTTCTTGCCCGTCAGCTTGGTGGCGAGGTCGATGCAGCGGACGAGCACATCCCGTTCCTGATCGGGAGTCATCTGGTACGCTCCTTCATGAGCATACCCGTGCAACCCAATCTCGCATCCCGAGTCGACCACCTCTTTCACCTCCGCTGGGAAGCTCTCCGCGGAGTGACCTGGGATGAACCATGTGCAGCGGTCCGCCAGATCTAGCTTCTTCAGCATCTTCAGCAGACGAGGCACGCCCACTTGGGCGGCAAAAAAGCCGGACGAATAGTCTGCCAAAACATTGTCGGGATGGTGACCTTGACTTTGTTTTAGTGTCTTTGATCGAGGGGGGTGGAAACACATCACTCACCCGTGCCCAGCCAGCCGGAGACCGCGTCCAGGTCAATCGACACGGCAATCCGGATCTTATTCCGCTTGGGGGCCGACAACGCCGCGGGAATTGATTGAGTCGTCTGAGGGCCCGTGACCGTACTGGTGCTCGCCCCGTTGATACCCAGGCACTGACCCGAGATATTTCCCGCAGCACGATGAGAAGCAAGGAAAACCACCGTCCGGGCGACATCCTCCGGCCGTGCGGCATTCCGCTCATCCAGGCCAACAGCATTGATCCGAGCATTACCATTCAACCGGACGATATCGTCCTTCACGCTCTGCACCAACCCCGCCTCACCTCCAACCACAACAACCGCCAGATTCTCGAGCTCTTTACCCAGACTTCGCTGCGCCGTCTGGGCCTCCCGCAGAAAGTGCTTCACGGCTAGAAACGGCCCCCGCACAGTCACGCGGTGGACCTCCTCCCATGTCTTCAGGGGGAGGTCCCAGATGGGAGAGTGGCTCCTTGCAGCGGGGCAGTCCGCATTCACGAGTAGGATGTTAATCGGTCCAAAGCGCTTGCCGGCCAGGGCGATGCTAGAGCGAACGGACTCTTCGTCGGACCCGTTGCCTTGCAGGGTGTTCAGACGTGCGTATGTTTCTGTAGGTGTGTTTGGCTGGTTGGGATCTGGCCTGGAATCTGACCGTTTGGGATCCGGTCGGTTGGAATCAAAAGCCGAGACCTTGCAGCCGTGGTCTGGACGTAGATTAGTGACACAGAAACAATAAAAAATAGAATAGAGTGGGATAGAATAGGAATACTAGAAAGACGAACGGAGAAATTCTTGGACTGCCTGTTTGCCAACGGGACTGGCAGCCTCAGTCACAAAGACATGCAGACCCTCCAGGCCCAGAAACGAGGGATGCGCCATTGTTACGTGGGGCCTTCTGGGAACAATACAATATCTGGGGAAGACAGACAGCCGGGCCTCAAGAAACCTACTATGAAGCAGGGAAAGAGTCTGTGCTTAGTAGTTGTTAGTTAGTGTTATCGTAGGCAGATCCTAGCAATAAGGTAGAATGTAAGACAAACTCCAGCGGTCAGAACTCAGAAGTTGTTAGCTAACTTAGGCAATTAGTTGCCTCGACTCGACTCGTCACCATACAGAAAGAAGGCGGCCAGATCACGGGGTGACTAGCCCGTTAGCTGCATTCCTCGCCGTCTTGTCATGTAAGTTGTAAATTTCACGCCTGAAACATCTATACCGTTTTGATTGTTTCAGATGGGAATTTGAACAAAGGATCCATTTGGACTAGGTATGAATTCTTTATGTGGGATGCGACTGGGGTGTAGCCAGGGTGTTGTGTTTAAGCTCCTGCTAATGCACGCCTCGGTATTATCAATAAATTCATAATAACAATCAACAGTCATAATACTCGAATCAAGAACAACAACAACAATGGCAGAAGAGACAGGAGACCAATGTCTTTTAGTGGGGTGAGTCGTGACATAAAGAGTCAAGCCATGCCTAGGTTTCAATTTTTACTATGGCGTACCAGTAGTAAGTACCCAGGGGAGAGATATCCACTTGCTAATATAGACAAGACAGCTCTGTTCTGTTAGTGAGGTCTCACTTTTGACGGGTTGGTGGCTGATGGGGCTTGAATTTTGCGAGAAGACGTTGGCAGTTTACGGTACCACTATCATTATCCATATATTTAATTTATAATTACCTCGTTTAGAGCGAAGTGGAATGTCAGTGTCATTCTCAACGGTGATCGACACGGTTCATGCTTTTTAGCATTTCTATTGAGAACATGTATAATAGAGGATAATATAGGTCACTACTCACTACTCACCTACAGTAGTTGACAGCGACACCACGTGGGTGCGTGGTTGTCGATCATGAATTAACCAAGCCATTTGCTACCTAATGGATATGAGAATAGGAACCGAATACGGACTACCACCGGAAGACGTACGGAGAGAGAGAACGAAAGACAGAGATCCACCCTATCAGGTCAAGTCACCCCCAAGGTTCTCACATTTCCATAAATCCCGTTCGGTCCTGTCTCGGCTCCAGCCCGAAGGACTTCATGTCGGATGGAAGTAGGAGTAGGAGGAGGAAGTAGTGCGGTATTTCTTCACTATACTTTCTTCAGCACTAGCAAACTCCTACTAGCGATTTACTCCAAAATCCTCTTGTATATTCAACCATCTCCTCCTATGAAACTTCCCATACCATATAGGCCGTACACAATGCACAGCCAGAATGAACCGACATCGGTCGGCAGCGGTACCTATCCCGTCCCGTCCGCCCAGGACATACCGAGTATACGTCTTTCACGGAAATAACGCACCAGACGATCTGCGTTCCTGGATCCGTGGACTGCGGTTGTGATCGTTGCCCGACTGGTGGCGAGTGGGTGGGTCCCGAGCTGGTTGATCCATGGGATTGGGTTTTGTATAGGGTTTGATTACAGTACGGATTGGAGTTGGAGTATTGGGGTATTGGGGTATACCTGGTATCTAGTTATTTGAGATAAGAGTTAGATGGGATGTTAGTATATGGAGAATCAAGTGGGTGAAGGGGATTGGGAGTGTAATTGAGCTTACTGAATTAGATACGCAGCATATCTAGGTAGTAACTAGTAAGCAAGAATTGATAAGGTTCGGTTTGTAAAGTCAACATTGAGTCGATTTGGGTAATATAGTTAGTTAGTTAGTTACTTGGTAGATAATTGCCGTCATCAACAAGACTAACTACCAGGTAACACCCCACAGGGCATACACAAGGTAGACCTACAATCCACGGTAAACGATGGATACCTAATTACTACCTACCAGAGAAGTAACTGCTCGGTTAAACCAGCGGAGTATAACCAGCGGGGAAGAATAGAGAAATACAGATCAGATAGCAATACCATACCATATACTAGGTATGTATGGTAAGTATGTAAGTATGTAAGTCAGAACCGGTAACGGTCTTCGATCGGGAGATCGGCAGTTGGGCGCACAGCTCAGCCGGCATCCTTGACTTGACTTTAGCTTTGACTTTGACTTTGACTTCTCGCCAAGGTTAAAGTTGCGTAGGTACTTTCCTTATACACAGTGGTAAACTCAGCACTGCGTTTATGAACATAAATTATCAATCTTTTTACTTATTTGTTACTTGGTAAGAAAACCCCAGGTAACTATCAAGATAGGTAAGTAACACAATGCATCCCCCAGCAGTCCCCATAAACCATCAACATCAAACACCAACCCCGTGATCTACACACACAGTAATCTATCCAGTACGGATGCGCCCCGAATAAAACCTCGTTGTCACCCGCCCTAGTCCCAAGTAGTAAAAAGAAGAGGAATGGAAGGAAAGATGAACCTCCAGAACCACGGTTCGCGGGCTTCGGGTTCTGGTCGGTTTGGTGGGTTTGTTTGGTTCTGCGTTGCGAGGTCCCCACTTTTGCGCGCCGATCGGGTTTGGGGTCGGTGCCGGTGGTTGGTGGCAGGGGGGTGTTTGGGGGGGGGGGTGGTATGGGTGCGGGCTGTGTTTGGGGTACGGTGTGTATACACTACCAATTTGTTGGGGTATGACTCGGGTTGTATGAAGTAGCTGTGTATGTATATGATGGTTTCGAGGCGAGGTTGTAGTTCTTCCAGTGTAGTGGTGGAGCGTCTTATCGGATGATAAGATACGATAAGATAGTACGGATAGTATGTATATAGTCAGATCTGTTCCATCTAGGTAACGCGCATAGGTATCATTCTAACAAATCAAAATGTATACAAGAAATTAAGTAAATTACGGTTCCGGTTGACGGACGTGACCACCATGTTCAACATAATCAGGCGGCCGTTCCTCCCGTTCCACCGTGACAGTCACATCCTGGCGGATACGGAGCGCACGTTCAGAGCCATCCTCGCTGGGCATCCGCTCGTCACTATTCGAGTAGCTGGTAAGGTCCGAAACAGGCTTCTGCGAGGTGACCATGCTGCGGTTGTAGGTGTTCATGCTGACGTCGCCGGACCGGAACTGACTGGGCGGTCCGTAAGGGCGGTGGGCGGAGGTGGCCTTGCTGTTGTTGCCGAAGCGGTACCAGTCCTTGGTGGTGCGCTTGGAGCCGCCTGTCCAGCTCTTGAGGACGGGGAAGACGTCGCGGAGCAGCGACCAGATGAGCGGCAGGTTGGTGACGAGGATGGCGACGGTTGCTTCGCGGAAGTACCAGTTCATGTAGACGTAGGAGATGAGGGAGGGGACCAGGCAGTAGACTTTGTTGAGGATGGCGGCGACGATGACGAAGATGCCCATGCCGAAGAGGATGATCAGGATGAGCTTCTGCTTGAGCTGCACGCGGACTTGGGCGAGGAGGGGGATGCCGATGAGGAGCATGAAGATGTCGGCGGAGATGGAGATGCATCCTTGGACGATTTCGTAGTATTGGTAGGAAGAACATTGGTCTGGTGCTGTTAGCTTCGGGTTGATATGAGGAGGGCTGAGTTGAACTGACAGTCCGGGGTCGGCACGGCCCAGTAATTCGTCAGAGGCCGACAGATCAAGAAGAGAGATAGCTCAACGGCGACAAATCCAAATGCGACGTAGATGGCCAGATAGTTGACCCATCTGCGCTGTTGTAACCCGTTCCTGTCCTTTGTTAGATAGAGATTATAGCGAACAGCGAGAACGGAACGTACGTGATGCGGGCATATATTACCAACATGCAGGCCTTCATTGACCAGACCGCCAGTATAAAGGCGTGCTCGGATACGAACACCCACTTACTCCCACTCTCTCGCTCTGCATGGATGGCCGGCGTCAAGTGCTTAATGTCTTCGTCGTCCATCAGGTTAGATCCTCCCCCGGAGGCAACCTGATTCAAAGCAACACAGAGAATCGTATACCATATCACCGCCGATACCATCAAGTAGTCATCTGCTTGGAGGTTCCGGAAGCCTAACCGTCGTATCCGTGCAATGCTGTCAAAAACGGTCAATACTGGACGAAAGTGGTGGGTATTCAGATGGCACCTACAATCGCATCACAACCCCCAGAAGCCCAACCGCATAAAGCGTCCATGTTTCTTTGGCAAAATCTCGCCCGAATTCCGATCCGAGACTCGACATCTTGATCAGGCACCAATCCGTCGAGAAGAAGAGAGAGAGGTATGCAAGGGCCCGAAGACGACTAGTGGGAAGCGAGGAGTTTAAGAGGAGCCACGCACATCATACCAAGAAAACTGGGGAGTCGGGCTGAGGATGAGGATGAAGGACTATTGGATTGCGAGCCACACTGGGGAAGCCATGTAAAAAAGCGGTAATAAATCCCAGATACACAAACGGCGGAAGGTTCCATGGGTCCAACCTCAGGCCCATAGGCGAGGAGGGAAAGAGTTGCGGGTCGATGCGGACCATTTACATGAGAAGATTTCCCTGTCAGTACGGAGTACTTCATACTTCCTACTTCATATTCGATACAGTAATACAATTTATTTCTCTATTCTATTTAGATTATACTTTGTTTTCTCCCTTCATAACAGGGGTGTTCGCCCCTGGCGGAATTTGGTAGAAACCGACTGTACCTACTGAGATTGGAGTGGCCCAAGAGATCTATAGAGCGCAAATCATACACCACGTGCGGGATTTGAACCTGGACAAGTGGGGATCGGTTCATCTATGGTGTTTTTCTCATTGCATGATGTTTGATATGGAACATCCACTGCTGATCACCATCCTCTCCATTTCTTTTTTTTTTTTTTTTTTTTTTTTTTTCTTTTTCTTTTTTGTCCAGAGCTTTCCCTCTTTGTCCTTTTTTAATTAATCCATTCATTTAATCCCTTCAATCTCGGTGGTCTTCTCCCCCAACTCAAAACACCGGTCTTTACCCATGGTATCCAGGGCCTTGTAACACTCCCTTAACTGGTCGAGGTAAAAATGGTTCCATGGTCATCCTTCTCTGTCGTGCTTCCCCTGGAGATCATCTGCATTTTTCGTCCTTCCACAGCTGATCTTTTCTGTTTTCTCTCCTGTTACTATCACGCGAGGATACAGCTCCAGCTGTCACTCTTCCCATGGCCCCCGCCTCCATCCATAGATCCTTTGACCGGCCTAACTCGGGTTATTGGCTGGCAGGGCAGCTGGATAATTACGTATCCAGTACTAGTGGTACTGTAACACATCGGTATTAAGTACAGCTGAGGGTGCTGACTGACAGGGTGAATGATTTGCCTGATCGATCGGGACCACCGAGTGGGTCCAAAAGGTCACATCGTGCTCGATGACGGACTGCAACCGAACCCTCAACCCTGCAGGCTGTTCCGATGGCTTGGGTGGCCTTTTGACTTCTGATTTGACGAACTACCTTGCCTCTCGGATAGTCTCCGGCTGTTTTTGATAATGGCATTGTGCGGCGGACTACCACACAATTCCAGCAAACCTTCTGTCCTTGGAGATTGCAATTTTCCTCCCAACCAGATCCAGATCTTTGTCATGCCTCTACCAGATCACCACGTTCGCGAGAGATCTTCCCGAGTACTTGATCAATGTGAGAAGCGCTACTGCAGACAGTGTGGACCACACGGGCCTTTAATGTATTTCTGTATATTGCGACGATATGAACGATATTTATAGCACCTTCCCATTCTAGAAGTCATCTCCTGGTCTCCAAGACAAAAATAAATGCAGGGGAAAAATTTCCCTCAACTAAGCTTTTGGTCTGGGCTAGTGGCATGACAAGGTCAGCCATGTACCAGCCATCCATGAGGTCCGATCGGGACTTGTTGCCTTGCGATCTCGCGCGCCCGATCGTACCATTTGAGTGGCTATGATCACTCAGCTGTCGGGTCCTCCCAGCCAGTCGTCCTATAGTGCGCGGGCCTTTGACTTTCGGATGGAAGAACCGGCCATCTACCGACTCAGGAATTCCACATTTACAATGAGTCAGGTCCAAGACATGATCAAGGCTTCTCAGCTGAAAGCACACAATGGCCACCGTGGGCGACAAGTCTAGAACTGTCCGTCTATTGAATGCCCCATTGAATGTCCATTGAACACTCTCCGATGGAAAGATTCAAGATGGGTTTAACCCTGGATGGAAGGAGATTTAAGATAAGGTTAATCTTGTACCGGATTGCCTAGACTTCAGGGGCGATGGTGGCAACACCACCAGCCATGGCTAACAACGCCACTGACAGGGGTGTCAGGGGTCGTTCCATTGCTGTTTTTGACGGGTCGCATTGTCTTGTGGTAACAATGGCATCATGACTATTAGGGTCAACCCATTGAGGTAACACTCTTTTCATCCCATCTTCATACACACAGACACACAGTCGTGATTCAAGTTATTGGGTAGAAACTGAGATGCAGGGGTCAACCAAAAGACCTCCGAGTCATCTGTTGAAGCTCCCCCATCCGGTAAAGGGCGATAATCCCGCTTCTCCGCATTCCTCCGCCCTTCAACCAGTCATGGTCCGTGATAACCACGAGAGAGGAGCACTGCTATTGATTGGATGTGGTTGATGGATTTCCCCGTCTCCACAGTGGTATCTACTAGTAAGATAAGAGGTTCAAGGGAAACGGAGGTTGTATTGATCGCCACTGAGAGACATGGATCCATTCATTTGTTAACTTTTAGCGGAGTACACCACGCTTTAGTGTCTCGTACTGGCGACATCGTCCGGAGTACTTCTCCAATACCCTTGCATTTCTCTACCGATTTCTCTTTTTGTTCAAGGTTCTGTCCGTATCTAGGGGTTTGTCCGAACTTCTCCTTCTTCTAATTGTATCCTCTTGTCGCCCACCTTTCGAAGTCGTCGTGGGACGAGCTCTCTGATCTTGGAGTTTCTGTCATTCCTTTCCCCCCCCGCCGATCTTTAGTAAACATACCACAGTTGAAATCATCCCTCTTTGCTACTGTTCCAGTCTTTGGTCTTGTTTCCTGATTTTGCATTCCCATTCATCCATTCATTCCTTACACTCCTGACATCCCTGACGTCTATCTCGTCCATTCTCCCATTCCTACATTTTTAGTCATTGTTCCACGTCCTTCTCGACGGAACGCTTCCCCCATGTTAGAGATGGATTCTATGGAGGAGTCCAAGGTGGCCGCGACGGATTCGTCCGCAGAGACACGGTCGTCGACGGAATTGGTCAACGCCTCAGGCCATCGCCAAGAAGTCGAGCGGAATTTCAGCCTGATCAGCATCTGTGCCGTCGCCGTCACCACGGGAAACACATGGATTGCCCAAGGAGGGAGTATAACGACCGCATTGAGCAATGGAGGGCTATCTGGGGTCATGTACGAGTTCATCGCCGTGTCGATATGCTATTGGCTGGTCGCTGCGTCGATCGCCGAGCTTGCATCGGGGATGCCTTCGTCAAGTGGAGGTATGTCGGTTTGAAGTGTGCGCTTGACGAAATTCGTTGTCGCTGACTAGGTCGCAGTCTACCACTGGGCTTCCATCACGGCTGGTAAATGGGGACGGGTGTGTGGTTTCTTCGCGGGGTTCTGGAACTGCCTGGCTTGGATCTTGGGTGCCGCGTCTATGTCGTCCATCCTGGGCCAGCAGACCGTCTCCATGTATGCACTGATGCATCCTGGCTTCGAACCCGAGCAGTGGCACATCTTTGTCAGCTTCATCCTCTGTACCTGGATGTGCTGCTGTATCGTGCTGTTCTGCAACCGCATCCTCCCGTATATCGGCAATATGGGTGGATTCTTCATCCTGGCCGGTGTGTTCATCGCCATCGTCGTCTGCGCCGTCATGCCCCACGTCAACGGTACGGGCTACGCCTCCGATAAGGACGTATGGCGTACCTGGGAAAATGGGACGGGATATTCGAGCCAGGGTTTCGTCTTCGTCGCTGGCATGCTCAACGGCGCTTACAGTGTGGGCACCCCCGACTGCTCCACGCATTTGGCCGAGGAGATCCCCCATCCGAGCCGCAACATCCCCAAGGCCGTCCTCGCTCAGATGAGCACGGGTTTCATAACCGGCATCCTGTACATGGTGGCCATCTTCTACGCGATCAGCGATCTGCCGAGCGTTATCGACAGCGTCTACGGCTTCCCCCTGGCAGAGATCTACCACCAAGCCACCGGCTCTCGCGGCGGTGCTCTCGGACTCCTGATCGTCACCTTCATCCCAACCGTCATCACCTGCGCCGGCTGCTACATCACCGCCGGCCGCACCCTCTGGACCATCTCCCGCGACCGCGTCACCCCGGGCTCCCGCTGGCTCAGCCGCATCAACAGCCGCATGCACAACCCCTTCAACGCCACCGTCGTCTGCGGCGTGATCGTCACCATCCTGGCCTGCATCTACGTCGGGTCGGAGACCGCATTCAACGCCTTCGTCGGCGCCTTCGTCCAGCTCTCCAGTCTGTCCTATTTCACCGCCATCTTCCCGCACATTCTCACCCGTCGCTCGTCTTTCGTCCCGGGCCACTTCTGGATGGGCCGCGTCGGCTACGCCGTAAACATCCTGAGCTGCACCTACATCCTGGCCTTTGTGGTCATCTTCTGCTTCCCCTACGCCCTGCCCACGGACGCCGCCACCATGAACTATACGAGTCTGATCACCGGCGGCTTGACCATCTTCGTTGCTGTCTGGTGGCTCATCCGCATGAGAACCTACGAGGGGCCCAAATTCGTCCCGCTGACAGACAAGGTCCTGATCGCGGATGCCAAATAGGCGCCCTCGGGGGCTGTGATAAAAGTTGGTGGTGCTCTATAGATTTCCGACCGCTGTCTTAATTTTCTTCTATGTTTGGCGCATGTCACGATATCCACATGATTTGTATATTTTAATTATATAAGACTTGAAGTTTCAACATTCAACTATCTCCCTTTGGGCGTCTCATCTGATGAGTGTTTCATGTTTCACACTCACGCAACTAACCTTCTAATCCATACTTGCTCCCCACTTCTTCAATCATACTATACACTATACAACATCTACCCGTAATCTATCCCCACCCACTAGTTGCGCAAAGACAAACCCACTCCAGGCATGGAACCCCGCCTTATCGCCGATAAGGGTCACGTGACGACGCGTTTCCAACCGCGTCCTCATCTTTCCCGATCCGTCCAGCCCCAATCCACCCATGAAGATGCGGATACCTCCACGAACTAATCCACCATCATCGCGATGGTCTTCAAACCCTTCAAACCTCCTCTAATGAGGAAACCCACAGTCCCGTCCACGACAGACACAACAGACGGACCAGCGGATCCCGCCCCTCCCCCCTCGAAGAAACCGCGTCTGAGCGACGAGCACAAGCAACCTGCCACCGAAACGAGCAGGAAGCCGTTGGTGCAGGTGCGGAATGTGCGTGAGCATCACCACGACTACCCGGTGAAAGACAAGAACAAGGAGAAGGACAACTCGGTGGATTTGACAGATGATAGATATTTCAACGCTTTGTGGTAAGTGTTCTCCCGTTTTGAATTGACATTCGACAAGTGGCACAGCTAACGCGCTTGGAAAAAAACAGGCGCAAACCGACGACGAAGAAGAATAAGACGTGGGATGGGGACGGCGTGCTTTCTGCGCGTGATGGGTATGTTTATTTGCAGGATGTTTCTGGGAAGGAGATGGGAAGGGCGATGATTGGGGCGAGGCTTGAGCAGGGTGTTATGTTGTCCATTGGGGGGAAGGAGGTTGAGGTCGATGAGGAGATTCCGAGGGAGGAGTATCTTTCTGGGAAGAGGTTTTTGGGGGGGAGGGAGGCGAAGCCTTCTCCCTCGGTATCGTCGTCGACGTCTCTGGTGGGAAAGGGGCCAGCCAGTGTTTCTGCCAAGAGGACGGCGGGTTCTACGGGGGAGACGAAGCTGCCGCGGGCTGGTGCGATTGCTACGGTGCCGAATCCTGCGTCGTTGGGTAGACCTGGGGCTAGATTGGGTGCTTATAAAAGGCCGCTTTGGGAGGGTGCTCCGCTCGCGCAGAATACGGCTTCTACTGCTGAGCCTATTCCGCGGCATGATCCGAAGCAGCCCGGCGCTTTGGTGATGAAGCGGCCGGCGTCTGCGCCCAAGGGGAAGCAGATTGTTGATGTCGTGGTGGATCCTATTCTCGTCAAGCATTTGCGGCCGCATCAGCGGGAGGGCGTTCAGTTCCTCTACGAGTGTGTGATGGGGTTGCGGCCGTTTAATGGTGAGGGGGCTATCCTGGCGGATGATATGGGGCTGGGGAAGACCCTGCAGACTATCGCGCTGCTGTGGACTCTTCTCAAGCAGAACCCTATCTATGAAAGTGGCCCCGTCGTGAAGAAGGCGCTCATCGTCTGCCCTGTGACGCTCATCAACAACTGGCGGAAGGAGTTCAAGAAGTGGCTCGGAAACGAGCGGATAGGAGTCTTTGTGTACGATGACAACAGAAAACGCATCACGGACTTCACGATGGGAAAGGCATATAATGTCATGATTGTGGGCTATGAGAAGTTGAGGACGCTGCAAGAGAACTTGACCAGAGGCGCTGGGGTCGATATTATCATTGCCGACGAAGGCCATCGGCTGAAAACGCTGCAGAATAAGAGCGGTATGGCAATCCAGTCGCTGAATGCCAACAAACGGGTCATTCTCTCTGGCACGCCAATCCAGAATGATCTGAGGGAGTTCTTCGCCGCCGTTGAGCTGGTCAATCCCGGCGTGTTGGGGACTTTCAAGGCGTTTGTTCGGGAGTTTGAGGGGCCGATTGTGAGAAGCAGACAGCCAGAGGCAACCCGGAAGGACATTGAAAAGGGCGAGTCGAGGAACGAAGAGCTGCGAGAGCTCACCTCCAAGTTCATGCTGCGCAGGACAGCGGAGATTTTGGCAGAGTACCTTCCCCCGAAGTCGGAGTATGTCTTGTTCTGCACTCCGACGTCAACCCAGGCAAACATCTACCGGCATGTGCTTGCGTCTCCGGTGTTCCAGTATGCCATTGGAAACTCGGAGAACGCTCTCCAGCTCATCACTATTCTCAAGAAGCTCTGCAACAGCCCGTCCCTTCTGACTCCCAAAAGTGCAACCGAGGCGCCCAGCGAGACGATCTCCGCACTCCTATCTTCCCTTCCCCCAAATCTACTCCGCCACTTCTCTCCCTCCGCCAGTGCCAAAATCCGTGTCCTGGACCAGTTTCTCTACAACCTACGCAACACGACCTCAGAAAAGGTCGTTCTCGTCTCAAACTACACATCCACCCTCAACCTCCTCGCCACCCTCCTCACCGCTCTCTCCCTCCCCTTCCTCCGCCTCGACGGCTCCACCCCAGCCCAGAAACGGCAATCCCTCGTCGAGGATTTCAACCGCCACCCACCCGACCTCTGCTTCGCCTTCCTCCTCTCCGCCAAAGCAGGCGGCACAGGTCTAAACCTGATCGGCGCCAGCCGCCTCGTCCTCTTCGACGTCGACTGGAACCCAGCGACCGACATCCAAGCCATGGCGCGTATCCACCGCGACGGCCAGAAACGCCACTGCCGCATCTACCGTATCCTACTCAAAGGCAGCCTCGAAGAGAAGATCTGGCAGCGCCAGGTCACCAAGCTGGGTCTTGCGGACAGCGTCATGGAGAAGAAGAATACTGCAGCGCAGTTTTCCCGCAACGAGCTGAAGGATCTCTTCCGACTGGATCAGGAAAGCCGGTGCCAGACTCACGAACTCCTTGGGTGCGAGTGCAATGGCACCGGCCGTGTTGGCCTCCCGCCTAGCGATGGTCCCTTATCAGACGATAAGAAAGACGACGACGACGAAGATGAAGAAGAGGACTTCCCTGACCTCCCCACCCTCATCAAAGCCTCCCAGGTAGACATGGACCAGCAAGAAAAACAAATCCGATCCCGACAACGAGGGCGCCGTTCTCGGCAGATAACAACAATATCTTCTTCCAGCGACAACGAAGAAACAGAAGACGGGGTGGAAGAAGAAAAAGATGATGATGATGACGACGTCCGCCCAGGCCGCTCCTCAAAGCAGCTCCAAAACATGCACCAGTCTCTCGCGCAGTACGCGCATATCGATCCCTGTCTACTCTCTGGTAATGAGGGAGAGAGTATCCAGCAGAGTATCGATGATGATGTGCTGCTTTCTGTGCTCAGGGATGAGGATAATCGTGTTGGGTACATCTTTAAGAAGACTAGTGCGGGAGAGGCGAAGGTTGATGCGTGATGGGTTTCCTTTCCTTCGTCTTTCCTGTAGGTATTGGCGTTGGTGTTGTTGTTGCTGCTGCGGCTGGTCTGGTTATTGTGCATTCTCTACGTGCGTTAGGATGATGATCATATATTTTTGCGTTAGGTATACATACATATCTAGTTAGACTTAGACTTGAGGATTTACATACAGCATACATACAGCACGCATACATACAAAGACACTATCTGTGTATGACTCTAGATATGACAGATTGATGGATAAACAATCACACACCATAGATAGATAATGCCCGAGTACCGGATATCAATTTCTACGTAGGTAGGTAAGTAAATACTTAAGTACTATCATGCGAAACTACAAAGAACACACAGCCAGCATGGATTGATTGAGTTAAATCATTTATTTCGTCCATTCATTTCATTGGAACATGAAACAGTAAGTAGTCGTACACGTATACACATGGAAACATCACATAGCATCAATATTGACATCAACATCAACATAAGGTAGTGGTTCAAACTCAGTGGAAATGGAAAGTGTGAGCAAGCAAGGAAGCAAGGGAATTTGAAGTGAGAGACATACGAATCAGATATGATCGTGTAGGAGTGTGATGATAGATAGATAAGTAAAGACTGGGGAGGAGGGGGGCAAAGAGCAATTCTAGCAGACACGAATATCAAAATAACTGGCTTGGGTATGAGTATGCAGAACAAATGAACAGAACATCTTTCAGAAATTCTCAACAAGTAAAAAGAAAATGGAAATGAAAGAACAAATGTGGGAAAAAAGCAACTCCAACCATCAAAATGCAACCACAAAAGCAGAAGTTAATACCTCAACTTCCCCACCAACCCAAAAGTATAAGCCGCCTCCGCCTCACTCTTCATCTGAATCATATATATCTTAGTAACGCCGCTCGTGACGCCCCCCTTCTTCGGCATCGCGCCGTTTTCGTTCTCCGCCCGCATCGACACCGCGATGCCTGTGCGGGCCACGCGCTCGAAGGAGCTCTCGCCTAGACATGCGTCTAGGAGGACTTCGTTGCGTGTCTTGCCCCGGATAAGGATGCGTTTTTCGAGCTCGATGCCGCGCTGGGGGGACATTGCTCCTGAGGCTGGGGGGCTGTCGCCGCTCTCGTCGGGGCCTGTTGTCGCTGTGGCGGCGCCGTCGCTGTGTCGGCTTGCTGCTGTGTCGGGTCGGCGCGGGGGTGCTGGGGTAGCCGGCATGATGGTCAATCGGGCGGCGCCCATGTCGCGCCACTTGGACTGCGACTCGCGCATGTATAGGCGGATCTTGGCGTTGGACAGGCCGATGCCGTCTACGCCCTTGATGGCTGCGGCGATGCGGCCGATGCCGGAGTGTGGGTCTGAGCCCGAGCCGGCGGAGCTTGAGTATAGGCTGTCTTCGCGCTGCCCGCTTCGGGAGGTTATGCTTGATCGGGCGATGCTGAACATTTTGCTGCCGGCGCCGAAGCGCTTGAGCGCCGAGAACGCGCTGCTCATTGTTCCGACGCTGCTGTCGGAGTTGTCGGCGAGGGACCGTGGGGAGGTCGATGCTCGGTAGCTGCGGCGTCGGCGGGGCCAGCCGAAGAGTCCGCCTGTTTTGTTTGGGCGTTCCATTGGGACGGGCTGGTCGGCGAAGGGTCCGCGGGCGTTTTGCAGGGCGATGTAGGTTGGGTTGTTGATGCGCGCGTGGTTGATGAGGCCGTATAGGACTTCGCATTCGTCGGCGTTCCGGGAGCGGAACATGATGTTGTTGCTCCAGTTGATTTTGGAGCGTGGGGTGGGAGGGGACCGGATGCTGATGTCGATTGCCGTGCCACGGCGGATGGGTACCAGCGGCGTCAGCTCGAGGGCGATTATTGGGCGCCATTGCTTGGAGGGTGTGCCGTCGTAGTCCTCTGGGGGCGCGGCGCTCAATTCATATGCCTCGATCAATCCAGGACTGACAAGGATTTTACAGTCGTCTGATAGCAGACTCTCCCATGATCCTTTGTCCGACCAGGCATATACCGATGCAAGCGTGCTGGAGGACTTGCTGGGCTGCGGAGGGACAGATCTATACCCGCCCTGAGAGATGGGGTTCGAAGGAGAGATGGAGCTGGAGGCAGACGTGACGACCGAGCCCTGCACAGTCGATTTAGAGTCTTCAATTGTCCGTGTTGGGGATGATGCCATATCATCGTCAGAGTCATCTGAAGTATCCGATCCGGAATAGTCCGAGTCCGAGTACATATCATATCGCCGAACAGTCGATGTATCCGAGTCGGAATACGAGTCGGACGCCGTGGATGGCTCATATTCGTGTTTGAGGGGTGAGGATCCCCGGCGCCTGCCGTGGATTGTACTGGGGCTGAGGACGGGGGTGTTCGGGAGACTTGATCCGATGGAACTTGGCGAACGGGAATGCGAGGGAGGTGGAGGCGGTTCATCGTCATTGCACTGGTCAGAGTCCGAGTTCGAGTTCGAACGGGAATGAGTCTTGGCCCGCGATGGGCTGGATAAGGTAGAAGTATCGACGGGAGGGTAATCCTCCTCTTCATCAGACTCGGAGGGTAGTGATTGGGGAAGATAAGTCTGGCTGCTGTTCTGTCGGAGCTTCGGGATAAGAGGGAGATTCATCGAGGGAACAGAGGAAACTCGAGGAGAGTCTTGATCGGAGAGCTCGTTCGCCGGGGTTACGGGAGGGACCTGCGCTTTGGGAACCTTCTCACGGGGTGTCTCTGGAGCCTTGTCGGTGCGTTTCAGATCACCATGCTCTCGAGTAGGGGTTGACGGAGGATCTTCTTGTCCTGCGCGAGGCTCTTTCGGTGTGCTTGGGCTTGCTGGTGAGTTTTCTCCATAACGTGAAATCCTCTTGGCCTTGGACCGCTTAAGGCCAGTAGACCCCTTATCATCGGCATTACCAACTTTGCGAGGATCCCGGGCGTGCAGGATAGACGACTGCGGCGAGGCTTTCGCCGGAGACTCTTTTGTTGGGCTAGTCATATCCGAATCCCGAGTAATGGCGGTGTTCAAAGACAGTCGCGATTCTGTGGCCAAGGAAGACTCAATAGTGCTCGGATCAGATAACTGCTCTCTTGGCGAAGAACGGCGTAAGGTACGGGACGTCGCCCTCTCCCCGATCGGGACGTCTGCGCTGGTAGGGCTCGGGGGCATCTTGGGGACGGGGACACTGTCGGTGTTGGTTAGAGTCTGCGCCCGTTGTCTATGTTTCGCCCGCTCAATGAAGCTCTGGCTTCGCGAGACAGTAGGCGGCTTAGGTTCCATCCCCAGCATCTGAACCCATTCAAACCCAACCTCATCCTCCTCAATGCGAAGCAAGAGAATCTCCTGCCATGGTGTCTGCTGTCCAGGATCACTACGCAACATGACCACAATCTCCCCTTTCACATCGCCGTTGCGGGCAGACACATATGCGAGCTCTATGGGAGGAAAGAGGAGCCATCGATCCGCGTGATCGATCTCACAGACAAGCAGGTCACCTCCCAGGGCGTTGCCAGCGCCATTGTCTCTCAATAGCAGCTCCGCTCGACAATCTATGACCTGGCCAGAGGAGTGGTATACGGAGAGATTGAAGAAGTCTCTAGCCCTGACGCGTCGGTCCTTTCTAACGTTCACACCAGCCAACGGCCCTAGTGTGGCAGGGTCGCGAGCGCGAGTTGGGTCGACGTGCGCAGCAGATTCATCCTCGAGCCTTGCGCGCTCTTCCCGTGCGCGGCGCCGCGCTTCTGTGACGAGCTCCTGGAATACCATTGCCGTTTCCTCTGCCTTTGCGGACGGCTGAAGGATGTTGATTCCTTTGAATGTCTTTGCCAGGTATTTGAGGCGAACGAGAGGCCGTTTCAGCAGATATGCGACGTCGACCTTCTCCCCGTTGCTGTCGACCACGTCTCCGTTCTCATCTCTTGCCATTCCTTCATCGAGGCTCTTGGTCTCTGCATCGTTTGAGGCCTCTTCTTCTTCCAGCGGAGCCAAGTTCACAATGACATCCTTGAAACCCAACCTCCAAGCCTTGAGGTATACCTTGTAGACTCGCTGCGCTCCGGTCGCCCAATTCAGCAATGCCTCCGCATCCTCCCTGGGTACTCGCTTATGCAGTGATTTTAAGCGCTCAATGGCAACCCCCATATCAACGATCGGTTGGCTAAAGTTCGCTTCATCCTGCGGGTCGATGGAAGGGCGGAAGAGACCAGCGGCGATAGCCGAGTCGGATTTTGAAAGAACCGATGTCAGAAGCACGGGAATGACACCCCCGACTAATGTCTTGAGCTCGCGCATATATTTCGTCTCGTCCGCCGAAAGCTCCTTCAAGATATCGGGTACCGTCGCATTGGCAATGCGACTTTTGTTGGTTCGGATGCTCCGGGCAGATCGGATGCTCCCACTCCTACCAGTGGGAGCGGAAAGAACCGATATCAAGTCATCGTGGGTGGTGAGACGTCTTTGCAGCTGAGAGATGATCGACGGGAGTGAATCTGGATCAAATCTGTCCCTTTCTTCTTCGTCGTCCTCCTTCTGAGTCGAATTCGAGGTTCGTCTATTTGGCACAACCCCGGGTGGCGGTTCTCGCGACTTCCCAGTAGTACCAGTGCTTATTGACTCCACCGAAACGATTGTCGACAGTCGGTGCGGTCCTGTGGCCGGAAAGGGCTTTTTGCGGCAGAGAGGAACGGGCGCATTGTTTCCAGATACCTCCGAGCCTTCCGATAGAGTTCCTATCTCCGAAAGTTCCTCCTTGTTATCATCCACTCGAGTGAGCTCTTCTACAATGGAAGATGCCCGACTGTGTCTGTAGTCGCCTGATCGCTTCCCGCTGGCAGCTGAAGCAGTGTCCTCGATCGACTTCGCCGGCTCATCCAGTAACGACTCACCCCTACTTCGTACTCGTCGTTTTCGCGTGCTCCTCCGCCGATGATGGGCTTGGGGCGGCCGGTCGGAAACCCGGTCACGGTCTTCCTCCTGTTTGAGAGGCTGCTTGGGTCTGGTCCTGGTGTTCAACGGCGCAGGAATCTCCACCCCCGGTTCCATCTCGTTGTCCATGAAGGGATCCGGGGTGTCCGAGAGCCACGCCTCGATCTTGGTGCCCCGGGTCGGGGTAGGCTTCGGCGGTTCCGGTTTTGGGGCGGATTCCGGCCGTCCAAACATCTTCCTCGATTCATCCAGCATGTGCCCAAATATGCCATTCTTCGGGGGTTTCGGAGCCTCGCGACTTTCGCGGCCCTTCGGCGCCGGAGGCGCGCCCCTTGCCCGTCGCTTGGATAGTTCCGAAAAATCGGCGTCACTGGCCGCCCATTCCGAGTCGTATTCCATGCCAGCGTCCTTCTTCCCGGCGCTCTCGGAGGGTTCTGACTTGGCGCCCGTGTGCGGCCGGTCAGCCGTGCGCGGGCGCGAGCCTGACCGCGAGGACCCATTGTGAGAAAACGCCCCCTCCTTCAGAGCCTTGCTGTCCAGCCGCGCCTCCACGTCTCGCGGTGCTCGCGATTTCCGCCGCTCGCGGGCTACTGACTCGGAGACCGTGCTCGCTCTCTCCCTTGTTCTCTCCCTGCTGCGCGACCGCAGATCACGAGCGGTATCCACCGTCTTGTCGTGATTTTTCCGTCCTCGCGGCGAGGTCTGCATCCCATCGTTGGTCGTGTACTCGGAGATGCGCTTGGGAGGCGCTAACTTGGGGGTGGCGCCGGTGTTGATGGAGGAGATCGAACTGCGATTCAGCTTCCAGTGCTCGTCGCTCACGAGTCGTTTTCGCGGGGCACTCTTGCTTCGTTTATGCGTCTTGGTATCATTTCCCGGTTTAGAACTGGACTCCACCGCGGAGTTCTCGTCATCTTCGTAGTAGACCACCTCGTCGGCCGTGATTACCCCACCCCCTTGCTGTTGCCACTTGCGAATCTTGGAGCGGACGGAATTGGTGTCATGGACCCCCAGCGGCTCACCGATATCCAGCGGTTTCAGCTTGGTCGGGGACGGGGAGGATTTGGCAGCAGCCCCTCCTCCCCCGCGGTTGGAGGGACGATGTGGTGTTGCAGGAGACGGCATCGATACCTGCGATCGAGAGATTCTGTTTAGTATGGTGTTGGGAGACTGCAGCCAGCGTCCAGACTATGGGCTGCTGGAGAGGGGAAAAGTATGAGCGATGTATTGTTTCTTTGTTGGGGCACGACGTCACCGGGAGCGCCTTGTTTGTTTATGCGGAGTGGATGAGGGGAAGATCGATTGATCGGTGGGTCGTAACCAAGCACTTACCACAGTTTACAGCATATCCTAGGTTCCTCGACTGCTGTGCTGGAGGGGATATGCTCAGGAATGTCGCAAGAAATCAACACACCAAGGAGCGATGTCAAGAGGAAGGAAATGGAGGGGAGGGGACTAAACAATGACTTGGCGATGATCCGCAGGAACAGGCGGTCAAATAGCCTGCAGAAAATAAATAAAAAGAAAAAAAACACGATAGACAGAAAAGAAGAGGAAGAAGAACAAGAAGTGGAATCACCAGGCTTGGGGTTCCCACTCGTTTTGACTGAAAGATGCCAATGATCCAGTTGATCAGCCTCAGCTCAAGTGGCAGAGTCAGGTGGGAGAGGAGTCATCCCCAATGCGATCACAAGCACCACCGAGATTATTGAATGACCGCCAGGAGTCTGATGATTCTTGTCTTTCTTCTGTCTCTGTCTCCCACTTGTTATCTCTCTGCCGTGGTTGAATTTCTGCCCGGCGCATCCACAGTTAGGTTGACTGGAGTTGGTCTATACCAAGTGACTTCCTACCATTGGTAAAGCACAGGCTGCCGGGGAAACCAAGACGATCAGCAAGATCCGTCGGTCGCCCAAATGGTTCTCATTTGCTTGGCCGATCCACGGGATTTATCTTATTGGACATTTCCCATCCACTGGGATAAATTGCTTGGAGTTGCTGGCTAGATCGCGACCGACTGAGTCTTATTTCTTGTTTCGATTGTTGTTGTTGTTGTTTTTGACTTGCTGTGGTGGTCATAACACCCGCTGACTACTGTGCATAACGTACAACCATCCTCTTTATAATGTGAAGGCTTGACGGAATCAATGCTTGATCTCCTCGACGATATCTCCACATCGCAACTGGTCGCACTCCTTGATCGAGTTTTGACTTGTTCTATTTTAAGACAGCACGGACGGCACGGACACGCCACTCCAACACCCCCCGACAGCAATAGTTCATGTACTCGGAAAAGTCTGCCACACCACCTGCGTCCCCTTCATTTACTTTGTCAAACCAGCCTCCGTCGAGGCGTCGGGTTCCCGTATCATGGGTAAATGACAACGGTAATGCATTTCTCGTCCATATCCCCGACGGAAATCGGGAGACGCCCGTGTCTCAAAGGCCAGCCAGTCCACATCTCCCACTCGTTGTCGACCCACGTCACGGAGTGGGCCAGACGAGGCAATCCACACCCAACCGCCGTTGCAGAGCAATTAGGCAGTGCAACAATCGTCTATTCTAAACTTATTAAATAACACTATCCTTCCAGAGATGTGCATCATCTTGACATCAAGAAGTTTCACAGGGCGATAACCATGATGGATTGGAAACGTCATTGGGATTTACGTTCCCTCGACAGCTCCGTCAGTCTCTTGGAGGCGTTCGACACCGCCCTCACGCTCTGCACAAAGTAATCTAGAAAGCCGATTAGCAGCGATCGTGGTAAAAGACCCCCCGAAAGACCTACAAAGCGGAATGACGATCCATATGAAGTTCATCAGGAAATAGTACACCCAGAAATAGTAGGGCTCTGGCCGAGAATACGGACGATCATGGGCGTAGTGGTCGAAGAGGCTAGTCGCATAGTACAACGAATCTCCGTAGAGATGCGCCATACAAGCCGTCAGCTGCAGCGGATGCCGCAGTGAACTGCGCGAAAAGATGCTATACGCTACCCAGAGGCACAGCGGGCCCCAGAGGAGCTGGGGGTTCTGGGTCAGTCCCGACGCTCTTGTTTCATTTACATTCACATGGGCTCGAGGCAAAACATACCACGGTCATGGTCTCCATACACAGAACCAAGGTGTCCGAGGTGAGATATCGCGAATCGGACAAGGCATACTCTTTCCACAACTGACCGATGAGGTCTTGGGCAGATGCCATGCGATCATGATTGAGCATGAAGTACCCTTCAAAGACGCAATGGATGGCTCCGGCTGATGGATTTCCGGCATCAGTTTGCGATGGCAATACCATAGACTATCAGGAATACTAACAAAGTACAAACCACAAAATTGCTAACCGGTCTGCATTATTCAAACTGGGCCTTGCTATCGTGACCAGCGTAAACGTGGTTCCCAGTAAACTCATGGCGACAAAGCTTGCGGCACCAAGGAGTTTAAAGATCGTGGCTTCATTAGCCACATACCCCTTGATTTGCGCATCTAGCGGGTAATACGGATGTGAAATGCCATCAAGAGACATGTTCCTTTTTTAAACAATATATAACAATGAAATTGTGGAACTGCGAGTGGATAGTTCCAGATCGATCTCTGGGGAGAAATAACAAATGTATGGAATCGGAGTATCCGTCAATACCTTAAATATCAGGGATAGAGACTAACCCAGTCTAGCTAGTGTCCATTCCTCAGGCAGACACCACTCGACTCCTCACTCCTCAGGCACACCTGTCTCGGCCAAGCGCAAGTTGACGACAGCTTCTCCATCCTCCCTCTAAATGCCGTCACGACTGTGATCCACTCTCTCCTCCGATCACTCTATGGAGGCTCCAATCTTCTATCTTGTATAGCTTTACTGCAATGGCTCACGGACCCTTCAGAAGAAGGCCCCTGGGGCTTGACCTACCCCGCCCGTCGTCGGTTGAGTCGCCGCCTGGCGTTGCGGCGCTCTTCGTCATCCGCTTCGATATCAAAGCTGGGTAAGTCCATGCAGTTGATGCTTCCCCCAATGGTGGTCTTTTGTTGCGATAGTTTGGCTGACTGTTGTTCGTGTGTAGCTATGTGATATCTTGGAAGCGTACCCTCCCCGGTGGTAAGTCGCACGTACAGAATGCCGGTATACTGGTGGCCGGGAGACTAATGGAGTTGGTTGCATAGTTGACGTCGAAGGGGCTGTCGAGTACAAATCGCTCCCGTCGGGCCTACATAATGTCTCGGAAGATCTAGTGTATGTTGAACAGGATTATGAGTCTAGTCTAGGAGCTGACTGGTCTTCTCGCGCAGCTATTTCATCCACGAACAGTATGCCGGCATCAGCGCATTTGTCAACCAACCGGCCGAGGAGGCTGAACGGAATGCGAAGATGTTTGCCATCGGAGTCTTGGTTCCGTTGAGCTCGGGGAGATTAGGGAAGAGCTGGCGACATGTCCCCAAGCTCAAGGAGCTGGCCCGGTGAGCCCCGACTCCTGAGGAATCACATGCGGACCAAGCTGATATGGAGATGCGTTCTTAGACAATACGCGGACGACATGTCGAAAACACAGCCACTATCGGATTACTGGGAAGCCAATGAACTCCGCGGGGGAGACTCTCCGGCCCAACAACCCGAATCCCCATTGGAATCGCCTCTAAGCCTCCGGTTAAGGGCGCATGGAGACCGGTCGGAGAATGCGCATCGCAGCCGTGCATTCAGTGACGCCATTGTGTTGGAATCGCCCAGGCCGGCCCTGACGCCTTTCCATCCAGCTTCTTCGCTCCCCGATTTTCTCGATGCCTTTGGCCCTCTCGTGTTTCCCTTGTATAGAGCAGCGCTACTCCGCAAAAGAATTCTGTTCATGGCGGAGGCGCCCGTCAATATACCCTGTAACTATGGTACGGCTGTCCTGTCCGGGATCGCAATTGCAAATCGTCAGCTAACGCAGCACCAGTGTATGATTTGTCTTTATTAGCATCGCTTCCTAATTCCATCCTCCCACTACTCCCACCGGCCGGTACTCCGCCTCCACGGCCGCGCCCTCTCTTCAACGTTGGCATCCACGACATCCCATACCTCTCTTCCTTCGTGGGCAAGACACCCAACTCCGACCGCGACGCTGCGTGGATCGCATGCAGTACAGACAGTGTCCTGACAATGAAGTCCGACCTGTTTGACGTTCTGGTCACATTGCCCGGGCCCCATACCCAACACGCCGCCGAAAAGACCTTCCCCCAAATCTCCATCTTGCCAACGCCCACTGCACGACACAACACGCCTCAGGCCATCGAATTGCGAGCGACCCAACGCGACGCAAGACGCTACCTCACTCTCCGTCGAGCCATCCACCATTTCTCTCGGGACGAGAGTCGCCAGTCCGAAGAAGGCGAGGGCTACGATGACGAATCAGACGCCGCGTCGACATTCTCCTCCAGCCCCGTCGTCGAGCCTCTCTCCTGGACCCGACTAGCCTACACCTCCTTCATCTGGTGGGCGTCCGCAGGCGAAAAACGCGACGGCCTAACAGAAGAGGAAGAAGAAGAGCGCCGACTCGAGCAAGACACCCGCCTGCTCGCCAGCGTCGACAATCTCCCCAGCCCGCCCTCGGGCTCCGCCGGCCGCCGGAGCATCCAACCCGCTGAGGCCACGCGAGAACCGCCCGAGATCGCCCTCGTCGCCTACTTCCGCCGTCTGACTACCCAGATCTTCGTCACTCTGTCCGACGTAGTCGCCCGTCAAGACAGCAACAACGATCCCGATGACGACGTCGCAAGCGACGCCGACTCCGCCTCCTATCGCGACAACCCAGACGAGGAGCCCGACGCATTAGCCAGACAGCCCACCCATGATAGCATGGATGACAACAACCACAACAGCAACGACGACGACAACGACAACGACAACGCCCCCCTCCTACCACCCCAGGACAACAACAATAACAACCCCGACGACGACCCCGTCACCATCACAACAGAGGACATGACCGAAATGGGCCTAGACGTATGGAGCGGCGCAGACCGCATCTTCGTCGAGCAGCTCGTCCGCACCTGGTGGAACCGCCCGGCGTATATCGACAGCGCCAGGATCCGGTGCTGCGGTGTTTCAATCTTGTAGATAACATATGTCTGACTGTCGCCTTTCCGCCTTCTTTCTTTCATTTATTTGTCAAGTGGTGTGCATTTAGTTCGTATCTAAATGGCGGGGATATATCAATGATATATCCGTTTCGTTTCCTTCTGTCCCTTTTCATTTTCATCATTCGTCTGTTGGTCTATCGGGTGTGGCAGGGCTTTTTTTCGCTTCTTATTGTTTGTATACTGGGCGGACACATCACAATTATAGGGTGATTTACATATTTCTTAAAACTCTCCGTGTTGTGAACACTTTTCCATATCACTTTTAGTAGTAGTAGTAGTAGTAGTAGTAGTAGTAGTAGTAGTAGTAGTAGTAGTAGCAGCAGTTGTGGTGGTGATGGTGATGGTGATGGTGGTTGCACCATGACAACTAAGATCTCCTCCAACACCAAGCCCTCCTGAAACAACCTACCCCAAATAAACTAAACCATTAAAGTCAATGTAGATGAATTCTATGAAAAAAAGGTATAAAAAAAGGATCGAAGATATATGTACAGCGAAATCAACTCTCAACTAACAAAGGAAAATTCCATTAGCAGGATCAAAAAAGAGCGTCAAAACTGCATACGAACAGAATATGCGAGCGAGATTGGAAGTAAAAGAATGCGAAGTATTAAATGGATCAATACCTAGATAGATAGATAGATTTGTCCATGGTGACAAATTGGGGGAAAGGAAGTAAAATGAAGAATGCATCAAGCATAATTAACAGAAACTTGGAATAAGATGGAAAGAAAGAAATGAGAAAAGACAAAACGCGTAGAATATGCAGATGATACCACCATAAACAAAAACATATATATACCAAACACCCCCCGGAAATAACGCCTCATTGCTTGGAGCATCAGGGGTATCTATCATCATAAGGAGTAGGCGGCCCAGATGGTTTCTTTTTTTCTTTTTTTTTTTTTTTTTTTTTTTTTTGAGCCAGGCCATTCCGTTGAGGTCGTATAGCGAGCATGAGAACGTGAGAGAAAAGAAATAGAAGAGACACTACTTATGGTGCATCCGGATCGGTGCACTCATATCCCGGCGGCGTCTGATGTCCTCTCTTGGGTCTGAATTCTGAACTCCCGGTATCCGTCGAGCACCGCGGATCGGAGTGATTCCCATGCCGCCGGATCGAAAGGTGCTTTCACTGGCGCTGACGGACCTTGGCATGCTGTTGCTGCTGTTGCTGCTGGTGCTGGCGCTGTTGCTGCTGTTGCTATTGTTGAGGTTTGTGCGGCTCCTGCGCGCCTTGATCTGGGCGAGTGCGTTTTCCCGGTTGATTGGCATCTGCGCTGGGGGGTCATCAAGGCGCAAGGGAATTTTTCTAAGGTTTTGATGGCTCTCGACATGCTGAGAGGGGTTCAACTGTGGCGGCGGTACAGGGTCAAACGGGACGTCGATAATGGCTGGTGTGGGAGAGCCAGGAGGTGACGCTTCGGTTTGAGAAATCTCAGGCGGCGTGTCTTGTCTGGCGTTTTGGACTTTCGCCAGAGGGCTTCCCGGTAGGCGTTGTTCCTGGGCGGCGGCAGCGAGTCGCACTGGGGATGGTATGGTATGGAAGGTCCCCGTCTCAGGTGAAAACGTGATCAAGGGCTCTCCGGGCTCGTCGTCATCATCGCTTTGCTCGTCCGTCTGAGCGGGCTCAGGCTCTTCAACAATCTCATCGGGACTGGACGAACGGCTGGTGTTCTTAGGCTCGGCAAGCATGCGATGCTCGTTGAATTCTTGCGTAAGTTCAATGAGTTGCAGGGGGTTGGGCTTCTGGGCTTGAGCGGTGTTTGTGTTAGATGAGTTCTTCGGGGTGCGGTTTGGCGAAGAGCCTCTGTCGAACAGTTGGGGCTGCGCTTCTTCGGGCAATCGCGAGTTCGCATTCTTGGATGGCCGCGGGGTTTCCTTTGTATCTTCGATCGTCTCCGAAATATGCGGCGTGTTGGAGTTCTCGATGCTTTGGTTGACTCTGGCCTCCTTTTCCGCGTGCTCCAGCAAGCGACAGGTGCATCGCTTGAAATGGCACTCTAGTTTCAAGAATTCGATCATGTCTTCGGCATCGGATCTCAGTCGCTGCTCCATCTGAAGAGCGCTTTCCAGTTGATTGACCATTTCCGAACGCGCATCGTACAGGAAAATATCCTGGTCTTCCTTGACAGCTGTGATATCCGACAATCTTGGTCGCTTCGGGGGGTGGGCGTCGCATCGACGGTATCATGGGATTGGTTGGTCATTGGCGAGGCGGCTGGTCCATCGGCCGGTCGCTTAGGCCTCCGTGGCGTGGGCGTCGCGAACATGGCGAGATCCCCCTCCGCCAGCGACATTCTCCCGACGTTATCTTGGTGCATCTCGTGGGCCTGGGCTTGCAGATTCTCGGAGTGGTTGTTCGTTTCGGCCGACCGCAGGCGTTCCTTGAGCGTTTCCAGCTCTTCCGTCAAGCCCGCGAGTGTGTATGCCCGCTCAAAGGCTTCTTGTCTAGCTTGCTCCTTCGCGCTGCGCTCATGGTGAAGCTCATCCCTGAGTACTCGAGATTCCGTCTTGGCATGCTTCAGCTCCTCTTGTGTCTTGACTAGCGTTGAACCGGCGCGGAAAGCTTCTTTCCGCGCTTTTCGGATTTCCTTTTCGAAAATGCTTCTCTCGTTGGCCTGGCGCTCCTTGGTCGTGTGCAGCTCTTCCAGCAATGACTCGAGTCTTTCGCTTATCCGACGCTCACGGGATTGGGCCTCGGACAGTTGAGAAGAGACATGAGCCAAGGAGGATTCCGCTTCCTCACGGCCCAAAATGGCGCGCTGTAGCGCCGCTGTATTCGCTGCCGATGTCTGGGCTGCGCTTGCCGGACTGCCGTTGCGGGTGAGGCCGTTGAGATAGGCGACTTTAGCTTGCACGTCAGACATCCCTCTGCTCTTCCGTTGCGTAGCCCTGAGTTCCGGGTAGATCGGCGAGCCTGATCCTGGTTGTTGATTCATCCGTTCGGGCGATAGGGGGTTGAGGGCTTTGGACGGGCTCTTAGATGGGCTCTTCGAGGGGCTCGATCTCGCGCTAGATGGAGAATCCATCGCGCCAGGTGGTGCTATGATAATGTTCTAAGTTAGTAGAATCAGGTTGGTGTTGATGTCGTCAGGCGAGCATGGTAGACAATCTAGATGGATGAAATAGGAAGGGTGGGACGACCGGTTCGTTGTTCATCGACCGTTGTGGAGATGTTTTTCTTTCTCGGCACTCTGGCGTTGTTGATCCCTAATCAGTGACGCAGGCAACAAACACCTGTTGGCCTCGCGTCGAAGGGTCAGGTGACCGTTGCCCTGGACGACAGCGCTAGTCCGCATCGGGTCGACATCTCACGTGTCTGTCGCACCGCGCTAGACCCGATCAGGCCAGGTCAAAAACGTGGGGGCCTGAGGTGTCACTGCCGGGCTTTCTGCGCTGTGATGCCATTGATGCCAGTACCAGGTCGTCATCAATTCCCCAGATCTATCCATCCAGTCGGATATTGAAGTATGCGTGAGATTATTACACTCCAACTAGGCCAGCGTGCCAACTACCTGGCGACGCATTTTTGGAATCTTCAGGTATATCGTCTTTTTCTCCAGTCCCGCCTCGTTCTCACGTGGCACTAACATGCGGAACAGGAATCATATTTCACCTACGATGAAGAAGAGTCCCCTGTGGACCATGATGTTTTATTCCGATCTGGGACTGGAGCTGATGGCTCTGAAACCTATACGCCCAGGACCCTGATCTATGATTTAAAAGGTGCTTTCGGGACGCTTCGAAAGTATAACGCACTCTATCAATTAAGCGAAGATGTAAACCCCGGGCAAGGTTTATGGTAAGCGACCAGGTGCGATCCTTTACCACCAACTGGATCGCAGCAATCAGTAGTCTCGAGGGCTGGGGTATCTGCAGGTGCTAACATGTATGCAGGGATGGAAGAGAGATCATACAACAGCAACCGTCTATCCCTCAAAGTGATTACCAGAAGAACCTAGACGCAGGGCTTCCTGCCCCGCCACTGTCCGCCGAGACAGTCCGGTACTGGTCTGATTACAATAGACTCTTCTACCATCCCCGTTCAATTCTTCAACTGAATGACTATGAGCTGAACTCCAAGGTCATGCCTTTCGAAGATTGGGAAATGGGAGAAGAGCTGTTCAATAATATTGACAAAGAGCATGACCTGCTGGACCGGGATGTACGGCCATTTGCCGAGGAATGTGACCAGATGCGTGGGCTGCAGATCTTCGCAGGATCCGACGATGCGTGGGGCGGTTTCACGGCTAAGTATGTGGATAGGCTGAGGGACGAATATGGCAAGAAGGCAATGTGGGTGTGGGCTATCGAAGATGGTGCCCAGGTCGACCGAGTAAGTACTATCTGATCGATGTCTGTTCGTCTAGTACTGATACTTTGCGCACAGCAAGCTCGAAACAAGCGGGACATCAACAAAGCCCGCTCTCTACATTCGATCGCACCCCAGTCGTCCCTATACACGCCCATCATTGACCCTCCGAGTCGCCTTCCAGGGTCCATCCATCTTAATCACAGGTCACAGTGGTACACGTCTGCACTGATTAGCTGCGCTCTGGAAAGCGTCACCCTCCCTACCCGCCTGCGTGCATACCACGCCTTTGAGGCGTCTCTAGCGGGAGATGATAGCAGCCATAATATTTTCGAGCTCCAGTCCACGATAATCCAAAATCAAGACAAGTATCGCCAACAGCACCCTGTTTCTGCAGGCGTGTCTGAAGACACGGATGATCGGGGGTCACATCCCGCAGAGGCCCAGACCAAGTTTGACATAGATTTCACTTACGATGGTTTCGAAGGCGAAAGACCCCATGTGTTCAATCAACTACTTGTCATGCGTGGCATTGAGAGCCCAGAGGACGAGTCTCCTTCTTACGAAGACACCGGCCTTCAGCGGAAGAAGCGCCACTATGACTCACAGCCAATGTTCCAAAGGTAGGTTGCCCGCGCATGCTAGGTATCTGTGGGTTACTAATTCGTGATGTGTAGCTTCGACACGCCATTGAAACTCCCCATTTTGGACAGCTTCCCCCAGGACATGTTCCGAGAAGCACCACCTGACCGCAAACTCGGTGTCCTTACCGGGTTGACGACTTCCTCACGCACCGCGGAGAAGATCAAGTTGATGGAAACCGTTGCGCGACGGATCATCAGCATCGACGAGCGCGAGACCATTATCAACGGGCTGGGGGAGATTCGGGAGACATATGAGACGGGATGGATGAGTGGCTCTGATTCTGACGATGAGTAACTGTTACAAACCAATAGTAATAGAGGAGTACAGATTTCCAGTACTACGTAGTAGATATATGTACTCCGTACCAGTAGTGGGGATAAATCCGGCCGATCTACGGAGTGATCCGCAACAAACCATGCAAACAGGCCCGCCCAACGTGTCCTCTCCGGTTCGCCGCTCCATCTCGGCCTTTCATCTGCATTCTCTCAGTCACCAACTCTTCTCATTATTCATATTCTATGCTTACTGCCAGGTGGCCACTATCCCAGTGCCTGGTGTCATACTCGATGGCTTTTTGTACCTGATTTTCTGTATGTCTCCTTCTTGAACCCTATATTTTCAATCCCCTGCCGCCATCTGCACCTATCCAGCCAACTGACTTGACTGCATAGCTTATCACATTACGTCGTTGTCCCTGGATTGGATTGCGATCTCAATCCTTGACAATCCAGTCAACTTTTGACTGATTAATACTCATTAAAGATGGCTTCTGCCCGCCAACGGACACGAGGGATTACCTCGTCTCCGATTCTCTCGCTCCTCGTCCTACCGTTCCTCCTGTTTTTCATCGCATTTCCCGCCCCGGCAGCTGCTGCTGGATCCGCAGTCCTCGGTGTCGATGTCGGAACAGAATATCTGAAGGCGACGCTGGTCAAACCCGGAATTCCCCTCGAGATCGTTCTGACGAAGGATTCCAAACGCAAGGAATCCGCCGCGATCGCCTTCAAGCCCACCGGAGACAATGCGCCTTTCCCCGAGAGATTCTACGGCGGTGATGCACTGTCACTCGCGGCACGATACCCGGATGATGTTTACGTGAATCTGAAACCCCTGCTAGGAATACCGTTCAATGGTGGGGAGGAAGAGATGGTCAAGACATACCACGACCGGTTTCCCGCATTGCGACTCGAGAACATTCCCGAGCGAGGCAGCGTCGGACTTCGGAGCAACCGCCTTGGAGAGGCCGAAAAGGAGGACGCTTTCCTTGTTGAAGAGATCCTAGCTATGCAACTGAAACAGGTCAAGGCCAACGCCGACGTTATGGCCGGCCAGGGCTCCGATATCAAGGATGTCGTTATCACGTACCCCGCATACTACACTGCTGAGGAGAAGAGGAGTCTGCAATTGGCCGCTGAATTGGCCGGGTTGCATGTCGACGCGCTCATTAGCGAGGGTCTGGCGGTTGGCTTGAATTATGCCACCAGCCGCACATTCCCTATGGTTTCGGACGGACTCCAGCCCGAGTACCATGTGGTTTACGACATGGGCGCCGGCTCCACCACCGCCAGTCTCCTTCGCTTCCAGAGCCGCCAGGTGAAAGATGTTGGAAAGTTCAACAAGACCATCCACGAGGTGAACGTTTTGGGACTCGGCTGGGATAAGACGCTTGGTGGAGACGGCTTGAACGACCTCATCGTCCAGGACATGATCGCGAACCTGGTCGAGGACAAAAAACTGAAGGATAAGGTTTCTGTCGCGGACGTTCGAGGACACGGCAAGACGATGGCCCGACTCTGGAAGGACGCGGAGAAAGCTCGCCAGGTTCTGAGCGCCAATACCGAGACCGGAGCTAGCTTCGAAAGCCTGTATGATGAAGATGTCAACTTCAAGTATCGTATCTCGCGCTCGCGATTTGAGGAGCTTGCTGGTCAGCACATCGAGAGAGTGAGCAAGCCGTTGGAACAAGCTCTGGAGAACGCCAACCTGAAGTTGAGCGACATCGATTCCATCGTCCTGCATGGTGGCTCGATCCGTACGCCGTTTGTGCAGAAGGAATTGGAACGATTCTGCGGAGGATCCGGCAAGCTGAGAACCAGTGTCAATGCCGATGAGGCCGCTGTCTTTGGTGCCGCCTTCAAGGGAGCGTCGCTCAGCCCTAGCTTCCGCGTCAAGGACATCCGGGCAACCGATGTTGCTGGTTACCCCGTTGTACTGAAGTGGCTCTCGGACTCCAAGGAGCGCCAGCAGAAATTGTTCACCCCGACTTCGCAAGTCGGTCCCGAGAAGCAACTGACAGTGAAGAACTTGGACGACTTTGAGTTCAGTTTCTATCAGCAGGTTTCCACGGACGGCGGTGTAACGGACATTCCCGTCCTTGGTGTACAGACGAACAACCTCACTGCCTCCGTGGCCAAGCTGAAGGAAAGCTTTGGCTGCGTTCCGGCTAACATTACTACCAAGTTCTCCATTCAGCTCAGCCCTGTCAATGGACTTTCCCAGGTTGCCGGTGGCTCTGTGAGCTGCGAAGTCGAAGACACCAAGCAGGGCGGTGTTGTCGAGGGCGTAAAGGACTTCTTCGGCCTTGGCTCCAAGAAGGGCGAGCAGGTTCCCCTGGGCGAAGACGGGGAACCCAGCGAGTCAATCACCCTGGAATCCGAGGAACCTCAGGCTTCGACGAGCACATCTGCTGATGAAGCGGCCTCTACGGCTTCTGCCAAGGATAGCAAGAAGAGTGCGCCGCTTACCAAGGTGGAGAGCATCCCCATCAGCTTCACCTCTACGCCTCTCGGGACTCCTCGGCCGTCACCCGCCGAGCTCACCCGCATTCTCAGCCGTCTGGCAGCCTTTGATGCTTCGGACCGCGACCGCGTCCTGCGCGAAGAGGCTCTCAATGAGCTCGAAGCTTTCATGTACCGCAGTCGTGATCTGTCGGAGGACGAAGAATTCGTCAAGTTCCTCAAGGCCGACCAGCTGGCGGACCTCAAGGAGAAAGTAGCGGCTGCGAACGACTGGCTCTACGACGAGGGCTCCGATGCCAAGACCGCGGAATTCCAGTCGAGGCTCAAGGCCCTGAAGGCGATTGTGAACCCCGCGCTGAAGCGCAAGCAAGAGAGCTCGCAGCGTCCCGCACGCGTTGAGCTACTGCAAGACGTCCTGAAGAACGCCAAATCCGTGATCGACCTCATGGACAAGCAGATCAAGCAAGACGAAGACCTCCACTCGTCCAGCGTCGCCGCGTCGTCCACCGCTGAAGCCGAATCCTCCGAGTCCTCCTCTACCACCACCGCCAGCGAGTCAGCCTCGACCGCCGACCCTCTCGAGGACCTCGAAGCCGACCCCTACGCGACCACCTCCCAGTCCACGAAGACGACCACCACAACCACAACTGCGAAAGTCACGGGACCGAAATACTCCATCTTCCAGCCCTCGGACCTCACCACCCTGTCGAAGAGCTACGAGACCGCCAAGGCCTGGTTCGAAACCCAGCTCTCCGCCCAGGAGAACCTCGCCCCAACAGACGACCCCACCTTCAGCGTCGCCGAGATTGACTCCCGCCTCAAGGACCTGGAGCGCTCCATGAACCGCATCTACGAAAAGATGGGCGCCGCGGCCGCGCGCTCCCAAAAGGACCAGGGCAAGAAAAACGGCAAGAAGGAGCCCACCGCCGAGAAGGAGAAGGCGAAGGGGAAGGGAAAGGAGAAGGAAAAGAAGCCCAAGGATCCGAACCGCAAGGATGAGCTTTGATCTGATCGTGTTGTGTAAACCAATTTTTTTTATACAGCGCCGTCATAGTTTTTTGCTCATTCCTGCTTAACTCTTATCTATATCCTATCTATCTTGTTGACTGAATGATGTTGGGGGAGTTCGGATTCAGCGTTTCTTTTATAAAATCTTTTCTTTCTTTACCACGTTTTCTACCTTGTCTTTTTGTGTTTGTAATATTTGTTGATCATGTGGGTGGGAAGAGACATTGTACTATCGATATTTGGCTCCTTTTTCCTCCGTGTGATCTGATCTGATCTGATCTATCTTGCCCGTGCTTGGTTATCTATGTAAATTAATATCTACCTAGACCTGAATCTTTGAACGTCCGTCAATGCAGTGGCACATAGAAGAAGGGCGAGGTGTTCTCTGATGACAAGGGTAGTACTCCGTACTGGATAAATTATCTGACTCATTTTTTTTTTTTTTGAATCCATAATTTTGTTAACTAATCTATTTACATACATGCTGATTGATAACCGTGATAAACTTGATATACAAACCAGACCGTGATTGAACAAAGACATAGAAATGGGGTAAAAGAAAAAAAATGAAGAATGAAGACAGTCCGGGTATTTAACTAGGCAAGAGAAAGCGCAAACGAGAAGTAAGAAAAACAAGGGAAAATATATGTCAAGATAAACATGCACATGAAGAAGGTAATAGGGACGAGGGCATACAGCCGCTGGATCCAGCCCAGCAGATAGAATCCCAAGGAGACAGTCAAGTAGTAACGAAGAGGCAATCAAACACCACTCATTTGCACTTCGTACTCGCCCGCCCCAGAAACAAACTCCATATCAACCTCCTCGCGCCTGCGCAGAAAAGAAGGTTCCTCAAAGTCGTCCACGTCAACATCCATAGTACCCTGCTTCTGCGCGGCGACGAACCGACGACGCTGGCGTCCCAGCGTTGGAGCCAGGATCGTCCGTCCTGACACGGGCGCCTGGCCCATGTTCGTTGCCGTGGTGTTCATCCAAGGTTCACTCGGAGACCATTCGGCGTTTGTGTAATGCGAGGGGTCGTCCTCGTACTCGTCGGAGTCGAGGGTCCGTTTCTGGCCGGAGACCAGGGAGTCGACGGAGTCTTGGCTGCTGGGAGGGAGGGAGAAGGCGTCGCCGTCGTCGGTGATCAGCTCGTCGGTGTTCATTGTGCATGATGGGCGAGAGAAAGGGCCCACAGCGTCGTGGTGGTGGCCTGGTTTCGTCATCCCGCTGAAGGGGGCCAGTTCGGTGGTGTGGGGGCCTGAGACTGGGTGTTGGGTCTCCGGGGCGGCGAACATCATTGAGTGGCCGGGGGTCTTGGTCTTGTATCCTTCTGCGACGGACTTGCGGACGCGCATGCCGACGGAGAGGAGCGAGGATTGGACTTTGGCGGAGACGATGGGGGTCGGGGAGTAGGTGGTTGCGGCGTAGTGGTTGTGGGAGAGATGCGGGGTGTCTGTTGGATTGGAGGTTGTGGAGAAGAAGGTGGTGATGGCTGGTTGGAAGCGTCTGCGTTTGGAGGTGGGGTCGTTGTGTTTGGGGTTGGTTGCGATGGAGGAAGGCATTGTGGATGAAGTTATCCGGGGATCCGGGTTATCGTTGATAAGGGGGATGTAAATCTCTGCCCCGCTCCAATGAGGAAGATAGTTGGAATACAAGGTAGAATGTGGAGATGGTTGAATTGTAAGACCTTCCAGTAAAGGGTTAGGAGGTATGCAAGGCGCAAGAGGAGTGGAGAGAAAAGAGAAGGGAGGATAAGGAGGAGAGAGACGTGACGGAGGAAGAAATGGAGGAAATGGAGGCTGGGGATTTGCCGGGACGCGTCGCGCCCCCGTGACGCGCTAAGGCACGCTCCCGTGACTTTCAATATGTCCTCTTTGGGATGGTTTAGGGCTTAGGGCTGTCTATCAGGTGATCGTAGTTCTAGGCCTGAGGTATACAGATTGTAGCTATCACTCGTCAGAACATGTAGAGCTCAATGACCTCCAAATCCATATGTAAGAAAGTATAAATAGCTAGATTAGTATTTAGAGCAAGCACCTTTATCGGTACTGCTATGTATAAGGTCTATCTACTGTTTTGAGAACGACTCAAACATCCATCGGCCAACCTATGACTCGGCCCTTCAGCAGAGAACAAGAAGGAGCTGTTCCTATATCAATTTATGAGGCAGGCTTGATAGTGGTACCTTGTTTGCCAATGAGTGGGTGTATCCTCGATGTTTGGAATAGAGGATGGGTGGGTAGCCTGGCAGAATGTAGGTTTGGGGGTTGAGTATACAGATATATATAACATGTCAGGCGGGGGAGACCAGAGGGTGTAAGATGGATAATTGCCCTTCTATGACACAGTCTAGTACAATTCGAATATCGAGATGATTCTATATATTCATATCATTCTCTTAAATTATCTCATACCCCACGAGAAAGAGTAGACACGTTGTATGCTTTGATTGATAGTGAAGTCTAATCTATCATTGAAAAGACATACTACAAGTAACCGTCGTAAAGTACAACTTTAAGGAAAATGAACTTCAACACCAATTCTCATCATCATCATAGTTATGCTACTTTTATATGCTCAACTCAAATACTCTATCTGAAAAAAACCCCATTCAAACCCCACCTCACATACCAATATTACCTCTCCGACCACCCCGCTTCTGTCGGTCTTGATGCGCCCTCAACACATTGCGCGTCTCGACCAAACTCCTCTTGTTCTTGCCCTTCGCCTTACCCAGCGTCATGAACAGATTCTTCCGCCGCTGCTTCTCCTTGTTGGTGGTACTCTTGCCCTGCGACTCCTTGCGCTCCTTGCGCTTGGCCGTCACGCTCTTGTGGTCCTCCCGGTCCGTCTTGAACTCCTTGGCTCGCGCGATACGCTCTTCGCGCGTCGCCTTGCCTGCGGAGAGGGCCGCCAGTCCCTCGATCTCTTCCGCCGTCAGGGGATCGTCGATGTGTCGGGCGGCGTTGGAGTTCTGCTTGCGGGACGACTTGTTACCCGGGACGAGGGCGTCCACCGCGGCGTTCGTGCGCAGCTCTTGGAGCTTGGCCAGGTCGGCGGGGGTCAGGATGCGGGTCGTGGCGAGGGTGGAGAATTTGTTCTCGAGCTTGCTGGCGTCGTTTGACTCGGACTTCTCGTCGGCGGTGCCGTCTTGCTTGGCCTTCTTGGACGGGCGCGAGGGATCCTTGTCCTTTTCGTCCTCGGAGTCGCTCAGCTCGATCTCGGCGTCGCTCTCGACCTCGATCCAGCCGCCGGAGTCGTCGCTGTCTTCGTCATCCTCCACGTTCCAGGCGTCCCAGTTGTCCTCTTCGTCTTCGTCCTCGTCGTCCTCGGCGTCGGAAGCAAGGCCCTTCTCGGCCCGTCGCTTCTTGCGCTCTTCCTCCTTCCACTGCTCCAGGAGCTCAATGCCCTCAATACCGCCGGTTTCCTGCTCGCCGAAGCGCTTCTCCCTCTTATCGCCCGACCGAAGACCCATGGAGGCATCCTTGCCGCGGTCTCTCCGCTTCAGCATCTCGGGACCGACCTCGCGGAACAGGCTGAGCAAGCCGCGGCCTGCCATCATGACACCCTTGTCTTTACTCTTGCGGTACATCACCAGGTCTTGTAGTAGGGTATCGTTCATGGCAAGGGGTTGACGCACACAGATCTCGCGAATGGCGTTGAGACCCGCCGTAGCTACCTCGGATGCCGACGCCTCGGACACGAACTCGTTGGCGATCTTCAAGACCAGCGGCTCCAGGACGTCCGGGGGTACCAAGTCATGCGTCGCTTGCGCAAGCGATGCGAGGAACGACGTGACGGAAGGCTGTCGGGGCGTCAGGTACTTCTGGAAATAGGAGTAAAGGTGGATGATATGCAGCTTGTGCAGGCCGACGAGGCGAGTCACCAGCTGCAGCACAAGAAGCTTCTGATCGAGATTGAGCTTCGACTTGGCGGTCTGCAGGTGTCTCGCGAACAGGGACTCGGCAAATCCCTGGGGATCGTGCAGCAGATGCAGCGCGGAGAAGTTCAGAGGGTGAGGCTGGTTCTTCTTGCGCTCCTTTCGCTTGACGGCGGCCCTTGCCTTCTCGACGGATTTGGCCTTCTTCCGGGTCTTCTTGTTGATGCCGGCCTGGTGCTTCACTTGCCCCATGTCAATGGCCTCTTCGTCACTGCTCTCGTCCTCCGCCTCCTCACGCTCCTTGTCGCCCCCCAAGAAAAAGCGAACGCCGCCCACGACGACCTTCTCGTTCTCCGCCAAGCACGCCTCCTTCATGACCTCCACTGTCTTGGCGTCCGTCCAGATCTGTCTCTTCCACAGCTCGCGAACCAGCTTGATAGCCCACAGCCCCTTGGACGACGTGCGATCCGACGTCACCAAGTTGAACAGAACAGTCTGCATAACCCGGTTGAGCTTGTGGTTGATAGTCTTCTGGTTCGCCGTGCGCAAATCCATCAGGATCTTTTGGAAGATCAACGCCCGCAGTGTCTTACTAGGCGTTGTGATGAGAATGGGAAATAGCGTTTGTAGCAACCTGTAGCACATCGCCAATGATCAGTATACTGGAGTCAAGCATCATCCGTGGAAGAGGGTCGCAAAAACATACGTCGCCGAGTCAACAAGTTCTTTCTTCCTTAGCAGAACCAGACTCCCGACAATCTTCTCCCGCAGCTCAGGTTCCAGAACCAGGTGGTGCTGCGTCAGGATGTCCATGAGTTGCTGGGGAAAGTCCTTGGTGATAGTAGGGTAGCAGTCGGCCACATGGGAAATGAAATCGATCAACTCGCGCAGCGAAATGATGCCCGTATCGTTGGCAGACGTGGGCGCCGCCATGAAAATTTCCCGGTGACTTTCATACTGATAGTGCTGAGCGCGGAAGTCCTCAATGTACGACCTAAGTACGACACAACAGCGTTAGAAACATGAACCTAGAAAGAAACCATAGAGAAGAATAATAGAGAAGGCGTAGAAAAACTCACTTAGGATCTTTGCGAATTTTATTTTGTAAATTAGGCCTGTAGGATGGGGAAAAAGAGTGTCAGTCGAGCGTCCGTCGCAAGTCAAATTTCCCCTTCAGTTTGCAGAGAGAAGAATGCTTACAGGTCAGCTTCGACCTTTTCCAAGGCTCCCAACTTTCTTTTGACCATCGTGTCGGTTGTTTGATGTCCAATGCAGCAAGGATGAAAGCTGGAGGACACAGGGTGGAGGTTGCGATGGGCCGGCAACCACAGTATAGGCCTAGCTCCGTTGATTTTTTTTTTCTCCCTCGGAGGCGGAGGCCGGCCTATCGATAAGCGCCGAACCCACTATCATTTTCTACGTTTATCTTCCATAAAGCACTCCATCAATAGGATGATAATTTCATTTATCAGATTGTGATTGTAAATAGATATGTATTACGGGACCTGGGGCAATTTTACTTTATGTTCTTGCCCTCAAGCGTACAGACAAACATTCACTTTCCAAAACTCTTTACGAAAAAAAGAGCCTGGTAGAGAAGTGCAGTATATTTTTCTTTTTCATACAAATTTTTTTAAGTACCGGCTTCAAAAGTTCGAGGTCTTCATGATCGCATCTTAAACTACTATAGAAGAAAGCCGTCCGATTCTCTCATTTTTGGAACTCGCTCCCTCCCATGGTTGTTGTTCAGGTTATGTACAGCCGCGCAGATGCATGCAAATACGACTGAACCCGAGTAAAACCCCCCGTCCACTCCAGTACACATAAAACCCGGAACCAAACGGAGAATACGCCCAACAAAACCCTTTTACCGGTTGCTCTTGGCAACACGCTCAAGCTCGTCCTTCTTCTTGATGGCGTACGAGTTGGAGCTACCCTTGGCGGCGTTGATCAGCTCCTCAGCAAGGCACTCGGCGATGGTCTTGATGTTGCGGAAAGCAGCCTCGCGAGCACCGATGGTGAGGAGAGCAATGGCCTGGTTGACACGGCGGAGGGGAGACACATCGACGGCCTGGCGACGGACGGTACCGGCGGAACCGATACGGGTGCTGTCTTCGCGGGGACCGCAGTTGACGATGGCATCAACGGCAACCTGCAGAGGGTTCTGGTCGGTCATGATGTGGATCTGTTCAACAAATATTAGCATCCTTCCATTCTCCTTCGATTTCCCTGTCGCTATCACTCGACCCTGCGGTCCTGGAAGATCTGGAGCAACGTACGATCTCGAAAGAGTGGGCAACAATGCGGACAGCCATGAGCTTCTTGCCGCTGTTGCGACCGTTCATCATGAGGGAGTTGGTCAGGCGCTCGATGATGGGGCACTGCGACTTGCGGAAGCGCTTGGCGGCATAGCGGCCAGCAGTGTGAGGAAGGTAGACGGGGTTACGGATCTGGACGTAGTCGCTGTGTGCAATCCCAAGTCAGTAACTGTGTTGTTGCAAAATTTGCTCGATTTCCGGATGTCATTGCGCGGTGTGTTCGATAAATTCCTCCAGTCCCTTCTCTTGTCCCCTTCGCATTCATCCACCAGACCGTATTTTCCTCAACCCCCCCTTCCCAGCGGCCGATTTGATGCAATGTGAAGTCGGGACTCGTTCTCATTTTTTTCGATAGAAAGCATAGATTGGGGAAACACCTACGTCAAGGAGATGTCCCTGATCTCAACATCCTCGTAACTCCAGCGGTTGAACAGCTTGACGCTGCCCATCTCCGCAGCGACGTCCTTGGGCAGGACCTGGAAAGCCCCGGAGGGGTTTTCGACCTCGACTTCCCCGTGGTCAGACATGTTGACGCCGTATGCACCTGTTGTCGGGAGGGCTTGGGTGAAAGGTGACGGACGGTGTCGTTGGGTGATCGCTTTCAACGTCGACAATAGCAGGTCAGTCGGCTGAAATGTTTCCGTAGGCGCAAGGGAAATTCAGGTGTGTCTCGCTTAGGACTGTGGGTGGGGTTAGGGCAGACCGGTAACCAATCAACCACCTGCGGTCATGTGATGGATACCCTAGCCTATACCGGACTAGCGTTGGACTAGTGCATGGATACTGGGGCTTACCTCAGATCTGCATAATCCTCGTTCACTAACTTATGGATTCTCCTGTATCGCATTAATCCATCCAGCCCGTCTTGTCTTGGAGTCGGTGGATACTTACCACTGCTAGTATGAGGTGCCGCTGTTATTACTATGCCACTCCTGCCCCGTCAATCCCACTGGTAGACCAATATTGGATACTGTGTACTCCGTAGACTGTATTCCTTTAATTTGCCTGTGACATTTACATCTACACAATCTCCATTGTAGATACTGGCTCTATAATAAAGTACACACTAGCCACAGTGTCAGCAGCCTCAGTAATTAGGCACCTGAAATACGAGTGACCCCACTGTCAATTCCTCGCATGGACACGGTAGGTGGAAATATTCCGAGTCAAGCACAAAGCCTTTGTGGTATACCCCTGAGACCACCACCCTCCAATGACGACAGCTGCAGAGGGAGGACTGAGTCCCGTTCTGGTGGAAAATGACGATCCTCGTGCTTTCCAGTTCGTTGGAATGGAGAGTCCAAGTTGACGCTAATGTGGCTGTGCTGGTCTTCCTAATGTTCTGATTCGTGGAAACTGTCGAGGTGGGACGCCCTACCCGCCGCGGCAGGTGACGGGACGTTCAGCTGTGGCTCGGGAGGTCTTCAGGCGCGGAGAAACATGACCAGACGGCGACAACTCGAAAGCCAGATAACCTCTCCTTCTCCTGGTCTACTACTAGTAACGAGTCCTTTTACAGACCTTTGAACTCCTGCAGGTCATTTTTGCAAGGGGTCACTCAAAGGATTTTCCACTTCCCTCCCCAAGTGCTTCCCAATACAAAGGACCAACCACCCCCGCCCCTTTTCCGCCCCTCTTCCTCCCCGTATGACTCTGCGATGAGGATAGCTTGGCTTCTACACGCCTAGTCGTACGTGAATTTGAATGAGAACTCCTCAACCTAGGCCACGTTTGGCGGTTTCGTGAACATGGCGGACGATAATCCGGCTCTCCACAATGCATTGCATGCGCTCGACAGGGAGTATGAGGTACGTAACCGTCTGACAATGGTGACCTTGCGGAACGGTGGTGACTGACACCTTTTCGTCGGTTGATAGGATGGTGAGATTACTGAGAAAGGGTAAGTGGCCTGCTGTCGGGCCTGATGCGATGGTCACTCCAAGCGACGACGAGAGAGAAACCGCCCCTGTGAAACAGTCGGACTTCTTTACGCATCCTACCCATCCCACCTGATTAGAACCGACTTCCCGTACATATGGAATCATGGCGGGGGCTAACCTGACCAAAGTTACCAGAAACGGCGCACGATCCTCCTCTCCCAATTCTACAACCCCGGCATGGGTCTGGATTTCAATTCCCCCAGTCCAGGTCCTTCGTCGTCTATGAACAGTGGGAGTCAAGCCCCTCCGGCGATCCTGAACGTTCGCCCACCTACGGCAGACTCCTCGGCCCATGGTTTCGCGGGCGGCCATGATACCATGTACAGCAACGGAGGATTCGGAGCCGATCGAAGAATAAGCGATACTACGCAGGGGTCCATGGAACGAGATAATTCGATGCTGCAGCAGCTGGATCGCATGCCTTCCACGGGATCCTACGATTCCCTGTTCCTCCCGAGACCGCCCCCGCAGCCCGTACCGGTCGCGACGGAGGATTCCCGAACCGCCACCCTTTTGACGCAGAACTACGCCTTCCACCCCCCTCTCGTCCATGATCAGTATGACGACGGTATGGGCGTTTATGATATGCCGCCCGGTGCGGTCACGCGGCAGTCGACCATGCTGGACTCGCAGCAGGGGTTCTTCTCCGACTTCGCGGGTCAGCAGCAGGATGATTACCGGGACAGTTACGGAGGCAGTGGATTCCACCGCTACTCCCAGTCCGATGCCTTCTCCCCGACCGCGAATATGGCGCCCCGCTGATCCCCGCGTCGGAGCTCCCCCACGGGCCCGCCATTGATCACCTACTGCCCCTGGAGCCTCGTGACATTCCGTTCGCGGTCCATGACCCCCATGACCACAATACCACAATGTCCAATTTTGACAACATCCCGGCTGTCCTCCGCCACCGTGCCAAGGCCCATGCGAAACAGGCCGCGTATTGGGTGCTGGATCAGAAGGGCAAGGAGATTGCCTCCATCACTTGGGACAAACTGGCGAGTCGCGCCGAGAAGGTTGCGCAAGTCATTCGTGACAAGAGCAACCTATATCGTGGCGACAGAGTGGCCCTGATCTATCGGGACACCGAGATCATCGAGTTCGCCGTGGCCCTCATGGGTTGTTTCATTGCCGGGGTCGTTGCTGTCCCGATCAACAGTCTCGAGGACTACCCCAGCCTCAACCTGATTCTCACGTCGACCCAGGCACACCTTGCCCTGACGACGGAGAACAACCTCAAGACCTTCCAAAGAGACATCACCACTCAGAAGTTGAATTGGCCGCGGGGGGTCGAGTGGTGGAAGACCAACGAGTTTGGCAGTTACCATCCAAAGAAGAAAGAGGAGGCTCCGGCCCTTGTTGTTCCCGACTTGGCTTATATCGAATTCGCGCGAGCCCCGACTGGCGATTTGCGCGGTGTCGTCATGAGTCACCGCACGATTATGCACCAAATGGCATGCCTCAGCGCTATGGTGTCGACGGTGCCTGGATCGTCGAGTGGGCGGCCTCATGGTGAGACGATCATGAGTTACCTTGACCCGCGTCAAGGGATCGGCATGATCTTCGCCGTGCTCCTCACCGTGTATGGCGGCCACACGACTGTCTGGCTCGAGGATCGCGCGGTCGAAACTCCGGGTCTCTACGCCCACCTTATCACCAAGTACCGGGCCACTCTCTTGGCCGCCGATTATCCGGGTCTGAAGATCACGGCCTACAACTACCAGCAAGATCCGATGGCGACCCGCCACTACAAGAAGAACTCCGAGCCTAATTTCGCAAGCGTGAAGCTCTGTCTCATCGATACACTGACGGTTGACTCGGAGTTCCATGAAATCCTTGCGGACAGATGGCTGAGACCGATGAGAAACCCGCGAGCCCGAGAGATTGTCGCCCCCATGTTGTGCCTGCCGGAGCATGGCGGCATGGTGATCAGCGTCCGTGACTGGTTAGGCGGCGAAGAACGGATGGGATGTCCTCTGACGCGCGATATGGACCAAACCGACCTCCAGGAAGCCAAAGAAGAAGAGAAGCGGCACGAAAAGGCTGGAAGCAAAAGCGGTTTCGGAAGCAGTCTCCTGGGCGGCGGATCGACCGCCCCGGCGCCCAAGGAACAAACAAAGAATGACCTCGGAGAAGTTCTCCTTGACAAGGAAGCCCTCAAGAGCAACGAGGTTGTGGTCTTGGCCATGGGCGACGACGCCCGGAAATATGCTGCCACCATGCCGCATGCCGTGCGTGTTGGCTCTTTTGGCTACCCCATCCCCGATGCCACTCTCGCCGTTGTTGACCCGGAGACTAATCTCTTGTGTACGCCCAATGTCGTTGGCGAAATCTGGGTGGACTCCCCCTCGCTTTCCGGAGGGTTCTGGGCGTTGCCGAAACATACCGAGGCGATATTCCATGCACGCCCGTACAAGTTCGAGGAGGGCAATCCGACGCCGGTCTTGGTGGAGCCAGAATTTTTACGGACGGGGCTGCTGGGATGCGTGATCGAGGGCAAGATCTTCGTCCTGGGGCTTTACGAGGATCGACTGCGTCAGAAGGTCGAGTGGGTTGAGCACGGACAAGAAATTGTTGAACACAGGTATTTCTTTGTTCAGCACATGATTGTTAGCATCCTGAAGAACCTGCCCAAGATTCACGATTGCACCGCTTTCGATGTCTTTGTCAATGAAGAGCATCTTCCGATCGTGGTCCTGGAGTCATATGCAGCGTCGACGGCACCGACAACCTCCGGAGGTCCTCCGCGACAACTCGACTCGGTTCTTCTGGAGTCTTTGGCAGAACGGTGCATGGAAGTTCTCTACCACGAGCACCACCTGCGTGTCTTCTGTGTGTTGCTCACGGCTCCCAATACTCTTCCCCGTGTCACCAAGAATGGGCGGCAAGAAATTGGTAATATGCTCTGTCGAAAGGACTTCGATGCTGGAAGCCTACCGTGTGTCCACGTGAAATTTGGCGTCGAGAGGTCAGTCTTGAATCTGCCCGTTGGGGTCGACCCAGTTGGAGGGATCTGGTCTTCGCTCGCTGTGACCGCAAGGCAGGAACTTCTGTCCCTGCAGGAGAAGCAGTACTCTGGCGTCGACTACCGCGATGTGGTCATGGATGACCGGACGTCTACGCCGTTGAATAACTTCAAGTCAATTGTGGATCTTCTGCAATGGAGAGTCTCCCGACAAGCGGAGGAGCTCGCGTACTGTTCCATTGATGGTCGAGGAAAAGAAGGCAAGGGAATCACCTGGAAGAAGTTTGACTTGAAAGTTGCTGCGGTGGCCAACTACCTCAGAAATAAAGTCAAGGCTCGTCCTGGTGACCATTTGATCCTGATGTACACACACTCCGAAGAGTACGTCTACGCCGTCCATGCTTGCTTCTGTCTAGGCGTGGTGATCATCCCCCTCGCGCCTATTGACCAGAATCGTCTATCGGAGGACGCACCTGCATTCCTCCATATGATCAGCGACTTCAACGTGAAAGCTATCATTGTCAACAGCGACGTGGACCATGTGATGAAACAGAAGATTGTCTCGCAGCACATCAAGCAGTCGGCCCAGGTGCTTCGGATAGGTGTCCCGGCTATCTACAACACAACAAAGCCCTCGAAGCAGTCGCACACCTGTCGCGACCTCGGCTTTGTGATGAGGGACACATGGCTGCAGAGCAACACCCCCGCTATGATCTGGACGTACTGGACGCCAGACCAGAGGAGGATCTCGGTTCACATTGGCCATGACACCATCATGGGCATGTGCAAGGTGCAAAAGGAAACTTGCCAGATGACCAGTTCGCGGCCTGTTTTAGGAAGTATCCGTAGCACCTTGGGTCTGGGCTTCCTCCATACGTGCTTGATGGGCATCTATGTCGGTAAGTCACAAACCTAACTTACATTACCCCGAAGTAGAAGGGGACTAACTATGCCGTAGGTGCTCCGACTTACCTTGTATCGCCTGTCGACTTTGCAACCAATCCCATGACGCTCTTTGTCACTCTTTCGCGGTATAAGATCAAGGACACATATGCCACCAGCCAGATGCTGGACTATGCCATGACGGCAATGGCCGGGAAGGGCTTCCAGCTCCAAGAGCTCAAGAACCTGATGATCTCCTCAGAAGGCCGACCGCGTATTGATATTTGTAAGTATATCGGTTTACGCTGTTTCTGAGCTTTCTAACGTTCAACTGTAGACCAGAAAGTGCGCCTGCACTTTGCCTCTACCGCTCTGGACCGCACCGCAATCAACGTTGTCTATTCGCATGTTCTCAACCCCATGATCGTTACTCGGTCCTACATGTGCATCGAGCCCATCGAACTGTGGCTGGACCTGCGAGCTTTGCGGCGAGGTCTTATCATGCCAGTGGAGTCAGAAACGGACCCAGCAGCTCTTGTCATCCAAGATTCCGGCATGGTGCCAGTAAACACGCAGATCGCCGTTGTTAACCCGGAGACATGTGCCCTGTCTCATGTCGGTGAATATGGAGAGATCTGGGTCCAATCCGATGCCTGCGCCAAGGGGTTCTACGGCTCTAAGCAGGAATTCGATCACGAGCGATTCAACGGCCACGTCTTGGATGGAGATCCCAATGTTTCTTACGTGCGTACTGGTGACCTGGGCTTCCTGCACACCGTGACAAGGCCCATCGGGCCTGGAGGCCAGCCCGTGGAGATGCAAGTCTTGTTCGTTCTTGGCGGCATCGGCGAGACCTTTGAAGTCAATGGTTTGAACCATTTCCCGATGGACATTGAGAACTCGGTGGAGAGATGCCACCGTAATATTGTTGCTGGAGGATCGTAAGTGACCTTCCCCGCTGCTTGATGTTTGACGCTCGCTGACATTGTAATAGTGCCATCTTTCAGGCTGGCGGTCTGATCGTGGTCGTGGTGGAGGTGACGAGAAAGGCTTACTTGGCGTCCGTGGTGCCTGTCATTGTGAACGCCATCCTGAACGAACACCAGGTGGTTGCGGACATCGTGGCATTCGTCTCGCACGGAGACTTCCCACGGTCCCGACTGGGCGAGAAACAGCGCGGGAAGGTTCTGGCGTCGTGGGTTACGCGAAAATTGCGCACTATCGCTCAGTTCAGCATCCGAGACGTGGAGGGCGGCGAGAATCAATTCGGGGAGGCGCCTCAGCATCGCGCCAGTCGAAGCTCCAAGCCAGGCAGCACGGTGGGCAACAGCATCCGCCGGTCCAGCGTCATGCCGGATACCGACTCAGCCACCGTTCCTCGCTCCCCAGCCCCTATCCTTGTCGAACAGCCCGAGGCAACATCCCCGCACAGTCTGGTTGACCAGGGGGCGATGAACAGCCCAACGGTGCATGCAGAACCCGCGCAGTCCATCCCCCAGATCGCCGAACCGACGCGCCCGGGCACCTCTTCCACCGCCGGACACCCTGACCCCTCCCTCGCCGTTCAGAACAACGCGCCACCCGCCAACCTCGGCAACCCCGACTTCGGGTTCGACTTTGGCGACTTCGCCCATGCCGCCACGACCTCCCCGATCGGCGAGTCGAGTGTCCCCGCCCCGGCGACGGGAGCCCCCCTGCCATTCCGTCCCTCCCCAGAACCGACTCCCTCCCCAGCCAGCAGCAACAACAACAGCAAAAGTACAGCGCCTTCCCAGGTGGAGGCATATCCGAACGACCGATGTCACGGGACACACCCAGCCACCAGGGCGACGAGCACGATTGGCCGCAGGAAGCACTGATGTACCAGTCGACGTTGGGCGTCGACGAGCCGCAGGGCGTGCACAGGGCACCGAGCGGCACCAGCCAAGTGCAGAGGCGCTATGACGGGAGTGAGTACGGAGTTTGAAGCCGCTTAGACTCGCATATACAAAAAGAGCAGATTAATCGTGATCGAGTTTACATCTATACCCCTATGTACTGGAATATGCACGACAGATGTTATCTTTCCGTTTTAGTGCTCATCCTTTGCCAACTTTTTTGTTTGCTCACTGGGTAGCCTCAGGCCATACATAATACAGATACAGGTGCATAGTCGGCTACTCTCCCTACCACAGCATCTTTGTATATAGTCACTGTGGTCTGTAAGTTTTGGACTCTACAGGCCGGTAATTAGTTCTTTGGATAGATGAGTTATATGAGTGTATTAATTTGGTTAATTGCATTTTCAGGAGCATTCTAAAAGTAGTTTTACGCTCTAGATATAGTGACCCTACCATATTGATAACAAATAGAGAAAAAAATAGAAGAGAAGAAAATAAATAGTAGCTCAATAACTAACCACTACATTTGCAGAAGAAGATGATGATGAGCAATCACTATCTTACTTATCTACTGGTTGATGGTCACTATCTCATATAGTTATGTACTGGCTAATAGCTCAAACCCCTTACAGCATACACCTCACCTCCCCCCAACCAAACCCCCGGAACCACCCCCCAAAATACCCCTCCAGCGCATCACCCGTCGCCTTCCCCCCCACCAACCCCAAAACACACCCCACATACCCATCCGGCCGCACAACAACCACGCCTCCCCCCCGCGGATCAAACCCTAACTTCCTATGCGCCGCCCCAGGCCCACCCGGCTGGCGACGCGCATCGTCCGAATAGATATGGTACCGGTAGGGTTGGAAAAACGGCGGCAGGGAGGCGATGTCGATTGAGGAGCGGATGGCGTTGAAGATGATGGAGAATGTGTAGAGTGGTGAGTGGGGGTTGTGCCGGCTTTCGAAGGAGAGGTCTACTACCTCTGTGTCTGTGGTGCGGGGGATGCGCGAGAATAGGGAGGTTCGGCGGGTGAGGTGGGTGGATAGGTCTGTTAGGGCCTTGTGTTGGTGGGGATGCTGGCCGGCGAAGATGTATATGTGGAAGCTGCCGTTGAAGGGGACGTCGCGTTCTAGAGGGATGTCGTGGGCGTCGATTACGCGCGTTACGGTTGTTGGGGGGAAGCTGCGGCCGGGTTGGGGCTTTGTATGCGTGGGGATGATAATGGGGTTATTGTTGTTGTTGTTGTTGTTGTTGTTGTGGCTGGCTACGGTCAGCGTGCTGGGCGGATACTCGACGCCGTAGCCGCTCGTCAGTAACGAGTTCTCTTGGAAGATGCGGACGAACTCGTCGTTGGCTTGCTGGGAGGGGTTGTGCGAGCTGAAGAGGCCGGCGTAGGTGGCGTCGAACTCGATCAGTCGGGAGGCTGCTGCGTGGCGCTCTTCTTCATATGTGTGTAGTAGTTCGCGGCGCATTAGGTTGGATTCGACGAGGTGGAGCTTCCAGCTTAGGTTGTGGGCGTCGAGGAGGCCGTAGTTCATCCCTTGGCCTGCTTTGGGCTGGTTTTTTTTTTAGTTCAACCATACATTGATTGAATCCTTTTTTATTTGCTTAGACTGAGATAGATGTGACTTACGCTGTGCGTGTGGCAGGCGTCACCGCCGATGAAAATGCGGTTGTCTAGTGAGTACTTCTGCGAGATGCCTTGGCCAATGTGGTAGGCGGAGTACCAGTCGACTGACACCCATTCCACGCGATACGGACTCAAAATCTCGTTGGCCATGTGCTGGATTCTCTCCGGGGAGGCAGATGCTGAGAGGTTCTTGCTCTCGTCGGGCGATATCTGGACGTAGATGCGTATGCGGTTGTTGCCTTGGGGAATGACCATGCAAGAGCCGCGGGGGGTCCGAACAGTGCATTTGATCTGGATGGTTAGTTTAGACAATGGTTAACTAACGGATAAAAGGGGAGCGAAAAAGAATACAGAAGAAGAGGGAGAAGCTACCTGTATATCGGGAAAATTGGTCTTGACGACCCCGTCAATCACACTCCACACGTGAACGGTTGGATCTTTATAGATCATGGGAATGCTCAATAGTTTGCGCACCGCACTGTGTGCGCCATCGGCTCCGAATAGATACTTGGTCTGTAGCTTCTCCACGGCCGTACCATCCACGCTGACCAGCTCGACGTCAACGGGGTACTCGACGCCCGGCCCACGGTACGTGGCCGCACGGATCGTCCACGGCCGCTGGACCTCGACGCCCCGCGAGCGGAGGTCAGCAAGGAAGACACCTTCAATACGACCTTGGTGCAGAGCCGTGGTGAACGGGTAGCGGGTGTCGACATGCTCGGGGTAGCTCTTGGTGGTGCCTATACGTTGAATGCCCTGTCCGTCGGGAGTGGCGCCCCAGAAGGCGACTTCGTAAATGAGACCCGGCCTGAAGGCCCAGATAGGCCTCTTCAAGTCCATACTCTTCAGCACGTCCAGTGTGCGTGCCTGGATCCCGTCCGCTCGGCCGATGGCCGTCGGCTCGGCGCGGTTGTCGATGTGCTTGATCTTATAGGAGCCGAGACGGGCAAGACAGGCAGAGAACATAAGCCCTACAGGGCCGGCGCCCACGACGACGAAGTCGTACTTCCCAGGCATATTGCTTGATTTAGATTTATTGACGTTGGAGTAGGGGGGGGGGGGGAAGTAAGGGGAGAGGAGAGACAGGTGACACCCTGCTTTGTTTCGTGCCGATCAAAAGGCAAGGTGTGAGAGAAAATTCTTGGAGGACATGGCAGATGATGAATTGGACATGATTGTATGGACTGGACACCAATGCAGAGGACAATGCGATTCAATTTGGGCTTCATTATACGGTGGACCAATGGCTTACTCGGGTCCAGCGCACGCATCGTTTTTTCTTTACTTTTTCTTCTTTGCTTTTCTCTGTCCAGCCACTTTGAAAAGGTCGATTTGCAATAGTGCTGTCTGGGCCAGTCGATCAGCTATAGGGGATCTAAGGCCTTGCCTCGTGCGGGTGGCTTTCAGCTCGCCAATCTGGTCCTTGCAGGAACTAAAGGTTAGCGCTGGTTCTTGTTGTATTCAAATTTGCCATCGGTTAGACTCGCCGATCGCCATCTGGTAGTACAGCTGAGGGTGAGCGAATTTGCGGTGTAAGCGATGATGGGGGCGAGATGCAAGATGCAAGATGCAAGAAGAGACAGGGGGGAGAAGAAAAAAGGGAGTGTTGGTGGTGCTTCTGGACATGTGGTTGGCCAAGCCCTAACCGATCTACCATAGCATTGTCTTGCCACTTGAGGTTTCAATGTAGAGAAGTATCGGAAAAGGACGAATAGAATTGAACAAAATACAATTAAAGAAACACCATATCTATCTTCGTCCAATCTCCACGCAGTACACGTTTCCGTAGTCACCGAAGGGCTGAGAGCTGAAGCACCACGCGCGACGATCCCAGGACGTGTATCTCCAGACATAGCCTGCAGAAAGCAGAAACAAGCTAGTAAAAGTAGACAGATCAACAGCATAGAAGGTAAGAACCGTGATAGTCCCGAGAGAAGCGCAGTTAGCGATTGGTTGCTTCTGTGTTGGAATGGCGGCCGACATGGATGACTTCAGCTGGCATCCGTCGCTCTTGACAATCTTTTCCTCCTGCAAAATGAATCTATTTCCATTCGGTTGCGCCGAAGCACCACGTCATCTCAGGTAGGACAGGAGACTGGTGGGTTTCGAACGGTGGCACTGCATGGGGTGGGTCATGTACAATGCCTCGGATTCCTGCATGTCTATGGGAGGAGGTCCACTAATACGTAAAGCAGCCTCCACAACATCCAGATGTATATAAGATTGGCTGGATAAATGTTATGTGCATGAATATAGTATTGATATGTAAAAGGCTATACGTATACTGCTGAGATATCCCCAGATTTATATGTGGTATTCGCCTATGTAGCATATACCATGCACATACGGAGTACCCCGTACTATTGGAATAAATAGAGACTGGTCTAATTTGATCTATTTCAAATATGTACAGGTACATAAATAATCTCGTCTAATCTCAATAAGACACATAGTAGTCAGTTTCACAATACCTCTGTGAAGCTCATAGGAACTCGATAAACTTGCTGGTAAGGCTAGCCCTACCAGTTCTGGATTATGTATATAGCACAATCAACGTACCAGAATTGTTTACTATCTAGTATTTACTAGTTCATACTACTTTCTGATAGACAAACCTGCTGTAGCCCACAGGGCATTTCCGGTACTGGATCTATTATATGTTGACTCCCTGACTGAGGAAGCAGAGAGAATAGTTCGCCCCTGAGAGTCGTAACCCAGTAAGATTAATAACTCAGCCAAAGATCAGCCACGAGCTAAGATCGGCCGATTAAAAGATCGTGAGGAATAGTCTCCTGCACGAGACGAGCCCCTACTTCTCTTACCCACTTATTCTTTCTTTTTCCCCGTGTGGGTGGGTGGGGATGTAGACGGACGGGGCAAGATGGACAGCAGGTATAAAGCCAACCCTACAGACGGGCTATCCATACAGCCATCTTCCATTCTCCCTGTATCATCCAAACATAATCCTCCAAGTTCCCCTTTGAAAATCAATATAACAATGGGCGACGCTCACTCCCCCCCACCCTGCTCCGTCATCCGCAGCATCAACCCAAACTACATCGGATACGACTACATAGGCTGGTACGTCGGCAACGCGCGCCAAACAGTCTCCTACTTCGTAAACCACTACGGGTTTGCCGTGCTGGCCTACCGCGGACCCGAGACAGGCTCCTACGCAACAGCATCCTACGTCGTCGGCAACGGCACCGCGCGGTTCCTGTTCACTTCGCCGCTGCGCTCGCCTGATGGCTCGGACGGAGACACACGGGTGAGTGACGACGAGCGCCGTCTCTGCGCGGACATACACGCCCACCTAACCAAACACGGCGACGGCGTCAAGGATATCGCGTTCACGGTGGACGACGTGCGCGGCGTGTGGCAGCACGCTGTGGACAACGGGGCGGAACCCGTACAAGAGCCGACTGTGCTTAAGGATGACGACGGCGAAATCCTCCTAGCATCAATCCGCACATTCGGCGACACCATCCACACACTCGTCAACCGATCCGCCTACCAAGGCGCCTTCCTCCCGGGATACACCCAGACCCCCCAGCGCAGCGACAGCTCACACGAATCTCTATCTCTACTCCCCCACATCGACGTCGTCGAGATCGACCACTGCGTGGGGAACCAGCCGTGGAACGGGCTCGAGGGCGCCGTGCGGTATTACGAGAAAGCGCTCAACTTCCACCGGTTTTGGACGGTCGATGATAGCGAGATGTGTTCTGAGTTTTCGGCGATGAATTCTGTGGTCGTGGCGTCGCCGAATGAGGTTATCAAGATGCCTATGAATGAGCCGGCGGCTGGGAAGAAGAAGTCGCAGATTGAGGAGTTTGTCCCCCTTCCCCTCCCCCCTCTTCACTTTCCAATAATCCTTTTACCCTGGAAGGGGAAAAGGAAAAAGGGAAAAAGAGAGAGACTAACAAGAGAGCAGGTTCTGCGACTACTACAACGGCTCTGGCTGCCAACACATCGCGCTCCGCACGCCCAACATAATAACGGCAGTGCACAACCTCCGCCAGTGCGGCGTCGACTTTCTCTCCGTGCCCGAAACGTACTACGCGGACGTGCGGGCGCGTCTACAGCGCGCGGGCACAAACGTCGCCGAGGACATCGACACGCTGCAGCGGTATAACATTCTCATCGACTTCGACGAGGGCGGGTACCTGCTGCAGATCTTCACGAAGCACGTCGGGGACCGGCCGACGGTGTTTTTGGAGATTATCCAAAGGGAGAATTTTGAGGGGTTTGGGGCCGGGAACTTTAGGAGTCTTTTTGAGGCGTTTGAGAGGGAGCAGGCGCTGAGGGGGAATTTGTGATTTATTGTGCTTGGATTGTGGATGTGTTGTTATTGATAGATGGGGTTATGGGAGGTGGTGGGTATGGTGTGATTTAGGTTAGGTTGAGATGGGATGGGAGTGGGATGGCTCTGTGGAGGGATCAGAGATGGTAGACCTGGATGGTGCTGTTATAGTATGGACTGAATGAATGGACTATATCATGTCTCCTGTAACCCAGCTATAAAATATTTTGATTTACTTCCTTATGCTTTATATACTCAGGACAATTCAATCACCCCAAAGTAGTCTAAGAAATGGATATTAAATTCCTACCAAAATATATAGAAAAAAGAAGAAGACACCAAAACGTCACATTTTATCCTTTCGTTTCGTTTCATTTAAACCTCCTACTGATTCTCCGCTTGTCGCGTCAGCTCTTCGATGTTCACCTGCGGCTTGGCGGACCCGGAGCAGGCCGCCTTGGCGGCTGCTACGGCGGCGTCGTTGCCGCTGCCGCCGTGGTTCAGGAGATCCAGAGCTTGCAGGTCATCGTCGGTGAGGGTGTTGGAGCGACGAGGGCGGAAGGGGGCGGGGGAGCCGGCGCGGCTGGTGAGGAACTGCTTTTGTTAGAATCATTTTCGCAAGGAATGTAAAGGAGAAGAAAAGTGTGGGGAAGAACATACAGAGCTGGCGGCGCTGAGGAGGGCGATCAAACTGGCTTGAACGACATCCTGGTGGATACCGACACCCCATACCTGCTCCTTGCTACCGGCGGCCGTGCACTGGATGTATGTGGCGGCCTTCACGTCACGACCCAGACCCTTGGCGTTGCCGATGGAGTGCTCCTTGTAGTCGACGACGTCCAAGTCGATGCCGAGGTTGGCCAGGGCGTGAGCCAGCGAGGAGATGGCACCCGGGCCGACGCCCGTGATGGCGTGCTGGATGCCGTCGATCTCGACGACACCGGTGAAGCGCCGGCGCAGGTTCTTGGTGTTGAGGGCCTTGCCCGGCTCGGGCGGGGCCGGCGAGGTGGAGCGATCGGTGGTGATGTTGTAGTCGACCAGGTTGAAGCGGGGGTTGGACTTGAGGTGGTAGGCCTCCTCGAAGAGAGAGACGATCTCGGCGGCGCGCAGCTCGCGGCTGACCTCCTCGGTGCGGCGCTGGACGACCTTGCTGAACTCGACCTGCAGGGCGCGCGGGAGATCCAGCTCCAGGCTGCGCAGGATGACCCAGGCGGCACCACCCTTGCCGCTCTGGGAGTTGACGCGGATGACCGCCTCGTAGTTCCGGCCGATGTCTTCGGGGTCCAGCGGCAGGTAGGGGATGGTCCACTCCGTCTCCTCGTCGGCGGTCTGGCCGTCCTCGCGCAGCTTAAAGCCCTTCTTGATGGCGTCCTGGTGGCTGCCGCTGAAGGCGCAGACGACGAGCTGGCCACCGTAGGGCCAGCGCTCGTTGACGGGGATCTTGTTGCTTTCCTCGACGAGCTTGATGACGGCGTTGATGTCGGAGAAGTCGACCTGGGGCGAGACACCCTGGGTGTAGAGGTTGAGGGCCAGGGTGACCAGGTCGACGTTGCCGGTACGCTCGCCGTTGCCGAACAGAGTTCCCTCGACACGCTGCGCGCCGGCCATCTGGGCCAACTCGGCGGCGGCCACGGCGCAGCCGCGATCGTTGTGGGGGTGGACGGAGACGACGTAGGTGTCGCGGTCAGAGACGTGGCGGCAGAAGTACTCAATCTGGTCGGCGAAGACGTTGGGGGTGGCCATCTCGACGGTGGCGGGCAGGTTGAAGATCAGGGGGGCCTCGACGGTGGGCTCCCAGGCGGCCTTGACGGCCTCGCAGACCTCAGCGGCGAACGCGGGCTCGGTGTCGGAGAAGGTCTCGGGGGAGAATTCGAAGTGCCACTCGGTGCCGGCCATGGCGGGGTCGTCCTTGGTGATTGAGCGGGCATACTTGGTGCAGCGGACGGCCATCTCCAGACTCTGCTGCTTGTCCATGTTGAAGACAATGCGACGGAAGCACGAGCTGGTGGCCAGGTAGATGTGCAGGATGGCCTTCTTGGCGCCCTTGAGGGAGTCGACGGTGCGGCGGATCAGATCCTCACGGCAGGGCGACAGGACCTGGAGCCAGACATCGTCGGGGACAACGCCGGGGGTCTCGACCAGACGGCGGGTGAAGTCAAAGTCGATTTGGGAGGCGGAGGGGAAGGAGACCTCGATCTCTTTGTAGCCAATCTCGACGAGCTTCTTGAAGAAGCGCCATTTTTGCTCACCGTCCTGTACCAACAATCAGCAAAGTATATTAAGATTGTAGAAGTGACAGTCCCATACCATCGGATCCGGCAGACTCTGATTCCCATCTCGAAGGTCGGTGGCCAGCCACCGCGGGGCCTTATCGATCACCTTATCGGGCCATTGACGGTTGGGGAGCTGGAGGGGTTTATAGGGTTTGTATTTTTTGGAGGGATCTTTCAGCCTGATAATCAATTAGTTCAACGATTGCGATTGAGAGGGTTCTTGATCAATTGCGATCGATTCATGGTGGGGGTTCACGTACATAGGCATGGTGGCGGTATATGTATCGGAGGTAAATCGGAGTGAGAAAGAGAGGCGGGGTAGGGGAGGAGGGGTGAAAGGGACAGGAGGAAAAGAGTATGGAGAGAGGAGGAAAGTAAGTACAAGAAAGAGTATAAGAAGGAATGGCAGATGAAGCCAATAAACGATGTGGTATTGAAAAAGAAGCTGTCGTGAGTCACGTCGGCTTAAAAGCTTCAAGTCGGAGTTTCCACCGCCCGGGCGTGCCTTGGACCCTCAGGCATTTTCTGCTCTTTTTTTTCTTTGCCGCCCCGACAGCGGCCTGGATGGATGATTGCGACCCACTCTTCACCTACTGATGGTACTTCCTACTACTGTACTTACTACTCAGTACGAAGTAGTTAGGTATTTAGTAGATGATTAATTATATCATTTGTAGTTACTCCTCTCTGTATAATATAACACAATATAGAAATTTTGAGATCGTTAATCTAATGAATAGAGAATAAATAGACAGACAGATATAAGTATGAATGTACAGAATAATGAGGCAGCAGCCGATACCGGAGGCCACAGCTGCCTGACGCCGAGAACAACCGGGGGTAACCGAGTCTCCATAAAACGATCCATCCAAACCAGCACAACATCTCCATTGCAATATCCTGCATACACGTCTGCACACACGTCTGCACGCAGTAAGATTGGATTGGACCCATTGCGACACACGGTTCTTCAGACACCTCATTTCTTTCCCTTCTTCTTGTCCTTCTTCGATGCCTTGTTGGGCTTGGGCGCCTCCCGCTCCGTCTTGCCCTTCTTCCAGCCGGGATTGCCCTCCATCCGCTGCCGCTGATCGTCCAGGCGCTTCTTGTCCTTGTTGCTGAGCTTCACCTTGGATGATACCGACGGGCCGTTCAGCAGCTCCGCTCCCACCTTGCGCGCCGCCTTCTTGTCCCGTTCCGTTTCGAACCAGGTGCGCTTGGGCCGCGACTTGATCTCCGCTTCGTGCTTGATCAGGTTCTCGCCTCTGGTCACCTGCATCTCGGCCTGCGACAGCTGCTTCTCCAGCTTCTCTTCCTCCAGAACCGCCTCGACCTCCTCCTCGAGGTCATCCACCTTCTTCGACCACGAGTCCGCCACGCTCTGTTCCACCACCCGGCTGACGATCTTGGCTCCCTGCGACTTGCCCGCTCGCACGGCGGCCTTGACCACCTTGCGGTCGGGCTCTGCTGCGATGGTGCACGCACGACCGGAACGTCCGGCACGCGCTGTACGACCGACACGATGGAGGTAGATTTCATGGCTCTGCGGCGCTTCGTAGTTGATTACCGTCTCGACACCCTTGATATCCAGACCACGGGAGGCCAGATCGGTCGCGAGTAGGAAGGACACCTTGCCGTCGCGGAAGTTCTCGACACTTTTGATACGCTGCGATGGGGTGGTCATGTTAGTATCGCGTTCATCCCAAGGGGAGGGGTCAGTAAACGTACCTGCTCCTGGCTCATGCTACCGTGGAGTTCCGCGGCCTTCAGTCCCAGCAGTCCGAAGACGATGCGCACTCGGTGCGCCTCGCGCTTCTGCCGGAAGAACACAATCACTCGGCCCGTGTAGAGCTCCTTGCACAAGTAGAGAAGGGAGCCGAGGCGCTTTCCTTCGCGTCCGGGGCGTAGTCGCACGAATTCCTGGACCAGCGTCACGGCCGTATTCTTCTTCGCGTCAACCATCAACCGCACGGGGCGGTTGAGCCCGACGCGGATGAGCTTGTCGACCGTGTCCGTCATCGTAGCCGAGAAAAGCATCGTCTGCCGCGACTTGGGGATCGTGGTCAAAATCTCGTTCAGCTCGTCCGCGAAACCGTCCTCCAGCATGCGGTCCGCCTCGTCCAGCACCAGGATCTCGAGCGTGTCCACCGTGAAACTGGCCGAGTTCCGCATGTGGTCGATGAAACGACCGGGTGTAGCGATGATCACGTCGGGTCGTCGCTTCAGGATGTTCTCCTGCTCGCGTAGACTGTAACCACCGACCAGCTGACAGAAGGTGATGTCGGTATATGTCGCCAGCTTGGTCGCCACATTGTAACACTGCACCGCCAATTCACGCGTGGGCATCAGGATCGCCACGCGACTGGTGGGCACCTTGCGAGGACGGAAGAGCAGACGCTCCAGGATGGGGACCACAAAGGCCGCCGTCTTACCGGAACCCGTCACGGCACTACCGACGATATCCTTGCCCAGGAGGGCCACGGGGATCGCCTTGCGCTGGATGGGCGTCGGGTTCGAGAAACTGACCGCGGCAAGACCGCGCAGAATGGGTCGAGACAGGTTGAACTCTTGGAAGGAACGCTTCGACAGATCGGATCCGGCGGGTTCGCTGGGCTTGTCGTCCTCCGGCGCGAAGAACGCCTTGCGCTTCTCGGCCTCGGCTTCATCGACTTCGCTCTCGGCGTCGGAATCCTGGTCCGATGCACCACCTATGTCGTCAGGGTGGCCGACGGGCGTAGCAACGGAGTCATTGTCGGAAGCGGCGTCGTCGTCATCGTCGTCGTCGCTCTTGTCATCCTCCTCGTCGGAGTCCTTTTCTGCCGCAGAGTCCTCGCTCTCATCCTGACCATCAGCGCCCATGCCGAACCCATCTTCAGCCAGCAGCTCATCGTCCTTGAAGTCAACAGACATGTCATCGTTGTCCTCCTCATCATCATCCGCAATACCTTCAAACTCACTCCCCTCTTCCTCCAGCTTCTCCTTCCTCTTCAGCTCCTTCTTCCGCTTGCGCTCCGCATCAACTTCCTTCTTGGCCTGCCTCCTCTCAATAATCTCATCGATATCAACAGCCTTCTTATCCCCGTTTTTCTTGTCCCCAGGATTATTACTATCCGCACCCCACCCGTCGAAATCCTCCGTCAAATCCTTAGTCGCACCAGCGACATCAAACTCAAAGTCAGAGTCCAGCGCGCCGTCGTCTTCCCCAGCGTGTCCCTGCTCTTCCTCCTCCTCACCCTCTTCTTCCTCGGGCTCCTCCTTGGTAGCCTTCCCCTTCTTGGACTCCTTCAATTGCTGCTTCTGCTGCTTCTTCTGTTTCTTGTTCTTCCCTTCCGGCTGCGCAGCAGCAGCAGCAGAAGACGCCGTGTCGCGCTTGCGCTTTTTCGTCGCGGCCTTGTCCGCGCTGTCGATCTCTTCTTCGGCCTCGTCCACTAACGTATCATTTTCGACCTCGTCGTCCGAAAGCGTCAGGACGAAATCGTCGTCTTTTCTCTTGGGAGCCATGGCTGGCTCGTGTTTTGGAGGTAGGTCCGTAGGTAGAGGGAGACGTAGAGAGTGAAAATTTCCTGATCAATAGAATAAAACAAAGTTAAATAAAAAAAAGGCGAATCGACGAATAGAAAAGTTTCAATGGCTTTTCTTTCGTCCCCTGTCTGTCTGTTCGATTGTTTCCAACTCCAGATTCCGATCTCTATCGCTCGGCGGAGACTAAAAAAAAAAAAAAAAGTTCCAATTCCGAAGGCGGTGGGCTGGATATCATGGCAGAATTTAGGCGGTCTCTCCTCCTACTCCGTTTATTACTGTCGTATTGATCGCCTGGATAGCGTACGGAGTACATTTGGGGGGGAATGAGAACAGCCTTCTGCATTACCTCGCTTGAGATTTGGATCTCTGCTTCCTAGACAATCGGTGTAAATTATAGAGACTAAACACGCTCTTGATATCCTATTCTACTGCCTCAAATCGTAATGACTTCCCGTATGTACACCCTCTTACTGATAAATCAACATGCAACTCAATAACACCCACCATCACAGCATCTCCATCCCCATCCCATCAACCCATCGTCATCTCCGGCCCCTCAGGAGTCGGCAAAGGGACTCTAATCCAGAAACTATTCACCACCCACCCCAACACATTCGCACTAACTGTATCCCACACCACACGGGAACCACGACCCGGTGAAGCCGAGGGCGTGGCCTACCACTTCGTCTCTCACGATACATTTCTGTCTCTGATCTCGCAGAACGCCTTCGTGGAACATGCCTTGTTCAGTGGAAACCACTATGGGACTAGCAAGCAGACTATTATGGATCAGGTGGCGAAGGGGTTGATCGTTGTTTTGGATATTGAGATGCACGGTGTTAGGCAGATGAGGGAGAATAGCGGCAGTAGTAGTGGTGTAGATGCACGGTATGTTTTTATCAGGCCGCCGAGTATTGAGGCGCTTGAGGCGCGACTGAGGGGCCGTGGTACGGAGAGGGAGGAGGATATTCGGAAGAGGCTTGCTCAGGCCAGGCGCGAGCTGGAGTACGCTGAGCAAGGTGTTCATGATAGGGTTATTGTCAATGATGATCTTGATAGAGCGTATAAGGAGCTGGAGGAGTTTGTGTTTGGGTCGACGTTATAGTTCTGGATGAACACAGTCACTGCAACTCCCCTTTATTGCTGAAAATGATATGGTAGTAGTAGTTTGCCGTTTCATGCTAATCTTCTTGGGTTTTGACATGGAGGCTGCATGGGTTCCCGTATTGACTATTCTCGTCACAGTAATTGTCAAACAAAGGCAGAGCATCCTGACCATGGCCATTATGCATGATCCTAAGAGTCTCAGCAACATGTCCATCCAGCTCCCGTTTCCTGAAAATCGAGGGTTTTCTCTTCGACAGCCGAAGGGCATAAACAGGTACCAATGTCTTGCATTCATGAGCAGTCTGATAGATGTAATCAGTGTTATTCACGTCGACCACGAAATAGGAGTGTTTTCCGCGGTAGATGTTGACCGCGACGAAACAGGTCTTATTATTTGCATCTTGGTCGTGGAGACAATCTTGGACTCTTGAGGCAAATGGGCGTATGGATTCTAGGTAATCTTTAGGATCGAGAATGCTGTTTGGAGTATCGCCGAGTACGCGCATTGTGCTTGAGCCAGCGTCTCGAAGGAACTCGGATAGGGCCTCTTGGATTTGGCGCATTATGTGGTTGCGAATTTGTTCTGTTGAGTCGTCCATTGTGAGGATAGTAGGGAGTATATGTGTGCTAAGAGATGGGATGAAAGATAGTGGATATTGCTGACCTTCCTGATGCCTATTCAAGGAAGATAGATTCAATCAAGGGATGTCACTACTGAGGAAAAGATAGAGCAAGTTTTGGTACTCAAACATTTTTGTTTTGATTCTTTGAAGCTATTTATCATTTAGAGCTGAGTTGATCGTTGTAAATTTAAAACTCCATATTCGCCTTCCAGCCTCTTCCTTTTTTTTTTTTTTTTTGCTTTGTCTTTTTTTTACTTTTTTTTCTCTTTGTTGCTTTGACTATGGATTCACGAAATTATGCCCAAGAAGAGAACCGTGATAATGAGAACAATGTTGGTAATTGAAAAGTTATGAAAAGATCGTCCTTCCATCATATCAACACTTGACCCGGGTGATAACTATCGCACAAGAATGTCACATAGTGACCCATGCATCGTGTCGATGGTCCTGATCTCCCATCAGTCAATCCAACGTCACTTGGTAATGACCTTCTAGAGAACTCACCCGAGTACAGTACAGTGAAATCTGCTTATCGATCGAATGCCACGCCCTCGCTGTATCCAACGCTGCGCACGAGGTAGCTCACGTGTTGGCTGTCTATATTAGCAGGCGATTCAAGAGAAAATGAGAAGGAAACTCACTATTTGCCAAACTTCACTCTATTCCCTCGAAGGAGACCCTGCTCTTCGAACTCAAACACCCGATGGAGCCATCCTTTGACCCAGGTATATGTCGAGCTATCGTCGGCCGGGAAGCTGAGCGCAAATGTCAGCCGGGCAAGCTGGCGCTCTCCGTTGTTGGTGTATTCCGCAGGGACCTCAAAGTTGTATCCGCCCTTGGGATTGTATGTGGGATCACACATGCCGAGCAGCTTGTCCATCAGACAGCGGCCGATTCCCTTACGTTTGGCCTCTGGCCTGACGAAGAGCTCCAGCTCGGCGGAGTAGCGGGCGGCGGTGCGGCGGCCGACGAAGTCGCACGCCAGCGCGTATCCCATAATCTTCTCGGGGTTGTCGTCGCGGATGGCCCCCGTGCGCCGCTCCACCGCTACAAGGAACGGCAGGCTCTGCTGGTGGCAGTCGTCAATGCGCTGGCGGACGTCGCCGGTCTCGATGGGGTCGACGCCGATGCTTTCGGGGCACTCGCTGATGTAGTAGTTGAAGATTTCGACGAGCTCGGCTGCGTCGCTTGGCAGCGCGTGTCGGAGGTAGATGTTCGCGCGCGGCGATAGTGGGTGCGGCTCGAGCGCTGCCTGTCTGGTCTGGATGTAGATGTCTCGGGCTCTCTCCCTGCGGATTGCCTCTTTGAACAAGCGCTCTTCTTCTTCTTTTCGTTGGTGCAGCTCCAGGTTGTAGCAATAGCCCTCGGCGCTCTCGTGACGGTGCAGGCGGGTCTCTTCCACGGATGTGTCGATGCGGGTTTCGACGTCGTCCAGGCTAGGGATGAGGAAGCCCCGGACGCCGTCCGGATGGGCGGTGCCGTCAAAGAAAGTTTCGTGGTAGATGTCCGTGTAGCAGACTAGGGCCATGGTCCCGTCCATCCAACGGCGGAACCAGTCGATGAACTCAGCTAGGTCGGAGTAAAGGCGAGGCCGGGTCTCCCACTCGGGGGTCCACGCGTCTTCCCACCTGTGCTTGCAGTCCTGTTGTCCGGACCGGAGCTTCTCGCCAGCGGTTCTCGCTTTCTCCTGCATCTCCAGATGCGCCTGGCTTGGCTCGGATGATAACACCACCTTCCCGTCCACGACGTCGGAGTACACAGCGCGGCTGTTATTGTACGCCTGCCACTGGGAAACCCTTTCTTCGAACGTGGGGAGATCAGGCGCACCGGCGTAATCTGCAACCTCAAACGAGGGCTGCTCCCCGCCATCGGGACCTGCAACCGATAGCGCAGATCGGGTTTGTCCGTCGTAGCGATGCACCCCGATCCTTTCGAACACCTCAGAGTTAGGGTCGTTTCCTGGTCCCCCTCTGCAGATCTCCATGAACTTGGCATCGGCCACCGGGAATTCGGCATCTTTGAAACGGTTCTGGTGGGCCTTCTGCAGGATATCTTGCTGCAGCTTTTGTAATTCCGCCATCAACTCCGGATTCGGGGGCTTGTAGTACTTCGCCAGTTCCGCCTCCTGAGCGGATTGTTCCTCGGGGCTGACAACCTTCTTTGCCGGCGTGTTCGGCGGCCTATTGTTGTTTCTGGGGTCATTGGGGAGGCGGGGAGCTCGCTGCCCGGGCTGTCTCGAGCTAGACGGTGTCGCGACGCCGATGTGCGCAGCCTGAGTTCCATCCTGACGATTTCTGGCCCCGTCCTGCGGCGCCCTTCTGCCCTTGTGGATCACGGTTTCTTCCTCCGAAGTGGTGGACATTCTGATAACAACCTGTTTGTTGTTCTCTTTTTGATTGTTAGCCACCGCTTTTGATCCTTGTTGCTTTGTGTGGACAGGTGGAGACGTACTAGCAGGAAGGCCTTTGAGAGGGTGGGTTTGTACTTGGGGCTTGTTAGAAGGAGAAGTAACTTCATTCCGCAGAGTAGAAGGCCTCTGCTGAGGGTGACCTCTTGTTTGGGTCTGTGAAGGAGGCGGGGCTCTTCCCCCAGCAGGCTGGTGCCGCGAAGGAAATTCACTCATTGAAGAATCTGTGGAGTCAAGCATACTGCCTTGCTGTTGTCGCAGTAATCTTTCTCTCAAAGGGGGTGATACATACAACGCGGCAGATGGTCGATGCCGAGACGATGCTGAGGGGGTCTGGGTTGAAGTGATTGGGAATGTTGATGGGGCAGTCTGATTGATCTTTTTCACCTCATCCACCAAACCTTGCTGTCCTCCTTTGACTTGCTCCCCTTTTGGCTCTGCTGTTGGTTCTGACTGCGCTGTCACCATCTGTGACCAGGGGTCCGGGCTGTCGCTCATGCTGTAGGTTAGGGTCTACCAACTGATTGGAGCCTGCCTCTAGGGATTTAGGCTATGATCCTATCCAAAGATAGATTTGCTTTGTACTCTATCTGGTTTCTTTCTTATCAGGGTATCCAAGATAGATAATGATAGATTATTTTCCAAAGTTGAGGAGGGGTTTGTACGAAGCTCGAGGTTGTATGACTCTGGGAGCTTTCTCTAGATATAGGGATATTTATACCCAAGAAACAGAGAGGCAAATCTGAAGTGGACAACTAACATAGATCTTATTATAGAAATATATCACTGTATACTTATCACTCTATGGATAAATATAGGGATTAGTGAAGAAGATTTCTTGTTACTCTGTGCTTTAGTGATATTCATCACAGAACATGCTGTTATGATTTAGTTAGACTTATATCTGTAGGACCTAGGCTTTGTTAGACAATCAAAGATATATAGAGTATATAGAACAAAGAAAAAGCATCTAGCACTAGTATCTACATAATAATTAGCTAGTAGAGGCTGACATACGTGAAATATTAGACATATTCTACACATGGTCTTGAGGATATATAATATATTCAAGACACTATTCTCTATCATGTAGCATGTGCTTGTGTATATTATCTTCGCTGATATGGTACATATAAATATCTAGCATAGATTATCATAGTGAATCTATACCATGAATTATAAAGCTCATTCCTTCACTATGAATAGTATACCAGATTCAACTAGCAGTAAATGTAAGATTATTACTTAGAAAATCTACAACTATCACTGAAAGTCATACTTTAACTTCATTGAAGAACCCAAGTAAGTAGTATATACGTCATACTGCCAGACTAACAACTAGTTATACAAAGACTGCTCAGCATCTTTAGGCACCACTGATAAATGGTCTACAAGCTAGGCAGAAGGCAAAGGTGAAGTTAAAGGCCTGAGGCCTAGATTGACTAATCTGAAGGAAACCATCGAGGATCACTTGATCGTTGCACGAGTGTCGTCATATCTAGATTTATCTGACGGATGTTGCTCTTTCTGTTTACTCTGTTCTAGTACCAGTGGCATTCTTGTACCTCACGAACTGTCATTGCTTTGAAACCTATTGGTATTCTTTCTCTCCCTGACTGGTCAGCAAGGACAACACGGGCTATACTTCACACAGAGTCTCTAACAATGGTAGATACATACGCCTACAGTGTCTCCCAGCAATGCAGGATGCTGCGAGGTGCTCATGCTACGTACTTTTGTGGTTTCTTCTAGACATATAATGATTATACTGACATACTAAGTATTACTCCTTATCACAGGTGTCATCTTCGACTTGTACCCCGGAAACCATGTCACTTAATCAAGAGGGGAGTATCTTGATGCCTGTGGCTGCTCATTGAGCCGTCGGAAAGGAACATTGCCTTTTCTTTGAATAAAATTAAGCAGAAAGCCATTGGGTTCGTATCATCTATCATATCGTATTCTATGTTTTGATGTTTTCAATTGAATGTCGATGTAAATAGCTAACAAACTGGAAGAGTTGTGACGGTATGAAGAGCCCGATGGCAGATTTATATATTCTGATGCTAGAGCCATCACACAAAATCCCCCACAAGAAAAAATTACCAGCCAACCCATCCCGTTCAGCAATTACTATTTCCCTTATTATCTCACCGGAAATTCCATATAATTCGAATCTATTCTATCTGTGTTTACAAAGGTACGAAAGTAGGTCGATCTACGAGTTTCTGACCAGTACCCTAATGCGGATAAGCGATCAGAACAAATCTGGAAAGAGTTTCGAACGAACTTGGAACGAACTCCGAGAGGCACCACTGAAACTTTTGGCGGAGGAATTTGCCTCGGTCTAGGGCCATGATTCACACTCTAGCAGAGCCCTATCTCTTGGAACTCCGACCCAGCCGGTCTGGTCGACGTCACGCCCAGTGGCTGTGCTCTGCAGGCAGTGCAGGGGGATCCGTGGATCTCCGCCAGGTTTTCTACCAGGTACCAGATAAGCATCATTATTTTGCTTTTTCTGATTCCTTTCCTTACAATTACTCTCTCTTAATTTGATTAGTATTGCATGAATAACCATGGTAGTGATTCCCGTCCCTGAATCTTAATTCCCCTGATCCGCGGGGCGGGAGAGAACGAGATTTCAGGTCGAGGGCCCACCGACTTCCCACCGTCCCAGTAAACAACCTACCATCTTGAGCAACATCAAAATAAAGGCCCCGACCATGCCCGACCGGCCCTGAAGAGGATTCTATCGGCCTGCAATCCCAATAACCCGATCGCAGCAAACAATCTCATTGTCATTCGGGGAATAACACCGTTCACCCGGTCCAACTACTCTCAGGAGAGGATGCAAGACCCGCCGCACGCATCATCCAGTTGGACCAGTTGGGCCATGATGCAGAGGGCCATCGTCGAGTTATTGTTTGGGTGGGGCAGGAAGCGACACGGATATGGATTGTGATTAGTAGGGAATAGTTTGGATATGAGCTGGAGGTTCCACCGTGTACGAAAAGGAAGGAAAATCTGGGTTTCGCCGGATTGACGACATGGGTTGAGTACTGTGTCGGTCGGAGAAGAGTCGCGTAGAACGTATCATCATAGGGAGTAGGCTCATATTCAACCGGTGCGAATATTCTCATCAGTATCATCAGTAACAGTAACAACATCAATATCAGTATCCAAGCTGGACCGCCCATTCAGATGTGCCTGAGCCACCGAGACTAAGTCGGGAATAGAAACTCACCCCTCTTTACCCTCCCTGTACTCAGCTCTCTCTCCTCTCTTTCTCCCCCTTCCTTACTGTCGCCCAATCCCACCCCACAATCCCTGGCTGACGAGTGACGACTGCATACGCGACCCAGACTCGATTCTTGTTGTCGTCGTCGGCCTGTGTTTGTCGGGTTTGACTCATGACCTTTTTTCCCTTTCTCTCCCCTCCATTCACTTGATCTCTTTTTCTTTCATCTATCCTTGTTCTTTTTTTTTTGTCTTCAATTTTCTTTTTCTTGTTTTCGTTTTGTTTCGGCTTTGATTTTCTTTGTCTCATTGTGTAGTCCCTTTTCAGATCTCACAACCGCGCCCCCCCGGTTCGACGATCTGACCGATCAACTGCCAAGGTGGCCATGTCTTCCACCACCGATCCCGAGGGCAAGGGGGATGTCAATGATTTCCTCCTGCGCATTCGGGAACTCGGCCAGAAGCGCGACAAGGAGGACGAACAACGCACTAAGAAGTTGGAGGAGGAGATCTTGCAGGGTCGCAGAGAGAGACAGGCCCGAAGAGCTGGTAATTTGTCTCCCCCGTTCTCCGTTCTCGCCGCGGTTCGAGTGGAAACTCCCCCCATCATACCGCAGTGGACAGATTGCCACCTGATCCGGATGAGAGACTGATGAAATCCCTGTGAGGACGGAATATAGAACGTGCCCGTTCGCTCTCACCCACCAAAGACTCCCCGCCGTTGTTCGACCCGGCTCGGATGAGCATGTCCGCACTGGGCCAGCGAGCCATCGATCCCCCGCAACAACTCGAACCGACACCGCGCACCCCGGAGCACATCACCCCTCCCAGACCTGCCTCGGTACGAGGCGACGAGTTTCCGAGTCCCAGTGCGAGCCGCAGAGGCTCCACGGTGGAAGCGACGAGTAGCCTGGAAACGTCCCCAAGACCTGCATCGCCCAGTCTGCGGAGTAGGACCGGGACCCTGTCCTGGCAGCAACGACCGGCCTCGCGCGACCTGCATACCAACAGATCGCTCTTTTCGACCTCCCCGACGCGCACAAACCGCCTGCGAACCATGTCGACCGCGTCCAACAACGACACGGGAATTCCACCGAATCTTTCCGCTTCCTCCCCTTCATCCAAAGACACGCGATCGCCGCCGCGGCCGGACACAATAGGACTAACATCCCCACCCCGGGAAGGGTCGAAGGAAGATCAACATCACGGCTCACCCTCCGGCGCAAGTACCAAGGCGACCGCCATGGACCGTGAGAAGACTCCCGAACCGACCAAGGAAAGCGCCCAGCAGGAGAACCTCGATGAGCGATCCCGCTCCCCGTCAAGAGCGAGCTCGATATTTGCGGAAAGCAGCCAGGGACAGCGGTACTCGAGTGTATCGTCTGTCTCGACGGCTACGGGTCTAGGTTCCCCGGTACCTCTGTCCAACGCGCAGAAGTTCGAACCCCCACAAACGGAACCGGCATCTGAAGAGCAAACAATGGGCCCTCCGTCCCCACGACGAATGTCCCCCGAACGGTCCACATCACCGACAAAAGGACTGGGTGGGTTCGTCCAGAGCGCCATGATGAAGCGGTCCGACAGCGTGTCTAAGCGGTGGAGTGCTCAGTTACCATCTGGGCTGTCTAGGGCAGACCCCTTTGCGAGCAATCGCAATAGCTTTGCCGCGCCTACCGGCACTGATGTGCTCTCCCTTTCGCCCACCTCCAAGGCGGCTCGGGAGGGTTCGCTGTTACCCTCTCACCGGCCCGGCTCGAGCCATAGCGAGGCAACGGTAGTCCGTCCGATGAACGACAGCGAACGCCCCGTCACCCCGCCGGTCCCTGGCAGCGTCACCGGCACACGAGCCGATGAGAGCCCGAGACGCGCTCCCCTTTCCCTCCATACAAGACCGGGCAGTTCATTGGGCAGTGAAGTGAACTCGGAGTCCAATCCGCCATCATCGTCAAACCCCGCGGCCTCGCGGACGATGGACCCGAAACGGTGGAGTCCCACCAAATCAACCTGGTTGGAAAGCGCCTTGAACCGCCCCGATTCCCCCCGTCACAAGAAGAGCCCATCCCAGCAAGCCACCTGGTCTCCGTCCCGGCAGTCGAGGGGTAGCACTGATCTGGGTCGCGTCAACAGCTTCAAGGAGGTCACACCTGTCGGGCTGATGCGCACGGCTGCTCCTGGTCGCCACTCCAAGAAATCCAGTGTGTCCGGCATTCCCGACGTCTTTGGTATCGCGAATGACGCCGCCAAACCTAAGGCGGACCCAGCCTTGAAACCGACGTTGGAACCAGCCTTGGAATCGACGTCGGACTCGGCCTCAAAATCGACGTCGGACCCAGCCTTGAAGTCGACGTCGGACCCAGCCTCGAAATTGGTATCGGACCCAGCCTCGAAAGCGGCAACGGACGAGAAAGCCAACGTTCCTACCCCTACGGAACGACCGTCCGAGTTGCCTGTGGAGAACAAGGACTCGGTGCCGCGCGCAGAGGAGAGTACAAAGCCTCCTGCTGAGTCACAAACGCAACCTGATGCCACTGAAGTCTCGGGAGCTCCTCTGTTAAGACCGGAAGCGGATACTACAGGCCGAAAAGAGATCACTCGCAAACGTGCCCCATCTGTCTTGGCTCCGGTACCTAGGACGGATAGCGAACTGCCCCTGTCTACCTCTAGAGATCCTCTGCTCAACCGACCGAAACCGCAGTCCCCCGTCATCGATTTCCGAGCGAACTTGAAACGGCGAGAAGTTGTCAAAGATGACTCCCCTCGGGCAGAACCCGAATTCAAGAATGTCTTCGGAAGGCTGAGAAAAGCGGAGTCTTCGACCTATGCCGCCCCCGACGAGCTCAAGGATAATATCCTCAAAGGGAAAGCAGGTCTCAACAACTCAGGGGGCCCGAGAAAGACACAAAGAGTCGATGAACTCAAGGAGAGCCTGAACAAGCAAAAGGAAGCCATGAAATCCGGTGGAGGGTCTACGAGAAGGAGTACAGTCGGGCAAGACGATGCCCCCGCAAAGATTGTCGTTCCAGAGGCGATTGCAAAGCGTCAGAATCTGGCCAAGTCTAATAGTGACAAGACCAACGAGCATGGCGCCGCGTTGTCCCCCCAATCTCCGCGGGAAACAGGAACGTCTTCAGGGTCCCCGGACCCGCCCTTTTCGGCGCTGTCACCACTGTCACCTCAGCCTGACGAGTTCGGGGAGAGTCTTCGCAGCCCCGAAATTCCCACTTCGGGTACGGACGAGGACCGCAGCCAGGGAGCATCTCCGGCTAAGGAGGAAGAGGGGACTAAGCGGGACCTTGTAGATGCCACGCCTAAGCCCGAGCCTGCGGGCGACACCCAAATTAAGCAGGATATATCAACCGAGGAAACCATGAAACCGGTGCGTGACTTGCCGTCGGGGAGTGTCGCTCAGGCTGCAGACACGCCTGCAGCGGCTGCAGCTCCTCCTACTAAAGGGAAACTTGCAGGCCGACTAAATCCTGCTTTGGCGGGTCTCTTGTCGCGTGGTCCTCCCCAGGTGGGCGCCATGAATACATCGTCCTCGCTGAACGCAACAAGCAGCGAGACTGGATCGTCGAAAAGCGAGCCTGCGACACTGACACACATAACGAAGAGTCGTGCAAGAGGCCCTAAGAGACGTCTGCCCAAGACCGTCGTCCCCGAGGCGGCTGCACCAGAAGCCCCAACTTCGCCTTCGAAAGAGGTGCCTCCAAAGGATGAGACCACTCCGACATCGTCGTTCGATATCCAACGATCAGAGACAAGCCCCTCGCCGGTGGAGGAGCCCATGCCCAACTCTAGCAACTGGCCCCTCCCTGATAAGGTCCTCGACACGCATGCTACCGCACCGGACAGCCATGCGTCCCAACCTACTCAACACAGGATTAGCAAGCCGACAGAATTCAAAAGAAGCTTGCCTCGTCTATCAGAAAACCAAATCAAGTTACCTTTGGAAAGTGTTAGCTCAGATCCTCCCACGGAGGCGGCCAAAGCCCCTCATGATCCTGGGACAGTTCGTGGCGACTTGGGAAACACGAGAGAGACCCCCTCGAACCGGTCGTCTCTCATGTCTAGAATGGCCGCCTCTCCATCCACACCTCCGGTAGGCCAAGCGCGCAGCTCGCAAATTCACTACTCTTCTCCTTCTCCGTCCCCTCTCCGAACGAGCCTCAACGGGAACCAGGCCCCGCCACCTCCGACGCCCCCGAAAATTTGGTCTGGCATCCCCTTCATGTCTTCACGAGAGACTTCCCCCAAGCACAAGTCCTTACCCTCACCTCCTGTGCCCCGGAAGAGCTCTAGCCCCTCCGTCGATCAGTCTGCCTCACCTAGATCCTCGGGGTCGCTGGTACCCCAGGCCGACGAATCATTGGCGGCCATCTCGAGTTTCTTCAATACGTTTCCCAACTCGAGCGACCGCGTGAACATTGATCCCCAGTTGATGCTGGCCAGCCGGGGCGAGACCGACCGAATCCGGACATTGAAGATGCAGATATGGGAGATCACCGGCGATGGCCGGAAACAAGACCTCCCGGTCAACCAAGAATACATCCTTTACGAAGGTAGCATGTACCTGTGCGTGCATGTGTTTGAAGACGAGACGAGTCAGCGATCAGAGGCCCAGCTTTGGTGTGGGGACGGGGTCCCCGATTCCGCCATTGATGATGCGCAGTCCTTCTCCCGCAAAGTCGCCAAAGAAAACTGGTGCAAACTCGAGGTCATCAAGCAAGGCAAAGAGCCCGCTCGTTTCATCCAGGCTCTGGGAGGGATCCTGATCACCCGTCGGGGATCCAGCTCGCGGTCCAGCTCGTCTGCGATCTTCATGCTCTGCGGTCGCAAGCACCTGGGCCAGATGGTGTTCGATGAGGTTGATTTCTCTCGACGCAACTTGTGCTCCGGATATCCCTTTGTGATCTCTTCCATGTTCGGCAAACTGTTCCTGTGGAAGGGACTGGGCAGCTCCGCCGAAGAAGTCGGCGCTGCGCGGCTCATCGGGATGGATCTGGGACTGACTGGGGAATTTGAAGAGGTGACCGAGGGGGAAGAGCCCGAGAGTTTCTCGGAAGCTTTCCCCCTGAGCGATGACCAAGGGGACTACATGAAATCCGACCACTGGAAGCTCAAGCCTCATCACAGCCATTTCCAAGCCCGGCTGTTCCGCGTTGACCACGAGCTGGGCCAGCGGTCCGGGTTCTGGATTCGACGATCGGGCTCCAATTCGCCCATCATCCGGCCGAATGACACCGTCCAGGAAGTCGAAGTGTTCTGCCAGAAAGACATCTCCGCCAAGGGTATCTACGTGCTCGACACGTTTTTCGAGATCTACGTGTAAGTTTATTCAATCTCCGCTCGCTCCCTATATCTGAGCTAACCCTAATGCCTTATGTAGGATCGTTGGCGAACAAGCGTCCAAACGACCCGCGGAATTCGCATCCGCCGTGGTCTTTGCGCACGAATACGGCATCTTGGCGGCGTCTCTCCAAGACCGACCTTTCATCCCCAAGAGCTATGTCTCTCTCGGTGGGGTTCCGGAATCCTGTCGCAGCGCGCTCCGCAAGTGGGACGGGGATGCTTCACGGCCGGCCCCGCAGGTGTTTCCACTGAACGCGGCCATTGAGGCCATCCGGTCCTCATAGAGCGCCTTCCAGAGCCTTCTACTTCCTTCCTCATTCTCTTATTTTTCCTTTGTAGCTGAACATCCTTGTTCTTATGGACAATTTCCTTATCTGTGAATAGAGTTGCATCTGGCCCGGTCCATATGGTGGAAGAGAGACACGACGACCCGGGGAGCATCTTTCAAGGAGCCTGGGCGAAGGGCGGGGCGAATTCGGGTTTATCTATCCATGTATCTCTCTATCTGTTTGATGGGAGTTTATCTATTTTTGTTTCTGGCGTGATTGGCGCTCGGGGTGGGCGGGGATTCATACACTGCTTGCTATGTTGTTGTATCATTCTCAGATGATCTAGATGATCTGTGGGAGTGAGTGGATTGTATGATTAACTCTCCTACCATGATTTGAAAGGACTAGACTAGGTATATGCCTAGGTGTTTACCTGACTGCTTATGAGTATTGATAATAGTCATAGCTGGCTAGCGCATGGCATATATTGGTTTTCTTAATGATATTGCATTTCTGTATTGTGTTTCTCTGCCACGTGGGAGGGTAATGGAAAGATACGCGACACGTCCACTTATTTAGACTGTCTTTGTTTGTTCTCTCCGTCAGATGGGTATTTGTCTGAATTGCCCATCTCTTCAAGTATACCATTCCACTGTTTCGTTCCTATATTCGCTGACTTGTGATCCTTACAATGGTCCATACTTGCACTTGAACTACAGGATAAAATGAACCCCTTCATCCGACTCAGCCGCTTCCTTCGACGACCACCATCATCACGACGCAGCATATCCACACGCACGCCTCCTAAGCTAGATTCCTTCACAAAAAACGAAGAAGAGCGAATGCCTGCATTTACACGAGGATTATACTATCCCGTCAACCTAGGCGATATCTTCCATTCCAGATACAAGGTCCTCAGCAAGTTGGGGTATGGGGCGAACTCAACCGTGTGGTTTTGTCGGGATCTGCAGTTTGTAAGCCTTTCCTTCTTCTCTCTATAAAAAAAGGGATGGCTAATGGCGATTATGTAGACATCATCAATATGTAGCGCTGAAGATCTACACCGGCAGCAGCAACAGAAACAGTAGTAGTCCTAGGGCTAATCAGGAAGTACGCGTACTAGAGCATCTCGCTAAAATGAAGACAAACCATCCGGGCAGCAGTTGCGTCCACAACATGAAAGGGAAGTTTGAACTGATCGGGTCCAGCGGTGTCCATCAGTGTATTGTCTTTGAACCGCTCGTGACGAGTCTTTTGCATTTCCAGGCGACGCTGGACCCGAAGAGCTTGACGGAGGATATGTTGAAAGGGGCGTTGCAGCAGTTGTTGATGGCGCTGGATTATTTGCATGCTGAGGGTGGGGTCGTACACACTGGTTGGTACTGTTTAGTAGCCTGTGGTTAATCAATGGCTAACGTCTGATCCAGACATACAAGCGAAGAATATCATCATCAGCGCAAAGGATGATTCAATTTTCCACGAGTGGGAGAATCAGGAAGCGGATGATCCCAGTCCCCGGAAGATCGACGGTGGGAGTAACTACACCGTCTATCAATCGCGTCCATTCCATCGAACGAAAGGTTGGAATCGCAGTTTCGGGATGCCACTGCTCTGCGATTTCGGGGAAGCCCGCCTGGGAAAGGGAGTCCACGATGGACTGGTCCAGCCGGATATTTATCGGGCGCCGGAGGTTATCCTCGGATTACGATGGACGTCGAAGGTCGATATATGGAATGTTGGGGTGCTAGTAGGGAGATCACATGGGTTTCATGTTTATTGATTGACATTCAGGCTAATAGGGTATTGAAATGCTGTAGATATGGGACCTTTTTGAGGATCACCATTTGTTTGATGGTCGGGGTCCCGACGGTAGACATTCGGATGTGCATCTGCTCGCGGAGATGGTCGCGATGCTGGGTCCTCCACCGGTTGGTTTTCTGTCCCAATCTCCTCACAGCTGGAATTATTGGAATTCATCGGGTAGGGCTTCTATCATTATGGTGTTTGAGCTTTCTAGCTGATCAATCAATAGGAGAGTGGATAGGGTCTGCGGGAGTCCCCGACATGTCCCTGGAGGACTCGGAAGAGTACCTGGCAGGCGAGAACAAGGAGACGTTCCTGCGCTTCATGCGAAAGATGCTGCGATGGGACCCGGAAGAGAGACAGAGCGCCCGTGAACTTCTGACGGATCCTTGGTTGACGAGTCCGTAGTTGATGTCCTATCTTATAGTCTCTGAAACGGACAGTATAGAAGGAGCAAAGGCGGAGTCAAGCATATGCAGATGATCCGACATAAACCCGCTTGATAATCTCATACTGGATCTGAATGGCGAAAATCGTCCGGACCGACCACTGACCCACAACTTTCCTCCAATCTGCTGCATTCGTCAGTCCAGTCGGCCCACTCGGATCGAATTTGCATTTCTTTAATTGACGGTTCAATTCTTATCAATGGAGTGATGATGATAATATCATTGTAACCCCTCTTTTGTTAACGGTCTGGGTGAGGTATGTTTGGTTGAGTGGTTCCTTTTTCTCCCTACATTCTTCGCATCAAATCAATATCAACACTGACTCGACTATAACAGTCATAGAATAACCAGTCAGAAAGAAAGAAGAAGAAAAAAGAAAAGAAAAATGGACCCCACCGTCCTCCGCGAACTCTCCCGACTCGACCCCGCGGTCCCATTCCGCGCGTCCACCCATCACATCCATCACACCTGGGCCAAAACGTTATACTCCCGCCCCGAGCTCTACATCCAACCGCAGTCGCTCGCAGAGATTCATAAAGTGGTGACCTTGGCGCGACGATGCCGTCGACGACTCGTAACTGTCGGCAGCGGCCACTCGCCGTCCGACCTGACCTGCACGTCCGCCTGGATGGTGAACCTGGACGGGTTCAACCGCGTGTTGGAGGTGGATCGCGATACAAGCATGGTGACGGTGGAGGCGGGTATCCGGCTGCGCGACCTCGGAGAGGAGCTGGAGCGACGCGGGCTGACGCTGTCGAATTTGGGGAGTATTGATCATCAGTCGATCGCGGGGGTGATCGCGACGGGGACGCATGGGAGTTCGCTGCGCCATGGGCTGCTGTCGGAGTGTGTTGTCGCGTTGACGCTGATGCTGGCCGATGGGCGCCTGGTGCGGTGCAGTGAGACGGAGAACCAGGCGCTCTTCCGCGCGGCGCTCATTTCGCTCGGTGCGCTCGGCATCGTTGTCGAGGTGACGTTCCAGGCGGAGCCGATGTTTAAGGTCGCGTGGCGACAGGCTCGGGTGGACTTGTCCGAGGTGTTGGCCAAGTGGTCGGGCCCGCTGTGGACGTCGCATGAGTTTGTCCGTGTCTGGTGGATGCCGTATCAGCGGAGTGCGATTGTCTGGCACGCTGACAAGACCGATCGTGAAGTGCGTGCGCCGCCGACGAATTTCTATGGGGGCTCCCTGGGGTATCATATCTACCATAATCTGCTGGCGCTCTCTAACTACTTCCCGCGCATCCTGCCGTGGGTGGAGTGGCTCGTGTTCGGTTTGCAGTACGGGTTCAAAGCAGGCGCGACGGTCACGGAGGCCGTGCAGCCCGCCCGCGACGGACTGCTGATGAACTGTCTCTATTCGCAGTTTGTCAATGAGTGGGCGCTGCCCCTGGAGAAGGGCCCCGAGGCTCTCATCCGTCTGTCGGCCTGGTTGAACGGAGATGTCGAGACGGCGCGCATTCCCTTCCCCGTCGACGGTCTGTGGGTGCATTGTCCGGTCGAGGTCCGCGTCGCCGACTCCACGCACAACACTAGGCCCCGTCCGTTCTTGGACCCTACCTGCCACGATGGACCGACCCTGTACCTCAACGCCACCCTGTACCGGCCATATCTCCGGGACCCGCCTTGCACGGAACGGTACTATGAGGCGTTCGAGTGGCTCATGCGGGAGGTGGGCGCGAAGCCACACTGGGCCAAGAACTTTACGACCGGCCGCCAGGAGCTGCGAAAGATGTACGGCAAAGACATGGACGAATGGTTGAAGGTACGACAGGAGGTCGACGCGGAGGGGATGTTCCTCGGCGAATGGCACCACCGGACTCTGCCCCTGCCCGGTGTTAGTAATGACGATGAATCATCGGAATCTGCGAAGTCGACTGCTCTGCCGCTCTTGGAGCGCGAAAAGGCTCGTCGGCCGGCTAACTTCCGCGGTGCCGGCGATGGCCAGGAGTGGATTGGCGATAGGGCAGGCCAGGGGAGCACAGGGCTCCAGGATGTGTTGCTCAATCGATCTGAGAAACCATGCCCCAGTCCTCCCACGAGCGAGGAGAGTTTCGACTTCCTCGCTGCCAGCGAGGCCAGTGGGATTCTTCCTAACGAGCGCACGTGAGACGGTGGAGACGATCTGACTGGGGAAGAGAAGCCTCAACGCAGAAGCAACCGGCCAGATTTTTTCTTTGGCTGGATATGAGTTAACTTGATGGATGAATTTTTTCTCTTTCTTCTTTTCCCTTTTTTTCTTTTCTTTTTTTTTTTTCACGTCTTAAATTTTTCCCATTCTTCTTCATACCTTTTTGTTTTCTCCCACCATTCCCGGTCTTCTGACTCGGTACTATTGCTCGTGGATTGGGCCTCTGTTTGCTAGATTCGGGATTTGGGCCGGCTCGCAGTCGCAGCGAGTCAGATGGATAGAACCCTCCTTCAGTCCAGTGGAGGGCATGACGTCGGAGTATCCGCACTCCGTATGGGAGATCGACTTGAGATTCGAACCACATCTTTACTGGTCACGGTTCCTTTCAGCCTGTTTCTCTGGTTGGAAGGGTTGTGATGTAAACAAAACATCATTCAACCCTGTTTAAGCCAACTACGGGTCAACAAGTCTTGCCCCACGCCCCGATATCACGGACACAGACACGGTTGTCCCACCTACAAGGCCATGTACATACACTCCATAGCACATACACCCAGACATTCCACTGTCCCACCCTGACCCTCGAGGGGCTCCGTGGTAGGCCGATAGATTATCCAGACTGATCACCGGCATCTAAGCACTAAGCACAAGCACAAGCACCGCTAGCTAGCACTAACCATGAACAATCAACCGCATGCATCAGGACATGCCTATATGCCTGCCTATCAGGTTGTGGTATGGACTGAGTTGGGCCGCACACGGTATTGGCTCTTCTGTCGTTCATTTCACGATGACCCTGGTCTCTTCTCCCCGGGCTGGTTGGGCCACCCTTGCCCCGTTAATATCTACCGGACTCGTTCTTCATCGAGTTTTTATTAGTTTCTCCCCTAGACTAAAGATGAACTGGCTCTGATGTCGTTTATTCCATGCAGCTTCGGCTGGGATACGGTGTCTGTCTCATGAGATTCATATCGAGTCGCTGATCATGAGACTATTGTCTCCTGGATGGAGGGTTAGGGTTGGCTGGATGTAACTTTGAAAGGCTGCAGCGGCTAGAAACAATAAGTATGTTCCAGTCTTGCAGTGGTATTCTCAAGTGCGTGAACGGCGGATGTTGAAATGTCTGGATGTGACAATAGAAAAGAAAAGAAAAAAGTAACTAAGCGGGATGGAAACTGTATGGAGAGAGTCGAAAGTGGGAGGTACCTCAGGCATCCTCATTGGTGCTGCTTTGTTTTCTTCTGCACACCAACTTCATCTTCTCCATCTTCTTCTTTCTTTCCAACATCCACTCATCCATCCGGCTTTCATCCTCTCAACTCAGTCTAGCTTGGTTTCGCCTCATTCTCTTCGTTTTCCTTCGGCTTCTTCCTCTCTTACCCCGTATTCTATCCCAGACTACCTACAGTCCCCTCGCGGACCAAGGAGGAGGGGTCAGTGTGCCCGACGGTGACTGGGCAACTACACCTTGCAAGATGGTTTCAGAAGACAGAATGGCTCACACCTTCATACAAGCATATCAAATAACAACTACATAGTAAGAAAACCAACAAAGTCAGCGAAAGCAAGTCAGAAAGAGACATCATCCCCGGAGTCATCATCCAACTTCCCCGCCCCCCCCTCCCCAAAAGAACGAATGCAAAATTTACTTCATCCCAGCCACACCTCGGACGGGTTCCTGAGTCTGAACCAAAGTAATGATGGTCCATCTGTTTTTCCTTCTCACCCTCCCATCTGCTCTGTCGCGTTGAAGATCCTCTTGCTTCGAGCGCATGATGATCCATGGTGGGGAATCCCAGCAGCACCGACCCCTCCAATTCCCTGCAAGTGGACGGACCTTTTTGCCTGCACGGACGAGTGCCCATGCACCTCTTTTGCATAACTATCCAGGGAGAAAACTTTCAGCGCTGCATGTTCTCAATGAGGGGTAGAGCCCGTCATCATCCCTGTCTTCGCAAGGCTGCTGCTAACGACTGGTAATGCTCCCATCCGGTTATCCCTGCTGAGTTGGAATTCTCGAAATCTATCATCATTTAGGTAATCGTCAGCATCAAAGAAATCGGAACGGAAGCAGACAGAAAAAAAGAAATTAAGGAAAGGGGGAAAGAAAATAAAATGATTCGTCTTGGACGATGGACATGCTCGTGCTAGGAGACACTTTACTTTTCTTCTGTTTTTCTTTTTTTAATTTGGCAACCGGCGTCGCGACAATGGCAATTCTATTACGCAGTAATATTATACACCACTATATGCGCTACGTACCAGGCCATGCTGTACAACCCCTGTGCCCTCTGATCGCAGGCGAATGGGTGGCCCGTGGTTTTAACGCCTGTTGGATGTGTATTGAATCTACCCTTTCGAGGACAGCCACTCCTGTTGCTGTCTGGCAGAACACCTTCAGTTAGGTAATTTCCAACGACCAGACGGCTTGTCCTGGTTGGCCCTTTTGCCACCCCATACATGGCATTTTATTCATTGCAGCCTGGGCGGAACCGTGCTTTGATCCTTTCCCTGCTGTCTCTCTCCGCGCCTGGCGTTCTCATCTTGACGTTCGACCGTCCAAAGAGCGGGGGAAGATGGAAAAAGGAATTAAAATGGCATGATGAAGAAAGTCTTCAGAATCGCGCAGTCGATCCGATCTTGCCGCGGTGATTATCAAAGCACTCCTTCAAGGAGAATTTCTTTTGTCCAGCTCTTCGAAACCCTCCAATCAACAAAACTACGCATCGCTATTAAGTAAGGCGGACATAAGAAAAAAGCGCAAATGAGACGATGACATTGGACCTGCCTCGGTTTTCTGCCTTGGCGCACGGTGGATCCAAGAAGGGACTCACGCTCCTCTACTGCAGATGGTGGGCCAAGTTGTACTGATGATGGTCACTCGTGCGCCAATGATAATTGTGGGATCAACCGATAGGCGCCCAAGGGGCAGGCTGTTAAACAACCTTGGATTTGGCAGCACATACTCTCGAACCTGGATGATCCTTTCCTTCTGACGATGGTAGGTCAATAACAATGACAATAATAAGAATGAGAGAAAATGGAAAAAGAAAAACTCGACTCCACAGGTGCAATCTCGCTTTGAGGCAGGCATGCAGCCCTGGCACCAGGCGACATCTTGCTTTCCCTGACCATGGCACCCCCGGGAGTAACCCTCATATGCTTACCTATTTTGCACTTTGCGGCCCAAATGACCAGGGCCGGGTTATGCTAGTGCCGATGGATTATGCTATGACGCTTTCTTTTGCTCTGACGGCTCGGACCGTCTACGGGCAGAACTAACTACTGGCGAGTCGTGGCCAACAGGTCATCTGTGTTGACAGCCTCGAGCCAAGCTATCTGGTTCGACTGCGGGGCCCCTGGTATACCGTCTAGGCTGCCACAGCCACCGAGGTCTGAGGGATATCGAGCGACCGTACCGATTGATATCGTGACGGATCACAATACACGTCACTGTCGAATCGGCCTATATAAAGTGTCCGTCGAGGTGGGGGCAGAGTAGTGTCGCGCGTACATGCGGGGCCCTTCGGGGTGACAGACAGCCCGTTCTCTGATAAACCTGATATCAAGATGCATGGAGCGAGGGAACCCTCACTCAGCCTCTTCTTTTCTTGACAACACCCGTGCCCCGCTAGCAGTTCTCCAACTATTATTTACTGCCGTCTGCCCCTCCCCCTCCTTTGTTCTTGTTCCCCTGTGACCCCACGCTCGATCTGTCAGGATCTACCCAAACACTCTCTGGTCTTAGGGATCAAGACGACTACTTCGACCTTATTTTTTCATCCCCTACAAGTTACTGCTTCTGGTCGTGATGGATAGAATGTCCCGTCAGCCCAAGCTTCGCCCCAAGTCGTACATCCCGGGCTTCCCAGATGCTATCTATGATCTGTCTGCCGTTCAATCCTTGTCGCAGCTGGAATCCCGCGCGGGGTTAATCGATGACAAGCATGATCAACGCGTCTTTCGGGTCAAGCGCAAGCATGTCCTCAAGGCTTGTGACCGATGTCGCGTGAAAAAGACCAAGGTTGGTTGAGTCGACGCTATTCTTCTTCATGTTTATACAATGTTGTATCGTCTCGCACGACTCGTGCCGGCTGATACTTGGTTAGTGTGATGGGAAACAACCATGCAATCGCTGTTCAGCATACAACCACCCCTGTCTGTTCCGGGAGAGGAAGGCCACGCAAACCAAAGTGTACTCTCGGGGGTGAGTCGATCCGTTTCTCTGCTCACTAGGACTAGGCCTGGGCTAATAGGTGATATCCCATTCAGGTTCGTCGAGATGCTGGAGTCGCACCATTCGCTAGTCGTGAAGGCCCTGCAGAAGCTTTACAAGTTGTGCCTCAACCAAGAAGGATTCCCGGGGAGCCGCTCGTCGAGTCACCCGATGGTTATCCTCTGACCCATGCTATCCTCGACCGTCTGGGTCTGATAAAACAAGCTGAGGAGAGCCACGAGGACGCAGAAGAAGACACGGAAGACCTTCAGTTCTTGCGCCTGCTGTCCACCTCGACAGACTCAAGTGCCGCATCGGATCCGTCCCCCGAGCCTGCAACGCCCCCGGACCCTTCCCCTATCACCAGCAGCCCGGTGACCCTTTCCCCTCGGACCGGAGGTCCCTGGAAATGGGAATTCCCGCCAGTCCCCGCCGGACACGCAGGGCAGTATCAAAGTCTCTCGCAGCCTGGCTTCCAAGGCATCTCTCTGTCGCGCCCCTCTCTTGAGACTGCACACCCTACAAGCGAAGCTAAAATGTCACAACCCGTGGGCCCAGTTCCCAACCCGGACCATCACTACCCATATTATGAAAATGACCACTGTAACGGAGTACCATCCAAGACGTGTTTCGCGCTGCCCGGTGTCTCCGCGGCACCAGGGTTCCGCCCCGCGACGACCGCACCCGGTATGCCGGTTGACATGCTATCGGACTACGCGCTCCCAATGGCAGACCACCAAGCCATGTACCCGACGGTTGCACCCGGCTGGAACTACCCTTGTGGATGACGACGGCTCTTCCAGATCAACACTCGCTCGATTCATATTTGTTTCAAATCCATTCTTCTAGTGTTCGGTTGCATACCCAAGCATTGACAGCTTTTCCATTCGTTGTATTTATGTTCCTCCGCATGCGCTGTATATCGCTTGCATTGTCGAGGTGTTTGCCACCACACATTCCTCCCACTCCCATCTCCGAAGGATGATGATTATCGTATATGATGCTCTCATCATCTGCAATAGCAAGTCAGGACTATCATACCATGCATTCTTTGATCAGATATCTGCCATCTATATATACGCCGAGTCTATACCATCGTCAATGAATTATCATACCATCCAGCGGCCCTTCTTGCCCTGGAGTTGCATCATATACGAGATAAAACCATACGATCGCTAAGGCATACTTAGTAGTATTTACAGTGCTGTTATACTCGCAGATGCGTCACATACGTACTTGCTTTTCTCGCCAGCTCGAAGTCTTTCCCTTTCCGTTTGAGGGCTCACCCCTCGCCGCTTTTTGCTCACTGAGTAGATCTGACCACGCCCTGACCACGCCCTGAGCGGCCTGAGGCGATCATGAGGCGATCATTGAGCAAGGGGTGAGTGCACTGAGTAAGCCAGCCTCAAATAAAACGCACCCCTCTTCATGACCATCTATCTCTCCACGCGTAGTCTACTTTTTTCGAAGTTCATGGCCACTTTGCTCGTGTTTAATAGCCCATTGTGCCTGTGCTCAAGCTTATGGTTGAAAGGACCTGATACTGTTGCTCGGCGTAGCTACCGCAAGGCTAGAGCTTCCTGCAGCAGCGCTCTTTGCCGAAGGCTTGACAGGATAAAGTAGAGAGCCCTTTGTATCAAGACAGCCCAGTATCCCGTCCAGATCATAGACCGTGGAATCTAAAAAGGGTGAGTGTTAGTGGAATTAACATTCGCTGAGGCTAGGGTTAGAATACCTAGGTCAGTGGCCTGAATGTTTATGCCACCGCTCGCTCCATAGACACGCGCTGGACATTGCGGACGGTGATGCAGATGAATCCACCCAAGCAAAGCACCGCTTCATCAACCATTATTGGCTCCCAGAACCTCTCTGAGAACATTTCGACCTAATATCGACCCCCGAGTTTCGAGCTCAAACGCGCCTTGAAAGGCCAAGAACAGTTGGATCTATCAGTAAATCTTGGCTTCGACTCCTACCTTCCAAGACAAGAGAGCAATTCCTCTTGCGTTGAGTTCCTTCAGAGTACCATGGACTGGATGATAACTCTCCTTGAACGCGAAAGAGAAATCAATATAATAGTTCGTGAATAGCTAAATCACATTCTAAGACCCCCGACAAGGGAAGATTTGGAGAGAAATCACACAGGAGCTTCCTTTGTCATAAAGCCTAACAGGTAGAAGATGCATCTGAGCTTTGAGAGAGACAGCAGTAGCTAATAAAAGGTCAGTGAATATTTTGTGGCGGCCATTGAGTACCATCACCAGATAATGGCGTTCTCAGACAAAGAGCCTGCTTGGCCTACTAGATATAAAGATCCCCTGAAAAAAAATGTTTCCCAAGTTAAGGGAAACAATAAAGAAAAGCTTACACAAAAGCCGCTTACTACTTGCAAAGAATATGGAGTCTGCTTCTATCCCAAGAAATAGTAACAATATGTTCACAGAAAGCGGAACAGCAAGAAGAATGATAACACTTATCATATCATGGAACTCTTGAAGGGAGTTGCTACTGCTTATATATGATCCAGAAAGGAAAGTCAAAAAATTGTCTTATTCGAGAAGAGTCACTACATTTTCGTACGTCCCCATAGGCCACAACTACCTTTACTCAAGATCTACCAAATCAACAAGCACCACTTTTCATCGTACTTTGTCACCATAGCAAGCCTCAAGAGCATATCACACCATGAATGATCACGGGCCCCTATTCGATCACCATTCTTGAGGAGCACATAAAGGAGTCAACTGCAAAAGGATATGGGCACTAGTACCATACTCAAGACATGTCAATCCGAAGCATTCTTGCAAATTCTGTGTTTAGAGAGTCATCCGTATCAGAGATCTGTCGCGGACTTTCTTCTTTATTCATGTTAGCCTTGCGCAACATGTAATCAGATAGTCATTGTGGGAATACCGTGATCTTTTGCTTCACTAGAATATTCATTATCATGCTCCCCTGGAATTCTTTTTTTTTTATCAGTCAATTGTGTTCCCATTGCCGCGGATCCCACTATTGCAAGCCCAATATTCGAAACTGTTGTAAATGCCCCCGAAGCAGCGCCTCCCATTGCAGCTCCCTGTAAGGTGGCAAACAGACTCCCAGCTTGGACTGCTCCAAGCGAAGACTGCCATGCTGCAGCAAGAGAAGCCGCAACAGGCCCTGTAGCACTGAAACCAACGGCACCTAAGATTACAGGGCCAGTGATAGGGGCTGCAGCCAGTGCAAGTCCTGTGCTACCAACAGCTAGGGATTTTGGATGTTCTCGAATAACGTTCTGTCCGAAAGAAACCATCGAGGATGCTGATTTTCTTAGATGTTCCATGATAGCTCTGGCCGTGAACCGAGGATATAAATATGTGGGAAGGTTGAAGGGATATGGTATACTAGATAGCAGGGATAGACTAGAATACTAAGTTTGTTATAACTGTGATGGTGCTTAGGTCAAGATTATGTTAACAAGTGAACCAGAAGAATATGGCCATGAAAGAAGAGGCAGGGATGGATAGGTCTTAATAAGAACATCCGTTGCGGGGAAACTGCAGATCATATGACCAGAGTCTTGTAGTCATATTATCGTGCGCATCTGTCGGCCTAAAGCTGAGTGACGCACTCATCATCTAGTTACATAATATACCATCCTTGCGAAATTACTACATAGGGGGTGGAAAGCCGGGATTTCTGTGCCTCTAGTCAAGTGTGCCTAATGACTTAGGATTGGGCCCAAGAGAAAACCTAAAACCTGGGGCAACTCTCACATTCTTCCACTCGGTAGTTATAAGGGAGGCTACTAAGTTGGAAACATGCCATAGACAACCCCCATCACTTCCACGCACTGCATATGTAACCAGATACCCCTTCCTCCACCGTCGCCTGGTTGTGACGGCGGCAGGATTCGAGCCCGCTACTCCTTGTTTATAGACCTGGATTGGGCCCAGAAATATAATTCATAATTAAGAGAAAGTTGTTAGGGGCGGCTTATCGATCGACGAGCTAGCTACGTCTACGTACAAGAAGGGTTATAGTACCACCTTGAGAAGCTATATAAGTCCACTAACATTAATTAGAAACCAGTGAAGAGATAACTCTATAAATATTATAAAGTGATCTAGTGCATATGGGCAGAACACCTCAGGTCGCTATTTCTTTTAAATATATAATATATAAAAATATACATATATTCCTACCCATAGCTGCATATCTAAATACATTTCAAACATACTAATTAAAATTCATCAAAAGTCCTCCCAACAGATATACAAATCGTAACACTCAACGAATAAGCCCCTCAGCAGTCCCCTAGTGCCGTGCTACTAGTCACAGAAGAGTCCGCCTCACGCAAACTCCTCAACCGCAAATAACACTGCCTCGGCTGATGCGTCAACTTATCAACAGCCGCATAAGAATTCACCTTCTCCGGCAACACCCCCAACTCAAAGTCCCAAAGCAACAACACAAACACAATCTTCAGCTCCATGTACGCCATCCGTCGCCCAAAACAGCCCCTCGGCCCCAGTCCGAATGTCAAAAATGGGCCCGCGGTCGAGTCGAACACTTCTTTCCCGGTGTCCGGGTCAGTGGTGAGCCACCGCTCGGGTTTGAACAGATTGGAGTCGGACGGATCCCACACCCCGACACGGCCCTTCGCCTTCTGGCAGCTTTCGCTGCGCTCGTGCTCGGCGATGGATCCTACAGGTGGAGCGTGGAAATCCGGCCCATTGCCCATGAGGAAGACGGTTGTTCCCTTTGGAATGCGGTGGCCTAGTAGGACGACGTCTGTGGTTGTTGTGCGGGAGATGGCGGAGCCGGTGTTGGATTTGCGGATGATTTCTTCCTGCGTGGCGTCGAGGTAGGGGATGTGGGCTTTGGTGATTTCGTCGGCCGTTGGGCGCCGGTTTTCGCGCAGGGCCGTGGAGAAGTTGGTGTGCAGGGCGGAGCGCAGTTTGGTTTGCACTTCTTGGTGGTCGGAGAGGAATTTTAGACCCCAGGTTGCTGTTGTTGAGGTTGTGTCGTGGCCGGCGACGAGGAGGCCGAAGAGCTGTTTCTTGCGTTAGTTTGGATGGGATGTGGATTTGGGGGTGAAGCGTGCTTGTAGATACTGCTCCGGTGGGGGTAGGGGGTGTCAGTCTTACCTCGTCATACATGGTCCGGGTGTCGTAATCAGGTTCGCGGTTCTGCTTCTGCGCGGCGGCAATCTCGCGGCGCAGGATGTCGTCCATGGCGCATCTAGTGGCCGGTTGCTCGCCGTTAGCTTGCTCGACTAGTCGGGCTTTACCGCGGGCGAGCTCCGTCGCGATCATCTCCTCCTTGACGGCTCTGGCGTCGCGCATGGCCTTCGTCATACTAAGAAGCTTGAACGACAGCGCCGGGATGGGCGCGATGAGCGTTTTCTCCAGGCTGTCTGTGAGGGTAAGGATGGCGTCCTGCGCAGCTGGCATCGGCGGCTCCGGGAACGGAACAGCATCGTCCTCATTGGCGGTGAACGAGCCCGGCTGGAGGTTTTTCAGAGAGCGGAGGAGCTGGAGCCGGGCGTGGATAATCCCGTCTTTCAGATCTTGCGGGAATGTGACGCCCCAGATTGCGTCTAGCGCTGCGGCGAAGAAGTCATCGCCTGCGATGAAGGGACGGCCGTGAGCCAGACGCGCCTTTTCAGTCCACAGGTCGAAGAGAGCCGAGAATGATGCGTAGAGCCGTGGTGCGGAGACCTATCGGTGGGTTAGTTTGGGGGCGGTATTTCCAACGCGGTAGCGTGATTCTCCCAACTCACCTCGTTCAGAAACTGCGGCGTCATCAGATCCTGGATCAGCCGTCGATGGCCCTTGAACTCGGGGTTCGTCGATTTCATGGAGATATGATGATCAGGGACCAAGCCGCGGAAGATGTTTCCGAACGTGTCGCTGCGGTCGAACTCTTTCGTGCGTCTCAGCAGGATGTCGTAGCTCTCGCGCGAATCGGAGACTATGACCCATGGCTTTGACAGCGGCTTGATGAACACCTGGAAGATCGGGGTGCCCATCTTCTGGGCCTCCAGCGCGAACCAGCTTAGCTTTTCGCCGGTTTCCCGCGCGTATTGCTTCACCCTGGGCAGGTCGCCCAGGAGCCGGTTGGCCGAGTCCTCGTTGTATGGGATTCCCGGGATTGGGTGAGGTCGGCATTTTCTGTAGGCGATGTAGATGATTAGGGATAACAGGGCGCCTAAGACGGCGCCGGTTGGTAATGATGCCATGGTGCAAAGCTATACAACAGCTCTGGGACCCGGATAGAGAACATTAGAGAGAAGACAGGGGCGGCGCATGTCGAGTCGTCCCCTCGGGGATGATATATGGCTCTTTTTTTTTTTCTATTTTAATTTCAATTCTAATTTTGATTTTTTTTTTTTTTTTTTTTTTTTTTTTCTTTCCCTTCCCTCAGATAAGCCAAGAACCGGTTTGTCGGATGTCAAAAGGGCATATTAACTAATTGGATGGTTTCACTTCCAATTGGCTTGGATGTGGTTAGCAAGGGAGACTCCATCCGCTGACCCACCGATACAAGAGACCAGTTCCTAACTATCCTTTTCCCCGCATGCGCAGTTTGTCCGACAGCTATCATCCCGAGGGTCAAGGGGGCTTTGGTGTGTTCCCTGAAACAGTTAGAGTCGCGACGATGCCTGTCGATCGGAGGACTAGCTAACACAAGTACGTTCATCCGCCAGGGGGTGGATTAACGGAACTTGAGCAGCGTACACCACGGCAGACTCTGCTAGATCCATAGTGGAAAAGGAACTTGTGTCTAAAAGTCGCATCCTAAGTATCATCCAAGTTGACTGATCCCTTGAAACCGTTCTCCTTGAGGGCAATATCGGAGATATTCGCGTGCAAGTGTTGCCCGGTCGGAGCAATTTCAACCCGCTCCGGACGTTTCGTGGCACCGATCGGCATCAAGGATAGACCCAGACCACACGGCATGACAGGTGGGCTTAGGCCGCCCTGTCTGCGACTGACTGAGACAGTCCTAGACCATCGCGGAGGACATCCCGGCTCGACACTAACAGGCCAAGGGTATGACTATGAACGTGAAAATGAACGTGAAGATGGATATGGACTCATAGTGGGGAGCCACCGCGCAATACTTGCGATAGGCCTGCCATAATGAATACCAAGCAAGCCAACAGAGCTAATGCAGGACGTAAATAAGCCAATATACCACCATTCGTGGATCTGCAACTAACCTAGCTACTCATGCTCATGTGAGTGTCAAACGAGGGTGTAAGGAACGGGATCCTTAGCGGGAGGGAAAGAAAATAACACGTCTGCTTATCCTGAACAGTGGGCCCATTCCAAGCTTCCGGCCCTCCCACCGCTCCGGTCTGTGCGTGGAATAGTACCCATTACTTGGACACTGACAGGGAGGATGCCACCGCATTAGAGCATGAGAGATGTATCCAGTACCGGAAAAACCCCATGGATGCGGGTGGCCGTCGGCCGTCGGCAGCTGGCGGTTGGCAGTTGGCAGTTGGCAGTGATTGTACAACAGATAACAGAGTAACGAGCTTGGGAAAACCGGGACTGCCAATACATGCTACGTTTCTGAAACTGGTCCAACATTGTTAGGAAAAGATAAAAGGAAAGAGAAATCCCGGAAAGAGAAGGAAAAGAAAGGTGTCTCACACAACCATACAATCATACCCTGCTCCAAGCCGTCCCAGACCTCGTCTGTAAATCAATCGTTGACCACATCCGTCGAGGGATCAGCAAGTGGACACACGCCAACGCCAACCTCGCCCGCATCCGCGTGCCCCGTTCGACCTAGCGACCCAGCCCCGCCGTACCGTCGCAGTCAGTGGACCCAAAGCTCCGGGCCAGCTGCGTATCTCGAGCTCGACTGGACGGGAGTCGAGCCGTAGCGATAGAGGGTGGGGGGATGGGGGGGTGGAGGGAAGCCACTGTCCACTAGGGCCTCGGGCTGGAATCGCTGTCAGACTGCGGTGTATTGACTATCCGCGGGTTTCGACTTCCCTGTCAGACACGCTGTTAGGCGAGCAGCTGGGACCTCGTGGTGTTCACTGCTTGGTGTTGGTTTCCCGGTGATTCCCGTCCGGGTTCTCCATCCGGGTGAGATGCGTTGACGTCTGTCCGAACTAGATTGCCCCTGTGTATGGATGTACCTCTAGTGGTGGACCTGGTGTGTCATTTGATCCTGCGCACTTAGAGTATGGTACTAATAGATGTCTCGTGAATGGTGAGACGGGGGTATGATATGGGAAATGATTTGTTGGCCATTATAGGGACGAATTCTTGACACTGCTGGGTTGGGAGGGGACTCCACCTCCATCGTGTGGGAGATACCCAATCGGTGAGAATGATGGAACTCATGATGTTACTGATAGATTCCACGAAAGATAGGATTTAGAGATGTGGAGAAGAGGGAAGATTCAGACGTGCAGATTCCGAAACGAAAACCATCAGGCACAGTCAGGTGACACACGCGACGCCTTGAAAACACGGCCATTCT